TATATATATTAGTTACTTTTAAAGGATTGTGATTTCGGCCGCCCGATCATGTCCTCGTGCTCTATCATGATGATTATGGCCGAAACTGGCCGAATGAAAAGTCCAAACAGAGTCGCTTGCTCGCTAGATGCTGATGCTGATGCTGGATGCTGATATCGCTCAAAAGAAAATGACTGCGGTGGAGGCCGCCTGACGATGCTGTCGCTAATACCTGATCCCTTTACAGGGCAGTGGTGGTAGGAGCAACAATGTTGTTCACCACTGGGATGGTGCTAGAGGTAGCAGCGGTGGTGGAGGTAGGGGCAGAGCCGCAGCCGGATTCACCGGGGTACCTAGCGTTGTGACAGTCGAAGGGTGTGGTGGTAGCGCTAGCAGTGGTCGTGCTGCTGCTAAGAGTGGTTGAGGTTGGGGCAGAGCCGCAGCCGGATTCACCAGGGTATCTAGCGTTGTGGCAGTCGAATGTAGTCGTGGTGGCCGTGCTGGTGGAAGAGCTAGTCGAGGTTGTCTTCGTATGCTTTGCAGTGGTAGTGGTAGACGCGCTTGTGGTCGAGCTAGTCTTGGTCGACGAGGAGGTAGCAGTGCTGGTCGATGTGCTCTTAGTGTGGTGGGGCTTCGTGGTGGAGCTCGACGACGTGGTAGTTGTCTTTGGGGCAGCAGTTGTAGTGGTGGTGGTGGTTGTCTTTGGGGGAGCCGGAATGGTAGAAGTCGATGTAGGCTTCTGCGGGTGATCCGGAACCACGATAGTGACAACATATCCAGTCACGTCAACGTAGGTGACAGTCTGGCAGTGGTTGCAGGGTTGACCAGGAGGATAGTACACATAGCCGTTGTTGGGGTAGACATACTCAGTCACTGTGGCCACAGCTGGGCATCCAGTGGTGGTTGAGTGGGTGGTGACGGGAACCGGAGGCGGAGTTGGCTTAGTGTAGCAGGTAGTGTACTCATACGTGCTAGTGCTATAGAAAGTCTCGTAAATGGTAGTTCCGTGGTTGATGTGAGGCTTCGTATAGGGCACAGTTGTGGTCACAGTGATGGTATCGGTAATAGTGATGGGAGCAGCGGTCGTGGTTGTCGTATACGGGGTAGTTGTGGCCTTAGTGGTGGTGTGGTGTGGCTTCTTCGTGGTTGAGCTGCTAGAGGTGCTGGAAGCGGAACTGGAACTGCTTGAAGTAGCCTTAGTGGTTGTTGAACTGCTTGAGGCGGACTTCGTAGTAGTCGAAGAAGTGGTTGTCGTCTTGGGAGGGTGGTAAACGCCACATCCGCTCTCTCCTGGGTACGAGGCATGCGCACAATCGAACGTCGTGGAGGACGCTGAGGTAGTGGTAGTAGCTTGGTGGTGGTTGAACTCGAGGTGGTTGTGGGGGCAGAGCCGCAACCGTGATCACCAGGCCATCGGGCGTTCGAGCAGTCAAAGGTCGTGCTCGATGAGCTTGTTGGGGCAGTCGAGCTCGACGAAGACGTATAGGCGGTTGTAGTTGATGAAGTGGTAGAGGCCTCCGTTGTCGAGGATGTAGTAGCGGCAGTGGTAGAGGGGTGGTTGAGAATAGACGCGTCAGTAGTAGTGGTGGTGATATCTGAGCTGACCTCGGTCATAGGACGAGCGAAAGCAGAGCCAGCAAGGGCAAACAGAGCGATGTTGATCTTGGCGTGCATATTGACTGATTATTGATTGGACTGAAGCGACTGAAATTATACTGTGGTTGATTTTGTGCTGTTGTGTTTTTGTATATGTAGCGAAGGTATTGGGACCTGTAACGAATGGACCTAGTAGACTTGACAAAGGAAATAAGAAAAGACAAAGGAAAATAGCGATTGTTGTATAGTTGGTGTTGTTGGTGTATGGGATGGAAAACGATTGACCGGCGGCGAAAGAGTGAGATATATACGAAATCTCACTCTTGAGACATTGCTGACCATTCCTCGTGAACATCGCCTTAGCATGGGATTTTCGTTGGTGGTGGCTCAGGCAGTGTGCAATGGTAGCATCAGTAGCATCGATTGTATGCGACCATCTCACGAAATCTGTTAGGTTAGCTTTGGGGCGCATGCTATCGAGTACTGGGTGTGATTTCCTCTTTGGAACAAGTCTCAACTCTTATTTCACACTCCTCTCCTCCAGCCATTCAGCTGCGGGAATTCCATGAATAGCGCGCCGCTGTGACGGTGTGGTTCGACTTGACTTCCATTTTGCTGCGACCATAGGTTGAATTTTAGGTATTCGTACTCGTGGCCTCTCCAAAGTCCCGCCTATTCGAGCTGCTCTACTGAGCTTGAAAGTTTGCCATGCATGGCGCATGCTGTTGCTTCCATGCAGTTCTTCGTTAGTCGGGCAGCTTGTTGGCCATGTGAGAGGCTGATCCAAAGCTTCGAAACTCAGAGCTCGTAGCTCACTCATTGCTTAGAGCTCATGGAGCCGAGGCCGTGAAATCCGTTGCTGGCGCATGATCTCGAGCAGCAAGTTTACGATGCCAGGCATTGTGCTCCGGAAGGTCATCGGAAGTGATGATGCACAGTAACACCGTGCTCGCAATTGCTTCGTGAACAGCTTGGCGTGGTCAGAGCTGTCTCAGAAGTACATCGAATCGCAGTGATCGTCATGTATTCCAGGTAGGGTATGCTGATCTGCACTGTCAGAGCAAGGATGCTCGGATATCGCCTCCGGCGGGGGCGATGATCACTGTTAGCGATCTTGTCTCTTTGTCGCCTCCACATCACTGCACTACAGTTGCCTCGCGGCTGTGTTAGTATTGAAGGCTTCGTCTATTGCCTTGCCGCGATATTTGCTCAATCACGCTCCCTAGAAGGCAGCAGACACAAAAAGAATATCAGCTCTTGGACGTCTGGGCACTTCTAGCTCTGGCTGGTTCTCGACTAGTCCACCACCAATCGTAACATTCAGGATACATGACAACGTCATTCATCAGCCTGTGTCAGCATATATTTGATGATTCCATTCCTCGCATACGATGTTGTGAGGCAACCATCAAAAGTGCGGCCTCATGGACCTGCAACAGTTGCCGGAATTTTCCGTAGGCATGTCTGGGGTGGTGTGGTGGACATGCGTGCGTCATTACCGAGTCTGAGACACAACACGCCAAATTTAACATAGTGCGGTATATATCTATTGCAAGAGCAAATTCTCGTTTTCAGTCACAATAAGTGAAGGAACCTCAGGCGAGATTTTGATGCTTCGATGCAGCCGACAGCAGCGTGTCGTTGTGAGATCCTTCGTAAAGCATTCTTGCAATGTGAGACACATCGTGGACTGCGCCTGGATAGGCCCTGCTTGCCCGAGTGTTCCGTTGGTTCATTCATGCGATTGTGACAATCGCAAGCACAGATCTTGGCGGCTTATATGCTGACGATTACGACTTTCCAGTCGGTTGTGAAGAGACTGCCAAGCCCAGGCTCTTATGGCGGCCCGCAGCATTATGAGAGAAGGCGGGGAGATATGCTCGCACGAGAAATGTGCTCGAGTTGTCGATGGATTGATTGATGGTGGACATGGTTGACTGAACTTGCGAGCCGGGAGTGGATGCTAAGTCCGAATCAGTGTCGTCCTGACAGTATTCGCAGACCCGTTCATCGAAGCGTCATCCGTCATCGGTTCTCACGGAGACATTCGCCATGGATGCGATCATGGCGAGTGGTGTCTTCGATGCATGATCTGAAATGATCTCCTCGAGAAAGCCTCCTGACCAAGTGATACGCTTACTCCCACACGCTTCAGGCTCTCGCAGCCCGAGCTTCGTCACCACGAGCTGGCGGACACCTGCCACGGCGTAAATCTGGCCACAGGCAGTTTGTGTCATCGGCGTCCGCGCGTTGAAGATGGGCCAGGACTGTAGCCGCGATGGCAGTAATGTGGACGCTAGAGTTTTCAGTACCCCTTGGCAACACACTAAGCGGCCTTCTGAGCCTGCTTGGACCGGACTTCGAGCTTTGGAGGCTTCCTCCTCGCTGGTGATTCACTTTTCGATGCGGCTTGCGAGACCAATGTACCCACGGGTTTGTGCTCCGACTCCTGTTTCTTCGATCGAATCTCAAGCTTCTTTGGCTTTCTCCTCTCGCCATTCGTCTGGCTCTTTTGCTCATCGCCTTCGCCCTTCGATGAGTCTCTCTCGGCCTCTGCCCTCGCAACAGCAGCTGCTTCTTTCAGTACATTGGGGTCCTTTGCTGTGACAGTGCCAGTCTTTTCGTCTACTCGTATTGCCCCACTGTCTATGCTCTCTTGTGGTATCTGCACCTCCTCTTCCTTACCGCCAGGCAGACCAAGCTTGACCCACGGGCCGTGTATCAGCCCGGTGCCAGCCCCGACCAGCCCGCCCACTGCGGTTGTGGGAATACCCGCGACCGTGCCGACCAGAGTTCCCACAACAGTACCGAGCCCAGCCGCAGAAGCAGCGCCGATACCAGCTCCGCCGACGGCGCCCTGAAAGGTGCCCGACTTCAGTACTTTTGCTTTCTTGGTGAGGCCTTTCGCTTTCGTTTCATGCTGGAAGGCTTCGGTGAGCATTCGCTCCCGCTCCTGGGGATTGGTCAAGGCGGCTGCCTTCTCGCGCAGATAGGATACGATGCCATTTGAGTTAGCGGCAGCTTCGGCGGCCGCAGCAGCTTGCTTGAGTCGCTCGTCCTTGGGTAGGTTGGCAAGTTCTTCCTGCGTCGGCAGGCGGATGCCGCCTTCTTCGGTCGACATGTCCTCAGACATTGAAGTGAGCTAAGTCTACCGTCGCAGACTGAAGCAGGCTTTGTGATATTAGTTGTCAGCGTTCGCTGGGGAGTATGAGATGCTGGGTCGGTCAGTGTAGACAATTGAAGACCGCTTCTCGGAACTGTGAAACGTGGAAGCATATGACGTTTGTTTTGCAGGGATGCCTTGTTTTACGACAAGCGACATCCCCATGCACATGAATACATTAGCACCTTCACATCCCTGGATACAGAGGCTCATTCGCGCAAATGCGAGCCCGCGATGTAGCGATACCGCCGTCAACCTTCCTTTTGCTTTGGGTCATGCAGGAAAGGTACAACTGCACCTAGAGGGAAACAAAGCATCTCCATGCTCCAGTCACGGAAGCAGCCGTAGGCAAATGGCGCTAGGCCCGATGCATCGTGACTTCAATGGAAGACACAAAAGGAACACTTTGTCTCAAGCCGGGAGTGGCAGACAATGATCTCAAGAATCATGGCTCGACGGCCGTCTTCGAGTGATGGTCTGGCATCGCCAACACCAGAGCTGTTGCTCAGATTGTGGATTTCTGAAACCGACGCCGTTGCTAGACCAACAGCCCGATCGCGACAACTCCGCAGGACAGGTCAGGTCACGACGGCGGCTTGTAGGAGTCAGCAGTTTCGAATCTGACGCTCAGGTCATCAGTAGTCTAACCTCGAGTCACGAATTGCAGATGACGACCTAGTCTTCAGCGACATCTGCTCTATCCCCTCAGTTCAACAAGCCAAGCACGTACACCATGCATCCTGACGCTGACGACATGTCCGAGAAGAGCCAAACAACGGCAAGGTTCGGACGTCTCAAGGTTGAAGAAGAGGCCGCTCGACGGGTTCAGGCAGATGCACCAAAGAAGGGGGAAGCAGAGAAGGCTGACGAGAAGGACGAGGAGAAGTCTACTACGTTTGGGCCCCAGAACACGGAGTTGAGGTCTGTCCGTTTCCACAGTCCATGGCCACTTTGACTGACTGGTACAGGCTAGGGGATGATCACTCTGATCTGACCATACGTTGCCAAGGACGCGACTTCCGTGCCCATCGTGGCATTCTCGGTTCACGGTGCAAGTTCTTCGATGCGTCAGACAGCTCCACAATTGCGATGAACGACGACAACCCAGACGCGCTCGAGTCCCTTCTGATCTATCTGTACACCGTGAACACCGATCACATAGCCTTCCGCAATGTCACTCATGGCGCCTTGCCCAAGGGCTACTTCAGGCACCTCATCCTGGTCTCCTGGCTTGCTGAGAAGTATGACTTGCCGCTGCTCCGCGACAGCATAGCAGGAATCAGCTCGAACGACAATAAAGGCAACAAGATCGCTTGCAAGGACTGCCATGAGAAGAAGGAGACCTGCATTGATCGTGAGGACTACGGTTTGACAGTTTTCGAAGCACTGGGTATGGCGACGAGTCTTGCACCGAGGTTGGTTGGGCTCGTGGAGAAGCACCAAGCGGCAGACGACAAGAAGGCCGCCCTGAAGAGAAAAAAGGCAAAGCTATCAAGTTAGCTACGGTTTCGAGTTCCACTTCGCGGAGAAGATGGCGACAGTCATCGCCAAGTATCCAGCAGCGGTCAGAGTCGTCATAAGTCTAGGCCGCAGCAGTCTGTACATAGCCTTGGGCCAGAAACACACACAGACCACTTCCAACCTGCCAAAATCTCCCTCAGTCATACATTTGCATGTCCCGTGACTGTGGTCGCCCAAACCGCACGAGAATTGTCTCGTATCTTACTCCTACCTTCTTCGAAACGGTAGCGGGATGCAGAACTCTGCTTCTCGCTCGCTCTGATAGCCTCACCGCGCGTATGCTGACGAGGTCTTCCGGTCGTCACTGTACCGGAGCGCCTGCGCTCTTGCTACGACGAGGCTTATTAGGGCTAGCCCGAGCCCAGGGCGGTCGTCTCGACAGACAGAGGAGCGTGTATGTTCAGCATCAAGGGTGCGGACCTCCCCACAGGTATCGAGCCGAGCCTCGAAGCAACGACGATGCCGGAACCAGAGCTGGGAGAGTGTGACGGAAGGCCTGGGCTGTTGACACGGCCATTGTAAGCACAAGAGACACGCAGTCCGCTGTGGCAACGCCTGCAGACACACACGTCGAGCAAGTACGTCAAACACAGTAGTGGGGACGAGTGCTCAGCAAGAAATTATGACGCTCTTCCCCAACGTCCTGCGAACCAGAGGCGTTGATGAAAAGGCACAGAAAGGATTGAGCAAGGCACACAATTCGAAGCTCCTCAAGAAGAACAGCGACGAAATGCATGCGATATCGCCATCCGATCTGTGAAAAATGTATGGCTTGGGAACAGGCGTTGCAGACAAGTGGGACGTTCTTGCAAGCGGTCCTAGCCACAGTATCTCAATCTCCATCGATCTGTATACCAACACATTCGTAACGAAAGTATTCGACTCGTATCGCGATCGATGTTTTGCATGGGGCACACCCGCCGGTGTCATGTCTTCACATGGTTCGATATTGCATTGCGTCCCAAGTCAGGAGTTGTGTCCTGAGACAATGCAATATCGCTCAGCCGCCCCATCGCTGGTGCGCCTTTGCGGCGACTTTTGTGCTGTTTGGATATGTCAGGAGACTTTTTCTCGCCTCGCTCACATACTTGATCTCGGGTGCGAGCCTTCCATGAGGTTTGCGAGACCTCCGGGAAGGTGATCGCCTCGTTTGCGATCTTTTTGAAGTATGTTGCATGATCCACGCGACACCGCGTTCTGGTTGATCTGGGACACGCCCGCCGGCGCCACAGTTGCTTCGAGCATGTCCAATGCATTCAGTCTGCGGTAGAGCTCCCAAAATTTTGAAGATATCGGTCGAGGTGTCCCCCCATGGTGCCCACCTAAAAGAGAATGGAGTTACCGCAGACTGTGCTTGTTATTGTTTAGGTAATCAGCTTCGCACCGGATCTTATCCCGCCATCGCGCACACATGTGACCGTGATCTCGAGATGCGCACCCGCTGATCGCCCTAGGAAGTGACTCAAACATGCTCAGACTCGGCTGTCCCATCGCCTGAGAGTGATGGTTCGGTAATGAAGTCGGGGTAGGTAAATCCTCACTGATGAGAGGTGGCGGCGTCCTGCAAGGAGATTTGCGAGATCTCCAGGCGTGGCTCTAAACGGCTGTGAGGTTCCTCGGCATGACTGAGTCATTCTAGAACGTGCTAGCCCATAAACCGCTAGCCACACTCATCTGTATTCATACCACGCTCGCACAGCGTTGATGGGGTGTCTCTTTGTAGACGTATTTCTTTCGCGCAATCTCGCGCAGCCAGGAGGGATCAGCTGGACTGGCTGCACTTACCGCGCACCCTGCCTCGCGATATGTGCAGCGTCGAGGTTTAACCCTTTCTGCCGGACGTATCTCGAGGTGAACTATCTACTCCTCAACTCTTGAATATTGCTCTTGTCAGATCGCTTGCATAGCCATGCACTTACACCGTATAGGCGGCAAATAGGGACAAGACTTTTGTTTTTTGAAAAAGAAGGAAGAAGATGATTGAAAGAAGGGAAGGAGAAAGGCGGAGGAGGCGGGAGATTTATGGACGATTCGAACTGGAGATGCCTTGTGCCAAGGCTAGGCAGCAACGCTGGGGGCCCGCACTGCCCCAAGTTGCCTTGGGAGGCCGTTGCCCCTTTACTTCACTTCATCAACGCTACACGCTACGTGAAAGGCTTGGCTGGTGACAAGGCAAGGCACTGTGTCTATCAATTGCGATGCGATCGCAAGCGTTCAAGGCCTCTGTCACGCATGGCAGCAGGCAGGCTCTTAGCCAGGAGTCCATTATCTCTACTCAGCATGTCCTCCGGCCAGAAGCTTTGACAGTTCTGTTGACCGTCCCAAATCATGGACACGATAAACAAGAACTGGATCGCAGCAAATCGCTCCGCCGGCTTCTCCGACCATCCGTCTCAGAAACTTCTAGCACGCCTCCGATCGGATCCTGCAAATCAGGTCATTATCAATCAGGACTCGGAGAATGAAGACGACGGCTCAATTGAGGCGGGGTCTCGCGCGACTCAACACGATAGAGATAATGTGAGATTTACGGAAGAGCAACAAGATAGTACGAATGTCGCTACAGCTGGTGCTTGCATCAAAGATGGAGCATTATCGTCCCCCGAAATCAGCGTACAGTGCATGCAGTTCATTACCGCCATCGAGAATCAAGAATACCATATTTCGCCGCGCAGAGCGGAATTCTCAGCTTGCTTGAAAACCTTCATTGGCCGGATACAACAGTGGCAGCCTATTCCTGCGGCCTCAAGGATCAGTGGCGATGTTATGCTGCTTCTTCACAACGCGTATCGCTACGGCACAGCTGTCCAGGAACTCAAGCAATTAGAAGCAGACTACACAGCCTGGTGGCTCAAGAAGCGACCGGGAGGCCGAACGGCGAGCCAGATCAGGGAAGCACTGATATCGGGAAATCTGCTGCGTGAGCGTGAGGGCCAGTGTCTGGTTGCGTTGCCTTACAACACAGCAAACCGCAGCACACCGTGGAGAACTGCCACGACGAAACCAAAGGCCTTGAACTGCGGCCGATCCTGGAAAGCGTGGGGCGAATGCTGCAAATCTGGGCACGAGGTGATGAAGAACACGGGCTCAAGTCTTTGGTCGTGCGCGACTTCGAGACGAAGTGTAAGCGAATACTTGAAGGACAGGCTCTAGACGAACAAACACTTCTTCCATACACAGAGATTCATCATGACAGAGTAGCTTGAACGAGGTTCGTCAACTACGAGCGCACATACTGCCACGCACACCGCAGCCCAATAAAATGGACGCACAAACAACGCTGATCTTTCCCAATTGTCCAATTCGACGAGTGTCCGGATGCTGCACATGTAGACATCGCTGTGTCGGGTTCGATCTGTGTGTCACTTGCGGCCTTGTTGAAGCGTGCTGTAGATGGTGCTGATGCCTCGTGCTAAACCTGCCTAACTCTAGTCGTGAAGTTGTGAAGCGCAGGTGAAGACTCAGGCACTTTCTAGCCACCCAAGCGACATTACAACTTGATCGATCATGACTCCTTCCTTCGTGACCCTTTGCGCTCTCGATTCTCAGCCCTGTCTTCGATTTTGACGCTGAACCTGGTCAATAGAACTTCAGATGGGCGACAACGTAAGCTACACTCCATTCCCTATGACGCGCTTGCTGACAGCCAGTTCCAGCCCGACGAGGCCATGCCTCAGCTGCAGAGCAACGAAGATCCGATCGCAATTGCGCCTTGCGTCCAACCCCACCCGCTCGAAGAGATTCGTGGTCACAACGAAGATCTGCAAAGTCAAAGTGTCAATCAATTAGACAACACTCTCGAAACCATAACCAAGTCTCTGAGCGCACACATCCAGGGCGAAAAAGTCGAGCAACCGTTACCTGCTTGGGAACTGCTCCAGAAAGCGACGAGAGTGAACACATACTACTGTGTTTCGGTGCGCAACGCTCTGGCTGAAGCTGCTGAGATGCAGACCAAGATCATAGAGGAGATCCAGGAGTCTGGTAGATACTATGGCGGTTTCAGAGCCAGAGCTATGCAGGCACAGATTCGTCTTGTCAGAAAGGAGGTTGCGAAATTGCCAGACGTTGGGAAGTATTGGGACGTACTCCAGCAGATGAGGCCACTGATTGAGGAGCCCTTTACCGAGCGCGTACTCGCAGCGTTGAAGGCCCGCATAACCTTCTTCCAAGGACCACTGGTCAAGCAACGACAGTCGCCCATATATCAGTCCATGGAAAGCCGCTACACGAGCGAGCTGAACAAACTCAACAAACTCAAGGATTTCGGTGACCTCACGCTCCAGTTTTATATGGATCTTGTGATATTCACATACATCACCATGAAAGACGTCGGATAACCACTCGAGACTGCTCAGCAGTTTTTCTGGGCTGAAGCCAGACGTCTCCGGAGAGTCAGTGGTCGTCGGGTTGATATCCGTACGATGACGACGTACCTTCGCGAACTCATCGAGGCGTCTCATACATACTCCGAGCAGATCAACAACCAACTCCGTAAGCAGTCTGACTACTTCAAAGCCCTGGACCAACTATGTGCAGGCGACAAGGATCTGACCGAGTTGCTCGCCGACCATACGGCGGATCTTGTCGGTAACAAGATGCAAATCAGCCTCGCGTACTTCAGAGACAAGCGACTCCCACATCGCGGTCGAGCGCTGTACCCAAGTGAGGAGGACCACCCGAGGAATATGGTCCATGTTCGACTGTGTTCCCTGACAGGAGCAGAGTGGGACAGCAGCATTGAGAGGTCCAAGACCGAGTTCCAGGATATTTCTGATTCCAAGTTTGGTCAAAGTCTTGCTCTCCAGTAGCTGCTGTCAGATATCGACAATGGAAGTACCAGTTCGGCTCTTCAAGCCAGGCAGGCTGCTCCAGAGACTGAGTCCGCTCGAGTGAGGGAACGCATCGCCAAGGCTAAGGCCTTGAAAGGCATCCAAGCCCGTCGTGCTAAGGACAAGGCAAACGAAGAACAGCAGAAGCTTTCCATCGCCAAGGCCATGGCTATGAACGCCACCCAAGCGCATCGTGCTAAAAAGGGGACAGAGCGAGAACAGCAGAAGCTCGAATCCATCAAGGAAATCCAAGCGCGTGGTGCTGAGAGCACGACAGAGGAAGAACAGCAGAAGCCTGAGGCTATGGATGAAACCCAAACATATGGTGCCGAGAACACGACAGAAGGAGACCAGGAGGAAGCTGAGGCCGAGCACGAATACTGGGCTCGCGTAAGAACCCTCCCGAGGTCATCGCTTAAGCATCTATCAGTTCCACATCTCGCCAACAGCGCTGGCTCTGATGACGTCTACCGGCCAAATGAGTGGCGGCATGACCGCTGGTTCGATTCGTTGGCAGAAGGATCGGACGAAGGTTCCGACAGTGAGGATGAAGAAGACGTCGAGGTCCACGGCGGAAAGGAGACATACTTTGAAATCCACAAGGGACTGTTCGACAGAGGCGATCAACCTGGTCTCGATTACGAGCTGGCAGCTGGACCTCGTCCTCGCATCCAAAGCGAACACGATGAAGACTTCTGGGCGTTGAGGAGAACCAGCAGTTGGGCCACGGACGACCTGAAGACCGGATGATTGCTGTGGCAGACCTAGTCACAACCTTCAGCACGCAAACGTCGTTGTCAGCCGCAGGCGCCTCGAAGACGCGTATGATGTCGTTGTAAGCTTGGTGGGAGGTCCATCAAAGCGGCATGTCACTCACTTCCCACGCCTGCAAAGTGCCTGGTCGATGGCGAATCAAGCGGCCAAGCATAAGTCATTCTGCCGCGCCGAAGTTAGCAGGACAATGAGTCACAGGAGTTATGGGGGTATCAAACACGATCCTGTGTGCATCGTATGCGGTCGTGTAGGTAGCAGATCAGTACTGCACTTAGCCAAATGATAGCTGAGCCCGATCCAATGAAATACGCCTGGGGCTGCTGAATTCAGTGCAGCGAGTTGTGCAAGATGTAGTATGATGCTTTGTGACTTTGTAACCCGTCCGTCGCGCGACGAAGCCCGCCCGGCAGGTAGCCTGGGCGCCAATCATTGCCATGCCGCCCCCCTTTTCTTCCTAAGGACGAGCGCCGGAGATTATTGTCTACGCCCGGGCATCGTGAATGCCTACGTCAATCTTCCAGGACAAAATTATCCTGACGACTTCGACGGACTGCATTTCTAGTCCCGCACGGTTGTTCACGTCGCCCGCGCCTTTCGCTCGTTTGTGTCAGTATGTCCATAGTATCCAAACATGCCGGGGTGCGGGTCTTGATAACACGTCGCGGTGTATGTACCTGTACATGGCGTGGCGAGGGTCCGAATGCTTCGAGTACTCATCAGCGCCGGACCTTTTTGACCACGCCAGGCTCCCGAGCCACGACGCTGCCCATCACAGGAGCTGGGCCTCCGCCGTCGGCGCCGCAACCTAAATCGTTGAGCAATGCAGAACGCGTGGCTGGTCACCGGCGGAAAGCTGCTCTGCTCGAGGCAGCCAAGGAGATCCGACAGCAGCAGGATAAGCCAACCACAAAGTCAACATCGCCTCTCAAACGACGCTTCTGGCAGTCGGTTTACGTCAAAGAGACGCCCGAAGGCTATCAGATAATGCTAGACAAGCGGCCGGTGCGAACACCAACCAAGAATGTCATTTCCATACCGCTTTCGAAGCCGACTCTGGCTCACGCTATTGCAATAGAGTGGGATTTGCTGAGTTCGGCACAAGAGGCACTCAAGAATCATAAGATCCCAATGACTTCTATAGTCTCGAGGGCACATGACATACTCGAAGCAGATACCACAATTGGGCCAAACAATGATGTCCGAGCGCAAATACAATCAACCATGTTGAGATATCTTGATACCGACACTCTCCTCTGCTGGGCGCCCGTGCGCTCGTCGATCGAGTCAACTTATGGGCCAACCACGCCAGCGCCAGAAGACGGTTCGCCTAAGCGCAGTCTCAGAGACTTGCAGATGGAAACCGCGAAGCCCATAATAGCGTTCTTGACCGGCTCCATATGGCCTGGCATTTCGATCATTCCCACACTGGACCCCGACAGCATCATTCCCACTCAGCAGTCGGAAGTCACACGGTCGGTCATCTCCGGATGGATTGCAGGTCTGCCCGCCTACGAGCTGGCTGCCCTGGAACGAGCCGCTCTGGCTACAAAGAGTCTGCTCGTTGGCGCTAGACTAATTGTGGAGTGGAGCGAAGAGTTCAGGCACTTACAGCAGAGTTCAGAGTCTACGACTATGGAGACTATTTCGACTGCAGCTGGTGGTAGTCAAGCTGCAATCAACAGCGCAGATCAACGCTTCGGCGTTGAGTCTGCTGCTCAAGCTGCAAGCCTGGAGGTGTCATGGCAGACAGCTATTTATGGAGAGGTCGAGGACACTCATGATGTTGAGAAAGAGGATGTGCGAAGGCAGCTCGGAAGTGCTGTGCTGATGGTCAGCGGGCATGGCCCGGGCTCGACAAGAAGGTAATGCTCATCATGCAGCGAACTACACCTGGATGACAAATCCTACCTTTTCAACATTTTGTAGACTTCTGTTCTTCTGCAGCTTTTTGGTCCTCCAGCATTTCCCTTGCCAATGTAGCAGAGCACTGCATTTGAGGTTGCTGTACGCAGGAGACATGCACAGACATGCTTGGTTGACGGATGGGATGATTCTAGCTTCAGCAGCCCTTCCTGACACGGCCGCGGGAGTCCGTGATGTTGACCACCCTGCGAATCGTTATTTGCTCGGATCTCGCACAGGCTGAAATACAGACTCCTCAAATCTTGCGCCAAGAAGTCCGATTCGACCATTGAGAATATCAGGCACACCAGGGGGCCTGCTATTCCAGCAGGTAAGTTGCGAGTACCGACAGGGTCTCGGCACTCTACTCGTCGCTAGCTTACGACGTATATTGAGATGCTGATCACAATAGTAGGAGCATCCTGCAGTGTTAACAAAACTCAGAGTGGCTTACCCTACCTTCTTCAAGCAGAACTGGATACCTCTTGAGTTGAATCTCAAAGATTTATCTCGCGACGTGGTCATAACAATGTCTGAGCGTACGGACTTGCAGCACGACCTGCCCAAGGCGGCACTTCCCAGACTCGCATTGGCCAATGGTCTCCGCGCCGACGATGTCAATGCGTCAAGTATTGCGGCCGCATGGATCTCGCAATTGAACGACTACTTACAGGGCGGCTCTTCGGCTGATTTGACAAAGCTTTTTCATGAGGAAAGTTGGTGGCGAGACATTTTGGCGATGAGCTGGGACACTAGAGCTATCAAAGGGCCGTCGTCAATCGCCAAGTATCTTGAGACTTTTGACCATGGCCTGAAAAGGCTCACGTTGTCCAGCACGGGAATGTTACAACCACGATTAATGGACCAGGGCGTCCTCTGGATTTCGGCTGGATTCAACTTTGAGACCAGGTTCGGTGTTGGGCGAGGTGTCGTTATGTTGGTCAATACCGACACAGATGAGTGGAAAGCATGGGTTTTCCACACCATTCTCGAAAAGCTTCACGAGAAACAGGAAGAGCAGCCTTCTTCCAAGCTGTCAAATGGCCACACAACCAACGGCGAGACTATGAAGGACTCCTCCTTCGACCACACCGTCATTGTCGTAGGCGGCGGCTCAAGTGGCCTCATGGTTGCGGCACAATTACGCGCCCGCAACATCGACTATATCGTACTCGAGAAGTTCTCGGAGCCGGGCGGCATGTGGCACAGCCGCTACGACACCGTCGCCACACATACACCAAGTTATATGGACGTCTATCCCTCGTTGAAATACCCGGAAGATTTCCCTGACTGGCCAGCACGCAAGGATGTTATCAAGTGGATGCACACATACGTTCGTGAACTCAAGCTGAATATCCGACACAACGTCACCGTGACCTCCGTTGCCCGCTCATCTAGCTCTGCGAAGACCAGGTGGCAAATCCAGCTCACCGACAACACTTCGAAAGATACCTCCGTCCTGACGTGTCGCCACGTCGTCCTCACGACTGGTATCTTCAACGCCTCAATGCCCAAACTCCTCAGCCTCCCCTCCCAGTCGCGATTCAAGGGCAAAGTATACCACAGCGTCAAACACACCACCGCACCAGCATGGTACCCTCCCCTCTCTCCATCACCAACGCCCGCGTGGTCATCATCGGCACCGGCAGCACAGGCTACGACATCGCCGCCGACTACGTCTCGCATGGCGCGAAATCGGTCACGGTCGTTCAGCGCACACCCACATTCAACGTGTCCCGCGAGACGGCACGAAAGTTGCACTTTGCGCCTTACAATCCCGCGCTCGGTGGCAACGCCGACCAAGCAGACGTCTTGATGAACGCCATGGCGATACCAGTCCTGCGATCTGTGGGTGTGGGCATGGCGCAGGTGGCGGCGGCGATGGACAAAGAACTGCTGGACGGCTCAGAGGCGAAGGGCGTGCAGGTCAAGAGAGGGGATGATGGAGATGGGTTTCCGGATTGGTTGCTGATTCGGCTAGGTGGGTTCTATCTAGATCAGGGCGCGAATCAGTTGATTTTGGATGGGAAGATCAAATTTCGGGCTGCTGGGAAGCAAGGAGTGCTGGACGTTGACGAGCGGGGTGTGGTCTTCGAAGGCAAAGACGGAGGGACAGAAGTGGTGGGTGCGGATATTGTGGTACTCGCGACTGGGTTCGCGAGGGCGGATCAAATCGTTGACATGCTGATGACGGATAACGAGGATCGGAAAACGTTGGGGCAGATTGGATCTGTTGATAAGGAGGGAGAACGGATAGGTGTAAGTCTCTACGATTCGAGTAATTTGCCTGCCGGAGTCGCTCCCTTCCAAGGATTGCCTGTCATAAATTCACAATGCTGACTCTTCTTCCTTGTAGTGCTCACGCCCGTCAGGTGTACCCGGATAGTGGTATATGTTCGGGTCACAGGCGATGGCGCGATAGTACTCTGGTATAACAGCACTGCAGATTGAGGCGCTTGAGCGAGGATTGAATCCGGAGTACTGGCAACAATGAAGTCGAGCATTCATGGACGATGTCGATTTTGGGGCCTAGTCGCGTGCGAACTTGACTCGCTCAAAGCGATAACGAGGACGGCTTGTTGCAGGAGTTGGCACGAGTCCAAAGGAGGGCCCTTCGTTACCCGGATTCGAGATATCTGTGGACAAGCCTAGTAAAGACTAAAGGCGCGCCGGGTGACCAGTCTTATGTGAGACCGGATGACCCTGGCAGTAGAGCTCGGGGGAGACCGGATGACGCTCAAAATCGGAGTAGTGTAGACGAGAACCCAGAACATATATTTGTCGGACGGGTAGACGTACGAAGTACTTGGGCCTCGCTGGGTAGACGCCTAGATTTGGGGTGGCTCGCGCCTAGCGGCATCCCTGAAGGACCGGTTCCTCGCCCTACCATTCACTGCAGCGCCTGCATATTTAGCTTCAACCGGTTGACAGGGTCGGGAAAGACATCGAAGACCGGCTGACAGCACCTTCGACAGCTATATTGCCTTGCGTACCAATCTAGGGAACCCTGTCTAAAATTCCTCCTACTACTGTGTGGTGACGATAGCCACGGTGAACAGACAAGTCAGCTTCCAACATCCCTGAGTCCTTTCAGGCAGTGTGCAGCCAGATCTTCATCAGATACTGGTTTCAGCGTCCAAGGCCACTCCTTCTCATAGCGATCTTTCGCATTGAGCCAGTCCCACCAGTGATCGAGCACGCGCATCACTCTCGAGTCTTTGAGATCACTATTGTTGCTGGCCTCGAACTCAAACCACTCCCGATGTCGTATCTGCCTCTTGTTTTTCGCGGGCTTCAGGCAAAGGCAGTTTTCCAGAATCTTGCGTTCCAATCGCAGCTCTGTATGAACAAGGGCTTCAAGGCGCCTAGCGTAACATGACGCTCGAGGATCAGGTTGACGCCCCTCATCAGGATTGGCATCCCATTCATTCACTTTGCACACGTTTCTCAGTGACTGCAGGCGAGTCTCAGACGCTAGTTCCTGCGAGAAGCCAATCTTGAAGTAGGAACGGAGCCTGTATCGCTTGTGGAATACATATATTGACCCAGGGTCGCGATCGCGCTCCCCCAGCGGCGTATGCACCATGGTGAGAAGGTGTGCCAGAGGTGAGAGATACCTCACTTGCTGGGGCAGCGTGTATGGTTTGAACGACGGCATCCAGGTCCCAGACTCACTCTCACGTCCGACCGAGGATGCTATGTGCAGTGGGGCTTGTAACTCAGCAGCTACCTTGGCGAGCCACAAGAGAAATATCCGAGTGACATGCTCCGGGACGAGCCGCGGCAGCGGAGGCGTGGGTAGAGAAAGTCGTCGTAATTGGTGACGGGTACATGACTGAACGTCGATGAGCCTGAGATATGCCGTAGTGTCTCATTCGTCTCGTTCGAGCCATCTTGTTCCTCCAATGCAGCCAATAACGAGGCGAGACAGATCTTAGTCCAGGGGACTGGGCTGCCACACAGGTTGCGTTTGGCGGCCATTGAGCAGGTCCTACGATTTTCCAGCCAGCTGAGTACATTGATTGAGATGACCTTCCCAAGGCTGGAGACGTGCATTGGGGCATTTGATGTGGCTCTGTGTGGTTCACTGGGTTGAGGTAGTGGTTGTGCAGTCGTAGTCGCTCCGAGCAAGCCAGTCGTGCTGTTTTGACTATTGCCGGCATTGCTGTAATGCCGCATGTCTGGCGTAGTATACGATATTGGCCACGCACCAGGCATCGGCAGACATTCATACGGGTCGTCTTCGAGCAGATAAGGTGCTTGATCTCCATGAAATTCGTGGTCGGACTGTTCTGAAGCGCGAATCAGGGATGGGTTGGCAACGAGATGTTTGTGGAACTGCCTCCCGTCCTCATGGAGAGGGATGATTCCGATCCTGACATGGCTGGCATTGCTCTGGTCCTGCGAGAGTATGCTATGTGGCACACGTGTTGTCTTTGTTGGTGTGACAGGACTTCGGCGCTCTGCGAAGTCAGGTGTTGTGGGCATGTATGCATCTTCATCACTGATGCTGGAGGAGGGGGTCAATGCTGGTGTGGCAGCCGGTGTAGCAAGTCCCTTTGGCTTAGGACGTGCATCACGGCTCTGACCGTAACGGCTTGGGCTACGAGCATTCTGGCTGAGATCTAATCGCCTTCTCATGGGCGTATGCAACGCCATGGAGAGCTTCTGAAGTTGAAAAAACAATGCGGTCGTGCACCTGCTCCGAGAAGATTGCACCTCTCGTACTTGTAGTTGGGGGAAGTTGATCCATGTACACAGCCTCCGTCGAATGAGCTTACCTCGCCGAGTACTCCAGCGTTATAGCCACCAGTGCTGGCCAATGAGGTCGCAGGTGTTTTGGTCACTGCAAAAGAACCCGAACGGCTCGAGACACGGCCGGCGCGTCCCGAGGCCAGGGATCCGAACATGCTCTATACTCTGTCGAGGTAGCTCCCTGGTGGTCGAATAGCTCAGAGAAGTACCTACAGCGTTGGGAGACGCGAAGTCCCTAGTCGTTCTCCGGGGCTGGTGCGTTAGAGTAGGTCGGAGAGTGCATCGAGCCACCAGGCTGGCGTCGAAACGAGAGCTTTTTACTCGCGGCCACTGCCGGAGCCTTCAAGAACGGGAACATTTGCACTGGGTGTTCGCAGAACCTTACTCGCCGCCTTCGGTCGTGCAGCGGACTATTGTTTCCGAACCTTGTCTGCCGCACTTGGTCGCCTCGCGTAACGCCTAGACCACACGGCCGGGTCTCGAAGCTACGACGGTTCGAGGCTCGACATAATGTGCTGTACTGCTTCCGCGTTGATGGAAGCATCGTCTCGCATATGGAATTTGGTGCAGCAACGACCCTTCCAGCTATGAGCTTACCTAGATAATGAGCAGGAACGGGAAGTCAGATCTTCATGCCGCAGACAAGCCATCATCCTCGTCAGAGACCCTGGTCGCACTCCATGTAACCATTGCCAGTCTTAAGCTAGCTGGCGTCTAGCTACTGGAAAGCGCCGCCCCAGTTCCGACCGCAGCTCAGGAATCGAAAGGGGAAATGAAGTCACTTCGAGTTTCAAGTTCAGGCAATTAGAGTTTCGCGTCAAGCCGCTCGCCCAACGTTGGGCAGACTGAAGATCGTACTGTGGTGCATCGACGGCTCAAGAATGTCGTGGGAGCGGGTGATCTGGATCATTTGCGACCAGATGGACTCGAGGCAGTCAGTGCAAAGCACGACGGTATTGCTCGTAGTTGTTGACTGCATTTCGGCAGCAGGCATGAAATTCAGTATGGAAATGCGTGTGTTCCGATGCGGCAGGTGGACTTCCCGAAACAGACTTTCATCGGGTCCGCAACACACAGCAACACAGGGCAACAACGCCTAGAGTTTTGGTGCTTCACTCCAAATACCCTCCATCTGTAGCATCGTCTGTGTTGTCTCTTTCACCGCAATTTGCTCGCATGGTGGCAGAAGCACATACGACAGAGAGATTGGACCAATATTTCAACATAGAGACCGGAAATCGAGAAGCGGCAAACAGCGCAGTTGCACGAACGCAAGACAGTACGGAAGACATGCAGCCCATCGATTCGAGCGGCATTGCTTAGGGCTTGTAAGATTTTCCTATTTTTTATCCAGGTTTCCATATTTTCTCACTCAATCACCATATGACATACAGAGTCATGAGCTGTACTAATGCCCAGCGGCGGCATGTCGCTGCTTCCCATCATGTCCTGTCGTTCTTCTCGTAGCCGTCGTGGTCTGCAGGTCACCTGAATTCTGGTGCTGCCGTCTTGTTCTGGAGTCGGCGCAAGCGATGACCCAGTATTTCGTTGGGAGTCTCGTGTTTCTCCGAGGCGATTATTGTCGCCCAACATCATTATTTGATGGTCGAGTAACTCCGACCATACATGGCAATCTCTGCGATTTTTCAAATCTGCAAGCCTTCCCCGGAACGCATCAACGCGCGCAAGTGGCGATCCTTGCTGGCATGCCCGAAGCATGCACACAGCGAGCGTTGACCGCAGGAGTATTATGTTGAAAGCGAGCATGCTTGGTTGGAGGTCGAATTGTTTTCGAGTAATTGAATGTATCCATCCCAACCTCGGCGTAACGGCTCGAGGAGTGGTAGCATCCGTGATGACCGCTGTGTACAACGCATCCCCGAGTTGAATGCGTTCAAGCCGGAGCGATTGTTACAGTTGCGGCTGGCGTGGGTGTAGTAGTACCATTAGCAGTCTTCTGCCGCTTGGTATCTGGTCCCGCCGAGACGCCATTGGAGTCGTCGTTCGGTCGCTTGGCATCTGGTCCAGTGGAAGCGCCGTTCGCATCGCCGTTCGGTCGAGCCAGAGGCTTTTTCTTAGGCGGCCTAGCTGGCTTCACCTCACCCTTAGCCTTGTCGAATAGATCATCAGGCAGCTCGTGTGCCCTCACGGGGACCGCGTCAAGGAAATGAATATTTGCATCGTAGTCCTGCCAGCCCTGGCAAACTCCTTTGAAGTACGAAATCGCCGCGGAGATGTTGAGATTCTTTTGGGCGGAGGGCGTCAGATCGATTCCGATGTAGAAAGTATGTGTATGGAAATTGCCTCCGCTCGGAGGTTCTTCGGCTCCGCTGGCACCGACTGCATTGCCGTTCGCTGCCAAATCCGGTTGGTGTTCTCAATAGCCTTGGTCTCCTCGACTTTATGCTGCATTTGACCTTTTCGAACCTCTGTTCTTTGACCTTCGTCCGCACAGCGATGTGCACGAGCGAAGCCTTTGACGTATGGCCGCGCAAGACTGATTTGGTCCTTGATCAGCTCTAGTTGTCCCACCAGAATTCGAATTTTAGACTCGACGAGCCCACTCCACGCTTTGATATCATCTTTGCCCTTGCAGGAAGCGATGACACTGAGGTAATACTTGTGGTCCTTGGTGAAGAATGTGTGCTTCTCAAAGAGGTCACTCCACTTCCCGGCGCCGAAGAAAATGTTGTTGGTGATCTTCGCACCACGTTCGAGCTCTCGGAGTATGACGGTCTTATTCGACTGTGATATGTTGTAGGTAGCACACATGGAAGGATAGGCTGGCGTAATGATCGGCATGAGATTCTTGCGGTCGCCGTTGTAGAGAGCAGGATTCCACACCTTGTCATTGCCTTTTTGTGGCTCGATGTCTTTGAGGAGCACAGGTTGAGGCCACTTCCAGTCCTTCATGATGAAAAAGAATTTGCTGACAATTGTCGCTCCGATCGCATGTGGATAGAACTGACAGACGCGAGCAACTAGCATGGCCCACGCGACACCACCGGGAAAGCCGACGATATTGGCGTAGATTGCTCTCCGTTGAGCCCAGAGCTTGATCGCCCTCAGTGCTGTGCGGAAAGTTTTGGCCTCGGGGACCAGGCGAAGTATCTCGTCCGTGACTCGGGGCCCCGTGACAGCACGTACTGTTGCTTGATCCATTCCATCCAGCAACTTGTTGTCGCTCAAATTCAGGGTCTTGTCGACTGATTCTAGTCCATTGATTGAAGCGAATATCAAGTCTATTTCGATCCCATAAAGTTGGAGCTTGATGATGGGCACGAAGGCATCGTGGACTGGCACGAGAAAGCCAATAGCGTCCTCTGTCACCAATCGGCGCAGGGTGTCCGGGAAGTGCTTGAAGAAGTCGTCACGTGTGATATGTCGAGGAGCAACAGCGAGGGTGTCTATGTCGGAGCCAGGACCATACACGCCTAGGCGATAGCTTCCATACGCAACTATCTTGCCTCCATACTTCTCGACCTGTTGCGGAGAGTGTTGCTTGCCGAGCGCAACGTGTTTGACGAATTCAATGAGGCATCTCTGCAGCAGAGCCAGCGTCGACATGCGCTTCTTGGTCGCTTCTTGTGTCTCGTAGTTGTTCTCTCTCTTCAACTCCTCGATAAGTTCGGCGTTCTTCTCGATGTCCTTCTGCTCGGGGAGCGCTACCGACATGGGAGGCGTAATGCCATACTGCTTCGTTGTGGTGGCCATGGTCGCGCAATAGGACCGCTACAGCCTGATATAAACACAGTCGAATCGAGCCGTAATGGGAGTCTCCGCGGATTTCGCTGGTCTTACAGGGCTCGCAGGAAGATCGAGCCGGCCACGAAGTCGTTTGAAAGAATCTCGAAAAAGCAACCCAAACTCCAGAGGAACAGCCGAAAGAGAAAGAGTAAAATTAACACTTGCCGAAGGAAAGAAGGCGAAGATCCATCGGAAGAAGCGTCACAAGCCTACTGCCACGGGTACTTGAGCGTCAACGATGTCATTCTGTCGCTTCACGAAGTAAATTGTGACAGAACACTTCTCGCCGAGGCTAGAGCTCAGCCTCGTCACCCGCTTACGTCGAACTTCGTTTCTGTTTTCGTTTGTTCAATCTCCAACTCCTTCTAATCGACTATCTCAATCACTCCCATCACCCGTCGCGGCGCGGCGCTGACTCGAAGTACTTGGCCAGTCTCTCATCGAGCCATTTCACGTCGTCCATGTTACCCGGAGGCCCACCTGCCCAATGGCCCCAGATCGTGGGATATATGTCAAGCTCGCCGACACCAGGCGACATGTTCTGCACCTCGATCTCAGAGTCCTCGGGCCTAACGCATATCAGTCGCCTCATCATCATTGTCAATTTCGTACTCACGGAAAGTAAAGGTCGGTTTTGGCCGGCAGCACCAGTGTTTTCGCTTTGATTGCTTTCATAGCTGCCTCGAAATTACCATTGTATGGCTCCTGCTTAGAGACATCGCCTGCCTGCCAAGTGTGCAGCATGACCTTCGAAAGCGTCAACGTGGTGCGCTCAGCAAGCGAGATCATCGCCAATCAGGTAGGGAGGTTTTGTGGGTTGCTCACCAGTAGGTTCTCCGGGTCCTTCTGCAGCCAGTATCCCTCCCAAAACGTGACCATAAAGTCTTCAAGGTCTTTCGCGCCATAATACTTCTCATGCAGTTTCTCGCGATAAAATGATTGCGAGAAACCCCATCCGGCATAGCCTCTGCCGAACGCTTTGAGACCAACGGTTCTTTCCTCTTCGGTCCACTTCCTAACTTCCGACCCTTTGGTCTCAACTCTTCCAAACGTCGAGCCTGCCGAGGAAGTCTTCTTCGCTGCCAGCAAAGCCGACTTGACGCCTTCAAGAAATACCTGATTGTGCAAGGAGGTTTTCGCTGAGCCACAAAAGGGTACACAAATGTCCATGAAATCTGGATACTGCGTCGCCCACTGGAAGGACTGGCCTTCTCGCTGTCAGCTCGTTGATCAAGCGGGTCCGATGACCAAGGGCAGTCGAGGAGTGCGGACACAGGGAGACTTACCGGCTCCCATACTCCAGCCAGTGACGGCCCGAAGATGCTTGATACCAAGTCCTTGCGTCAACAGCTGGTGCCTGTGATCAACATCAACTGAGTGGCGCGATATAAAATAGACACGAGCACTCACTGTGCTCTGACATTGTCATAGAACGTCACTTTTGGAAAAGGAGCAATATCCGAATTGGATGGCGAGATCGATTCGGAGTTTCCAAACAAAGCCGTGATGATGATGAAGTACTTCTTCGGGTTCAGGGTCATTTTCTCGCCAATGAGCCACTCGTTGTCCTTGATTAGGCCAGAGTACCATGAAGGGTACAAAACAGCTGGCAAGCTCTTGTCGCCGAATGTCTTGTAGGCTATCCATGCCCCGGGTAAAGAGTCACCACCTTGCAGCTTGAAGTCGCCGAGATCATATTTCTGCACGCCTTCGGTCATGATGGCTACCTTGATCGGAAAGGGGACTATAACGGACTATGCTGTAAGGTCAAGCTTATCTTGCGGTTTGGAATACCAGAAATATGTATGTGTGAGATCAACTGCCTAGTAGCTACGTAACCGTACCTCGTACCTAGCTTCCCCGCAAGCGCGGATGTCCTACTGTGTCAGGTAATTACTTCACAGTGGTCTAGACCGACCCACCAAGGCAATCTGATCTGGGGAACGGGTCCCAGGCGCCACGTGCTTAGAGGCATATGGGACGATCGGCTTCGCATCAGCCCTTTCATCGCCTCGGGAGAGCTCGCTTTGATGCGCGGTTTCTGCCAGCCGAGAAGATGGACTATCACACCGGGGCGGACTCTAAGGCATTGCGTTGACAGCATACATGTATGTTACCTGCTTCGGTGTGTTGACTCATGGTAGCATTCACGGCAGGTGAGCAGCTCTCGAGTCTGCTTGCTGATGCCCGCTCATTACGTCTATCCGAAGCCTTCAAGTCTACTGACTACACCCTCCATCGTCCGAACAAAGTCCTCCCAGGACCACCAGCGAAAGCATTTCAACCGCGTGAATGCTTCTACGAGAACTGTTATCCCGGCAATTCTGCTCCCGCACAGCATCACTGTCCATCAACCTTGGGCTTCACAATGCCCTCGTCTAGCTTCCCTTTCTTCACCTCCTCCTTGAGAACTGGCCGCGGTATCTCGAAACCATCCGTGACCCTCGCATAGCTGATGCCACCCAGTCTCGCTATTGGTCGCAACACAGCGGGATCAATCAGATTCCTGTCCTCGTTGATGGCGTCCTCCCTAACCCAAAACTTCAACCCCTCAACTACCGCCAATGTCCCTGTGGTCTTGCCCTTCTCCCGCTTGCTCTCAAACTCCTGTGTGTTCATGAGCTTCCCCTCGATACTGAACACACTCTCCAGAACCCGCTTCGGCTTGACGATCGATGTATCTGCTGGCGTGAGACCGCTGACACTCCACTCCGACTGACCGTACGGCAGATCGATCGCGCAGGCATTTGCCGCCTCAACGAAGTCTTCGGAGATGATGTTGATGCAGCACTCCCCTGTCTTGAGTAGGTTGTCGAGCGTATCTTTGGCTGCCGAAATGCCGCCGTTGAAGCCTAATATGAAAACTGGTGGATCGTGGTTCACAAAATTGAAGTAGCTGAAAGGTGCTAGATTGGTCGAGCTGCCGTCGGGCGAGCAGGTCGACACGAATCCGATCGGTCGAGGAATAATGCCGGAGATGAGGAGTCTGTCGGGGTAGCGGTGGTGGTCAGCTGAGCGGCCTTCATCGTATCCGGATATACCGTACGAACAGTAACAACACTAGACGCAGACTTACTTATAGTTGAAGACAGGTGGCCGGCTCGTGTCGCTGGGGTCAATCTCTACATGCTTGGCAGACGACTTCCTGGTCGCGCCGGATCCATATTGCCAATTTGGATCCCTAGTCTTGGTGAAGTGGAAAGATTCGGCCTCGTCCCAGTCCGGTCGAGATGCTTGTACTTTGTCGAACTGTACACATGTGTCAACGCCTGCTGGGACTAGTCAATTAGCTATGGACTATAGCTGCCTACATCAGGATGTGGATTGCGTCGGACCGTTGACTCTCGATCCGCCATATCTTTTGCCTGCCCCGACTCTGCTTTCGGGGACGAAGGCATGTTCGACGATGTGAATCTTCTGCTTGCACTTGTATTCGTCCCAGCGGCAGAGCCTTCCCGATGCCCTGTATTGGAGCGCTGACAGCTTTAGATCGTCTATGTATAAGACAAAGGACCGCGGCACTTGTTCTGAAATATGTTTATCGATCAAAACATTTCTAAGCGTGGCGTGGCGTGGCGTGTATCATGAATATAGACACTTGGCCGTGTACCATTTTTGATTTGACGTCACTTACATAACGTGGTTGAGAGTGTCGTCGTGGAGATCTTAGGAAGATCTCTCCTGTGTCGACGCCACTATGGCAGCAGAAGCCACTTCACTGAGTCGGGTCTCATGGTTAGCTGTCTACGCAAGGTCATCGAGACCTTCACTAGGATGACTTATCAACGCGAAGCCTTAACCGCGTAGCAAACGATGGCGCCTTCAACGGTCTTCGAGAAATGAGCTTGGAGAACGCCTAATTCCGCAGCCAAGCCTTAATCTTGATGTGCTTTATATGTTAGCATATTGAAAATTTTGCTCTAAATGTGCACACACATTCGACACTCCGGACGGTGAGATGGCCGAGTGGTTATGGCGCTAGTTTCAGGAATACCTGGAGCCTTCGCTTTCTGGTTGAAAGTACTAGTGGGTGTACGTAAAACCATCCTACAGTACCCTCAAGAGCACTACTGACAATTTCCTTTAGAAAACCGCGTGGGTTCGAGTCCCACTCTCATCAAACAGTCGAGTTGTTCTTTTTGCTTTTTACACGACGTACGGTCTTTCGTGTGGACGAGTAAATCGTTGGTGGGGAGATTGTAGTTGAAGGCCAATCCGGTGACTCGAGGTCGCTTAGGCATTGGAGATACAGGCATGACAGCCACACACATGTACGAATCAGCAACTGATGCTGAGCATTACGGCCATTCCGGTGCATGAAGTCAACGAAAAATGGCATCAAGCAGCGTATTCAACAACAGATTTAGGAAGGACCGGGAGCCTCACCAGAAGCCCGTGGCGAACTCTGGCTCAACGTCAGGAGTCAGGCTGTAGGCGTGATCGAAAGCATTCGATCTCGAGATCTCCTTCGAGACATCAAAGTACGCCGACGATGCATACACACATTAAAGAACGGACTATTACTTTTAATACAGCGTGATCCTCCAGCTTACTGGACAAGGGGCATTCAGCACGAAGCTCTCATGGGCAGCATCCAGCACAACGCAATAAGGACGGTAGGCCCATTCACTCGTTCGCCGCAATCCGAATGACGAAACAATTCATAGTGCGTCATGCGGCATCGGCGTGGTCGACGGACCTTGAAATGGATGGGGTAAGAGGCTCGAAGAACGAATTCTTGCTACCAATCTGATACATATGTTTGCTAGGTTGGGGTGACCGAGGTAGGCAGTCAAGGTCTCCCGTGACCTCCACGACCTGCTCTGACAGATCCTCAACTGGAACCAACCTGCTCACCGGCAATAAGAATCGGCTGCGAGTTGGTGAAATTCGGGATATCACCGAAGATCTTAGGTGCCTTCTCGCCAGTCTGGTCGAAGCATTAGCCAGGGTTTCCGGAGGCAACAATCTATGCAGCCGTAGCCGGTAGGGTGGCTCCTCCATGCTCGGACGATAACTCACCATTGCCTTTCCTGCATGGTCCTGGGATGTGAAGGTCAGGGTGGCGCCGATGGAGTATTGAGGCTTCGATCCATCTGGGCCGGGCTTGAACTCGTTGACCTTCCATGACTCAAGGCCGTCGGTTTTCCATGAAGACTGTATGAAGGGTCAGGATCAGGTATTGATCGTGAGGCGTGTAGCGAGGAGCTCAGTGTGGACGTACCTGGACAAGAGGCATGTGCGTGTCGAGGTAGTACTTCAGGTCGAACTTGGAGTCGTCGTTATTGGGATAGAGAACAATCACGTTGTATGTCATGTTTGCTGAAGGCTGTTGGAGATCAGGCAGTGAATGCAGTTTCTGGTGGGCAACGCTTCTGATGTCGGTGGACGGTATTCACTTTAGTCTGGCTGGATATCGAGCATCGCCTGGAGGCGAGCCAGCTTTTATGTAGTCCTCACATGGTTCAGAGACGGACGGAAGGAGGGGCATCTAGCGTCGGTTGCATGAAGTCACAGAGTCAACTTTCATCGACGCGGTCTCCCCGCAGCGGACCCCTCACGGGCGCAATGCTATCAGAGCTGTATTAGTGCTCTCAGCGTGCAGTGCGGCAGAGTCGCAAGGGTCGGGCTATGGCGTCAAGCACGGAATAGTACTAGACTCCGAAACCGCTGGTCTAGATGTCGTCTACCAAGGCATTGTGAGCGACTCGTTGTCAGGACACGACTCGTAAGCAGACCAGATGTTGTGACCTGCGGATCTGCCGAGGTTTACAGCTCCGATGACAAACGGGACATACCGTACGCTATGCCGACTACCACACTAGGCGTTGCGAATATATTCCTTGGCTGGCTGAGATTATTTCTCAGCTCCCCTATAGTATCATCATCTCGTTCAATGTTGCACAGAGGTTGTCGATGGCGACCCTGCTTTGACATCCTGCCGGAGAGCCATCCAGATCGGCTGGAGACCGTGTCAGCGCTTCCTCTGCTTCTGCTTGTTGATCCATTCGCCCATGAGAGCTCGTGGCTCGGTCCCACCAGTGCTGTACGCATCAGCAAAGACATCGATGCTATTCAGCAATCCTTCCTGGAATGGCATTTCTTCCCAGGCAGTAAATAGCCTCTTCTGAGCACGCATAGCCTCTGCTCCGTGAGCTGATAGAATACCAAGATCCCGTTGCACCATATCCTCCAACTCCTCGGGTCCTGCAGCCAAATCGTCAACTAGCCCTTTGCTTCTTGCTGCCTGACCGTCAAGCTTGTTGGCAAACATCATCAGCTTTCTAGCTTCTTGCCAACCCATGATATTCACAAGCGATCTGGCGTGGACTACGCTGGGAATGCCAATTTCGACTTCTGGCATAGCGAAGAGCGAGCGCTTGGTAGCTAGCCTGAAGTCACAGGCAGCCGCAATCTCGAGTCCAGCACCAAGACATAAGCCATCAATGGCAGCAATCACGGCGGCGGAATTATTCCTGATGGCTTCACAGACATCGTAGATTCTGGTGATGAACGCTCGAGCTTGCTCGGAAGTCTCGATACTTTGCATTTCGTGAATGTTTGCTCCCCCGCAGAAGCTGGGCGTGGTCTTCTCTGCGTGCTGTCCAGAGATGACTATGACACGTAGGTCATTCTGCGTCTCCAAGTGCTTGAATGCGCCCAAGAGCTCCTTGAGTGTCGCTGAGCTGGCGATGTTGAGTTTTCGAGAATTAGCGATTTCGACCCGGGCATATGTACCGCGACTGTTCCTCAGTTCGGAGACCGCGACCGTGATATGCTCGTACTTCGGATCCACAGAAGGCCGAGAAAGAGCTCCGCTGGAATTCGTCTGGAATCGAGCAGCGACTTTTACAGACCAACCATGGTGACAACCCCCCAGACCGACCCTTGGCAGCGGACTGGCCTGCCTGGTCCACGACCTGGACGTCCAAGACACTCTTTTGGTGCAAGAGGACGCCATCACTCAAGCGATCGCGGCAGACTAGCCTGGCATCGGCCAGTATTGTGCACCTAAGCCGAATCGCGGTGTGCTGTTGGCGACCGATACCATGAAGAAGAAGATATGTTATGATTCAGTCTTGAATCGGAGCAACTCGAGGAGCTGGAGTTGGAGATCGTCAAAAGACTGATTTTTGGAGATTAGTTACCTAGGTAAATCGGTGGTACGTACTCGCCGACCTGACTTCCTCGCCCTCATTTCTGGAGTCTCTTGTGCTCCTGCTCCAGTATCTTCGGTGCTTCGTCTTCAATCGAGTTCTGTTTCGGCGTCCACCCCAGGTATTTCCTGGCGCGCTCTGCCTTGCCTCTACTATTCAAACCCCACGATACGGCCTCGAATCCTGCTTGCTCAAGAGCTTCATCTTTTCCTAACGCACCTTCTTTTGCTTCGGGGATATATCCCAGTCGTGCGGCTTCTCGACCTATGTGACGAGCAAGGTCACCCCACACGTGCTCTCCGTTTTCGGTGAAGATGTAGCCTTTCGCACCCCAAAGCTCGGGGTTTTCGTCTTGTTGTGCCGCCTTCTCGGCCAACAGCAGGAACACCTCGCTCAGGTCCGCGACGTGAATACTGTTCCATCGTGCTTTGCCGTCACCAATGATAGGGATATATTTCTTCGTGAGCACCAGCTTTGCGAGTTCGTAGACCTGGCGGCCTCGACCAGCAACAGAACCACGACCTTTGCCCTGAGGGTATTAGTAAGAACTGTAGCAGTCCGCGATGGCTTACATAGATCGTTGGCGGACAGACTATGACTGTCTTCACAGCGTCGGCATGCTTGATGCCAGTTTCAAGGACGATTTTGTCGATGTTGCGATGGAAAGCCTCATCTGGTAACGAGGTCAACTCCTCGACACCGGATAGATCGTTGTACTCTTTGTCAGTCCATTTGCCAAGGCCAGCGAAGTCATCCTTCGAGTCTGTATATGTCAAGATACCGGTGCCCCCAGTGTGTAGCCAGTAGCCGGGCTTGTCGGAAGAATGCCCTTTCACAAGACCAGCAGCAATGGCTTTGGCAGCGCCTCGTGATCACTCGCGTCTGCAGCGTCTACAATCGTTAAAAATCGCATAGAAGTCGGCAGAAGAGCTTACGGAGGACAATGTCTGCCTTTGCTGCTTCTTCTTCGAGAATACTGCATGCTTCGAGATCGCCCAGCACAATCCTCACATTTGGGTAGGCTTCTTTGACAATCTTCGCTTTGTCCTCTGTACGAACCAAACATGTGTAGTCCCAGTCAGGGTGCTTTTCATGGAGTAGATGCAAGGCATCACCGGCAATATAGCCTGTAACTCCTGTTCTGTCAACAAGTCAGTTTGCTGTAGTCACAGGAATAGTTTCTTCTACAGGAAGACCTTTGGTGCCATCGCAGCTAGTCAGTGAAACCCGGAGGCTTGGTTCGCGTAAGGGAAAGTTGGTTGTTGGTGTTAAATTTCAGCGACCTACCAAGTTATAGACGTCTGAAACGGAGGCACTTCCAGATCGTGTGTGACGTAAGCGATCCGTCACGAGAAACTGCGGGTATCAAACAGTTCCGCCAAACAGCCGCCGCCGAAGGTATACCGAAAATTGAGATAAAATACTTGCGCTTCTATTTTGACCCCTCGCGCATGCTTCAGGAAGTATACTGTAGAATTGTTTGAAGCCCGTCCGAGATTGACATCGACGGCCCATTGTTGGTCGATTCTCTGCAAGATCGACGCAGGCCATGGCTGCTGGTAAAAGCTACGCTGCCAGCCACGCACATTACTAGCCAACAGCATGGTGCAGCCAGTCCCACCTGTCTGAGGTCTTTGTAGCCGTTCGGAATTATCGAAGACCGGACGACCGTGCTCCAGGGAAGTTCATTCGCAAAATGTCGACAGCAGACACCAATGTCCGCACTCTAAAAGCGCGTACGATGATGGCAAGCGGTGCTGCTGAAGTATCATTGACGACGAAAGAGACATGTTTTAAGGAGGAGCGTAAAGAATCTAAGAGAACGGTACGAGGTCCAGGAGAATGGTTCGAGTTCAGCGGGACATGCTAATTGACGCGTTCTGATTGGTTGATATTTTCCCCAGACGCGGGTCTACCTACCATCCCTAAGTTGAGTCCTCGATGCCTCGATCATGTCCCCGTGCAGCTGTCCGCCAGCACCGAACACTTCCTGTAGGTCTTAGTGTGATCACATCGGCCTGCTCCAAAGATGGCGCGACCTTCCAGTCGCCCTGCGGACCCGCAGGAGGCACCGCGCGGCTCAATTTCCTCAGTCCCTATGCACGAGATCGAGCCATCACCGGTCGACGAGGAAGAGGACCCGTTTGAGTCCCTTCCGCTCCCCGCAACAAGCAAGAAAACAGAGACCAGCAGCAACGGAACCAACTTCTTGGGTCTGACACCCTCAAGAACTGTACATCTCCTCTCATCGATACAAAAATATGCCACAGTTGGGCCTTCTCTATACCTCGCACTGCACTACACCAACACCGCACTCATCCCGCTCTTCACCCAGTCGCTGTCCAAGTCCGACAACCTCCTCCTTCTCACTCGACCCTACTACCAGTCGTTTCCGCTAGAGCCAGTCCTCATCTTCCTGCCCGTCATCACTCACGTTGCGTCCGGCATCGCTCTTCGAATCTACCGGCGTCGACAGAACGCAAAACGTCATGGCGCAGAAACGCACAACGAGCGGAGGAGCATACCGTGGCCGAAGCTGAGTCTGACATCTGCGCTGGGCTACGCGCTGTATCCTATGTTTGTGGCGCATGTGCTGGTGAACCGGATCACACCGCAGAAGGTCGAAGGTGGGTCGTCTGGTGTTGGACTGAGATACTTTGCCTATGGTGTGTCGCGGCATCCCTGGTTCGCGAATCTCGGATATGCGGCGATGTTGAGTGTGGCGAGTTGGCACTTTGTGGGTGGCGCGGCCAAGTACCTGAAGCTGTCTAGAGAGTACGTTACGGACGGTGGTGACTGGGGCGCGAGGAGACGGAGAAGGAGAGGATGGATCATCAACGCTATATCAGCTGCTGTAGCCGGTGCGTGGATCGCGGGAGGCTTGGGAGTCATTGGGCGGGCGAAGAACGGCGGCTGGCGGAGCTGGGAGACGGTCAACTGGGACAAGATCTACCAAGCTGTACCAGTGGTCGGAAAGTGGATGTGAAAGCTGGAGGATCATCGGTACCCTTTTAATTTCTCTGCTCGTCCAGAGACTCTAGAATCCTTTCTCAAAGCCTATCTCGGCAACTCGTCGTCACCCCACGAAGAAAGATTGCGGACGACGTCGCCAACGTTCGGCCAACCTCGACCACTCGAGTCACTCGGATCAGCCTCGAGACTGCTCCTGCTGACCATTTCAGGACCTAGCCATTCGACAACCTCCATCGCTGCGACCTTGATGTTCCTCAAATTGTCCTTGATCCTAGTCATTACTTTTGTTGTTTCATCCGTACCTCGAGCGCCCATCAGTCTGCCCATGCCCCTCATGTGCCACGTTGCAGGACCTTTGAACCCCAGACACATGATCGTGGTGAAGACCACCAGCTCCGTTTCCAACGCTGAGAGATGCGTGAAGTCGCTCAGATACAAGCCGTAGACCGTGAACTTTTCCATGAACTCGATGTCCTTGCTGTGAGCTCCGAAAGAGTCGAAGATCTTCGGCAACAACGGCCCATATATCGACTCGATGGTGCCCGTGCCTCGAGCGTGAATACCGGAAACTGTAAAATCTGTCCATTCAGGTGAGAGCTTGCTGGCCTTCGTGGCCGAGGCAGGATCGTCGTGACCATAATCTACGCAGTCGACCTTGGCGAGAGGAATGAGTGCACACAGCACTTGCGGCGCACCAACGAGCGTGACTTGCTTCAATAGGATGTCTCTGAAGCGAAGTGAGATCTGGAGGTTGGCTTCTCGGTTTGTGGAGAGGTGTTGGTATAGTGTGGCCAGGAGTTGCGGCTGGGTCGACTGGGCCAGAATCGCGGCGACGAGCAGATACCATGAGTCTTCTCCTAGCTCTTCTGGTATCAGGGCTTTTACCTTTTCGCAAAGATTGCCGAGGCCTGTGTCATCTTTGCTGGTCATGGTGGCAGAACGAGAAAAATGAGGTGGGCGGAGAGCACGCAAGCCCGTCGAGAATCTGCAAATGCTACTATTGTTCGGTGAATTGATCCTTGGAACGGCGGCAGAAGAGAGTCTGATGTGCTTGAAGGTGAGAACAAATCTTGTTCTGATCATGAATTATGGTCTCGGATATGTGGTCACATTGGAGAAGTCAGAAAAAAGTTTGGAGGCAGGCACGAAAGTGTTGCACCATCAGATGCAATTGCCTACCAAAGTGATTACATGCTCAGGCGTGCCTGCCGTTCTCGCGCTTGCCTATACCAGCGGATCATGCCTGCGGTTCTCGCTCTTGCCTGTGCAGGCCGAACGTGGCTGCGTCGACATCCCAAGAAACCCATAGCAAACATTTCACCACTCGAACACATTCTACCACCTTGCTTGCGAATCCTTTCCTGAAACATGACACGGAAACTTGTCCCGAGAGAGGTACACGCCTCGTGCCTGTCTTTGCGTACCGTCTATGCCGCCGTGCACAGGATCTGTCTCGAGCAGCACCGAAGTCGATCCCAGAGCCGCAGAGGACTCCCTGCATCATTTATCATCGACTCCGTCCTCGCCCACCGCAAAGCCGAACCGTCGACCTTCGAACACCACCTGAAGACACAAACGACGTGCCTACCTCAACGGCTTCCCACCGATGATCTGTTTCGAACGTCCGCTGCACACACCTGAGGGTAGGCTGCATAGTATCCGATCAACTACACTCCTCTCAAGCCATAAGCCGTGACCGCAGGCAGCAAGAGTGTGTTGTTCAGGAAAGAGTTGTCATGATTCTGTCTGATCAGTCGTCTCCTCTCAAGCCATAAGCCGTGACTGCAGGCAGAACGAGTACACTGTTCGGGTCAGTACATGCACCAACGGCTTTGCACAAAGCCGCGTTTTGCAGGCCGCCATGAATTCGGCAGAGCTCGGGGTCGGTCGCAGGTTTTGGACTCGTGATGTTGGACGGCTTGGTAGAAGTGAGACTGGGGGAAGCAAGAACACTGCAAAGAAAACAAAATGAGAGAGCAACGGTAAGCCATCCGTTGATTACCGCCTGACTCATGCTGACGTCGCCAGTTGCCACAAGAGCCGAGTCTGCGCCTTTGGTGTGAAAAGTAAGAAATCAGCAGCCGGGTAAGGTCCCTCGCCGTTGCATAGAGCTTCCAACTGATGTCTGAAGCTTTCTCCCGGCCGCGCCCGCGCTTCGAGCAAACTCACTCCGAGAGCTATACCGCAGAAAATCGAAATTGCTATCGAACTGAGAGTCCAGTTGTGACGCATCCAGACATTCGTTCGTGGTGAAGAAGACGTCAGATTGAAGGTGAGCACGAGTAGCGTCAAGAATGGTAAGCTCCAGGTGAGTCACCCCCGGCAGAAAGTACCTTCATGTGCCCCGATCACGTGAAGGACGCCCAGAAGTCACCCCGCGGCCCATCTCAAGTTCAGCTTGAGCACGGCCTCCTTTCACGAAGACTGCTTTGCGGAACGTGTCTTAGATATCGCAGCTATCGACAAGGTAGCTATAGTTACCTCCGCACACTACTCTGCTCCCTGAGTCAGTGATACACGCAAGGGCGGCCAACAGTCTCGGATGTCATCGAGCACAGCCCGGGATTCCTCCAGCGTGATGTCTAGATGTCGAAGCTCCGCCGCGAGCTGCTGAGCGGCTTCGGGGAGCGGCGGCATGTGGCAGAACAGGATGACAGGAAGAAACCACCCAGGTATGCACCAGCACGGATGAGACTCGCTTAATGGAGGTCTGGAACTTTTCATCATGGAAGCGAGCGGACTGTCGTTATCACTACTATCTCATGCTACTGCAGCTCTGTCGAGAAGAGGGGGTCCCAACGACCCTCGTGCATGCATGGGCAACAATCGATGGCAAAAGGACAGGACATTCTTGTCCGGGTGCAATTTCAACCTTTTCGATCGATATCGTTGCTATCATCGCTGGAGCGTATGTGGTTCTCGCTGCCTGTCATCAATGTGAGCAATGTTCCTGCTTGTGCTTGCTGCGTTTAGCGTGTACCTGTTGTCTCTTGCGGTGCAGAGGCTCTTTCTTTCTCCTATCGCGAAGTTCCCTGGACCGAAGCTTGCGGCACTCACAAGATGGTACGAATTCTACTACGAAGTCGTGTTGCGCGGCCAGTTCACTTTCCATGTCGGCGAATTGCACAAGACATATGGTAGGTCGATCGGCTCACGGCTTGAACGATACTGATGGCTTGCAGGTCCGATTGTGAGAATCAACCCATATGAGCTGCACATCGCAGATTCAGAGTTCTGGGACACGCTGTACGGCGTTGGCAGGGTTGATAAGTATGACTACTTCATCAATCGCCAGAACATACCACGATCCATCTTTGCAACGCCGGACCACAATCTGCACAAATTGCGTAAGGCACCGCTTCAGCCTCTCTTCTCGAAGAAGCGGATCTCGGACTTTCAGCCGGTCATCCGCGAGAAGCTCGCCATCTTATGCAGCAAGATCGACCAATTTGTGCAAAGCGGCCGCCCATTCGCACTCAATCGAGCATGCACTGCCTTCTCTGGCGATGTCATCACCACGTACGTGTTTGGCCAAGCGTATGACCACCTGCAGTCGCCGGACTTCAAGGAGACCTTTCAGGAGCCCTTCATGGCAGCCTCGGAATCTGGACATGTGGCCCTGCAGTTCAAATGGCTCTACCCGTTGCTGGAGTCATTGCCTGAGTGGCTGGTCTTTAAGATGGAGCCCCGGATGTTTTTGATCCTGCAGCTTGCCAAGGACTTCGATGCTGAGCTGAAGGCAATCCGTGATGGCACCGCAAAGGAGAACCTGGATCATCCTACAGTACTATACGAGTTGATGCGTGCAGACTTGCCTGCCGAGGAGAAGCGGTTGGGCCGACTGAACGAAGAGGCGCAGCTTCTGGTAGCGGCTGGGCTCACGACAACTGCTTGGGCGTTGTCTGTCGCTTCCTTCCGTGTGATTCGCTCGCCAGCGATGGCAAAGAAACTCCGAGATGAGCTTGCAGCTTTTCCGGAGGACTTAAGGTGGGCCGACATCGAAAACCTGCCGTACCTCAATGCCTGTATTCGGGAAGGTCTGAGACTCTCCTACGGGGTAACTGCGCGCAGTCCTCGACTTTGGGACCGTCCGATCGAGTATCGCGGCTGGACGGTACCTGCACGCACACCCGTCAGCTTGACCATCGTTGACCACAATCACAACGAGGAGATCTTCCCCGACTCCCACAAGTTCGACCCCGAAAGATGGCTTTCCGGTAACGAGCTCAACAAGAAGATGGACAAGTGGTGGTTTCCATTTGCCAAAGGTAGTAGATCCTGCTTGGGAGTCAACCTTGCAACTGCGGAGCTGCATATGTGTCTGGCAACACTATTCAAGCGGTACGACTTTGAGCTGTTTGAGACAGATGAGTCGGATGTCGAGCTGGCGCACGACTTCTTCCTGCCAAGTGCAAAGCTAGATTCGAAGGGCGTAAGGGTTAAGGTGAAGTTTGCAGAGTCGTCCACGTAGGCTGGTACCATGTCCAAGGTAAGTTGTGCAGAAGCGGTTCCGGAGACCGCAATCTTTTCGAAACAGCGAAATACATTAGCAGCATCCAAGTTGAAGAGACTAACACAGACATGCTGCGGGGCGGACCCCGACGACACCATTTATGAACAACGATTCATGAAGTTTCTCTTCCGTTACGCAACTTTGAAGAATGAGATGCAGAAGGTGAATGATCATCTCATTATACAATACTCGAAGCCCCGCAGACTTCGCGTGAGCAATGTGACCACGCAGTCCGGAAATATACAACATCATCCAAGTTGGCGCGAGCGAGCCGGAGGACTTTCCATCTTGCCATGAGCGCGAACATCGTTACTCGCACTTATGCCCTTCGGCCTCGCCGTCGCAGGTAGTCCGTTCGCGTAGCTTTTCGCCGCTGATGAATCTGATCTTACTTCCACGCAACCACCTGCTGCTTTTCCTCGTTCCCACAACTCGGTCAAACTTCGAAGATACCTAATCTCTCTTCTCCGGATCTGTTGAAGTGTTCGGCGCGGCTGCAGCTGCAGCACTGCCTCCGTTCAGAGTTGCACTACCTCTTGATGCACCCGTCGCATTAGTGCCACTTCTCGTCCTCGTCCTCATTGGATATTCGTGGTGTGCAACGCTTCGAGTGGCATGCAGCGCCGAAAAGCCATGCTGATTGTCGTCACTCCCATCTGTCTCGTCTCCGTCGCCAATGCTTTCCTCCTCGTCCTGCTTCTTTGGGGGCGCCATGGTAGGCGCGAACTTGGACTTCTGACGAAGCTTCTTACCAAAGAGATAGAAGCAGATTGGGATGGGAACACACGCTGCAGAAAGGCAGCCGAGTAGAGTGCCCGCCCACTGGATGCCGAGGTTGTTGAACATTTGACGTGTGAATAGAGGGAAGCTTGCAGCTAGAATGCTTCGAAGGAAGGTATTTGCAGCGATGGCGGACGCAGCGCTGTAGCAGAGGGTCAGTGGTGTTGTCATCTTGAAGGAAAGGTTGGACTTACAACATGAGGTAGCTGTCAATGATGTAGTTGAACAGGCAGATGAAAATAGCCAGAAGACCGGCGCCAGTGAACAAACCCGAGAGTGTGGGAACAATCCAATGAATGCTGTCGGTATATCCAGTCCAGCCAAACCAGAAGAGACCGGCCGCAAATAACACACCTCCAACAATGACAGGTGGGAGACGCCATTCGGGCACCGGGATACCTCCGTTAGCCTGCAGTTTCCTGATGTAGTTCTTGTTGTCCCAGATGATGAAGCCGGCCACACAGAAGATTCCGCCTACCATTCCGAAGAACGGCAGTCCAGCAACGCCGGGCCTGATGTGGTGGACACCCTGGAAGACAAGAGGATAGGCGGTGAGGAAGGCGTAGAGTAGAGCGTAAATCAGTGACATGTACAGTGTGACTGCTAGAATGATCGGCTCGGTTGCGAGGAGTCTGAGCGGACGCGAAAAATTCTTGGTGATCAGCTCCCTGAAGTCGACTTCGACTTCTTCCTGCTTGGCGTGAATGCCCCAGTTCTTAGTGCGGCGTCTTAACTCGGCTGCTTTGCCAACAAGTACCATGGGAGCGTAAGATTCCTTCAAGAAGAACAAATTTAAGAGAAAGGCGGCAGAGCCCATGATGCCCGGAATGTAAAGATTCCAGCGCCATCCAAGGTAGGACGCTTGGATGAAGCCGCCGATAAAAGGCCCAAGCATGGGTCCCATGAAGACCATGGACGAGAACACCACAATGGCAATACCACGCTGAGTGTTGTCAAACATGTCCGCAAAGATGGCTGCGACAACCGCCAACGGACAAGAGCCGAAGAATCCAGTAAAGAATCGGCATATCATGACGGTCTGGAGATCTTTGCCGGTGGCGCAGGCGTAACAGAAGAGGGAAAAACCAAACATGCCGACTAATATTGGTGGTTTGCGTCCTTGCAGCTCGGAAAATGGACCCCAGACTAGAGGTCCAAATGCGTATCCAAGAACGAAGAGACTCGTCGTTAATGTAGCGACTTCGGTGCTAACATGGAAATACTCGCCAATTCCTATGGTGGATGCGCTGAGCAGACTGCTTGTGAAGGTACTGCAGAGGGCGGTGTAGGCCAAGATGGCTCCAAATAAGAGCTTCCTCTTGAAGGGCCAATTTTGGGGATGAAGCGGATCATCCTTCCCATCGAATTCCACAACGTATTCTTCTCGCTCTGGCAAAGGCGGAGGATATGGCTTCCCACCGCCGAACTCTGGAAGCGGCTGAGTCTTTCTTGAGCGCGCAGATGTAGCGCCAACAGTCTGAACTTGCTGCAGCCGATGTGTCTCTGTTCTGTGGTCTTCGATGGGATGTGTCCGGGTCCTGTATGCGCCCACGTTCATGCTTCCGCCTCCCGCTGTAGCTATGCGGCCCATATCTTGCTCGATTGATGATGAGGATGAGGATGAAAGCGAGCTGGCGCGTGAGCTTCGTCGTGACCGTTCTAGCTCAGCACGTTCTCGTTCTCGACGTTCCTTCGAGGTCTGAGACCACGTTCGCGTGGCCTGCTCCTCCGCCCTCTCCATGTCTCTGTCAACGATGTCCATGATGACGTTCCCGGCCGGTGTCTCTGAATGGTGAAGTAGGTATGCAGGTGTCCTGAGTGGCAGCAACGATTGTCTGCCTGTGAGGAGGTGCTATTCAGCTCCTTCTGGAGCAGGTCTCCTGCAGAATTTCGCTGGATCGTCACAAGTACGTAGTTGAGTCGGAGCGCAGACCCGGGGAAAGGAAAAGCGACAGCTCACGCTTGTTATGTGCAGAGAAGATGAAGTTACGGAAGGTGAATGAACATGAATATATGAAGGCAGTGACTAAACGTTGAGGCGGCAGCGGTAGCGTTGTTGACCTTGCGAGGTATTGGTAGATCGACCTCGTCACCTTCGCCCAAAGTTTTGGACGGACTCGAATTAGCTAGCACCGAGAGCGACATGTGGGGGCGTTCAATTCAACGTCATGTTTTGGCGGTGATTAAGCTCTGAAGCCCTGGAGCTTAGCACCGGGGTGGCACCGTTGGCTGCTTGTTCGCCCAATCGTAGGTGCAACTCGGGTTCGCTCGATATCTAGCCCTGGTCCGACAGTCTTAGTAATCGCAGCCACGATTTCATCGGTCGTCGCATTCGATTGATTTTCGCTCCTACTGTGGCCGTGGTGCCGACAAATCGCTCTTCTGGCTGTACGAAAATGTGCAGGGTATGTGGTACGCACCACAACATTGGAACATGCATCGTGGTACGTAGTCATTGATCGATGGGGCATTAGGTAAGATGGATTGTGGGCACGGAAACATATCCTTCGCGATCTAGTGAGTTCTTGCATACGGAGTAGAAGCCAGGGCTACTGCCTATCCTAGATGAGGAAGTCGCATAATGAACGACTGGCACATTTGGTACAGACTTGATATGCGCCACACAGTGCTTCTCTGCTCCGCGAATCTTCTTCCCGACCCGCCATGAGGCCAATGATCTCTACGACACAATACGGGGACAAGGGCATTTGTGGGATAGATCTGTAGACACATATATGTATAGGTGATAAAGGACGCTGTACGACATGGGACCGGCGTCCAATGAGAAACTACGCGCTCTTCGCCTTGCCTTCAAGCGCACTGCTCACCCTGCTAAATGAATCATAGCCCATGACCAGAGCCAGGAGTATGTATAACGAGTAGATGGTGCAGAGCTTGATCTCCTCAAATCGGGTATACTGCCAGCTGAACATTTCGACCACGCAGGTCAGGGTCGTCACCGCCGTTTGTACCGAGAAAAGGAGCTGATGGAGCGGTACAAGAGGGTTTTCTGGGAAGGCTGAGCACTGCGTGCACATCATTGATATCGCATGACTTACGTTCCAGGATGGCCGTCATCATCCAGACGCTAAGAGGTAAGTGATAGAGAACTTCCATCCAGACGTATGCTGTGAAGAATCTTGGGGGATCAACGAAGTTCTGGTCGTTGAGGGTTGCCACATAGTACTCAAGCAGAGTCTTGTTGACGATGGGTAAATGTTCCGCTGGCCATAGTATTCCAGTGTCGACGAAGATCTCTTCAAGTCAGCAACCAGTATGCAATGCATGCAGCCCAGTATGTGCAGTCATCGAGACTCGCGCCAAGCCAGGCCTGGGAGATGAAAACTCACAATTACAGGTATGTGGATGGCGAAGAACCCAAGGAAGACATAGTCCAGTGGCCGGAGCTCTTGTCGGCGCGTCGCCATAATAGACAAAGGCGCTGTGGGCGGTAACTTATAGGCGCCGGCGAGTAGTGGTCTAAGACAACAAGAAGTGAAGGTGAGATTTCGCGATCTGCCAGGCTGTCCCCGAAATGGAAGTCGCGGAGAATTGCCCAGGCCTCACCTCACTTTCTAACTTCCCCTATTCCAATGTTAATGGCTCATCCTTTGCTATGGCAAATACTTTTACCATATTCCACGAAGCTCATCCTTCGATTGACTCCAGCGACATGAACTGTACCTGCATTGTGCGCTGACTCAACATCATTGCGTAAGGTGCGATGGACGATCTTCAGGAACCAGATGCCTAGATTCCGCCTCCCTTTCATCAATCGGCCCAGGCGATACCGAAAGCGGTCTCATGTACGAACGATGCTCCTACTGTTATTCATCCTCGCTACGCTGCTGGTCATTTTGCCTCTGTACATCATCTACAAGCCACCCAACGCACTGATCCGCTATTTTCAACAGCGCTGGCCCGACGTACTATGGCAGTTGCCGACCTCTCGAAACATCATCGCGCTGACCATCGATGACGCACCATCAGAGCACACCCAAGAGCTACTCCGGATCTTGACAGCAAACAATGTTACCGCATCATTCTTCATCATCGGAGCCCAAGTGCCTGGCAGGCAGGATCTCATGGTGGACATGGTGGAACAAGGCCACGAGCTGTCCAATCATGCAATGCACGACGAAGCCTCGAAGTCACTGAGCGACGACGAGCTCCGGAGCCAGATTGAGACAGTCCAGAACCTCATTGCTAATGTCTACAAGTCGGCTGGAGTGCCGCAACCGGAGAGGCGCTTCTTTCGGCCAGGCTCTGGCTTCTTCTCAACGTCCATGCGTGGTCTAGTGCAACAGATGAGTCACCAGATCGTGCTAGGAGGCATATACCCGCATGACCCACAGATTCCCTACTGGTGGATCAACGCACGACATATCCTGAGTATGGCACGGCCGGGAGGGATAATCATCTGCCACGACCGACGGCCATGGACGGCGCCGATGCTGGCAAAGGTGCTTCCGGAGCTCAGGCGGAGGGGCTACCAGGTCATGAGTCTGAGTCAGGCGCTTCAAGCAACATGACTTTGGGTGTTGATCCAATGGATGTGCATGTCAGGAGTCTTAGGCATTGTGACGGAAGAACAGCACCAAGTTGTAATCAAAGTACTGGGCGTTTTCCTACAGCGACCTCCCTAGCCAGAAAGTCTACGAGATATCAACTTTTTGCACTGATGCTCGAGTGAGGCTCAGCTCAAGCCCACCAAGTCGATCAGCTGAATAGTGTCAGGGCCTCAGTGCCCTCCCTGGCCGGGAAAACCCATGACGAGCAGCGCGATTTGTGGCTCGGGAATGGAAGGTGGTTGACCTGGAATAAACGCCGAGTACTTAGAGTCGCAGCTCGATACCCAGCAAGGTTTTGCAGCTCGCTAATACATATCAAGCCGGCCGAGGCCATGCCGATTGGCAATGTCATGTCATTGCTCTGGACATCGGCAACATGCGAATCTGTACTGCCCTGACGGTCCGCAATGCATCGAACATCAGGTGCCATCTAGCAGTCGCCAGTAACTTGGCTGGCTACCAGCGCTATGTGCAGGCGTGCCTGCCGCGCTTTCAGGGTTCCCGATAATGCTCTACCAAATCCACAGCTTTTAGTCCAGGAACTCTCTTATCTTTCCCACAACGCCCGCCGCCATCTCCACGACGCCCGGCTCGATTCCATACCTCCCGCCGACGGCAACGACGGCCTCGAAGAACTCCAATACCCGCTTCGCCGCTTCTTCGCCCCCAAAGATCGCTGTTCCTCCTGCTCGCAGACTCTCGCTCCACCACTTGCCCGCCACGTAACTCGCCTCCTTGACTATCTCACCCTTGGCTTTGTTCACAAATGGCCGGTCTTCGGTGCAGAACATCTGCTCGAGTGTTTCAAAAAGCTGTTCGTGTGACACGCCCAGGCCGAGGAAGATGTCCATCACCCAGTGTTCGGGCGCGATGTCGCGTTGTGAGTTGTAAGAGTAGGCTAGCAGCATGGGGACGAGTAGTGGGATAGGGTAGACGGTCTCAGACAATCGTAGCCGGCCACCAAGGCTGCGTATGGTCTCGGCAATAGCTCGAATGGCTGAGGGCCGCTTTCCTTGGCGGCGGCATCGGTATGGATCTGCTCGAGGAGCTGCTGCCAGGTGCTTTTGATGGTCGAAGGGTCGCGAAGGTCGGCGGCGTTGTAGATGATGAGGCATACATCGTAGTAGCCGGCTGGATCGGCAAATTTGTTGAAGAGGGTGGTGATGTCCAGGATGGGGCCATCGATTTTTTGGAGGAGTGCTTTCTTGTCTTCTGCATTCAGTCGTGGCTCGTCCCGGAGGCGTTGGAGGAGCTCGTCCTGAATGCCGGCGATCTCGATGAACTCGGCAATCTCTTGCAGAAGGCGTTGTTTCGTTTTGCGATTGCCCCCTTGTGTGTAGGTTGATGCATTGGCGCGAGCACGTGAGAGGTACTCTATCCGACGATCGAGGGGTAAATTGAACCCAGAGATGGCGAGTTGCATCTGTACATTTGCTGCCTTCTGATACTGGCTTGTCTGTCCATAGTAGCGCCAGAGAAGGTCTGCGAACACGATGTCCTCGGTGGACTTGCGCTCCAGATATTTGATTATGAACGGTGACTCGATACTCAGCACCCGATCCGCCCAGCCGTTCGAGAGATACCAATCGTACAGGTCGGTGAGGAAGAGTTCATCGTTGGAGGTCGCGATAACATCATAAGCCTCGTTTCGCCGAATTGTTGGTAATGTCGGCCGGCCGTCTGTGAAGGTTGGTACTTTTTCGATGCTCTTATCCATTGCGATTATGACATCGTGCACAAGGGAGTAGCAGTTCAGTCTCGACTCAAATTTCTCCTTTCGGGGATCCTCGTTTGTGCGTCCCTCCAAAGCCCATGACTGGGCATCGTTTGCTTTGTCCATCTCGTGGGCCACTCTTAGCACCAACTGAATGGCGCCAGCGAAGAAGCTCAGGTCAGAGTATTGCTTCACTGCAGCTTTGAGGTAGTCACGAGGCAGGCTGTGAGCCACGTCCTCGAATAGCTTCAAGCTGTCGTTGAGAAGGTTGCGAGCAGACTCTGCATTCGCGCCCTGCTCTGCAGTGCGTTTGAGCAGCTCTTGGGCTTTGAAGATGACCACGTCGTCTGCGCTGCAGAAGTTGCCACATCGTCGTCGCAACGATTCTGCGACAGTTTCGACGTTGGACCCTTTGGCGATGTTGCGATTAACTATCCCCTTAACGAGTTCTTTCGCCAATTCGAAGCCTCTCTTGCTGCTGAATAATTCCTCGTAGGTCAGCTTGAAGAGCTCTGGCCGGGACGCTTCCGGTAGTAATGGCACGATGTCTTCGACTCGTTCTTCAAAAAGCACCAGGACGAAGGAGATGCCCTCAATTGTGTTGGCGACGAACTTAATGACGGAATGCAGTGCACGATGCTCTCCCTGCATTGCAATTTCGTCATCGCGAGAGCCAGCCTGAGGCAGATCATCTGGTCCGCTCAGACCTTTGATGAAGGTCTTATTAGCTGTGAAAAATCGTTGCAAAGCCGAGAGATCTTCTTGGATCGAGCGTAATTTGTCCAGCTTGATGACTGGCTGTACAGCGTAGGTGTCCTTTGTCTTGACCTCAATGGCAATTGTGCTCCTCCAAGCAGACCTAAGAAGTCGAGATAGATACAGTGTGATGGCAGCATGGCGAGGTGATGGTCGGACGGCATCGATGAGTGGCATTGACCGGTCCGCGATGAGATTCTGATTCAAACTTGCCTTACCGCCATGGTCAATGAAGGTCTTTCGCGCAAGTTCGAGTACGTCGGGGTCTAATATTCGGGTCGACCTAGTCTCTGAAGTGACTTCAACCCCTTGCCCACATGCGACCGCTAGTGCAGTCGCTAGGGTCTCTGTCCTGCCATACGTCCGCATGAGGTAGTTGACATCATTTTGGAATCCCTCCGTCCCACCTCCTTGCCGGACCAAGCTCGCAAAGATGTCCACCAAACGTCTGCGCTTGATAATGTGGACGCCAGTGTTGGTGAGGACAGCAACTTCAGGTATTGGCTGATCAAATTGAACTGCCAAGTCGTTGCCAAAGCCCCTAGGCTGTATTGACGGGGCAATGTACGGCGTCGATGCTCCTAGAGCCTCTGCACTGCTTCCGAGAGGAATCCAGACAGCAGTCTCGGCAGATTTGCTAATCTGACCCATTTCGGCTGGCCGAATGACGCGTCCGGCATCCGGAGTACACACAAATAGTGCATCCGTTGGGGAATTCTGGTCCTTGGCCGTGAAACAGAAGAAGTATCCTGGCGAGAAGCGTTGAGCGAGACGAGTTTGTGTCAGAATCGGATTAGGAGCATGCATGTTGGAGGCTTGTTGCACTCCAGAATGAACACGACTGGTGGCTGACACAAAAGCTGCTGGTGTTGACGGCGGTACTCTAACGTGCTGAGGTTCCATGCTTGCTGGGCCGCCGGAACTTGCGGCTCCCCAGAAACCGGAGCTGGTGGTACTACAGTATATTCGGTAGCCTGTTGCCGTCGTTGCCATGAGAGAGTATCGTGAAGCCTCCTGCGAGGGGATGTGGGATATTGCGACAATCTTGACGCGAGGATTGAGTGATTCGTTAGGCGTGACCAGATGCGAGACTTTGGAATACAGATCACCTGGGCTTTTTGTGATGCACAAAGCAAGTGTACCGTCAGTCCTCATGAAGAAGACTCGTATCGTTGATCTCGAAGACAGGGTATAGACAAGGCTGCGGCTGTCATCGACAACAATCTGCTCAATGAACTCTGACGACCTCCCACCGAGCGCTGGCAGCGACATTGTCAAGCTCTGGACTGCTGTTCGTGTATGGCAGATTTTGGAGCACTTGCCAGAGAACCACCCGTCCTGTTGCTGATACGTGAGTTCGTAGAGGTCGTTGTCTGTGGTGCCACCGAAGAATATCCTGCCCGTCTTCTTCGAATGCGCAATGACTGACACATCCATGCCTCTCACCGACGTTGACATGCCCGTCTTGATCACAGAGAGCTGCGGCGCACCTCCCACGACTTCAGTCACCAGCCCAAGAAGGCTCATCTCGGATGTTGTAGCAAGCACTATCATGTTCTTGACCGTATCGAGGAAAACGCCCGCCTTAGGGACTGCCAGCTCGACCGCTGTGATGCTGTGTGGCTGGTCCTCGAAACCAAATAATTCCGGATTGTTCGCTGTGTAATCCCATATGTACAGCCCATTGTCGATAGATACCCACGCATGTTTCAGCTCGGCGAACAGACCCATCAACGTAGTGAGATTCGAATGGTTGTACTGTTCAAACACCTGATCTGGTATGGGGTAGGTACGTGCTCGCTGGAAGGGCGCCCATGTGAGCGCTGTCTGAACTTCATATTCTGAGGATGGGCCAGGCGGCAGGTATGTATCGATGTCTGCGAACTGAGCTTCGTCAGCAAGAGCTTCGTTGATGTATCTCGCTGCTCTTTGCTCTGGCTTCAGTGCCTCCGGCGCCGGCGGCTGCTGTTGTTGTTGATTCTGCTGCGCCGGAGCGACCTGCAAACCGATGCCCGGTGAGTTATTCTGCTGCTGAGGGTGGCCGTTTCGAAAGGAAGGTTGCCTCATGGGCGCCGCTGTTGCCGGTGTGTTTGGGAAGACACCAGGCACTGGCCTTGCCGGCGTCGCATACACCTCTGTCGCCATGAGGCCTTGCGCGACGGGGAGGGTCGCAACCTCAGTCGGGCTTCTACTGTTCAATGCATGGAAGACTTCGGTCGCGGTTGTGCGAAGGGTCGCGAGACTACATCCAAGATCCCAATGGTGTGAACGGGCTGGAAGTTGGAGTAATGAGGACTACAAAGGAGCGTGATGTTTGCTGTATTCAAAAGTTTTGGCGCAATCATAGTCGCGTCTCGGGGAAGCCAGCACCGCCAAGAAAAATCACTCGGCTCGTTCATGCCAAGGCCGCAGCATGGTAGGTAGACGGGCGCGATTGCGCATCGTTCGTTCATGAGCATCACTACCCTGGGTAGTGTTTTGACTGGGGAAAGTCTCAGCAACATGAGAAAGAGCCTGAAATGAAGCATGATTACTTCGACACCGCGAATGTACGGTAGCGTATTGTGGCTACAGGACGTACATCAACGGACGATGGCTTTTTGATATGTCCTCGTTAAGAGAACAGCTTGGGCAGAGAATGTGCCCGGCCTGAGGGTCGATCTGACCTGGATAGCCCATCAGGAGATTTTATCACGCTCCTGTCGGTCCTCGTGGTGACATAACCACAGTCGCACTGGCTCAAGGACCAAAGCGTTCCCTGGCTTCAAGATCACGATGAATATACTTATATTTTATCGATTGACGCTGGGGTGACGCCCAGATGAGGTTCATCTCAGAACGTTTTCAAGTAGTTGACTCAAGTCAAATATACAGCGCTCTCCTTGGTCATGAAGTCCACAAGGAATACTTTCTATCTTTGGCGCGCAAGTCACGCCCAGGCGACGTCCATTCCATGCCTGCTGATTTATCAGCGAAATGATTTCAGACCTCCAGCGCCGTCCACGGTAAGGAGAGTCACGAGATCAGCGATACAATTTGCACCATCAGCAGCTTCCTTGGTTGGTGTTGAGCAGACCTCCATCAGATGCGACGCTCACAACTTCTCCTGCGTTGTGGCCTTCTCCTCGTCGCTGTCATGCTCCGGCACAACGCCTGGATGACCATGAGCAGGGTTGAGTCCAACTTCTGCCATCACCTCGCGCATACGTTCCAGATCGTTTGTGCCAAGGTTGTCGCCGAAGACCAGGTCCATCTCTTCCAAGGTCTTGTATCGGGTCTCTGGGACAAAGAACATGACCCACAGGAACATGATCAAACAGAAAGCTGCGAAGAAGATGTAGGTGCCGAACTTGAGCTTGTCGAGCATGTTCGGGGTGACTTGTCCAACCACGAAGTTCATCATGTAGTTGCAGCTGATAATGATGCTGACTGCCTGACTTCGGTGGCCCGGAGAGAAGATCTCACTGCACAGGAGCCATGCAACAGGGCCCCAGGAGTATGAGAAGTTGGCGCCGAAGAACCAGATGAATACGATTCCGACCCAGCCGGCAGCTGCACCACCAGCACCAGTGAAGTTGCCGGCATAGTGTCCGACGATACCGGCGACGACGACATGACTGATCAGCATACCCAGAGCACCCGCCATGAGGAAGACACGGCGACCCCAGCGGTCGACAAGGAAAATGGCCGGGAATGTGAAGACGAAGTCAACGACTCCCAAGACACCAGTAGCCAGCAATGATGTGGTTGAGGCGTTCAAGCCTAGGCTGCCAAAAATCGTCGGCGCGTAGTAGATAATTGCGTTTATGCCTAGAAGATAGGTCAGCGAACGCGTTTGTGGGATTGGTGAGCAGAGCGAGCAGGGGGTCAAGCTTCTTCAGAGTATCCTGTGACGAGGCATAGAGCTTCTTCGAAGAGGTCTGTGACAAGAGATCGAAGTTCTTCAGAGAGTCTGATGACGATGCATCGAGCTTCTTCAGAGACGTCTGTGACAAGAGATCGAGGTTCTTCAGAGAGTCCGAAGACGATGCATCGAGCTTCTTCGGAGAGTAACGTGACGAGAGATCGAGCTTGTTCAGGAGGTCGAGAAATGCTATGGGGCGGGCTTCATCATCAACGTACCTGTGAATTGCTGGAAGAACATGATAATGCAGCCCATCGCAAGCCGGCGGAACAGTCCCTTGTTGGTCAACAGCATGCTGAACTTGGCGAACGCAAGGGCCGCCCCGCTCTTGTTGGGATGTAGTGTCCGAGCGGTTCTATCATCGAAGATGACAGCAGCCTTAATCTCCAGGAATTCAGTCTCCACGATTGGGTCATCGATAGGCAGGCCATGCAGTCTGGCAATTGTCGAACGTGCCTCCTCCTCGCGGCCTTTTGTGAGTAGCCATCTTGGGCTGAACGGCAGGAACGGCGAGGCGACCAGAAGGAGGACTGCGGGTACACACTGGAGACAGAGAGGAAGACGCCACGCCAGAGCAGTCTGACCAGTGCAACCGCCTGCTGGAACGTCAGTGTATGGGTTGAATGCTGCAGAGCCGAATTCGGCCGATTTTGAAGCATCGCAGGCCTGCCCGCCGATAAAGCTTGTTCCATAGCACGCCCAGTACGATACCATGATGCCTCCCGTAATGCCGAGTTGCTGGCAAGAGACTAACGCTCCGCGAAACTGGGACGGCGAGATTTCGGCGAGGTAGAGTGGGACCACGTGAGAGACCTGTCCGACGGCGATGCCAGCGATGATACGACCAGCGAAGAGATAACCGATACTCTGTGCGCCACCACACAGGGCGCTCCCGAGGGTGAAAAGCTGTCGGATCAATTAGCAGGAATCACATGGTCTTGTGGGCGAACTCACAAATGCTGCAACCGTGATACTGTACTTGCGAGAGATTTTGTTCGCGAGAGGACCATTGATCAGAGCGCCGAGCCATGCACCCAGCTGTAGGACAGCCACAACCCAACCCTTCAGTACGGGATCGGTGTAGACCTGAGGAAATTTGGCGCCAAAGTTTTCTCCAGTAAGCAGGTTGGAAAGGACGCCCTGGTCAGTTCCGTAGAGGAAGGAGCCGATCACAGCGGTCGCACTCGAGATCATGAGGTATCTGTTGGCCCCAAGCAATCCACGGAAGCCACTGCGACGGCCCTTGGTGAGCTCCTCCATGCGGGAGGGCCCCGATGATGTCTGAATACCGACCATATTGAAAACCAGATGCTTTGCTTCGCGGAGTTGTTGTCGTCGCCGATGAAGATCACTTACCTGGATCGGAGGGGCAGGCCATACTTATATATCGCGATATTGTGATGAAGCTGGGGTCTCCGTACCCCGAGTATGCCATGTGGCAAGTCATCTTGATTGCGAAGAGGAGAGGAGATGAAAGCAGAAAGTCAAACATGAGCTCGTCTCGACAAGAAAGCCACAACGTCGTGATGGTCACGGAGGTGGTACGTCTGAGTCGATATGGACATGATAGCCCTGAGCCTGTCCCAAACTCCAGGCCTCCCCGCACCCGGGGACAAAAGCTTGCTGAGCTTCGATGTGAAGCTTGTTGCTCGTTCATGCACACTGCACAGTTCGGCTCGGTCACTCACTCGTCTCGAGCTCGGTGGTGCGTGGTGGTAGTAGTGGAGATTGGGGCGATGTTCTGGAAGTTCTACGGATCTGCTGACTCCGACCTACCTGGTAACGTGACTGCTCTCGCAGAACTGGGACCACACCTTCGGGCCGCACGACAACAGCAGCAGCGTCGCGTCGAAGTCTTGTTTGAGACCTCGGAAGCTTGTTGCGAACGCGTGATTGCCCACCACAAGTATGGGCTCACGCCAGAATTCGGAACGAGTAGGTCGTGCTAGACGAGACCGTTCATTCACTTTCGCAGGTCTAGTTGAGGTGGCAGAGCTTGTTTCACTGGCCTGCCACTCGATCCGAGCTGATGGCTCGGCCTACTGTGCTGCAGATAGCGTTGAATACGCGATTTGTTGACAGGATGAAGAGGACTGACAAGTTGCATTGCAAGAAGGCAGGGCCCACCCAAGTCAAGTCCATCAGTCTGGCACAGGTCCAAACGCCTGATATTTCTGTCGTCGGTTCTACTGAAGACATTGTCGACATCTTGAGCTCCTAAGTCCAGCCCAAACATGCCTCTCGAAGTGCCCGAGTCCGTGTTGTCCGCGCCCATCCTGTCGCAATTCTCGTTGGAAGACAAGCTGTGTTTCGTCACCGGCGGTGCTCAGGGGTTCGGATTGGAAATAGTACGAGCCTTCGCTGAGGCGGGAGCAGATGTGTGCTTCACCTACCTTACAACTGCTGATGATAAGGCAACCAAGACAGCTCAAGCCATAGAACAACAGACTGGTCGAAGGATTCTGCCAATATGCGCCGATGTCAGGAAACGAGCAGACATTGCGGCTGCTATTGAACAAGCAGTGCAGGCATTCAAACATAATGGAACTACCCGCCATCTCGATGTCGTTGTTGCGAACGCCGGGGTCTGTAGACAGATCTCGAGTCTCGACTATGACGAAGAAACCTTCGACAAGGACTATGCAGTCAATGTCTACGGAGTCATGTGGACTGCTCAGGCCGCTGGTCGGATATTCCAGAAACAGGGCCACGGCAACTTGATCATCACGGTCAGCGTGAGCTCAGTGTTGGTCAACACTCCACAGCCGCAGACCTCGTACAACTCCAGCAAAGCAGCTGCTGCACACATGGGCAAGAATCTAGCAGTGGAGTGGGTCGACTTTGCACGAGTCAATTGTGTGAGCCCAGGCTATGTCGCCACAAACAGTGAGTGCTCTCTGTCCACGCATGCGGACTACTCAAGCCTTGTGCCTAACCACTCGTTCCAACAGTGACAATGTCGCAACCGGAGGAGATCAGAAGTCAGTGGACTGCACAGGTTCCAGCTCGGAGGATGGCAGATCCGAGAGAGCTCAAGGGCGTAAGTCAAAGACTCCAAGCTTGTCGATCGGTCACTGACTCACTGGGCAGCTTTACGTCTTTCTAGCGTCCGATGCTAGCAGTTATATGACGGGTGCTAACGTGATTATCGATGGTGCCTTCTCAGTGCCTTGAACACTTGCGTACATAACAATCAGTATTCTTGGTTTCGGCCAGCACAACTTCTGCTTTCCACAGCTCCATCAGTCTCGGCATTGGGACGCATATCGCTGAGCTCTCTCGTCTTTCCATGCACGGCATGCGTGTGCGAGATCTATCACCGGGGACCCCTCGTTCGACGATTGCCTTGAACGCCGGCTCCGCATGGGTGTTGGTAAACTGAAGCATTCGTCCCACCAAGTAGCAGCGGGTGCTACCCTGGTATGGCAAGTGGCGCGACTGGCACTGGGGACCATGTCACACGTGAGCATGTATAGGTATTTTGATGATCATTCGCATCTATTCCGACTGAAGTGCGCTCTCCCTGAACTCCGTCATATGCACTTTCTTCTTGACTTGAAACCGTGGTATGCTCCTGCCTTAAGGGCGAACACATGTCCGTCCTCAACATTTAACAAACTGCACGTGAATGATAAGCGACTGTGACTCGGCAACGCATAGGATTGATTCCACTTACTGCCAATGACACCATTTACCGGGATGTCAATACTTGTAGTGTAGCTCGCAGCATCACTCAACAGGTACACATATGCTCCTCCTAGTTCCTGTACCTGGGCCAGTCTCGGCATACCACCATAGTACTTCAGCTGCTGCTCCCAGTCAGGTTGCTGAGGCACCCAGTAGGTCATAGCAGTCTCGACCAGGCCGGGTGATATCGAGTTGACTCTGATGTTGTACTTCGCCCACTCCATAGCGAGAGTGTGTGTCATATTACGAACTCCGGCTTTCGAGGCGCCATAAGGGGCAGAAGGCACACGCTGAAGATGGTGAGTGACAGATCCTATACAACAGCTTCTGCTGGAACTTGGGACTTACCTTGTTAGGTCTGTAGGACGCCATCGATGCAGTAAAGACAATCGAGCCCTTGACGCCCTGCTCAATGAAGAGCCTGGCGGCTGCCCTGGCGCAGAAGAAGGCTCCGAACAACTATGACAAGGTCGGGTGTTAGTCTTTGTCCCGAGAGTTCTGGTGAGTTGAGGACTTACGTTGATGTTGAACAATTGATGAATCTCCTCCTCCGTGAAGTCAAGAGCAGATTTATGGTTTGTCCGGCCAGCATTTACCACCATGCCGTGAAGGCCACCAGCTTCTTGTACGATCTCCTTGAGTGCACTTGAGATCGACTCTTCCTTCGTAACGTCCGCAGTCTTCGAGAGCAGTCTTTGGTTGGATTGCTTTGCGACAGTGTTGAATTCATCTCCAGGAGCGGCAATGTCGATGGAGTACACTCGTGCCGCACCGTTGGCGAGACAGCATTCTGCTATGCCGAGACCAATCCCCCGGTTGGCCCCAGTGATTGCGATCACTTTTCCTGCCAAGTTGATTGCCATCTGTGGTGTTGTTTGGGCATTTTCCTGAACTGACAGGTCTGCTGCTGAAATGGAACCCATGGCTAAATGCTTATGGCTGGATGCGAACTGTGCTGGAAACGGTTGCGCTTTGGTGGTGTTGGGTACGGTCTCGCTATTCAATCTACTGTATATTCGCTGGCTGTATCAATGGAAAGAGATGTGTTCGGCAAGATGATTCTGTCCCGCCGTTCTGCGGACCACTCTGACTTAAGAACCAAAATATTTACTTGGACGCGCTCGCTCGCACTCGTCTCGGGAACCTCTCCACGCATGAGGTGCCCCTGTAGGTAAAGCTTGGAGAGCTGGAGAGATATCCACCATGGTCTGCATGGGCGGTCAAAGCGCCGTACCGGCGATCGATCGCCGGTGCTCAACTCCCCACACCTGCCACATCACATGCCTACAACCCCAGCAAAGCACCCTTGACGCCACCCTTGAGACGAGCTCGCCAAAGTCGCGTCTCGTTCAGCAGGAACATCTCGCCGTTTTTGCCGAAGCAGAAATTCGCGATTCCGCCCTCCACGAGAATCTTCCCGATCAGTTTTCCTCCTTCGTTCCACACATCGACACCGTCACCGCATCCGCTGTAGACGTTACCCTCTAAGTCACATTTGATTCCGTCCGGGATGCCGTTCTCCGCCATGGCATACAACCTTCTGTTTGCGAGGAATGGCTGTCCCTTGACCACCATGATGTCAAATGCATAGATGGACGAAGCTCGATCATCTCGAATCGAGCCATCTCCGCAAACGCGATCAGTGTCCGTCACGTATAGTATGTGCTCATCAGGCGAGAAACACAAGCCATTGGGATGACCAAAGCCATCTGCTATTGCCCGTATACTTCCACTGCCTGCGACGCCCTCCCTCGGTGGCACATATCGATAGACTTGAGGCGGAAGTTGAGGTTTAGGACGATAGCCCTGTTCAAAGCCGTATGTCGGATCGGTGAACCATATGCTGCCGTCGCTGTGGACAACGACATCGTTGACCGAGTTGAAGCCACGACTAAAGAATCCGGAGATGAGAAGCTGGGTCTTCTCTGGTGCTGCCATGTCCACCAGATACAACGCACTTGGAGCAGACCTGCCACCTTGATCGCACAGAATCATCATGCCGTCCTTGTAGTTGACGCCGCCATTGCCCATCGCAATGTTTGCGCACGAAAGCGCTGCCATGGAGACCTGGCTTGCATCATTTTTCAGATGCACTCGTGATATTTGGACTCGCTGGTTGCCGCTTCCATCGATTAGTCTGTTGCTTGTCACGAATAGCTGGTCCGTTGCCGGATCGAAGACTGCAGCCTCGTGAAACAGTGGCTCTTCAACCGTGAGCAGACATTCGATGGTCGCATCTGGCCCCAACAGTGCATCGAAAGCCGAATCGAGTGAGTGAAATGACATGCTGGATGTCGCGCGTGCTGTCGTTGGCAGACAATAATTGTTAATTTTATTGTGATGAAGCAGTCTGTCGTCGTCGACCTGCACAGGTCATTCTTGAGACCTTCGTACCATGATGGAAATGCTTAGGGCCGATTAAGCTCTACAGCCACATGGTTACGTGACATCCTCCGGGGAAGTCTCCATCGATTCCCACCGGCAACTGTAAGCTGAAGGCAGTTGCACTGGAGGAGGCGGACGGCCATGCAGAAGGCTCGCGTCGAGTCATCAGATGTGTTTGTATGCCGGCATTGGTGTTTACGAGTCTAGACCATACGCAAGCAATGGGTTAGCCTGGAAGGTAGTTGGTGGTCACTGGAACCATAGTCTGCGGCGTATCCCAGGGATGCATGGTCTGGTCCGAACTTTGCATGACTGTAAACAGCTGAGATCTGGGCGCCTTCGCGATGAAGATTCTATACTCCATTTTGTAGCGGCTGCTTAGCCAAGGCTTTCGCTCTTCCAGCAGAGCCACAGATCTCCATCCACTCCACCGTCTGCTTAATCACTTCTTGCACACCTTGCTCCATCAAAGTCGTCTGCGGCAGATGAGGCGCATTCTTCTTCAGGTGACTGTTGTAGTTGTCGAGCACGACCCTGTTAACGTTGATTTTCGAGACGCCGGCAGCAATACATTTCTTCATAAGATCAGGCTCGAAGCCGTTTGTGCCATGCAAAACCAGGCGGACGCGCGCGTTGCTGGCGGTTCTTATGGCGTCGAGCCTAGCGTTATAATCAGTACCTCATGCCGCAATCATCTGCTTTGCTGAAGTGCAGTGCACTTACCTCTCAAAATCTAGATTGGGTCCTTGAGGTCCATATTCACCATGGGCATTGCCAAAGCACGGCGCAAGAGCGTCCACGCCTGTTGCGACGAAATCTTCGATCTCCTCTGCAGTAGTGAACACACTCTGAAGCTCACCGAGGTCGGCAACGCCATCCTCGCCACCATCAATACGGCCAGGCTCGGCTTCAGTCGCGACATTGCGTTCATTGCAGTACGCCACTAGCTCGCGCGTCCTGCTGATATTTTCCTCCTTCTCGTAATGAGACATGTCGACCATGATACTGTCGAACGTTCCCATATCCGCTGCAAGCTTGACCAAATCTGGACTTTGGCAATGGTCGAGATGTATTGAGATGGGTACCTTGGCCCGAGATACTGCATCAGCGGCCGCTCGGACGATGAGTCCATCCGAGAATGTGATCGCCCATGGGAAGAACTGAATGATGAATGGTGATTGCGCTTGTTCTGCGGCTTTGACAAACCCCAATATCTGCTCGAGATTATATGCAATGGCTGCGATTACACCGTAGCCGTTTTCTTCGGCATCTCGCAAGATGCGCAGATGTTTGTTGTTGTCGCGCCAGGACATTTTAGGAGTACGCTGTATCATAGTTCTTGTGTTGATGTAGATGCTAGCATATCAAGATGGTGGCCGTCAACTTGCCAGACTTATCGACAGTCCGCGTGTCGCGCGTGTGTTACAGCAACGGCGTGCTTTCCGGTGCTGCGGAGAAGAGAAGCATTGCGGAGCGAGGGTTCCAGTTGTGGCAAAGTCTAGTAGCTGGGGACAAGACATGCCAAGTCGTGTGCGAGCCGAACAACTCGCCTCGGAGTCGCACCAATCGGAAACGGAATGAGAATCAGAATCAGAACCCCGAATGCTGCTCCCAATGAAACTTGAGCTCGTCCTCCATTGAGGTGGCTTGCCATCCGGTTCTGCTTCGACAAAGCTGTATCTGGCGCAGAATCTCGTCACGATATCGCTGGTTGAAAGTGCTTAGCCCGGCTGTAGTCTTTGTCAATCATGTTTCAAGTTCATTGAAACAAAGACTCACCAATATACAAACACTGTGAAGACAATGTTCCCGAAGCATAGTCCGTCAATGTCGAGGCAATGCCCCCAATCTGCTCAACATGGCCATCGATGACAGCCTGCCGCTTTAGTGACTCATGAAGGCCGCCCAAAGTCGGTCTGTGAAGAAGAATCAACAGCCTTGCGGCATGATGTACCTGTATTGCGACGCCTGTTACATGTTAGCTAAATGCTAGCAAAAGGAGGCAGCGCTAGAAACACAGAGGTGATGAACCAGAACGGAGGGAGAATCAAAGAAGCAGAATTGAAGAACCGGAACTGGAGAAGCAAACATGAAAAGCAGAATTGACACAACAGAGAAACTGATCTGACTCCACAAAGCGAGTGATCTAACGCAGCGAAGCCAATGATCTGACGCAACAGAGCGAGTAATCTGACGCAACAAAGAGAGTCACTTGACGCAGCGCAGAGGCTAATTAGCTGTCGCAGAGAGACTCATCAGACGCAACGGTAAGAACTCGGTGACGCACCATAGAGAGGGGGATGGATGAATATCTCCTTGAACACAGCCTCTTTGGACGCGTAACGAGGAAGAGGTGTGAACTGCGGCGTCAACAAGTCGGCCCATTCGTCAAGCAGAACACTCAGCTGCTCGGCATGTCGAGACTTCTCGATGAAACCGCTGGGTGTTTCCGCCGTCTGGCCCGCAGAACAATAGTCGACAACACGAGCCAGAATGAAAACGGAACGCGCTGCTAGCTCCGCCGGTCCCAGTTGCGCGAGCTTCCTTTCCGGTCTCCAGAAGGTGAAGACCCTTCGACGATCACGAAACGCGGCCCATACATCCTGGCAGAGCCATGTCCACCAGATCGCTCCTCGGAGGCCACCAGAATCGCCGTGTATCACCTGAGCTATTTTGAGTAAACTCGTTAGCCTTGTCTCAGAGATCTGTGTCATGCAATCATGATGCAGGTCGGAGACTGGTGCCAGGAAACGATGAAGCAGATCAGAGCAATGTGCCAAGCAACAATGAAGAAGCTCCGAGAGTGATGTCAGAAAACGATGAAGCAGATCAGAGCAATGTGCCAGGCAATAACGAAGCAGCTCAGAGAGAGATGCAAGGAAATACCGAGGCATAACTCACAACGTTGAATCCAGAAGACGCCTTGTAGATGTCTTTCCCAGTCCCTCGATGAGCCGTCGAGCATCTCATATGCAGAGATGATTATTGTAGTAGCCAGAAGCTCGTCACTTGTGTGGTATGACGGATACTGCAAAGCTTTGCTAAGATAATGCAGTGTCTCATGGTAGTATTGCAACGCGTCTCTACGCGCGAACGGGCTTTCCACGGACGTTGTTTGCAGAGACTCGTGACGCAGCGCCAGAGTCAACACCGCATTCAGCAGACCGACATTCCAGAGCGCCAGTCGAGGTACTAGCGACGCGAAATTCCGGTACGGATCCAGTAGATCGAGCCAGAGGCTGATGCGTTGAACGAAAACGTCGAACAGTTGCTGTTCAGCATCTTGTAGAGTCAAACGCGTTGGAGACTGCCAGCTCAGACGTTCGCTCCAGAGATCGTCCGAACGATAGCTTTGCGTGAAAGGCGAATCGCTTAAGCCAACGTGCACGGGAACGGAAACGGGAAGCTGTGAATTGACAGTTGCAGGAGATTCCGGCAAATTTTGCTGTGGCGAGGTCCTGAATTCCAATTCCGCATCGCCTGCAAGCATGCCAAACCATCGCGCAGTTGCAATTCCGACTGGCTGATCGATACTTGCCGGACTGGCTCCTGTGGCTGTCATGTTCTGCGTGACTTCGGTGTTTGAGAATCCACTGGATTGGTACTCGAGGTTAGTCGTGACGGTTCCAGGCTCTGGACCGTGACCATTGCTATTGGATTTCGGAGCAGAAGCTGGAGCAGACGCAGGAGCGGGAGCGGGAGCAGGAGCTGGAGCAGAAGCCGTGACTGGTGATGCGACCTCGGTCGTAGCTGCACGTGACCCATCTTCGCGGTTGACAACGTACGAACACGTCTTCCGATTTCGAGTGCACTGCGTGCATGCTGGGCGGGCTTCATCGCATTTGACATGTCGCTTCCTGCATGTGAGGCATCCCGATCGAGTCCTCAGCCCGCGCCCCCGGCCTTTCTTCCGAGGCGACGCGACTGCACGGTCAGGGAGGCCTTCAGCAGACTGCTGCTCTTCTTCGTTTGATGGAGATGCCATTTAGATATGTCCATCGCTCAGCTCGCATCCGTGCGTCAGTTCTGCTTTGTCAGGGCTTTCACTACGGCTCGGATGATCGTCAGTGGCTTATGGTTTGAACGTCGTGTCTGGCTGACTTGGGCGTTGAACTCTGAAAACTCCTCAACACCTCGATTGCCAATGGATACACCCTCAGAGGCCTCCCTACAGCGTTGGAGCCCACCTCGGATGGCAGACACGAGTGTTTGTGCCGGCCAGAGAACTCCAGCCAGCGATACAAATCAGCACTCTTGCATGGAACCGGCGTGGTGCGCTAACATTGCAATTTGAATTCTGCCTGATCGTGATAGATTGGAAGCGACGAAGGTAAAGCTGCTCGGGTCGGTCTTGGCACGAACGAGCCGAGCGGCCCTTCAGATCGCCGGTTGACAAGAATTTGAGCTTGCCCAAATTCTCGAGCTAGCCCACATGTGCAAAGAGCGCATCAGCGCCAACATCAACATCAACTCACTACAGACGAGTTCACATTCTGAGATAGACAGTGGTCTGCAGGATGTCGACACCCACACTTCGCTCCCTACGACTCTTACGGTCGCCCCTCTGCGCTTCATGCCTGCGCCAATCCACACAAAATAGCCTTCGCTTCTCCTCATCAAACGCTACGCCCCCATTACTGGCAAAGCTCAGGGAAGACATGAAAACCGCCATGAGAGCAAAAGACACTGCGAGGTAGGACAGCATGCTCGGACCTCCGCATCAGGAGATACATCAACCAAAAACAAAGGCTAAAGGAATACGGTAGGTTGAGCGTGATCCGCTCCATCATCTCCGAGATCAATCGGCTAGAAAGCGGGCCCACACCCATCAAGACAGATCTACAATTGTTGAACATGCTGAACAAGCGCAAAGAAGCGTCGGCTACAGCAGCGAGGCAGTTTGCGGAGGCGAAGAGGGAAGATCTGAAGGAAAAAGAGGAGGCACAGATTTCGGTATTGGACGAGTATGCGGCGAGCGTGCAGGTCATGTCGAAAGAGGAGATGCTGCCTATCATTCGTGAGGTTGTCGCAGGGATGGGCGAGGATGGGAAGAGGCAGCCTCTTGTCATGAAACAGCTCTTACAGCCTGGAGGTCCGTTGGAAGGTAAGCCGGTCGACAAGAAGGAGCTCGCAAAAGCGGTTCAGGAGGTTCTGGCAAGCGTGTAGCGCAATAGCAGGAAGGCTGGACTTGTAAGATCAATTGTATAACTGACTCTCCCATAGATGCTAAACTTTTGCTGAGCAATTCAATCAAGACCAAGCGCCGGCACTGCTGTTGGATAAGCACGGCGGGCTTGCTTGACATACTCAGAGTCGTCCTTTCCTTCCTTGTCCAGCAGCTTGGGCAGGCCAACGTAGTGATTGATCCAATTGATGACCTGGTGGTGCCAGACTCGAGAGTTCTCAGGCTTCAGCACCCAATGATTCTCATCCGGAAACGAGAGGAAACGAGACTCGACGCCTCGCATCTGCAGCACATTGAAAGCGGCCAAGCCCTCCGCCATGGTGAGTCTGTAGTCGAGCTCCGAGTGGATGACCAACATTGGCGTGTTCCAGTTGCCAATGAAACGACTCGGATCCCACTGTTCCCAAGTATCTTGTTTCTTCCATAACGGACCGCCGAGGTCATGGACCGGGAAATATAATTCGTCAGTCGAAAGTTGAGCGGTAAGACTGAAGACTCCATCATGGCAAACAAGCGCTTTGAACTTCTTCGCTAGATCGTGTCCTTGGATCCAGTTCATCATGTATCCGCCGTAACTGGCACCTAGCGCCACAGCGCGAGACGTGTCTACGAAGTCCAGATCATCTTCGATATACTCAAAGCCTTTCACCAGATCTTCGTACGGAAGACCTCCCCACTGAGTCCGGATGCGTCGGTGAATCCTTGCCCGTAGCCTGTCGAGCCCGTTGGGTTGGGCGCGATCACGATATAGCCTTGTTCCGCAAAAATGCATGGGTTCCATCGTGTCGACCACGAATCATTCCAAGCGCCTTGTGGCCCACCATGAATCAAGTAGGCAAGAGGATACTTCTCGCCTGCTTTGTAGAAGGACGGCTTGACCATCCAAGCATGGACCGAATGGTCATTTGCGCCCTTCCACCAGAGACTGGAGACTTGCGCTGGCGACAGACCGAACATTGACCCATCGCCGGTCAGCGAAGAGACCACACGGGCATTTACTGGGTCGACGGGATCAATGATGGTGTAAGTGCTGCTGTCAACCAGGCTATTGCTTGAGATAAACAGCAAGCGCGAGTCGGACGAGGCGGGAGCCGCAGCAACAACGTTGCCGCCAGAGGTGAGCTTCGTGGGCTTCCAGCCTGGGCCTGGTGGGGGCGTGAGGTCAAGCCTGAAAAGGCAGCCACATCCAACATCTTCTGTTTCCAGGATCAGTGCTTTGCCGTCATTAGCCCAAGCGATACTGCGTGGTGACCGGTCCCATGAGCCATTCCCGTCGCCTGATGCCAGTGGTTCCGAGGCAGTGGCGAGGCCGGCAAAGTTATGTATCAAGACGATATGGTTCTTGTCGGACTCGTAGCCGTCTGTCTTCATCTTCAGGAAGGCAATATGATTCCCATCAGGCGAAAACACAGGAGAGGTAGCAGCGCCATCGAAGCCGCGAAGCTCGCCAAGCTTTATTGGTTCCGGCGAGCCCAACTCCATGAAGTCTTCCTTGTTGATGAAGTATAAATTACACTTCGTATGGATAGCAGGATCAACATCTGGGTCCTTTGCCACAAAGCAAATACCCTGGCTGCCGACATCGAAATGGTCTGCGCCGCCGAAAGGTGGGATTGGGCTCTCCAGCTTGCTACCTGCCAGAGCATTTTGAAAGCCCATGAGATGATATCGTCCGGGCCTTGAGGTTACCTTCGGGGACGACTTCTGCAGCACACCAGTGAAGATCGTCGAGCGCTGATTGGTGACATAGCGGTCCCAATGGCGAACGAAGAGAGAGTCGTAGATTCGAGCAGAGGAATGGGGCTTCTGTTCGTCCTTTGGGCTGTACAGCGTGCCATCCGGATTGGCTTGGCCAGCGACGGCAATAGCGACCATGCCAGGCTTGATTGTATACACCTTCAAGTTGCTTACGGGACCCGGCACTGTGCCCGCTGTGTAAGACTTCCCGGGCTGACTGGCATCCGCGATGATGAAAGAGGTGTTGCCATTCTCGAGCTCCTTCAGCCACACAACCTCATATCCGCTCCCAAGCCATGTTGACTCGCTGGCCTTGCTGTCTTTGCTGATGATCAGAGTTTGACCATTGGTGATGTCTAGTACGCCAATCTCATTCACCTTTGAGTGGCTGTCGAATGAATATGTGCTCTGTGAGAATATAGCAAGCTTGCCGTCCGGGGAAGGCGTTGCTGGTCCTCGTCGTGGAGCTTGTAGCATCACCCTATAGGTTTAGCAAATCTGGTTCGCGTCGAAGCGGGGGGAGTCACTGACTCTGGGGTGAACTTTTTCGCTGTTGCGACCATGATGGCGGTGAAAACAAACAGCAGCTTTGAACAGAGCACAGTCTTCAACGAACTTGTCACGAGGGGCACATCAATTCCAGCACGTTCAGACGAAGTATTCAGGATGCGTCTGACGGGTGCTTCTCGCAGCTTCAGAGATGCTTATTGAGGTTTGGGGACATTCCTCAAGCGGTTCATGACGAACTGAAGACGAGGTTGCTTCTGGCCCTCGGACGCTAGTCTGCATCTAGAAAGGGCGTGCATGGCTGCCTTGAGCACCGCTCACCTCTCATCTAACCGACAAGGCGCATCGAAAGTTCAGTGCGTCGTAAGGGTGCCTCATTACCTTTGCAAAGCGCGATTTGCCATCGCACAGGAACAAGCAGGAAGCAAAGAGCAAGAACCTGTGTAGTCTCCGATCGATTGTCGTCAGAGATGCCCAGGACGCCCGACATCATCCGGGAAAATGCCTCCTGCCAAGTCTAAGCCGTACGGTCCTGCAGCAGCTCACCCCGACTTACCTTCCAGCAGCTCACCTTTGTCTCCACGCTGATGCTTCGTAGATTCATCAAAGGCGCGCCGGTGCGACTCGAAGTCTGACGTTGTACCTGGTAACAGTGCCCTTGCTCGTTGATGCATGCTACACTACAGCGCCCACATGAGTGCCTGCAAATTTGGATCAGCTAGCTACTAAGACGGGCGCAACGCTCCATCCTACCATTTTGGACCACTGTTGCTGAACGAGGTCGTCGATTGCGACATGTCTTTACGTGTATGGTGCCGTCGTCCAGCACGCACGGTCAGCTCGCCAAATTGCGTGCCAAGATCCATGACCAACATCACAGAAGTCGTAGAGCGATGCGATGAGCGCTTCCGGGTGAAGAATTTTCTGCTTCCAGGTTTGTAGGAAGGCTACCCGGTCCTGGTTCAGGCCGCTTGCCGCGAATGCGGTACCATCAGTGATTCAGCACGTCCCGATCATAGCCATCGAGGCTCATCTGACCCCAAAGGCCGAGGCATCCTATCCCATCCTACTTCCAGGCCATCAATGGTGGCAGCATGTTTGACAGCTTTGAGCGACCCAAATTGGGAGATCTTCGTCTCGAGCATGCCGACTGGAAGATCAGCTTGTCTGCTAGCGTCTGTGCAGTCGAAACCAGTGTTGCCTGGATATTGGCCAAGGCTCTTCAGGTATTTCATGGTCCCTGCCAGACTGACCTCTACTGCGTAGGATCCACCTTCCGTGGCTTGTTTATACAGAGCGGTCATGATTGCGAATGCAAGAAAATATCCCGATGCATGGTCTAGCGCCTGACAAGGCAAAACGCGCGACGCCTCACCTTGTCCGTAGTGGTCTGCCTCTGATACGTTAATCCCGGACTGAGTCTGCACAATGGAATCGAATCCTCGGTGCTTGCTCCAAGGACCTGACGAGCCATATGCTGAGAGACTCGCATATACGAGACCCCCCTTTGTCTTCTTGAGCAGCTCTTCCTTGCTGACTCCTTTGGCAGCAAGAGCGCCTGGTCGATAGCCTTGAATAACCACGTCAACATCCTGGCACAATGTATCAAAAGTCTGCGTGTCACTTTTGTCTGTCAAATCTAGCTGAATGGATCTCTTGCCTCGAGCGGTGTCTTTGTCAAGGGCAGGCAGGCTCGGTAGCTTCGGACTGGTCACCCAAAGCACATCGGCACCATGGACAGCCAAAGTTCGGCCACATACTGGCGCAGCAAGTACTCGGCTGAACTCGAGGACTCTCAAGCCCGCCAGGCACTTTCGACCACCGCTGTCTAGATGGGCTTTCCACCCAGGAGCAGGTCCTTCCGCAATCTTCGTGATTAAGACCGGAAAATCTGCGACAGCACTTGCTTGCGGTGACGAATCCCACTCCTCACATGATCTCAGAGCAGCAATTATGGCTCCAGATCGAAAGGCTCTGGTCTCAAGATAGGTTGAACTGTATTGTAGCAACTGTCGTTTAATCGTTTCTGTGCTCGCATTAGGTAGGCAGCCGATCAGATGTAGGGCCGCTGCACGATGGTGAGGGAAGCCATCGTGAATCCGCACATGACCATCTTTGGTACTATGAAGGCCGCCAATAGCATGTTGCTCTTTGGCTGGGGCATGACCGTTGATGGTATAGAAGCGCTCGGATCTGAACTCAATGCAAGCATGATCGAGAGGAACCGTCACAGTAGGGAGTTTGTGCAAAGCAGCAGGTCGGTCACCCTGGCGAGAAGTGTGTATCAGCGTCGCAGCCAGCGCTGTTAACGCAATCGTAGCTTGTGCAAGCTGTCCGACCTTATAGGAAGATGGCAAGCCAACATTATCGGCGTTAGGAAGTCGCAAGGCACCGAGTGCAAACGATGGCAGGCCGACAGCGGTCCAGATCTCCGCTATTGTATCGTATGTCGAGTGAGAGGCGCGGCCACTCATGATATCGAGCGCTCTCTAGAGCCGTCAGCAATTCAGTGCGATATCATTTCAAGATACTGGAGCATCATTTGAATGCTCCTAGTTGGTAGGAGTATGGTAGAGCGAACGATAACTTGAACTTCCCCTACAAATGCCTCGGCTTAGGGGCACTAAAGTCTTTTGTACAGAACCCTCTGCCACGTAGCGCCTTGTGACTACTCACTCAGCTTCCGACAGCTAGAACGACATCTCATTCACAGACGGACTTCTCGAGACATAGCCATCGAGAGCAGCGGCGTCGGTGGCGCGAGTTCGCCTTGTGCCTTCCACGTCCTGGGGGCGAGGCTAATTCCGGAAGATGAAACGGCGCAATCTGCACCGCCAGGCAGGCAGCAATGGGGGCCATGATGCCCCAAGACTAGATATGTCCGCTCGAATGCTCGTTCATCATACTCGTTCAACTCAAAGACTTCGAAGACGCTTTAAACATGGACACTGACTATAGTATGGGTCGCGACATCCTCCGCACAGTGTGGACCTTCCAGGCGATTGTCGCAGGCCCAATCTTTGTCTGGCTGGGTGTGTATTAGCAGTCTTCAACACGTTCTATACTTTCGACACGATCTACGACTTCTTTAACCATCTCTGCAACTCCCTAATGGCTGGCGGAATCATCTTCACGGTCTTGCTCCAGCGGAAGATCCCGACCGGGAAGACGTCGAAGAGCATGACTCTGCGCTTCGAGATTCTGAAATCTGTCCTGGCTACAGCTCTCTGGCTTTGGCTGCTACTGGATGCTATCTTTGGTCCTCGAGATCACTATAGCTACTATAAGGATAGGTCGCAGCGTATCATGGTAGCAGCGATCTCATCGCTGTTGTTATTGTGAGTCCATCAGGTTGCGGAGTGAACGTTGTTGATCGTCTTCTAGCATCTTGTACTATCCTACCGTTTGGCTGGCGTACAGAGATACGGCGCGAGAGGCACCTAGCTCCGACGATTCAGGAGACGAGCGCACTCCATTGCTGAACGATGCATCTGCCTGACCTGACCCAGCGGAATTCAATCTGGATCAAGTTGACAAACCACGACGTTTGGCCGCATGAGCTGCAGGAGTCTCAGATCCAGCAAGAGCCTGGAGACCGGCTGGGACCGATCCACCAATCTGTACTGCTTCAAATTATGCCGCCCTGCTGAGATCCATATGCTCATTCTGGTTGGACCATCAGCCATCCATATCCCTCTACTGGCGACGCTGATCCAGCCTAGACAGCCAACCGCCATTCGCATCGTCGTCCAAGTAATGAAGCCACGATTGGTATTGCATCTCCTCCAACATGGCCTGCGCGGTATTGTCGTTAGATGATCGTTGCTTCTCGACGGCCAGCTCCATGGAGACGATCTGCTTTTTGCCAGCGTCGGTCTGTGCCCAGTTGTGCAGAAGCCTTGCAGATCGCCAGACGTTCAGAAGTAGCTGTTGATAATGTGGTGGCTGCTGGAAGAGTGGCACTCCCTCACGGGCGTTGAACGCTCTTGCCATGAGCCGATACAGAAGGAGTTGGATCTTGCACACTTGGGCAAACGGGATATAGATATCACATCGAGCATCTGTGACGCAGTCAGATGGGGGATCGTAATGAGTCGGTTGTACACTTACACAGATCAAGCCATATGTAAACTATCGTCATCGACTTGTTGACGTGGAAGGACAAGGTCGCGAAGTAGTTGGTGATCTCTCTTGGGATCTCGGCGCCCGCCTTGAGCGCAAAGGGCTTCTTGATGTGAGGGAAGGGGTCTTTCAACATTGCACAGAACTTCTTGTCGACGCCGTACTTGGTGTTACTGCGTGTTTCGTTGAGGAAGTGCAATCCGCAGCTTACGATGTCTCCGATCTCTGCTTCCGTGCGATGATCGTAGAGCAGTGCGGGCTGATAGGGCGTCGGTTGCATCGCTGGTATATGAGGGACTGGCTCTTGTGCTCGGCGGGAGGTCTCGTGACTCTGATCTGTCGGAGCCTGACTTGGCGCAAGGTCTTGGAAATTAGTCCAGTTGCGTGCGGGTGTGATGTTGCGCACTCACATTCCTGAACGAGCTGCTCAGCACCCTGGCCGTACTGAGCCAGCAACTTCATATACTCGGCGATATGTTCTACCGCTTCAGCTGGGGGTAACTGTAAACAGTAATCAGCATCGCTTCAGCAAGTAAGGAAGGCCAGTGTGCTTGCCTTGGCTGAGAGATCTTTGAGTGAGAGCGAGATTGACTTGTGACCAGCGTCTGCATCTTTCCCTCGCTTGCGCTTGGAGTCACCCATGTGCCCGTCTTGTCTGTGGGATTGCGTGTCTCGTGTAGGAGATTCGTCGCTGTCCGAGGGAATGGTTATGGGTGAGACTTCTGGACGCTCTGGCGAGCCTCGTCGTTGGTCTGGCATGATCGGAAATTGCGCTTGCGAGTGTTTGCGATGCCTCGATGCAGTTTGGGAATGCGCAGAAGGCGAGTATCGAAGTAAGTGAAGTCGATTGCGCCAGCTACTTCGTGCAGATCAGAGCTGTAACCCGGGCGACAGACAAGTCGGCAAGCCTAGCACTGAAAAGAAATCTTGAAACGAAGACTTGTCAATTTCACTGGATTACCTCTGATCAGTTGAGTGATCACTTGCGTTCACTTTGTCCTTCACCGAGCCTCGCCGGACAACTCCAGGGCCACTTCGTTCAGCGACGGCTTCAGAAATATTGTACAAGAAGGATGTCGAGAAACACAATTACCTGCTTCCTTCAGTACCTTCGTCTCTGCCAGCCCTTCGACGTAGGCATGGTCACCCATATCTTGCTACTGTCCCGCAGCGGGCGCCCTCCTGGAAATCTTGCTTCGGCCTCGGTTCGCTTCTTGCCCTTTTTGGTGCCCTTCTTGATGCGGAGCTTTTCAAAGAAAACATATGCGCCGTAACTGGTTCGATGTTAGTCTTGTCCTTTATGAAATGGCTCATCAACCTGTCCATTGACCATCGGTCGCGACCTGGAAACAAGACTCACTATACAGAGGACTCCGCCCCAGATGCTTCGCCTTTCTTCTTCAGGAACGCACTGAGCTGCGTACTCTGAATCTTCTTGTCGTCGACAGGGAATGATTTGGCGATCTCTCGACAAAAGCTGGCCTGTGTGACACCCGGTTCCTTCAGATGAGCATTGATCTTACGTCTGACCTCATTGCAATCATCGTACACGGCGACTGCTTCGTTGTCTTCCCCTGGGATCACTACGCCGCTCACGTCGAAGTGCTGAAGGTCCTTTGCTGGTGCGGTCTTTGGCGCGCTGGTCTTGATGCCCCGCTCCTGGCGCTTGCGAAAGAATTTATGAGCCAATTCATAGGTCTGATTATCGCTGCCGGTGTATGGACCTTTGTAACTCATGAAGCGACCATACGAGTTGCTATTGATGCCCAATTCCTTCTGGAATTGCGTAACCTTGTACTCGCCACTACGTAAGAGGCCGTTGATCTTGTTGCGAACCTCATCGCAGTTGAAGATGAAGTGCTGCTCATCGTCTGACGAGTCGTCGTAGGCTTGAGCATGAAACTCCTGGGTGGGCTGCAGCTGCCTCACATCGGCCTTCAGTGCTTCGAGAGAGTTGGTGGGTACCGTTGGCGCGCTCGCCACGCGGTTGGGTCGATCTCACGAAGAGCCATTCTGGATGAGCGACTACTGCTGTAGACTATAGGATGGATGGTCTTCTGGCACGGTCAGGTCTACATACGTCAGAGAAGAGCGACCGAAGCAGGACATACTACATTGTTTTGGAACCTTTCACGCGACGCGATCTTAGCCCCGGAACGACGTCATTGCTGAACGCGAAGTCACGTGGCACTACTATCGCCTCAGCTCATTGAACGTCCTCGTAGCTTTGTTGCCTTTCTACTTCTCAAGGAGAGGTAGAAAGGAGGCTTCCACATTGTCGCGCATTAGCTGCGAGCTTTCTGACAAGAAGATAGTGGTCATGTCAATGTGCATGCATGCAAGACACCGCGGGTACTTGCCTATGATGTCAGTGCCAGTCAGCATCCAAGACTTCAAGTTCGTGGCGACTTCGACACAGCCCAGTACCCATGGCCTTTGCGGACATGCCGGCTTAGGCACCATAATCCTGTACAGCATTAATTATACCACATTGTAGTATTCTTTTGTCTGCCCAGTGTTGACCCGTCCTGCACTCCTTTTGAGCAAGAGACGATTCCGATGCCCAAAATGATTCGCCTTCCACCCCTGCTCAAGCCTCGCCTTACCTGGCAATACATTGTGTGTGCATCCATCGGCGTATACATTTCCTACTGCGTTCTCTTCGACTCTCCTCTTTTCGCGTCCCGACTACCGCAATATACCGGACCCTACAATGTCGGCGCAATCGACATCGAGGCGCCATGCGAGGACCGATGGATCAGCAACTTCAGATCCAGAAGCACTGGCGAGCCGGCATTCCAGTTGTCAACTGTACTTTTCACGATCTACTACCCCGCCACAAATAAGCACTCTAGACCAAAACATCGGCATTATTGGATTCCCAAGCCAATATCTATTACTGGCGAAGGCTACTTGCGCTTCGGCGGTGTGAACAACTTTATCAGCAATAGCATCATTACAGGCGCTTTATGGGGAGTCGCTGGCGGCATCACCATTCCCGGAAAGGTCGACGTCCCCTTGGCCGATGTCGAGCAGGCCAAGCTCCTCGCAAGTCAATCGGACTACACAATCCAGATGCTCCCCCAGCACAAGGACCAGCTGCCCGTCCTCGTGTTCTCGCACGGCTTTGCCTCCTCGCGAACAGACTACACCAACTACCTGGGAGAGCTGGCGAGTCGAGGCTACGTTGTGGCTGCGATCGAGCATCGAGACGGGAGCGGGCCAGGATCCCTTGTCATCAAGGACGGGAAGCCGACGAAGGTCGCGTTCCCCATCAAGTTCTCCCACATGGCAGAAGCATCAGATCTGGACGCCGCGGACTTCAAGCAAGCACAGCTCGACTTTCGCCAGGCTGAGGTCGAGGAGACCATCCGTGTCCTCAAAGCAATCAACGACGGCCAGGGTGACAATATCTACCAGTCAAATTCTCGCAACGAGGGCAAGGACTTACAACACTGGAAAGGTCGCCTGAATGTGAAGGAGATCACCATCGGCGGCCATTCGTTCGGCGCTACTTTGGCACTGCAGACTCTCAAGGGTGCTCCGTCTGAGGCACTTCCGCTTACAGGTGGCGTTGCTCTCGATCCTGGCAAGAGCAGTGGACAGCTCAATGCCGACATTAATGTTCCGCTCCTGGTCATTCACTCAAACTCTTGGTCGAAGCAGGACTCCGTTTTCTTCGGCCGACCTCACTTCGATGTGGTGAAGGAGCTTGTGGAGGGTGTTGACAACAGAGGGAAAGCAGCGTGGTTTTTGACTTCTCGTAAGTTCGTGCCGTCCATGCTTCAGATAATCTGCTAACAGTCTGCAGTGGGCACTTCTCACCCGAGTGTGACCGACGCGCCTTTGATCGAGCCACTTCTGCTCGGACTCGCCACCGGATCGACTATCGATGCCAAGGAGGGCGTACGCGAGTATTTCAAGGCTACCGAAGAGTTTCTGAGATATCAACATTTCAAGGTGCGGACTGGTCTGCTTGCACAACCGATCTCGCATCCGGAGTACAAAGACCCGGAGGGTGACAAGAGCGTGCTGGATATGCAGTATCAGAAGTACTGGCAGGTGCATGTGGCGCCCGACATGGCACTGGACGCGACGTAAGTACTGGTCGCTAAGCCCACGGCCCGGCCGACTTTGGCACGTATGAATGTACGAATGAATATGAAACCACGATTATGTATTGGCTAGGTACATAGCCTGATCAATGTTCCCCGCTAGACACGTGGTTTGAAAGCGATTGTGCCGTCGGACATCCACGCGTTTCGTCTGGGCGAAGTCTAAGTTCTTGTATAAAGTAGCCTTGCTTGCAACGTCCTTGAGACCTGCCATGTTGACACAGGCATCATGGTCACCGGCTTCAACATAGTCGAAGCAAGCATCGAGGATCATCAGCGCGCGCTCAGCAACGGAACTGTGACCAGCGTTGAACTAGTCGTGAAGTACTTTCTCCGCATTGCAAAATACGACATCCGAGGTGGACTCAACGCCTATACAGTCTTCAACGACAAAGCTCTCGACGAGGCTCGCGCATCTGATGAGAGACGTGCTGCGGCAAAGGCTATCGGTCCACTCGATGGCATTCCATACTGCCTCAAAGACTCCTACAAGTACAATGGCATGACCGTGACGAACGGCTCGCCCGCCTTACAGGGACTAATGTCAAATGAGGACTCCTACATCGCCTCTCAATTCCGCAGGGCCGGCGCTGTGCTCCTAGGAAAGACCAACATGCCCCCCATGGCCGCTGGTGGCATGCAACGCGGTCTCTACGGCCGAGGCGAGAACCCCTACAACCGAGATTACCTCGCCGGCGCGTTCTCCAGCGGCTCCTCCAACGGCGCGGCGACGTCAATCTCTGCAAGTCTTGCGGCTTTTGGCATGGCAAGTGAGACGGTCTCCTCAGGACGATCACCCGCCAGCAACAACGGCCTCATTGCCTACACACCATCTCGCGGCATCATCTCCTGTCGCGGACTCTGGCCATTGTACGTCACCTGTGATGTCCCTGTACCGTTCGCTCGCAGTATGGAAGACATGATGCAGATTCTTGATGTCATTGCCGAGCCCGATCCGGTGACAGCCGGCGACTTCTGGCGTGAGCAGCCTCATGTCAAGCTGCCACCTCGTCCCAAGCCCAACTATCAGACTTTGCTCGCTGGAGCATCGCTTGCTGGGAAGCGGATCGCTGTGCCCAAGCGCTATGTCGGCGGCAGCGACTCCCACCCGAACGCAAAACCATCCGTCGTCAGCCCTGCTGTGATAGCAGTCTGGCAGCAAACTCGCGCTGATCTCGAGCGCCTGGGTGCGATAGTGGTCGAAACAGACTTCCCTCTGGTCTCCCGATACGAAGACGACTCGCAGTCCGGCGAAGCGAACAACGTCGTCGGTGCGCCGAGATGGTGGAACCAGTACGAGCGTGGCGAGCTGTGCGCTAAGGCCTGGGACGATTTCCTGCGGTCTGGAGGCGACGAGCGACTCGGCGATATCAGCAAAGTTGATCCGAATATGCTGTTTCCTAAGCCGAAGGACTACAAGCCGGACATCTACATTGAAGCGCGGAACTGGATCAACTACCCGGGCTTACCAGCGCTTGCTGCTCAGTTCGAAGGCAACTCTATTCACGATATTGAAGGTATGGCGGAGACACTACCAGCTTTGGAGGCACAGCGGAAGCGGGACTTCGAAGACTGGCTTGATGAGAATCAATTCGACTTTGTGGTATTTCCTGCCCAAGGCGATGCAGGCAAAGCGGATCTGGAATTTAGCGTTGAAAGTGCCGCGTATGCGTTGCAGAATGGCATCAAGTACTCTAATGGCAATCGCTCGCTGAGACATCTGGGCGTGCCGACTGTCAGCGTGCCTATGGGTGTCATGGAGGACAAAGGCGTGCCGGTCAACCTGACGTTCGCTGGGAAGGCTTATAGCGATGCAGAGCTGTTAAGATACGCTTATGCCTTTGAACAGGGTACGAAGAGGAGGACTTCTCCAGCCAGTACCCCGACATTGTCGACCGATAAGGTCGCGTCCGCCAGTGAGGAGCCGCTCTCGATAGACTTCCGGCTGGATGCGACCGGAAGAAGGACCAACAATGGCGGGATCGAGGTCTCTGGCACACTTATTGCCCCTGATGGCCTCGGCCAACTAGATGCCGTACAAATATGCCTGGATAATGAATCTGGCGGTTCTGCAAAAGTCATCCATGGTAAGTGGTCTTACTCTGAGTCATACAAGCCAGCGCCTATCGAGCGACTGGACTGGAGCTTGCAGGCGATGAAGCAGCCGCCAGTCATGGTACTAGTGACAGCAACGCGAGAGGATGGTCGTATCCTCGCAGCAAAGCTGCTCTGGATCTGAAAAGTCCAATTTCTGGAGGATAAGGCAGATACTCTGGCATGACGGAGCAGTCGTGTGGCTTCAGACGCTGCGAGCAGCGTGGACGTCCGACAGCAAAAGCCGAAGAACTAGAAGCCAAGGCTTTGGGACAGCAGATGGATGGGAAGCAGCAGAACGACGTATTCACTGCGCCGCCAAGTCGACGTCATCCACCAAGGATGAGCCAACTCCACGTCAGCGTCCCAAACATGGCACCCCCAGAGTCAGTGCACAGCTTCCGCAAACCTTCAAAGCCATCTCTATGTCCTGTCTCGACCGTGCGAGGGCGCTCTATCTCCGCCCGTTGCAAGTCCTTGCTGTCATGGGCGCATGATTATGGTAACCTCGCCGAAGCAACCCTGCCATGTGTAACGCTCCACTTCCAAGCTTCAGTTTAGTGTTACGACCCTCGTCTTTCGCGTTTGAACCACCTCCTTTTCGACTTCTCGGGTTTGGCATCGTCATCCTCGTCTAGATGAGGAAGCGGGGCCAGCTTTCCGGACCCATCAATTCCCGGAAAGTCGGACCCGGCCGTCGATGCATGTGTGTCTGGATGTGCGCTGTCAGGCACCCAGCCCACATAGTCGTCGTCAGGCGCTTGTCTGGGAGCAGGTGGTGGATGCGGCGGTGGTGCGAAATTGCCGTCTGGTGCCGCGCGAGGTGGTGGCGGCTTTTGTACTATTTGCATGCCGTTCGGTGCCTGCGGCGGAGGTGGTGGAGGAGGATGTGATGGGAGCTTTCCAGAATAGTAGTTCGAGCCAGGACCTGGATCGGGTGGTGGTGGCGGCTGTTGATAGCCAGTCGTTGGATGACTTCTGGGAGGCGGTGGACCTACTGGAGGAGCGAACTCTTCGTCTGGTGGTGGTCGTCTTGCGGGAGGAGGCCCCGGTGGTGGTGCGAAGCTCTCCTCGGAAGCGCCACTATTTGGCGATGCTTGCGTGCCGCTGCCGCTGCTTGTCTGTCGAAGCACGTGACCTTCGCCTTTGTCAAATTTGTTGCGCAGACTCTTGGTCCCATGCTGCGACTTCAGCTCGTGGAGGATAGGCGCTTCCCGTACGTTTGGCACAGCGACCGGGGGACGTATGGGCGTGGGCGCATGGAGCACCGGAGGCTCAACGGGTGAAGCGTTTGTAGTCGAAGGACTGATAGTCGTAGCAGGGCTCAGTCCGAGGCTCATATCAAATTCTCTGTCTATGGCTTGTCGGCCCTCGAGCATGGGTGAAGGCGAGTTGCCGATCATGCCGGTCGGCACACGATGGATACCTGGACGTTGCGTCGATTCTGGCGGTGAAGACGTATTTGGTGGTAACTGTAAAGGCTGCTGTGTATGCGCCCATTGGCCAGGTCTCGGGATCTGTTGTAGGGGTGACTTGTTCCACATCTTTGAGCCTGCTGGTGGTGGGCCATTGTTGCGGAAGGGCGAGGCTGATCTGGCTCTGACCTTTGCCTTTCCAACCTCTATTGGTGGTGCTTCTGCCTCATCACCGCCCTCCCCGATGACCACTGGCGGCCGATCCACGAACTGTACACTGAGACCTCTTGCTCGTCCCCGTCCTTTGGAAAGAGAACTACTCGACTGACTTCTCGTCTGGTAATGTGGCTTCAAGAGACTGGACTCGGTCTGTTCGGTATCTGCCTGGAGTGGCTGCGCACCAGGATATCTTTGCGATGTCGAGACATCGATCTTGGGGACGACTATGCGCCGGGGAGACTGCTGTGGCGGAGGGATGAAGTCTGTAGAGTGTTGGTTCTCCGGCGCATCGTGATAGTGCGACTGATTCGTCGGTGGCCGATCCGAAGTCAACGACAGACTATCCGAGACGGACGGTCGACCGGTCGAGACTGACGTCCTCCCCGTAGCCAGGAAATCATCCACCGTCGTGCCAGCATCCTTATCCTTCTTGCTTAGCTTGGTCTTTGTGCGCGCAAGTCGCTCCTTAAATTTGTCTCTCCTCGAGGCCTTGCGAGTGGGGTCAGCCGTATCCTCCTCGTCTGACATCTTGTGGTAAAGAAGGAGATATCATGGCTTGGTACTCGAGATCGTCAGACCGCAGAAGTACACACCACTGCAGGGCTGTAGGTAATACGGAAAGGCTGAAACGGTGCGGAATGCCACCACAAGCGACCTTTCAAGGGCGGTGAAACGGTTGCAACATACCTGCATTCAAACCACAATCAGCTGCGGCGTCAATGCGCGCAGCCCCCGGCCTCAGTCGAGCGCCGTTAGGGGTTAGGCTTCAGGCAGGCCAGATACCTGGACCAGTCGCTGATTGGCTGTGTCAGATGCCGAGGCAGTTTCGGACGAGGTCGACAAAGTCGAGGATGTGTTATCACTCCCCGATGAAACTCAAGAGATTCGACTACTTCTTAAAGAACGCTTCTTGGCCGCGATGACGAGTGGTAAGCAATAGTGCAGGAGACTCAAATATCAGTGTGCTTTCTGTAAAAGAACATATAACTGTTCTACCAATTCCCAGCAAAGGACATCCAACAGCAGACATTCACTCTTTGACCATGGACGAAGCAAAAAGGAAGAAGATGATGAAGGAAGCCTACCAAAACCCAGACCTGGAAACTTCGTTGTGGGACCGGGTCATGGCACTCAACGCAGCAATCGCCGACGACCCAGACTATCTAGGCCCGGACACCATCGCCCACCGCGCTGGAAACACAAAGCTACTGAAAGTCGAGCCCGGCCGGACAGAATGGGAAATGGACGTCACCCCTGCTCACGCAAATAAGAGCGGCAATATGCACGGCGGCATGGCTTGCATCATCCTCGACAATCTCACTTCGACGGCATTGTTGACGCTCGCGAAGCCTGGCTTCCTGGACGCAGGGCATGTCTCGCGAACGATCACAATGAGCTATCTGAGGCCAGTGCCTATTGGCGCAAAGATCAAGGTTGTTGCTGAAGCTGTGGCGGCGGGACGGAATACGGCCAACTTGAAAGGGGAGATTCAGATTGATGGAAAGGTTTGTGTGACTTGTATACACGATAAGGTGGTGTTCAAGAAGGGAGAGGTGCATCCAAATCAGAAGCCAAAGCATAAGGCGAAGTTGTAGCATACGTCCATTATTGAAGTACAGCCAGTGCGCAGGGAGTGCAGACCGGCGTAGACTAGAAGAATCAGCGTGAAGTTAGAGCTGGAAATTGGTTCGTTGTAGTTGGTTTTCGCATGTACATATGTTGCATCTAGATGGGCTGCCACCACAGTACCTAGTCCCACAGAAATCCAGCATATTTCCTCCAGCCAGGGACTTTCTCTTCGAACCCTGGGTCTTCCGCTGCTCTTTGCAATGCCTCTTCGAGAGGAATTTCTGCCAGCCTCTGGTATTTGGTGCGCTTGATGACCTTCCATAACAGGAAAGCGGTCAGCACAAGTGGTATGTCACTGTTCCATGTTAGTCAATGCTATTTCCCTCATGGTGGTTGCTTACAGGTATGATGAGATGAAGCCAGCTGTGCTCCAGTTCCCACGAGTAAAGGTAGGGAAGCCGGCCGTTAATAAGATCACGACGCAGAGCACCAAGGCTGCTGGCGATGCCCACTCGGTCCATCGATTGTGCCAAGGCAATCTGCTCAGCGGTATGCCCTGTTTCTTCATAGCCATAATCAAACGCCAATGGTTGAGAAGAATCGTGATCCACGAGATCAGAACACCACAAGCAGTCAGATCCACGAACCACCAGAACACCGTCAACGCACCCTCAGACAAGCTCATGAAGCTCAAGAACATGAATGCCGTCAGCAAAAGCACGCACATGTACGGCACTCCCCAGCTGGTCGTCCGCAAGAATATCTTTGGTGCTTGTCGCTTGAGAGCAAGACCGTAGAGCACTCTCGTGCCAGATAGAAGTGCTTGGTTTTGCGCCGACCAGGCTGATGTTATAACGATGGCGTTGACCACAGATGGAACGCCTTTGAGACCGGCTGCGCTTGCTGCGATGACAAATGGGCTCTGTGCTGCTGTGCCGTAGGCGTCGTTGAGCCGTTCGTCGTCTGAAGAGACAAGCATGCCGACCACTAGCACCGCCAAAATGTAGAAGACCGTGACACGGGCAAACACTCGTTTAACGGCCTTAGGAATCGCAATACGTGGGTTCTTTGTCTCCGCCGCCGCCATCGCGATGGACTCGACTCCGGCAAAAGAGAAGACTGCGCTGGACATGACAGCCCAATACCCAAGGAAGTTGCCCCATGCTCCGCTTGCGATATATTCGACAAATGGTCCTGGATCCTTCCAATAGCGGAATCCCACGCGCGGCGTTCCGGAAACACCTCCGAGATCGATGACAAGCCCGAGGATAATGAGAAAGATGATGAAGAGGATCTTCAGCACCGCGAACCAGAACTCAACTTCTCCGTAAATCTTGATCATACTGATTCCAATCGCGAAAGTGAGAGCAATGAAGATCATGATCCAAAGCGCCGAGTTGATATCCGTCCAGTACTGGAAGAGCACGGTAATAGCTGTGATCTCAGCGGGAATGCTCAAGCAGTTGCCATAGACAATATTCCACCCGATAGCAAATCCAAGTGCAGGATCGGTCAGGAACTCGGCATGCCGCACAAAGCTACCGGTGACAGGTAGCAGAGCGCTAACTTCGCCCAAAGCGAACTGTACGCAGCAGACAATCAGGCCAACCGTGATATATCCAAGCAAGGCACCAAGCGGTCCGCCTGTCTGAATGGCGCCTCCGAGTCCCAGGAACAATCCAGTACCGATTGCTCCAGCAATCGCGATCAAACCGATATGTCGTTGCTTAAGTCCTCGAGAAAGGTCCTGCTGCTCGTTCACAGTCAAAAAGTCGCCTTCTTCCGACGCAGAACTTGAGGCGATGCCATGATGCCGATAAGGCTCCTCCACTCCGCTGTGCACGTCAACGCCGCGCTTGTCGGGGTCCGAGACGTTTGACGCATTCATGATGAGAGGCGTCGTTTCGTCGTTCAAGCCTGCAATGCCTTCCTCGACACTCGTGCTGCCAGCATCGAAACCGCCAGCAGAAATAGCATGAGATGATGGCGGCATCTTGAGTGCCTTTTCTACGGGGTCCGGTGGCCGAAAGTTAGCGCTAAAGGCCCGCAGAGCTTACGGCTCTGCGCTTGAGCTCATATCTCGAGCAAATGGCGTGCTGTGCCGCGTCGCTGGAAAGAGCAAAAATGTTACCTTCAATGACACCGACGGCCAATCCTGCGGGTCGGTGGCTAACATGTCGCGAGGGTTTTCGCGTGCGAGTGCCTATTTAAGCTTTGTCGTGGCGTTCATGTCCGGGCATGGCATAGGCGGAATAATGTCGAAAAACAGGGCCAGATTAGGTTACTGTAACGAAATCGGACGTATACACGTTAAATGCCTGTTTGCAAGGCAAATAACGACAAATAAGCATGACACCCGGCAGAGACACAAGAGTTTGAGAAGTGCTTGAAATGATTGTCTATAACCACACGAGGACGCCTTCAGATGGCCGTGCAGAGAATTGAGAACGTGGCTGGTCCGCAGAGAACTTATGGCTGGTGCCTCTAGAACGTACATCGGCGATATCTACCCTACAGGCTCTTTCCGGGCACTGTACATATACCACGCGTGTAGTTGTTGACTGCTCCCTGACCCAAAGTGCAGCAGCTAAGTAGCGGGAGCTTGAGATTCGAGGCAGCAATATGAAGGGTTTAGTCAGTAGCGGACTGACATAATCTTGAGCACTCTGGTCCCGCCGTGTAGACGGCACAGGGAGGTGACAGTACCGATAAAGGGGCCATGTACAGGCGGGCGGGGCGCGGGCGCACAACGCATCGGTCGTCTGTTTCCCTCATGAAGCCCGATCTGTCTTTCCGAAGCGGCGAAGAGTATACCTATACCTATACTGAAGCTGTGTGGCCAGGTTCGCTTACTGAATCGTCGACGTCTGGGGTAAAGGTAGTGTGTTGTCGTTCAATATGCTGTCCGGTCAGCGAATATGAATAGAACGACACATCCAGCGCTGCCCTTCGGCTAGAGTACATCTTCAGACCATGTGGCTTCGAAGGCACATGCCGCGGCCGAACTGTGACCACAGCCGGTAGCAAGTCTGAGCAGGTAAACCCCGCAAGCAGGTGGGTTTTGTAGAGTCATGGCTGCAAGTGCTCCGATGGTGTGGCTCCTGAGTGGCGCGACGGGTTAAGTCTTCCGCAATGCCATGGACGACAGCACTGTGCCGTAAAGTATTGCGGCCAGCGACCATTGCATTGATAGAACCCTCTGCACCAATTCGAGTGAGATAGCACTGGGCTCCGAGCAAGCTCTTTGCGTGCTCAGTAGTATCTAGTGATCCGCAGGCGCATTTCTCTTGACAAACCAGGAAACATTGCCGATACTCGCCTGTGCAGCGCACTAGTCGCGTTTCTGGGCTTTTCTCGACCACTGAACATATCTCGGGCGTGCTCTGGCCAGAAATGTCTTCCAGACGCAGCATCAGAGCCAAGCGCTTCTTGAGCCAACATGTCGACGATTCCTGGCGTTCCCCTCGAAGATCCCGTCCTGACCCACATTCGCCTGCGCAACAGACCACGCAAAGGAGGAGACGCTTTCCAGTTCCCTTGCTATGTGAAGGACTGCCCCATATCTACCAGTCGTAAAGGAGCCCTCCGGCGTCATTTCAATTCCGGCTGGCACGCACCACATGGTTCTGGTCCCACAGCAGACTGGGATCCAAAGAAGGCCTTCCGCGTTCGAGCATCAGAATGGAAGAAAGGTACGATGATGATCGTTCCGCCTTTCCTGTGTTCAGTCAGCTAAACCTTGTGCAGACATCGGCTTGAGCGCAACTAGAGGGGCAACAGACGCGGCTACCTTCCGCATACTGCTTGAGATCCGGTCATTCTACTACGCCCCAACGATCATGAGCGACTCGAAGCATCCAGCGCGCATCAGGGACTGGGGCGCCATGGTTCAGCGCATGATGGAGCAGGAAGAAGTGGTCGCCGGCTCCAACTCCGCCTCCGATACAATCAACAAAGCTTCCAACAATGCCGCAGCCGCTTTGCGAGACGATTCTGCTCCTGCTAGGGAATCTGGCACCATCAAAGACAACGACAGCAGATTCGAGCGGTCGAACGAGAAGTATCAGGAAGTCAGCAGTACCGTTCGTCCCGGGCTGTACAGATCGCTCAAGAAGAGGCGAGGCGACGCGCTCCGAGCTTCAAAGGCCCACGAGCTTACCAGAAAGACGGATCCGGCAAGCTCAAAGTGAGCTAGAACAGAACCAGAGTGCGAGAGCAGCGACAGTGAGAGTATAGGAGGAAGAAGAAGAATGAAGAAGAACGAATGATGCAGTGCACCTGTGCCAAGACGCTAACAGGTAGTCCCTGTGATCCACCGTAGCTTGCACAATTATGAAAGAATCAGTCCTCCTGTCTAGTTCTACTGTCACCATGATCGATGTGCTTTTAGTTGGATTAGTGTAGCATGGTGTGAATAAGACTGACACCAGCACCGGTACAGTCATTCGACAAGCACGTCGTGCCATGTGAGAAAGCCTGTCCAAAACGGAAATACGGCCATGTCCCTTGGACAGCCTATGCATCCAGCCATCAAGTCAATCTCAGTCTCTTACATCCGGTCTCTTCCATGCTTTGATGGTGTCTACGAAGCCGACTCGTCAACATCATAATCTGAAATGGTTGTCTTTTGGCAGTCCTGGAACAGGTTCTCCAAGCTGCAGTGTCTCATATCTGGTTTGCATCAGTATTATCTTCTGCAGCCATACGGCGCCGAGTCCAACTCACCCGACCATCACATGGGCGCCCTCTCCCATGAAGTTCGCAGCATCCTCTGTGTCAAGATAGCGTCGGTTAATCGAGCGGAGCATGGTGGGAAGGGTGCAGGGCCAGAGCGTAAACGAAAGGACTACTGACTTATGATTGCCTGGACGATCTCGTCTTGGCTCATATGTTTGACATACTCCTCGACGCTCTCGACCAGCATCTCTGCCGTCCCATCAAATGGCTGACCATCGGACCCGACAATCAGGGGCAGCCCAAGAACTTTCGCTTTCTCTTGGTACTGCGGTGGGCAAGAAAACTATCCAGACTTCGTGATCAGCCCGTCCCACCCCGATTACTCCATTCAGTCACAGCAAGCAATTGGACAGGAAAGACTTTCGATGAGCACATACCTGGGTGTATCGTTTGGCAATCTGCTTGAAGCCAGGCAATGAAAGTGCACTAGTTCTTGGTGAGCATTCCCTGGCCTACTGAACGTTGAGGACGTCGTTTGCATCAAGGTCATTCAGGCCACCTGGGCACTTACAAGTCTGCGTGCTCTTTGGCCCAGTAAGCATGAAAATGTTCCGGACTCATGCCTTCTTTTCGCTTCAGGAACCACTGGATGCGGATGTAGGGTTGACGAGCGTGGCTTGCCATGACAACAGTTCGCCCTGATAAATTTACGTGCTTTGGTTGACTTGCAGGATAATAATGATATCCGAAGGCAGCCTATAGCCACGAGTAAACAGGTCCGCGCGAAGTGATAATGCTAGTAATCTGACGTTGTCGTTTTGCAACAACCAACTTGAAGCCCTGGACTTAAAAGCAGTAGGTCATCGCAGTATAGCCTCAGTACCTGGCTTGGACAACCGACTCAGCGTATGGGTCTTCTCCATAGCAATGCGGGTCCGCAACCGGCCCCTGTCCCGGCCAGATATCAGAAGCCTGAATGGGCATGGTTTTCGATCATCCCCGGGCTTTCCCCACCACTGGGAAAACGTTATCCAGAGTTGTATTCAGTGTGGGCAGGCCAGCCTCGGCCACGTTGCCCAATGGGCGGCCGTAGTCACTGGACATCATGTAGACTCAAAGCCGTACGGTTCGCGAGCTGGCTCATGAAGAAGACATTGGCCCCTCGAAGGTAGATCGAAACGAGAAGATGGCGAAGGTAGCACTGATCACGGGAGGAGGTGAGTCTAGCATGTCGTCGAGCAGCCCAATTTCGGTCTCACAAGACTCCAGCGTCCGGCATCGGGCTAGCGACAGCCCAACTCTTCGCAAGTAAAGGATGGACTGTCGCTATCGCCGATCTGAACGAGTCCGCTGGCAACAAGTACGCCGCTGAGCTCAAGGGGTCGTTCCATAAGACGAACGTTACCGACTACGACAATCTTGCACAGACCTTTGTTCAGGTATGGAAGAAGTATGGCAGACTTGATATGGGTGAGTGATGAACTCCAGCGACAAGTCGATGGATTTTTATGACAAGTTTCTGACCGCCATTGCTCGCACTGCAGTCTATGCAAACGCTGGGTGAGTTCCATTTGACCCATTGCCCACGTACCTCACACGATTCAATCGCCCTTACTGACTTGCGACACCAGCATCGTCGAGAAAGTGAACTTCTACGAGGAGTACAAATCAGATGACGACGGCTTGCCTCCACGCCTAGATGATGTTGTGCTCGATATTAATCTCAGATCCGTGGTATGGACCGCTCATCTGGCTCTCCACTTCTTCCGGAAGAATCAGGACAAGCCGGGAGGCAGTCTTGTGATCACAGCATCCACTGGAGGGCTCTATGCTACACCATTGCTGCCCATGTATGCAGCCGCCAAGTTTGGCTGCGTTGGATTGGTGAGATCACTCGCTGTCTACCTCGAAGGCACGGGCATCAGAGTCAATTGTGTCTGCCCCGGAGCTGTCGCTACCGGCTTGTTGAAGAAGGAAGAATGGGCCAAGTTTCCCCAGGACACGATGACACCTGTGGAGAACGTTGCGAAGGCAGTGGCTAAACTTGTGGAAGATGAGAGTCTGACTGGGAAGTCCTTGATGGTCGTTCAGGACCGGTTGACCATTATTGACAATCCGGAGCCATCAGATCCGGCACTGCATGGCATGATGTCGAGGGATAACAAATTCAAGGACGGCATGTAGCAAGTGTTGTAAGCAACAATCGAAAATTCTACAGTCTAGAAAGCCACGCTCGCACCAGTATGATAATGGTATATCATTGGCCTCCTTTCCCCTTGTGGAAGTCGCGCAGAAGCTTGAAGGGTGCGACTCGCTCAGACTTCTTGACTGAGAGTCCGAAGGCGCTCGCGGTTCCCTCGTCTATGAATTCGTGCTAGCATCAGGAGTTAGCGTTCCGAGGGTGATCTTTGGACCAGGCCTTGATGTGTACGTACTAAGGCTAGCATTGCTGGCGGCTTTTCAAGAGTACTTTCCTCTGGTGGACGGCGATTCTGTCGTTGAAAGTGTAGCTTGTATAGTCTGATGGACGAAGATTGAACGCTTCGATTCTGAGATCGATACCATGCTGCGACCTTGGCGTCGTCTGAGCCATCCACACTTGCAGGTAGATCGAATTGCACGGTCGTCAAATAGGTGTCCGCACCTGTTCGACGTCAGCTATGGTAGGCATAATACTCCCGGCAACGGCTTCACCTTACCTTGACTCTCAACCTCGGCCTCCCGATTGTCACCAAGACTAATATAGTATCTGGTATCGCTAGTCCATGTTCAGCATTGTCCCGTGATCGTTGATCTCAGAGTTAGGGAGATGATGCCCATGAAGTTCCGTCATATATCCATCGACTTTCCTGTGGCACTTACAAATCTGCAAGATCAAAGATGTCCTGAGCTCCAGCTGGGAGCATTTCACTCACGACCGGAATAGCTCTGAACTCGTCGCTTGTGAGAAACGCGAGGTCCCTCAGTGGGTAGAGTGCAAGGTAAGGCCTCTCGACCTTGGCCACCTGCGTGATGTAACGGAAGGCGGCATTTATACCGGATGTTTGAAAGATGTCGCGAATATGGATGTCTTGGTACCATTTCGTAAAGAGCTCGGCAGAGAGTTCGCTGGAGGTGATTTTCGAGTTCACATACAGCAGTCCTGGGCCGCTCGCTGGGGTCGCCATGTCGCCGTGCCAGTTCGAGAGATCTGAAGTCCAATCGAAGTGATTTAGTTTTAAGGATCACGTCGCCATCGTGAGTTGCTGCTGGGTGCTGCGAACGAATCCAGCGGTCCTTGATGGGGGCTCCGGGCTCCCTATGCCTCGGGCTGTCGTCCATATGATGAGCGCTCAGGGGTCCAGCCTGGCACGTGGAGTGAAATGGAGAGAAGTCTACTCCCCAGGGCACCCCAGGGGCACTGGGCTCGGAGATGATGCCCTTCGATGCGGGGTATGCGCAATTCGGTCCGCACCCGGCTCTCCTTATCCAGGCTAATGTACGGGCACTGTACATACTGCTCGATTTGCTGGGTGGAGATGTGTGGCTCATAAGCGACAACCATGGCGCGGGAGACTGGCTTGCAGGGTGGCCGACCAGCCGAGGGCGAAAGGGTCGGCGATCCCATCGATGGCCGAACCTCCTTGATCTGGAAGATATCATAAAGAAGGTACGGCATAGTGTACCTGACAACAGCATCAATATGGCTGGCGGAAAGAAGGCACTTATATTCGGGGCTAGTGGTGTGACAGGTTGGTCCTTTGTCAACGAGATCTTGAACGACTACCCTGATAAGGGCATCTGGGACAGAGTCTATGCCCTCACCAACCGTCCGTTGACGCGGAGCGCATCAAAATGGCCCGACGACCCCAGATTGCGCATCGTCTCCGGCATCGACCTTCTGAAAGGAAGTCAAGAGGATCTTGAAGGCGAGCTGAGAAGCAACGTCGAAGATATCGAGCAGATCACCCATGTCTACTACTTAGGTAAGTTCTCACAGGCGTTGTTCGATCCTGTCACCGCGTAGTGCTGATTCAGGCACAGCCTATAAGGCCAGCAAGGATGTCGATCAAGAGCTGAAGGACGCTGTCGCGATGTTTCAGCGCTCCACAATCGCTCTGGACAAGCTATCCCCAGCACTAGAATTCGTGGTGCTTCAAACCGGCGCGAAGATGTATGGCTGCCATCTCCTCGACAATCACCCAACCGACTACATGTCAGTACCACATAAGGAAAGTACTCCTAGACTGAAGGCACCTTACCATGACCAGCTCTTCTACCACCCGCAGCTCGACTGGGTAACCGAGTACGCCAGAGGAAAGAAGTGGAACTGGTGCGACACCCGACCTGATATCATTATCGGCTTTGTGCCAAATCAGAACTTCTATTCCCTGGCGACCTCACTAGCTGTCTTCTTATCGTTGTATCGAGAAGTCGAGGGGGCTGGGGCTGAATGTATGTTCCCAGGCACATCGAAGAGCTGGGTAGCGAAGTCAAATGACAGTTCGAGCGACATGATCGCACGCCAGACGTTGCACTTGTCACTCACGCTTCCTATGGACAGGAAGGGCGAGGGCTTCAATGTTGCCGATGCTCGGCATCCAGAGACATTCGAGTCAAAATGGCCACAGATCTGTGCTTACTTCGGTCTGAAAGGCATCGGCCCGGCCAAAGAGCCAAGCAATATTCGAACGTATATTCGTGAACACTTCGATACCTGGAGGGCCATAGAGAAGAAGCATGGTCTCCAAAGCGGCATCGCAGACTCGGACCTGACTTTTGAGGGATTTGAGTATTTCTTGCTTGCACAGTTCGACTTCGATCGGCAGTACGACATGACGAAGATGTACGACACTGGCTTCACCGAGGAAAGGACGGTGATGGAGGCCTGGGGTGGCGTATTCGACCGGATGCGGGCTGCGAAGTTGATACCGTGATGGCACAATGCGGAGTGTGGTGTATGAGATGAGCCTAATCTAGGCGTGAGTCGAAGGGGGAGTTCATTGTGGGTTTATGAAGCTGACGAGGGCGCTGTGGCTCTTGCGGTGTCCAGCTGATTGAGAATAAGAGTTGGACAATTTGAGATGAGCCTTGCACAAGCGTTGGTTGGTAAGAAAGACTCATCACGATATACCGGCTCGGGAGGGCGCTGGGTGTGTGACTGTTGATCCCTAGGGACCCAGATGAATTCGAGGGCGCTGAGATGGGCCTCTCTTGAGAGCTAGGTCGTGGAACCGTTGCACCGTAAAGTCTCTAGCCTGGGAAGGGCTCTCGTGCCTGGTTCATTCGAATGACCAAGCTGCTAAATCTGGAAGGAGCCTCACTTGAGCATTAGATTGTAGAATCGGGCCATCGTGAGCCTTCGAGCCCGGGAGGCCGCCGCAGGTGTAGGTATTGTTCCGCCAGTAAAATCTGACGGGCTTCAGATGAGCGTCACTTGTGCGTCAGATCCCGAAAATGATTCATGGTGAATTTCCAGCCAGGGAGGCCTCTGAAGCCTGGAATCACTTTCACAGATCTCGCTGCCGAATCTGGGACGAGCCTCACTTGAGCGTCGGATTGGAGAACCTTTTGGAAATGATTGATCGTGAATTTCCTCGCCAGGGAGGCCGCTGTAGGAATGGAGAGCTTCGCTGATCGAATTGACAGGCCTGGGATGAGCCTCACTTAAGCGTCAAGTCGTAGGGACTTGTCACAGTAGATTTCCTAGTCAGGGAGGGCTCTGAAGGCCTGGGAATATACGGTATACTTTTATGACTATCTACTTATACTGCTACATACAGAAAACGCGTAAAAACACCAGCTACTCCCGTTCCATCTCTCCCACTCACATCACCACGCACTTCCAGCCATCTCTCCCCTCCACAGGACGCTTGAAGTCGCGAACAGCAGGCATCTTCTCCTGCTGCGGTCCGTAAAGGGGCCGGAGACCGAGCGTATCGCTCACGCTCTCCCATTCCTCCCTCTCCTTCTCCTCCCTATACTTCCCTCCTTCTCCCTCTTCACCTCCCTCCATCACCCGCTTCTCCTCCTCCTCCCACTCCTGCTCGCTCTGGTGCTGTCTCCGCGTCGTCTGCCAGCAACGCTCCTCCAACTCGCGTCGCTGCTTCTCCTCCTCCTCGCGGATCTCGTTCCGCTTCTTTCCCTTCCCATAAGCCGCTTCCAGGAGGGCTTTGCGGTCGCCAAACTTGGAAAACGAGACGTTGTTCCTAACAACGCGCTCCCAGGCGTCGTTCTCGTTGCTCTGCAGCGTGTGATTCCAGTCGTTCCACTCCGCGTGGCGACGCGCAGCTTCCAGCTGCAAGCCGAGGCGACGATTCTCGGAGGCGAAGCGGGCGTCTCGTCGGCGAGGCGGCAGGCTTCGTCGCGCCAATTGGCGGGATTCCGAAGCTCTGCTTCGGTATGAACAGCAATGGGAGGCGTCCGAGCAGCAACGGGAGCTTTGGAGCCCTTTCGGGCGACTTTGCGAGGCGGTTCTGGCTCTGATTCGGCTTCTGGAGACTCGAAATGAACGCGTCTACGCGTACGAGGAGCAGCGGTAGCAGCAGCGGGTGGTTCAGCAGCCTGGAGTGCTGGAACAGCAGGTCGGGCGGGCTCTGGAGCCTGAAGTCTATCCACATGCTGCAGCAACCGTTGTGCTTCGGTTGGTTCAGCAGGTTCATCGTCAGGAACTGGAATCGGCTGAGCAGGAGTTGGTTCAGCGCGGACATTGGAGACTGGAAACGGCTGTGCAGGAACAGCAGTTGCTGGAGCAGGATTGGTGTCGATCCACGCGCTGTAGCGTCTTGCGGAGTCATTGGTGACAGGATGGGTTGGAACGCGATTCTTGAGCCAGTCAAGAACGTCAACATGAGGCCATGCTTCAGAATGCTTCTTCGTCTCCGGGTCGTCCTTTGGAGGCATTGGAAGAGTGGGGTGGGATTTGCTGTAGTGCTTGCGAAGATCTCCATAGGTGAAACCACCATTCTTACAGTCCTTGCACAGCCAGCGAGACTTGTACGGCAGCTTCTGGTCCTTCTGAGCTGCAGTCGGAATAGCAGAGCTAGAGTCCTTCTTGGAAGCAGACTTGGAGCCAGAGCCAGCATTCGATTCGCGTTCAGTGGCAGTAGCGGGCAACAGAATTTCGGAATCTTTGTCGATTGCATCGCCAGAGTTCTCCAGAACCGGCTTTACTTTGCCTTGCTTCGGAACAGATTCAGAGCCGGAGCCAGCAGCAGATTTCGCTTTCGTGGCAGGAGCAGGCAATTGAACCGAATCTTGGTCGAATAGATCGTCATCATTCTCCAGAGCTTGCTGTAGGTACGGTCGACGACGGACGGAAGGGCCACCGTTTCTGGAAGCTTTCTTGCTGACCTTGCTGTTGGTGGACTTCGCTTTGGAGCCAGAGCCAGGAACAATACGTTTGCGTTTGGTGGCAGGAACAGTCAAGAGACTTGGAGCTTCGGCCATTACAACGTCAGGGTCTTCCGGAACTGGGGCTTCGTCCATTGATTCATCAGAGTCGTAACGTCTTGACACTTCGGGCATTAGCTCGTCGATCGACACAGGTGGGGCAAAGTCGGGAGCAGCGAGAGAATCCGCCAGACGCTGTTGAATTTGCTCCTGACGACGCGAAGCGCGGGTACCGACACCTTCTCTGGTCGGTTTCTTGTCGACCTTGCTGTTGGTGGCGACGTTCTTGGTGGAGGGCTTGGTGCTAGCTTCTGGATCTTGGAGTTGGGAGCCATGTCGAATGATGTTGAGTTGGTGGAAACGAAAACGGAAACTTCTTGGAATTGAAGATGTGGAAGCTGTCGGGACGACTTTGGGGTGTTGCCAGCAACACTGCAGAATCTCGCAAGTGAAAGTGAAATGAGCTAGATCTGAAGATATCGGGAGGACTTCAAGTGTATCGGCCAGCGACACAGAGACTTTTGATAGTGAAACGGTAGAGTGGTACTTGGAATGGTTCAGAAGGGCTTTAGGGGAGTATTGCCAGCAATACTGTACGATTTTGCGATCTTGCGAAGGAGTCAAGAGTTGTAAGAGATGTCAAGAGGGCGAAGATGAGGCGGACTCTGCACGAGGATATATCTGCGGAAGGCATTCTATTGTCCATTGTTCTGCCAGTAGCCTATTGAGGCTCTCTATTGTCAGCGCATCAAATCTGGAGGCTGGGAAAGAAGAAACGCCTCAACAATAGAGAAAGTCGCTGCCAGAATAGCGAGGCAAACGGAGTTGCGGGGCGCAGAACACCATCGCTGTCGCGATGCTGCGCTGAATAGAGATCAATTGAAGAGGCTGGGGCCTCGTCGAGTCAGCAGCGCTGTAATACGAGAGGATGCATGAGTTCTGGGACCTATGGTAAGCGCGCAGCAACAGAATTATGCCAAAGCTCCGGGTCGAGAGACTCCTCTGATGCGGCAAGTCCAAGTTCTTCGATTAGTATCCATGGCCAACAGCCTCTTAGTTGGTAGAAGTGCCATGTCATTGGGATGCGCCAGAGAGCAGGTATCGTAGATCAATGGTATCGTGCACCGATAGTAGCGACGCCCGAGATGGTCGACCGGTTCGAACACTATGACTAGAAATGCCGACAGAGCCCGCCTGGGAGCGTATCCGATGCGACTACTTGCAACTTGTTCCCACCGTCAGAACAGCACTTGTCGCGTACAATTTAAGCAGTTCTCAGGCACTTGTCGGGCCATCGATGAAGACGACTAATGTAAATTATGGTCTCGAGCTCTGAGCGATGGCAGCATAGCTGAGCGTGGTCCAGCATCTCCTCATCCAGCAGCGCCCAGAAATCGTGGAGGAGTGCCTCAACAAGCCAGGCTTCACGACACCGGGCATGATGTCGATTCCTTCTGTATATGGGCGCAAGAAGGCAGAACATCACAACTGAGGTTGGACCAAGGTACAGCCAAGGCAATCATCGCCAAGAGACGAGGCAATCTCGAAGCCATCGCTGTTTCTCCTGCCCAATCTCCGTGCACGCTCCACACAACTCCATTCTGTCTCTCGTGGAAGGACCCATCAGCGGTCTCCTTTCAAGCCCAGATCTACGCTCAGGCACTCGGAGAAAACTCCCGGTGTTCGCTCATCTGCCAGAAGCAGATTACTGGCACGGAAATATTATCATTTATGTGACAGCGGCGTTGATTGGCACTCAACGAAGACTTCGTTAAATCTGCATTCCCGACTATTGGCAAAAGAACACAAGACCACAAGGTGAACATGTGGACTTTCCATGTAAAATCTGTGAGTGTATCATTGAATCCTGGCTTCCCATCAGGAGCTTATCTGCTGTTGCACTCTCGTTGATCTCCCGCCGATCCACTGTCGCCAGGCGACGCGCTCTACCATCGAATCGAGGTCCAGGGTCTGTCTCGAAGTGCTCGGCAGTGCTCAGGACGATAACATCTAGCTTCTCTCGAACTCTTCCTCTCTTCCATCTACAACATCGTGTGTGAACACCACAGCAGTCGACAATTGAGACCGTCTTCTTTCAGATCTGAGCACTCACTCGTTCGTGCCTCAGCATCGTCCGCTCGTTTAGTTCAGCTATATCGTGTTCGAGAAAGATTTGGTGTCGCAAGCCCTGGCCATACCCCGGAAACGGACAATCTGTCAGAAATACTGGTGCACATTTTGTCTCAGCATCTCGACAATAAGAAAGCGAACAGATCCCCCACATTCTTCGCCAATAGTCGAGCGAGAGAACTGGAAAGAGTCTCGCCATGGCGGGCGTCCGTGATCCTGCATTCTGGAAGAGGTTTTCTGTCGCGGTGCATCTCGATGAGGAGAAGGGACCTCTGCCTTCTGAGAGCAGCTCCGTTGACTCTCGGGGCACTTTGAAGCACAGGTGAGTATCAGCTATGGAGGGAGTTCATAGCGAGCGACTGACCATGCCTAGCGACACCTGGCTGGAGAGGAATCGGAAGAAGAAAAGAAGGACACGCATCTGTGGCTGTTTCATCGCTCTCACGACCACCATCATCATTGTTGGCGGTGTGTTTGCCCTCATGTACTTCTTGAAGATCGGTCTCTTCGACAAGCACCAGCCCAAGAATGATGCAGAGGAGCAATACTCAGCAACGCAGGCGGTCAATCCTCTGGGAACACGAGATCTTCGACAACTACAAAGCTTGATGGCTGGAGTGCAACCGTAGTCACGATGGGTGCTCGAGCTGCGGTGAGGAAGTCAACGCATCGATGAGGAATGCTGAGCAACTTGGATACTGGCAACGGTCGCGATGGCTTCGGTCTGGAACACAGGGAGCGCACCGACGTATGCCTGTTGTTGCGGAGGCTTGCTTTCACGACTTTATGAATATTCACGGTGCTATAAAAAGGGTGTAGAAGAGTTCAGAAATGGCGTACAGTGGTGCAAATAGGTTTCTGACTGGCTGGGCCACCAGTCACACCATTGCCGATGAATGGCGTTGAACCATGAGGAAATTGTCACAATTCAGATGCGTCTCATCTGAAGATCGTTTCTCGTGACTAGTCGACCATGCTTCGAGAATTTGCATGCTAGGTCCCACCCCGCAAACACCTTTGCGCCATTCCGTTCATGCAACCTGGCCGAAGTCTGTCATACTCAACGATCGCAGCACAGGTGGTCCAGATAATCCGCGACACTGCTTTTCACCCATTGATATGTAAAACCGACTCCATGCCTCGGATGTCTGTGATCTCTCTTCGATACAGCCTTCCTCGATTCCTGCTCCGGCTAATATCGTTTCCTTGTCGGCTCTGGTGAAGGACTCCTGCTCACACTGCGCTCATCTCGACCTCTCTCCTTCAGCACTTCTTCGTGCTCAACTCCAACTCTCTGTCCAACTCTGGACTCGGCTCTTTCCGGTGGATGAAGTTGCAGAACCCTCCTCTCACACATCCCTCGCCACTGTTCAGCCGACAGCACGCTTCTCTAAAATCCGTGACCGGCGACAACTCGCAGTAGATCGGTCGAGCCGCGTACCATCTCGAATTGAGCGCATCGCATGCCGCCTGTGCTGAATCCTCGTACTTGAATCGCGCATACACGTTTCCGATTAGGTGGTCATTGTTGTTGTCGCAGACGACTACCTCCTCGATCTCGCCGAATTTGCACATCTCGCACCAGAAGTCTTCATAGAAGGCGTCGAAGTGGTTTTGTAATTGTGAGGCGTTCATCTTGTTCTTCTGGTCGTAGGCGGGGTTTTGGTATAGGTTTGGGAGGAGGATCGTCTGTGAGTATGAGGGCTTGACGTGCTTTCTTGAGCACCGGTCCCCGTGGCGGCATGCGCCGATCTTGTAGTAGAAGGAGCAGTTGACTCTGTTCAGTGTCTGTTAGTACTCTGGCATTCGATGTTTGAGCTAGGGTGTGAGGACTTACTTGTCGGCTTCTGTGCCGAAGATGGAGGCGAGGTAGTTCGCCATGCTTGTGTGAACGATACGGGCAGCGAGTTCGTGTGAGTAGTATGCTAATATGTGGTGGACTAGAAGATTTTGGGTCGTCGCATGAAAGAAGGCGAACACCTCCAAGCGTAGGTGAATATCGGCAAGGCTGTAGTCTTGAACGAAGGTCACGTGCAAGGCTTTCTGGAAGATTCGCGTCAAATGACATTGCTCAGCGAATCGAGAAATCTGGATGGTTCAAGTCAAATGCGAGGATACACATGAGGCCTGCGCATAGTGCAGTCAAACCTAGCAAAGGGCAATGCATGATGTCTGGTGTCTGTCTTCATCCACTCCATGCGATGTGCTGAGAGTCAATGGCGAAGTCCATCTTCCGCGTGGCCACGATTTCATTGCTACCTCGCGAGCTCTTGCCGATGATGGAGCATATGCCTACGTTCAACGTTGATCCTTCTCAGAGTAAAACTTGCAATGACCAACCTCTCCCGTGAAACTCCCAGACTTGCAGTAGGGACGGTTGATCTCGTTGATATTGCTATCGGACGCGCCAGTCTCGGCTCCGGCGAGACATCGTATTCCACTCACTGCTACTGTATGAGGGCGCCCGCTTCTTGATATCAACTCGGAGCATGCCTTTGAGTCCTGTTCCACGTCGTGTCAGTGCATCGAGTGATACTCGCCATTGATTGCAAGTGTTTCCCTTGCTTCGGAACTTGAATTCCACCGCGAGACTCCCTGCGCAAGGAGTCGCTGCAGCCATGCTCGGGACTATGCAAGACCACAAACAATTCTGCGGTAGGCAAAGGAGATGAGGCGGGTCGATGTATTGAATTGTAGCAACCGTGCGGTTACTGATCTGGAGGACCATGGAACATTAATCCGATGTCAGCAATGGTCAGGGCCCAAACCCCTGAGATGCTCCAAAATCACCACGTTGAACGTTTCTTCGGCCGATCCACAGCCAATCGTAGAAGACCTGTGCCTGAGCACACACGAGCTTCCAATCTCCTCTGATGATCACGAAAACGACTCGTGGCGTGACAAAGTGGGATAATTGCCTGTCAAGCGAGACAAGCACTCACTTTTCAGTAATCGCGAATCGATAAGACCATAACGCGACTCTTGATGCTGGTAGAGAGTTCTTAATCTATCCAGAAGCAGCAATTCACCAGAAACAGTACATATCCTGTTGCAAAGAGTGGTTCGTTGAACTAGAAACACATGGTGGGAACAGGGAGCGATTCGCAGCTGCGAGACCGGTTACCACGCTGCGTGGTGCTGAACGAAGCTAATTATAGGGGTAGAACGACAGCTGATTGGCTTTTGCGACATCATCGCCTCTCATCCTAAGCCCCAAAAGTGAACTTGCTCCCCCCCTCCACGCTTATGACACGTTCGGCCAACCCGTTTCGGGCGCACCTGGCCCTGAGACTGATTCCTGCTTAAACCCAAGCCCGCTCCCACCCAGGCCCAAAACTCTTACTTCCAGCTGCTGCAGCTTCTGCTCGCAACAACACCATCATAACAACAAACCGTCACTCGTTCTTATACATCAAACCACCGATACACCAACTTGACCAGTCGACTGGTCTCGCTGGTCCTCGTATACGGCGACTATTCTCGTATCACTGTTCACTTAGTGGTATCTTGGTTAGTTCCCTTGCGCTGCGCTTTGGCCCCGAACCTACCATATGTCTATTCTCTCGCTCAGGCGATCCAACAAGGCCTCTCGCTGACTTCTAATTTCTGCAGACTGGCCTTCTTTAATCAAACAACTCGCGCGGTCGTGCTGCATCCACCAAACCCGGTATAATCCAAAATGGCAACACAACAGTATTACGACAAGGTGTCGGGCGACGAGAGCGACCTTGACATCGATCAACCCACCGAGAAGCCCTCGATCGGCAAGCGCTTTAGCTGGAGCCAACAATCCTTCATCATCCGAACCCTTGTTATCGCAATCTATACCGTTCTGATCGCCGGCATCTGCTCAGCGATCGTCGAATATCGACACAATGATGATGCATCCGTCGCACAGCCCACCTCAACAGCAGCACCTGCCGCGGTGGCCGAGCCACCCGTCGAGCAAGCAAAGGCCGAGGCTGAGATGCCCAAGGTCGAGGTTCCCGAGACTCCCACAAGCGATCTCGACCAGATCATGCACTGCGGCGGCAACTACACCGAAGCCCGCGACCTCGGCTGCGTATACGATGTGATGATGCAGTTGTGGATGCCCAAGCCCTGCTACGACTCCGTCCTGAGCGAGAAGTTCCTCGCCAAGGGCAACTGGACCTGGTGGTCTGACCCCGAGAATGGCGTGACCATGAGCGACGAGCAGATGCGAAAGGGTGAGCACGATGTTGCTTTCATGCTGATGGACTACCACAAGATGCACTGCATCTTCGCCATGGAGAAGCTGGTCCGCGCTCTACGAAACCAGTGGATGATTATTCCTGAGCTCGTTTCATACGACCATATTCTCCACTGCAAGATGAAGACTCTGGCTCGTCCGGATGGTGATGTTGTCAAGGGCGTCCGTGCGCCAACTGGTTTCACATCCTGTGCTCCTTACGAGGTCTGGAAGAATCAGCTTCCCGAGGACCACGCCTCGTCTGTCGAGTAAACGGACAACATAAAATGAAACACAAATACCTATCAATATCAATCCATGCGGTGATACCAGGAAAGTAGGAAAGGCCGGTTTCTTTTGGGTGTTTTGGATAATGCCAGAAGAAGAGGTATAGGAAAGGAGCGAGACGCGCTGAAGACTTATCACTATATACTATTCAAACCATTATTCCCAGCATTCCGTCCGATCTCTTGACGCGTCAAAGCTTCAACTCTTGGCTTCCACTTTACTTGAGTCACGCGCGACAACCCGGACACTGCTCACTTGGCAAGCAACTTGAGCAGCAGTCAGCGTATGTCAAGTCAACCCATCTCCCGCATCGACCTGTCCAGCCTGCCAGTCGATGGCATCTGTGAGATCGTAGACCTCGACTGGCCGTGAGCAACCTGTCCTACCATTCCCGTAGAGCATTGGCCACACGAATGAGTACTTTAGGAGATATGCGAAGCTATAGGGGATCGCTTCTCAGATGACGAAGTCATGTGTATATCATGTAAAAGCATGATGATACCGGCCAGGTGATGTCGATACCCTCTAATAACTCCAAGAACCGTTCATCGCACGCTGGCAGGCCTGCCAATAGTTGGTTCTAGGCGTGGTCCAGGCATTTCGGGCGTTGTGGCTCGCCCATGTTAACACAGATTGGGGCAGGATGTGGCGCAGGAACATTGAACTACGTAAGTCGCTTCAAGATTTTCGACTTCAAGTCCAATGACGGTGAACCTTGTTTCCTCTTGCTTTCCCCATACTAAACGTTGCCTAGAAGTATACCCTAATGCGAGCTCCGTTGCCTTCCTGTACAGTGCCATCGTGATTCATTGTTCGAGGCAGGCGTGACCGTGGTTGCCTATACTACAGCCCATAACAGTTGCGCCAATGCGGTGATGTCAGAGCCTCTGGAGTACTCGCTTAATCTGGTCCACGAGCCAAACACGAAGTCCAATATTGATCGACCTGGTCGCCTGTGCAGGCGGTCGGAATGTCAGATGCCCCTCACACGCCCACGAGTGTCTCTCGTGTCCCAACGGCAGATGGAGCGCCCGACATATACGACCATGAGATAAATCTCGTTGACACAACCGTTTCCGACGCGCCAGCTGAGCCGACCAGGACTCGAACCAGATCTCCTTCAGGCAGCTGGCGGAAGATTGGCATAGCACGGGTACCTACACGGAGCTCTGTCAAGAACTCGTACAATAAGCGCAAGTATGCACGATATCAAGAGCATAGGTACAACAAGGGTCATGGGCCCACCGGGCAGGGCGAGGGCCAGCCAGCATCGCCTCGCTCACCCCAGAACGAGACCACCGAAGCAGTCGATTTCGCAGATCAAAGCGAGGCACAACCGAGATCGAGGTCGCCCCGTAAGAAGCACCACCATCACCACAAACCGGAGTATGTGATTGATGTGCTATACGAGAACCAGCGGGGATCATTCTTCTTCGGCATCCCTCTTTACTCGCACTCCTCCCTCCTCAATTTCGACCCAAGCCCATGGGTGAACAAGGAGTACAAGGATTCACCAGTCAATATCACGAACGCTCAGGTACCAGATCCAACGTGGGAATGGGCATGGAAGACGTGGTACGTGGACATGAGCTACGACGTCGATGAGGAAGGCTGGCAATATTCCTTCTCCTTTGGCAAAGGCACTGCCTGGCACGGCACGCACCCATGGCTCTACTCCTTCGTCAGACGACGACGCTGGCTACGCAAACGCATAAGACGCACTACCGCTGAAGCTGGTGCTCCAAAGGCCAGCAACCTCTCCGCAGCCCATAGGCTCACAGCCGAATACTTCACCATCCACCCAAAACGCGACCGAAGCCGCAGCCCCGGCAGTCTGCGCCCTGAAAGCTATGCATCCATCGTACCCGCCACCGAATTCGAAGAGCCCCCAGAGGACATCAAAGACATCGCGACCCTCCTCAAATCCCTCCGCCTCGCCACAATCGACCGCGCCAAAATCGACCTCGTCAAGCGCTTCGTCACGTCCGCCCCAGCAGACGAGCTCTCGTACCTAGGTACACACATCCCGGACGTCATGTCCCACCTCGTCTTCCAAAACTCCCGCCGCCAGCTCCTGCTATACCTCAGACACTCCGCCGACGAGGTCCGACAACATCGTGGCGAGGACGCCAAGGACTCCCAGCAACGGATCGATAACCTCCTCGCCGCAATCGAAGAAGCCGACAAGGAGATCGCTGGGCTAGAATACTGGTCTGATCGCAAACACGTGCTCAAGACGGCGGACGAGGACACGACGGAACAGGAAAACACGAAGAGGCAATCGATAGCGCCGATTTTCGACGCGTCGTCCGCGCCCCTGCCGGAGAGGAAGCTGGAACCTGCTAGTGGCATTAGGGGCATTAGTAAAGAAGCAGAGGTTGGGAAGGATGGGACGAGGAGGTTGGCGAAGGCTGTAAGCCATAGTGTGAATGAGGATATTGATGACGCCAATAATGCAGACGCAGACGCGGAGGCGAGGAGGAAAAGGAAGGGAAAGCAGCGTGCTGGTGCTGATGGGGTGGACGATTCCGATGGTGATAATGATGACGATAGCCGAAAGGAAGAAGTCGGCAGTCCACCACGTTTGAAGCAGGATCAGGTTTTGATTCCTGATACGGAATGAGCCAGAGGCAATGCTTAGGGCTCACGAATTGCAGATGGATCTGCTTGTACAGTGCATGGGTGATTGAGTTCGATACATTAGCACGCGGCGTTACAGGCGCAGGACCTGTGTATAGTATACATAATGGTGACGCTGAGGCTTTACCTAGTTCACAAACTTGCAGACCAGGAGACAGAATCTTCAGGACAGTTCTGTACCTACATCAATGTTGGCTTCACCCACCCACTGCCACGGCAGCAGCGGGTGTCCAAAGTGAGAGGTCGACCGCAAGCCAGCTTGTCAACCGCACTGCCAGGAGGTCGGAATCTACATCCATGCCCATGTCTAAACCCGCCATTCATGTGCACTGTACGTCCGATGTCAAATCGGCACCATGATGAAGAGTCAACGTTACAAACGCGCCAGAGACGAAATGAATACCATACGCTATGCTCGCTGTGCTCGCTTTTCTTCAACATGGCTACAACAATTGGCCTGTCTCGATAGCACGTAATAAAAATGCTGACCCTATGGTGCTCATCCATACGTTCTCCTACCTGAACCTACACACAGCGCAGCGCCCGCCCGACGGCATGATCCACTTATCTTCCGGCTCACCTGAGTCGTCGGCCGAAGAATTGTTCACGATATGCTTGGATCGCTCTGCGAAGCGCGTCCTGATGATACAGCTCGAGTCTGTGGGCATAAGCATTAGTCGCATAGCTCGGTGCCTGTCTGACAGATGCTGTCGGCCTCCACTAAAGGCCAGAACCTCCAGAGTGGCTGCTGTCTTGACTTCCATGACCTCGAGAATGCCTGCTCTGAGACCCACGACTGCGGCCTCGAGCTCGCTCATTGCTCGCCTCTCGCGCAAGACTCGCTCTCGCTCTGGCATCGCCGATGCTGAGCGGATCCATGCTGCCGAACTGTACGGACGCCCCAGGACGGAGCGGTTCCCTCGAGGAGGCGGCGTAGTGAATGTTCTCATTGATCGATAGACCTTGAAAGGTCTGATTATACATCTCCGGCTGGACCGGCGGAAGGTTTGCCCATTCTTCAACTCGTCCAAAATCGAGACTGTCTGGATGTCCCAGAGGTACTCCAGTGAAGCCAAAGTTTGAGGGTGGGTCGAAGCCGAGCACATGAGGATCGCTGAACGCTCGATGTGGAGCCATAGCACTCGCATGACTGCTGGTAGCGACCGACTGAGACGGTTCTGATTCTCTTGACGCGTCTCGGGACATGGGGACAGATTGGTAGCCGGTAGGCACACGAAGCTGTGTCGCATCGCGAGCAGCAGTGCCCGGACTCACACGCAAGGAGGATCTGTGAGGAAGTTGGACCTGAGAGTGGGTCGCGTGGATGCTTTCGACTTGAAGAGGTGGCAAGTCCGATCTTGCTCTGCCACTCGCTTGGCTGTTCAGAAGAGCCTGCACAAGTCTTGGTGACGATGATGGGTTACGCGTCTGAGTCTTGCTAGCAGGTCGACTCATTGATGCAGGAAGCCCTGGTTGGAAAGTAGCAGCCAAAGGTGAGAGAGGAGTATTTGGTGACCTGATTGCGAGTGGTGGCCGGTCAGTGCTGCCGCGACTAGTAGAGCGCAACCGGCCGCCTTCCCTTGATGGCGGAGGACTTGCTTTGTGAACCAGCGCCAGGGCCGCCTCTGCATCTGAGCTTGTGGATTGACGTCCGTTGCGTTGCTCGAAGGCGAGCTCAGGCTGACTGATGCTCGGGGGGACCGGTAGCGCTTTCCACTCGTGGAATTCTCCCAGGTCCTTCCGTTGCTTGAGGCGCGGTTTCCCTTCCAAAATTGCATGCAACACCGAGCTTCGGCGCGATTGAGGCGAGCGAGGTATCTCGGTGGTGTCAGATATGGGCCACGATTCTGTGTCAGAGAGCAGTGCATCCTCCCAAGCAGGATCTGACGCGCCGCCTAGAGCATCATCCTCGATCTGGGTCTGAGTATGGTGCATATGTGTGGGTGATTCTGAAGGAGGACGCTCTGGCTCTAAGCTCCAGGTTGAAGCAGGGCTAAGTGTCGTGGTGAAGGATTGCGTCTCCTGCGACGAATTGGACGCCTTTTCGAATACAGAACCCTGGTACTGCCTGGAGAAGCTGAGCTCAGAGGAGCTCGACAGAGATTGCCCCCGAATTTCGTGCTTGACAGTCTTCAACAGGTCGCGAATGTCGTGTCTAGCTTGCCGAAGCTCTGCTGTTGCATTAAGGGAAGTCTTCGGGAAATGCTGGAAGAGGCGCGCCGCTTGTGCCTCATACTCGCGATAGTCTCGGACTAGACCTGGACCGCTCGACATTCGCATCTTCTCGCTTGCAGTGGCAAATGATGAGACGAGTAGCCGTACAGCAGCGCATAGCCACCACCAGTAGTCATGCTCTCCAATTAGCGGCTTGTCACGAAGATCTTCACGAATGACGTTCTGTACAACGGTATGTATCCGCAAAGTGTCAACAACACACTGCTCGATGCATTGGACGTACTTCGAGTGCCCCTAGACTCGAAGCGACCCAGCATGAGCTCGTCCAGGCCACTCGAGTCATCTGGTAGAGTCGTTGGAGGCGTGTTCTCCATGGTTCTGATCGTGATCGAACGCTTGGTGGATATTCCACCTGGTGGTGGGTGCCTTCCATTGGGAGTAGTCGTGAGCTCTGTACCAGGTAGCCGCTTTTGAGCAAGGTGGGCGGTCTTCACGGACCGACGGTCTTCGGGCGATGATGAGCCAGAGGTTGTCCATGTCTGGAGTGTTCGCTCCAACAGACCACTGCGTAAGAGTATCGAGATGGAGCTCTCCAAGTCTTTGCGCGTGCTATTCCCATACCTGGGCGACTGGACATCGATCGCGTAGGGTGGTGCAAACAGACCTTTGTATCCGAATCTTATTAATGCAACTGGGATATGGTGTGTAAAGAAGCACAGAATGTTGACCAAGTTGACAGCTTCAACCCGACCTTGATCCTGCAGGCCTGTGACGATCTCCAGAAACGGACGGATCAGTCGTTGATCTGCCGTCGTGTGTGAGTAGCGTTCCAAGGACTTGCCGCGTTCGATCAAAGCATGCGCTGTGGCATAGATGGCAAGAGGTAGATAGTCGTTATCCTTCACAAGTTCAAGAGCTTTCTCTTGCTGTAGGTTGGTGGGTTGACGAATGCCGAGGTTCTGGTATAGCAGTGTCGTTGCATCAGTCACCGATAGTTTGCCAACTTTGAGTCCAGATGGGTGCAAGAGTCTGTTCCTGTGCACCAATGCTCGATCAACAGAGGTGAAGATAATGCAATTACCGGTGCGATCTGGTAGAAATCTCCTGAAGGCATCAAATGACTCGTCGGTTTCCAGTAGAACGCCGTCGAAAACCATGAGCCAGCCTTCCATAGACTCCAGGCGCGCTCTGACGGATTCTGCGAAATCATCGGGGCCAGGAGGGATTGTCCTGTTGTCAGAGTCGCGATTTAGAGCACCGATGCTGATTCCGATATCCCACACGCCTTTCGCGATTGTTTCGGTGCTTCTGCAATCGACCCAGAATGAACCTGCTGGATAATCACTGCGGTGCTTGTAGAAGTATTGTCGAGTCAGATGTGTTTTACCACAGCCCACCTCACCCCAAACGACAACAGAACATGTACCAATATCGCGCCGGCGCTCTTGCTGGAGGCGTCGGTGGAGCTTGCGCAGTTCTTCCTTAAAGCCCACAAAGTGTGCGTTTGGCCGGAAACCCAAAGGAGCGACCACACGAGGGCCTGCGGGCGTTTCGTCTGCCGACTCCTGCTTGCTGACAATGTCTGAGCGACGTAGTTCTGCCACAGAACATGAGTTAGCGCCAACATCAAATATGGTGTCACTGACTGTGTAGTTCCTATCTACGAACAGGGACTGGCTGCTCATCATCGACCTCCTCAATCTCATAGACGTCCGAGGAGGTATAGGGAGGCGGAGGTAGCGACCGAACAGGGGGAGCCGTACCCATTGAATTGCCCAGGGAGCTCGCCTGGCTGATCTGTGTCGACTCGGCGGGCGTCAGCGATTCTATTGCAGAGGGACTATTTCGCAATAGCTCTCTTGCAGCTTCTCGCTTCTCGAGATCTCGGATCCGGTGCTCTTCTTCCCAACGAGTTCTGATGAGCCCTGGAGCATCTTCGGCGTAGCGCTGGATGGCTTCCGCAACAACTTCATAGCCGGGTGCGTCTTCTGACTCGAATTTGCACATGTGGCTGTGGTCGCGCTCAATGCCCATACGTTCGACGCCTTCTATGACAGGAGCTGCGCTATCCTCGTCCACAATATACTGTAGCGAGCCTTTGAAGTCCATTGGCTTAGACTCATGGAAGAAGTAGACATGGTATCGACTAATGATTTCGATGAACAATCGATTGATGTTCTGGAGCGTTTCGTTGTTGCTCTTGAGTGCTTGGACAAGGTGAGGCTGTGAGTCCATGAATTTCTTCGGAAGGACAGCATGACTGATTCGCTCCAATAGTGAACCCCATTTCGCAATGTCGCTGCCGTTATGTGGCGTACCCAGGAAGAGTATACCGTAAGTTGAGACGAAGATGCTGCGCTGTCGTTCAATCTTGTCGGATCGAACGTTCTTGGAGTGGATAAGACTTCTCTTAACGACCAGACCACCAAGAGAGTGGCACACAAAGATGATCGGCCTCTCAAGAGCTCTCTTTAGCTACACGGCAGATCAGCCCCCACTTTGTGCGACAGTCGACGGTAGGAACATACAGATCTATTGGCCACCAACCTGCTTGCAAGATGCTCGGCGTGGTTATGGATCTTGTCTTTGGATGCTCCGTCACTGAAAGCGGTGACCTGAGCATCATAGCCGTAGGTAAGGATTCGGCATCTCTGGTCTTCGAGCGCTGGAGGGAGGAGATCTGTGGGCCAGAAGACTTCGGTAGGTTTGTGCGTAGCCCAGGTATTGCTGCGCATGTGTTAGCGGAGTTGGCACGTGGTCGTTCAGGAGAAATAGGCTCTCGATTGACCGTGACCAGTCAGGGTTGTGTCTAAAAGTGCTGGGTGTTCCCCTTGCAGCGCCCTCCCTGGCCAGAAAGCCCACGAGGTATCCGGCTTTCACACTGACGCTCGAGTGAGGCTCATCTCGAGCCCACCAACTCGATCAGTATCATAGTGCCAGGGCCTCAGCGCCCTCCCTGGCCGAGAACGCCCAGTACTTAGATGCACAGCTCGCAAGTTGGACCTCACTTACTATGGGTGGCCATTCAAGCCATGAACAAATACTACATCGACGAGCGGCTGTGGAGGTGTGAATACTTCGGTGAGGCCGAATTGAATGACTTTCTGCTGGACACTCATGGTATGACCCGTTCAAGACGATGGTGCTGCGGACCGGCGCGGAGGAAAGGTATAGAAGTGTACTTTGTATTCATATATGAGAAGGCCAGCCTTTCGCCCCTATCAGAGACCTGAGTCACGGGTGTTCAGGCGACAACATTGATCATCAGACGCCGACCGCGCAGCAACCACGCCTTTTGCAAGGGCACCTGCTGTTTCAGAAAAGTGCCTGCATGACTCTTTCTTTCCAAATGACCATGTCCTTCTGGCCCCCACAAGTACCTAAATCCCCACCTGCAAATTGCCCATCACAGCCACACTGCGCGTTGGATGCCCAATTGCCCAGGGTTGCTCGCCCCGCAGAGGCGGTAGATTTCGGTTGCAGCCGATAAACTAAGGTACCTCAACATAGCTAGCGAGGCCTGTTAACCCACGACACGTTTGTTCGAACTTCATCTCATCCATTGCTATCAGGCGGTCGAGGCCACGCATATCCGATGCCAGGGCTACATGAATCGATGCAAGCACGCGCGATGTGCTGTGCGAACATGATTCCCTCAGGGCGAAGCAGCACCAATGCTCGTTGCACAAAAGTTCAGAAGTGGATCCAGCGTACCCAGGCCTTTGTTTCAATTGCGAGGCGCATGTCCAGCTAGGTAGTCGCCTACTACAGTATGTGCAGGAGTGGCCTCAAGTAATGAGCTTGCATCGCTAGGACGACCAGGAGGTTGCGTCATTCGCTGAACAACGAGCTGTGGTCTTTATCTCGATGGCCGTACCATCCTCTGTTATCTACCTTTGAAGGCAGGTTTCCGCTTCTCTGCAAACGCCCGCAGAGCCTCAAGTCGGTCTTCGGTCTTCAGCACTATGTCATATGCAGCATTCTCCGACGCCTCTCCCTTTTGCCACCCATCGACGGCCTGCATCGCTGCCTTCAAAGCCACTGGTCCGCCTTCGCAGATGTCTCGAGCTAACTGCAGACTGACCTCCAGAACCTTTTCACGGGCCTTGCCTTCCTGGCTTTGTTCTTCTTCTGTGACCTGGACCAATCGATCACAAAGTCCGAGAAAATATGCCTCAGGCCCCAAGACCCTTCGTCCGGTCAAGATCATGTCTCGTGCACGGTTTGGTCCGATGAGTGCCGGCAGGCGAAAGGTACCGCCTGCCCCAGGTATAATTGCTAGCCTGGTCTCTGGCAAGCCAACTGTTGCTGTTGAGCAGAATACTCGAAGGTTCGTGCATAGACCTAGTTCTAAGCCGCCGCCGAGTGCTGTGGAAGATATCGCAGATATCGTTGGTATAGGCAGCTTCGAAAGCTCGGTAAATGTAGATCGCAAGTCTTTCAGGAAGGCACTGACGCTGGCAGCTGGTCAGCTCGTATCATCGAAGGTAGATCATCGTACTTACTCCTCTTGTGACATGCTACGTCTTTCTTTCAGATCAGCTCCAGCACAGAAGGCTTTGTCAACGTTCGACGCTATTATCAACGCTCTAGTGCCACCCGTGCCACCTTCGGCCTTGATCTCGTCCACATGTCTTCGGAGGTCCTTCACCAGTCGTTTCGAGAGCGCGTTGCGTGTGTCTGCTTTATCAAGGAGAAGTACACGAATAGTACCGGAGTGCGGCGCGGGATGATTCTGGAGGAGGATTGGTGAGGCTTCCGCAGCAGCTGCGTACCTCCGGACCTGGGAAGCTATTGGTGTCGCGAAGAGACCTCTAGCTGTTGAGACATGCCGCATGACTGCGATATGCAAAGCCGAGGTCAAAAGTTCTCGCGCTCAACACGCCTTCTTGAAGTTTTATCTTCAGAAAACTGTAGCTGCGGTGCTTCCTCGAATAACCGAGGACCGTTGCGTACTCGCCCTCTGCGCTAGCTAGAAAGCTTGCCCGACCCTTAGACAATTTCCCCGCCGACGTCATATTGTACCACGGCGCTGTGTCACCCGTGCACCGTTATCAGCACCCGTTCACATTGGAATATAAACGAGGTTATATCAGCATTCCACCATTACCGAACAAAAGGATCACAGACGACCTCGGCGACCCAGCAGTCTGGTTCAGAGACTCAGCACAGAAGACCAAAATACCCAAACATGGAGCCGACACACTCCCATGGTTCTCTGCACGACGTTATATACAACCTTGAAGACCAAACGTGGAAAGCGCTTCAACGAGATGGCGCCGCGCTGATCCCTTTTCTTTCCAAGGAATGCCAGATGTTGTTACCGATGGGCGTCTATGTCACAGCATACAGCACACCCAACCTGAAGGAAGTCATGACCAGCGAAGCCTTCATACCTTGGAAGTCGTACAAGCTCACGGACGTGAAGGTCACAGAGCTGGGCGACGACTGTGCCAGCATAACATATCGAGCAGAGGCTTACCGGCCGAAGATTGGCGCCCCAGACGACGGCACACCTTTTCAAGCACTGGTGTCGAGCATTTGGCGACGACACGGACCAGGGGCAGATTGGCTTCTCTGGCTGAATCAACAGACGCCATACTCTGAGCTTTTGGACGCGTGAGTAGAATTCAGAAGGTATCAGGTTAAAGAGCAAGGCGCAATGGGCAGCAGTAGCAGCAAATGTTCTTGTTGGAGGTTCGGTACCAATATGTAGTGATTTCCCCAAGCCATTGTGATGCTACAAACAACGCCTTCGGCTGCGACCGCGAGCATCCCGCTACTAATAATGTTAGTAAGGACATCTGTAGTCAGGTGTCACCGATCTCAAGTCAGGCTCAACCTTCAGCACATGTGAAGAAGTACGGATCTTGCGATTGCAGAAGATCAGTGCCCGGAGAAGGCTAACGCACTGTGACGACAGAGCGCAGACTGCCGGTAAGAATTTCCGCCCCGCAACTGGGGTCCGGGTACTACGTCAGTTCTCGTCAGTGGCTCCAGGAGCTTCTTACGACCACTACTATCTGACTTGCTCTGGACTTTGAACTCTTTCATATCTCCCCTGCCACGTTTCTCGAAGTGAACCATCCTCAGCCACACTCGACTCTGCTACAACCTCCCTCGCCATTACAAACACCGTTCGCATCCATCACCCGAAAAGATGTCTTTTCTCCTACGAACCACCCCTCTGCTCCGCACCTCGGTAGCCCGCCAGTCGACACGATGCTTCTCTACCACATTAGTACAGCAGAACACCGTCAAAGATGCTGCGAAGAAGGTCGATAGAGCTGTGTCGGATACGCTCGTCAAAGGCATCGACAAAGGCAGTATGTCATCCTCACTCTCCCACCGAGAAGGTACAGTTGATGGAATTGAACACTGATCCATGATTACAGTCGAAGCCAAGGACGCAGTAGCCGAGACCGCCGGCATGTCGACGGGTGAGGCCAAAGGCAAAGCTGAGGAGCTCAAGGGCGAGGCAAAGGGCAAAGCAGAAGAACTGAAGGGCAAGGCCATCGGCGCCAAAGAAGAGGCCAAGGCGAAGATTTGAGCATGAAGAGAGCCTGAAGCCGATGAAAGTAATTCCGTCGAATCTCGACCTTCACCGACGGAAAGCGGCGTACAGCACGGTGTTTAGATCGGATTCACAGCATGGCCTGACACAGGTGGCGTTATCGAGCATGTAACATCAAATCAAAAGAATCGCGTGAGATCGAATCGGCTTCTCGATGTGTATCCCAAGTTCGGTACTGACAACGTCCATGATTAGCGTCGTAGCTTCCTTCGTGGACGAATCATGCACCGAGCGAGGACAACTACTGCGCAGTCCCAGCTTCCTCCTTCCGCTCCTCTCTTGGCGGCAGTTGCACCACATATTCCCGCTCACTGTGTCCAAATTTGAGCATCTCGCCGTCCTTGACTTCATAGTATCTCGCCTTACCGACATCTTGGCCATCAACAGTAGTCCCATTGGCACTCTCTAAATCCAGTACATATAGCTTCACTCTCCCCTTCTTGTCCCCAAACTCGCCCCTCTCTTCTCTATACCGGAACTGTAACACAGCATGCTGCTTACTGCAACTCGAATGCTCCAACAGCACATCTACTACAGCTGACTCCCGCCCGAACAGCCAGCACGACTGCGTGTACAACTCGATCGTCTCCAGTATCTCTGAGTCCTTGAACACGTACATGCGCCATTGCTGTGAGGCTGGAGGTTTCCGCGCCTCGACCGGCTCGTGGTACTTAAGGATGATACGCTGGTTCGCGGTTTGTATAGTGTTTGCTGCCGCGGCGAGGCGACCGGTAGGCGCCCAATTTGGCTTCTCCTTCTTTTGCAAATTTCCATCCTTGTCCTTGTAGTAGTCCGAGTCCGTGCCAGTAAAGGCATCGTTTTGTGATGGCAGCGGCGCTTTCGAGCGGACAGGCCCGTCTACCTGACGGTCCTCATGTCCATTGTGTCCATTGCGAGGCGGACTTCGCGAATGTTTGTTTCGTCGTGGACGATGGTTGGAAGTCCCGTAATCCTGCTGTGACCCTCGCTCTCTTCTGTACGGCAGAGCATCTCCATCACGACGTGAGTTTCTAGGGCTTCGCGATCGTCTTCGTTTGGACCTGTGGTCAGAATCTGGCGTATGCGACCTACGTCGATCAGAGTGATCTGGCGGTGTTACTGATCTCCTCTTGCGCGGTCGGTCCACGCTACGAGATCTGCTTCGCTTACGGCGAGCCTCACGACCGTCATCACGCTCGTCTCTTCGTGAGGAACTGTGCCTATGGTCGTCGTATGGGCTTGACGAGCGGTCGCGGCCTCGGCGGTAGTCTTGCCTGTGTGACATTATAAATCTCGTTTGAGCCAATTCATCCGCCGACTGTCTTGAAGGGATCCGAGTGTGGATCAGTGGCTCCGCTGATAAATCAGACGTCGCAGGCACTTGGCTTTACCAGTGTTGTCTCCGGCAGACGAAGTTCGACAGCCTCAAGGTACCTAACATTTTTGAGTTGTAGAACGGGCTTGGAGTCAATCCGGCCCAGGAGATTGCAGGAGATAGTTTGTGCCTGCGCTCAAAAAGGAAATTCATAATTTCCGCTCTCAACCGACTACGCATCCTCAATCTTCAGACTGCATCATTCGAGCTTCAGTGTTCATCCGAAAGAATCAGAACAACAAATGGCGCAGAGATCTTGTCTGAGGTGCTTTGGCATGATGGTTGATGATATATAGGTAGGTGCGATATGTGTCTGGTAGGTCTTTCATTCTTTCCTAGTCCACTTCCATATACACAGCACAGAAAGCAGTAACACCACCCCTCTCCCTCTCAGCCATGCTCTTCTTTGTAACAGGCTGCTCGACCGGCCTCGGGCTCCAGCTCGCGCAAGCTATCCTCGCAGCTGGGCACGACTGCATAGCATCATCCCGCAACCCTTCAAAGACTCCAGACCTCGTAGCCGACTTTGAGAAGAAAGGCGGCAAATGGGTCCACTTAGACATCTCCGGCAAGGACGTCGAAAGCACGATGGCCAACATTCTCGTAGACCACGGCCCAATCGATGTCCTGATAAACAACGCCGGAGTCACCGACGTCGGCCCCATCGAAAATATGCCACGGGACCAAGCTCGAGCTGTATTCGAAACGAACTTCTGGGGCCCGTTGCGCGTCATGCAGGCAGTCATGCCTTCGATGCGGGAACGAAAGTCTGGCAGCATTGTCAACATCAGCTCGAGCTCTGTCTTTAATCCATTCCCGCTCCTCGGCATATACTCTGCCTCGAAGGGCGCAATCGAATGTCTGGCTGATTCGCTCAACAGCGAGATGGGCGCCTTCGGCATTCGAACGCTTGTTGTCGAGCCAGGCTTGCTACGGACGGAATTCTCTGATACGGGCAAAGTCGATGTGGATGGAATTATGGCCAGGTCCGCGATGTTCCAAGGGACATATGTCGAACAAGTCATGGCTCAATTGACAGCGTTCCATGGCAATGAGCCTGGTGACCCGGTCAAGGTAGCGAAAGTCATCATCGATGAGGTGTTGTCGCCCAAAGCACAGCCGCCAACGCCACGACTGATCTTGAGTGCGGACGCGATACAATTCGCTAAAGGCAAGGTTCAAGGCCTGGAAGCTGCGGTGGCGTTGGGAGAGACCATCGATGTTGGGTTTGCCTAAAGCAGAAGGGGCCCGCTTCTCAAGGCGCACGCAGTATCGACATGGAGAAGGCGTTGGGTCGATCTATGGTTGGCATTCCACTTAGGCGCATAATCTAGTGTGCTGTTGGCTCTCGTAGATGCTTTGACTCGATTGTCATTGGATGTGCTCTGCTGTGAAGCAAGAGCCAAAATCAAACGCTATATGCAGCCTGTGTCATCAACGGTCATATCTATTACTCGTTTTTTTAGTTTCCAGCAGCCAATTCCCAAAGTTCGGCAACCAGCCCGCTATGCAATCCAATGGATATCATGATGATACAAGATCATATCGTCGTCACTTTCTTCGCAGCTTCAGCATCGAGCCTCCGGCGAGGATCCAGCTAGAGGCTCACGAGGAGCAGCTGTAGCTGCGGATAGTGTCTGGGAACTGGATAGCACGAGTGCCGCGGCGGTTGGCGAAGAACTGGCAGCTTCCTTCTTGAGGAACTGCACCGAAGACCTGGCGGCTCAGGATAGGGATCGTGTCGGCGGAGACAACGCCACCATTTGCGGCCAATCGTGCTTGTCTAAACTCCGCTTGACCGAAGTTGAACTCGACGTTGACAGTGGCACCATTGCCATTGTTGCCGTTGTTTCCATTGTCGCCATCATCACCGTTGCCGCCGTTGTTGACGGGAGGAGCTGGAGCATTCACAGGAGGTGGCGGTGGCTGCTGGTTGTTGTTTCCGTTCCCGTTCCCATTCCCATCACCTCCGTTGCCACCAGCACGAGCAACGAATGCCTCGACCTCAGGCCTAGTGTTGGCACACCAGTAAGACTGAACAGTGACAACCGATCCATAGACAGCGGGATTTGCCTGATCGAAGATGCCGTCGCCGTTGACAGCACGGACGACTCTGCTCGCAGCGGTGTCCGAGAAGCCGGCGCACCACGGACCAGCTTGATTGACCTCAGCCTGCTGGATCTGGGTATTCCTGTCGACAACAGTGGTCTGATCGAGTTGGGCGTTAATTACCGAGGCGGTGTCAAAACCAGCGAGCTGGACCTTGATACCGATGGTGGTGCCAGACGACAGGAAGGTCGACTGTGGCGTAGGAGCGGCGATGGTGAGAGTCAGTGTGGCGACGAAAGCGCTGATTGAGGAGATCTTGGACATCATTTTGACGAAGGGCTTGGTTGTGCTGTTGTTTGAGTGAATATAGATATTTTGATTGGCGGAGAAGATTCAGACGTATTAGACGAATAGAAGGGACTGACGATAGGAAATAACAAAGGAAATAACAGGTAAGGAAATAGTTCGTTAATTTGGAAGAGTTGCTGTTTGTGTGGAAGGAAAGTTGTTCAGTTGCCAGAGACATAACGTATGCTTTATACCCGCGGTGCAGAGCTCCTGAGTGCATGCTGGCACGGCAGCACTGGTCAACATGTCGATACAGCCTGTCAGATCTCAAGCTAAGTCGATCTATCAAATTGCGATCAGTCCCGAATAGCTTCCAAATCAGACTCAAGCCACGACTTGTGCTGTGCTTCGCGTGCCAAGCAATCAAGCTTACCAGATTAGAGCAGCATCCTCGTGTGCAAGTATAGAATGAGAATGCGAAACAAGCAAATTGGTGCGATGGCACTGCCATGACCTATACACGCCACGCCAGATTCGGATGCAGCGATACCTGTTCGAGTGTTGAAGTGATGCCAAGACAATATATGCGTTGTGACTGGGTGGCCTGAGTGGTCTGGGCAAGGACACTGCCAATCAAGGTAGTCACCGGCCGCTCATTGTTACCTTATACAGTAGATATAGCGATTCGTCGCAAGCTGACCCAAGTGAAGACGGGGAACATACGTGGTGCCGGTACGGAATAGGACGCGTACCCAGTGGTCGAGTAATGTGATGTTAGGCTGCGGAAAGCCTGGGTCCAGTATTGCAGACCACGACCTGTATGTTGCAAAGTCGCTGTTGCACGGTTCCCCCGGTGTACTGGGATCTGTACGCATACAGGGACCTCAATACCGTTGAGCCCTATTCGGTATCTGGACACCAACAAGGATTGTCTCATCAATGAGCCGTGCTCAGTGCGCGCACTTGACCCTTTCGGCGTCCATAATCTGGCAGTCCATATCGTTACATCCATTTTCTACGGGATGCGAACTCTTGTCGTGCTCGTGCAAGATGCCATAATAGGAAGTGCTTCGCAACCAAGACTTCCTCTGAGATATGTGATCGTCAGTAGATGCCGGTCCGCTCCGGCGAGAACTGGGGCCGTCAGTCGTGACCTTAACGGCTTACCAAGAGGCCAGGTAGCACATTGGTTCAATTATAGCTGCTGATGACTGCGGGACTCAACAGTCAAGGCACGGCTGCCAGAAAGTCCTGAGTTGCACAAGTCAGTCCGCTTCAGTCCACTGAGCCGTGGTCACGGGTCCTTGCCTTGATTCGAGGGACCTTACATCTGGCTGATAACCCAGTAGCATTATCCCCATCCACGTAACGCAATAACCCTACAGCCGCCTTAGATCGAACTCCCCGCATGCGAGACCGTGCGAAGGGGAACGAGTGGCGGCGGAGGGGCGTATGTTCTCAGACTCCGGGACCGTTCCAGAGCCAAAATTCCGAGGCACTGGAATGACTTTTTCCGCTTCCATCATAAAGCGGATCGCTTGTGTTGTTCGTTGAGAATCGTCTTTTCCGGGATCACATTCAACCAGTCATGCATGTTGCAGACACCACTGAAACATCGACCTGTAGTCAGGACCGTGGCTGCATTCGAGACGGCCGAGACTCGCGGAGCTTTTGTCAATTCATGGTCGATTCAGTCGGACCGAGATATTCTGCGGGTCAGTACCTTAGACAACGAGAGCGATTTGCAGTCCTCATGTGAGCTCAGCAACGTGAAGCGATCTGAACAATTGCTTGACAATGTACAGCTCGCTCTCACGCAGCGACTTCGAGTTGCCACTGTTCCGTGGACACCCAGCACATGCGACCGCTTCATCCGCTGCATAATTACCATCGAGATTCTGTGTCGGCATCGGCGAGGACTGAGATCTGGAAGCGCGATCTTCGTACGCGCCATTCAGACTGACGGTCAAGCCGTGGGAGATCAGTCGTCGCAACCGTTGCTAAGCTGTGTATTCAAGGTCAATGGCATTCAATGCCATACTCATCTTTCATACTCCCCGAGTGAGCCGATCAAATCTACATCGAGGCCAGCTGCGGCGCTACATGCTCGAAGAGAAGGAGCTGGTCGTCGATCACAGTTCATGCACAGTTGAGGGAAAAGCAGCTTACTTAAGCCCAGGCGGTAATGTACCGCCTCCGCGGTCTCGCCCCGTTAATTCCGACCCCACAGTGCACAACGTTTTCGAATCTCTTACGCGACTTCCTGCCGAAGTAGCCTATCCTCAGCAGTGGCAAGGAACGCGGAGTCCCATCACGTCGTCATGATCTGCTGGAAGGCACTGACTCGTGGAGGCAGACAGCTACCTTGGACATATTGTTCTGCATGTCAATGGAGAATTTCTTCGCACAAATTCCAGGCGGACTTAAGTTCCTACGACGCAGGAACTCGGTCGAATTCGAGCCAATGATGAAGCTAGAGTCTAGCTAGCCGTCAATGAAAGCATGCATCGGCATCATACTGACGAAAGGTAGGGGCTCAAGGAAGGAACGTACCCGACGATAAATAGTGCTGTAGATACCTCAAATTGAAGCTCACCAACACATTGCACCTGGCATTCATTGCACAAACCCACACTTGCCTGTACATTGTCGAACAGAACTACCGCCACCATGTCTCTCTTCGCTCCAGCTCCCGAACCAGTCTCCGAACTGGCGCGAACCCGCGTCCTATCTTCCCATGCCGGCATCAGAGTTTCTCCCCTTCAGCTCGGCGCCATGAGCATCGGCGAAGCCTGGAAAGGCGGCATGGGCAGCATGGACAAAGACTCATCCTTCAAGCTCCTCGACGCTTTCTACGAAGCCGGTGGCAACTTCATCGACACAGCCAACAACTACCAAGACGAAGAATCCGAGCGCTGGATCGGCGAATGGATGACCGCCCGCAAGAACCGCGACCACATGGTCATCGCCACCAAATTCACTACCCCTTACCGCTCCTACGATATCGGCAAGAACAGCCACAGCGTCAACTACTTTGGCAACCACCGCCGAAGCATGCACGTCAGTGTCCGCGACAGCTTGAAGAAGCTCCAGACTGACTGGATCGATATCTTGTACTTGCACTGGTGGGACTTCTCTTCCTCAATCGCCGAGATCATGGATTCATTGCATGTCTTGGTAGAACAAGGCAAGGTCCTCTACCTGGGAATCTCAGACACTCCAGCATGGCTCGTCTCAGCGGCCAACGAGTACGCCATCGCCCGAGGCAAGACGCCCTTCGCTATCTACCAAGGCCGATGGAACTTGATGATCCGCGACTTCGAGCGGGACATAATCCCCATGGCCTCACACTACGGCATGGCTCTCGCTCCATGGGACGTCCTAGGCGGCGGCAAATTTCAGACCCGAAAAGCGATCGAGGAGCGCAAGAAGGCCGGCGAAGGCCTACGGAGCATCGTGGGTCCCGGCGAGCAGACTGAGCAGGAGCGGAAGATCAGCGACGTTCTCGAGGAAGTCGCCAAGGAAGTAAGACCATTATCCTTTTGCCCTTGACGTATCCGCGGCTAACACGCTCTATCAGCACAAAATCGAATCCGTCACAGCAGTCGCACTTGCATATGTCATGGCCAAGACGCCGAATGTCTTCCCTATCGTCGGTGGACGTAAGGTCGAACATCTCAAGGACAACATACAAGCACTCAGCATCAAGCTTACTACCGAGCAAATCAAGAAGCTTGAGGACGCATCTCCCTGGACACCGGGTTTCCCTCAAAACGTAAGTCCTCGGCAAACCTCTCGAAAGATTCTTGCTAATGATGTGAAATCCAGTTCATCGGAGAGGATCCAGGTGTCGTGGGCATTCAAAATGCCGGTATGCTGCTCAAGGGCGCGTCGCAGATGGCGTATGTGCAGAAGCCGAGGGCAATAGGGCATGAGTAAGCGGCGTGGCAGATCTGGTTGTTGGGCAGTCTTGAGGAAGCTGCGATCCGCTAATGGCGCTGTCGTGAGAGTCGTTCCGGTGGCGCGCTTGATCTGCGGAGACTTGCCCTGTTAGTCCTGAGTGACTGAGATAAAAAAAATCACAGACCCTTCTGAACACCGGGATGACAATATCGAGACGAGAACGCAGAAACGCAGAAATGGCGAATTCGCGTGATACATAACTGTCAATGATTGACGCCGGATGACTAGATATGTCTAAGCAGCACCACTCATGCTTTTTGTGGTCTTCCGGGATCCTAGGCACTCGCATTACCTAGTCCGCTGACCATCTCGCATGTTCGCATCGAAGCAGAGTATGTGGATGCCAGAAGGCGGAGCAAGAGGAAGCAGAATGCTCGTGCAAATACGGTCTTGAAAACCGAATATAATTCAACGTGAGCTAGCTCAAAAGCGAACAGTCAAATCATACACTCGTGCCTCTCCCGCACCTACGTATCGCATTCAATCGTCATAAAAGACCAAACACCGAACCTCAATACTCTCCCTCCCCTTAACCCCCACTGGAGTCTCCGGATCCACGAACGCCGTATGCGGTGTTCCCATCGCAATCCCCTTCTTCCCACTCCCAAACCCACCAAACTTCTTCGCATCCTCACTCGCGTTCTCCGAGCCACTAACATATCCCTCATCATTGATCCACTCGCTCCGACTGTCGAAGCACTTGATGAACATCGTTTCCTCGGGAGTCATGTCCTTTACATAGTAGAACTGATGGTTTGAGTTGGGCGCGACTGTCAGGGTCTCACCTCGGGGTTCATAGCCGACTGTGCTCGAGATTGAGGATGGGTCGGGGAGTGCTTCTTTGCCGCGGTCGTCGTCATCGGAGGGCGGGTTGGACGCATCGGATGAATCCTTGGAGACGGTAGAGGCCGGGCGCTTGGGATACATCAGGTCGACCTTGACGAGATCCTTGGGCGAAGTGGTGCGCCAGTCGATGACAGCGAGTGGGAAGTCCGAGGCGGGATGCTGATAGGACGCCATACGTTGATGATCTGGTAGCGACCCTGCAGGAACTTCTCAGCTTGATCGGGTGGAAGATGGCGACGGACGCGAGTCGCAGCGGCACGGGGCGTTTGGTCGATGTGAACTTGTTGGACTGGTTGGCGTGGTGAGGTTGGGTCGTGTTTGCGGATTGTGTGGTCGAAGATTTCGATGTGAGAGACTTTATCTCCGGACGGCAGGTGCTCACGCAGCACCTTCGCGACTTCGTCGTAGTAAGTGGTACGGACTGTCTTGTCGTTGTCGAAGTCGGCTGCTGTGACCTTGGAGGGCGAGTGGTGTACGCTGAAGCCGCTGTTGTCTGTTGAGAATTGCGAGAACTCTGGGTGCGTGCGCAGGTTGGTGACAGGTCTGGGGTGTGATTGAAGACGGAAAGAATAGCCAGGGCCGTCGACCTTGGTCCATGGCTTCTCGTTGGGGACGACCGACTTAACGTCGAGGTATTGGAAGTTGCCTGTCGTCATCTGGACGGGAGGCGAAGTCGACGCTAGACGAGGCTGCTGTGTCGAGAAAGCGCGATGGGAGGTCAATGCTTTGCTCAAGGTAGACTTGGTACTCCTTGTAAGTGGTTTTAATGCTAGGCGTGCCGGGCTGGTCAGCATGAGTAGTTTCGGGCTCTCTGGAATATTAGTGGCAACTGGCAGGTACGGTACAGAAACGTGAGGATGGTCAAGAGGCAACTTACATCGAGTCGAGAGGCTTTCTATATGTTGAGGAGGGTGCTGACGTTCTGTTCAATTGAGGCCTTTACCCGTACTCGAGTTACTAGAATTTGTAACGGATGGATCGAATATGATCGAGCGTTGAGTCGGACTGTAGTGCGTAAGTGAACAGGTTCGCAGATGACGCCATGTTTCTCCCAGAATCTAGATGTTTTGCAGATCCCCGCGTACCATAGCCGAAGTCGCTGAATAATAGTGGTATAGTCGTGATGTCGGCGGATGTGTCTCCGAATCGGTCTTCCGCTGAATACGTAAAGAACTGCAGTGATGGAAAATAAATGAATACGCTACAAATGGCACCTGTATACCCTAAGATATGCAGCAGCATAGATATCCCCTATGCCATAACAATCGATGTGCTCGCTTGCTCTAGATTTCTGGCACCAGCTCTTCTGGTTGCTGGTCGATAGTATCGCTTCACGTGTGCTCTGTCTCCATTCCGTTTCTCCGTCTTTTGTTCGTTACATCTGGTAAGTCTGGTCCCTTCTCTTTGCATGGAGCATTTCTCGTCTCTCTCGCTTGTCGTGCTCTGCGACCGACGTGTAATGGCCCCTCGACAACTAAACCATTGTCCACTCGGCGCCCCTTTTCAAGAACTTGTCCACCAGGATGCAGACGTCTGTCATAACAAACCGAATGATGTAGAAACTGAAGAACTCTGCCGCGTTCCTGACACAGAACTCCAAGCCAACGTGTGTCTTATCAGACGCTTTCAGACCAGGATCCTCGACTTGCCGTGCGATCGCATCGATGATTTGAACAGCATCGAATAGACGCGCCAAGCTTGACATATACGTCGCGTGCATGATCGGTATATTGGTCAGAGAATTAGGAGTTGGCGGTGGAATTTTGTGCCTGTGTTGGGTCCTCGATGAAGTCTGTACCGAGCTTGACGAGGTCATGGGAAGTGATGGCATCGTCAAGCCAGCTCCATTCAACGGCTCCCTGAGTTGAGTCACGGCGCCAGTAGATGGGGTGGAAGCAGAGCTCGACTTTGATCGCAGTTTCCGCCAGCCAGAGGCAAATGATTTGGCGGCAGAGTTGGCGTTGCCCGACTTCAGGTTGGCTTCCTCTTCTGTGGGTGACTTGAACACCGACGTGTGTGCTACACCAACTTCTGCTCCAAGTTTCTTGGCGAGCACCACGCGGACCTTGTCGAGTTCAGTCTCCAGAGATTGCATCGCGTCAAGCATAGCATCCGCGTCGTAGTTGTCGACCTTCGCAAGGGCCAGCAGCGCTGCTGTGAGAATGTCGCATTGCGAGATTTTGTCCTCCAGTAACCGAAGCTTCACGTTCTTGACACGCCAGATATCTCTGGGCAGAAACATCTTGTTCGTCAAATGACCGCCGCGGGGATGAGCGACAACCTGGTACAGGCATCGCATTAACCACCATGGGCGAAGCAAAAATGCTTCTGGACAAGGCTCAAGTGGAACAGGAGGTTCAGCCTCTTGCAAACCATGAGACGAACGAGGAGTCTTGGGCGATGCTGCCATGCCTATTTGATCATCGAAGAGATGCATTCCGCTTGAGAAGGAGGTCTGGTGCGTGAATGTTGCTGTCGTTGGTGTGGGCAAGGGAGGCATGTGTGACCTTTTCTCGGGGAAAGTCGCACTATTCAAGGCGCCTGCACTGGCTGGTGTCATTGGCGACTGGTCCTCCATCGAAGCACTGATAGACGGGTTCCGTTGCTGTCTTAGACTAGTCGAAGAGAGATTTTTCCTCATCGCTGTCACTGGTGGCATTGTTTTTGTCAACTTGGCGGGAGAAAGAGGAACAGTATTCGACTCGGTGCTGTGACGAGAGCCCTCCTGGGTGAGAGCCGGAGTTGCCGGAGACTCGCTGGGAAGTGTCTCGTTCGAGTGAGTCGAGCTTTGGTGTGACAGGAACGGTTCCTGTTGAAGGTGGGCCAGGCATTGGCAGAGGTTTCTGCATGTCAGGAGCTGGGATGTCCAGCTTGGGAACTCCCTTGAACTGCGCGGTGCCTCTCGCAGGCGCATAAGTCTCTATCTTGAGCGCGTTCTGTCCAGACAACCTTCGGTCTCGGAGCGTGACGGCACTCAAACGCTCGATTCGCTGTGGTGACGTAACGGCACCAGCCCTTGACGGCGATGTCTCTACATGAGCAGCTCGTGGCAGAGTCGGATCTTTGGAGGGACTTGTCCTTGTGAGCTCTGTGTCCTCGTTCAGGGTGCTTAAATTCGTGGCGGCTGTCAATGTGGTTGACTGGTTGGAGCTCGATTGCGTTCTGCCAGAGAAAGTGCTTGAATCTGACTGTCTTGGTAGTGCTGATTTGGACTTCGAGTCAAACGTGAAGTCATCAAAGTCATATCCGTCTGTCATCTCGTCGAGCAATCTTTCCTCTTCCTCGGTGGTGTCCTCGTCCAAATAATCTTGAGGCGCTTCTACATCGGAATCGGCGCGAGCTCGACCTTCCACCATCGGATCCCGTGATTGCATTTTGGGGACTGTGCTGCTCATGTCGAACAGATGCGCCTTTTGTGACACTTTCGGGGTGTCTTCGGTTTCGATGTCCTCACTGTCATAAGCAGCATCGACTGCGGCGTTTAGTGCGGCGTCGAATTCGGCCTCAATCTCGTTGGCAAGCGAGCTATTAGAAGGCTGGGTATGTACGGCAGATAGGCTCAATGACGGTGGATTGGGCGACTTGAGGGATTCATCATCGATCGTGTCAAGCCAGGATATCGACTCGGAGCTAGTCCGCTTGGTGCCGCTCTTGGATGCCTTAGTCGATCGGGATTGCGTTTCCGCATTGTCGGCGTTTCCGGCTCCAGGTTCTTGTGGCAGCCTTCGTGGTGATAACGGCGGTGGCATATACCTTGATTCCATCGGTACCTCGAGAGCCGACTTCGCAAGCTGCTGTGGCTTCTTGACGGACGGCAGCACGCTCTGATCATCCATATAGCGCTCTCCACCGTAGATCTGCGGTAACAACGATTCGGCACGTGGTGGGATGTGCACCTGTTCTAAGGCATCGACAGCGCTCGAGCTTTGGCCCTGGAAAATGCTGCATTAGTTTCCTGAGCTGGCGGATCATCTGGTAATTCCTTGTCCATGAGGTTCGCGAAAGGGTCGTCGAGATCGTGCAGTTCCGCAATGCGATTCGAGTAGGTCTTGCGAATAGCAGAGAGCTTCTTGCGGTCATCCATGTCGGAGCTACGCGCCATGACCTGCTGCAGAAGCTCACATGCTTCAGCATAGGCCTCAATCGCACCATCGATCTTAGATGAATTGTCCAGCAGCACTGCTGTGTTCGCCTTAGCCAGAGCTCGCGACAACATGGTCTTTTGTGTAGGGCTTCGATGGCCGCGGCTTCGCTTGGGTTCGGCGGCCATTGATGCGGCGGACTCTTCGTCAACAGCGCCAACATTTGAATTGGTGCTAAATTCTGACTTTGAAGGCAATTGTGGCGATGGCCTTTCCTCGGCGACGTCTTCGATGCGCCGTGGCCTGTGAGTACCGGTTGTGACATACTGAATCGACATGGCGGTAATCGGCTCACCAAATTTATTCAGCTTGCGATTCTGCCAGGTCTCCCCAAAATAGTCGCCGGTCGTTGTAGTATTGTACACGGAGGTTGGCGTCAGTGCCGGGCCAGAGCCATTGGGTGATCGACCAGATCTGGGGGAGCCGGTCGAGCCAGGCACCAGAAAAGACTTGTCGAAGTCGTTGCTGGATTTTTGTGAGCGGGTCTGGCCCCGCTGAGGACTTCGTCCAAGTTGCCTTTGTGTAGTGTTCACACCATACGAAGCATTCTGTGGTAGGCGCCGGTTCGGGTCTTGGTCTCCGGTGCTGGAGGATGTGGACTGCGACCAGCGATTTATGTTTCTGTTATTGAGACCCTTCGAGTCATCGAAACTACCTCTTCGAGCCGAGTAATTGTAGATGGGAGCCAGGTGATCGATGGAGCCCCGATCTGGACTGATGGAATGGGCAGCTCTTAAGTGCGTAGAGCGAGGATTTTGCTTCGAAGACAAAGACAGCGACTTGCGCACTGTGAGTACGGAGGAGGACGTAGAATTTGAGCGTTGACTTCTCCTGTTGGATACTGCCGGCGTCATGTTACCGCGGGCGGCGCAGGCTGAAGGAGGTGACACAGGCGAGCTAGGATGTTGCTGGGCGGCAGGAACTCATGGATCCCAGCTGTGTGTGTTTGTGTAACAAGCTGTCGAGTGACGTGAATCGGTACGAGTACGGGGCCGAGGCGGGCAACGGGATATGCAGGTACGTGTTTGACGGGCCCGCAGGATTGCAGGATATCGATAGGGCAAATTGAGCGGGTGGCCAGTATAGTGGTGGGCGCGAAACGTATTCACGACATGACTCTTACAAAGCGTTGACTGTGGTATCCTCCTCTTTCTGAATGTATTCCGGCGTGGCTGCGCAATTGCTGGCGCGTGGGATAGAATTCGTGGCTGTCCCGGTCTTTGGCAAAGAGTCGTCTCGTATTACCCGGAGCAGGGAGACCAATGTCTCAAACAGCCGCAGGCACTCTGACTTGCGTACAGAGACAGTATTGGTGTCGCGAACGCTATGCTGTAAGCGCTGCTCTCGGTCTGAGAGTGCCAGCAGCGAAGACAGACGCTGGTGTCGCTGATCAGGTCGTAAGGACGCGGAAGTTGGGGCTTTGACTCTTCGGAAGGGGCCACAGCGACTTCGACTATTCGGGTTTCAGATGAGCCGAAGACCTCTGCGTCCTGGCGCGGGATCGTGTGGCTACGATCGTTTCGGGTGCGATGGGAGCAGAGATACGTAGACAGAGCCTGTGGTGTAGTTGTAGTGTAGGAAAAGGTCGACGTCGCAAGGGCAACTTGGACGGTGTAGAAACCCTGCGGTGCCTTTCCTTTCGAGAGCATGCGCACCCTGGAGCGAATCCATAGGGGACTTTCTACGGAGCGATGGCGCTGAGGCCAAGTCAAGTTGATCGTGCAGTCTCCGCCCAGGTGCCACTGATTGGCGGCTCTTCAGGACGCCCCTTTAAAGAGGCATAGCGCAGCCCCCTAGCATCCACTCGATTCGTGACTATTCTAGCACTATCACCGGCAAATCACACTCCTAATCACGTCCACAACTCTGGGACAACAATGGATACATTAAAATGTCAACGAGACGCGTACCGTGTTGACTTGCAGCATCCCGAATATTGCAGACTCCGACATGTTGGAATGGATCAGAGTTCGGATCTCAACTTTCTGGAGCTGCCCTGATCCAACCTGCAAGTCGCCCCTTGTAGAGGTGATGCAGGGGGTTCATGCTTCTACGGAGAGCACCGTCGTTGCTATTGTGCAGCTAGCAGCTAGCTGCACAACCTCACAGAATAAACGAAGTCTGCAGCACCCTCGCATCCTTGCTCTTTATCTAATATCATGAGGGCAACTGCAGTTTGACTTCGATTCAAGATCTGAAATCTGACTCTGCAACGTTGGATACAAGCACAATCCTGGGAGACGACCAGGAAGATGCATCATGAGTATCCGTGCCCTGGGGTCGTTCATACGCTGACTTAAGCAATTCTCCGGCCAAAAGTCTGCGATACGACCTGAACACTTCTTGTACCGACTGCGGCTGATCTGGACTACTTTCCCACATGTTCGATAGCATGATATGGAAATCATAGAAAAACCACAACTCTTCCCCAGAGTGGCAGCACCTCATTTCATAGTCCATAATAACGTGTACCTCCTTCAATGAAAACGTACCATGAACGTCAGCACGGCTCCTTCCGCTCAGAAATGTTTCGACTGCTTCAAGTACGCGGCTGGTCCGGTATATGATGATAGTGTTATCTTCGCGAGTCTGCTCATACCTTCAGACCCCTGTCCAACATCTTTCATGGTTTGCCTATCTCACGTGGCAGCCATGCATAATGTCAGACCGGGCTCTCAAGAACACCAACCATAATACGAGGTCAGGCGCTAATCAGAGCTATGGCATGCCCAGGATCCTCACAATTCCAGGTGGAAGTAGGCGACATCTGGTGCAACTCGACGTAATGGACCCCTTCAGAGGAATGGACGCAGTGACAGACTACAGGATGTATCCCATGCTTTCCTGATCTTAATTCTACATGACGAGTACACATGAGTAGAGTGATGATAGGATCTGGCAGATGCGTCAATGCACAACTCAGTCATCCAGTCCCGAGTGAGCCTGTTCTCGCTCTTCAGGCTAGTCTCCAGTCGATGTCAGACCGCGGGCGATCGTCCTCGTCGTATCGCTCCTGTAGCAACGAACGTTGAAATGAATCTCAGATTGCCTTTAAATCACCATTCATATCATCGAGGCTTCCATGCACTTGAGATTCTGAACAACGCAGCAAACGGTGAATGCACCCTGGCCGAGTCAGTAGACTGATTCGCTCCGCGGCTTGCCGCAACATCCACTCTTTCGAAGAGCTATAAGCAGAGGTTGTATCTCTCGACTTTCTTCTCCATCTTCCTCCATCGGCATAATCGAAGGCGTGCCACTTGCCATGCCAAGATAGCATTTGCTGCTACTTGGTGGGGCGAGTTGCTTCGCGGAGTGGAAAGGTATGGCTAGAATCGAGTGCCAGAGCTCATGTCATGTCTCCCCCGTGGTCGCCGGGACGCTTCCAGTTCAGGCAACATCAGTCCAGAAGCCGACGTCCTACCGCTCTCCAAAAGCATAATACGAGCAAGGAGTCAATACATCCACAGCACACTCACGCACCAGCACTCCGCTCACGAAAATCCACAAATTCATAAATGGCTTCCCTCATCACTCTCTCGGTCTGTCCTTCGAGGCCACCGCCTCCTAGTTGAGGGCATGCTTGCGTGGCCGGCTGCCGTCTACCACCTGCGTTTGAGCTGAGACCGTTCAAGAGCACATCTTCGATGACGTCCGATTCAATGCGTCCACGATCGGCACACCACCAGTGAGGCACGCGGCGTAGGCAATCGAACCAGTAGCCGAGGATCAGAAGGGGCAAAGTATTGGACTGCGTGGTTGGACAAAGGGAGTTGCAGGCATGTGGGAAGGTTGTTGATGTAGATGTGGTAGAAGTATGTGTCGTCGTGGCTGGTGCGGACTCGGTTGAGGAGTCAGTCTGAGTAGCTACGGGTGGCGCATGCCACTGCGGCAGTTGATATTGTAGGCCAGTAATTTGGTCTGCCCATCCCGTGAAGACAGACATGTCGAATGATTCATTCGCAGCGGGAGTGGCACCGGTCGAGCGTAATGACGCTGTCGAATTCGGTGGTGCGTAGAGCGGCATGTACGGACAGACATTCTGCGTGATGCCAGCGAAGAATTGTTCCTCGTCACCTCGGGGAGTGCCAAAGTTGGGCGCATTTTGATACGAGTCCGTGCAAGCATTCTGCTGCAATACTCTCAATGCTCGTTCGGTCTCGAGTGGGTGTTTCGAGAGTCCTTCCAGTGCATCGAACGACGACTCATCGTTGAAGATGTACCAAGAGTCATTCGGAAAGCTGGATCCAGCGCCGGAAACACCACCAGCGTCCGATTCGCCCCTCGGTTTGCTCATTGCATCAAGATGAGACTCGAAGAGGGCTGGGAAGTCAGGCGGTAGGCGACTTGCGAACGAGATGATTGGAGCAAAGTTGTCCAGATCGCTGGCGTTAAGGGACAAGACATAGCTCAGATACCCCATCAGGGGTCGGACCAGATCAGCCTGCTTCCTCATTCTGTCGCAGGGGTGACGAGCAAGCAGACCCACTAGGCGCTGCAACTTTGTCAGCGCCTGAGCACTGCAGCCTTTCCCAGGTGCGTCCACTACGGGATCCGTGACTTGTGCGCAGTCGAATGAGAATCCGGGCAGGCTATTCCACTGACTGCGAGGCGTTCCAATGTCGCTCCAGTCGTCGGAGAGTACAACCAGCCCCGAGAGCCCACATTGACTAGGGACGATCGGCACATTCGGCTCTTGGGACAGCTCAAAAACTATCTCGTCCAAATTGGTGTCGAGGTCGTCGAGCTGTGGACTGTGCTGGTCATTGGCTTCGGTAAAGAATTGTAGCCAGATGCTGTTGCGAAGATTCTTCTGGAATGCCGGCAATGCAAGTAGAATGGACATGCCTGTGACCGTGGTCAGCCAATTGATTTGGTGTTGCTGCTTGTCGGGTAGTTTGCTCGAGAGCTGTTTCACATCGTGGAAGGTTGAGGTGGGGACGGGGAAGCTGGCTGAAACTGGCAACGTTATCGCTGCTGGCAGTGAGGTCGCTACCGTAGCGGCGGTTCTCAATCCATCGTTGAATACTCCCAGGTGGCCTTGAACGGCGGCAAGAAGATCGCTACACTTTGTATCGGATGCCATGTCGTGAGAGTGTGTGGGAGGCAGCCCCTCGGCGATAGCATCAGGCAAAGTCGTCGAGTTTCCACCAGCAAGCAACGTTGCCGCACCGAATGTATGCATTGCACCACGCAGCGAGGGGAAGCTCAAGATGCTCAAAGTCCAGGACGTCATCCCAGTCCCTTCCTTGGGATGGAAGAACAGGCTTGTCAGCATCATGCAAGCCGCAACTAGCGCGTCCATGTCCTCCCTCTCTTCCTGAGGGCGGTCTGCATCAGTGTCAGGCGCCAGTATATGGAGCCATGAGTTGGCCTCCTGCATTTTTCTAGGTTGGGACGCTTGCGTCTGGTACCATGCAATCCTGTCACCATACAGGTGTATGGCTCGATGACTGTGGTACGCCGCTGTCTTTGTCATGCGTTTGATCGACGATGGCCCGCTGCCCAGATAGTCGAGATGACTGGCCGAAAACGCGAGTACTGTGTGGAGGAGAAACTTATGTCGTAGTAGCATCTCAGGCACCTTGCTGTGTAGGATCACCTGCCCCGTGTGGGAGGAGAGAGTCTTGCACGCATAGCTGGTGAAGTGATTTATGAGGTATGGCAGTGCGTTAGGTGACCCAGCATTCCGAACAGGAACAGAAGCCATCGATGCAATATAAGAGGATACGGCGTGAATGCCCAATGCGACTTCCCCGGTCAAGTCACTGTTTGTTGAGGCATTGCCCGAGAGTCCGGCATGGTCCTGCCAGCTCCAGCTGTTCTCGACATTCCACTGGACCTTTCCGCAGCGAACTTGCTAATATAATCGTGTCCTTCAGTACTCAGTCCTTTGGGCCTCGGAGGTTGTATCTCATTTGAACTGCCGGGTTGTCCATCCTCAGCAGCGGGTCGATCCCGTGAAGAATAAGCTCCCAAGGTCCTCCTCGCGCCCTCATACTCGCACTGCGTTGATCTGAGGTTACACGGACCACATCTTGGATGCTGTTCGTCGCATTTGACGCGCCGTGCTTTGCAAGTTAAACAACCTTTCCTGGATTTTCGATGCGTCTTGCGAGTCTGCTGCGGTTTCCTAGGCTTGATCGACGGCTGTTCAGACAACCACTGCAATGGCCCTGCGATCATGGTGGTTCGCCTGTTCCGATTGACCTCTGTAGGATCATGGGACCCTTAGATTGAGATTCTGGCGGTGCGCAAATGCGCTGCTTCCATGCGTCCTGGACATGAATCAAATACATCACGAAAGCCGCGAGGTTCCCTCGCGCGAGGAAATTATCGCCGCCTACCAGCCTTCCACTGGGATTGCCCCAGCATCATGACTGACACACACACTTGAATGAAGCCATTCCGAATCGGATACGAACGATTCGGACGTGGGCGTGAAATGGGGCTGAAATCAAGGGCGGCCAAGAATCTCTCGGACAGATTCATTCCGGCCTTCCTCTTTGAAAACAGCAGGGCTTTTGCTTAGCTGACAGCGAATACGCCTGAGTTCGTGGCATGGCTGGCAGTTTCCCACGATTTCAAAGAGGGCGTCTCAGACGATGTTCCCGCCATCTGAAGCCCGAGATCGGCGTGGCATTGTACGGAAGCGGAAATAGTGCTTCAATCAGCGGAGGACGAATTGACTGTTGGTCCAGTATTCCGAATCGTGTCCAATTGACTCTATTCACTGATGGCATTCGAGGGGAACCAATAGTCAGACATCCGACTTTGACACTGTCAAAATGACGTTTGAGGGCCTCTGGAGGCACATCGATTGATGAATATAGGTTTTGAGGGGCTTGTCTGAACAGCACTTCTACCGCTCCAGCAAAAGAGCTGGACATTAGCATCTTCTGCACTTTATTTGTGCCTGCCGTTATACAGTCAACCGCACAGCCATACTTTGGCTTCTTGCCCATCTTGAACGCCGTCCCAATGCCGTCTTCCCAACAACCATGCACAATACTGGGGACGCCTAAAAATGCTATGCTCGCCCACGTCACGGCATCCTCCGTGGGACATGCAATTCCGCTGCGGCATTTTTCATTGCACCTTCTTCTCCTCGCGTTTCTTGGGATTGCACACGCTGCCAGCCTCGGTGTCCATCACGTAGTCCCACCACCGGAAACTGCTGGCGTAGTTGCCGAGGAACTTCTCGTGATGGACATCGTGGTGATCGGCACCGGCCCAGAAGGGCAGGAAGTGGTGTAATGACCATGGGAACTCGTATCCTGAGTGCGCGTCGATTGCTTGGAAGAGTCTGAGGATGATCCACACATACATAGTGAGGATATGCAGGTCTTTCGTGATGGCGGTGTAGATGACGGGAATGCCCACTGCGCCGAATGCCAGAATCATGGTCTCGATGGGCGAGGCGTACTCAGCAGCGACGCCAAAGGGTGCGGAGTATTGGTGGTGGAGTTTGTGGATCTTCTTGTACAGCGTCGGAGTGTGCAGAGCTCGGTGAAACCAGTAATGCCAGGTATCCTCGAGGACGAAGAAGATGGCAATCTGATACGCCATCTTCCACCACGGCGGGAAAGGAACGGATGTCGAAAGACCGCAGAATTGTGCCAGAGGGTGGAACAGCCAGATCTGCGGAAGCTCAACCGTGAAATGCGACAAGAGGACAAGGCGTGCGCAGGCCCATTGTTCGGCAAGAGTCGGCATCTTTTGCTGAAGGGTTGTTAGTGAAGCAGTTCATGGCACTGAGAAGGGCTCATCATACGCCTTGGATCTTGTACTTGTTGAATGCTGGAATGTAGTCGAACATCATCCACGGTATACACCGGCCAAAATAGACAATCTCGTGCATCGCAAAGGACATGATTCCCGTGGCGAGGACATCGTTCTGCATGAACGCGTACCATGCTGCCCAGGCCTTCTCGAAGGTGTTCAGGTGGATATTGTAATATGCGATCTCGTTGAAGTGGTCATAATAGGTCGTCGGATTTGCCGTCAGAGTCGAATTCCTAGGTGGCGGTCAGGGTCCGCCCCATGTTAAAGTTGGGTCGACCAAGGGAGAATACTCACATCTTGACGGTAGTGAGCCCCGTGTGTTCCGTAGCTGGAATTTGGGCACTTCACGAGTCTCTGGTGTCCACGATTTGTATTGCAGACGTGTAAACGAAGGTGGTCGTAGGAAAGAGAAACGGAAGAACCACCGTTGCGAACGCTTTGTGCTGCGTGGAGTGACAATACTTTTTTGCGGTGTTGTTGAGGAATCACAGCCAATCACAGCGAATACCGACATCAGATCATGCCGGGTGCTTCGAGCTATGGTCAAGATCCGAGCGAGCCATGCGGAATTACCAGGGCCAGACTGGGTGAACCCCTGAAGACCCTGGTTCATCGGCTGCACAATTGCCGCTGATTTACGGTCATGCATTTCTACCACTTGCGCATCCCCGCGCTCTGTCGCGTCCACTCACCTCACGCGTCGAGGCGCAACAGTTCGAGAACCAAATCAGAAATCCAGCCAACATACCGGCAGACGTTTCGTACTCACGCCAGACCCCACTGACCCTGTTGTGAACCTGCCCGCGATCACAGCCTATTCCGCAATGTTCAAGACATACTACCGACTGCGGCCAAAGAAGACACAAAATGGGCAGTCGTGTGGATGATACACTCCAGAGCCTCTTCGAAAGCATCGTTGCTCCGCCTCTCCCAGGAGAAGGACACGAAGATGCAGAGGATCGCATTGAACAGTCCATCCAGTGGGCAAAGGAGATAGTGGAGGCTGGACAGCACAAGCCGTGCGACGATGCCAACAATGCACCACAAGCGATCAAGAGAAAATTGCTGCGAGAGAATGATTCGCCAAAACCGGCGTCGCGCTTTGATGATCTGTACAAGAGACTGCTCGTCATTCCAGTGCTCAACCAGAAATGGAAGATTTTGCATCTTCTCCGTCTCTTAGCAGACGCTGACCGCCATTACGTCGAGCAGCAGCAACCGGATGAGCCCGAGCCTGACCTCACCCCATCACCTCTTGCGCAGCGCCAGTCAATGCGCCCCAATTCATCTCGCCTTCCGCAACGGGACGCAAGACCGTCTACTGCAGGAACTGAGGTCAACCACAGCGGACAGGCCGACACCGATCCAGCCCATCATCACACTTCACCATTCGCATCACGGCCCAAGAGCAGTGGTAGGAATGAGCCGCCGCCGCGAAGTGCAGGGAAAGACTCAGTGCCACCTCCAAAGCCGCGCGCGCAGTCTGGGCCAACGGAAATGGACCTGCTGCGCGATCTGCCATTCAATCTGCAAGGCCTATCTTCCACGAATGTGTCTTTGGCGTCTCCTGGCAAAGCCCAGCTTCCGTCCACCTTGCCCGTCCCTATTCTTTCACTTCTGTACACCCTGGCCGAGCCGTGTCTGCTCTACAGAGAGCTAGCAGACTTTACTTCTGGGCAAGGTGGCAGCCTCATCAATCAAAGCCTGCGAGCCGCGATCAGCCAGGAACTTCGTGCATATTTGAGCTTGGTGGCGACCCTGGAGGGCGAGGTCAGACGTGCACTGGCACTCCTTGATCAAGGTGATAGCCTCAAGAGCGTCCGTTCTGCAGGCGTCACCTTGAAACGATGCGTCATATGGACTAAGGACGCAACGATGGGCTTGAGGCTAATGAGTCTGTTCGTCGAGGAAGCAAAACGCCGAAAGGGCGGTCTGATCATCTCACTCATCCACGACCTCTCAAGCACACATGGCGACCCCTTCGTTGGCGCGTTCGCTAGTAGAATGCTTGCACAGGTTGCACGACCGTTCTACGAGATGCTGCGCCATTGGATCTATGACGGAGAACTTGTAGACCCGTATCTCGAGTTCTTCGTCATCGAGCCGGACCCAAGTGAAAAGCCTGACGTTGATCCTCGGCGAGTTGCCACGTCGATTTGGGAAGACAAGTATTCTCTCGACTCTGGAATGGTACCATCAATAGTCTCAGCAGAGTTCGCGAAGAAGGTGTTCTTGATTGGCAAGTCCCTCAACTTCATCAGAAACAACTGCGGCGACTCCGACTGGGTCATACAGTATTCGAAGTCAAATTCAAAATCCCTCGACCACGCTAATACCGCCACACTCTTCTCTTCTATTGATGCTGCTTATGCTTCGACGATGTCACGACTTACGTATCTCATGTCTTCCAAATTCGGCCTTTTCACTCATTTGGCTGCCATCAAAAAGTACCTGCTTCTTGCTCAGGGCGACTTTATCGACTTGTTAATGGAATCATTGGCGCCGAACCTTGACCGGCCCGCAAACTCACAGTATCGGCACACGCTCACTTCCCAGCTAGAGCATGCCATACGGCATTCCAACGCACAGTACGACGATCCAGAAGTGCTAAGGCGCCTAGATGCGCGAATGCTGGAGTTGTCTAGTGGGGAGATCGGATGGGATTGCTTCACCTTGGAGTACAAGTCTAGTGCGCCATGCGACGTGGTGATAACGCAATGGGCCAATACCCAGTATCTGAAGATCTTCAACCTCCTTTGGCGAATAAAGAGGGTCGAGTTCTCCTTGAACACTACTTGGCGACGGTGCATGACTGGAAGCGAAGCGTGTTGTCTGCAGTCAACGACAAGCTTGGGGAGGATTGGAAGCGCGCAAGATGTGTAATTGCCGAAATGGTCCACTTCGTCAACCAGCTGCTGTACTACATCTTGTTCGAAGTCATTGAAGCGAGTTGGACAATATTGCAGACGGAGCTTCACAAGCCTAACTCGACCTTGGACGATCTTATTGAAGCTCATACTAAGTACATCAACAACATCACACGCAAAGGGCTACTTGGTCAACAGCGACACGTGTCCACTGGGCAGCGTGAAGACAGTCCGTTGGCGCAGCTGCATTACATTCTCAAGGCAATGCTATCCTACCGCGATGTCGTTGACAGCCTGTATTCATACAGCGTGGCTGAGTTCACCAAACGACAGCAGTTCTCTGCAAAGATCGAGCAGCGGACCGCCGCAGGCAAATGGGGAATTACCGAGAAGGACTTAGCAGGTGATTCTCGTGCAAGCACGCCGAGTCTGTATCCTCCACAGGCCGCTAAGGTTGGCAGTAAGCTCGCTGAGTTTGTTGATTCTACGAACTCACCACTGCTCCAGCCCATCACCATCGGATCCGCGGCAGACGACCACGCGCTGCTGGAGTCTTTGCGAGCCCGCCTTCTGCAGGTTTCTGCAGACTTCCGATCTCGAGTAAACATGCTGTTGTACGACCTAGCCCACCAGCCTGATGCTGATCTGCGATTCCTTGGTGTCGTGATGAACTTTAACGAAGTGTACAAGCCTGTCAACCAGCGAAGAGCAAAGCGTCGGGAGCAAGAGCGTGAGAGAAGAGGCAAGGACGGCGGAGGAAGCAGTGAGGCGACTGGCGTAGGAACAGCAGATGCTAATGCCATTACCAGCCAGCCCGAGAGTCGGAAGGTCAGCGAAGCGGTTTCATCGGTCAGATGAGGTTTGGGCCCCAGTGCTCCTTCCTCAATAAGGGCAAGGCGGCCAATCGATGGGGCAATGTTACCGCAAATCATTCTTGCAGGCAAATGGAAGCTGAATTGCGTGCTAATGCGGTCAAGTCGATCGACGACATGAGTGGGCGCATTGCAGGCAGGCAACACTACCTGAGTCGCGCAGTCGCCAACATCGATGTTCGCATACAAGAGTTGAGGCGACAGGCTCATTCGCTGTAGCTGAACTTCACTGCACAAGGCTTCAGCGTCAGGGAAGCGGCCTCGTAAGCATGAGCTGCCTTCTCCAATGCTGATTGGCGGAAGCGTCCTTGCGGTTGCAGACACGGAACTTTCGTATACTGCTTCGGCTTTGGTCAGATGCTACCGACCATTGAGTAGTCCTGTCGTTGCGACGGTTTCGATGAGTCTGAACCTGTCCACTCACTGAACGTGCTAATCTTGCCAAGCCATGAGCACTCGGGTCCTTGCCTTGAATAATTGAAGCCGTGGCTGCTGCGAAGCTGCAGTAGTAGCCACAACTCAGCAGGCACGTTCTGTATACACGCAGCTCAACCCAGTCAACCCAGCGACGGCAAGCACGCCCAAACATTCGCAAAAAGCAACATTCGCACTAGATCTGACGGCACCCTGCAGCTGCACAGAAGCGTTTCCAATCATCTTGATTTCTGAACTATGATCGCCAGAGCATTCCTTGCCATCCTCCTGCACTGGACACTCGCCTTGGCAAAGGACCAGATCCCTTTCACACCACCGCATGTAACGCAACAGGTCGGAGTGGCCCCTGAAATATTCCAGAGTCAGTGTCAATCCATCAGCTTCACATAGCAGCGCCTTAGGCTCATATCTCCTCCAGATGCATCTCTCGGCGCATACCTCTCCCTGCCTATGTGGTTCTTCGCTGCTGGATCCTGCTATCCCCAGGCCGCAAGTGACAATGGTCAGCAGCACAAGGGTGGTCTGCCGGATGGCTGTAACATCTTCCACCAACCGGTGGGCTGTAAAGTCCAGATCCCATGGCAGGGTCATGGCAATGTCAAGGCAACTCAGGGGCCAGTGTACTACGCGACTCGGCAGTGTTCGCCCACAGAAGTGCGGGTCTACTATGGTGAGCTCAGCCGAAGTATGAAAGAACGCCATTGACGGTGCTCTCAGGACTGTACTTCGACCATGACATAGGCCACGCTAACGATTGGGAATGGGTCATTGTGGTGTGGACATTGTCGAAGAAACCCGGAGACAATGACCTCTTCTACCGCACGGCTGTCATTCTCGAGCAGGACGGCATGAATGCACAGTGCAAGTCTACTAGACGAGCACCCAGATAGCCCCACTGATCCCTCCCCGTCCACCGGGCCATCCGATGTGCGTCACAAGTCTGACTTGACCTCCTCTATAGACGACTGGACCGACCCGAACGTCAGAACATTCTCCGGCTTCAACGACGCCTTTGATGTCAATAATGGCGGCGCCAACAAGGACCACCCCCAGATCTACGTGACGAGCTGGCACCACTCAATGTGGCCCAACGAATGCGCCCACCTCCGTGCCCTATGCGGCGGGACATACCGACCTAGCGACTTCTACATGTGGGACAATGAGAATGTCAATATGATAGACATCGATGCGCCGACGAGCGAGGGAGGTATCGACCCGAGCTGGAATTATGGCTCCGCGACGAATCCTCACATCACGGTCAATGCCATGTGTGGTATGTGTACGAGGCCAGGAAAGTATCAAAGGGATTGTGGGCTGAATTGGCCGGATCGTTGCTGACCCGTTCCCTCGTCTGGCTCGTCACGGCAGGACTCAGTGATGTGTTCAAGACCTCGTCCGGGGACGGTCACTCGTAGTTGAATCGATTGCTCAGCAACCGCATTAGCTACTCTGGTTCGGGTTGATATCTCTGCAGTACACATGGCGACTAGATCCTGTATAGCGTAGGCAAGGAAACCGGAACACGTATGACGGCTACCACGATTATATTTATCACTCCTCAATGCATGCGTTCCCACAAAAAGGCCTTGTTGCGCATTCGTGGAGACCCGTTATCAACAGGGCCTACATCGATCGACTCGACCGGCCGTGCGGACAGCCATCATTGCGCCTTCGCCCGTATGGGCGTTCAGGATATGGTATGGAAGTGGCTGCAACATGTCAACCGCTCTTGTGGGTGACGACGGTCCGGTCGCTGTCATCCGGTCTCACCAGTGCCCTTGACCGCATCGAGGTCGCCCGGTCTCGTGAGCGACCCAGTTCGTGGGAACTATCACCCGGTCTCGCTAGCGGCGTGAGCTGTCCAGAGGCCGTCCGTTACCACCGGAGCCTTTGTGCAGCTGTCATCCGGTCACGTATACGGATATTGTAGACATGATCGTACGTATTTATTGCTTCTGGTGCTATAGCTGCCCGTTCTATCGTCGCCTATCATCATCGGGGTATCATGAAATCCTAATCCTTCGCCAAAAGGAAATCTGTCTATTTGCGCACAAAGAAATGTAGGTCGTTCGTTGGTGATCGTGACATCCTCGGTCCAACTCATGACAAGGACCCATGAACGCTCAATCTCTCCTTGTTGAGCATCGCAGAGATCCCGATGATCTCCTCGTTGTGAGCCTCTTGTCGCCAGAGCTCAGACCTCCCGTCTCTTCCCCCTCACTCCTCATCCCAAATCCTAACCCGCTCAGCATACTCCCTAATCCTCGAAATAAAGCGATCCTGCAAGTCCTGCCCATCGTTACCAGGCTTCCCCGCCACAATCCTCAAAATCAAATCATTCAATGAACTCCTGCCCAAGATATCAACATGATCCCCTGTGTTCGGCCCGCCCCTCGGACTGAACCTATCAGGCTCATGGGGCATTTCGTAACTCACGATTTTCGCGCCAGCGGGGTTGTAGCGTTTTATGTTGCGCCAGCCGTGCGCGCACATGTAGCCGGTCGATAGCAAGTTGACGGTGCCGTCGCCCTCGCCGAAGATGATGCCGTGGTCGACTGCGGCGGCGGGGGGCGGGGGTGGTTTGGCCGAGCTTTGTTGGGAGATGTGGGTTGAGAAGGGGTGTCGGCGTCGTTTGAGCCGTCCTCGTTGGGTTGTGGCTGTTGCTGTTGGTCCGGGTTCTGGGACTGCACTTTGGTGGTGAAGCCGGTATCGATCGTGATGTTCACTGTGGTGTTTGTGTGCACGCCTGGTAGTGGTGTACCCGTGTGCTCTTTGTAGAAGTAGGCGCGCTCGGTTGGTTTGCCGATGCCGTAGAAGCAGTAGATCTTCAGATCGGGGGCTAGGGGTAGCCGGGCTTCGAGCGGGTTGAGCCATTTCCGTGGGTCGTTCTCGTTGTGCTCGACTTCCTTTTTTGTGTGGGCGACGCCGTGGCTGTAAGAGCTGAGAATTTGGTCGCGGTACCAAGGTTCGGTCACGTTGAGAAGGTAGTCCAGAGCAGAGGACATGGTGAAATTCTGGGGCGGGGCGAGGGAGGTGTTTCGGGGCGGCTTAAAGGAGATGAACTGGCCGAAGGAGTGGCCTTGTTGCGCCACAGCCGGGGAGGGCTGGGTGGTGTTTTGGTCCGGCAGAGCGTCGTCCGGAGCCCAGGTCATGTTGCCCCAGACGGCGTCGCCGCCTTTGGGGAGCATGGAAGAGATGCCGGGCATGGCGCGGAAGATCTCGGCACGTTCCTCGCGCGCGAGAAATTTCTCGAGGCCGTAGACGGCGAAGGCGTTGAGTTGCGCGGTGTCTTTCATTTCGCCGGAGAGGACGGCGGGGATGTCTTTGGCGGCGCCCAGCATGCAGCCGGAGATATTGATCCAGGAGTCGATGTGGTCGTTCACCCATTTGGGACCGCCTTTGCCGTAGTCTTTGTGCTCGACCCATTTGAAGAAGTGGAAGAGGACTTGGGAGCCCATGGAGTGGGAGACGAGGACGGGTTTGAGGCCGGAGGTTTTCTGGGCGACTTCGATGTAGTTCTTGAGGCGGGTGAAGTACTTGTCGCGGACTTCGAGGTTGATGTAGCTGAGGCGCCAGTCATAGGCTGCTGTGAAGGCGTTGGTTGGGTCGTAGCCAATCGTGGCGAGGTTCTCGAGGATCTTGTTCCAGATCCAGTAGCCGGTGATGAAGAAGTCTGCGGCGTCGAATCCTTGGGCGGCTCTTAGCTTGATGTCCGGAGGATCCAAGCCAGTTTCCTTGTCGAGCATGATGTGTCGCTTCCAGGATGCTTGGTCGAGCACGAGGGCTCTCATCATCGACCATGATCCCCATAGCCTCTTCCGAAAGTATGGCCGCGAGGACTCTGCTGTTCCCCATGATTCGAGGCCGGTCGAAATGACGCCCGGGATCATGATGACCGGATGCTTCGCTGTGACGCCTTGAGACTGCAAGTGTAGTCCCACTGAGAAGGAGTCATAGTTGACAGCATCTCTTTCGGCCTTTGATAGTGCTTTTGCGTCTCGCACCAATCCAACAGGCAGGACATCGAAGACGCTGTCCAGATTGAGGTCGAGCAGTCCTTCCAGCTTCACCACCTCCTGCTGCTGCGCGAAGAAAACTGCTATTACCAGGCCAAATAGGCCACCTAATACGAACAGTAGACTTGACCGTCTCTTAGAGGTCTTCTTGTTCAACAACTTCTCGAACCCAGCCTTGGACACGACCTTGGTCTCTTCGCCAGGTTCGGGAGTGCCGGCACGTGAAATGCCAGGAGAGTCACCGCCGGTGATGGTCCGCACGACGCGGCGGCGTAGTTCCGACATGTCGGATGCATGGATCAGTCACTGATCAGTCGTGCGACCGAGAGATGACACGCCGATGTGGTGGTCGGAAATGTTGAAAAAGTATGGTGAAGCGTATCATACCAAGCACATGCCATTGACATCATCGCGAAATTTCCGGCGTGGCACTCGTGCATGATCGCCAGGAACCAAAAGACTGTACTTCGTATTTTATTCTACCTAACTCCTGGCGCAACTCTTCAGATGCGCTCGCTGGTGTTGACATGGTTCGCGAGGATGGGCAGGGGCAGTCTTCGTCCAGCAATGAGCAGCAGCACGCGATAAGGCAGCCCAGCGCGCTCTTCCAACGCGACGTGCCCGGCATCACCTACGATCAGTATAGTCTCGAGAAGGAGAAGGAGTTCCTCCCGCAGATACGCGAATTGATAACGAAAGATCTGTCGGAACCGTACAGCATCTATGTCTACCGCTACTTCCTCTACCAATGGGCCGAGCTGTGCCTCATGGCACTCGACGACGAACGCAGAGTAGTCGGAGTAGTCATCTGCAAGCTAGAGCCACATCGAGGAGGGCCACTGAGGGGCTACATCGCCATGCTGGCAACCAAGGAAGAGCATCGAGGCAAAGGCATCGCTACCACGCTGGTCAGCAAGGCCATCGACCTCATGATCGAGAAAGATGCCGACGAAATCGCCCTCGAGACAGAAGAGACAAACACAGCGGCCATGAAACTATATGAGAAGCTTGGGTTCCTACGGAGCAAGAAGCTACATCGCTACTATCTGAACGGGAACAGTGCATATCGTCTACTGCTCTACCTGAAGCCAGGTGTTGGAGCGATGCAGCCTGGCTACGATCCTTATAACGACATGCCGCCCAGCGCTGGTGATCTACCGCCTGACGATGCAAGACATCAGCTGTATAAGGAGGAACCAACATGAAAGTGCAAGAATAAGGTCCCATCAAACATGCGGTGGACATCAGTCTCGACGATAAATTCGCGTTCTGACGTTCCAGAGTAAGATCTTTCAAAAGGAAGAAGAAGCAGAGCTTCCTTACTCTGGAACGTCAGAACGCGAATTTATCGTCGAGACTGATGTCCACCGCTCCTTCTGGGACGCCACCACCAGAGACGTCAGGCAGGAACGTCATGGGAAGGAGCGCAGGTGATACTCGAGTACCTTCCTCATGAGAGAAGGAGACGGGAGATGAGGCAGCCACGGCGACATGAGTCTCCAAAAGTCAGCTGGCGTGCTCGAAGCAATGCTATGCATTCAATTCTGGACATGAGGTCGATCATCCACCGACTCGTCGGCGCTCACAGTAGACCTCCAATCCACTCCTCCCACTTCCCGACACCGGGCTCCGCGGTCCTCACCGACCCACCGATGACATCGATTACAATACCATACTCTTCTCGCATCGCCTCGAAGCTGAACTTGTCCTCACCAGCACCACCGAGTACATTGTCATCATCGTCGTCAACCTCTTTGCCGACTGTACTGATGCCTCGTCTTCTCGACTCCTTCACACGCTCAAGCTCGGTCTGTAGGATCTCCTTGACCTTCTCGGGAGGCGTGGCTGTGAATAGGTCTTGCTTGTTCGCGGCGATAAGAACCCGAACATCTGTTTTCACACTGCTTCCTCCCTTGCCTGTCTTCCTTAGCTGGAGAGCAAGGAGGGCGTCATGCAGATACGACGCAGGCTCAGTCAGCGTCTCCGGGTTGTTGCGATCCAGTGCTCCAGCATCGACTACGAAGATAAGACCTCGAACGGCAGGATCTTGCAGCTGTGCAAGTGCTTGCTCCTCCCGCAGCTTGCCGTGACCAGGAGTATCGATGATGTTGTATGCCACGCGGTTCTTCTCGTGGTCCTTCAACGAGGCATCATTCTTCGATCGGTACTTGTTGGAGCCGAGAGGAACGGAGGAAGGAAGTAGGAGTCTCGTTGTGGTTGGCACCTGCGAGGCTCGGGTGGGGGATGCCTCAGGTCGTTCGCGCTTGCCGGACCGTTGCTGTAGCTGCACCCCATCAGTGCGTGCTGTTAGTGAGGGAATATAAAGACTTACCAAAGTCAAGAGAGCAGTCTTGCCGCTGTTGGCGGGGCCCAACAGCACGATCGTCGGCGTATGTGCCACACGTGCAGATGTGGTGTAGAAGTAGAGATGCAGCAACGCTGGCAAGGCGAGTGTCGTCAAGAATGCAATCAGTATGACCCATGGATCTCCCGAGAACATGCGCGTCGCCCAGCTATCGGGCGATGACCAAGCCATCGTTATTAGGAGTATGGCACCTTGAACGTCAACGAGCGAAATGGATGTATGCAAAGAAAAGATGTCTTGACTGACGTAGTGCGGATTGCGGGCAGCCGACTCGGAGCATGTGCGGCGCCTGAAACTTCGGCGACGCGGCGTCAAATCGAAGCCTGTCTATGATTGGTGTACCTGAATCGTGTTCCCATTCTGCCCCCTTCGGACGGAAGATCAATGCGCAATCCTTTTGACGTCTCGTACTACACCTGACGACTCAATACTGGCGACAATGATCACAAGGCACCTGGTAGTGCTCTTCAGCCTCTCCTCAATAATCTCAGCTGGCTACTGGCCCGCCTTCCTCGACCGCGCTGCCCTCAACGTCAGACAAGTCCTTGGAGCAGACACCGAAACAGCAACTCTCAACACAGCTACAGAGACCGCCAACACTGCTGTGACGCCCACCCCAACTCCAACTCCCGCCAACCGCTGCCGCTGCCGCTGCACCAACACAGAGACTGCAGTCACTCCCACGCCCGCAGTCAACACTCCCGCCGCAGCAAACCCACTCACCGAAACCGGCACAGCCACGGACACAGACACCGACACACCAACACCCACCCCAACACCAGCCAAGCCCGCCGTCGCAGCAGCACCGCCAGCGGCCGTCAACCCCGCTGCAGTGGCCCCGCCAGCCGATGCCAATATTCCGGCTGCGTCGTTCAGCATACCCTTCGACGAGCAGACGGGCACGTTGAGGTATGCGCCCATGCCCAAGAAGCCGGGGACGAAGATCACGGTGAAGGATCAGACGATGTTGTATCCGACCAGTGCGTATAATATCTTCATGACGAACCAGCCGGCGGGGAGTGTGGTGCAGACGTATACGCAGCCGGCGACGTATGCGAGTGTTGTTAGTCGAGAGGCTACAGTAAGTGTCAATTATTGTGGTCCGGGTGGGTATGAGGCTGACTATTGCACAGGAGATTGCTGCAGCGCCCGCTCCTGCGGACGCCAACATGCAGAAGTTCTTGAACCGGTGGCGGGACTGAGCAGGTGGAATGATTGTCGTTTTAAATGCATCGCGAATGGCGCCTGGGAAACATCAGAAAACGGAGGTAATGCTCCGCGAAGGATTGGATTTTGAGTATCTATACAGTATACAGCCCACAGATATGCGAGAGGCGAGTCAGCTATCCCAGCTGGGCCGTCAAATGCCTATGAATTCCACCAGCGCCATGCGTATGAATACACAAAAAAATCAGTTCTTACTGCCCTCGAAATGGCCCCGCCATTTCACCGATAGATCTCATCAAACGGCCTCGTATCCCGAAAACAGCTCCCCCAAACCTCATCCACCACCCTCACCGCCGTCGCCTCATCCGGACAATTCGGCCGCATCTTGACCGAATGCACCGCCCTCCGCTTAACACAATCCTGATGGTGCGTCGTAAACGCCATGATCTTATTTCGAAAGAACTCGTTCGCCCATCTACACTCTCCACTCAGATTACTCGCGCGGATCTCCGAACAAGCCGTCTCCTTTAATGAGCTCTCATGGTCCAGTTTAGTCTGGAACCGCAGGTGATCATACGCGTGCACCATCTCGTGCGCTAGGACATCCTCCATCATATTCCGCTTGTCTACGAAGTTCGCACATAGGATGATCCCGTAGCGGTGGTCGAAGCCGCCTAGCATTCCCGTCTTGCAGGTTCGACACCGGATATTGCTCTTGTTGAGATCGCCGCCTAGGCTGCGGATGTTGTCGGACATGTAGCGCACGATGGGGGAGAATGCGAGGAGGTGGTCGCGGTATTTTTCGCAGCGTTTGCAGTCGCTGGCCGAGTAGCGGGTGTCGGCGTCCGCCCAGTAGGCGGCAGCGCCGGGCGCGGACATGGTGCCTGTGGCCATACGGTAGAAGTTTTTGAAGCGGTTGAGGAAGGTGGTGGAGGGGAGGAAGTCATTGCCTTTGATTGGTGTATCGTCGGTGGTCGACGAGGAGGGTGACGGCTCCTCTGGGGGTTGTGAATTCGACATCGTGAGAAGAGGGAGCTCCGGGGCACGTTGTCGCTGGAGCTAAGGCGCTGATGGAGAGAGTGCCGTTTGTTCGATACTATATTGCGATGAAGTCCAGCATTGGCCTAAAGAGGCAGGTTAACCGACCGCCGGCGGCGGCATCTTTGTGGTCGACTCTGCCTCTCCTCCCGACTTGCTACATAATTGTACAGGCTTCAGATCGTGTCCGAGACATCAGTAACCTCTCACCACCCTTTTATGGGCCCATGTAAGGGGCCGTACAGCACGCACACAATCATTGCTACCGGTCGACTCAGACATGTGAGGAACGGCTCGGCCGGACCTCTAGGTAGGGAGTCGCATATCATCTAGGTGCATTAGCCGCAGGGCTGGCGACGAACTCGATATGACGGCCGACGCATCGCTGCTCCAGGTGGCCGCTGTCATAAACGGCGACTCTTCGAGTCGGCGACTCAACGTTCTCTCTACACACAGGCCAAGATGCCACGCGCCCAACGCGGCCCGTGTTCGCTCATGTAACTCTCCAATGAGCAAAAGGGTGCGCGGCCCGAGTTTCGTTTCTACTACCACATGGGATTTGCGGATTTGAACAATACGCAAACGCTTACCGGCGGATGCGATCCGTTTCCGTGTGAATGCTCGTTCGCGATTAGGATGTGGGATAACGACTGATAATGCGTGGGCTTCGCACTGGATATAACACGAGTGTGATAGCCCTTCCAGGTAGGAAGTCTTCAAACTTGCCCAGATAACGTCAGCTCTTGCCATAAGATATAACACTCACAATCAATATCGTACTACGGCCTCTTCGGACAAGTACACTACTCGTCTGCACTAACTTGAAACCACACACACGTCACAATGGGCTCATTACCGCCCAGATCATGGCGGCAGCTAAGTGTAGCAGTTATCGGCGGCGGCATAGGCGGCATGTCCGTCGCCATCGCCCTGCGCCGGTCAGGCCACAAAGTCACAGTCTATGAACGCGCCGACTTCGCCGGCGAGGTCGCGCTTCAGTCTCCTGCGCCGCCAACGGCACACGGTGGCTGCACGAATGGGATGTCGACGTCTCAAAGGGCGACCCCGTCGTGCTCAGATCCCTCATCAATCGGGACTGGTACACCGGCGAGCCCGTCAGCGTGTATAGCCTAGACGATTACGAGAAGCGGTGGGGCCACGTGTACAACATGTTCCATCGACAGGATATGCACAAGATGCTGAAGGATACGGCGATGCAAGAGCAGGGCGAGGGCGAACCAGTAAAGCTGCTAGTGAACCACCAATGTCAGGACATCGACTTCCGCACCGGCTCAATCGTGTTCAAGAACGGCACAGTCGCGCAACACGACCTCATCGTCGGCGCAGACGGCATCGGCTCCGTCGTCCGCCTCCTCATCGGCGTGCACCCAGAAAAGAAACCCTCGGATCAGAGCTGTCTGCACTGCAACGTCTACACCGAAGACGCCGTCAAGGCGGGGCTGGTCGACTACTCGCAAGACTCCGCGTTGGAGTATTGGGGCGGGCAAGAGGGGAAATGGGATAAGATCGTGCTCTCGCCTTGTAATGGGGGGAAGCTGTTGTCGTATTACTGCTTCTTCCCGCGGACGGAGGGCGATTATACGTCGCATTCGTGGGGATCGAAGGATCTGCCCGTGGAGGAGCTCCTGAAACCGTATCCGAACCTTGACAAGCAGGTCCTTGATCACCTCCGGATCGGCCACGAGATTCAGCCGTGGAGGTTGTGGGTGCACCAGCCCTATCCGTACCTCGCGCGCGACACGGTGTGCTTGTTGGGTGATGCCGGACATCCGATGATGCCGCATCAGAGTCAGGGCGCGTGTATGGCTATTGAAGACGCGGCCGCAATAGGAATACTGTTCAGCAAAAGGTTCTTCCAGGGCGATATTGAGGAGTCTTTAGCGACATATAACGAGATACGGTTACCCAGGGTGACAAGAGTGCAGGCGGCGGCAGCGAAGGCGGCGTATAATATCAATGAGAGAATTGGGTTCTCGGTGAACAAGGACACGAAGACTTATAAGGTGGAGGATGCGAAGAAGGTGTTGACCATCGAGGAGATGAATGCGTACGACATGTACCACGATATCGAAGAGGTGCTGGCTAGGAGGAGGGACGAGACTTACACTGGCAAGCACTTGCACGGGTTGCCTATTGGGATGGAGTTACCGAATGGTGTTGTTATTGGGCAATGATGTAATTCTGTATTTAGGACATGATTAACAAATCTAGAGTCGAGTCGACCTGTCGCCACCTTGCTGATGCCAGGTGTCCGCTGCGTACAATGCGCGCGATGGTATCACTTTATATTATTATACATTGTCAGCCATGCATGAGCCAGTCATTATGTCCCGGCCGCTCAGCTCCTTATCTACCATCGGAACCTTCAATTCCGTTCCGGCATATACAGCATCTTCGATCAAGCACCTCCGAATCTCCTCATCCTTAGCGAGCCGTTCAGCACTCTTCTCCCAGACCGCCAGGGGCACCATTTCCCGACTCAGATCAGCAAGCTTCCGAGACAGTAATGCATCAGTCTTGCCGCTTGTGCTCCACTCTGTATCAAGTTTGAGCGCTTTTTGAAGTGTACTGGTTGCAAGCACGGCCAGCGACACGGTCTCGTGCCCAATGAATGCGTTCAGATCTTGCTGCAGCACTGCTTTGAGTAAGCCCCTTTGCGCTTCTCTGAGTCCGCCATCGGTGGGTAGCCACGTGGACACCATCTCTAGACTGCTTGTTCCGGGTGGGAAATGCGCTTCGAGGACCGGAAAGCGTTCTGACAGGTCTGCCACGACACCCGCCGCATTTGCACCAACCGCGAGCCTTGCTGCACTGGCGGCCCAAGTAATATGAGCTTGCTCCTCAGCAGACATCGTCCGCCATTCGGTTTCATCATTGCTCAATATATCGTAGGGCTGAGGACGTTGCGGTCTCTGGCCGAAGACCATGGAACGATACAGCGCTTGCGAGATGATGTCTTGCATGGTGCGGTCATACAAGCCATTGACGGCCGCGAATCTCCACAATGTTCGACAGACATTGGTGGCTTTGCATTGCCATGCTGTTAGGAACAGGATCGGAATCACTCTTTCAAGATTGATGTCTGCGATGTCGCGCACGACCATGTCTCGAAGGAGTTTGATCGCGCGGCCAAGGGCGCGCTTCGTGTAGAGGTACTTGAAGTGATGTACATGGATGTAGTACTGATGCAGGTCTGATTTCGACCGCATCAGGACTGATTTCGACCATACCTTCGCGAACAATTCCTCCGAAATTTCGTCAAGTCCGGTCTGTCTCGTGAGATTCAACGTCCGCTTGTAGGTGGCTGTTGAATGCCACAGGCGACCAAAAGACGAGTCCATGTCCTGCTCGAATGCCTTCCATGATGTCGCGTTATTCCCAGTGATCTTGAGTTGTTCCTCGACCAAGGGTAGCGCCAGGACTGCTCGTGCTTTCTTGGTCAAATGGGAAATGTTCGCCCGGTCCAGCGCTTGGACGATGAGCTGTCTTTGTGAGTCATTCGCACTGAAATCATAAAACAAAGACCATGTACGGCCGTTCGGACGTATACCGAGTTCCTTCATGTCGAGGACTATCTTGTAGGCGAGGAGTGGTAGGTTCCAGTTGAAAGCGTGCTTGAGCCGCAGGTTCATAATGGCAATAGTGTTGGCGAGCTCGAGCTTTCGACAACGAGCATAGATAAGGTCTGCAGCATCTTGCACCTCATAATGCTGATTGAAGTACTGGAGAGCGAGTCTCAGGGCATCAGCGCTTGCATATTTAGCGATATGTGCATCTGTGAATGCTTTCAGAAGCCGATCAGCCACGAAGCGATTCCGCTTCTGGACCACACTTCTTTCTAAAACTCGAGCCTCTGATTGACCAGTGACCTGGCGGACATAGGCATGGAATGCCGCCACAGAATCGATCGACGCCAGAGTCCGTCGCTGGTCGGTCTTTTGTTGACTGGATGCGATCGTTATGCCCTGCAGCTTCTTCGCGACCTCCTCCGCAGCTATGCCGCCCGTGATTCGCACTTTACATTCATTGACAGGTTTTAGCCACGGTGGAAAGACTTCCACACGAGCACCGTTTCCGACATGCTCAATCCAGATGTTTCTTTCAAGAGAGCCAGTGTACGCTGTCAGTGCCGATGCGCTGAGGTAGAACTCTCGGAATGGGTCAAAACCTGAGTACTTGCGAGGAGCAACATTCTCTAGCAACCTGGACAACGTCACCCAGTGCTGTGCATTGTCCATGTTCTGTCTTCGCCACAGTCTGTGCACGGATTTTTTATCTGCATCGAGGACGTAGGCCTCATGCTTCTGCATATACGTGCTCGTAGATGGAGCTGGCTTCAGCACAGGATCGGCAACGAATACCTTCTGCAAATTGGCCCCGCTGACCTTCGATAGGTCTGGTGAATCGTGAAGTTGCGACTGAGATGTATCCGGTCCAGGTGTGGCCGTTGGAGCAGTAGGAGCATTCCCGAAAATAGCTCTCTCGCTGGGTAGTGCTTCTTGCGAGGCGCTATTTTGCCCGAGATCAAGAAAGGTCAAGGTTTGGGGTCCTTTGTCATCCGCAAGCACGGCGTCGGCAACGGCAACGGCAACGGGCTTGTGCTCCCGTTCTACCTTCTCCTTGGCACCAGGAGACTCATTGGAGGAAACGATGCCCGCCTTAGCACAAGTTCTGCTGTCCTCCGAAGACTGGTCTGACCCGCGGACAACTAGCTTAGAATTGTCTGTCTGAGGAGGATCTGGCGGAACGACTGACATTTGGTGTGTTCTCTGGGCAGAATCGGTGCTTGCCGAGTCTTTCAGAAGTGCTGACTGAGTAGAAGGATTGCCAGCCTCTGTTTTATGCGGTAGTCTGGCAAGACTTTGGACTGCGGCTTGTGCTGGCCGGATCTTGAGCGAGTCCCCAGCGGCCGGGTCAGCTGCATGCTGAGGTGAGGCCGTCGCAGATCTGGTCAATGTAGACAGGTCGACAAACGCAGCCCGAGTCCATGGCAGCTGCGAAGGCTGCACCGTCGCAGGAGGTGCTGCTCCCACGTTGAAAGCACGTGTAGAAGTGTGTTCTTGTTCGAGACTCGACCTGCTCGGAATCTCTGCTGGCTTGATTTCGGGCCGTCCATCGCGGCATCTGCTCTGTATTGTCTCCGATGTGTAGTTTGGAGTAAAGAATCGAGGCTCTCGAGCTACTTTGGCTGGGGTTTGATGAGAGCGGCGCGGCAGCTGCTCCTGGTCTGCCGAGCGGCGTAGACCTGCTTCATGATTGCGTGACGGAGGCGCATCTCCTCCTCGCACGTTTCCGGTGAACGTGCGACATCGAGCGACAGATTGGCCTGCGCCCGAGCACAGGCATGTGGTGTGTTTTAGTGCTGAGGACTGGCGAGCAGCCGATTTGGCAGTCAAGCAACTCGCATTTCGAAGAAACATAAACTGATGGCATTCATGGAGGCACGTCGCAGGGTGTGTCGCATCAAGTACGGATGTCAATGAACACAATCGTTACCGAGAGATGGGCTTCCTCCGTCGAATTGCAGGCGCGATGCTGTCCAGAGATGCTTGCAAAGGCTCAAGATGGGCTGGTGCTCAAAAAGTCGGCGAAATCGCGTGGTGCACGAGTCGCGTTGTGGAGAGACTGAAATCGCGGATGGAGTGGTCATGACTCGAAATCATATGTCATATCAGCCCTCAGCCATGTGCGCATGCCACGTTGTCACACGATTCATTCATAGAGTCGAAGGATCAAAAAGAGAGTGACTAGCTCGAGATCGTCTGATTTCGACCTCTACATAACAGTCGTCCACTCATTCACTTCTCACTTCCCCAGTGAATCATCGCCGCACTCGTCGCATCTTTCTTCGCCAGTTTTGCAACCTGCAATCCAATCCAGGACCATTCTCTGTCCGAGAAATAAGATTCATTGGAGACGGACAAAGTCCTTGACGTCGGTTTCGTGGTTTGCGACGTCCACTCATTCATCGATCAAGACTACGTAGAGCCATTATGGCGAAAAGCGGGATCCTACAACTGGTATTCCTTCTGGTCGTTGTTGGCGTCATATGCGCCATTGGTTTCGTTGCATACAGCATCGCGCACGATGTTGGTCACAATACCCGAAAGAAGCTGGAGAAGAAGAACATCTCGTTCAGCAAGGAGGGGGCGAAGGTGGGAGTGAGGGAGCGGAGTCAAGAAGAACAGGGCGATAGCGCTCAGAAGTAAGCTCGGCTTGATAGGAGAGAACAACGCATGCTGACTTTAACGCAGTTTGCTGGTGAACATTTGGAACAATTCGTACTTTCCCAACTACAAGTCAAAACTTGGCTGGATGGATGGCGCATCTGGCAGCAACCCGGGATCACCAGCGACCACGCCTGGCGCAGCAGATAAGCGGAAGCCGTAAGTCTATCATTGTCACGGGGAGACAAACAGCTGATCGAAGTCTCAGCTACTCCCGGTCCTCGTCCAGCCAGAACAACCTCTCTAGAACGACTTCTGCCAAGCCAGTGAGATAGCAGGCTGCCAAAACAACCCTCGCGGAGTGGTTCTGCAACGATGTCGCGGACCCAACTCACCACGATTCATGACTGACGATCCGAGAACTTCGAGAGAATTGCATATGGTTACGAGATAGTGGGGAGTCATGGATGCCCAATTCAGGACAGGCGTGAGTCCATGGCTATAGTCTCTGGTGGTACATTGTGAAGCCACCTGCACCGCCAGATCACAGTCGCACGGTGCAGAAGTCCCGGCCTGCACCAATTATCTTGCGTCGTATAGACGAATGCTAGTGTTTTTCCCTGTGGTTCTGCAATGACTGTGTCTAGCACCTGGAAGCTGCTGTCGTCGCATAGTATTGATGCACAGTGGAATGGTTCGTGAGTCCTGTCGTCGTGTGCAGTAGCCAAAAGTCTGCACAACGGTCATGAGAAAAGCCGATTCGATGGAAAAGCAGAAATCCTACAGGCTGGGCGTCATCGTGCGCTAGCCTACTAACGATCGAGAGATTTTCGCCTGGTTGGCTATCCGCGAGATTGGTGCTCGTGAACTTGTCAGCAAGCGACCACAGAAGTTCAGCTCCGCTGGTCTCGTGGAGTTCATCTGCACGAGGCAGAGACCTCATGAGGCACTCCTACCGCGACGTGCAAGTAAGGCATCATCTACCTTGAATTCATCGAGACTTCGAGGCTGTCATCAGAAGCATGGAACTTTTGGCTGCGATGCCGATCGGTGGGAGCCGTAGTCAGCCCCGGCGTTTCGAAGTTTCCCATGAGGAAGATCCTTTCAACGGCTGGAGGCAATTGGGAGATTTGATAGCTGGGGGCTAATTTCAGCATCAGATATCGTATACTCGTTAACGCTTCGTGGGCATCGTCTCTGCACAACTACTCCTGAAGAGATCCTCCTGGCCCTCTGATGTATATGTCTTCAGTACCTGGGCCGCCGAGACAACCAAGCGACAGCGGACAATGCATTGTGTTGCAGCTGCATCGTCATCAACATGTGCTTCAAGTGGCTCCAAAATTAGTGACGTACAGTGGCCGTGCAGATTACAGGCAAATGATGAGGCAGCAGCCAAAGACTGGAAGTTTTAAGCGTGCATAACCGGCATAACCGGTGCACAGGCCTGCTCGACAGGCCTAATTTCCAGCGGAATAAGGCTTCGAGGCTTGGGCCTCTGCGCGCTAAAGCACTAACGAGCCGGGAGGTCCGCAGGCTGCCTAACAGCAATTCGCTCTCATCTCATCTTCGAGATCCGCTTCGTTTCTCGTCACCCACAGCATCCGCCTTCACTACTTTCTCACATAATCTATGCTCACACGACATTTCCGCCCGTATTAGCAGCAATCGATCTCCCGCGACACACTTGCCGTCTCTCTCCTCGTCGTCTCTGACCTCGCCGTCGCTCTCATTCCCGTCGAACTCTCCTGCCGCTTGCCTTTGGTCTACCAACCACCGCGCATCCTCGAACGCTCCGCAGGTCCTCGCGTGAGCCAGGGCTATGCAGCCCTTTGCCACGTCCTGGAAGGACAAGCAGTCACAGGTGCAAATACCATGGCGGTCTATCCAACTTCTCGTGCCTCATAGACTTCGTCGCAAGATTCGCTCAAAACTACGAAATCGATCATCACCCGCCTCCTCTGTAACCGCTCTACAGACCTCCTTCTCGCCCGCCGACACCCTAAGATCGTTGCAACAGCACAAGTGGACGTGGCACGATGGGCAGTGGGTGATTCTGGCATTCTTGCTCACCTTCTCGTTATGCATCATCGAGTCACCGGGACCTATGGTGAAGATGGCTGTAGTGACACTACTCGGCACGTCCCTCATCTTACCCATAACGAGGCAATTCTTCCTGCCGTTCATGCCTATTGCGGCTTATTTGATTTGGTTCTTCTCTGCAAGGTGTGTATAAACAATTTCGACCGCAGTGTCTGTGCTGATGGGTTCTAGATTCATTCCTAGCGAATACCGACCTCCGATCTGGGTCAAAGTCCTACCAACCCTCGAAAACATCTTCTACGGCGCAAACATCTCAAATATTCTTTCGGCACACCAGAATACCGCTCTGGATCTGCTCGCCTGGTTTCCGTATGGGATTGGCCACTTTGGAGCACCCTTTGTTTGCGCTATTCTTATTTTCATCTTCGGACCTCCTAAGACTCTTCGCACTTATGGCTTCGCTTTCGGATGGATGAACGTCATTGGCGTGGTGACACAGGTCTTGTTTCCATGCGCAGCACCGTGGTACGAGAATATGTACGGTCTCGCACCTGCAAACTACAGCATGAAAGGATCACCGGGCGGGCTTGCTCGCATAGATCAACTTTTTGGAATCGATCTGTACACCTCCGGCTTCACAGGATCGCCTATGGTGTTTGGTGCCTTCCCATCACTGCACGCCGCAGACGCCACTATCGAGGCATTATTCCTGAGCCACGTCTTCCCTAAGCTGACCCCACTGTGGTCTTTCTACGTTGCTTGGCTATGGTGGGCTACGATGTATCTCACGCACCATTACCTAGTCGATCTGGCGGCTGGCAGTCTGCTCGCCGGAATTGTCTTCTTCTTTGCTAAGTCGAGTTTCCTGCCGCGCCTGCAGCCCGGCAAGCGCTTCCGATGGGACTACGACTACATTGAGGTCGGAGAAGAGAGCAACGACTATGCTTACGCTTTGGCGAACTTGGAAGGAGCACATCCTGATAGTGACGAATGGACGATCGGTTCCTCCTCCTCGATATCTTCCGGCACTCTAAGTCCTACCGAGGAAAGCAACGCGCGCTTCGTCGATGCTTACGAGCATCAGCGATAGTATCAGCTTCTTCCAGCACGCCATCCCCCGAACGCTTCTCCGACACGAACCTGGAGCTCGTTTCATGCATGACGACATGTGATGGAAATTGTTTGTACACACTTCATATTTGGTCTGGACACACGGCTGGCGTCTGAACCTGCATGGTTGGCTTATGAATTCTTGGTTTCTCAGCACAGCGGCTTCTGTTTACCGCTTGACACATTCGCTTGTACAATAAACTTCAACGAGGTCGACAAAGTCCACCCGGAAAAGTCTGCACTCGCTACCATTACTTCGATTCAATAACTTAGACATTGAGAGCAAAGCCTTGGATGTGAGAGGGGAGCATTGGTGAGGGTGGGTGATCACCACAAGAGATGGAACGGACAGGGGTCCTGAAACGACACCAGGAGTAAGATTTCTGCTGTCTTTGGCAGGCATTTGCATCATGGCGAGGAGTTAAACAGTTGCACAGATCGGGCAGTGCTGGGATACGCATACGCGAAGCTCATCAGTCGAGTCGTCTCCTGAGAGCGCGTAGGACTAGCTAATACGATAATAATCCAAGCGAAATCTAGACTATCACTATTCCACATTGTCTCAGCTGAATTCTCAAGACGTATGTTACTCAAGGTGCGCTCGCCGACTAGCATTGCTCTCTGATCGCGGACCTTTTGCAGTCCATTAACTTTGTCACACATGTCAGCACCAGAAGGACAATAACCTTCGACTATCGGAGTGAAATGAAACATAATGGTCGATCAGGTGAGATTTAGATCGAGGACGCCTTACGTAATTAGTCCAACGCGTCACTCGACGCGTTCGGAAAGAAAGACATGAAATTACTGGAGCCAATATTCACATTTGCGAGCGTGCGACTTGCAGCAGGCTATAACACTACTACATACCACTCGTGATGTCGCCGTCTGCGATCAGTGTGGAGGCCGGTCCACCTGCCAATGCCGACGGATTCCTCGCTGAGCAATCAAAGATCACGCAAAAAGAAGCCTCCGCCACCTCCACCACCACCACGACCAACGGCACGACCAACGGCAACAGCACAACACCAGCCGAGCCGCATGATCCGACCCACGAAGAGCATCAATACCTGAACCTACTGCGCGACATCCTCTCCCGAGGCGAGCACCGACCCGACCGTACTGGCACGGGCACACTATCGCTCTTCGCCCCACCACAACTACGCTTCTCTTTGTCCAAACCCTCAGTAGACGATCCCTCCAATCCCGACGCCCACATCCCAATCCTCCCCCTCCTAACCACCAAACGCGTCTTCCTCCGCGCCGTCACCACCGAACTCCTCTGGTTCGTCGCCGGATCCACCTCCTCCAAACCCCTCTCCGAAGCCGGCATCAAGATCTGGGACGGCAACGGCTCCCGCGCCTTCCTCGACAAGCTGGGCTTCACCGATCGCGAAGAAGGCGACCTCGGCCCCGTCTACGGCTTCCAATGGCGGCATTTCGGCGCAGAATACCGCACGCCTCAAGACGACTACAGCGGGAAGGGCGTCGATCAGATCGCGGAGATCGTGCGGAAGTTGAAGCACAGTCCGTATGATCGGAGGATTATACTGAGTGCATGGAACGTGGCGGATTTGGGAAAGATGGCGCTGCCGCCGTGTCATATGTTTGCGCAGTTTTATGTTAGTTTTCCGGATGCCGTGAGGGGGGAGGCGGCGTTGGCAACAGGTGCGCAAGCAGAGAAACCGGAAAGGAAAGGACATTTGAGTTGTGTGCTTTATCAAAGGAGCTGTGATATGGGGTTGGGTATACCGTTCAATATTGCGAGTTATGCGGAGCTTACGCATATGTTGTGTCATGCGTGTGATTTGGTTCCGGGGGAGTTGATACATACGATGGGGGATGCGCATATTTATTTGGATCATGTGGAAGCGTTGAAGGAGCAGTTGGGGCGGGAGCCGAGGGAGTTTCCGACGTTGAAGATTGCGAGGGAGGATAGAGGGGAGGGGAATATGGAGGGGTGGAAGGTTGAGGATTTTGTGGTGGAAGGGTATCGGCCGCACAAGGGTGTTGCGATGAAGATGAGCGTGTAGGCGGATGTTGGTTGTTGTTATGCAACGATCGAACGAGCCTATTGTAATGATATTGTCCTCGCATCGGAGCGGTCTACCAGTGCATGACAACTGGCGAATTCTTTATCATCACTTCTACACTTTCTGATCTGCCCACACTGCCACCTCACAACTTCGCCTTCCCCCCACTCTGCTGCGCCTTGCTCAACACCGGCTCCAGCTTGGTCGCCTTCATCACATTCCCCTTGACCTTCAGCTTCCCGCTCATGAATAGTGTTTGTGCCTTGGCCTTTCCCTCTACCAACTTCCCGAAGTTCTCGTCTGACAGAATCAAGGTCACGTCTGCCTTCTTGCCTTCGGGAGCGGTTCCAGTGCTGACGGCTCCGGATTCTTTGAGATCAATGTTCCAGGAGGCTTCTTGGTTAGAGGCGTTTTTGAGGGTGAAGGCGAAGATGGCACCTCCCTGTTTTATGGCATCTTTGCGGTCAGATTCGTTCGAGAGCGCTGAGGAGATGGCGTCGAAGGCGGCAGAGGAGGGGAACGAGGGGTTTGAGAGGCCCATTGTGACGAAGTGTACAGATGTGGTGTGTATGCGACGAGTTTGCCCGGAGAGTGTTGTGTACGAGGGTGGTCTAGCTGCGGATCGTGCGGCTTCTGTATGGCAACGGAGTTTTGGGTGATGATGTTATGGTTTTTGATTGTTCGATTGGCGAAAAGTCCGAAAGAAAGGATGTTATGAGAAGAGTAAAGAAATAAGGGACAGTACAATCGTCGAGTCGTTGAAGTATTTAGCAGATCACATGCCCTCAGCCTCTCCGAGGCAACAGCCAAGCGGCATGTGCATCGCTTCTGAATCTGGGGGCTCCCAAATTCACCGGGACTTAAGCGACGCAGTTCCGGGTGGGGAAGTCACCGCTTCGGGACATTCTCACGATGATGCCTCTTCTTCAACGACATCGGTTTCGCTTTGTGCTAGTGCTAGCGAGTCGATAATGCTGCTGGCTTGACAGTACTGAACCCGACCTCGGCCTTTCAGATAGAGCTGCTGGTGATGGAGGTGCTCATTGGCGGCGCAATTGAGTACACCAAGGACTGCTCCTGCAGCGGAACGATCATTGACCGCCAAGAGGACTGACTGACTGCGTCTGCCCTCGGCTTGTGGCAGAACATGTTGTCTATCTGGTGCCTCTTGTGGCTTTCGTCATCACAGCGGAAGCCATATGGAATTAAATTGTTGAGTTATATGCACCCAGTTGTCAATATCACTGCCTGAAGCGCACCTAAGCGCATCTAAGACAGTCACAATATTGAGTTGCTGACCACAGGCATTGCAGATCATTATGGCAAAGTATAATATATAAGATTGTATAAGATACAACCTCTCTTCATATATGGTTACTTATTCTAGTTAGTGGATATAAGCTATCTTATCTAGAATACTTAAGTATATAAACAGATAGTTATCTAGGTAGGGCACTAGAACATATCCATTTGTGAAAGACCATGAGCAGTGGAGAGACTTCGGGTTCGCTAATTTGTTTTGGCGACTTTGACATCTACAGATCTGCAGCGGCAAGGTATTGTCCAACCTCTCTCCCTCTCTGCGTCAATCTGTCGAGCCAGTGTCCCTTCCCAATGCCACTTTCGCACTCGCGAGCTTCTTCGGCAATGGATCTGCGCCTCCGTCATGATCATTGTCTTCAAAAACGCCCTGCCATACGTCCTCCCGTATTGCACGCAGATAGGTCGAGAACTGGTTTTGGAAGCTGGCAAGGCCATTGACGTGAAATGCATGGAGTCCGACCAGGCAACAAGCGACGGCACTCACCAGACCCAGACCATAGGGTAGTAACAAGTCCCTACGATCATAACTGTAGACGATGGGATAGCTAACGACCTGTGCTTTGATTGGCTCTGTCTGCGATGCATCTTTACTTTGAGAAGCAGGTCAGTGGGCAGTGCGATGCTTGGTGGATGCTTTACATACAGCAAGTCAGCCTCGCTCATGAGACTGACAGTCAAGTTCTGGAAGAGTTGTTCGAGGCCTCTCTGCGTCGTCTCGGCGCGATCCCAGTCGATGTTAGTGATGAGATAATTGGTCATCCAAGTGACGAGATTTAGATCGGAGTTAACCTTAGAGTTTCCAACAAGTAATTTGCCAAACGCGCTCATGACGGCAGCGTAAGTGATAATGTCATTGGCGCATTCGCCCGGGCACTCATTCAATCGCGTGGCGACAGGGTTGATCCACTCAATGATCGAGCAATTGCTTGTCTGACGCGAAGACTCATAGAGGAAGTCAACAACGTACGTGGCATTGTACAGGCGACACTCAGTAACGTTGGGCGCAGCGAGAGAGACATTATCATTTACGCTCGAGTGCGTCTGAAGTTCCACCTGGGCGAGTGTCAGCCTTTCGGATGTGCCAGCAGAGTACAAAGCCGGGCCTCAAGGCCGATGATGTGGGCGCGATGAAGACTTACTGAGCTATTTTTGGCCGTAACGACGAAAATTCCCGCAGCATCTTCGGAGGTGGTGTCGAGCATGAGAGGCCCCGAGGTAAACCCGCTCTCCGGTTGACTGGTTGACATCTGAGTACCCGCGACCCAGGAAGCCCACGAGTAGAAGCCTGTTTGGATAGTACTCGCGGGGGCGCACTTTAGCGCAGGGCCGACGAATGTGAGAGAATATGTTTCATTTGGATATTGTGGAAGTGGCAGTTGGGGCCTCCCAGCTGCTGCAGTCCCGTACGCGTGCCTGAGCAGGATTGGATGAAGGGCGATTTCCAAGTAATCGTCATCGTCATTCATTGAGACATTTCCGTAATTTGTATGGCTGTAAGAAAGCTGTGGGACTCGCAACAGCGTTGTGTTGGATGTGTAACGTGACTCAAGTGACAGCGAACCTGGGGAGACGACCGCAGTAAGTGGTAAGAACCTCAGACGATGTTAGAGACATCAGAAAATGATTCATATATTGCCTACCATGAAATCAGTGCAATGAGTGTCAGTAGGGGTGCAGTGATCCAGACGCGCCACTCGAACATATTCGAAGGTTTTCGGAGCGCGTTAGTAACACAATCGATATCTCCCATCTGCTGGAAAGTCCGCTGATGCAGATGCCGCCATTGATGCTGCACAAAGGCATCTCCAACGCATATCGATAGAACCGTCTTGAATAAGAATGCAAGCGCAGTCTCGAACCTTGATACCCACGCTTGAGATAGGGCGATTTCGTCGACGACTTTGCCATCCAGGTATATGTTCATGAAATGTTGAGAAACAGCAATGGCGACTCCGAAGAGCAATGCACTCGACATGACGATCGGTGCTCGCCACCTCTTGATTGTCGTAGGAATCACGTCGACCGCTTGAGCCACAATATCGGCCTTGGACGCAGGGACAATCGGGACCATGGTATACATTCCACGTTGCGTCGCTGATTGGACCATACTGTACTTTTCGCGCACAAAATTGCAATTGAGTCTTGCAATCATGCAACGAGAGCACTGCGGAGTGAAGACAGTCAGCAGCTGTCGCAAACCATATGTGCCTCTCGAATCTGGATCTCTGTTGCCGGCAAGGCAGTTGTGCCAAAATCTCCCGACATTGCAGATGCAGGCTGTGAGACAGTGGTGATCTAAAGGTGGTTGACAGCTATGACACGATCATCTCGCCAATCATGCGTCTTCGGGGTGGGTGATTTGGGCACAAGCAGGTTGTCATTGCCCGATCCGTGTTGTGCGAGTCAAGGTCAGACCTTTTGACAGAAGGGGATGGACATCGTAACAGGTGTCGGGCGCAAGTGACAGATGTATTCACGGTTCATCGGTTTCCGCACATTCTGGTGGTTGCAGCTCTCATTGTGTGACCGGTCACGTCGGTCAGTCCAAGTTTGTATCGTGCATCTCGCAATCGCATTGCACCGGGAATCCCGATCCTGAAGCGGGCCTTTGGTACATATTTGGGTCCGTCTGTTCGGTGCAGTGCTGGTCAAAGTATGCTCGACTCGATGGCTTCAGCAAAGTCGTCTCTCGCTGAGGGCGTTGACAAAGTAGTGGGGGCGTTGGAACTGATTTGGGGTTTGCGAACCAGAATCGCAATCTAGGGTCTGCAATAAGTACATCGAATACTTGGCGCCTCGGTTGACAATCGACTCAAAGGGATTCAAAATAGTATTCGAATAAATGGAGTCGCGTCATTGGTATTTAGAGTCTAGAGACATTCTGATTCCCACTGGCAAGGGAAGCGCCTAGCTCAGGGGCCGACAGGTTGTTCCATACCTACAAAAAAGTGATGTTCAATGATGTCCTGGGTAACAACGACACCGACTTTCTCACCCCTGTGTTCACGAGCCCAGATCCTGCTGCCTTGGACATAGTGCTGAAGTCGACCTCGGCCTGCCAGATCGCGTCCGACGACGTGTCACTCACTAGCAAACTTGAATTGGAAGCCGTAGCCATAGTACGCGGCAGAGGAGCCCGCCAAGCGCTCTTCGCTAGAGGGAGCACGGTAAATGCAACTCGGAACATTTGAACCTCGCTTCCAAGTTGCTCTGCTCCAGACAGACAGCTCATCTGCCAGAACTGTGACAGCGTCCGAGCACGGGGCTTCTAATGCAGGCACGATCGGACGCCGTGAACTCAATCTACTCTGAACGGCGTGCCCATGTTCGCCCTTACCACCACGACGTCATGATCTGAGGCTACCTCTATCATGCTCTACTCCCACGATCCTTTTCACGTCATCATTTGGCAATGCTATGATCGCTGCCAGTCTGCAGCTTGGACTGGACATGATGACGCATGCTCAGTGGTTCACGGAAATGCCTACGAGACGCGTGTGGGTAGATCACGTCCTTCTGTTCTATGCTTCTTATGTTCAGGCTGCCTAAAACCATCAGACCACCACGTTTTCTGCGTCTTCGACTGCATCCTGGACGACTGTTCTCTTTCCACCCTGCCGTGAACATGCCTCCAAAATCAAAGGACAAGTACACTGACCCCAAGCTCCGAGAGGAAGTGAAAGAAGAGATTAAGCAGTCCGACAAGGGCGGCGAACCAGGACAATGGTCAGCCCGCAAGGTACACCCAACACGTTCCTACACATTTAACCCTCTACTAACCTCAACAGGCACAAATGATGGCCGCCGAGTACAAAAAGCGCGGCGGCGACTACAACACACCCAAGTCCGACAAGGATGAGTCAGCCAAGAACCTCGACAAGTGGAACGACGAGGACTGGCAGACTAAGGATGGCGAAGGACAAGCTAAGAAGGCTGACGGGTCGCGGAAGCGCTACCTACCGAAGAAGGCGTGGGAGGAGATGGACGAACAGGAGAAGAAGGAGACTGATCAGAAGAAGCAGGCGGCGAGTAAGGACGGGCAGCAGTACGTCGCGAATACGACGAAGGCGAAGCGGGCTAGGAAGAATGCTCATGAGGAAGGGGAGGCCGATGGTGACCAGGAGCAAGAGAAAGGAGGCGACCAGGATGGCGAGGAAGAGGAACAGGAGGCGGAGAAGCCGAAGCGTGGACGACCAAAGAAGGCCGAGACCAAGAAGTCCGACACGAAGGAAGACTCGGAGAGTGCGAGCACAGGTCGGAAACGAGGTCGTCCGAAGAAAGAAGATGGGGACGAGGCTAAAAGCGAGGAGCCTGCTCCAAAGAAAGGCAGGGGCGGTGGAAAGACCGTCGGCTCTCGCCATGACAAGGCAGAGCCGCCAGCTAAGCAGGCATCAGTGAAGAGACTGCCAAAGAAGGGACAGAACCCGGCATACTGGAAAGCCATGCCTGGCTGGGTCGACGGAGAGGTAGTTGAGATCGTGAAGACTTCAAAAAAGATCGACGGGTAAGCTTCCCGATCCCGCAGAAGAGTATGTCCGGCTAAGTTCTGAACAGCAAACAAGTGAAAGCATCGAAGGACGATCCGAAGGTTGTGCTGAAAAGCAATTCGTCCGGGAAGATCTGCGTACATAAGATCGATAATGTGTATTTCGACTAACCAATTGCGAAACAGGGCGTTCATGCTCAGCGAGGACTGTACAACAGATATACACAAGGTGTCAGGATGGTACAAGAGCGTATATTGTATAACGGTAGCACATTCATACTTGGGCAGCTGAGCGTCGTTCAAGAGTTCAGAGCACACGAAGGTTTGATAATTCCTGAACTCTGTTCTCGCTACGAAGGCAACAGAAGAAGCGCTCGAACTTACCATCAGCTACCTATAATCAGTGCGTGTGTCACAAATATCTCCCTCTATCGAGATGTATTCGTCGGCTTTGGTGCCACGGGACTCCCAGGCCCCAGGATCACTGTCAGAATGGTTCGACTAGCCACATGCACACGTTTTACAACCTCTCTCGCGCTTGCCACAATTATCTGCAATGCCTGCGCGGGACCTGTCCAGCGACTCGACATCGCGACTGTCTCGGCCTACAAGTATGCGCTGGGGTGCGCTTCAGGCAGCGATCCCGATGGTTGGGTGCGTCTAGCTCGACAATGCAATCTTCAGTATGGCTTCCACTGCGATAACGAGGGCCACATGAAGCACCGGAAAGACAACATGGTCTGTCAGAAGTCGTGCGGTTGCCACAAGCTGAGGGCAGAAGAGTTCAGTCAGTCCTCTGACGCTTAATAATTGGCTGCAGGTGCAGTTCTTGATGTCCTCAATGGCGTCGCCAATGGCATCTTCTAACGGCAGCAGCTCCTACACCTGAACGCGCCTGCCTCTTCCCCTCATGAAAGCTGCCAGGCTGAAGATTAGTGGCAAGCACGATCGGACAGCCAGACCATTCGTATCATTCGAATCGGTCCAGAGGGCGCCCGGCCACTCAAATGCAACGAATCCTTTCTCATCCTCACTTTGCCCTAATCTATCACTACCTTGTATAGCCTTATGAACGACACCGAGCGCAACCTCACGGTCCCACCTATCAGATCATTCACGACACGAGCCGCGCAACGTCACCCTAGCACCAGAACACTCAGATTCTCGGACCATGACGGTGCGGACGAAGAGAGCCCTAAAGCTGACAATGCCGCAACTCACACGATCACTGAGTCAATTGCCAAACTCGAAGACCTAGTCAAACAAATCACAGAGCTCGCACAGGATCCCAAACCCATCAAAACGAGAAGACGGCCGTCAGAAAGCATTGCTGCCAGAGGATGGCAGTACCTGAAAGACCAGGGATGGTCTGCCGAAGACCAGCAGTCTGACGACACACAAATGGCTCGGAAAGTGATGTTCGATATTGGTCGAAATGCAACACGGCGGGACGATGGGCATGATCACTCACCGTCAAAGGCAGCAGCGACCTTGCCAGAGATATCTCTCGTAACTGCGACAGAAGAGAAGCCCTCGCCGAGAGCCAACGGACACCCGGATGCCAAAGCACATGTCCAGAAGGCGTGGCTGAAGAACGACCCAATTCCACCTCCAAGACGAACGGCGCCGTCTACGGCTGCCGACCCAGGTCCATCAGAGGAAACTGGTCGTCTCGATCCCAGTCCATTGGAAGAGCCGAAGCCTGACACTCATTTTCCTTTCACTCAGATGTTCGGCGTCCGACAAAACAGCACCAGCTTCCATTACCGCCGCTCCGAGACATCTGATAGTCACACGGTCAATTTGAAGAAGGTCAACCACGTGGATCTCTGGAACAAACCGGAATCTTTTGACGTACATTCATCTTGTGCGCATGCCTCGGTGGCGCGAGATTGGCCAGTCGGCCGAAAGCGACTCGCGGCGACAGTGGCATGTCTCAACAGTGCTTGCATCGGACTGATAATCGGTATTTACGCTGGTGAAGTACCTGCGATCCAGTACGTGATTGCTGACTTCAATCACTATGCCATCCTTGGGAATGTCTTTCTCTACAGCGGTCTAGCAGTCTCGACATTGCTGCTGTGGCCACTGCCTCTCCTTCACGGTCGTAAGATTTACACAGTAGCAGGTCTGGCACTTGCATTTGGCTTGCAGATCCCACAGGGTATCGTTGTATTGCAGTATCGACAGCCAGATGAGGTCTAGTGGCGCGTCATTCTCCTGTTATCCAGAGCGCTATCCGGTCTCGTCCTGGGTCTGGTCAGCATCAACACGTTTGCAACATTACTTGACCTGTTCGGAGCATCCCTCATGAGCAATAATCCACATGGTGAGGAGATCGATCCGTGCGACGTCCGACGCCATGGCGGAGGCATGGGCCTCTGGCTCGCTGCATGGTCCTGGTGTAAGATCGGCACGATCGGCATTGGCTTTGTTATCGGCGCGTTCATCATTGATCATGCTACCGTGGACTGGGGCTTCTGGACCTCCTTGTTCCTACTTATGCTTGTCCTCATGGTCAATCTCATTGCACCAGAAGTGCGCCGATCCGCATTTCGAAGAACAATCGCTGAGTTCATCGGTATCGATGGACCTTTCAGTCGTGTGACACGTGGAGAGGTCAAGATGCACTTGGATGAAACTGGTCCATACTGGTGGAGCGAGGAAGTGCAAGCTGGGGTTCGTATGTGCTGGAGGATGGTCAAACAGCCGGGATTCCTCTTCCTGGCAGTCTATACGGCTTGGGTCTTTGCCCAATTCAACTTGGTGCTTGCGGTAAGTGTCTCGCGCATGCGGAGAACCTGGCTGACCCAGTCCAGCTTCTTGGAGCCCTCTGTTCGCGTCACTACCGATACCGCCCGCTGTTCGTGGGAATCTGCACCTTGTCGATGGCGTTAGGGGCATTGCTTGCTGTGCCATTCCAGAAAGCATCAGTGTTCAGTCGCGCTCGACATCATCCACCTCGGACAGACAGCTCGACGTTCAAAAGAAGCCAGTTCTGGACATCTCATCTTGTGCGTCGGGCATTATTTACTGTCTTGCTGACGCTGGGAGGCATTAGCTATGCACTCTCGCTCGTGGACCGCCTTTTCCTGTGGCTATACCCTGTGTGATGGCAGCTGTCGTTGGCTACTTCTCAAATCTCGCCATCGCAGAATGCTTCGGACTGCTCATGGAGACTTTTGACGTTTCCGACTTGCAACCTGGGATGACCGGCCACCCGCCTCATGGCCTTGAGGCTGCTAAGACTGCTCGAATGAGGACGAACTTTACCAGCTATCCTCGAGTCTGCGCCGGCGTATCTGTGGTGCAAGGCTTGAGCTTCGCGCTCGCATCTGCTGCTACAGGACTCGCCGGCCGTATGGAACGCAGAATTGGAGCCATGTACGCTGCTGGAGTGGTGGCTGGTATCCTGCTGGTCCTTACGCTGAAGCTGACTCTCGTCCTGATCCGCTGGAAGACTGTCCAGATGATACCCAGCCAGAAGGTCCGGCAGGGCAGAAAGGACTCAGCGTGGGAGCCTGTCGTCTTGGGTCATCCGAGTGGCTTGACTCGAAAGATTTCAATACTGGAAGCGGGTCGGTACACACGTTGGGAAGAGATCAGGAGGCGCAATAGATTGGAACATCGACTCACGGCGGCCTGAGTTGAGAATGACTGACTGTCTGGTACTTCCCGATAGCCTTGAAGCGGATGTCTTGACTAGTCGTCTTTCGCTCCGTGGCTATTGCTCCGCTGGTTCGGGCCCATCCCGCCGTATGAAGCTACAGAGAATTGCTGCCCAAACAGTCCTCATCGGAGCAGGGCGTGCTTTAGTCGTGAGGCTGCTCAAATATTCGAGGCTGTTGTGTATCGGCCGGCCGCTTGGATGGCATAGCACACCGAAACATGAACTTCGGTACACACAGCTCAGCAAGCTGTCCCAGGTGCCTTGTGACACGTTCGCAGCAAACCAAGAATCGGAAGCGAAACTGTCATAACAGTGTGAAACCATGGCAGCATTGGGAAGTCTCTGCTGAGCCGGGCAAGGATCAGGGGGCGCGATGAAGCAACTCCAGCCACCGATGCTGCCCAATGTGCAATCTGCATTGGCCCAAGTCCCACGTCATTTATCTTCTTCTCTTTTCCCAACTCTCATCCTACGACACTGGTTGCTGACCTCATATCATTCACAACAACACAATTATAACAGCACGTGAACTCTGTTGCATTAAGAAGCAGACGATACCGACTCTAGCGAGCATTCTATATCATTCGCAACATAAAGTAGCCGCCCATCACCAACACTCGCCCCTCACACCCCACATTGTCCCAGAGTCAGTCCACCAGGCCTGCTCACCGATCAGGACACATCGATAGCGATTCATTCGGCTCCCATCGCTCAGTTGTAACACTGCACGAAGGCACAAACAGTCGCAGTCTGCAGTAAGCCATGGCAAGATACCGCCCAGATCCCCGCTACTCCGGCGACCTGCCGTACCGCGACGCCCCGCCCGCCCGCTGGGACCGAGAAACCTTCTCTCGCGAACGAGACCACCGCGGTCCTAGCGGCCCTCCACCACCGTTCGAGCGCTACGACGATCCCTACCGCTCACCACCACGCCGTGGTACAACCACTATCGAACGAGAACGGATTTACGAAGACGACCGATATGGTCCAGGGCGCGAGCGGGATGTCCGATACTATGAGGACGACTACTACCGCTCTTCCGACCCGCGTGCCGCTGGAGGTGCAATGGTACCGTTTCGTCCTGAGCGCCCGGCACGACCAGAGCCGCCTGCGAGAATGCTGCGGAGGCAGAGCAGCTTAGACTTTTATGATAGGCGAGCTCCGAGGCGATACGACGACGGTTACGACGACCCTTACTCGCCTCGGGGTCCACCACCTCCAGCGCCGCGACCAAGATTCGATGAAGTGCAGGTCCAAGATCCCTATGCATACGGGATGATGGTTTCAGAGAGTACCGAGAAAGAGAGTGGATTCGGCATCGGAGCAACTCACCTGGAAGGAGTCGATCGCGGAGCAGACCGAGGACGGAAGTGGCTGAGAGTGTACGCGAAACGATCATTGAGGAGAAAGAGAAGCCCTACCCACGGAGAGGGAAGACGAGGATGCCAAAGCGGTTGGTGCATACCAAGGTGCTGTATGATCTGGGCTATCCTTACTATGAGGAGGTGAGTATACCGTCATCTATGCTCAAGTCGACTGCTGACGGGACTGCAGGATGAGAAAACTATTCTCATCGAGAAGGCACTGGGTCCAGAGAACATCGATGAGGTATTCACGATGTCCAAGGACTACTTTGCACGTGAAAGTAAGCGAGTCCCAGTCTCGCCAGACCTATCAGAAGAGACAGTGCTAACAGTCGAAGCTACGACGACACGACTCATCGAAGCACCGCCGGAGTCTGTGCGAGGCGGGGCGAAAGAGATCAGGATCGAGAAAGAAGAAGAGATCATCAGGACTGTTCCACTTGATGACGCGCCGAGATCAGTTCGAGATTGGGATGCATTGTCTGTTCGGACTGGCAAATCAGGTCGCTCTCGATCGAGGAGGAGGTCTCGCCGAGGCTCGAGCCCTGAAATTATCAAGGAAGAGATCATTGAGAAGAAAGAGAAGATCATCGAGCGAGACATCTCCCCTGCGAGGACGCATAGGAGTCACCGGCACCATCGCGACCACTCGCCCGCTACGAGTCGGAGTGGCAGTGAGGTTATCATCGAGAAGAAGATCATCGAGGAGGATAACTTCGATGAGTCGAATTCAGTCCATGTTGGGCCACTGGCGCTTGTGGTCGACAGACATCCCGACCGCACTGATAGGGACATCAAGGAGGAGATTCGACGTCTTGAGGCCGAGCGCCGCGCTCTGAGACGCGAGCGGAGGTATGAGCGCGAGGGTGGCGAGGTGATCAAGATTGAGCGAGTTCGAGACCGAAGCCCAAGTCCGGTAGGGGAGATCATCATCGAGGACAGGAGGGGCAGTGAGATTGTGGAAGTTAAGAAGGACAAGAGAGGTAGGATGAGCCTGGTTCGATAAGCCCCGAGACAAACCGGATTCTGATTTCTATCGACAGGTCGCTCGGTCTCAAGACCTGCTCCGCCGAGTGCGGGACTTATCAAGGCTATGATGGCGACACTGACCTGAGAGGCTTGCCCGATGGACCACGCAGCGGAGAATCGCGCAATAAGGGCTATTTCTGAAGCCGGCAGGGCCTGAGGTTGCCTTCTGGATCGCTGTTATGGTTGAACACGAGCCGTTGCATAACGATGATCTCCTGCATACGCGATATATGATCTGGCACGAGTTTCCTAAACTTCTCGGAGAGCATCACGGCGATTTTGACATGGCCTCCATATATGTTGTTCTTAGAGCGTACCTGATGTCTTCAAACATGAATGAAAGTGTGTGTCCTTATTCCAATGAGATTAACCCGTAGAGCACTCTGTCGATGAGAAATAGTGGTAGCCTTGATAGTCTTGGCATCGATTGCATTGGAAGTCGGGCATGTGGAACGGGCGCCGTCCTCCCTAGTCAGCTGTACAGTAACCAACACATCTGACCCTCCACATCGCTCGCACTTCAACGCTCCTCCTCCGCAAGTCCCATTACACATCTGACCCTTCTCGCTCATACTACTACCATTGTCTACTGTTTCGCCATCATGGACAAGATCACCGGCTTTGGAAAGAACATCAGGTGTGCCCTCTCCTGAGAAGTAAACACGGGCTTATCGATCGAGTCCCCCAACATGTGCACATGACAATGGACTAACAGTTTCCCAACAGCTCGGCATGGAACAGCACAGTCACGCCACTTGCGCAGCGTAATACACAGTATCTGAAGGAGACCTTCGGCTCGACTGAGGAGAAGGTAGCACAGACCCGATCGCCAAATGGCGACCACGTGCTGACCATATACCAAAACAGACGGCACTTCCGGACGAGTATGTTGACCTCGAGAAGAGAGTCGATGCATTAAAGCTGGTTCACCAAAAGCTGCTCGAAGTCACGTATGTCCATCCTTCCCCTCAACACCCTGTTCTCAACATGTGCTGACCGACCCCGACAATAGCAAGCAATACTCAAACGAAGCCTACGACTACCCACCCAACATCCGTGAATCCTTCGGCGACCTCGGTCGCAGCATCACCGACAAAGTCTCTCTCCTCTCCAAGGCCTCCTCCCCAGCCGAAGCACAAGCTGCCTTCACCGCACCTCCCTCCGCAAAGCCGCAGCCCAAGACCTTCAACCACGCCATTGCCCGCGCCTCCCTCGCTTCTTCGCATCTCCTGACCGAGAACCCCTCTACTCCCAACCAGGACCCTCTGGCGCAAGCCTCGAGAAGTATGCGCTCGCAGAAGAGAAAGTCGGCGAAGCGCGCCTTGCGCAAGACCAACAGATCCAAACACGTTTCCTGGCTGGTTGGCAAACTACGTTGAACACGAATTTACAGTTCGCTACGAAGGCGAGACGCAATGTTGAGAACAGCAGATTGATGCTGGATAGCACGAAGGCGGCCAAGAAGAGCCAGGTTCAAGGACGGGGCATGAATCCTGATGACGAGACGGCGTTGAGCGAGGAGGCGAGGGCGGAGATCGAGGCTAAGGAGGATGACTTTGTCAGCCAGGTTGAGGAGGCGCAGGGCGTTATGAAGAATGTGAGTTAGAGATATACATACTAATGTCGTCGGGTGCTAATTGAGGAACAGGTTCTTGACACGCCGGAGCCACTTAGGAATCTGGCTGATCTGATCGCCGCTCAGCTCGAGTATCACAAGAAAGCTTACGAGATTCTGTCGGAGCTGGCGCCTGAGATTGATCAGTTGCAGGTTGATCAGGAGGCTAGTTATCGTCAGAGCCGGGAGGGTGCTTGAGCTTGCAGCACATGGGCATCGGTTTGACAGTCAGGGCGGCCATATTTCTTGGAGTACGATGCGAGGAACAAGCCCATTAGTGATACCATCAAGTCTCGTAGAATCATGACATGCCTTTCTACTACCTGGGACTTTGTCCATTAGCATTACTGTTCAGACCTGTGCGGCCTCGCCCACACGAAGAGTGGTAGTCATCCGGTCTTGACCAGAACTGAGCGTCAGCCGGCGATAGATAAGTTCTTCGATTTAGGCACGCTAGCCGAGTCCGCGGACTGTCGACTGCATCATCTCCAACTGATCTACTCAGAACATTCACCCGCATCTCTCTCTACCTGCACATCATACCTCAGAAGGTTGCACCTGCCTCGTCGCTCAAACACAGCAGCTCCTTCCGCCCGTCACACATACACTTGCTACGAGAAGAAGCTTCAGACCGACCCTTCGACCGCCTGCCGACCAGCTCTATCAGGCATTTACCGGCAGGCCAGCGAGCAAGCACTCAACACCTCTGGTCTGCCAGACGATTATACGAGGAGCGCAGCGGCCTCTGCCGAGCGCATAGGACACCATGGCAAATGGGTACGTGATTCTCGATCCCTCAATGCAGCGCCACCATACAATGTCGGCAGTCGAGCAAAGACCCTCCTCCCAGGGCCTCCCAGCGCAAAGCAGCACTTCCCCGGACCTTCGAAGCCCTACCTGCCCAGTCTAAGAAAATCCCTATCCGCTCTTCCCTTGCTGCAGCGTATGGCTGGCAAGGAAAGAACGAGACGTACAGCATAGTTAGCCCGATATCCTATTCCATGGTTTCCGAGCTTGGAAGCACAAAGTACAAGACCAAACCACCAAGTCCAACAACCTTGGAACTGCCTTGCATTTCCTTTACGTGGTGCTGGCATCTCTGCACGTTGGCTACAACACAAATGTCACCTTTCATCGAATTCATCTGCAGCTTTCTGCTATGGGTCTTCATCTGCGTTCTTTTGGTCTTCGGTGGCGTACTGATACTCATGGTCTGGGCTCTCTGGTTTCATAAATGCCGTACGAAGAAGACCATCATGCTGACGAGAGTGAAATACATACAGTTGGTCTCTGATTATCGGCCTGCTGGTCGTGGTAGGCCTCAGCTTCGCCGCGTGGTTTCTGAGCCCTAAGGGAGAGAATCAGACGTGAGTTGCCAGTCCGGCATTGGGATACTGGAGTTGGGAACTGACAGCCATTCAGGATCTGGAGATCAACACTTGTGCTCAGTTTTGCTAGTTGTTATATTATGTGGGGTGAGTTCGACCACAAGACCTACATTAGAAGCTTTCGTTCGCTCGCCGGCGGTACCAAGAATGCTCAACAGAACGGATCACTGACAAGCAGCAGCCATCGTCTTTCTCGCACAATGGCATCCCCTCATCGAGCCGAAGATGACGAAGCTAAGGCCCGGCTATGCTTGAAGTTTTGCAGTATGAGAGCCACGGCGGCCAATGTCGATATTGTGTATCATTCATAGAACCACATCTGTTGCAATCGAAAACGAGCGACGAGCACACCAAATGTCGAACAGCGATTCGAAACGCTGGTATGCACGTTTTCAGGCGGACACGTGGGGACGCATAAAGCAGATGGACGAAGCATAGATCATCCCGCCTGAGTGAATGGATAACATTCCGCCGCTCGTTCGCTGGTTGTAATGCCTCTCTCCCAAGAATGCCGTCCTGATTCCATGCTAACGCTAATGCTATTACATCCACGCAAGATCCATCTAGTCTCTGCGATGCGGCAGCATGATCTCCTCCATTGTTTCATTGTCGCTTCCATCCTCGTCTTCATCATTTCCGTTTGCACCGCTGTGCGTGGCTTTCTTCGGGCTCTTCCCACCGCCAGTGCCAACCCCTTTCTCTGTGTGTACTGCTGACGTTGGGACGATCTTTCTCTCTTCCTTCTTCCTACCTCCATCAGCTTCTTGCGCAGCTGACCCCTCACCATCATGCCGCGTCCCCTCCTCCTCCTCACCAACGAACAATATCGTCTCTTCGCTCTCACTCCCGCTCGCCTCAGCCTGCTGCCGCTCCTTGTCGTCCATATGACCCAATATCGCGCCCAGGAGGTCTGGGCCCGCGGTTCGGATGGACCCGCCGCCGGGACTGTGGACTTCTGATTCGAAATCGCTTGGCCGTCGAGCGGAGGGTTGTTGTGAAGTGGTCGCAGTGGTGCTGACTTGGGGTTGGGCTGGTTTCGAGGTCTGAGGACGCGATGTTGCTGTTGGTGTGAAGTCTGTGTCGGGTGATGAGGGCTTGTTGGCCGATATTGTGACGGCGCCGGCGGCTGCCAGAGGGTCGGAGACTGGCGCGGCGGTGGGTGTGGGTGCTTCTGGCTGGTCAGTGAAGGGATCTTCTCCTTCTGCGTTGGTGGTTGAGGTAGGTTCGGAGATGTTGAGCTTGCCTAGTGCTTCCCGGGCCTTGCGTTCTGGTGAGGGTGATGGTGAAGATGATGTTTTGTTCGACGTGCTCTGAGGTATCGGTGGTACGGGTGGGATGTCTTCCTCATCTTCTGTGATCGTCGTGACGTGGCTACCAGTGCTCGGCGTATGTCTGTGTCTTCTCGCTGTCGCTGCGGGCGGGTCTCGTGGTGGTGACGACGACTCTGTGGTTCCATTTTGACTGAGCGCATCCGCTGCGTCTTTGCGGAGGATCTGCATGGTCATGGCTGTGCGGTCAGTGGGTGTGTTCTGTACGGCGGCGTCAGGCTCGTCTCTCGGGCCCTCCGCCTCCGGAGGTATTGTGTAGTTGTCTGGTGGAATCAGCCCATACTCGTCACAGACGGTCTTGAACAGCATATAGATGCCGTGATTCGCCTCGATCTGCCAGAAGACCTCCCGGTGCTGGAACCAGGCATGAGCGAATATCCGGTAGACGCGTCTGATGATATTTGTGAGTTGCCGCATACAATGTAAGATGTTTCCGCCGTCGCCTCCCAGTTGAAGTCTTGAAGGAAAGATCTTCGTGCTGGTGAGAACATTCGCAGCCCAATCCAGCGTATGGTTGACGTAGTCGATCGCACAGCAACTCTTCGGCGGTTCGTGCACAGCGCAAAGATATTGCCATTCCGAGGCGCGCATTTCGGGACAGGTTTGGCTCGAACAAGCTGGCTTGTCGTCCATGAGGCGCATGATACCAGGCCAGCTTTCATAGTTAGGAAGCGGCACAGCTCGTACAGCCACAGATCGCGGTCGGCTGCCTCGCCGTCTTCCAGTTGTGGTGGCCGAACGATTTGCAGTGCTATTTCTCTGGTCATGGATGTGACGTGATCAGGATCTTGTGCATATATGAGGTAAGCATAGAGTGCTTTGAGGTGCTCTTGGAGAACGAAGGCAGAATCGACCTGGTGATGCTCGTCAGTAGGAAACAGCACTCTGGTTTTCGAAGAACTAACCTGAACGAGAGGAACAAGAGGAGGTCCGCGAACCATGTCTGCAGCTTTGGTGCCGGGCCGTATTCGTCGACGAGCAGACTCGTCTGCCTTCTGCCCAAGATCTGCTTCAACTTCGCCTGGTGCAGCGAGTGGACTTTGCGGTCCAAACTGCAATTCGGGCATAGGTGGAGGGGAGGGAAGACGTGGTGAGCTTGCTGGTGACACGGCACCTCTCGCGGGCGATATTGATGTAGCCATGTCGAGGCGTCGTCGGTGGTGTGGCGAGAGACACCGACGAAGGCCTCTTCGGACAGGCGTCCTGAGATGTGCAGAGTGGAAGTCGCACCTTGAAATGCTGGGGTGGTCGCGTGGAGTCCGAAAGTCGCGTGGCCAGGAAATGGTTTCCGAGATCAGGAATATTACCAAAAAGATTATTTAATCAAGGTTGTCTATACTGCGTAGAACTCGAACTCGACAACCTTGAGTGCTGCGGCAGGTCTTGCACACTCAATAAAACGCGGCTCAATAAACTAGCCAGCCTTCCTTGAACCGGAGTCCGCTCATTGGGAGAAATGGATGGCGATCATGATGAAGACGAGCCACCTGTGCTGGTTGATGCGGTTGTAGAGCAACAAACCTCTGCTGAGCCCGAACAAAGATCCAAAGTACCCATCACAATCATCACGGGCTATCTGGGTGCCGGTAAGACTACTCTGCTCAACCACATACTCACAGCAGAACATGGCAAGAAGATAGCTGTACTCTTGAACGAGTTCGGCAATACAGCAGACATAGAAAAGTCCATCTCAGTGAGTCAAGACGAGAAGCAGACTGAGGAGTGGATTCCTCTCGCCAACGGGTGTCTATGCTGCAGCATCAAGGATTCGGGCGTAGCAGCCCTGGAGGCGTTGGTTGAGCGGCAGACGGACAAGAAGTTCGACTACATCTTGCTGGAAACGACTGGCGTAGCGGATCCTGGCAATATTGCGCCTATGTTTTGGATGGATGAAGGCATTGGCAGCAGCATATATCTGGACGGGATAGTCACGGTCGTTGATGCCAAGAACATCCTGAAGAGTCTGGATGAGCCAGCCGCGGAAGAGGTGCCTAACGAAGAAGACCATCCTCAGCATGCGGGGGCACTCATGTCGACGGCTCATCTCCAGATCTCCCATGCTGATATCATCCTCTTGAATAAGACCGACCTTATTGACGAGCAGACGCTTTCGATGGTGCATGATCGGATACGCTCTATCAATACATTGGCTAAGCTAGTGCCAACGAAGCATTCTATCGTCGAAGATCTGTCCGGCACAGTGCTGGACCTCGAAGCGTACTCAACCTTTCCGCATGTGCCAGATTTCCAGAGCAAGGGACATTCCCATCTGGACGCTTCGATACAGACTGTCACGGTACCGGTACCCGCATTCGAGGAGCAGAAGCTGCCGATGTTGGAGAACTGGTTGCAGACAGTGCTGTGGATGATGGGACTGAGAAACCCTATGAGGTACACAGGACCAAGGGCATTGTGCCTGTCAGTGATGGGCCTACACGCGTGATACAAGGCGTTAGAGAGATCTTCGAGATCATAGAAGCGAGGTCGAGTGGCGAGGTCGAGGGCAAGATTGTGTTTATTGGTAGACAGCTAGACAAAATTCCAGGTTTCGACTGAGAATGTTTCGCCTTCCCAGGGCAGTATCCTGCGAGCTGTGCAACGGATCTATGCCAAGTCGAATTGTTGTCCTTCTGTTATGCTTCTCCGGTGGTGCAATGAGGATGGAAGTAATGCAATATGAGAGATTCATGGGAGTTTGAGAACCCCGATTATTGACTAATCTATTATTGCCACAATAGTGACCAACCAGTTCGACATCCATGGCTCCTTTTTATATGACACTTCATCATGGTCGTTGCATTTCGTCAGAATCTGGCGCTTACAGTGTAAGCATGTACTTCACCCATCCAGCCGCCTCATCAGTGTATATGTCGAAGTAGTTCAGATGATTCTCAACGATGAATGGCCCTGGACCAGTAGCAGCGCAGACCGGGTCAGTAGCATCGCACCATGATCGAATCTTGTCGGAGAACTTGTTCATGTTGGCCAATGATTCCGGGAAGCGTGGGTTGTCAGCATTGATGCCAGCTCCGGACAGCACATTGTATGGCTGATCAGCGACGTGTCGATTGTCACCAAAGATCAGAGCAGCAGCCACTGAGATACTGGTCAGTAAAAGCTCGGCAGATGATGTAGAGACGGGGCTTACACTTGTTGCCAGGACTCGTCTCTGGGTCCAAACCAGGGTTCGTACCAACAGTACAGAATACGGACTCGTTACCGAAGTTCCCGCCGCCTCCACCAAGGATGTCGCCTGCAACATTCGCACCTTGGCTGTAGCCCGATAGAATCAATTTGCTATCCGGACATCTGTCTGCATAAGCAGTCATCTGGCAACGCCATTGACGTCGCCTTCGGTCACGGAGGCACAATAATCTGCTTCAGGTGGGTTCCAGAACTGAATATCCTCATAATCGCAAGATGGCAGATCGTAGCAAATGGCGCCAGCGAGCTTGCCTTGTCGACCAGGGTACGGCTCGTTCCAGCCTTTAGCGAGGAAGATGTGGACATCTGCACAGGGAGCACCAATAGTCTGGCGCTTCGCCGGGGCGGCAGCGACCGCAGCCACGGTGGCTAGGAGAACTGTTGTGAAATGCATCGTTTGAGTGACTTACAGAGGAAGGACAACCCGGTAAGAGCCTCCAAACGAGGAATTCCTCGCAGTCTTATGTTATGCATGCTGCGGAGTACCTCCATCGAGCTTTTACGGTGGCAAGGCGAGTGGAACGGCATGTTCGGCAGCGACTCAGCCATCGCCTTATCGCTGACACGGTATGTCATTGCTATACTTGGACGGAGTATTTCTGACGTTGATCTGAAGAGCTTTCACCTCGGCGGAGGCTAGGCGAGCTGGGCTCCACGTGGGGCTATCAGCACCGTGCGAATGCCGCGCGAATAGCGGCTGTCGGCGAGAGACATTGCTTGCCTGGCTACAGCTTAGTAGATGCAGATGTGTGCATGCTAGCTCGTAGTCGGTACGCGAGGTGGGAGAAAGATACCACACGGAAAGGTCAGCAGCTTCATGGTTGCTCAGGTACCTAGGTAGGTAAATGCAGTAGCTTTCAGGAATTTCGTGTGGGTGTGAATTGATGTCATGGAAGGGCCAATCGGCGACGTAGGCCGAGGCAGGCACGTGTTCACCAGCACTCTATCTTGACTTCCGTAAACGTCCTACCGCCCTTCTTCGTCCCTCATCGCATGACAGAGTCATCACAATGAATGAAAATGGTCTTGATGTATCCATGAGATCGCGTGCGAGATGGCCGCCATAAAACGGACTCTTTTGCGCTCGTGGACTAACTTGATCAAAGCTCGAACAATGGGACATGAAAGCATTACACAGTCAACGTACCCTCGCAACATGCACAAACTCCCCGAGCCACCAGCATCGTCTTTCCGTCGCCGCAAGCGGGTCGAGTTCGACGATGCCGGTACCCAGTACACATCAGAGACTGGCATCGGCCGCAGCTTGAAAGCAATCGTGCCACCAAGTTCTTTCAGGAAACTCTCTGTCTAGCCCGGACGCCAACTTGATGAAAGCGTCCAGTAACAAGGATCTCCGCATCGAGTGCGCAGGCGTGGAGCGTTCCGATGCGGATCTGCTCAGTCAAGCTCGGAATCAATGACGGTTCCAATAAGAGCAGCTCCCGAAAGAAGTTGACGCCATGTGGCACGTGCACTGCAGACTAAGCACAATCTGCGTTGTGTTGGAGCAGACGAAAAGCCGGAGCACGTCCGACTCAAGAGCAAGAGGTAGGTATCTCGCTCCTGAGTAGAACGATCTTTTCGTCAACAGTGTTGCATTGTTTTGAAGCCGGAGGGGATGGGGCATACTCACCATCGCAAACTGAAATCGTCCGGTCGAAATCCAGTCGGCGTCTTCCGTCATCGTTACAGCATCGCCTCAGCTGTTGAACACATTGAAAGAAGCGCGAAGCGAATCATCTTTCGTTCGAGAGGATGATTTCATTCGATCGCTGTGAAGCTGCATCCCGTTCCTGCCCTATAGCGTCTACGCCACAGCGCCGGCCTTCGCCTGCACGACTGACCTCTCCATTTGTCGGGTTGCTGTAAGACCAGTGCTTGACTCGACCGACGCATGCGACTTTCTGCAGCTCAGGATCGGACCGAGAGCTCATCGGGCAATGTGGATTTTGAACGTAACCATCGGCAGGCAACCCATACTGTAGTCAAAGATACGCAGCTTAGAGTAATGCCATGATCCGAAGGAGGGGCCTCAAATTAGGCACTGCACCACTCGATGAGGTCGATAACGATGTGTTCCTGGCGGGTCTGGCGAAATTGCGGCAGCAGGGTCTCCCAAGACTGGCGATGTCTTGAAAGAGCAGTACTGGATCGCAAATCGTCTACGGTGCACGATGCTCGATGACGGGGCATCCAGGGGGTCCAGGCAGTCAACGACGCATGGTGGGATGCGTCGAGGGGGAGGATACAAAGATATGAGAAGAAAGTGCAACCAACGCAAAGATGTTCAGACAGGTGTAAGGAGGAAGGAAAAAAAGTGGCACGCGGGAGATGGCGACTTATTTATCTTCGAGGCGGTCGATGCCAAGTGACAAACGGTCGGCGCAGTCAGAATTTCACACTTCGGGCAGACGCGCTTAGCGACCATCACGATTTCACGCGGGGCAGCGGAACTGCCTGGCAACTGGCAAGTGATGGACAACGAGAACTTGCTATTAGATTTCGATTCGCACAAGATGGAGTTGTTTTCCTTCGACACCACCAACATCGTGACGCGAGAGCCGTTGGGCGCCTACTCAGTATTGCGGCCAACTACTTGCGAACAGTCGATCAATCTGCGCTCAGAAGCGCGCTCCCAGAGCAACCATCGTGCGTCTCCAACGAGCGGGCTCGCGAACTCGACAGGTCTACGGTAAGGCCTCATCAGAGACGGAACGCACCGCTGCTAAAGATCGCTCTAGTCAGAATCATCGCGCCCATCTCCACACTCCGCCGCGCGAGCGGCACCGTCAAGGATGGGTCATAAGAAGCAGAAGCCTACTCGGACACCCTACATGTACAGCGATCCAACCACTGGCCAGCCTCTCATAGCCTCTCCGAATCATAGCTTACCCGACCGACACTTCAAGCCCGAAGACCCGGCCATCGCATCGACCTTGCCTGTCCCTCCTCCCTATCCCTTCAAGCCGAGAAGCGGTGTGTTCAAGCCAGTTCTGGATCCCGAAAGTGCAGAACTCGTTAGCAAATTGCACGAGTCTCGAGAGCGGCTGAAGAAGCGACAGCTTGCCAAGCAAGCGGCGGAGGCGTTGGAGAAGGCTAAAGAGAAGCTACGTCTGGAAAACCCCGAAGAGTACGAGAAGCAGCGAGCGGAGGAGGAGCAGGTCAAAATGAGGAAAGCCTATCGGCGAGTGGACGTACTCAAAGCCAACGACATTCCAGGAGAGAGACCGAGTCGTAGATTGCAGGAGAAGAAGGCCAAGGAAGCTGAAGTACTCGAACCCGCGAGCAGGGTGCACCAACCCGGTCGGAAAGCCAGACAAGCAAAGAAGAAGGAAGTGGGCACAAATGTCAACAGATTGGTACATGCGGGAGACGACATCCTACCATCAATTGAGGAGGAACCTGTCGAGCCTATAAGACGCCCCGAGCCAGACTGGAGCGGCGTTCACCAGTGGCTCTACCATTACGAACGTCAGGACCCCAAGCGACCAAGCACTATTTCCATGATTTCGGTCAACCAAATTCTTGAGGAGGAGGATCGAGCGTCAGCCACCATGGCCAATCATAACTCTGAAATGCACGACAGTGTCCGGGAAGACCCTGGAGCCGATAACAATGCCTCTGTAGCTACTACCAGCGACAACTTAGTGCCGGAGCCATCAAGCAAGCAAAAGTCTTCTGAGGATGCTAATAAGGTACTGTCTGACTCCACCACCAAAGCCAACATCACAGGTAGCATAACAAGTGAGGAGGTTGTGCCGGCCCAACTTCAAAGCAAGTCTATCAGCTCCGACCATCAGCACTCTCATTTCGACCTTCTCAACAAAGATGCTGTACGCCGTCACAATTCAATGGTGGAGCGTCGAGATGTGCGCAAGGAGGCGTTGAAGGAACTTGCATACGGAGCCCAGCGCTGGGTCCAGGCCAAGAACTTCTGGAACAAAATTAAGACAGGGAAAGAGCTCAAGATCAACCTACCTAGGAGCAAACTTGGAGAAGAGTCCGAAGCCGATCATATTGCCCCTGTGGCTGCTGCCAGTCTTGAGCCGGTACCGCAGCGATTAAGCCAGCGTCGATCTCTTGTGAAGGCCACTGAGGTGTTGACTGAAGGCCCCCCGAAATCAGACTCCGGGATCTGCGAGACGACGAGCGATCGAATTCCGAACCCTCCCACGGGTGAAGCCTTGAACTCCAGTCAACAGCACCCTCACATCGACCATCCCGACCCACGTGATTTGGATTTCCGCAAGTCGACGACGAGTAACCATCTCCGTCGCCTGGATGAAGAGAAGGCCATGAAGCTCAAACGTAAGTTAGCTAAAGCACCTGAATCGAGCATCAAACTCAACAGCGACGACGGAGACGACGATCTCATCTATGTTAAGACCAAGGAGCCAAATGCCGATCATAAGAGAGTCAAACTCATTGTCACGGCAGAAGACGAGTACATTGATACTCGACTCTCCAGCGTCGAAGCCTCCAACGAAGGTGGAACCGAAGGAGTTGACGATGTCATCTATATCAGCACCCGATCTGTGGCTATTCAGGACACAGTAACGAACACGAATGTCTTGCCCACAAACGAGAACTCGACCCACTACTACTTTCCACCAAAGAAATCGAGAGGAACAAACACGAATATCTTGCCCACAAACGAGAATTCGACCCACTACTACTTTCCACCAAAGAAATCGAGAGGAGGAGCTCAACGACGGCGCGATCGTTGAGTAGTCCCCGCGAGATCGAGTGGCCGTGACAGAAACTGACTTGGACGGTATCACTCCCCGGGCCTACTTGTCGCAGCAACATCTTGAAGTAGCGAATGGGTCACCGCCTACTGGCGAATGAGATCAGCAGGTCCGTGGCCGGTACATGTACCGATATTGTGGCAGACGCTGTATCCATCGACACACACTACCTCGCGAGATGTCTTGGAATGCATGAGCTATCATCTTTATGCGTGTCCAAAAGGGATGATGAAGGATCTGTGAATGATGATCGAGTGGGAAGCCTCTTTCCACACAGATGATGCAGAAACTTATTGGGTAGTCAGATGTATGTGTGGTCATCCGACTGACGAAGAACGCGAGATCATTGAATCAGGATAGCGTATGTACCACATAATGATATGTCAGGTTCTAACCAGCTATTTTGCCCGTGCACTTTTCACCTCGCCATGTGTCGCCCGAGTCCCCCTGTACCAGAGTATTCGAATGTGACTTCCAACTTCCGTGTGTAGAGCTTTCTGCCCGTCTCTGTTCCTCGACAACTCGATACTGGCAAACTGCACTGTATATCTTTAGGATCAAACGTGAAGTGGTCATGCGAGTAGGAACAAGTCCAATGTTGCGTCAATATATGAGTGATTGGCTATCTCAACACTTCGTACCTCAGCCAGGTCACTTTCTCGCTACCCCTACAGATGTTAATCACAATCTCTGCTGCCTACACCATAAGGGCAGGCTCGTCAGCTAATATATCTGGCCGAGCTCCTTGCGAGCAACCCTTCCCACGCGACAACAGCCTGCGAAATTCTCATGACCAGAGCACACGGATTTGCTCGGACCGTCCACTCATAGAACCACATCTGCCAGGTGCTGAAAGCGAGGAGATATCGCTTACTTCTTCAAATTGTACTTCTCCCCAATCCCGATCTTCACAGGCTCGCGCTCATGAATACGATCGATCCATTTCAGCAGATGTGGGAAGGGTTCCATGTCTTCCTTGGTGAAGCCTGTTCGCTCCCATCCCTACACAGACACAGCACCGTCAGCCACCGATACTCGAAGACCACTTCTGCGAAAAGCAGAAGAACATGATTGTAACTCACCTTGACCCAACTCCAAGCCTTGATATCCGCTACACTATACTTCCCATCACCCTTACCCGCCAACCATTGCCGTGGCTTCTTTCCCGGACCGTATATGCCGCTGAGTCGGATCTCAAGTACGCCGTAGACACGGAGAGTTTCCTTCTTGAAGCGCTCGATTGCGTAGGGGATCTTCTCGGGGGCTGCACGGGAGAAGTGGTTTACCTGGCCTTGGTACGGGGCGCCTCCACCTAGAGGAGGGATTGTTAGAAATGTGCTTCACCATCACGTCTTCGCTCCTCGACCGCTGAAAGGTTCGCACTTACCATGCCAGAAGAACAGCCACTGCAGCGCCTCGTTTCTCTCGAACTCATCCTTGAAGCCAAATGTGTCTTCCTTGTCATACTCTTTGAGCAGATACAGCAGCTGTGCCGAGGTTTCCAGGACCGCGAACGGAGGCGACTGCGATGCATCGAGGAGCGTTGGGATGCGTCCGTTTGGGTTGAGACGGAGGAACCCTGTTGTATAAATGCATCAGCATCCGTGCCATGGGGATCTCGTCTCGCACACAATGTGTGAGAGAGAACTTGTCCAGAAGGATGGGGATGACTCGGACTCACACTCCTCCTTCTGCACGTTAGTGCTGATGTCAATGACCTGCGTCGTCCAGTCAAGACCGTACTTTGCCTTCAGCTCCTCCAGCAGGATCTGCGTAGCCTGCCCATTGGGGGTATTCTGCGTGATCAGGTGCAGGCCCTTGGCGTCGCGAACCTCCTGCGGCGTGCCCTCGCAGAAGAGGTAGTCTGCCATGGTTGGGGTTGCTATTGAGGTGCTGTGAGCTCTTCGCTGAGTCGAATAGCAGTTGGCTAGCAGTGGTAAAGCAGCGGTCCTATGCTGTGGTCTTGAGTGGCACACAAGGAATGGTAGACGAGCACGACAGCTCAGAGCGGAAAAGGCATATGGTATAAGAAAACAATGTTTGTACTGGAGGGGCACAGTACGCAGTACTGTCGTCATTTGTAAGCTACGAAGCAAACCGCGAATGAACGTGGTGGATAGCCATTGCTCAGGTACAAGCACGGATGAATTGCATCGTTAGTTCGTTCAGGCTGGAAGTCTGATTGCTCATCATCACAGGGACCCCAGATGTCGCAATAGTGTCGTTTCCATAGGCAGCGTTGGCGGGGTTGCAGGGGCAGGCGATGATGTCGTTGGAGTCAGATTCGGATTCGGAGACGCAATGTAGATCGGTCAAAGCCGACGACGCGCAGCAGATAGCTTCCTGATAGCAAGCATGCAGTCTTTGGCCGCTCTACTGAGTATGAGGCCAGTGAGAGTGCACGCCAGGCTATATCTTCAATCGCAGAATCCCGACTTGTTGGACCATGAGCTTGTGATAACGTCGTCGGAAAATCCCGAACTCACTGTCCCTTGGAGATAATGTCTTCAGTGCGCCCGTTTTGTGTTAAAACCGGATGACGAGCTGCACTCTGCTGCAGCAGAGAGACGTCGAGTCCACACGGCTACACTGAACAATTCAGCTCGAGTCTACCGGTTGCGCGGTCGACAGGTTTATTGAATGCTTTCTTCATTGATACTTGTATCTTATGATGTTCTACTCTGGCGACGAATACCTAATGCTCTCTGCTGATCATGCATCTTCGCTTTTTGAAAACTGGTTCAAGGCTTGCTTGTTGGGGAGCACGTCAGCTCCAGCGCGATACTTAGTCGACGCCCTCGAGTCTTGAGCAAGCGCGAACGCGATCAATACGCTGCTGCTGCCCGATCGACCATATGAGCTCAGTAGGAGCGTTGTGCGTGGTCCAGGCGACCCTATCGCCATCTCGCACGGTTCCTCTCACGTTCGCCCTCTACCATCCCCCTCTCAACCTCATCTTCATACTTGAAGCTCATCTGCCGCCGAGGGGCAGTATGTGACCGCGACGTGCCACCACTACCGCCATTACGTGCAGCTTTGCGCTCCTGCTCCTTCAGCAGCCTCTTACGATTGGCCTCCTCGCGCGCGTTTGCTATAGGATCAACATCTTCTTCCCTGGATGTCATAGTTGTGTCCTGGACCTGACTTGCTCGACGGCTTGATGACCGCCCATTTGTGCCGTTCGCGTCGTCGTAGCGCGCACTCGACTTCGACTCGTGGTCCTTGCGGTGCCTCCTGGACTTGTGCCGGGAGCTGTCGTAGTCGTCTTCTTCATCGTCTGCGTCTCGCTCCCGTCTTCGTTTCTTGTCCTTCTCGCGATGACGATCTTCGCGCTCTCTGTCGCGGTCGGCACGATCTCGATCACGGGTTTTGTCCTTGTCACGATCACTATCACGATGTCGATCCCGATCATGATGGGATTTGCGATCACGGCGATGTGACCGATCGGCGTCGTCATCACCGTCTTGATAGCCGTTGTTATCGTAGTCTTTATCACTTCGTCGTTCGTGCTTTGACGATCGACTCTCGTACTTGTCCTTGTCTCGTCGAGAGGACTTTCGAGATCGGTCGTGCGAATTAGATCGCGAGTACGAATCGTCGTCGCTGCGAATGTCATGGTCGCCGTTTCGATCGTATCGCGAGGATCGACGATGGCTCCCTCGTCGATCATAATCATCGTACTCATCTCGCCGGCCGTCCCTGGACGTTCTGCGGTCATCGTTGTACGGCTCAGGGCTCGGACTCCGCCGTTCTGATGTTCGCTGCGCAAGTGATCCTCGACCAAGGATCTGGAAACCGCCGCTGGGTTTTCTGACCGGTTGCGGTGGCTCCCGCATGGCTCGAGGACCAGTAGGAGCGCCCACGACGCCTGGTTGCTCAACCGTCGTGGGCGTTGTTGACTGGGCGGATCCGGGACGGATTGGGGAGGGCGGGTGGCCATTGGAAAGGTGAAGGGATCCACGATTGCGAGCGAATCGTCCTTGCCCACGAGAACGAAAGCCAAAGTCCTTCTCGTTATGACGCGAAGGTCCTGAAGGAGCGGCTGGTGGAGCCATGGGCACGTCCAAATCTTCCGCATACGCTTCTGGAACTGGTTTAGAGGGCCCTACTGGTATTGGTGACTGAGTCTGCTGTTGTGGGACCTCTTCCTGAGCTTCCACCTCCGTCAGCACCACATCCTCGGGGGCAGGCGCACCATTCACGATCTCCGGCTCTACAGCGGGCGGCGTCAGCTCTTTGACCTCTTCCTTCTTCGTGTAATCGTCTCCAAGTGCTTCTTGAACTTCTTCCTGTCCACCAGGAGCGAATTCGTCGTCATCTAGCGCGTGATCGGCAAGCTGAAAGGCTCTGCTTTAGGCTCTTCTCGTCGAGGCTGTTGAGGTCCGTTGAAGGCTTGCTGACCGTTCATGTGTTGATTTCCTGCCTGGAAGTTGTTATGATGATTGTTATCAAAGTAGTTGTGGAAGTTGCCTCGGCCTCGGCCACGGTCATTGTTGTTCCATCGACCGCGCCCTCGACCTCGACCACGACCACGCCCACCGAACTGATTGAAATCACCGTTGGGATACTGGTTCTGGTTGAAATTTGGGAAGCCAAAATTATTACCAGCCATGGCGTTCGGGAATGCATTTGCACTACTATTCTGCCACATTGGGTTGTTCTGGAATGCTTGTAGCATTTGTGGACTCATCATGTTCATGTTCATGCCATTCATACCACCGTTGCCAAACATGTTTCCCATCGAGCCCATGCCCATGTTCATATCTGCGAAGCTGTGTCAGACCGTGCGCGTATTTGACATGACCAGAAATCGGGACTTACTCATCATGTTCGGAAACCCCATCATGTTCTGCATTTGTTGCATTTGCTGGAACAGAGGGGTATTCATCATGGGATTATTCTGATTCGCGTTCTGGAAGCCAAAGTCATTCGTATCGTTCTCCTGCCTTGACATTTTGCGGCCATTCTGCAAGTCCCGATGAGGTGGCTGCACCGACGTGTTTTGTGTTGTCTCTTCCTCTGCTTGTGTGGTTGCGTTCTGATTATACTCCTCATCATCGTCCTGGGGAATGTGCGGCGGAACATAGTCTGGGTCGTCTGGATCGAGATCAACTTGAAACTCGACGTCGTCATCTCCAGCTTCGGTCTTATCGAGCGATGGATCGTCGACGTCTTCTTGAGTCTGCGGCATGATTAGTATACCGTCTGATGGTGCAGCAGGACTGGGCGTACCTCTACAGAAGCCATGACCTCGTCTGCCGTAGTGGCAGGCTCTGTACCATTCACTTCGATGTGGTCATGCCCATTCGCTTCGTTCTCGGACGATCCATTAACAGGCGGCTGTGAAGTCGTCTCAGTGACTTTTACTAGTGCCGCAGTCTGCTCGTCGGCCTTGGCTTTCTCTGCTTCAACCAAGCCTTGACACTTCTTCTGGAACTCGTGCTAGGCTTGACGGTGTCGCCATTGTAAGGCTTGTGGGCGCATTGCGGGCATGCATTATTGGCATCGTTGAAACCTGACATGATCAGCAGACATCATACAATATGATCAAGGCGCTTACAGAGCTCACAAATAGAAGTGTCGCAACAGCCGCCCTTGAAAGCATTCAAGAGCAGTCGTTGGCATGTTGGGCAGCGGACGAAAGCGGGCGCCTTGGAAAGATCGAAGGTGCTGATACCCGTCAGTATGAGAACTAAGCAAGTACGGATCAGAGAGCCAACCTCGCGAATTCTTGCAGCGCAGCGTCAAGCACAGGCGCCGCCATTATGCTGCGCGCAGTTCCAGTCTCGATATCGGCTTGAGATCTCAAAGATTTGATGGCCTGTACATGGTGCAAGAGAACGTGGTCGCGCGACGATGTGGCCAGCCGTGGGAAGGAGTGTAAGCTTCGGGCGACTGGCGACCGCGCAAGGGCCTAGAAGATCGTGACGGCTCAAGCCGTATTTCACAAGGAGCGGTGCCTATTGCTTCAAGCAGAAATACAGACCAACGACGGCAGCAGCGATGAACAAACACTCAAGATGTTTGTGCCGAGTGACACGGAGAAACTTCAAGTCCTCAGGGTTGAATTGAACCGGAGTTCTTCCGTCAGACCTATTGGTTGACGCACAGCACACTCTGGCATCAAGCGTATATGGAAATTCCTCATGACATCAACCATCCTGTCTGATGCTAGTCACGCTTTGCAAAAGCCTCTGTATCACCTAATTCGAAGGGACTTTCATTGCATCAATTTAAAGGACCGGTTGGGACGCAGGGGGGCGTCGAAGCACAGGAAATCAGACGTCTTGCTGGTGTCAGCAGCAGTAATGATACTGGGTCCAATCAGTCTTGTTGACTGCATTGTGTTTGTGATTTTTTTGATTCCTCAACTACTCTATCAGGCTGGCATACTGTCATGTCTAGTGCTTGCCGGCAAGGTGCTACCATTTTTAAGTAAGCATCCTGACAATCGATGCGATTGCAGTAGCCATGGCTAAATTAATGATAGTCTTCCAACTGCCGGTTCAGCTCATTCGAGAACGCTACGTACTGCCTCATGAGAAGCGTTCTCCGTTCTGCCAGAATGCAACCTTCTTCCAAGATCTTGTCATCCGAGGCGTGCGATATGCTTTCGCATATATTCCGGCAAAGATTGGACGAGTCTTCTTCTCGAAATGGGTCGCATATCCATTCTTTCGGTTTCGTTTACTTCGACATGGTTATTTGCGGAGCCCGATCTTCTTTCAGGAAGTCGTCAGACGCGGTGTGAGGGGACTATGGATCATCCCTGATGAGACGAAAGATCCTGGTGTTATCATCTATTATTGCCATGGTAAGTAAGTTGAACATCCGGGAGTAAGGCGCTAACATTGATCAGGTGGTGGTTTCTCCATGGGTTCGTCCTTCTTCTACCTGGAATTCTTGATCGCTTGGATCACCCGGCTCAAGGAAGCAGGTTTTCGCAACCCAGCTTGCTTCGCCCTTGAATACACGCTGGTCCCGGACGAGCGGTGGCCCAAGCAATTCAATGAGACTCGAGCTGGATTCGACTTTCTCCGCGAATCTTTTGGTGAAGGCAGCGCAGCGAAGATAGTCGTAAGCGGCGATTCAGCTGGTGCAACGTTGATGCTCAGTATGCTGCTGCAGCCCGGATCCCTTGATCAGGAGCCAAAGTTCAATGAGTCGGAACGGCCTGCCCTAGCGGTTTTGCTTTCGCCATGGACTCACCTGATCTCAGAGCTTAATCAAAACACACCCAGCGACTACTTGGACAAGGATAGTCTGCATCTTTACGCTCACCAATACGGTGGTGATGGTGCCAAGAGTGATCAAGTGATCTCTCCGGGGTTATGCATCTCCCGTTGGAAGCGCGCATCGCCACTGCATGGGTACCGCATCATATATGGCGCAGAAGAAGTATTTGCTCGTGGAATTGAAGAGACCGTGGAAAACATCCGCAAAGACGGCGCGGCAGCGAAAGCGCACAGGCTGGAAGCTGGGATACATGCCTGGCCGGTCGTCAACCTATTTCTTGGGGCAAATAGTGATGAACGCTTGACTGGACTGGACTTGATGGTCGACTGTATGGTATCGTCAGAGATGGCTCCAAAAAAGCAGTAGCGTTGTAACATAGGTGTCAAGAGAAGCCATCAGATTAGATCAAGTTATGACTGGCATTGAGACTGTCGTCGTGAATTTTAGACAGCGGCTGCCAACGAAATCACGTGGCTGCCAGCGTGTCAAAAGCTGTTGGGACAATTTCCTTCAGCGCATTGCTCTCATCACCTGGCCGTCTTGTACCTTGGCCACGTGGAATGAGGATGGCACTTACTGTAGGAGCCTAGTCGCCGCATTCGTTTTCGGGTCCATCATGCGCATGCAAGCTCAATAACTAGCGACAGCGTCAATGTCAATAGTGGTCTCATCAATGGCACCCGGAGCATGTCTAGGTATGCAGAAAGGCAAGCGCGAAAGTTCCCTGGCTTCGAAGATGTGTGGTGTCTGGAGGTGAAATTTGAGCTTGAGTTTGCACGCTAGTGAGAATGATGGACAGGGGGGCTTTCATAACAGGCATAAATAGTCGTCCAAACGCCCGCCTGGAGAACCAGAATTTCCGGCTCTTCAATTGAAACCCCAAATCCTTGGACCACGTGACATCGAGAAGCGACGCGACTCAGCATTACAGGAAGTTGCAGGATGGCCTCTGCATAAGACTCCAATTGAATCATTCATGCCGCAATGTCCATCACCATGTCACTACCTGCTCGCCAAATACAAATTGTTAAGGAATCCGTAATCGAGAACACTTCACGCCTGCCAATGTTGACGCGTTTCATCACCAAACGATGACTAGCAATCGCGACTACCGACCCAGCTCCCCAGACTTGGAAGACCAGGAATCCGTCTTCGTTCATCCACCCACGCTTGGTCGTTTACCATCATATTCACGAACACCAAGTGAGGCATACAATTACCCATATTCCCCACGTCCATCTATAGACTTCACCGCCAGCACTTCACAACATAGCGGCCGCCCGGCAATCGGAATTGCGCCTGCATCATCTTACTTCGGCGAACAGCACCAGGTGCAGTCACCCGCATCTGCAATCCGGACACCGGGAACAGCCACACACCAAAACTACCACGCAAATTTCAATCCATATCAAGCCAACACCGCGCAACCCCGTGTGCCGCCATCGTTCTTCCAGTCGCCAAACTTTGCTCAACCACAAGCATACTACGACAACGACGCAGAGATGGCTCGCACGCGCGCTCAGCGCTCAGCTGAGCAACAGCAGTACGACCCTATCCACGACGCCGCCCCGCCGCCACAAGCACGTCCATCACAACAAGCTGTAGCGCCTCAACCACCGCCGCCAGCACCGGAACCACAATATCCTACCTCAGCAGTCGATCTTGACATCCGGACCAAGTTTCCCGTTGCACGCATCAAGCGTATCATGCAAGCAGACGAGGACATTGGCAAGGTCGCACAGGCAACACCGACCGCTGTCGCTAAAGCATTGGAGCTGTTCATGGCTTCGCTTACCGTCAAGGCCGCAGCGGAAGCTCGACATCAGGGCGGCTCCAAGCGTATCACAGTCGGACATCTCAAGGCAGCTATTGCGCGCGTCGAGAACTTTGACTTCCTCAAAAGCATCTGCGACGCCGCAGGCGACGAAGACGGCAAGGGCGCTGGTGCTAAGAAATCCAGAGGCAAATCCGAAGACGTTAGCGAGGATGAGATGCCGCCGAAGACGAAGAAACGAAAGGGCAGTGCTGAAGAGGGCGATTAGCGGAGCTCTACGGAAGCTACCAAGAGAGTTCAACGCATCGGCCCCACAGCGGGCAATGAACACGGGATGGAGGCCGAGGCGAAGATAGCTGTTGTTGAAATGAAGGATGTTGATGACTACGAGACGCCGCCGAAATCTCAGAAACGAAAGGGCAATGGTGCGAAGAAAGCCAGAGGCAAATCCGAAGACGTCAGTGAGGATGAGATGCCGCCGAAGACGAAGAAACGAAAGGGCAGTGCTGAAGAGGGCGATTAGAGGAGCCCTACGAACGCTATCAAGAGGCATCCTCACGCCGGCGTCCCCAAGATCAAATGGACAGACGCCGAGCTTGAGCGACTCGCGGCCTATCGCGCGGAAGATCCGCCACTCACCTATGACGAGATTGCGGAGAGAGAAGGCGGCCAACGCACCAAAAGGGCATACTCACAACAGGCTCGGAAACAGGCTAGAAAGAATAGAAAAATTATCAGGCATCCTCGACGTGGCGTCCCCCAGCTAAAATGGACAGCCGCCGAGCTTAAGCGACTCGCAGCCTATCGCGGAGAAGATCCGCCACTCACCTATGACGAGATTGCGGAGAGAGAAGGCGGCCGACGCACCAGAACTGCATACTCACAACAGACCGTAATACAGGCTAGGAAGAACGGAAAGACACTCAAGCGGGGCTTCAACAATTCGGAACGAGTGAAAGAGTTGAACAAGTCTAAGCGGGACGTGGATGCACCGATCGAGGAGGGCTTGCTGGCAGAAGGGGCCGGTCATGATGAGGGCATGGCGGATGAAAACACTTCAATGACAGACGAGGACGAGGACAGCCTTTTTGGCTATATAGAGGATAGCGACTTGGCCGAGGAGTTGGACACAACACGCAGCCACGGCGACGATCAGGGCGAGTAACTTGGGCGCTTGCGGCGGTGAACCCGGCATTGTGCCAGTTGCCATTATGGTAGACGCCTGCTGGGTTCAGGCGAAAGCATGCACGACGGTCTTTAGGTTTTTCGACGGGCTCAAGCATTGGGTATTCTTCCAGGCGGGCGGCTGCTGAATAGGTATATGCAGTCATCATTGATCGTAGGATGCAACTGCACTTCAGAAGCAACTGCAATTTATGATCACCTCTATCTTGTGCATGAACCATGAGAGATCAGCCCAAGAACGCCGCGTTTCATCATTGACTAGGCCTTGAAAGCCTTCCGTAGATATACATACAGCAGACTTTGGCCATCGTTCCTCATGCGTCGTGAACGAGAGCCTCGCTCCGTAGCTCCCAATGCTGAATGCTTTGCCCTGACGCCGTCTTCGAACAACGGTTGAAATGCTTACATGAACTGTGCGTATGACAGCATACGTCCTTCGCCTTCAAGCCTGCTCCTAGACTGTTACGGCGCTGTCTTCTCTAGCCTGTTTCTCGTCGATCCCACGCGGAGTGTTGGGCGCATGAGAGCCTCTGTCCATACAAGGCCACGGTACCTGCATCCCAATTCCCATCACAATAATGCCACCGAAGAAACAAGTGAAACCCAGTGCTATCCATCCTACCACTTTACTGTAGGCAACTACCACCAAACACAACAGTACGAATGCTCCAATCACAAGCATTCCCATCAAGGCGCTGATCGATACGGCATACCAGTGTACGGTGACCTGAGACGTGCGACCCTTCACGCCATCCCAATCTTGCTGCCAGTGACTCTTGAAGAATGTCAGCAACGTGCTGCCCGTGGCTGCCACTGCCAATGCTAGGATGTACAGTAGCCAGGACAGACTGAGGAAGAGCTGTACAGTAGCCTGACTGAATGTTGAATTTGGTTGCGAATCACCAGGAGCATTCGACAGAACGAAGTTGAACGTGACACTCGCACCGAGAGTGCTGATCGCAAGAATGGTCTGAAAGAGACCGCTGAAGAACGCGACCACACTGGCACCGCTGTGGGCACCCAGTGGTGCAATGGAGTGCAGATGATGACCATGCTCGCTGCGAAAGCCCGTGCCACTGCGGTGGTGGTGGTGATGGTGCTGGTCACCGTAGTGCTGTGGCTGTTCTACTGCATCTCTTATGGATGGTACTGTTGGGTTAAACGTGGCGGCTGTGGAATTCTGCAGAACTTCGGAAGCAGCAGTCGTCGTAGCGGCGCGTGAGCTTGGACGACCGGACGGCTCGTAGGCGCTCATCTTGTTGTTTTTTCAATAAGATCGCCGGACTTTGTAGTTAGGAAACGGAAAAGAAGCAACGCATCGGAGTGGTCGTGATCGGTTTGAAGGGTGGGAGGGCCCCAGAGTAAGCAATCGGTCTCTCCTTACAGGTAGAAGCAAGCAGGAAACATTGAGCCGCAACACAGTCAGAAGACAAGCACCTACCGTGCAAGACTCATTGTGAGTCGCATGAAGGCGGTGCATCGCCGTTGCCTGGGACATCGAGGCAGTGGTGACTAGGAAGTTGCGATCAGGTGGACGCTACGTCCTCCAATTTGAGCAGTCGCGCCTGACGCGTCGCAGAACCGCATTTTGTTTTGGGACGTCTGCCACCTACCCGAAGTCCTTAAGGTACATGTTCACATGCCACACATCGTAGCATTATATGAGCAATGAGGAAACCACGTAAATGGACTATGTGAGTGATGCGGTCGCCGAAAGCACCACTTTCGGACTGGGACTAACGCCTGCTTCTCTGACAGCTCGCCCGGCTGATTGCAGGCGCAGGCACTGCCAGTAACAAGCAGAAGCCCAACACACCCGCTGATCGATTGTCACAATGCACCCGAATATGCAACTCGCTCAGGGTAGGTCATGGTCCTAGAAAAGGGTGTAGTCCTGGCCAGGGTGCTGATGAACATAGAATCTCTGGCAGCGAGGCAATGTCAGTCCAGAGGACGATGCTGCTGCTCAACGTGCGATCGAGCTGCTCACCAGACTGAACGACTTGTTGACCGATGAGTCACGAAAAGCCGCGCCGCACTCATGCTTGCAGCATATCTCCATCAATCAGACATACATCATCGTTGTCAAAATAGCCCTGGAGTCACAGCATCCCGAAGTCATCAACCACACAGCCGCATTCTTCCACATATTGATCAACGGAGAGGTCGAGGGCTTGCTGGACAATAAGCTCTTCTCTCGCTCCCTCCTTGACCTTGTGCGATATACGATCACTGGTCCACGAGCTGTGGCCGACCTGAGTCTGGAGAATGAGCTGATAGAATTGCTCTTTGAGATTGCAACAAAGATCCGCTTGGATCCAGATATTCTGCCGGCATGGTTCCATCCGGAGCGTGATCGAAGTCAGCCACGTTTGATCCAAGATGTGAGGAGGAACCAATTCCCGCTCTTCTTTGTCCTTGTGAATTTCGTTCACCATGACGGCCAAGCAGGAGACTTCGCCCGCACTGGACTGCTCTATCTCACCGAGACTGCATCGAAATCAAAGCAACTCGAGACATGGATGATCGAGAGTGATCTGGCACCACAGATGGCTAGTGGCCTCGGTGCATTGTACAGCCGGCTCAGCAGACAGTTTCCACCTATGGGTGTAAGTGAAAAGACGATACCAATCCTTGCCCTGTCAGACACAGTGGACGCGGATTCGACCTCAAAGGAGACTCGGGAAAGCTTCACACAGAACATGACCGAGTTCCTGACGTACTTGGCGTTCTGGCAAGACACCATCCACCGATGCAAATCACAGGATGTGGAAGACACATTACTAGACCATTTCCAGGTCCTGTTTGTGCAGCAGTTGCTCTATCCGTCGTTGCTGGAATCATCAGATGTGATGGGAGGCTCCACGGCCGCTGTCGTTGCACATCTGGCCCGAATTCTACTAGCTCTGGAGAATCAAGTGTTGGCACAGCGAATGTTGGGCTACCTTCTGGCCTCAAAGGTGTCCGAGCAGCAAAATCCGGCGAAGCGGTCGCGAGCTCGTCCCTCTGTCAGCCGCCGCAAGTCTCTCGACGCACTGGCAGCGCTAGCAGAGGCGGCACAGTCTCCTTCTCCGGACTTGTTCAACCTGCTCGACCTTATCACAATGAGCCTCAGGTCGAAACATGATAATACAGTCAACTCGTGCTTGAAGCTGCTGTCAGTGCTTCTGACCCGGCACCATTCCAGTATTCTCACTGGTCTCTTCAAAAGTGTCGCTTTGCAAGACGGCTGGAATGTGAGTGTGAAGGCTTTCAACGATCGACTCGTCTCCCTGTTTGACCTGGCTGGGCAGATATCTCTGTCCGAGGATGTCCTCGACGAATCATATCAAGGCGCACTCGATGATGCGAAGTTCCGCATCGAACGCCACAGCTGTTCCATCACAGATACAGTTGACGGACAGCCTTTGACGAAGAGTCCCACAACTATTGCAACGGATTGCAAGTTATTGAGAGCCTTGCTCTGGAAACTGGATACATTCTTTCTGAATGACACGCTCACCAACCTCGGATTGACTCAGTGTATCATGGATATGGCTGCATGTGAAAACTTTTCGTTGTATGGCTGGCTGATGCCGTCGACGCCAACTGGCCAGACCACTGTTCTGTTTGTTGTCAACGGTCTCGTACAGCAGATTCAACAGTGGCGTGGCTTCTTCCCAGAATGGGACGTACTCCTGGCTCAGCGCCGAAGGGATCTACAGCAATCAGACGACGAGATACACGCACAGAGCATTTCTATTCCGGGGCCACCAGCCAAAGGCGTGTCAGATGTATCGTCAACTACTCCAGCCACACCTCCGCGGTCATTCTCAAACTCTCGTCCAATCACGCCCCCCACAGCGACTCGCGGTAGAACAGTGGTTTCGCCTTCCAAGTTCGGTAGTATCGACAACGCACTGGCCGTCAGTCCGACATCAGGTTCGCGTGTAGGACTGACCCCAAGACCAGCAACGGGCAGTCCTTCGAGACGGTCGTACATTGCGCAGGCGGCAAGAGTGGAGGCTACTGGCCACTCGCCTTCGCAGCGACTTTCGAAACAAACCGACGCGGCGGATATGGTATCGGACGAAGCCACCGAGCAGCTCTTGAGAACGATGGTCACTCTCGACCTCGGCTCCGAAAATGTGCCCGAAGAATCGTCGCCGCACCTTCCCGTACACGCAGGCAAAGCCAGGCCGGGCACAGACACGCCTAGTTCTGAGCAGGGGTTGCTGCCCATACCTCAGCATGTTAAAGACAGCGGAGGCTCAGGGACCGTGACACCCACGCCCAGCGCGGTCGACAGCGAGGGGCGAGGAAACAGAAAGGAGATCAGTCTGAGCCATATCCTGACGAACGCTGTTATTCTACAAGAATTCATACTGGAGATTGCAGCCATGATCCAGGTTAGGGCAACCATGCTGGGAGAGGTTGACATCGCCTGACGCTGCTCGGACAGCTCTTGGACCAGACCAGCGACCAGGTGTTACGGTTCTAGGGAGTCTGCGAATGCGCATCAGCTGTCCTGCAGTGCTTTTGTTACGAACAATGATCATTAGAGAGCGTGTGTGTGTGTGTCGTTATATTCATCCCATCATTACTCCAGCCCACGACCTTGGCTTCGTCTACCGTTACCTGGCCAGACCTGCAAAAGCCTTTTGCTTCGTGCGACACTCACGACCACCACAAAATCACCGCCCCAGCATTCGCCGACAGCAATGACACCAGCATGACCCAGACCGCTGCCAAGCCCAAACCCAATCCGGTAGGCGACGCATCGCCTGTTCCTGGGGATGGCGTTATCCCTCCTCCTTGCTGGTTGCTATTCCCGCCGTCGCCTGTGTACCCACTGATCTCGTCTGTTACAGTTCTCGTGATCGTGTTCGTACTGGTGGATTTGCTGGGAGTCAAGGTGTTGCTCCATGTTGTCACGTTGGTCGAGTTGCCTCCGCCTCCTCCTGTTGCTGTGGTGAGGAGTGTTTTGGAAGCCTGGGTTGGGTCGACTGTTACTGAGCCACCAGAAGTTGCAGTGGCGTTGGCCGCAGAGGTAGAAGTACTGTCGTCCGCGTCATCGGTCGGTCGGCCGAGTGCTTCAGCGTCGGTGCTTCCACCCCAGACACTACTCGTTGTGGCGCTAGAGTTGCTGCTTGATGTCATCTGTGGCTCGCCGACTTCGACTGCCGGATTGGTTGTTGGGATGGAGGCATCCGGCACGGGATTACTGGCGTCAGTGGCGCCGCAGACGATGCGGAAGGAGCCTATGCTCTGCTGGCTGCTGGGACCGACGTAGCATGTTTGTGGAGTCAGGGCGAGGCCGAGGAGGGATGTGCAGGAGGCATCGGCGTATGTGCGTGCTATAGATATGATGGTCAGCCGGGTATGTCCTGAATGCCAACAGTGGCATGTTAAGATGAGTACGCACCACTGCAACCAGCATCTAGACTGTCAACCCAAACAGCAAGCGTCCCACTGGGTGCGCCGTGGCACGCAGTATTTGATGAGCTGGCTCCAGTCGAGGAATAGACGGAGATGAGGTGTGTTGGATCGCAGTCTCCTGAGTTGTAGTACTGGATTTTCGAGTCTGCTAGGGCTGTGAGAGGAAAGAGAAGTAGGCCGACGAGCGGGGCGAGCAGGTATTTTAATTTGTAGTTGAAGGTTGGTCTCGAGGTATGCATATTTCGATAGGCTGCAGTGAGCGTTTTGCCTGCAATGAAAACGCCATCGTGCAAACGTTCGTCAGTGTCTCATATATTAGATGATGTGAATGGAACACTGAGCAAGGGTGAGCCAAGGTCGATGAGCAGTGGTGGCGGGGGAAGTTCATCATGAGGAATGTGGGTGTTCGAGTTGAGGAATTTCGAATCCGACACAATGGTCATTCTTTTATACACATTCGACAGTGGCTGGTCATGCACAACCCTAGTTCGCCGGTGTGCACAGTTTCTGTGCAGATATCTGAACCATGGACATTGTATAACCAGCTGAAGGCGCCCTAGTAATGACGACCTGCCTCAAAACGCAAGTACCCTCGGGCAATTTACCGCACACTCAACTCCTCGCGCAGCTTGCTGGGTTTGTCAGGCATCTGCATTTGCATTGGCATCCCGCCGACTTTGTTTCTCCGGCCCAGCAGGGTACTGTTGTCCAGACTCAACTCGAATGGCTGCTTATTTCTCTTCCCAACGCTCTGCTTCGCTGCGGCAGCAACGGCGGCACTATGCTGTCCATAACCACGTTGCTCCTGCTGATGATGCTGGCTGCGGGCTGGTGCAGCAGCAGAGCGTGCCTGCGCAGCAGCTGACGGTTGTGTGCCCGAGAGGTTGGTTTGACGCATCTTAGCTTCCATGCTGGACACATCGCTTGGGGCTTGCGACCGCGGTACCTTGCTGGAGATGTCATCCTCGTACTCATCATCTTCATCATCGAAGTCGTCGTCCTCGTTCAGTGGGTTAAGCTGTCCGGGAGCGGCACCGCCACGATACCCTTGCTTGAAGTTCTTTCTCCGCTTGGCTTCTTCTTCTTGCCGATGTACAGCGTAGCCCACGTCGAAGACCTCACGCAGATTCACTGCGCCAGGTGATCTGAAGTCGTTTCTGCGTCCACCCGGAGTCTGCGGCAGTTGGATCGAAGGATCATTTGGAAACATTTCTTTCTGACGGACGGCCAAGGGAGTGGCCAGTGGTGGTGCGTCGGCGGCGGCATATGTTGGTTCCTGAACGTTGCGAATCCATGGATGAGCCAGGAACTCGTCAATGGTGTAACGTTTCTCGGGATTGACTGTCAGCAGATGTGACACCAAGTCCTGGGCAGATTTCGAGATGTCGTCCCACCAGGGCGACAAGAATGTATATTGGCCACGAGCCACCTTCTCTGTTAGGACCTGGATCGACTCGTCGTAGAAAGGTGGGAACCCGCAGAGTAATGTGTAAAGCACACAGCCTAGCGCCCACATGTCCACAGACTTGCTGTACCGCTCATCCTTGACAATCTCGGGTGCAGTGTAGCCTACTGTACCACATGGCGTCATGGTTTGTGAGTCCCACACGACCTTGCTGAGGCCAAAATCGGCAATTTTGATTTCGCCAATGCCGCCAGCGCCAACTCCTTGGACGAACTCGCCTTCATCGGCTTTGTCTTCGTCGTCTGGTCCTCGAGGCTTGGGGTTCCTGGTGGGAATGAAAGGTACTGGGTAGAATAGAAGATTCTCTGGCTTGATGTCACTAGCAGACGTTAGCTTTTTCGATCACTTCCAAGGTGCATTATGCTCACCGATGTACAACGCCTCGTTCCTCGTGGAGATATCGCAGTGCCTTCGCAACTTGTACAATGACGTGTCTGCTAAGGTCTTCGCTGAAGTATGTGAGTCGAACAATTTGGTGGAAGAGCTCGCCGCCAGGACACAACTCTAGTACGATATAGTAGTATTGTCGTGACTCTGAGAAGTCGATCAAGCGAACGATGTTGGGGTGGTCGAGTTGTCTCATTATTTGCACTTCTTTCAGGATATTGGCCCGCTATCGACAGAAATTAGTTCATACTTCTTGTGATTTTGTATATATGTGTGTGGTTTTGCAAACAAGGCTCGCTGGAGGAGGGAGGGAGAGAGGTATAACGGACCTCCACGGTTTTCGGCTGCTTCTTAAAATCAGGGTGAAGGTGGGCGTCGCCCTATATTAGAAGACACGGTTGGTTTGCGTTGCTCAGAAGATGAATGTGCGTGTGTGATGGGAGGAGGTTAAGGCAATGTGGGAAAGCGGGCTCGTCCAGACATTACTTACCGAATTGGCGTTCATCTCGTACTTTCGGACGACCTTTATCGCACACTCTTGTCCAGTCTGAGTGTCTCGAGCGCGGTAGACGTTTGAGAAGGCTCCATCGCCCATCTTCTCGAGGATCATGAAGCGTTCGAGACCTGGGTACTTGGGCATCTTGGAGGCCTTTTCTCGCTCTTCGGCGACGATGGCTGAGATGTGTTCGTTGCGAGCGCCGCCCTGTAGCTTCTGGCCTTTGCCTTGTGCCTGTGCGGCAGCGTGGCCTGCTTGTGCAGCGACATTGCGGTTATCGCCAGCGCCGACTGAGTATTGACCAGGATCGTTTGCACCGGCTTGATAGTGTTGCTGCTTCTGCTGGCCGAGCTGAGGTTCGCTTATGCCGTGGCCATACTTTTGTTGTTGAGCATGAATCGGAGACACGTTGGTGGAAGCTCGCCTGCGTACTTTGCCTGTTTGCCATGCCGTAACAGGTTCTTAAAGTTCTGTATGGCAGACATGACGTTTTAGCGGGATAGGCTTGACAAGTAAAGCAACAACGAATGGACGATGCAAGCAACGACGAGGCCTTGAGGTCAAAGAATGGTAAGGCAGGAGCAGGCACTATCGCAGCGCAGTTTGGTCGTGGTGGAAGGTGCGGAAGTCTATTGTTGAAGTCGACCAAGCACAAAAGTCGAGACCCAATATATGCGGGTGAATAATCAAGTGCCACTCGCTTAGTGAATATGGGGTGGTGAATATGTGAGTGAGTGTCGACTTTGGATAGCCTGCAGATGGCGAATGTTGGTTGGGCACGACCTTGTTGAATACGGCCGAGTACGAGTGCAGTTGAGATGTGTTGCAGTAGTGTGAGGTACTGTAGTGATGGAGGTGTGTGTCGCCCAGTTCTGCAGGAGGAGGGGCAGCGTGGTGGAAGAGGAAGGATAATTGAGAAAAAGACAAAATGGGTAATGGGGACCCAAGATGATTAATGCAGGATGTCGTCGTTGCCTCGCCACAGCCCGCTGGATTCACGCGAGCTATGATGTATGAAGGAGATAAATAGGGAACAAATTATCTTACTGGCAACATGGGTTGTTCCTGTCCACCAGTGGTTATACAGGAATCGAAGTTGGCAGTTGTGGTGTTCGTCTCCCACAACCAGCGCTCCAGTCTTTCTTGACGTAGTTTGGTCCCTGGACAACGTCATTCGACAGGCGGGTTGGGCGGGTTAGGTGGTCCGTGCGAGCGCCATCACAGTTTAGTTGGCGATCGCTATATGACGTCGTTCGCTGGTATTTTCTAGGCGGTGATTGCGATTGCTGCTGATAATATCGTCGTTGGTGCTTTTGTTGTAGTGGACATGATGCCGACGACGTCCGACTGGTTGTACTGTCAATGCTGGACTTGGCTGAATGAAATGAGAACGTTGTAGAACTCAGTGGTGTCTTCACATCGTCGAAATAGCTGTCGAAGTACGACCGGTCACTATCTGTAGGGGACAGACAGTTGCTTTTCAGGTTACTGTAGCTGAAGTCCAGGTCCATGCTTGAGCCAGTGGCACCACCGCCTGTGCTAATGTTCATCGTCGAATGCTGTGTAGTATAGCAGTGTATCTAGGTATAGTATCCGATCCGTGTAGGACAAGCCCAGAATAGTATCACACTATACATGCAGGTACAGAGCTCTGCTTTTGCTGTACAATTCGACGGAGCACTCGCGATCTTTTCAACGGCCTGCCATCTTTCACTTCTCTTACCCCTATCCATGTATCTATACCCTCACATTCATGTCCTCCCACGAAGCCTTGACCATGCGGCTTCTTGTCACGCTGCCGAAATAACCTTGTCTTCTGTTCTTCCGATGCCATCCGTCTACTGCGATAGCCTTCTAAGCTCCACCCCATCTCAAAGCATAGACCAGCGCGCCCAAGAATGTATTCTAGCACTACCAGCCAGCAAGGGGGCGCTCGGCCTGCTGACGCCTCGATGAAGATCCTCCCACAAGTGGATGGCAGCTCAACTTTAGCAACGATGGCGCACGATATCCCGATCACTGTTCTCAGTACTCTAAGTATCGACAGATAACATTTTCTATTGCTATGGAAAAGTCGCGTTGAGTCACTAACAACGCGTTCAGCACGACATCAACACCATGCATTTCGCTTTTGCATGGATTCTGTGTGCGAAGCGCTCTCGGTCAGGCGAATTTCCGGTGAGATCAAATGTTCTGATCTCAATATGCGGCCGCGCACACTCGTATCTGTTTGTGCAACAGAACAGTCTGGGCGACGCGTTCCAGAAAAGATAGCGAATAAGTGAACGCTCCGATCTTCCGGGGGGGCCGTGCTTCAACCAGGACGGGAAGACCCTCAGGGGGAGGCTTGAAGGTAAAATTCCAGAGGCTTCGTGGCAGGCTGATTTCTTCACCTTCATGGCGCAAAAGAGTCATAGCAGTGAGCCGCATGCTAGCCACCCGAACAGCCACGCCGCCTCATCGTTGCGCGTCCAACGCTTGCGCGTTCATCACTTTGATGATCTGAGCAGTGCATGTCTTGCAGTATTTGAGAGCATCTTACGATCTTAAACAGACGGGCGACCCGGTCTTCGGTCTACACGAGCTGACAAGACGGGAGATCGTCCCGATCGTATAATCTGGAAAACGTCGTCTCGTGGTTGACGGGCTCCATTGCAACATCTTGTTGGTTCGGGCATCATTGAGGCATTCTTTTCTTCTCGTATCACTCTGAGAGGTTCGTATCCAACTGACATTTCAGCAGCGCCATTTCAGTGGTGGATGACCCTGTTGGACAGCAGCGAGAATACGAGGGTACCTACCTGTCACCCAGCCTTCTATCATTCCGCTCGTGTTCAACGCCAAGAACTTAGCAAGTGCATGCGTTCTGGGATTTGACATGTTGTCTTTGCTCATGTCGTTGGACAGTCGAATTGTGACAGGAGTCCTTACTGCCATATGGTAGCGTCCGTTTCATGTCCGAGTCTAGAAAGATTCCGTGGAGACCTGGAACCCAGAAATGCACACGTGCACTGTCCGATCATGGACCCAGCCGCCCGCCATCAGCCATGCCCGAAGTCGTCGACCTGCACACAACGTTCTGCTGATCCGCTGTCACGGTGTAGCAACAGAAAGTCAAATATTAAGACGGTAAGGGCCGACCATGGTCGCCCACGACTGTGGGGCGTGCGCAAGGTGTCTGCCGCATCAATCCGGGTTATTACCATTGTAGCAGCAGCATGAACATTGACACATATCACAAAGAGGCGAGTACGTCTTTGGATCCAACTCAGAGAATCCATCCTATGCCTCCATACTACCCCCCACCCGCGTGGTATTCTCCACCAAGAGGCCTCATATCTGAATGACGGCCGACTAACGAAGGTGTCTCCCATCCCACGTGGCCTACGGGTAGCTATGAGTTCCGATCCGCCGCCTCCTCTACCTCCAGCACTTTCAGGACTTCGGACGGCAGATCATATGCCAGTAAACCGTCAAGAGCTTTGTCTCCGCCAAACAGTCGACCTAAGATCCCCATCAATTTTACCGCACCGTACATCATCATTTCCGTGACAACACTCATATTACCCTTCATGCCTCCCATTCTTTGGCTCCTGTCGTACTGCTCGCGCACTCGTGGCATCCGGACCTTCTCAAACGACTTCAACGCTTTTTCAGTCTGCATTCGCCAGACTTCATCATCTGTCACAGGTGATGACAGTGGGCGGTAGTAGTGGCTTAAGCAGATAGCAAGCGCCTCTGCATCTTCAAGAGCCTGGGATGTACCCTGTCCCGAGCTGGGCTGCAAGGCATGACTTGCGTCTCCTACCAGCAGCACTGGTCCTATGTGCCACGTAGGAAGCAGTGGTGCAGTCCAGGTCGGGTAGAAGCCCTCGACAGCTTCCGGACGACTCTCGAGATAGTCCAGGATTGCCTGAATCGCCGGATTGTTCCACCCACGATGGCGTTGAAGAAGTGCCGCAAGGGCTGCTATGCGATCGAAGTCCCATGGGCGAGGACGCTTGCCGTTCTGTTGTGGATCAGAGACCGGGTATGGGTTCTCGACAGTCGACGCGAAAGTACTCCACCACACCGCTGTGGTGCCAGGCTCAACAAGCGAGGGCACGTTGTCGAGTGTCGGCCTACCTGGAAAATCTCGGTGTAGTGAGGAGCTGTACCCGTACCCAAAAAAACCGTTCGCCCCGAAAACGATTCCCATCTTGCCGGTCTTCTGATGCGGCTGCAGCACAGTCGTAGGATGAATCCTCCAACCCCGACCAGCCCTTCGTACCTGGGAGAAATATAGTCTGGCACTTCCGCCCTACGCGAGATAGACGGTTTGCTCATCTTATCGGTTGGAGACTGCCAGCGTTCGAACATTGCCTTCCTGACCGTAGACCTCACTCCATCAGCTCCAATGACTAGGTCAGCCGCCTCACATCGACCGTCCTCGAAGGTCACAAAGACTACTTCTGATTGGGTTGACGCAGCTGTGGACGAGTCAAGATCTTGTTCGGCCCAGTCTACCTGCGTGACGCGGCCTTGCTTGAGTACCTGGCCAACGCCGCCCCATCCATAGTCTGAGGTAGCCACACGCACGACCTCCGTGAGCAAAGTTTGCCAAAATTCCTGGCGCGAGATCATTATTCCAGTGACTCCGCGTTGCAGCTGGTCACTATCCTTCGTGGACTTGCTCCGCATGGACGATGGCCTCATGGATACCTCGATGAGTTTCCAACCACGAGCGGCAGACATGTTCCAAGTGGTGATTGGGTGGCCTGCGCGCAGGACGTCTGCCATGAGCTCTGAGAAACCTGCATTGCGACCTGATTGGATATCAGGAGCTTGAGATTCGGTCAACCCTGATGGTCCTGGACTGGCTATACGAGACAAGACTTTCAGCCCGTTATACATGATGCCGATGGCAGATCCTATGATTTCAGGCGTGAACGCCGCTGGCTGTTCGTCGTCAACCTTTCCGGGTGCAGCTATGTTCGTTTCGTTCTGAGCGGCCTTGCCGGTGGGCTCTGGTGGATGCCCATCCTGATTATCAGCGACCGCCTTGACATATGGCGCGAGGTCGTGGGCTTCATAGATAACAAGGGAGTGGTTCTGGTTCTTGGGCAGATGTTTGCAAAGGGCAAGGTAGGTGCTCAGCCCACATACTCCCCCACCAATGATCAAAATTCGCATGATTGCTCTTCGGTGTTGCTGCTACTGCAGCGGGGGGACGTTGTGCACGACGCCTCCTCTGCTGGCATAATCGCCATAATATAGGCCTCTTCCAAACCATATATGGGTTCATGAATTGCAGAGCATAGCAGTCATGGTTGTGACACAAGCCATATGCATCCAGAGAAATGCTTCTGCCTGTATGTACTTTGACATCCGTTCACGAATACGAAGCTCGGGTCAACGTCCAGCAAACAGCGGTAATTGCTATGATCTGGTCCGATGCGCTTGCAAAGCGACTAAGCAGTGACGACGACTACAATTTTGTCTTTGTTCGTGGTGTTAGGGGTGGCCGTTCGCCTAAGTACAATTCGGTGCTTTCAAGCGGTCGCGAGGCGCGGGTGACCAGTTGCCCCTGGCTGAGGGCAACCAGGAGCGATTGTGAACGCATGTTTGCTGGGATGTGCGAGGCCTGACTTCACGGATATTCTATAAGCTGTGCTGAAGTCGTCGTCAGAGTCGTGCCCACGACTGTAGAGCAGAGTACCCAGAAGAAGCCTTATTCAGGCGGTTTGAGAATCGTAGCATCAAGTGTTCACGCGTATAAGATTTCGGAACCCTCTTCCACGCGTGGACACGCGTACCTGAAATGACGACACTGGGGTAACCAATATATATGGGTCTTGAATCCTCTTATAAACATAGTAGAGGATCAATTTCGACCTTCTCACGTTCATTCAGGTTTTTAGTCCTTCTGTTCCGGCATGGCTGAAGCAGTAGCCGCATTCGAGGTTGTCGAGACGGCGGCACAAGGAGCGGCTGTAGGCGCAGTCGCTGTCTCACAGCCTACAGTCCCCATCGTGGTCCGATTTCACAAACTCACATCACTTAGTCCGTCCTTAGGACTCTCATCGCACTCGTTAACATATGTCAAAGGTCGGGCATACATTTTCGGCGGCGATGGCGTTGGCGAATCAGACAACAGCATGCAGATTCTCACATTACCGTCGGATCTCAGTATCGGCGATGTCGATTATCAACAGGTCAAGGCAGTCGGCAAACCTAACAGACCACTTGCGGCATACTCAGATCAGACCACACAGGGTGAAACAGTGGATGCCTCGCGGCCGACACCGATCGCAAGATCGGCCCATGCTGCAACTGCCATTGATTCGAACATCTTCATTTTCGGTGGTAGAGCACCTAGCAAGCCCGGCAACGAGAAGGAGGCTGCACTGATCGACGAACAAGGCAGCATACATGTGTATTCGACTCTAACCAACGACTGGACACTTATGATCCCTCGGAAGTCATCAACTTCGACTGGCTTCCCCGAACCTCGTGTTCATGCTAGTATGACAAGCACAGTCCACCCAGCACCACAAGAGGCACTTCAGGCCAGTACAGAAGCGCATGGCACCCTCATTCTTCACGGCGGCTATACAAGAGAGGGCACGCGACTTCGCGACACGTGGACATTCGACGTCAGCTCACGAATGTGGGCAAAATGGCCAGATCCGCCTCACCCTGCCGGAGATGGTGTCGCATACTCTGGTCAGATTTACTGCACAGAAAGTCGACTATGGCATGTGGGCAGCTCTCCGGGTACAGTGGCTTACTTAGACATCTCTCGTGATGTGGCGGACGACTTCAGCGGCAAGACAGAACTCGGAATCGCACCAAAGACAGGCCAATGGGAGGTATTGTCCTTTGCGAACACGATCAACAATTCCACTGAGAAGAAGCCCGGCTCCACAACAGGAGCGGGCAATCTTCCTATACCCCGGGAGGGTGCTGGCCTCCTACCCGTCACATCTGGGGCAGGCCGTAGATACTTGCTCTACTTCATGGGTGAAGGCCCGTCCGAGTCCGACGAGCCCGATTTGTGGACGTTCCAGACCGCTGCAGAGAAATTCTCCCCCGCTGTGGTCAAGGACAAGATTCGAGCGACATTTGGGGCCAACACAGGTGAACACGCCTGGGCGAGGTGTGATGTGGTGCAGGCCTCGAAGCAGGACGGAGAAATCGAGCGTCCAAGCGGTGGCCTTGCTCGTTTTGCAGCAGATGCATGGACTGATTTGGGCGGCGGAGCTGTGGTGCTTTGGGGCGGAAAGCTAGAGGGCGGCATAAATCAAAACGAGGGCTGGGTATTGACCGTCGACTGATGGTGTACGATGGTCCATGGGCGATTTCATAGCGCAGTTTCCAAGGTCGACGTGCAATAGCGTATTTGTATGGAAATGCGACAGTGCCCTCGATAGCCTGTCCCCAATAGCCAGAGAGCCCACCAGGAAGCTTTTTTGCCGACTGGCGCTCAAGTGAGGCTCAGCTCAAGCACGCCGACTTGATCAGCGAAACATTTTCAGACGTCCAGCTGCCCCGGGGCGGTGGCTTCCCATGTCAGGTATGTTACACAACTACATCGCTCTCGCTCCAATCAGCATAAGAGCAAGATGTCACGGTCTCGTACTCATCCAAAAGAGTAGTGCCACTACCTACGCACCCTGACAGCCCAGAAAAGTGAACATTGTGCAAACAGAAGTTTAGAAGGTCAAGCAAACTTTTTGATTTCAGTGCGAATTGTTGTGATAGGTCATCCACCCGGGCTCGTACACTACAGGTACGAAGGAAGAGACCCGACAATGTGGTACTGGTGACTGCAGTGTCGCCTAAGATGCCCGTATTGCTCATCCTACTCCATTCGCGACGGTCAACATTATCATTGATCCATCGCTCGGTGCACAATGCTCAGCCCACAATCCTTCGCGCGGCCCTTAGCGCTTGCGATGATGGATTTCATGAACACGGCTTCCTCTTTCGATGGACTGCCGTGTGCCGCCGCGGTGGTCTGACAGCTGGGGGCCACGTCCACTTGAGGCGCGGCCTTCTCCTTCGCAACTGCAAGCTTTTGCACCGGTGTCTTGAAACATGGACTGGACTCGCTTGTGCGCAGCAGCCTTGTGTGTGACATTTGGCAAAACCCGGTCCTATTAACACCGCTCTTTTCGGCTGCTTCAAGCGTTTCTCACACAGCGTTGATTTCGCTCGTGAGGAGCGTTCAATCGAGAATCGTATCGACGATTAACAGCAGCGAGAGCAAATTGCAGATGCTTCGCAATGTCGCTCACCGCTATCATTCATAACGCGAAGGATGTGGTCACAAGTCTCCCAATACTAGTCACCGCCGTCGGTCCGATTCTCCTGGTACCAGTAGCAATCTATGCTTTCACGACTATATCCTACCACATCTCGCTGTCCGGCCTCGAAAATGCTCGCCAGAAGTCCAAAGTTGTGTCACCGCCCCTACTGCCGTACAGCTTGCCACTGCTCGGCAATGCCTTCGCCTTCCTGTCAAAGACGCCGGGCAAGTTCTGGCGCTCGCTGGCAGGCATCCTGTCGAAACATCCGGCCATGTCAATCTTGACCGTCTATATGGGAGGACGGAAGCTTCATGTCCTGCACAGTCCTACGGCTGTGACATCGCTCTTCAAGGCACGCAACGTCTCGAGGAGTGGCTTCAACAGGGACATTATCGTCAAAGCGTACGTTCTTTCGCAGGCCTAGACCCGTGACTGATAGGGACATGGTCGTCGTTGCGAAACAGAGACGCTCGTCCTAGGTGCTCAATGAGTCTGCTTCCTCGATGCGCCCCCAGACATGGTGCCTTCTTTCTTTTCCCCAGCGTACTCTACCCACTCCCAAGAGCCACTTGGGTTCGTTTTCTACCCTCTTCGCCTTCCGTCCACCATGTCCCCAAGTTTCCGAAGCTTCTGGCATAGGCTGACCTACCACCAGCATGATGCTTAACAAACAAGACGATAAGGCCATATACGGCCAGGGCTCAAGCAATGTAGAGCTGTTCGAGCACAAGCAATATGAGATCTATAACAAGTACCTGCTGGCTACCAATGCTGTTACGCAGCTGACTCACAAATTCAACGAGGTCTTGCAGCGAGAGCTCGCAGCGTATTGCGATAAGATCAACGTTCCGTTACAAAGCAATAAGGACGACGAGTGGCACAGCATTCCTATGGTGTCCTTCCTCAAGGAACACATGTTCACTGCTAGCACATTGGCATTGTACGGGAGCAAAATCTTCGACTTCGTGCCGAACCTGGCCGACAAGTACTGGCACTTCGATACGGGGCTCCTTGCTCGTCTATACGGTCTTCCTCGCTATTTCTACCCAGACGCGTACGCCGGCATTGAAGAATACCATGCAGGAATAATGAAATGGATCGAGGCCGGCAATGCGCACCACGATGGCCTCCCACCACTAGACATGGAATGGGAAGAATGGGCCGGCTCCGCAGTCGTTCGCGCCCGCCGTCATATGTACACCGAGATGGGCATCAGCGTGGCTGGGATGGCATCGTTTGATATGGGATTCATGTTCGGCCTCTCCTCTAACGCCATTCCCTGCACGAACTGGCTGCTGTGCCACCTCCTCTCGCCCTCCAACTCCACCCTTCTGGCCAAAGTCCAAACAGAAGTCGACGCCGCGCGCCTCCCGGGCGGTAAGATCGACATGCCGACACTCCTTGCGGCACCCTACCTGACCTCCGCCTTCAACGAAACCCTCCGCCACTACGTCGATGTCCTCGTCACACGCGAGCTCAACACTGACATGGTCATCGAGAACCACTTCCTCCCTGCAGGCGATGTGATCATGGCGCCTATCTTCCTAGCTCACCACGACGGGCAGGAGTGGAACACGCAACCTTCACCCTACGGGGATAAGCGCGGCGTCATGCCGCCCGAGAACGTTTGGTATGGCGAGCGATTTCTAAAGATTGATGAGAAGACGGGTAAGGCGGCCTTGAGCACGAGGGAGGCGGCTGGGAAGTTTATACCCTGGGGAGGTGGCGCGCAGATCTGTCCTGGGAGGGTGTTTGCGAAGCAGGAGGTTTTGGCTGCGGTGGCGACGTTTCTTGGAAGGTTTGAGGTGAGGTTCGAGGAGTTTTTGGAGAGTACGGGGAAGGATGGAAAGATGGGGAAGGGGCTGGGCAGGGACGAGAAGAGTGGGTTTCCGGTGGTGAAGAAGCAGTATAGTGGGAATGGGGTTGTGGCTATTGAAGGAGATCTGAGGATCGGAGTGAGGATGAGGGCTGGTGATGATGAATGGGCCGAAAGCGCTTAGATTTTACCCGTGCTTCGTCATGGCGGCTGGATCTTGCCTGGTGCAGTATATATATGCAGCCCAGTAGAGTGCAGACGCTGGACAATCTTGCTACTCTCTCACAGCGCCGCCATCGGTGTACCATGTCTCCTCTCCAAGTAGTTGTCTCTGCTCACAAGTCGCGGCAGAGTGTAAGATACAGGAATTAAGAAGCGGCAGAACGATTTTATGCAGATGAGCATACATAAGAGCAGGTCAGCCGGTCTCCTCAGATGTCAAGCAGTCATGTCATGCGGTCTTGTTGGAGCTCGGCTGTGTGTCATCCGGTCTTATGGAAGACCACGAGTCGTCCGGCGTCAGGTAATGCCTCAAGCAATCACTGTCGCTTCTTCCATATCAGGCTTGCGCACTCTAGAAGCAATTGAATGTTTGCATCAGAACTTGAAAGGCATGACTTTTAGTTGGATGACGCTGGTCATCGAATATATATGCAGATCACCAGGCTTCTAAGCTGTGTTCAAGAAGGCAGCGACGCCTTCGATTTGCCAGTTGGAGCAAGAACGATTCAGTTCCAGCATCAAGGTCCGTCTCCATCTCCTTGACCTCCTGGTACGCACTCATTGCATCAGCCATATCGCTTTTGCCCTGTTCCATGAATCCCAAACTTTTAGAATCGTTGTCACCCAGATCGTCGGCTGAATGAAGTGCAAGATGCGCCTCTCTCCCCACTTTTGATTGCATGTCATCATTCATACCATTCAACCAAGCATCATTCATGGCGTCGTAAATCTCATTGCGCTGATGATCGTCTTCTCCAAACATGCTGTCGTTACCGCCCTCCATGTTGATCAGGGTGTCAAAGTCGTGAAGAGCTTGTTCTTCCATTTGTCGCGCTTCGGCCTCTTCAGCACTCTCTTGGCTGCCATCTCCGCTGTCGCTGTGGTCGGATAGAGGTAGATCAGTCAATGCGATCGCTGCACCACCTGTCATGACCGAGTGTAGAGAAGAATCCGACTCGGGTGGTGTGAACGCCGAGAACAGCTTGCGTTCTTCAGGGGAGATGGTTGAAGCAAAGAGAATGTTCTTGGCCGTCCAAGCGCCTCTGGAGGCGGTGTGAGCATCGGTGTACCGCCCTGCATCTGTGCAAGCTTATCTTCCGTGGCAGCTGCGGCCACTTTCGGGGGCCCTTGTGGGACATTGACGTCCGCACGGCGCACAGCGGCGTCGAGGAATGAGAAGGCAAAGTCGGCCGAAGCGTACATCTCGCGAAGCCTTTGGAGTGCCTGCATGCAGAACTGGAATTTGCGAGCACTGGCTTGCTTCACACCAGAGTCGGTGGATTTGAGGTCTAGCATGTGAACAATGATTGCCGGGAGTAGAACTGAAACACCCGTGTTTGGTAGGTAGCGGATCATGTCAGCCGCGTACAGATCCTTGTAGATCTCGGTGATATCGTCTGCTGCAGATCGCATCTTGCGGCGCGATACATCCTGCAGATCTGGTGAAATGAACGTGGTCGGTACGGTTGGCAGGATCTGCGGGCGGTGGAGGGCAGAGATGAGAGTCAGATACACTCCAGACAATAAGGCACGATGCAGACCGATCACTTCTCCATCGTTCGAATTCGTCCGATCCTGTGTTTCTGGCACGAAGTAGTGCAAGTCCACGTCCTGATCGCTGAACCAATTAGTGAGCTCGTCGTCCAATCGCATGACCTCGCCGGCATCAGCAGCTGTTGTTTTCGGACCAAGTCGAAGTGTTGTCTCCTGTGTTAGGCCCAGCTTAGCGGCACTGAGGGAGTATTGTAGGTCAAAGATAGGCGATACCATGACGCATAGCTTGCATAGCGCGACGCACATCTTTGCCAGAGTGATGCGCTTCGATTCATCCCGAACAACAGGACAACCTCCGAGCATTCGACTGAGCTCCAAGGACATAGCCTCTGTCTCGAAATCTTCCAGCGCGAGCATGGGAAGATCGGATTCGTTCTCGTTGATCCGCAGAGGTCGTCTCATGCCCAAAGAGATCAAGCGATCCCGCATGAAGCAGCACCACCAGAGCCGCTTCCATAGATTGCGAGTCTTGACAGGCATGTCAGCACCAGAAGTATCGCAATTCATACCGATTGTTCGGGCGGTAGAAATGGCAATACCAAGCCAATGCCAAATGTCCTTTGGGTCATCTGGAGCTTCATACCAGTAGGTCATCAGAAGGACAGCCTGCACAATGACGGAGCGATCAAGCTCATAGTCAAAATCGAACAGTGCTTTGCACTTTTGGAAGTATGCTCGTCGTGCAGCTTTCCGAGTATCATAACCTTGCGCGACCAGGTACCGCATATCAATGAACCCGGTGCCGGCGAACATGACTGCCTGAAGTAGCAAGAGGCTGACTGTATCCGACACATCGTTCTTATGAATAGCTGAGAGGAAGTCTTTCAAGTCCAGAAGTGGCAAGTTCGGATGTACGTATTGTACATAGCAACGCAGAAGCTCGTTTCGAAGAGCGGTCTCCGGGATGCTGAAAGCGCCTATTCGTTGCAGATAGCTGAGATCTTCGCCCATTATGTTGGGCCCGACAGCTCGAACATATGACGGCAAAAGGTCGTTCGACCCCAGCAGTTGCTGTGGGAGGAGCTGAGCAATGTTGGGGACTGCTGAAGGAGACTGGAAAGCAGGTATGCGGCTACTCAGCTCAAGGTTCGACATTCGACGAGAACGCTCTTCTGTAGTCAATCGATGGCCTTGAGTCTGATCTGCTGGACGTTAGACGTGAAGGATATGTTGTCTGCCAACTTACAGAGCATGTGTGGACGATGCTGATTCAGCGAGTCGTCAAGAGCCTGAATATTGGCAGCAGCCGACATGCCGTCAAGTGGTAAAGTAAGCTCATTCAAGCCGTCCATATCGTCAAACAGAGGAAATAGCGACGGCTCCTTCTCGTCCTGCGCAGAAGCCGAGGGCGAGTGATTGAGAAGGTCTCCATCAACGTATGATTTCCGTCGTCTCTTTCCTTCAGTGACCAAGCACTCGACCTCGTCCAATCGACAATTTGTACAGGGTATTCCGCTCTCGACGACATCACACCGGACCTTGCGACTTCGACAGCAATGGCACGCTTTTGACGCTCGCCGCTTGACGTTTCGACCGCTTGTAGAAATGCCTGCCGTCGATTGCTTCCTCTTTGTACCAGCTTGAGAGACTGTCGTAGTAGTAGCTGCCATCATTGTAGGATTTGGCGGTGCTTCAGATCGTGATGCTGCTTCAGTACGCGGACAGCTCTGTTTCCCAGACTGGTTCCTACTCTTACACACGGAAGAAATGCTTTTGCAGAAAGGAAACTTAACGCCGAAGTGGCGAGCACGCGGAATGATATGAAATTAGAAAAAGCCCGACCTCTTCCTAGCGGCATCATACCGCGGGGGAGGCACGTTCAACAAACCTATGAGGGAGTGTTCCCTACCCCAGAAAGACTACTGCGAGCCACAAGAGACAGCTTTTGCACGATTGGTCGACATAGCGAAAGCTAGTGCAATTTTCTGGAGTAAGTGGAGTGACAAGCCTCGTCGGTTGGAGCTAGTGTACTGAAGAAGCGATTTTGTGTCGCAAGTTGCAGCGTCAGCAAGCCTCCAAGACACACGTGGAGCATAGATCCAAGCAGTCCCCAGAGATTGGTGTTGCCGCCCGCAAAGCAACGCCTTGCGTGTCCAAAACTGCAGGCACCGATCGGCCTCAGAGAAACTCGACCGGCCCTTCGTCCGATGTGCAGTCCAAAAGGGCAAGACACCAACTGTGGGATCTGGCGGATAGCTGATCTATTGCTTCGAGAGTCAGGCTATACATCAAGCTATGGGAACCTTGTGGCTACCTCGACCGGCACCATGGAATAGGAAGCCAATGCCATAACGATCGTCAACCATCTGACATGCGGCACGAGCTGAGATCGATGCCTCGCGACCAGCCAAGCAGCGTGGCAATACACGAGGAAAATGTGGCAGGGCGAAAGATGAGGGGTGTGGATAGGCACCATCTCGAAAACGCGATAGCTGACTCGAGCATTCTCGAGAAGTGGTCCTAAGGGATTTCGAGTCCAAAGTTACTCCAGACGCTAACCAAATGTGTGAAGATATGGTCTCTCCGTACGTTCGTCTCCGCATCGAGGGAAAGCACTCGCAGTTCTTTCCTCTGCATGGCTAAGCGGCACACCCATTTTCCAGGCAGTGCGCCAGCACAATATACAAGGATTAATTTCGAGAAACCTTTCGTTGGTGGTGCCGTTCTCCGGGCTGGGCGATTCGACCCAAAACCATGCTCAGTTCTGCTTTTCTTTCTGCAGGACAGCTGCGTCATCCCGTATGGCTAGAAACATCGCTTGCGACGTGCTCTGACGACACCATGTGCTACCAGCGATCTGCACGCAGGTTCATCATCTCGTTCAGTCAATTGCTTGTGACTGTGAGGCGAGACTGTTCTCAAACCCGAGTCGCCAGTAGCTAAGCATGCCGGTGAGTGGGCTCAGCGAGGTCTTCGTCAACGGCGCCGCGATGGTGAAAGTCCAGGAGACCCAAGTCGGTGGAGAACCCGTATGCGCCGCTGCAGGTGACTGTGGGGAAGCTCGTGGTCTCGGTACCGACGATCCCACCATTGACTCGAAGTCGACTGACTCTACAAGAAGCTTTTGACTTGATCTCGTGAGCACCTGCTACAGCAACCTCATGTACCATGCACTCACCTCAGTGATATGTACTTGATTGAGATGGATTTGAGACAGTGCATTTAAGCAGTAGGCTGTGACGACTGGCTTTACTCAGCAGTCGCTTGTGTGCATAGAACTCTTTGTCTCTGTATTGTCACAAGCTATTGTTACCTCGTCTGTATTGGGAGGTAGCCACTCCGGCCATGCCATTCGGGCTGTTTCGCGTCCTGCAACAGCTGTGGATGCAGCCTCGACTTGACTTGTGCGACCACACTGCAGTAGCACGAGTGTTTGACAGCTGCCCTGCAGGTGATGAGCTCCAACAATGAGGTTGCTCAATGATGGGAGACCTCCAAACTGGGTTGCGTCCTCCACAATCTGGATGTCGTTTTCCGTCCACCGACGAAGAACGCAGGTTTGGTGAATCTAGATCCTGAAGAATAGCTTCGAGCCAGATGATGATCATCATCGATGTCTCAACGTGGTGCGAGACGCGTCAAAATGAGGAGAACGCAGGGTGTGACTCTGATCAAGTTCCAATTCTTCTCCATGATTGCCTCAGAGCCACCACTGCAGCTGCTCCATCTGCACTGCGACTTCCCCAACGCGTGGACAGTCCGTGGTCCATGAATATACTACCTGGCAGATACCTTAGGTACTCAGTGGGCATGCAGGCAGCAGGTGCGTGTCCATGAGTCCCTGCTCCAGAGATGGAAGGCGGTTTCGAGCATTTCCAATCCCTCAGACATGTCTCTTGACGGCCTCTTAACGGGGTCTTGACGGCGATACAGTCGCTTACGGATTTGCATCATGTACGCACCATGTACAAAGGACCTACTCTAGGCAAGAGATTTGGCTCTTGAATGTGCAACGTCTTGGAAATGGTGAAAGTAAGATACTTTACGGTGATCTAGGCATGAATGCAGAAGGCTGCACCCCTGGAGAGTCAAGACATCCCCATGAGGCTCCCAACCTCGCGGGGAAAAGCTACGTAGGCCAAGTCAAACCTCGATGATCCTGGGCCGCGTCAGCCCCGCTGTCTCTCTATTCGACCGCAACAATGTTCCATGCCGATGAGGTGAACGCTGGGCATGCGGCGGCCGATGTGAAGCAGCGGCAGGATACTACCATCACGAACGAGGAGTCTAGAAAAGCGGCAGAGCTCATTCAAGTAAGCGTCGCGTGCAATCGTCGGATTCGGATGCTGAATCGTTCCAGCGAACATTTCGAGGGCATCGAGCCCGGCGGCGACTTAAGGGCTTCGGGCTCGATGCATCAACCAAATGGGCCGAAACTGCCCGTGATGCGCAATTCCAGAAAGAGATCACAAGTCCCATAGATCATAATGCCACTAAGGAAGAGAACAGTGCACGGTCGCCGGCGCGAAAGAACTGGTCGCATGTTCTGAACGTTGCAAAGCGCGCAGCCCGCGAAGACCTCTCCTCTGACGAGTCGCAAGATGACGCGGATGAGAACAGGCACTATGGACAAGAGCAGAACTCACAGACACTTTCTGAGGAGCAGCGGTCTGCCCTACGCAAAGACCGGCGGGAGGCTCGTGAGCTTGGGAAGAAGAAAGCTAAAATGATGGAGCTGCAGTATTGGCTAGAGTTCGTCGATACAAAGCACAGGCATGGCTCGAATCTGCGGAAATATCATGCTTACTGGAAGACTCAAGACACATCTGAGAACTTCTTCCATTGGCTCGACTACGGCGCTGGGAAGGATCTCAACTTGGAAGAATGCAGCCGAGAAAGGCTCGACAGGCAGCAAGTCAGGTACTTGTCTCGCGAGGAACGCCTCAAATATCTCGTTGAAGTCGACTCTGACGGTCTCTTGCGGTGGGCGAAGAATGGGGAGAAAGTCTGGACCAAAGACGAGTTGTTCAAGGACAGTTTGGAAGGCATCGTCCCCACGAGTGATACCACGCCAGCTTTCAAGAACAATGAGCCTGGGCAAGCATGGGAATCATCCTCAGACGATGACAATTCCTCCTCCCGATCTAGGTCAAGCTCGTCGTCATCATCATCCAAGTCCAACAAGTCGACCACAGACCCTGACGAGGGCAGCAATTACATCAACGAGGACTTCCATCGCGCACGCGGCCCAGCCAAGCTCAAGTACGTGTCTGCCGGTGTCGTATTCAACCATATGATCCGCAGTTCGCTGAAGAAGGGCCACAAATGGATCTTCGTGTGCGACACACAGCTCCGCCTCTACATCGGGTACAAACAAGCAGGAGCGTTCCAACACTCATCCTTCCTTCACGGCTCTCGCGTCCTCTCCGCGGGTCAGATCAAGGTTAAAGACGGCCGACTGCGTCGCTTGAGCCCGCTGAGCGGACACTACCGCGTTCCAGCTGCAAACTTTCGGACATTTATCAAGTCGCTCAATGATTCCGGCGTGGACATGTCCAAACTCTCCGTGTCTCGCAGCTACGCAGTTCTTGTTGGGCTGGAAGTCTACGTCAAGTCGCGCCGTAAAGTGAAGAGCGGCCAGGAGAAAGTTGTCAAGCAGAAGGATAAGATCTTGGACCCTGAAAAGGTGCGCGAGGAGGAAGAGAAGAACGTTGACAAGAGCAAATCGGCTGCAAAGGAGCGAGAAGTGCTTGAGAAGCAGAGGCAGGAAGAGGAAGAAGCTGCGAGGATACAGAAACTGGAGCGCAGGACAAGTCGTAAGAATTCCATGAAGGGTTGGTTACAGAAATTGGGCATCAGGTCCAGTAGTACAAAGGACGAGTGGTCTCCAACAACTGCAAGGGCTGAAGATAAGGAAAAGCAGAGGGAAGCGATCAGGGAGGAGAGAGCGAGTGCTCCGACTGGCCCGGAAGATGGGATTCCCCCAGCGGATGAGTCTCGATCGTGAGGTGGCAAGACTAGGTGGTAGTGTTCCTGCATTGAGACATACCGAGCACTCATGCATATGCTACTTAATACACAATAGATACCGCAGCTACCTATGTTCATGCTGAATTGAGGTGCCCTCTATCAACCAGCGGACGTGGCTGGCGTGTGACGACCCCCGGGATTGCACACGGTGCAGTAGGAAGGCTGTGGTCTTCCGGTCTTGCGAAGAGACAAGCGAAGCTAGCAGTGCCGTGCTGCAAGTTGGCAATCGCTCTAGTCTATATACCTTATCATCCAGGCGTTCCCAACGGCTGTTGCCATCAATGGTACCGGATAGCAGCACCTACTCACAACGGGAGCTCCAGCCTTGACCCATCTTCCAGTGATCACCTTCTAAGGTTTTGGGCTAGTTTCGTGTCATCACCTCAGTAGGTAGCCATTGTTCGATCAGACCAACGTGGACTCGGGCGAGTTCGAATTCGCAGAACTTTCAGACCATACGTATATATCATACATATTCATTACTCATCAGCTTTGCTGGTAGTAGACCTGCCTGTACATGTCTTCAATGTCGCTTATTACTCCACATTCTGATGAAGTCCTCCTTGTCCTTAACGCCCAACCCAACTCGTTTTACCCTTCCCAGCCTCGCCAACGCTTCCGCAATTTTGTCCAGAAACGCCCTCTCCTCCCTCGTCTGCACGCCCTCAGAGTCTTCACTGCCGACGAGAGTCTCGGCTTCCGAAGCGGAGTCCGCCAATGATTCAATGGCACTTGCTTTTGCTGATACCGCCGCGTTCGACGCCGTATTCTGCACTGCCTCTGCGATCCTAATGCGTATGCAGTGCGTAGGCTTGGAGCATAGATTCCAGAGAAATGTGCCATATGAGTGTGGAATCGGCGTCGTAATGTCAGCTGGCGTGTAGCGCATGTGCACCGGGTGGATTTTCGTCTTTGATGTCGTGCTCAAGAGTGCTGGAGAAAGTGGCAAGACGCCACGGCCGTTGCTGGTGGTGGATTCTGGGAACAGCACCAGGATACGGCTAGGGTTCTGCGCAACGTAGGTCGACAGGTCCACCAGTGTTGCGCTCGCTGACGGCTTTTGCTGCGATGCTGGAGAAGCGAAAGCACGCAGTGTTGCTTGGAAGAGGGTCAGTGGCTGAACCTGTCTCGTATTGGGGTAGCAGGCGGCGTAGATCGGGTCGAAGATAGCGGCCAAGTATAACGCATCAATGGGACTGTTGTATGATGCGGCGATGATAGAGCCTGGCTTTGGGAGTCTCGCGGAGTGTTGTGCAAGCGATCCTTTCTTCACCCCATCAATCGCCAGATCAATCCACCATATGCCTGGTATGCCTAGTATGCACCATAGCGGCCCCTTTCTGCCTATCACCCCAAACGGCAGGAATTGCAGAAAGGCGAAGTATGCTATGCTGAAGAAGAGCAGTAACGGTACCCGGCAGACGTAGAGAAAGATGTGGAAGGGCAAGTAGATTCCTGCAGGCTCGGTCGGTATAGGTAGGAATGGCGCTATGCCTGAGCCTGTTGGCACCGTTATTGATCTGAAGACCTACTAGTGACTTATGTGAGAGCATACCCTTGTCCCGAAATTGTGAGAACTTCTCCATGGTGTAGAGACAGGTACCTCCGCTCAGGCTCTCAGCTCGCGGTGACGACGGTGCTCAGTCAGACCTCGAGATACCCACGATAGCCATGCGAAGACTCTCTCGCAGCTCGTGGTCTTCGCACGCCTAACAAGTTTAGGTAGAGAAAAGAATATGTTGTTGTCTGAGGTGGGATACGAGGAGGCGCATGACAATGGACCAGGCTTTCACGTGCGAATTCTGTGGACTTCCAGGGCCACATGGCAAAGCCAAGCTTGTTGTCATCCGGTCTCAAGCCGCGAGGCCTGTACGGTGAGATAGAGGGACTGCCAGCGCCCTTAGCCCTCGAGGCACTCTGCACGCCCGTCATCTTGAATTTTCCGAGCGAGAATACGGGCGCCACCCACGCCAGAGGAAACCCAACTTCGACGTCCCTCTCGCATCTGTCTCCCCTTGCAAGTTGCTGCATGGTTATGGCTAGATTGCAGACGTCCAGACCAGACTTGCACTGCAGCTATGATGAGAGGCCTGATCTATGATCCGAGAGGCTACCGCATCCCTATCTATCCGCGTGTAGCCTAGGAAACGAACGACGTGCCTGGTGCCGGAACCATTTTGGGATCAACGGCCGCTCGCCGGTGTTGCGACAGAATGATGTGCAAAGGAGCTCCATGCCCTGCGAAGCACTATTTGACAAGCCCAGCCACCATGCTTGATAGCGAATCTGTGCACTCTTGATAACGCTTGGTCACTCTTGCTCCCTCCCTAGCCCAGAAAACACCAATGAGCATCGCATCGAAGCTTCAGGCCCCACGTTTGTACTCTTCGGCAAGCACCATGCGGCTTGGCCAGGGCTAGCCAAGATGCAAGCGCTCACTGTGCTTCCTGGAAATGTAACATGATCACTGGAGCGAGCCACCCTTCGAGAACGTCTCGAGCTTCTCTACGAGGTTTAGGAAAAGTCCGACTGTTTCGTTATCTGCGCGAGCCCCGCGTAGAGCAAGAACGTTGCATCGCTTGACATACGCTGCATCGCGTCAAATCACGCCAGCATAAAATATGAGCAATCGCGCTTCGCAGCCCAAGGGCGACTGCCCTTCTTATTGTCTCGTCTCTACTTCGTCGTACAGCCTGAACGTCTGCACCAGCAAACATGTCTGGTGGTGCGCTCCAGGTTGAAGAAGCCGCACGCGGCGACCTGGGCGGCATTATCAAAGGCTCTGCCGCTGCTGGCCCAGGGTCCTCCGAGAAGCCTGTGCTTGACGTCAACCTTGACCAAGAGCACTCTCCGACCGGATCTACAGAGGCACTGACTGGCCCCAATGGCGAGATCTACCCGACCAGAGAAGAATTGCTCACACTGCCTCGAGTTCATGGGCATACCTCTTGGGTACTTTACACCATCGGGTAAGTTCACCTGATTCCGCCGGTGGGCTATCGTTCTGACGGCTCGTCGCAGTTTCATAGAGCTTTGTGAACGCTTCGCCTACTACGGAACCACGGTCTTGTACACCAACTTTGTTTCGTACAAGCTGCCGACCAACGAGGATGCGCCCCATCCTGAAGCCGGAGCTGGAGGCACGAATGGCCAATCTGGTGCACTTGGACTTGGCCAGCAGGCTAGCACAGGTCTGAGTTTGTTCAGTCAATTCTGGTCATATATTATGCCCCTAGCAGGTATGCTCCAATCAGGCCACATTTCCCGATGCGGCCCAGAAGCTGACATGAATTCAGGTGGCTATGTTGCGGATCAGTACTTGGGCAAGTTCAAAACCATTTGGGTTGCCATTATCTTCGCCATCATCGGCCACGTGCTCATCATCGTGGCGTCAACTCCGGTCATGATAGCCAAGGGAAGTACTGCTCTGGGGCCCTACATCATCGGTCTCATCCTGTTTGGAATTGGTGTAGGCTTTTTCAAAACCAACATCTCGCCGCTCATCGCTGAGCAGTACGAACATGAGAATCCTCGGCCCGTGGTCATCACCCAGAAAGATGGCACTCGCGTTGTTGTTGATCCCTTCCTCACGATCGCGCGTATCTATGTGCGATACTACTTCCTGATCAACGTCGGCGTCATGGCAGGACAGATATCCATGGTATACGCTGAGAAGTATGTTGGCTTCTGGCTGGCGTACACCCTGCCGACAATTCTGTTCCTCGTCTGTCCGCTCGTCATGTTCATCTGCCGAAAGAGATACGTTGGTCGTCACCCAACAGGCTCGGTTCTTGGGAAGTTCTTCAAGCTGATCGGCTATGCTTTCAAACATCGCAAGGAGGGGCCAAATGGCAAATTCTCGTGGGAAGTTGCGAAGCCAAGCAAAATCGAAAACAAGCCAACATGGATGACTTTCGACGACGAGTGGGTGGACCAAGTGCGACGTGGTTTGAAGGCATGCTATGTCTTCGCCTTTCTGCCAATTTACTGGCTCCCGTACTCTCAAATAAGTAACAATCTCACTAACCAGGCTGGTAAGTGGCACGATGCAATCCCCAGATGCAGCAGATGAGCTGACCGGTCATGAATAGCGACTATGCGACTTGACGGAACACCCAACGATATTGTACAGAATCTCGATCCTATTGTGCTGATCATCTTCATCCCAATCATGGATCAATTCGTGTACCCATTTATCGCGAAGAAGGGTTGGAACTTTACACCAATCAAGAAGATGGCATTGGGCTTCCAGATGGGCACGGCCGCCATGATCTGCGCTGCGGTCACGCAGTACTACATCTACCAGAAGTCACCCTGTGGATACAACGCGTCCGACCAGGACTGTATCGCCGAGCTGGGTCCTCCTGACATCAGCGTTTGGGTTCAGGCTCTTTCGTACGCCTTCGTGGCGTGGTCCGAGATCTTCACGAGCGTCGTTGGCTTGGAGTATGCGTTCACCAAAGCGCCCAAGAATATGCGTTCATCTGTTACAGCCATTTTCTGGTATGCTCTGCACCACCTAACTCGCGACTCTTCGGACGCGTTTGCTAACAAAGTCACAGGTTCTCCAATGCCTTCTCAGCCGCCATCGGTCAAGCCTTCGTGCCACTTGCGGTCGACCCGCACATCACCTGGCTCTATGGCAGCATCGGCATCATCGCCTTTGTTGGTGGTGTTGCTTTCTGGTTCACCTTCCGCAAGCTCGACGCCGAAGAAGCTCGACTCAACGCTCTGCCCGAGTCGACATACGAGGGTCGCAGGGCCAGCATCATCGACATGGAGGACCGCATCATCGAGCAGGAGAGAGAGCAGAAGCTGCGCAGAATCCAAGGTCTGGAATAGACTATTCGGCTTCTGATCGATCGGGATATGCGCTGCACATGGCATTGGCCCGTGCATTGTTAGCAACACTCGCATCCAGACTTTGCGTATGCTGCTGAATTTCTTGTGGACTCTGGCCTGCCACGCAATCGATCCATGCTCATCTCTTCGGATGTAGTAGTTTTGCCCTGCTAATTTGGTAGTGTACAAGCATTCCAGGAGGTACACGAATCATCTTACTCTTCATATTGCAGTGCCATCTTCACAGTAGTAATCTTGAGCCTAAACCTTGCGGCGTGTGCAAGTAGCTTGCTCTCGGCTCAGTAGTACCAGTAGTCACAGTCAGCGTTGAGTTCAACGACTTATGCATAAGTAGCTTCCTCGACGAGGATGGTCTAATAGATTTGTCGTATACATCGACTGACTGCTTCCTTCGACGCTGCACTGTCACGAAGGCCGGACAAGGCACTTTCGGTCCAACGATTGAATCGATCGCACCTTCTCTGCCTGCATCAATCGCACCTGCTCTGCTTACATCAGTCGCGCCTTCCTTGCTTGAAGCGATCGCGCATTCCCAATGGCATCGGTCGCGACTTCCTTATGGTTTCCGTCGCGCCTTCCCTCAGGCATGGGTCGCGACTTCCCGCGGGCCTCGGTCGCGCCCTGCCCACTTACATCAGACGCACCTTCGATACCTACCTTATATCGAAGGCGCCTTCCTCACTTACGTTGGACACGCCTTCCCGACTCACCTCAATGGCGCCTTCCTTCCCTGCTGCTTGTATCGATCGCACGTTCATCACTCGCATCAATCGCACCTTCCCTGCTCTCCCGTCGCTCCTTCTTCGCCAGTGCTCACGTCCATCGCACCTTCTCACGCCGTCTCGCATCAATTGCACCTTCCATGCCGTCTCGCATCAATTGCACCTGCCTGTGCAGTCACGACGATTTATCGTGTCCAATGGCCAGGTATGGCAAGCGGGCGCCTGGTGCACGGCATAGTACTGTGTAGATATCCACGTACAGGGATACCGGCGACGGACAGAATGTAGAGAGGTCTCGCTCTCCAGACAGCCGAAGGCCTGGATCGGAGTTGCATGGAGGTAGTGAGCTTCCAAGGTTGTTTCAAAGCTCGCACGATGTACTGAACCGGGCAGCGAGCAAGGATGCGCTTATTGAATCTGTATGTCGCTGCCCCATCCAGCTTGTGTCTTCTCACTTACCACGTTCCATGCACTGAGCTGGATTACGAGCAAGGAAACGCTCATTGCATCCGCATCTGCTGTTTCATGCAGCCTGTGCCTTCTCACTTGCAACGTACCGTGCACATCATTCATGCCATTTGTGCTGCCGGAAGATGCCGAAGATTGCCACAGATTGTATGGGATCGTCCGGGGCAGGTCTGGCTCTTGTGACACTCAGGCTGCTCCAGGTCGGCGCGAACTCGATGGCTGGATTGTGATGGTCTCGCTTCGTCGCTAACACGTCTGCACGTCTGCTTCTACGTGTAAACATGACTTTTTTGGGACTTCGAAATCCCTGGAGTCATGATTCAATTTCCATATTGGTGGCATGACATACTCAGGGATGTGATCTGTTTCGGTAGCAGTGGGCGCTGCCCATGTCATTCAAGACCAAGTATCTTGGCCACCGAGAGCAGTAGTCGGTCTCGGACTGCCACATACGTACAGGTAGATTACACAAGAAGGGACTCGGGAACCTCGACGAACGTGGCGCAGAAGAACATGGGTGTTCTCCGTCGGAATCTCCAGGACCACGAATGAGTCAAGAACCAAAGACTCGCCGGCCTATGCAGGTGTTTTGGCATTGGCATGGCGGAGACCTGCGTTTCGATAGGTGCGCCAGAAGGAGATATTGAACTCCACGGTCCTTGCTCGGCGGGCTAAGGATCTGAAATGCTCGGGTGGAGGCTACCAGTCGCGGCGGTCTCAACAAGTTGCAAAGTCAATACTCTGTGCCCTGAGCTAGTGACTTTGACAGCAGACTTGTCGGGGCCAAATGTGCGTCCGGCAATAACTTTGCGCCATGCGCATACGAACTTAGGCAACGTGCGGTTTGAAGATCAATTGAGCAAGCGCCTCTGATCGGCACGGCCAGACGCTGACATGGAATACGTTTCCGAGCACCTCGTGCGCATGCTCGATCAGTTTTCGAAAGATTGTCGAAATCATCAGTGCTTGGGAAATGGGAGATTTCAGTCCGTAATGATTCAGATCATTCGTGAGGCATAACATCTATTCGTACATCAAACACTAGGCAACTCTTAAGCACCGTACCGCTCCCGCGGCTCTGTGCGGACTGTATAGTTCATCTCTTTCCGAATGATCATTCGGCGGCTTTCATCACTACCGATGCTGGCGGCGTCGGCGTTGGGGCCAGTGTCACTCCCTGTAGTACCCTCACTCCAGTGAGCGGTCGCTGCACTACCACCCGACCGGCCTGTCAGAGGATCGAGCTGGACGTGAGAGGTTTGAGGCCGAAAAGACAGGTCGTTGCCTTCTTCGGGCTCCGCAGCGTGCATACTTCTGTTGTGCGACTGGTTTGTCGATTGTAGTTTGGACAGCTGGTAACCGGATCCGGCGCCGCCCGCGGGTGCCTTCATGCGTGTGCGTCCTTGACTGCCATAACCGTAGATGTATCCATCGGTACTGCTGACGCCAATGCCACCGAAGCCGGTACTCAAGCTCTTCAGGAAATTCCTAAACGTCGGTATAGTGGCTGTAATCAGGCTGGCTGATATCTCGGCCTGCGACCAGGAGATGAAGGAAGCGTTGGCGAGGAAAGGGTCTCGGGTGTAAGCGCTGCTGTCGAACGTATGCATCCGATAGCCAATGAATATCAGCAGCAGCAGGCGGTAGCTGAAGATGAAGACGACCATGAGTTTACTGGAGTATGGCGTCTGGAGAGAAAACACCAAGTAAACAACAAGGCCAATGATGGCGACTTCTGTGGCGATGTCAAGAGCGTTGATGACCTGCCACCGAAGAGCCTGTGCCGTGTCAAAATTGCAAGCGCCATGAAAGGGGAGAAACTTACGGTGCCTGAACAAGTTGCACCAGCAACTATCCATGGTTGCGATACATCGCACTGGAAAGCCAGAGCAAGGAGTCCGCCAACGGTCCAGGCCACGACTACGCCAGCCGCGATATTGAATGTGATCCGATGCGACTTGAGCCTAGATATGCGGAACAAAAACGCAATTACTGATATCTTAGCCATGCCGATTGCTAGCATCCAGAACAAGTTGCTCGTGTAATACATTCGTTGGACCTGAGCTTGTGCATCTTGTGACAACAGCTCGAATGTCGTCCCAAGCCCTTTCGAACATGCGCCTATCACGATCGCAGTCTGTATGGTCGCAACGCCTGCTGCTGAATAGTAGATCCAGTCGTCGACTCCAAATCCTCCCGCGATCATAGAGCGAACAAGGACTCTGATTGCACAGAAGACCAGAAAGCAGCATAGTCCCAGTATTGATGCCACATAGATATATGCTGAATGGTCGTTAGGTGTGACAACCGCCAAAGGCGGATCGAAGCCTTCTGGGAGTGTATACTCTGGATCGAGCATACTGTCGGTATGAACGAATGTTCTGCGAAATCTTGACCGCGCAGTTGAGTCCTGATTGCAGTCGTCCCCAGATCGGTTCTCACTATATGATGGAGGACGATGGAGGATATCAGGAGGCGAGCCGGCAAGTGAGTGATCTTCACTCCTGAATCCTGATCGCGGGTTAGCCGATGGTCCACCGTTTGTACAGTGTCGCGAGTGCCACAAATTATTCACAACGCTGTCCCGTCTCTATGGGTATCGTGAGCTACATGTGTGTTAGCGTGGGCTTCCAGTGCATCGGGTGCTGGGGCCGGGGGTACGGGCTAATACTGAGAGACTTCGGGACCATAGAACCCGAGACTGGATAAGCTTGGCAGCTGCCAATGGGAAGCAGCACGAGCCTTTCGAGAGTTTTGTGAGTTCACAGGCTGATCCCAGGAGAGCAAAGGAGTGGTGTACAAGCCTGCTTGGGCATCAACCGCACCACGCAGCGAGCACAGTACAAGTCGAACATCGTCACTTTCAGGGTCTGAGCGTTCTCTCGCTCGAGCGCCTCCCCACTTGCAGGCACTGACTTTGTGTGAAGGTTTTGCTGATCGACAGGTGTGCTGAACTCTGTCAAGCCACCATCCAGGAGAAGAGCTGCGGCAGTTCCAGAGGCCAGACACTCACCTGGCAACATCTTACACTGCTTGGAGTAGTGTCAGAGGCTGCGGCATGGATCTTGAATTGCGCGATCTCGGCGCCGCGGCGTTACCGGCAGATGGGATGTGAAGACTGTAGATGAATTTAAGCAGTAAAGAGCACGAGCTGCAGCGAGATAGCGGCTAGGCGAGTCTCTGCCAAGCTTTCCGACAGCTCAACTACACCTTTTTGCCCAACACCAACCTCACCAGAACCAGATGAACGCATCTCATTGAGAACATTCTCAATAATGCGTATGCTCAGGGGAAGTTGGGAGCACGGGAATGTGATTATGTGAGTGTCTCGTGAGTTTGCACGATGTCACTGCCCGCGTACCAGAAACTCAGAACCTTTGAGTTCAGTCCGCCTTGGACCGGATCAGTGGGCCAAGTGTCCGCTGTATCCATCATTCCCACCATCGGCCGAGGTAGAGCTTGGTTTCACTTGCATACTACGGAGTACTGCGCGCATTGTGCAGTGGTCGAAAATTTCATCTTGTTTCGAGACGGAAGCTTCTCGGGGCCATGCACCCAGGATATTCCATGATCTCCGTTCGAATCCAACGAGATCACAGAAGTGGATCGGGCCGGCAGAATCTAGCCACTGAGCTTTATTCATGCCTTGGTCCCTCACGAGCCGGCCATCGTGGCAACAATGAAAGGGTCCAACTTGTTGGATCGGAAACAAGCCGTAGCCGGCACAGCATCCATCTAGTCCACATGGCATTGCTTGGGACGTATGTACCGATGATGCACGAGGTAAGGAACGTTCTTTCTTTCTTCTAGTCTCTCCTACGGTGCATTCTCTGCTTGATCCTGTGCATAGCTTCTGTTCATTCATAGCACTGCATCATGGAAGCACTACACATAGCCAGCAAAGATGGCTCAAACGTCAAGGTATCAGGCAATGATGCCGGTTCGCCAAAGATCTTCGACGAGGGCGTCAGCAATGTGCCCGCGAAATACAGAGGAACAGATGCGGACAAAAGAGATATGACAAACTTGGGCAAGAAGCAGGTGCTTCGCGTGAGTATTCGTTCGCAAGGCAAGCGCGACAAAGCTAATGTCGTCGCAGCGGAACTTCAGCTTCATAACCATGCTCGGATTTGCTTGCACCTGCGTGGCCAGCTGGGAAGGTATTCTAACGCAAGTCGCCACATCCTTCGCTGGAGCTCAGCTGACAGGCTCACAGATACCTGTACTTCCCTCTCATTGACGGAGGAACACCTCTGTACTTCTGGGGTTTCTTGGGGTGCGTACTTTGCCAGACTCTGGTCTACGCCAGTCTGTCGGAAATGGCCTCGATGTCACCCACAGCAGGCGGGCAATATCACTGGGTTTCCGAATTCGCACCACCTCGCTATCAGAAAGTGCTCAGCTACTACTCCGGATGGCTCACAGCTATCGGCTGGCAGGTCTACCTTGCCAGCGTGTGCTACCTCGTTGGCACACTCATCCAAGGAATGATTGTACTCAACAACCCCGACTACGTCTTCGAGCGGTGGCACGGTACCCTTTTGACAATCGCTATCGTCTTGTTCACGATCACCTTCAACACCGCGCTTGCAAATCGGCTGCCTATTATTGGTATGATCAAGTACTTCTTGACCGGGTTCCGCTAACGCAAGACAGAGGGCATGATTCTGATTCTGCACATCCTTGGATTTTTCGCCGTCATCATTCCTCTCTGGGTCATGGCCCCACGGCGATCAACCGACGACGCTCTATTCAATTTCGTAAATGCAGGAGGTTGGTCAAGTACAGGTCTCTCGGCCATGATTGGGTTGCTGGCTCCTATGTCAGTTCTGGTCGGTTACGATTGCGCCGTACACATGGGTAAGAATATCTACTTTGTTCCGGCACACAGCGTGAGACTAACGTTCAACTCCAGGTGAGGAAATCAAAGACGCTTCCATCACTCTTCCACGCGCCATCATGGGCTCGTTGGTGGTCAATTCGACCCTCAGTCTCATCGTCATTGTCACGATCTGTTACTGCCTGGGCGACGCAGAGACTGTCGCAGCCTCGGCCACAGGCTATCCATTCATTGAGATGATCTTTCAGGGCACCCGATCGACTGGCGGGACAACAGTCATGGTTGCGATCGTCACGATCATGCTTGCAGCTTGCGGCGTCACGGAAGTTGCAGCTGCATCGCGACAGATCTGGCTTTTGCCCGTGATCAAGGATTGCCCGGCCACCGTTGGCTCAGCCGCGTATCTCCTGGTTGGAACATTCCCCTGCCGGCTGTCACGGTATCCCTCACCATCTCAGGATTGCTCAGTCTGGTCAACCTCGGTTCCGCTGTGGCTCTGAACGCAATCACGTCGCTGGGCGCCGTTGCTGTGCTTCTCTCATATTTCCTGACCATCGGAACTTTGATCCACCGCAGGCTCAGGGGTCCACCATTGCCACCGAGACGATGGTCCCTGGGCAAATTTGGCCTGGCTATCAACATTGGTGCACTAGCCTGCCTTGCGCCAATCATCTTCTTCTTGACCTGGCCACTAGCCACACCAGTCACACCAGCCTACATGAATTGGTCAACGACAATGCTTGGCGGCACGTTGTTGATTGCCACCATCTACTACTTTGCGAAGGCTCGGAAGGAGTACGTTGGGCCATCAGTGTTCATCAAACGCGAGATGTAAGTGGTCGAGTCGGTTAGACGGCTTGCTACGGCACGTTGTGCATCTGTGGTGTTTGATGTTTTGATACTCCATTTGCTCCAGACAACATAGATTGGAGAACCGAGCAGCTGCTACAAAAGAATACCTGGCGCCATTTTCGGTAACTTATCTGGCTTCATTCGATAAGCGACCACTATATATACGTCTGTACACAAGAATCAGCTATTAGCGTGCACTCGATCCGCAGGCACGAGGATATTCTCGTAGAAACCTGTGCAAGTCCGCCTCCAGCTCTGTACTTCCGTCCGATGCGCACAGTTGCTTGGATTCTGTGTGGGCGTTGTTGCCTGGAATTATTCAGCCCGTGAAGCTGCTCGTCACCAACAAAGATGCCTTTCGAGATGACAGGTATGTCTCGGGGCGATGAAAAGCTGCCCTGCTGTGTGACGGCCGTGCTGCCTTTCATGGTGACAGCAGCGCGAGCAGGTCGCCTGGTCGTTGCCCTGGACGATTGCCTCATCGTAGGTGCCCTCAATGCATGCTCAAGGGCCTGTCAGTTCCCCTTTCCATGCGTTCGCATCCGCGTACCACTTCTATGGGCACAATAAGCTACCCGCAATACCCAGCACCAGCAACCCCGGACATCTACACACGATCGAGGTCATCTACGAACTGCACCCGATGAAATGTCCGAATCAACAACCGAGTACGAAAAGCTCGTCAAGGCGCTCGAGGACATCAGTATCCGAGAGCGGGACGGTCAAATCCAGACAGTGATCCTGGACGACTGTCTGCCAAGTAGCTGTGATGTCGCACTTACCAGCTGTGGTGAGGAGCAAATGTCACAGCTGCTTGTTAGACTCTTGAACATGGCGAGGAAGTGCATGGACGGCGTCAAGGACGAGACCATACCGCTACTGGATCACGCAGCACGTGCTCTCGTGACATATGCGCTGGACAAGCTCTGCCATGACGGCTATTCACTATTCCATGTCATCGGAGCCATCGCTCTGGAGCACTCACGTTCAAGCCCAGCGCTCATTGTCGAAGCTTGGAAAGCAGCCTGCATCATGAACGACCTATCTTCCAAAATCATAGACCATATCAACATGGATGCCGAATTTGGAGCATTGGGCCAGGGCTTTGGTCACTGTACAGTCCGTGGCAGTGACAAGCCATATCTGCAGATACTTCTTAAGAGGCCACTCAACAAGATACATCATCTCCGATTGATGACAGATGGGCTCGAAGAAGCGCTTTGTTCGACGTACGATCAATTCGTAAATGCTCTGGATGCCGAGAGTGGCCTCCTCGAAGCACCACCCGCGGCCGTCCTAGCACTCCATGCTCTGCGACATCTTTGGAGACTAGGGTACAACGAGGAGCTAGCCATCCATGCCATCGCGAACACAGACTATCATGGGCTCTTGGGTGATACTGGACAGTCACAGGAACCGGATTGGTGGGCTGCACTGATCGAGTATCCTGAGGATACCCACAAGAGTGTTAAGCATGCTTGGAATACAGCTCAATTGGCTGAAACCATGAAGGATCTGGAAATGTCGATGTAACGTTCGCTCGGCGCGAGGCGGGCTATTTCTCGATGGATCTCCGGCTCTTGGTGTCAGATTCGGCTGGGATAGTAGGTAGCGCCATGGGCATGATCCTTGTGGCCGACATTTATGTTCAAGATGGGCTGGTCCTGACTAGGAGCATGGGCAGCTCAGAGGCATCAGACAACGACTGAAATCCTGTTGAGACAAAATTACATCGCCACTGCTCCGCGTCCTTCACTTTCCCAGCATGAACTTCTCCAGGCTCTCGGCAAGCCGCTCTGGCTTTTCGAGAGCTAGAGAGTGTCCACACTCCTCAAAGATCTCTGCCTGTTGCACATTCTCGGCGACCAGCTTCATGTTGTCCTCTACCAACGGTCCGAAGAACTCCGGTGCGCCAATTGTCATTACCGGACAGGTCAGCTTCTTCTTCGCAGACTCGATGTTGATCTCCGCATTCTTGAATACTGATCTATAAGTCTCGAAGATCCCAGTCAGCCCGCCCGGCTGTCTTGCGCAGTCCGTCCAGTGATCGAGCATTTCCTCCGTGATCAAATTTGGATTGTAGCATTCTTGCTTCATGAAGAAAGCCCAGAACTCTCGTTCACGGCCTGTGATAAGCATCTCTGGGACGTGAGGCAAGGCGAACAACGTTAGATGCCAACACCATACGCCCTGCTTGCGGAATTGCCTTGTTGAGTTCTCTTTGGTCAAGAATGATGACTCTTCGAGACCGTGTCCGGAGAGGAGCTTTGCTTTCGTCAGTAAACCCTCGTGATGAGCCGCGAGTTGCCTGGATCCGACGACTACCTACCATCTCGCAAAACGATAGTTTGGTGACCCGCTCGCGGTATGCGGCCGCGACCGCGTAAGCGTACTCGGCTCCTCGATCTTCTCCGTGCACGAAGAACTTCTCGTGCCCGAGCTGCGTCACTGGACAAGCACAGTCAGCAAGTTCAACGAAGCTTCGCCTCGCACAACGACTAAAGCCAAATCTCCCCATGCCTTCAGCAAGTCTCCCGCCAGGTCACCGAAATTGACTGTCCACAAGGCGCGCTTGGGCTCTATTGAGCTCAGAACATGTCCGGGGGTTCCTTCGTCAAACAAAACCACCATGACTCACTCAGATCCGCAATATCATGAGCATTCGTCAGACAGTCATACCCCTCCGCCGCCGGTGGCTTGTCAGTATAGCCAAACCCTCGTAGATCCGGCGCAACAACGGAGAAGTGGGACGTCAGTAAAGGGAAGAGCCTATGCCAATAGAAACTATTCTTTGGAGTACCATGAAGAAGGACTAGAGCTGGTCCGCTGCCGGCAGTGATGCAGTGCATGCGAATGCCATTGACGCGCAGCCGGTGGTGCGCGACGGCGCGACCAGAGTGATCGTATGTCTCGACCATCGTTGAGTCGAACCTGTTGAACGTCGATAACCAAAACAAACGCTGTACAGCTCAGCGAGCAACGCAGGTCACAAAACGTGGTTCCCCGCAGAATGATTGCATCACCAGCAAAGCGGTTCTGACGTTTCTGATCTGACTCGTTTCAGGACTCATGCAGAGAGGTGAGCTACTGAGCCGTTGGGCGAGCGATATGCCCAGTTTCGGATGGATGGGCTCACGAAGACTGCTCGCTGTGAAGTAAATCATCCACGACAGGAGCTCACCTAGCCACAACATAAGAAGCGCTCTGGAGCCCGGTTGCCATAACGGGCATCCGTAACAAGGCTTCAGCGCCGCCATATGATATGCGGGCAGCTGAACACTGTGCTCAATGAATGATCGGAAGGACAGATCAAGGCCAACTATGGCAACAGACAAAGAATCTGCTCATTCTGACGTTGGTGTGGCGAGAAGCGTCAGCAACGAGGCAGGAACGATGACCAGAAGCAATGGCAACACAGAATTGCAGGTCCTCTTTCCCAGCATTTGTATCAAGACGCTCTTTCAAGAAGGTGCAAACACGCGCAAGATCAAGCACGTCGGGTCGATGTCTACTAGTGTCAAGCAGATAGGTATGTAGCGATAGGAAGGAGCGCGGGTCTGAATCGGCAGTTCTTAAAATGCGGTACTTCGCTAATATCTTAGTCACGTCTTCTGCTTTCGGCGCCTTATCAAGTGATGCAATGCTTGAACTTGTCCCTTGACTGCCACCGATCTCAAACTAAGGCAACTCGCAGACAGGTCTGCAAATCACCGGCGTGCTGATAGTATCATCTGTGTTGCTTTAGGTAGGTAAGCTTCTGACGCTTGTCAAGGTTCTAAGGAGGCAACCAAAGGACAACCCCTCACGTGTGATTCAGGAGCACGAGATCAAGAGCATTTTCTACACATTGCAGCGTCTACAAGTTCTACCGCCGGCTTCGGGTATCAGCACGCTGTGTGCGCTGGCGCTGTTGTTGGCGAGCGGCTCGGCAATCGTGCGGACCGCGCCTCTTGTAACTACGACACGAGACGAGGGGCAGAAGCTGCCTGCATCTAAGTTTGTGAGAGACCAGAGTCAAAGGGGGCCTTGCCGCCGCGACTGCGAGGTAAGGTCAGACGGATCATTGCCCGTTGGACGCCCTAAATACAGGTAGAAACACGAAGTATCTATAAAGGCTCGCGCTCCAGTCACACAAGTCGAATCCTGCAAAGATGGGTTCAACAATTGAATTCAGACAACCTGGCCCGTTGGGTCAGGTCACCTTCGATTCCTACACCATAATCGTGCTTGGCTTTCGAGTCGCTAATGATGCGCGAGACAAAGCTGCCGCAGCACTCGATGCCGCCAGCATGAAACTCACGACAGCTTTTCCATGGCTCGCCGGTCAGGTCGTAATTGAGGGCAGAACAGAATCGAAATCGGGCAAGTACGCTATTGTGCCATACCCTGAACAGGAAGGCAAAAGTCTGGTTCGGACCAAGGACTGCACGGAGCTGTGTCCGAGCTATGATGAGATTCTCGCTGCCAAAGCGCCCTTCTCCATGCTCGATGGCGACATCCTGGTCTCTACCAGTCCAATGGGCTACAACATGCCGCAAAGCGTGCCATGGCCGATCCTGGTCATCGAAGCCAACTATATCGACGGCGGATTACTCCTGGCCTTCTCTACGCAGCACACAGGTGCCGATATGACAGGCCAGGGTAGAATCATCACGTACTTCGCCCAAGCTCTCCGCCATGAATCGTTCGATCCCGAGGACGTGCGGGAAGGTAACCGCACACCCGACACCGTCAAGTTCATCACCAAAGACGAGCAGGCGCATTCTCTCGCGGGTCTCCACCGTCCATCACAGCTACAAGTCAAGTACCCGACGCCTGTGCCACCGAAAGCCGCAATGCCCTGGGTGTACTATCGAGTGTCCGCCGCCAACGCGAAGCATCTGAAGTCTCTCAGCAAAGCCTACTCCACGAACGACGCCATCACCGCCTTCTACGTACAAACGCACACCAATGTTCGTGCTGCAGCGGGCGTTCTCAAAGGTGATGAGGCTGTGGTTCTGCAGCGGGCCATGTCTATTCGTGAACAGTGTGGCTACAGCGATCGCTATCTTGGTAGCACCGCCGGCTCACCCAGCACGACCCTTTATCCCAATACGGACCTCGTAACAGTAGCGGCACAACTGAGGAAAGATCTGAAGAACATCGATACACACTATGCCCGCTCCTTCGCGACAGCACTTGCCCTGGACGATGATAGCACGAAGTACTACTACGGCGCAGATAACCGCATGGGCAAAGACCTTGTGGTGTCAAGCTGGGCGAAATTGCCACTGTGCAACACAAGTTTCGGCGAGGAAATGGGCGGATACCCTGGGTTCGTGAGGAGGCCAAACTTGGCACCGGCGCCAGTGACATATATTCTGCCTCTGACAAGGGACGGAGACGTGGACTTGGCGATCTGCACAACGCCAGACGATCACAAATTACTGCAGGAGGACAAGGAGTGGTGCAAATATGCGGAGTACATTGGCTGAAACGAAGGTGTGAAGGTAGAAGCAGCATGAACGAGAAGAAACCTTCGAATGACCCAGAAAGTCCTCTACAGGGAAGTACATAGCGATGCTATGCTCTTGTCACACTGAATGTGTGACGGTATCGCAAGTGCAGGTCAATTGGACTGAATGGTGAGGAGTAGATGAAACGCAGAATTATATGTTGGTCATACGGCTTGGTATAGATACCCGCCGCTCTGTCACCCGGTTTAATGCGAGCAGTCCTCAGTCCCGACTACACTTTCGCACTGTGTCAGTCGCCCTTGCCGTTCACGACCGAAGGTCTTCGATGGTACTTAGCACTGGAGAGGCGACACGAAAATTCCATGGAGCTCGTTCGCTGCTATTCAGAAGTATTACATGCTTGTTCCCACAGGCTCGAGGTAGACTTGTCAGCAACGTATACCACTAACATCAAGCCACCTGAATTACAACGATAAATGTTTCGCATCTTCCTCGCCCTTCCGAAATGTGAGACGCTCAAACTCTTTCCTGGTGACCAACACCCGCGTCTCCTGCAGACTCCTTCCTCGCAAAGCCATCATCTGCCCTTTCCGTCTCGCCCGAAAGCGTGCCTCGATTGTCGACACCACCTGCACCATCTGGCGACAGTTCTGTGCCTGCCTCCTTGCGGATGCGGCTCATCTCTTCCTTGCTGGGTGGAATCCACTTGCTGCTCTTCCAGGGCACGACCTTCTCGATGTACATGGTATCGAGCTCTTCCAATGTACGGCCTTGGCCTTCCAGAACGAAGAAGTAGACAAGGAAGCCTGCTGCCAGGTTGCAGCCGGCGAAGACATAGCCGTAGCGGAAGTCGATAGCTTTGGTGATGAATGGAGTGAAGAAAGCAATCAGGAAGTTCCATCTGTGCTATGTCAGCAAAGGCCTCGTATGAGTCGTGCGTGAAATGGATCCGAGACTGTCAGGTAGAGGTGGGAAAAGGTGTATACTTACAGCCAATTTGATGCGGTCGCCAATGCCATACTCTTAGCACGATAGCGGGAGGGATATAGCTCTCCAATGATGGCCCAGACCTGGAATGTGGATCAGAACAGTGGTCTCGGACGATTCCATTTGAGATGAACTCACCATAGGTCCCCAGGTCGTGGCAAATCCCAGGATGAAGAAGCAGGCGAAACAAATCATAGCAGTGGAAGCTGATTGGGTCCGAGACGGGTCTTCCTGATCAAGAGCAAAATGTCCGACCGACGCGAAGATCATGAAGCACACAAACATCCATATCGAGCCTCCGATGAGGGACTTGCGACGACCATAGTGTTCGACCAAGTAAAGACCAATGAAGGTCACTCCAAAGTTGATACCGTTCAAGATCATCTGAGTGACATAAGAGTTGTTGATTCCGACGCCCTGTAGAAAACATGTGTCAGTACCTCATAGCAAGTCAATCGAGTCGACTGTCCTACCTTGAAGATAGTGGTCCCGTAATAGAAGAAGTAATTAGCACCGGTGAGTTGCTGGAACATTTGTAGAACAACACCAAGGAGAATGCGATACCCCATACGAGGTGCTCGAAACATATTGATGTACTCTCGAATGGGACCATGCGTGATCTGAGCTTCAGCACGAAGTTTCGCTTCGATCTCCTCCAGTTCGCTGTGTACAGCATAGTGGTGCGCTGGAGCCCCAAAGACCTTCATCATGGTCTCCTTCGCCTTATCTACACGACCTTGGCGGTAATCGTAGCGAGGGGTATCAGGGAAGGCGAGAATGCCGACTCCTAGTATAAGAGCAAACACCCACCCGAGGGCAAGGACGATTCGCCAAGAACCAGAGTTGTTTCTCTGGTGCTCATAGGTGCCGAAGTTGAAACAAGCGGCAAGGAAGATGCCGAGCGTAATGAAGAGTTGATATGTCGAGATCAAGGCGCCGCGAATGTATGGCGGTGCTGTCTCGGCCTGGTACATTGGAACAAGCAGCGAAAGAGCGCCAACACCGAGGCCGCTGATGAAGCGCCCAATCATGACCTGGTACCACGCAGTATTGGCGCTGATCTGGATGACGAACCCCACGGATACAACAATGGACCAAAGAGTGACCGACAGACGGCGTCCAATCTTGTCGGCGACCGGAGCCGCGATCAGAGCTCCGAAAAGAGTACCAATCGAGAGCAATGCCACGATCAGCCCAGACCTCACATCACTGAAGTAGGGAGTGCCATCGTCCTTTCGCTGACCGAAGCGTTCCAGGAAGTCCGGCATCTCAAGAAATCCAGAAATCTGTCCTGTGTCGTACCCAAAAATCAATCCTCCCATTGAGATGAGGACGCCCATCATGAAGGACCTGCCTGTAACCCGCGGGAGCGGGCTATAGTCCAGGTGTGCCAGAGATCTGCGAACATCGGTGCCTTTCTCGGAGTCAGGGTTGTACTTGTCGAAGTACACCTTGTTGCCAAAGCTGAGCCCTTTCATGTTGGGCGGTCGACAGAGTCCTCTCTATCGTACTGAATGCGGTAAACCTTATAGCGAGACGCGCACAATGTCTGAATAAGAGGCAGGCCGTTCGACGGCGATAGACAGCGTTAAGAGGGCGAGATCGTGAACGCGTCTAAGCGTATGTCAAGTAGGTAGGATGCGCGGCCCATGTGGAATGTTGCTTGCTTATGATCTACGTCCTGCTACGCCGAGGCAGAAGGCAAGTGGCAGCTGGTAGTATAATAACAGAAGGCGTTTGCTTGCATGAGGTCATGGTGGAGGAGGCAGGTTCTGTTAGTATGGGAAGAGTAGCCGTATTCGGCATTCTTCTGGGGCGAATTGCAGGCCACGCGACCAGCTGAGTCTGCAAGGATGCAGAGCCAAACAGCTATTGCCCTAGCCTGGGGGCACTGACCCGGACTTTCGCGATTGCATAACGCGACATACACGGGCATCGTAGCCAGTAAGGAAGCGATGCCGATGTATGCGCTCAGCATCTGGCAGATACGCAAAGTTGCTGGGAGTACAGCGGCAATGAGCCAGCAGCAAGGTTTTGGATGTGCCCGCATTGTCCGTGTAGCCGACGTAGCAGTTACCCCAGAGAACACTGGTGCTTACTACGCCTGCCCGGTGCTCGATGACACACTTGTCTTTGGATCTCGCATCAAGCGGATAGATCTTGCTTCAGTGAGACGTGTACCTGACGAATGGAGACGCGAGCAGCACAGGTTACCGCCGGTCTTGGGCATACGAGGATTCCCTCCAAGGTGACTTCTCGAGTCTCTGGAGGCACCGGACCTCTATTGACCTTCGCCTTGTAGTACATTTACACCTTCTCTCAGCCGCAAGAAGGTATAAGTGTAGACTATGGTGCACCTCGCTAGCAAGAAATGGTGTAGGTTAGGGCAGGAACAAACGGCCAGTGGGTCGAGTTTCTCGAAAATGACGTAGAATCACTGCGGCTGCATCGGATGACGACCGCCACTGACGAAGCGAAATCCCCGCTAACAAAGTGCTTGCAGATTTCAAGACCGCTTGGTGAATGCTTGCTCCAATGTCAGGAGTGTTCAATGACTCGAGTCTCCGGCACCTAGAGTGTCTCAAGTGTCCGATGATTTTGCCTGGGAGTGTCTGTACGCCTATGGCACATGTAGTTGGTGGTTAGGTAGTAATGCGCGATCATGGGTAGAAGATCTGATCGGAACAATCACATATCAGCGCTTCCCGGAAGACTGGAGATTCAATCTGCTCGACGAGCGATGATTGTGTTATGATACATTCATTGCTAGGCCGTAAATGAGAAAGGATCCTTCTTGTCACACCAGCGCATTATCTCCTCGCCATCCGTTGGTAGGCTCTACCTCGTCACTAGCATCTTCTGCAACGACCGTCACATCTGTGTCCTTGCTGATCCTGGACAAGCTGAGAGAAGACAGCAGCACGGTGTCGTCCGACTTGGTCTTCCTCCACTTGCTAGAGCGCCGCAAGGTTCTCTTGTCCCGAACGTAGGAGTCTCTGGTCAGGTCTGCACCGTGGGGTGCAGAGGTTACCCACGCAGCATACCGGTCGCTGGGATAGTCTGCGACCTCTGACATCGAAGGATCGAAGCCTTTCAAGCCAATGCTGCCAAGCCGGAACTTGTTCATGGGGACGGAAGACTTTGCTAGGGAGTATCCTCCACCTGCGCCGATCACACGCTCCTTTGTTGCATCAACCTGTCGGGACGGAGCACTTGTGGCGTCGCTGAGCTCAAAGCTCGAATTATCGTGTGACCGTGCTATCTTGCCGATCAGATGAGCCATATTCATCTCGATGTTCAGTTTAATCATGTATGCCACTGATTATAGCAGTCAGCATCCGACGTCAAGCAGTAGTCTTCTGAGGTATTCGCCTACCTGGGTGAAACTGCATATACATCAGAGGATTATGCATCGACATCATCGCAATGATCAGAACGTCCATTGAAACCGAAATAAATATCGTGGCCACATTAAACCGGAACAATGGCCAGTACTTCCGAAGGCCGCCGGAAATGAGCTTCGTCTTGACGAGGTATACGAAGTAGACATGCAGACTGACATCGAGAATCAAGAACGCCCCTTTTTCGACACGATCCCAGACCAGGTTAATCTTGTGCCATGGCTGGTACTGAAGCTGAGCGGGTATCCAGATGATCATCACTGTGGTGTTAAAGAGGCAGATGTATCCAAAGCAACCCCACTTGATCCAGGATATCCGTGTCGGACAGTGTATGAGCAGCGACAGTCGATTGACAATGATCTGCACCAGACAGTGTAGCTCAATGCACCAAAGCAAAACGATAACGAAGAAGAGAGTGAAGCTGTACAGCCATCAGTCCATGTATGAATTAAGACTATTAGATGCCAGGTGCCACTCACGAAGGCGGAATGATGGCATTCAAGTATAGCCAGGTGAGCAGTCCCCAGATCACGTTGCTGAGAATCTCTGCCCACACCATGATCACATATCCTGTCACTCGGTCTGTTCGCCTCCATATTCGGATGGCCTGCGCGGCGGCCTTTGCGGCAGTCAAGACACTGAATCCGAGTTGCCAGCCCCAAGCAATGGACGCGATCTGCCGCATGGTGAGAATTGAGGACGAAGGTACCGGCTTGGGACGTACCTTGATGTCTGTCTCGCTCGAATGCACGAGTTCGAAGTCTGGTTTGAGGAATATGGTGCCCATGCTGCTGCATATCTACGTGCAACGTGCATGCCTTCAATGGCCAGCGAAATCGCGAAAAGGCGGTCTCTTAAGAACGGGAATCCTCGTTGATCATCTCCAGCTCCAGACCCAAGCCATGGCGTCGAGCTGGACCCCCAACAGGGCGCGGGGCTGGCCATCGTTCCACCCTGAATTGCAGACTGGCGTTTTGGATCAATTACTTCATTGGCCTGTGATCACGATCGTCCGGAAATCTCCATGTTGCCATTTGGCGTCCTGTCAAGGGCGAGCAATAAGTGATCCGTGCTCAAGCACATTGCTGGAGGTGGCAGTTTCACTGGCGTAGGTGGCTGGTGTCTTGACACGACTGATGTTGCGAGGTGCTGCTCATTGCGCGACAGTCCAGATCCCGCCCAAGATGCCAGGACGGCAACTTCCTGCAACTTCCTACAGCCATAGAGTCGAATGAATACCCTCGAGACTCGTCGTCAGGAACACGCGTGGGAAGCTCAGGAATGTGAGAGTGTTCTGGTCCGCTTCAGCATGACGTCAGCCAAAGGCACGTCGAGCCTACTATTGCAGAACCCTTTCTGAAAAGCGTCGGATGCGCCAACGTCGGCACTCAAGAGCGGAGGTGCTCAAGGCGGTAAGGTGTAAAGCAAGGAACCTCTTCATGGGCTCTAAAGTTGTGTCAAGTAAAGGCTTGGCGGGTCGTAGGTTGCTCAGTACCTAGGAACTCGTAAGCACATCTGAATGCGCCTGGGATCTCCACAACTTTAGGTATATGAATAGCAAGGCTCATAGCATGCTGGATCTGCTTATCCTATTTGCCTGAACATGACGCAAACTGTCGCTGATAAAGTAACGCTTGTCATCTACCATGACAAACATATCCAACCCAGCAGCACTGCCAACGCTATCAAACTGTCACTGGGCAGCCGTTCAGCGGCAAGTCCCTTGCCCGCATCGTTCCGCTTAGCAATGTAATCAGCATCACTCGCCTTATCTTCGACATCTCTTGTGACCTGTCCAGTCTGAGCAACCACTTGCATCTCAGGTCCGAGAGTAGCAAGGATGTTACTGCTCCTTCCACGCGGGCAGAATACGACCTCATAACCTCCTCCTTCCGGCACGATGAATGTACTCTTCTTGTCGTCATAGGCGAAGCTGTAGGCATCGGGACATACTTTCTTGGCCTGAGTCGAATAATAGCTGCGCTTGCATGTCCCTGGCGAGTCATGATTGCCAGCACAACAGTAGCGATCGAGATTCCATTTTGCGCACGCTGAAAAGCATGGGCTGAACAACGGCCTATGAATATTGTCGTCCGGATAGGGATATACACCATCGCCTGGCTTTTCTGGTGGAAATGCAAGCAATGGGAAGGGGCACCACGACGACACAAATGATGAGCTCAAGGATTGTTCGAGAGGTATCGGATACGTCGCATTGGTACTAAACAGCGCGTCAGATGTTGAGCCGATAGGTTCGAGCAGCGCCGTGCTGCCGATGCAGACAGGATTCGTTAGATTTGGTGGGATGTCGGAGATGTTGCGGTTGGACGACTCCGATGCTAGCAACTTGATGCCCATGGGTAGATTGTAGCCGTCCACCATTGATATGTCATAGAAGGTCTGTTGCGAGGCTGACGACATGGTGAACTCAGCAAGTGTGGCCGGCGGATTCCCAGCACCCTGACATTGCACGAACTGCCCACAATCGCCGGTTGAGCACGGAGACCCGCCTTGACTAGACGCAGGTACATTGCCATTGGCATCAAACGTGCAATTCGTCCGCGCCCATACCCTACCCTGCCAATTTGCGCTCACTGTCATCTTCGTGGAATTGCCTGGCACCAAGCGGAAGCCCGAAGAGGGCGGTCCCGTGCCAGCTTGCGTCAAGATTGCTGGATATATTTCCTCGTTGCATTGATTCGTGACATGCAGTGGTATGTCTGAGTCGCGGCGGTTGACAGTATGTATGACCGGCTGCCTCATGTGGTGCAATGCTTGACTTGTTGGTAGACTCATCATCGCAGCATATAGTATGGCCAGTCTCTGACCGATGCTTGCTGTGCCGGATCGTCGACAGGTTTGTTGACTGCGCCGACGCCTGGGCAGGGCCGCGTCGGACGCCATGGCGGGATGTAGGTGATCACGGGTTCGATGTGTGCGATTCACAAGTGTAGGTCTGGGAGGCTCTCCGGGCATCGACTGCTGAGACGCATTCTGGACGCTCAAGCAAGAGTTGAAAAGAAGGGCGATCAAGTAGACGTGCTGATAAGGATGCTTGGTGGATAGCAGTGAGGATGGTACAAGACTGCACAGTCAGCCGAGCACAACGATAAGAAGGGCGCCATCAAGGATACTTCCCACTGGCGACTGCCACTTGGCTCGCTTGCAAGTTTGGACCATGTTAATTGCAAGTTGCAGTGGCAGTAGCGACGTCATTTTTCCCAGGGGCGCGTCGCCCGTTCCGCGATTCAGGCTTGAAACTTGAGCGGAATTTGGAGCAACCACGCCAAGTTATGGCGGAGACTACAAGCGTTACTACCTACGGTCTGCCCCTATCGCACGCTAAGGTTCCCTTCTTCCTTTCAGCGTCAAACTCTGCTGGAGTACCTTGTATACTTATATAAACCATTACGTTCCCCCTCCACAAAATGTCCGCCGGCGGCTGCAAATCGTGGCGCCAAGCGTCTCGAGTGACATGTTCTGCCTGCGTCATAAGTATGTGCTATGAAGGAACCCTCGAAACCGAAACAAATATACAGGACCGTGTTCAAGGTCGGTTAACAGTACTCACATGCACCAAAATGGCAAAATGGTCGCAAGACCTGAACGCCCTCGGCATGCTCCGGACGACCTCAAAAATCACAGGAGACATGAAGCAATCGTGCAATTGGAGCCTATAAGAGAGTGGTAGGTACCTGCGGACTCAGCGGGGAAATATGAAGCAGGCCGTTTTACGAAGACCGATACAAGCTGGCATGGTCCGTGGAGGAAGTCACTCCAACGACGAGGCCCTTCATGTGGAAACCATTATCTGGAAATGAATCTACAGGACCGCGTCATTCAAGCTTCGGCTGGCTAGAGGAGGTCCACAGTACTCCCAGCGAATTCAGATATCTCGTCAACCGGACCTCGCTCAAGCTCGCTGCAGAGACGTCAGAGGAGAACAATCAAAGGCATTCACGGCTACCAGATTCTCTGATCGTGAACCTGATCCGAAACCCCCCGCGTCGTTGCCGACCTTGATTGAGGCCCCCACTCCGCCGAGGCTTCTTCGTATGGGGGGGGGCTTTGGGCTGTTTCCTATCCAATGGGAGCTCCGTCCGATGCGATGAAAGTTCGTTGAGAAAATGCTTGACGACAATCGTCCGCTGCTGCTTCAGCCGCTGCAGGACTGCATGAAGGATGCTGCCTCGGTTCTCGACGCTTCCAAGACCTCCGCTCCACCCTTCTTCTGCAGCTCTTGTTTCTCCCACCGTTGCACTCTTGACACAACATTCTTTGATCTCGATATCAGAACCAGAACAGCAGCACAAGTGCTGCACTCTAGCTACACACACTCAACTGCTATCACACAGCAACAACATCTGACTACTCCTATAATACGTTAGGTAGCGTGACTGTACCAGTCCTGCCGCTCCTCGCTAACCCGGGATCAGACTGCTTCCAGCTCGACCTCCATCATCATGGACGCTATTACCATCTCTCCCGCCGTGATGACCGACGAGCAGTACGGAGCTGTCTACGGAGAATACAAGCCATACACAGATATCGCTCTCAACTGGCTCCGTCATATACTGTACGAGCCTCGCGATGGCAGCAAGACACATTCACTCGAATACTGCAGAAGATTGGCCGAAGAGGTGGTCCAGAAGCGTGTCAACATACCCGTCGAGATCACCAAAAGTCTTGACATTGCTATACGTGGCCGGGAAGCGTGTGCAGAGCACCACAGAGCACTGAAAAACTCAGACGAGAAGCACGAGCACATCATACAAGTGCTCAAAGACATCCAAACGACTTTCTCTCGCCCCACAGGCCGACCACGATCAAATTCCGATTCTTACTTGACGTCGTCTAACTGGCGTCGTTGTGCTTCTCTCCCAGAGGCGGAAGCGGCAAGAGGCTCGAACCAGCCATGGAGATCAATCACAAGATCTCGGTCGCAGGACAGCCGCCTAGGCGGGCAACTCACAAAGCCCAGCTGGGAGACCTCCACCAACTGGAGAGCATAGGCTTGAAAGTCAGAACTCCTTCGAGCACAGAAACTGGAGAGAAGCCACACAAACTACAAGATTCGCACAGCAAAAACACGTCGAATCGCCGCTCTCATCGACGCCAATCCCACATCAACATCACACCATTGTGGATTTGGCGTGGAAAATCACTTAGAATCACATCACAACAAGATCAAACAAGTCTGCGGTTGGTCTCTACATTGTCACCAGGATCGGCTCGATTCGAGTCAAATTTACGATCTTGCTACAACGACGATGCTACACGATCCAAATTTGCCACCTCAACTGGCAGAAAACAACTATTTCAGTCGAACACTGAGAAGGTGCTATCGCTGGCACCGCGGCCGCTCACAAAAAGTGACACGTGTCCCCACAAACTCGACACGTGTCCTCACATCGGCGAACACATTATACTACAGCGACTACAAATCATACCACAATCACCACACATCAAATCAACAAGCAAGAAGGGATTGAGAAAAGGAGGTCATCTTTGGATGAAGTGCAAAGAAACATCTAGCGGTTGCTGCTTTAACAGCGAAATTGTGGACAAATCAACTCAAAAAAGGCAACTGAAGATGCAGCAGCGACTGCAGCGGAACACAAGGACATGACATGAGCAAACATGGTCAATCAACACGAAAAGGCAAGCCGATAGGCGGGAGGAACTCATCTTATGGGCAAAAATGGTCGATCAACATGAATAGGCAAGCCGAAAGGCGGGAGGAGATCAAATTGAAGGGACTGGTCATTCAAGGCATTCCGCTCCTGAGGGCGGAACAGGGCCATGGCTTGGGATACATCAACATCAAACAAGACAACTGAAGATGCAGCGACGAACTGCAGTGGGAACACAAGGATATCTCGTTGGCAAACATGGTCAATCAATCAATCAAACAAACAAGGCAAGCAAAGCTGCAGCGACGACTGCAGCGGCAAAGAAGGATATTTCGAGGGAAAACAAGAAAGAAACACGCCGTATAGGCATCATCATCTTGGGTGCATGGGGGCAAAACATCCTATTGCTCTGGGGGCTATTGGGGCGCCTGTTTCATGCACAGAGGGCGACTTGGGCGTCCTTTCGACAAGGTGGTTGTCGATGCATAATTTTTTGACCTGCGATTATGAGCTTCCGGCTTCTCGTGCCGCGGGTTGTGAGTACCTGTCCGTTATGGACGGGGAAACTGAGAGAGCTCTACAGATAGACAAATAGTCAGTGCCAGGATTTGGTAGCGAATGCCTATATCATCTATCATCCTGATCATTGATCTCGCGGTGTGGATTTACAGTCTGTGGAAGGGACATCGACTGAAAATGTTAGACACACTGCTGGGGTTGAGCGTGTGCCTTTGAGCTGCAAGACGAGGCCTAGAATAGGGGGAAAGAAGCCTGGAAGTAAGCTGAATAGGCGCCGCTTTAGGTGCGAAGAGCCATGGAGCGGTAGAATAACAGGTGCCAACATTCGACTCCCATCTTTGCACGTGACTTGTTGTAAAAGCGGCGAGAATTTTGAGGAGAGCAGGGCGATCGCTTTGACCCTGACAGGTTTGAGTTCAGGCGAGGTTGCCCAAGGGGCTCGCCTGGAGTTCTGCAGGAATGACTCAGACCTGCTCAGCTACGGGCGTCGGTGACCCGTGAAGCTCCCAACAAAGCTTCCTCTCAGCTCAAGAGATACCAGCTTTATACTTTTTTTATTCAAAGTTCGTGGTCAAAATCCGCACACATGGATTACACCCATGCCGTACGTATTTCCAAAGCCTGATTCAAATCTTCTCCTGTTTTCTAACGGGAATTAGTCTATGGCGCAGTGGTAACGCGTCGCACTTGTATACCACTGGCAGTCCCTCAGGATTGCCTGATGCCGCAATGCGAAGATCACAAGTTCAATTCTTGTTGGAGGCAGATTCGCTTTTTTGCATTTTTGTCCAGTCGGGATTGAAGTGCTTACTATGACTCACGCAGAGTGGGTCGGGGCAGGGCCTCGAATGCGGTCCAGCTGAAGGTGTGCCTAATAATTTTTGGCAGAAGTCCGACATTTTTGAGGCGTAGGTGCCGTGAGTATTGGGCGCAGTATGCGAAGTCCTGATAAGCATGGAAAGAGGAGAAAGCGAGCGACTCGTGAGAGCCATGCAAAGCGAGCTTCGTGTTTCACGGACTAGATTGACATCGCTATGTAACGGACTACATTAACAGATTACAGGTTACTGCGAAAACTTGCTACGAAGAAAGTCAAGAACACAATGTCAATGGTAACCTTCATTGGTGGCCAGTCACCACTAGTCCTGGACCATAGCTCGTTCAACTTCGAGTCTCATGCTATCTGATTCACTGCTATGCAGTGTTGATTTCGCTGCCACCACAGCTCCCACCATCGCTGCTTCTTATTCCAAACCAGCAGCAAGGAACGAACACCACTCCGCATTGCCCTTGCGGGCTTCGACGCGCTCCTCCAGGTATCTCTCCCCCTCACTCGCCAAATCCTCTGCACGCAGCAAGGTATCAATGTGGACCAGGTTGAGGTCTCTGGTGGACGAGTCCACCCAGGAACGGAACTCGTTGATGGTGTCGCGGCGGAATTGGAGGAGCGCATCGTAGAGGTGGAGGTGGTGGACGATGGCTCTGCGCCTATTGCGCTGATCGAGAAAGTCGCGGCCGGAAGGAGGAGCAGGGAAGAGGCGGTCTGGAGCAGGAGGAGCGTTGGCGCGCGCACTCTCTTCGGCTTTCCACGCCTCGACGAGGTTGGTGATGCGGGTGGCGGTGGCGGCGATTTGGGCTTCGTTGTCGCCGAGGCGGGCGCCGAAAGCGTTGATGGTGACCACGACACGAGCCGAAGCACGCGTCTCGACCATATCGATTTGGCCGAAAGCAGGACCGGAAGCAGGAGAGGCAGGCATGGTTGCTTGAGTAGGATGATATGTGTTCTGATTGGTTTCGGGTGTTTGAATGGATGGTTTGGTCTGCTTGGTGTGTGGTGATTGGTCCTGGTGGGAGTAGAAAGGTGGGTGGACGCTGGAGATATAAATAGTGCACCGAATGTGCGAGAAGTATCGCAGAGCGGGGCAAATCATTGCTGGCATGAATAATGCTGTCGTCACGCTAGGCCTCCTTGAGTATAGGAATAAGGCGTTGTGAGTCAGAGAAGGTGAAGCAAACAGGTGAAGAGAGGTGATATCTCTTTTCCTCAAAATGCCAAGACTTTTGGAGGAGATACTGAATGGCTCCCTTGTTTCTGCTCCGTCGTGCTGCCAGAATTGTTGTCCGACATCTGCTACCAGTAACGACCAGATCCAGGAGCAGGTCCAAGGCGGTGCGGATAGTGCATCTCCCCCATGATCATCCAGTACTGTCGTGAACTTGCTGGGTCTTCTTGTACTCCTCCTCGAGCTGTCTCTGCATTTCGAAGTCCGCCTGCCGCTCCTTCTTGATCCTCTGCTGCTCCATATCACGAATAACTCCGGCATGCATAGCCTGAGACTTCTTAGAACGTGGCTCAGCAGCAGACATAGCATTCAGAACTTACCGCTTTCTCGGCCGTCTGGGCCCAGTGTACGAAATAAACGATGCCAATCGTGCCGGCAATGGTGCTTGCCAAGGTCACCTTGGATGCTGTCGACATAACGAACGTGGTGATGAAGCTATTGGTGGATGTCGAGGGCAGGTCGTAGGATGGATGAAGACCTATATGGACTGAGCCTCTTCGCCCTGACGCGGTGTTCTGCAGCTGTGCAGTGTTTGCCTTGCGGCCCTAACCGCACTGCTTGACTGTGACTGGGCGGCTTGGGTCGGCGTCTCCACTTCTATCAATGAATCTCCAACTTGAACCTGGAGCTCATGGCATGGCAATGCACTTTCCTGCACAACTTCATTGTCTCTTGCAGGACATTCGATACTTGATCTCGGCCCAGGCTCTTTGTAAACAATAGTGTGAGCTATTACTTCGAGGTTCGAGCGACACAGCGGATCCCTCTTTCTGGCCACTGTTCAATCACTACACATCATGGTCCGCATTCCCAGGACACAAGTGCTACGGAGACCGTACTGACGAATTCCAGTCGGCCCAGAATTCCGCCGGCATCCAGACTCTTCTCGATGTACATGCGACTCAACGAATACTTTGTGTGATGCTGACTTCTACAGGCTGAGAAGGAAGCACAGAAGATCGTCCAGAAAGGTAGGCAGCCATGGGCCCCGATCTCTACAGGCTTCTTTACTAACACTGACTAGCACGAGAATGTAAGACGAGTGATGTTATGTGGCGGTCGCAGCTGACGTTTGAGAAGACCGAACGAAGAGAGTAAAGGACGCCAAAGCAGAGGCACAGAAAGAGATCGACGAGTACCGTAAGAAGAAAGAGGATGAGTACAAGAAGTTCGAGTCAGAGGCATGCGCATCTTCTGCATGTTATGCATTCGATGACGACTGACCTGTTCCAGCAATCCAGCGGCAACAAGAAAGCTGAGGAGGACGCCAACAAGGATGCAGAGAACAAAGTGAAGGAGATTGAGGAAGCTGGCAAGAAGTCGGGCGATAAGGTCATTGAGGACCTCATCAAGGCAGTCACAACGCCTCGGCCAGAGGTTCCAGACAAGTTCCAGAAAGACAGCTGAGCATAGAGGGTCTGTCATCTGTCATGCTGATTATCGCTGGTGGTGGGAATGGCGACGAGCACAGAGCTCGGATATTCGTTTAGCCATTGATATTGAGTGTCAGAAGTTGCGCAAGCAATAGAGAGTGTAGATCATGAACGAAACGATACCACGGATCTTCCACGCCACAGCCATGAACTGTGCAATACTTTTGTTCCTGTGTCCTAGCCGATCGGGATGCTGCTCGAATGCTTGCGAGCGGAGTGGGCACTGTGGCCGATGACGTCTCCAACGCGATCAGACGCGGTTACTATGTATTTTGCCTTTCCAAAAAGCATCTCTCTTTCTTCCCATCATCCAACGCTCGTGAGCATCGCCGCAATAGCATGCGATGCGCTCCGTCGCGTGCTCGACTTTGTCACCGTGGTAGTGGGCGGATACTACGACCGAGTGCTCGCTTCAAGCATGACGTTTTGAAGGACGACCTGACGGTTGATCCTAGACTCAGTGATCTCGGCGTGAGAATCAAGGACGAGTTTGCAGTTTTGCGCGACAAGTATGAGGCGCCCAAATATCCGATTGTCCTTGCACATGGTCTGCTAGGATTTGATGAGCTTCGGCTGGCCGGCAAATGGCTGCCCGGCGTTCAGTATTGGCGGGGCATTCGAGAAGCGCTGGAAGGGGCTGGGGTCCAGGTTGTTACGACGACTGTGCCGACGACAGGTTCAATCAGCGAGCGTGCCGGTGCCCTCGATGAGCAAATCCGCGAGAGGGCCCATGGCGATGCTGTCAATATCGTTGCGCACAGCATGGGCGGCCTCGACGCTCGATACTTGATCAGTCGCCTTCAGCCATCAAAGTTTAAGGTCAAGTCTTTGACCACCATCGCAACGCCTCATCGCGGCTCATCGGCCGCCGACATGCTGTTCAGAGACATTGGCGTGGACAACGTCAACCAGCTCTACAAACTACTCGGGCGTCTGAAGGTTGACACGGGTGCTTTTGCGCAGCTGACACGGGGCTACATTATGGATACGTTCAATCCTGTCGTGCCAAATGACCCCGATGTCAGGTACTTCAGTTACGGAGCTGCTGCCACTCCTCATATTTTGTCAGTCTTCCGACTGTCGCATGATCTGATGGACATCATCGAGGGACCCAACGATGGTCTCGTGTCAGTAGCGAGCAGCCGATGGGGAGAATACAAAGGCACGTTGATGGGCGTGACACATCTGGATCTTATCAACTGGACGAACAGATTGAAGCGGTTGGCTGCGTTGGCAAATCTGGTGAAGCCAGAGTTCAATGCCATTGCATTCTACCTGTCGATTGCGGACATGCTGGCGAAGGAGGGCTTGTGACGCGACATCTGAAGGCCTCTTACGACACGCAGTCGAGTCGAGTCTTTCACCGCGCGAACTGAATTGCCTTCAGGCCCGCGATACATGGAGGGTGGAGACTTTGCTGCAGGGACAGTCTCGGCAGCAGCCGGGGGCGCCTCCGCCACGCCCGGAGGGCTCGGGTGACGCAACACCTCTGGCGCAGACGGAGGATGAGGAGATCAATATATGCATTGGACGTGATATTCATAGATTTGCTCGGTAGCACTGCACTCCATAATTTCGAAGACGAATCGAACAGCCTTGCGAGGCAGACGCCTGCGCACTACGGCTAACATGTCGAAGCCGTTTCCTCCTTGAAGTGTCCCTCGTCGCCGACTACGCAACCACGAACTTTCCCTTCAGTCGCTTCCACTCCCGCGCCGCGCTTCCCCATAACCAGCGTCCATGTCAGTCCGAATACACTTCGATCAACCCGATAACCACTGCTACACAAATCTCGACTATGTGAGTGGTCGTGTGACGCTCATTCTTCCCGCAGACGCAACGATCGCTGCCATCACAGTGAAACTCGAAGCCGAAGCGCGGACCAGATTAGAGGCGCCCAAATACCCTGGAAATGAGCGATCAGAGAAGAAGCGCACAGAGCGCGAGATACACAAGGTAAGGAGACCCGCTCGCCATTGAGGACCAGCAGCTGAGTTGAATAGCTTCTGTACCAGGTCTTGACCGTTTTCCCCACGCCTGAACTCCAGGCATCGTCCCCTAATGCTCATTTCACACTTCTGGCTGGCCAGTACAACTATGCCTTCAAGTTCAAGGTAGGCTGGTTACACTCACGACCTACGTCTCGTACTGATGGTGTGGTAGTTCCCATTCAACAATGACTGCAACAAAAATCAAAGTCTGCTCAAGGACCTCAAGGTTGGCCAGCTGAATGTCCAGTTCGCGCCGGATCTCGATCAACATGTCAAGAAGACGCTGCCTCCGTCCCTGAGTGGCTTTCCAGGCCGAGCGGACATCTTCTACTATCTGAAGGTCACGGTGGTACGACCCAAGTTTTATCAGGAGAACATTCGGTCCCAAATTACGCTTAAATTTCTACCGATTGAGCCTCCTCGTCCTCCCGACAAGCAAGAAGAAACCTTCGCTCGCCGAAAGCAGCAGTTCCAGAAGTATGCCGGGCAGCCTGCACGCAAGAATAGTCTCTTCAAAAAGTCTGCTCCTGACAGCCCAGTCGCGGAACCTCCGACATTTCAGGTCGATGCTCGTCTGCCGAACCCAGCAATTCTGACATGCAATGAAAGCATTCCTCTGAGGATGCTCGTGCAGCGACTCGGTGATGTTAATGCAGATGTGTACCTGAGCATGTTTCAGATCGAACTCGTAGGGTGGACCGAGATACGAGCACACGATCTGAAGCGGGTTGAGAGTGGAAGTTGGATTATCAAGTCGTTGGCGAACATGAACATGCCTCTCAATATGCCGAAGCTCAAGTCGCAGACCGAGTTCAAGGTCCCATCCCACCTGTGGGACAGTGTCCCGTTGCCGAATACAGTTGCCCCATCCTTCGATACCTGCAACATATCACGAAAGTACGAGCTCGAAATCCGCGTCGGCCTGTCGCATTCGGTCGATGGTGATTCCCGACCTGAGATGATTGTGCTCCCGTTGAAGCTGCCGGTCGAAGTCTGGTCTGGAATCGCGCCACCAGCGGGCCTCGTTAGGGCCATGAGGGAACGGGCTGGCACTGCAGAGAGCGGTAACGACAACCCCACGCAGCAGTCTGCGAAACACACATACGAGACCAGCAACAGTGCGCCGTCACCTGCAGTACCTGGAGGCTCCATGCAGAAACAGCAACCACTCCCCGCGTCAGGCGAGGACGACGGACCGCCGCCACCCAGCTACGAAGACGCAATGGCGGAAGACTTCACACCCGTCGACGGCCCTCGCCGTGAATACAACATACCCGCAGGTGAACCACAGACTCCAGCTTTCAATAGCGATTCCAAGTCTGGCGGCCTCAGTCGACGAGTCAGTGAACGGCTGTTCTCGTCAAATGCGCCATCGGGACCGGGGAGAGTCACGCAGCAGTCCAACACCATAGAGGAAGAGCAGTCATACACTGAAGATAACCCACCACCCTTGCCTACGAGATCATCGACAACAGAAAAGGGCTGAAATTTGACGAAGTTGGTTCTCTTCCGAGACATAACTGATTGACTAGCCCACCCGTGGAAGACTTCGAGCGGTGCATCAAACGAGGCCCACTGCAGTCTGGCAAGTGCTTCCGGGGCGTCAATACCGTCGCGCAGAAATATTCAGGCGTGGCGTTGTTCCCTACGCCTTGATAGGAATGAAGGGCTGGTAAGCCCAACAGGCTCGCAGCTGCTGCGTGGAAACTTCGGAGACAATGTCCAAGCAAGTAGAGTATCGCATCGCTTCCGGGAGACAAAATGCAGCCAGACTCGCGACACCAACAAAAAGGATGCAATCTACTGTGTCGTTGTCTTGCAAGTCGACTGAGATATCGTTGGGCGGGACCAGGACTTAGAGGCCCAAAAACCGAAAATCAAGGCACTGGTGCCAGGGTCAGGTGTTGCCTTGGGAAATTAGGCAACTGCCCCGCGACAATCATCTCTATCTGTCGTGCCTACCTCCTCACAACATGATTACATAGGTAATTCGACAGAGCTCTCCGCCAGGTCACACCTCTTTCAATACTCTACTCATCGCTTCGAGCTGTCTCATGAATAAAGTCGTCGCTCTGCCCTGCGCCGGCTGGCTGGAACGTGGAAAGTCTTAACTTCGACGTACAACGAGGCCCATCGCCAGTCAAGCCTGCAATGCATGAGAAACAGCCACGTACTATCCGTGACAACGAACCATGAAGACCGCATCGCCCATATGATGCAATATCACTTATTCTGAAGTACCAACAGACGCAACCACGGACAACATGATGGACCTTCCCAATGAGACAATCGACCTGATCCTCGCCAATCTCGACGCCCCCTCAGCAGTCTGCCTAGCCCTGACCTGCCACCGCTTCTATCAGTGCGTCCTGCACACTACCAAATGCGCCAGACTAGACGACATCTGCCCCAAGGACTACAACAAACAATCCCCCAGCATACTCCAACTCTACGGCATCCTCCCACTCCCGCACGAGATCCCGCATTACCGCAACCCCTTCAAGTACTCGGACTACGCTAGGGGTCTAAATATCAGTCAGGAGCGATTCAATCCCGCCTATGTGCAGTTGATGTTGTGCGTGAGGGAGTGGATGGCGCCGAAGTATGTCTTCTGCTTTGCCAGTGAGAGCACAGGGTATGTGAGGAATAAGAGAGGGGTCCATACGTGTGGTGCGTGTCAGAGCGAGAGGAGGTATTTGGCAGAGCATGAACTGCATGTCTACGGGGAGAGGGTGTTCAAGTAGGTCCTAGGGCGGCTCTGTCCGTGTGTTGCAGCTGCTGACCAGGACTAGGAGCTGGCGCCAGCATCCAACTTTGTGGATCTCAATGCTCGCACTGCTTGTGTATAGGTCGAGCAGGTGTTTGTCTTTTACTTAGGAAGTTCCACACTTGATTGCCGGAAGCTGGAAAGACAGACTTCAACTGCTGTGGAAGGGGACCAGAGGCTGCCATGATTGAAGGCCAGCGTGACAGCTAACTATAATCCTGTCTCCTTGAGGTTTCCCTGGACTTTTAAGCAACACAATTCATCGTTCTACTTCCCGATCACACTAGACTTCTGTGCGTGCCAGGCGACTTTTGTAACCACTTTCTACATCAAACAACGCGACTCAATCACACAAACACAACCTCGTGCTGCGCTTACAGTTCACAAACTGTTGATCCTGGCGCAAACAGGAGCTTTTCACACCCAGATCCTGCGTCCAAGCACTCAGTTTCTGGTTCCAAATCCACAACAAAGCCGTCACCGCAGTAGTACTGTTCGTGCTCCTCACTCACAAACCAACCTCAAGCTCGCATTCCTGCTGCACCTACACCTCACCCATACTAGCCATCAACAACCCACGTCCACCGGCACCACCAACTCTCCAACAATGCCCAGAATCACCCTCCACATGCACACCGCCATCGCCAACCAGCAGGCATACGAGCAGCGCCTGCAAGGAAAGAGACTGGTCCTGCGCTTGACCAACGCTTCGCGTCTTCGCGATATCGAGCGGTCGCTGACTAGGTTGCAGGCCATACTGGCATCGTGGGAGGAGGAGGAGCGGAAGAAGCGTCTAGAGCGGGAGCGGGCGGCGCGGCGCAACGCAGTGATCAATGTCAGGATTGAGAGGCCGGAGAGGGCGTGATGGTGGGCATTCGGAAGCCAGTACGAAGATCTGCTTGGGGCGACGACCTTCAGTTGGTCAAAATGGAGTAACAAAGAGCGATCGAATTGGAGCACTGTTCGACTCGATGAACGTATTCAGGACTTCGTTTTTGCCGGTCCGTTGAACGCGAAGCAAGCCCTGAGTGCAATTTCGTCGAGCGTTTGCTGAGAAGAGGTCAACACTGATGACAGACAACACCTGAGCGTCACTGAGCTGCCAGTGTGTGCGAAAACGATTGGGAGGTCATCGGTTGTAGCTTCAGCGACACCTCTGTCTGACTTCACTGTGGCCGGCAGATAGTGTGAGCCAGTCGAGAGCCCATCCATCGTGAGAGTCAGGCTTGAACTCGCAGGCATGCCTACTATGTCGGCAATGCTTCGGTCTGGCAATATCGGGCAGTGGTGAGTGGATGCGCTTGCGGAAGATGCCAGAGTCTTCCCTTCCCTAGGAAGAGCCCGGGGATGTCTGCAGCCAGGTTGTATGTGCCAGGAGGCCTCTTTCGGTGATAAGGTATCGATGAGGCAGAGCCTTCACCTTCGCCGCAACCGATTGCAACACCCGAAAACAATCATTCCTACGTGATCTATACATATCCTGTATCGCAGCATTTCGGTCTCCTTCACAATGCCTTGCCTCCTACTCTTCTTCAAATTCATTCAGACCTCCCGATACAAACCTCTCTCCTCGCAAAATCCGCATACCTCCCCAACAAATCCGTCCTGAACAGCCCACTCTGCGTCCGAAAGCTAAAATGCACCACTAGCGCATCAGTCTCCACGACCACTTGCCTCCCCAATTTCCGTGGCATCACCACCGTCAACCACTCCTCGTCCGCAATCGGCGTATTGTCCTTCCCGTCCACAACGCCCGTCATCGGCATGTTGTCCAAAATGTCGTCCGACAGAACAGCAATCATGTTGATCGAGAGGCGTTCGTAGTCGGTCGTCCAGATCTTGGACAGCTTGTAGATGTCGAGCGAGGGGTCGTCGTGGAGGTTCTCTAGGAAGGAATAGTGTTCTTGTGCTGCGATGGACCAGGAGCGGAGGCCGGTGCCCCAGGTATCGTACTGAATCTTTGTGATGGGTGTGCGTTGCATGAGGGCTGCTGTGGAGGATGGCAAGCTGTCACCGGATTCTGTCATGCGCAGCCAGCGGTGGTAGTGCTCGGGCACGGCGTCTTCGGCGTAGAAGCCCCAGTCTGCGTCGCCTGTCCAGTTCGGGTGGGACGTGTAGGCCCATGGCGTGGATTCGAGTTTCGGGATGTGGTGAGACTTGTCGACGGGGAATTCGGGGAGGTAAGGGTGCATGGCACCGCCGTGGTAGTGAACCCAGCCCATCAGGGGCGAGTTGATCACGTTGGCGCTGACGGTGAAGATAGATGGGTCTTTGACACGGAGGTCGACCATACGAGGAATGGTGTCCTCGCCGATGAAGACGACATCATCATCGATCTTGATGTAAATGGCGCCTCGGCGGAGTTTTGTCCAAGCGTTCTCGTACGCTGGGTCCTGCTGGTCCGATCCGGGCATTTCGCTGATGTCGATTTCGGTGTAGAGTGGATTGCTCGGCAGTATGTCATCGCGGAGATACGCCAAGTCCTTCTCGTCGTGGGTGTTGCGCACCCATTGGATCTCATCAAGCCAGCCACCGTTAGTGACGAGGTTGCGCTCGAGATAGCATCGTAAGACTTCAACTCGATCGCGGCGGCCAAAGAAGATGAGGCCAATGACCGGGACGCCAGCGGGTTTCACGAGGCCATGATTGGCAGGACGGAAAGAGGAGGTTAGGGAAGGCACATTGACTGCTGCATTGTGACCGACGAAGGGGACGTCTGGCCAGTAGAATATGAGCGTAGTGGCGAAGACGAGGAGTAAGCAGGCGGTTGCTATCCAGCGATGCTGTAGTGCAGCAGAGCGATTCATCGAAGTGTCCTTTGTCTGTGCCTCATGCTCTCGTGCTCTTCGCGACTTGTCGCAGTGATCAGGCTAGGTTAGCAGAAAATCGTTGAAATCTGAAATCAGGGACGAGGCGAGCGCCCACATGGCGACACCTCGTCCGGATCTTAATAAAAGGGCCACAGTCAATGTCAGGGCGAGTCTTCTAGCCCTGTCGCCATTACTACTTGTGGATAGTGCACGGTTCATCACACTTGATGGCATTGGTGGGAACCAGCGTGCCGCATCTGTCGGCCCTTGCTAGCAGCAGTGGACACTGGCCGCTAAGGGGAGTTCGGACATCGGCCAAGGCGTACTGATAGGCAGCTAAGCGTCTCAGGCGCGGGCTTTAGAACACCTCGCCTCTGGAATTGGCGTCTGTGGACTCTTCGTAGGGACCTTGGCCCCGCGATTAGCAGGAGGAGGTCGGGACTCGAAACGCGAGAGGGACCGAATAATTACCCTGGAAAGTGGAATTGCCTAATGATGATTGCTTTGCGATAACAGCCGCACATTAGTCGTCATACCCATCAGCACGGAAAGTGGAACGGATAAGCAGTATGTTGCCTTGCAACCACTGCGCGAATGCTGTACGGCCACTTCATGCACGATGCAATTAATGACGGACGTCGGCTGTTGAGATTGAAAATGCTGTCCAAATTCATGTTAGAACAGGAGTTCGCGATGCACCTTGATATCGCTTGGAAATAGATTGACAAGCCCCTATTTGAGTTTGAAGATCCCGCAACACGACTGGCCACCAAGAGCGGCAAAGGATGGCAGCGCCGATGCTTACCGAACTTTCGAGCGACCGCAGTTCAGCATTTGCTGGGATTGCGAAGGCTTTGTCTCTGCAGAGATCGAAGTGAGATCAGGAGCGTCATCATTCACGGGATGCCTGCCAACGATTTCAGCACGGCTCACATGGCAAGCAGAACCTTGTGAGCTGTGCGCGCCGGAGACAGAGAATGCGAGGACTCGTGTCAGCAAGAATGGAGGCTGGTACGTAAGTCGTAGTCATGTCCGTCGTTGTACAGAAGTGCTCTAAGCATTGGGCTTGGAAACCTAGAATGCACGACAGGTCGCAGGTGTACATGCACCTTCAGTGCTCCTTCCCGACGCGAACGTCAAGTTCATGGCGCTTGAGAGCTGCTTCATGAAGGTCGTTCGCGCCCTGCTGCACCTGCTCGCTTTGAACGCTTCAGAACATGGAAAGAACGAATCCCACACGCCATACACGAAGGCAGCCCTTTTCCACACATTTCTTCCAACATGCACAATATTCACAACAACAACCCTAGGAATCTTATATCCAAACTTCTCTGGCACAACCCTGTGTCGGTTCACTTTGACCTCTTCGCCACACCAATCTTCGTATTTCCAACCTTCTCAGCGAATTTCAAGCTTGTTATTGTTTCCTGAAGATGCTTCTTCTCCGGTGCGACCATGACGAACATGAGTGTCTTCGAATTGCCGCTCAGACTGTATTGTAGCAGGTATGTGAGCTTGCTGTTGCGGTAGGGGATGTGAGATTCACCGCCTCCATTTACGTTTACGCTTGAGCGCGGGTTGAAGCCGCCTGACTGCTGGCCGAGTGCACCGATCACGTCTCCGAGACATGACAGAGATTTGTTGATGTTTTGAGTTTCCTTGAGACGAGCGCCTTCGACTTTGGAGTTGTTCAACCGCTCTGATCCGGCCAAGTCGACCAAATTGAGTGTGCCCTTGGATTGCTCGCCTGTGATGCTGTTGCGTCCTTGCAGCTTGAGGATAAAGACCGAATGACTTCGTGAGCTTCGTTCGTTGGAGCTTGTTGCTGCCACTGAACGTCGAGCCATGGCCTGCTCGAGAATACCTTCCACTTGGTCTTGCGAGTCCAGGTTCAGTGTTGTCACATTTGTGATAGTAGTCTCACAACGAACGGTGTCATGATGAATGTCGTGTTTCTTGGTCGCAGCCTTCTCACTCCTACCTTCCTCGCCCAGAAGATCTCGAATCTCTTCATTGTACACTTCGATGAAGCTGCCCTCCATGCTGTATGTCCAGCCTCGAGACTCGAGCTCTTTACTTGTGCTGTATATTTGTCGCAGTGCGCGAGGGATCATACCGTCTTCAGAAGACATCGTGAATGTCTTTCCGCTGCCGGTCTGACCATATGCAAATATGCAGACATTGAACCCGTCCAGTGCAGACTGGATCAATTGACTGATCTCCTCGAAGATGATACCATTGTGCGACGCCGTGTCGAAAACTCGATCGAACTCGAAGTCGTACTTCTTTGTCGTCACCTTGCCCAAACTGCTCGTTTCCTCCGGACCACGGACTTCGATCTGTTTGGATTCATCCACGTCTGGGAACGCAATCCTAGCGTTATCTTCGTTATCCGAACTCGGATGGCTTGGTCGCACACGACAGAAGACTCGAATGTTGCCCTTGAGCTCCTGAACCTGGTTGTGCAGTTTGCGCCTGAGCGTCTCTTCCTTTCGCAGCTTCTCCATGCATTCTGTTGCATGAGCAATAGCTTCTGTCATCTTTCGCTCCATAGCAGCATAGGCTTCCGATTGAGACTTATTGTCGGATTCGAGATAGTCGATCTTTGCTTGTAGCGCCTGTCTTGCACTTTCCATCGCAGCTTGAGTATTGCCGGCACCTGCGAGATTCTGCCTGAGTTGGTCATTGAGGGACTGCTCGCGTTCCAATCCGGCATTGATGCGCTCGACCTCGTTCCTGACAGACTGGATTTCACGATCCTTTGCGTCCAATTCCAGTTCCTGCTTCTGCTTCTCCATGGCCGTTGCCGTTGATGCTTGACTCAGAGCTTGAATGCGCTGGATCCGTTCAGATTCTAGCTCTTCTTCGAAGCGACGTCGAACGTCTCGGACTTCCTCGCGATGGTCACTCTTCATGCGTTCGACTTCGTCGCGATGAGATTGTTTGACGCTCTCCATCTCAATCCGGAAGCTCCGTCGAACTTCATCCAACTCCTCTTCGGCAGTGCGCTTGACCTCGAGCTTTTCTCGTTCGATGCTGCTGACGCGATATCTGCTCGTCTCCACTTCGGCTTTGAGAGATATGATGTTCTCTGTTAGCAACGCCTTGTCTTCTTCCAGCTTGGCCGCGGCTTGTTTGTAGAAGTTGGTGGTCTCTCGGAAACTAGTGTTATCTTCCATGGCCTCTTTGTAATGAGAGCAAACATCCTGATACATTCTCTCCATGTTGCCATATTGCTCTTCGGGGTCCCAAGATTCTAGATTAGAGTCGATTGTCAGATATTGCTTTTTCCTTGATTTGTTTGGGGAGTATGGGGACGCAGGGAATGGGGATGGTTCGAATTTGTGTCTTTCAGGAGGAGTAAATCTCGGGGCATTATGCATCAACTTGTCGGGTGACTTTGTCGGTGTGGCACGTGGGATACGTGATGGGCTTTGCGAGGGTGTCTTGGGCATGGCCAGGGGAAGAGAAACAAGCTCGTGCTTCGAAGGACGACTGCTGAGTCGCAGGGTCTGCATCGCCTTTGCCAAGGAAGAGTCACGAGACTTGAAAGGCGATCTACTCGGTGAAATGGCTCGCGCACCTCTCTTCGTAACAGAGACATTCTTCTGGGGAGAATGGGATAGCAAGTTCATGGGAAACATACGCTTAGACTTGACTTCTTCCTTCGGTGGGTCGCGATTGTCGAGCGACGTGGCAGGCCTCGTAGCGGCTTGAGCATTTCGATTCTTGGCGAGTGAAGTCTTCGGACGTGCGAGCGACGAGGCTGGGGGCCGGATGCCTGACCCAACACTTTGCGAGAAGGACGAGTTGGAGGTGATTCTCGACGCACTCGATGTGCTGCGTGATAAAGATGAATATGAGGACGACGATGGCGCACGCGCTGCAGCAAATGCCACTGAGTTGCTGACAGCAGTGTTGGACCGAGGAGCGGCTTGTGTCTGCTTGTACGGTTCGCCCGCTCGTTCCATCAACGTCTTGCGCTTCGGTTGCGGTTCGGGGACTGCTTCGGATGAGCTTCTCTTCTCTGGACTGCCATTGTTTGCCATACGATTCGAAGCCGGACGCTTGAGGCCATACTGCGGGGGAGGCAACATGGATCCATGGCGAGCGTTGTTGGTCGAGGCACTGATCTCGCTGAGACCTTTGACCGGAGAAGGTGGTTGATACCGCTTAGGTTGTGGGAGTAGCGAAACGAACTGATAGATCGGCTTGTCAGTCTGGAGTTGTCTCTATGCACCGGCGCACCTACATTCTCAGTCTCCTCCATGTCTTCTGCCGGTATTGGGAGATCGTTTGAGGGTCCGTCAGTGAAAGTGCCGCAATAGTTGCGCAGAAAGCTATGCGGCCATCGGCTCGTCTTCAGCTAAAAGATGCGATGGGAGCGTAATGAGAAGCAAGACACCATGCCAACGTCAGTATAAGAGACAATCAGGTGTTGCCGACAAAGAGCAGTATATGCACTCAACATGCGCTGCTGTGCCCAGGTGAGTCGAGTAGATCAGTATTGTATGGAGCTAGCCGGATTGAGCGACGTCAACAATCGAGTCCGAGTCAGTTTGGGACGTTTCTGTCCGGCGGATGAGTCTTGCTTTCTCCAAATCGTTCAACGCACCTCAACTCACCTGGTTCGCGATTCATCACTTACCTCACCCGTGAAAGCCACCCTCATCACATGGGAGCTCAACACTACCGGTCACAATCCAGCAGCTCCTCAAGTCCTGCCGCTGAACATATAGGATTGCAATGAATGATCTGATGCCATCGTTGACTACTGATGGATGCGCTCGGACGAGAACCACGGCTTTCCCATTGACCAGAATTTTGTCGGCCGAATGTTCTGAACTGGTCTGCACCATCTGTGCATGTCGTCCTACCTCCGCTGCTACCTGGTTGTCCTTCGCTCCATTGAGTCATGACGTCTTCTCCAGCCTAGCCAAGAGTCCCGTTTTATGCCAGCAGCCAGCGGAGCCAATCGAGCTCGCCGTCGTTAATGAAGATACTTGGTTCGGGAACATCATAAAGTTAATGCTATTCAGTGTACATACGAAGCACAATAATCCCAAGCTGCTCTACACAGCCTCCTTGGCTTTGTCAGGCACTAGGTTTGCTCGCGACGTGGATTCTCTACGTGCATTCTAACGACAGACTTCGATATTGGCTGATACGAGCGATGCTCGTTTTCGATCCTACATTTGACGAGGTGGGCTGTGTACAGCTGCACGAATTAGTCTGAAAGTATGGATCTCAAGTGACCGTTGTATAAAAGTGACCCTGGAGCACTTTGGGATGAGATGGAGGAGTCATCAAAACATCGAAAGCCAGCCATCCGACCACAACACCGATAGCCAGACCGAAGTGTTCAGCATGAAGGGCCCCTTTTCACTATTCGCTCTTGCGGCAGTCGCATTGGCGCAGGACGAAGGCAGCGCTGTTCTCACTGCGATTCAGATCCAATCCGACCTCACTCAACTATTCGCTGCTCTGCAACTGTTTCCCGATGTGGTGAGCACCCTCCGTTCAGCATCCAACATAACTATCTTCGCTCCGACCGACACAGCTTTTGCGGCTCTCGGATCTGACGCACCTACGGGAGATGCCTTAGCCGCAGTTCTCAACTACCACGTTGTCCAGGGCCAGTATCCAGCTTCCACGATTCCGACGATGCCGACCTATGTGCAGACTCTGCTGACGCCAGAGCTATCCCAGACGGACACAGCCCTGACCAACGTTACTGGGGGTCAGTATGTGGGTGTGGTCAATAATGGAACTGGTGTGCAGCTTTTGAGCGGCAATCTGGCTGTTTCAAATGTTGTTGAAGCAGTAAGCACTCCATCATATCTTTCATTGCAATTACCAGGGGGCTGTTATCCTCAGTGTGACACTAACATTCCTGCCAATGCACAGGACATAATTCAGGGCGGCTCAATCAGCATCCACAAGATCGACCGTGTGCTGACCCTTCCCGAGAATTTGGCTATCACGCTGTCCGAGGTTGCGGGTGCCTCGACTATTGTTGACGCTGCTATAGTCGCTGATCTGTCCGAGACACTCACTACAGTTGAGGATCTTACAATCTTCGTCCCGAATGATGCTGCGTTCGAAGCTATTGGCTCCGTCCTTGCCACTGCCAACCTAGAAACACTGCAGAGCGTACTCCAATATCACGCCATCACTGGGGCGGTATTCTTCGCTGAAGATGTCACAAACACTACTTCTCCTTCTCTGGCTGGAAACTTGACCTTGTCAGTCATTGATGGCGCAGTATTTGTCAATGAGGCCAAGGTCATCATACCTAACATCATCCTCTCAAATGGTGTGGCTCATGTTATTGACTCGTGAGTATCTTCTGTCCCTGCGGACAAATGCCACTAATCGTTTCTGCCAGGGTCTTGAATCCCCTTGCCACAGAGCCTTTCGACCGAGCCTCGCTCTCGCCATCGAACTCGCCTGTCGTCGCCTTTCAAGGCGCTTCCCCTACGGCAGTCAGTCTCGGGCTACCCCGACCAGCTCCAACCACTACACTTTCGGTCCCTGCAGTTTTGACCTCTGGCCTTGCTACTGTCACTGGTACACGAGCATCTGCTTCAGGTTCGGCAACGAACTCAGGGCCTGCTGTTGCAAGCGCGTCTGGCGAAAGTGGTGCGTCTAGCCAACGGATTGTTGGTGGTCTACACGCTGCGGGGGGGTTGCTGGGTGTTGTTGCCTTACTTGCATAAGTAGTGCCATAGCGACTTGATTCAGCCAACAGATAGTGTATCTGCTGTAGTAACTTGGGCCCGTCAAAGAGATGTCAGCGTATCTAAACCAATGTATGTCCATCGGTACATTGTGTGTACAGCCTGTTTCTCTTCTCCCGTAAAGATCTGGCCCACTAACAGCGTGATCAAACTTACCTGGCAGCGAATACTCGCCTCCAACGAGACCGGTTGACACTATCTTTTGGAGAATCTAAAGTCACATGATTTCCAACGACATTCTACTCCACTAAAACTTTCTGCCTCATCAGAAGAATATTCGACAGTCAAGTTGTTGGAACTTCTACGATCTGAGCCGTAGGTCGACATGCCTCGCACGAAGAAAAAACGCGGCAAATTTGAGGAAAAGAGAGAGAAGCGGCAACACGACAACTCAGACAGATCGCACGACAATGTCAAGCGGCGAAAACTCGACAATGGCAACGATATTGAGGCAAATGAGAATGGCGAAGAGGAGTACTTCTTCGAGGACACGGCGCCAGGACCACCTGTGGAGGGCGCCGATCCAGACAAGAGCGATATCACTTACTATGGTCTTCTGACCGACGAAGAATCAACCTACTACGCCAACGTTAACGCCAAGGTCGCAGCCAATGATTTCGAAGACGAGGACGATAGAACAGCGTTCATTGACGCAGTCTATAGGGAGTCTCGGGGTAAGGAGATGAAGCTCGCCTCGAGTCAGTCTTCCTCACGGCATCTGGAACAGTTGCTCAAGATTTCGAATTCTGAGCAGTTGAAGAACTTCTTTGCCGCTATACTGGAAGGTCTGGTGCAACTGATGCAGCATCGCTTTGGAAGCCATGTCTGTGAGACCGTGTTCTTAGAATGTGGCAAACACATCGACGCGGCGGAGGACCAAGTAGAGAAGGACGGAACAACGACCATGACTGGGCTGTTCCTCCGAACGGCAGAGTTGCTAGAAGGCCACATCGCATACATGCTCACGGACCGATTTGCGTCGCACACGATTCGCGTATTGTTACTGGTCCTGTCAGGCGAGCCATTGGATGTGCCCTCGAGCACGGCCGTCTTCGCGAGTAGGAAGAGACAGAAAGACGAGTTGTCTGCCAGCCAGTCACAGATACATGCTTCGAAGGAGTCATCAGCCGACAGGCGAAAAGTGCCCAAATCCTTCTCGAAAGCCATGTCGAAGATCACGTCAGCTGCAGTTGCCGGTCTCGATCCCACCTATCTGAGGTCCCTTGGTACACATCCGACAGGAAACCCTGTACTGCAGATCCTGCTTCAGCTCGAGCTAAGCAACTCGGATCGTGGGAGGAATTTGGATAAAGATTCATTGTTCAACAGGCTCATCGAGCCCGACCAATTGAACACCGACTCAGAGGGCGCCAAATTCATCTCGAGCCTGACATACGACCCGACAGGATCTCGCCTGATCGAGATCATAGTCAGATATTCACCAGCTAAGACTTTCAAGAAACTGTATCAAACCGTCTGGCAGGAAAAAATCCGCAGTATGGCACGAAATGATCTTGCTAATTTCGTCGCCATCAAGGTTTTGGAACGTATCGGAAAGGACGATCTGGAAGTGGCTCGTGAACAGATCTTGCTCGACCTACAGCTACTCATCGAACGCCGGCGTTTCAAAGTACTGCAGACTCTCGTCGAACGCTCGGAGGCGCGAGGCTTGATCTCCAGCCTCTTGCGAAGTCTTTCAAAGCTGTCAGCCAGAGCACGCACAGCATCCTGCAAGATGTACTCTACCCAAGTTCAGTGGACTCAAAGCTCGATGCTCGTAGCGAAAGCAAGAAAGCGGAGAACAAATCCACACCAAGAGCCGACACGCACGGCTCACTCCTTGCGCAGAGCATGATTGCCGTCGAAGCCACAGCTCCGCTCATTCTCGACTGCATCGCCGCCCTGCCTCCTACCGAGCTAGTTGCCTACGCAACGGACCCTGCCGCCTCCCGCCTTATTCAAGCCGCCCTCACACCGTCTCCGACAATTTCTATGTCATATCGCAAGCTCCTCGTGCCCAAGTTCACCGGCCACATTAAGCAGCTATCCACCGATAGCGTCGGCTTATATGTCGTTGAAGCTCTCTGGCCCGCGACGAATGGTGCCCACTTCATGAAAGAACGGATCGCGAAAGAACTCGCGGACAGTGAGGAAGAGTTACGAGACAGCTACTTTGGGAGAAGAGTGTGGCGGATGTGGCAGATGGACGTCTACATAAGAAGCAAGGCCCAGTGGCAGGGGATGGCTAAGGGGACACCGGGGAGTGAGGCCGACAATCGAATGTTGGCCGGTAATGGGACTCAAGTCCCCCATGAGAGGAAGAAGAAGCCGATAGAGCTAGCGAGGGAGAGGTGGGCTTTAGAGCAGGCTAAGAAGCTGGACTCGCAACAAGAAGGCGCTGTCCAGGAGCAGCGATGACCCGTGTCCGAGTAATGCGGCGTGTCAGTATCGGCGTGATCTGCCATTACGACAAATGCAATAGCTGTTGGCGGTCAGGCAACCTGTGCGCTGTACTGCACATGTCTTCTGCAGGAGTGAAAGCGCCCCCAATGTACCTGTAGGATATAATAAAACTCGAATCAATCTGAATGCACGCGGGACCTCAGGAGGAACCACCAGACACCGTGAAACTTAAAGCTTGGCAATAGCAAAACGAGTCGCCTAATCGAAAACTCGATCGCCTATAAGCGAGCTCGAAACCCCAGTATCGGGCTTTCTCTTCTCGACTCTTGTTTCAGCTGAACAACCACATTTTTGCGCCACGACTGCTTCTACAGCACTGAAAAGGTCGAGCATATGCATTCATGCTGCAGTTGACCGATGATAGGTCTTCTCACACGCATTTCCTGCGGGCCGTCGCGCGGGCATTCTCGGATTTCGCTCTGTCACAATCTACAAGCGGCAAAGCTCGCCTTTCTTTCACGAATTCGGCATCAGGCGTGCTGAGAACACGATGCACCAGGCGACACATGTGCGACGTCCATATGCAGGTCATGAAAGAGGCTGCCTGACAGAATGGATCCCATTCGTCACTTGATCGATGCCATAAGGCAGACTTGTCCGGGGACGATCTCCTTCGTCCTTACGTGGTCAGCCGTACGCACGTCCGAAGCAATCGTATAGTGCAATTGGTTCATGGTCAACGCCATCCGATGTCTCAACTGGTGCGTTCGCAGAGCCACCCCAGCATCAGATGTCCGTTTTGCGAAGACTCAGCCTCAGGGACCATGTCTGTGCTTCACACGTCTCGATGTGCCAGAAGTCGAAGAGCTCATACATACCTTCTCTTGAGTATCGAGTGCTTCTGTTTCCTGCTCTCGGCCATCCCCTCCTTCACTTCAAACCGCGTCTGCGTGAACATATGTATCATTCGCTACAGTGACAGCAATGCAGCTGGTTGATCGCTTCGTGGCTGCCATCACGTATGTGGTGAGCTTCCTAACATTCCAGCCTGGGAGTACACCAGGTTTGCAGCTACAGCAGCCCCTCATCCCACATCACCCTCATGGAGGAGAGTATGAAGCACTCCGGGGACCCATTTTCAAACCTCCAGGTGGTAGACCAAATGGTCCGGGCTCGGACTTCCAGTGTGACTACTCCAATATGCCTGGCTTCACCAGCTGTTCAACAGCCGAGAATAGATCGTGTTGGCTACGAAACAGCAAGACGGGCTTTGAGTACAACATACGGACAAACTATGAGGACACAAATCTGACACCAGTTGGCGTCCACCGAACGTACTACCTGAACTTGACTGACACTGGTTACAATGCGGATGGGCTGCCATTCCCATACGGCAAGCTTTTCAACTCGACATACCCTGGACCCTGGATTCAAGGCTGCTGGGGCGACAACATCACCGTCGTGGTAACGAATAAGCTCAAGCACAACGGCACATCTGTACACTGGCACGGAATAAGGCAATGGTTCACGATGCACATGGATGTTGTCAATGGAGTGACCCAATGCCCTATTGCGCCCGAGGATAGTTTCAATTATACTTTCCGCGCAATGCAGTACGGGTCATCATGGTACCATAGCCACTACTCGGTACAGTACGCCGACGGAGCTGTCGGACCTATGACGCTACACGGCCCAACATCAGAGCCGTTTGACGAGCCTAAGCTACCAATCCTGATGACAGACTGGGGCCACAATAGTGCTTTCGAAGCAAGCTTTACCACCCTAGCAAACAAAAGCATATTGCTCAACGGCGTTGGCGACGTTACTCGTTACAACAACTCCGTCAAAGCGACTCTAAGAATTCCCGATGCCTGGACACTCAACTTTGAGCGGCCGTCGCCAGGGGTACGCGCGAAAAGGTATCTGTTGCGTCTCATTAATACGTCCTTCGATTCCACGTTCGTTTTCTCCATCGACGGCCATGTCCTTCAAATAGTCGGCGCAGACTTCGTACCTTTGCACTCGTACACGAATACGTCGGTCTTAGTTGGCATAGGACAGCGTTATCATGTCATTGTGACGGCGCTCGAAAAGCCAGAGGAAGACAGCTACTGGATCCGAACATACAAGGCCAATTGCTTCCGCTTCACGCAGGACAAAGCCAGTAAAGGCTACGAGACCACCGGCGTCCTGCGCTATGGCGGTGACCCAAAGGTCCTTCCTGTCAGTCAGCCATGGCCTGTCGGAAGCAGTGTATCCCTCGACTGCTCTGACGAAACCTACTCGAGCCTGAAACCTATCCTGGAATGGCAGGTTGGCAAAGCAGCCAATGATCTCCTTGGCGGTGTTGGTCAGAATTTCACTGTACAGGGCGCGTCTGGTAGCAGCATATATCCTTTGGCGTTCTTCTCCATGGGTGGTGACAATTTCAATCCATTCAGAATTGACTATGGAGATCCTACATTCAACCATCTCAATAAGACGGGCGCGTGGAACCCGATGTGGGTGGTCATACCCGAGACTTATGGTGACAAGGACTGGGTAAGTTCCCGAGTACTTTTCTGCTTCAGCTACGTATCTGACTGTGTGCAGGTATATCTGGCTATCCAGGGGGTCAAACTTACAGGTCGCACAACAGGGGCTCATCCGGTAAGGCACATCCTTCCATCCTCTCTGTTCCCGGTCCTCTGTTGGGTCACTTGGACCCGGCAATCCGGGGCGCTATAGCTCCTCATAAGGCATCTTTGTACTCACTGTCTGTAGATCCATCTCCACGGTCATGACTTTGCCATTCTACAACAGATCGGAGCCCGCGCCTTCCCAGCCGGCCTCAATCTCACACTCAACAATCCGCCACGCAGGGACGTCGTTCTCCTTCCACAAGACGGCTACGTCGTCATTGCCTTCAAGACCGACAACCCCGGTGCCTGGCTCGTACACTGCCACATCGCGGACCATGCTTCAGCTGGTCTGGCAATGCAGATCATGGAGCGGCAGAAGGATGCGGCGAATATCTGGCCAAGTCTGAACACAAGTGCGGCGCTGAGAGAGACGAAGAGGGTTTGTGGCAACTGGAACCAATGGTGGGGCCACTGCGAGAACTGGTGGCCCGGCGATGGAAGTACGTGCCCGGCCGGTGAGCTCGCAGCTTCTCCAGATTCTGGGATCTGAACAGCCTTGCCGGTGGGCGTGTTGAGGAGCGATTGGAAAAGTCATCCGGACTCAAAACGGCCAATTTCTCCTATGACCTGGGTCAGGAAGCCCATATTTATCTGTGACGGCGATTAATGAGACGAGCAAATGCCGATATGGGTCAGCTCATTGAGCCGAATATTCGGGACCTTGAGCTTGATGGTGTTTTTCTGGACGTGACTCCAGGCTTCTTAAATGAATAGCTTAAACAGTTGTCATGTAGTGCTCTGAATGCGGGAGCCGGTACGCCACCTGACTGTATCGCCAGTGACAGGGTAGTATGATGTTGTAGGAGCATCAAAACCAGCAAGAATGGCAAGTCCGATCGGCTTGCATGCTACCCAGGAAGTCCGTCAACGATACCTGTGGAGCCTAACTACGAGCACTCATTGCCAAGACTGGGGATGGCGTGCTGATCTGATGGATATCCATAAATTTGAATGACTTGTCAGTGGCGACCTTTTCAAATCTTCAAAATGCACAATCATGATAGAAACGAATGGTCTGAGTGGGCAAGCACCTAACGGGTCAAAGCTGGACACGGCCAGAGCGGGCGAGCTTGAGGTTTTGCTGCAACATTGCGTTGAGAAACTGGTCGAGTTTGTCCGCAGCGCAGATGGCGAAGTACAGTCGCATCAGACACAGCAAGAGATCTCAAAATCATGCTTGGTGGACTATCACTCGCCTCGCGCGCTATCGGAAGTTCTTGGTGACAAGATCAGCCTAGCCCAAGATGGCACCGGCTTGGACGGCTTTAGGACCACGGTAGACACACTTCTCCGCTACAGCGTCAACACATCCGCGCCAGGTTTTCTCGATAAGCTCTACTCCGCGCCGCTGGCCCCTGGCATTGCTGCTGAGCTGATCCTAGCGGTACTAAACACCAACGTGCATGTCTACCAGGTCTCGCCAGTGCTCACCCTGATCGAGAAGTACACGACTAAAACGTTGACACGATTGTTCGGCTTTGATGGGCCGAGATGTGGTGGCATCAGCGTCCAGGGTGGCAGTGCGAGCAACACGACGTCTATCGTCATTGCAAGGAACACGTTGTTCCCGCAGACCAAAGTCCATGGTAATCATGCAGACGGACTGGATCTGGTGCTTTTCACCTCTGCGCATGGGCACTACTCGATCGAGAAAGCTGCTCAACAGTGCGGCTTTGGCTCCGCTGCCGTGGTCTCAGTGCCGGTCGATCCTGAGACAGGCAGTATGATAGCGTCAGAGTTCTCCCATCTGGTCAAGCAAGTGAAGTCGCAAGGCAAAACTCCCTTCTACGTCAACTGCACGGCAGGAACGACAGTGCTCGGGTCATTCGACCCCTTCACAGAGATCTCGGCCATAGCTAAAGAGCACAACATGTGGATGCACATTGACGGAGCATGGGGCGGTAGCTTCGTCTTCTCACCATCACTAAGCAGAGATCGTCTGAGGGGCTGTCATCTGGCGGACTCGATAGCCATCAATCCTCACAAGATGATGGGCATTCCGGTCACCTGCTCTTTCCTTCTGGGCAAAGATCTAAAGCAATTCCACACGGCGAACACTCTCAAAGCCGGCTACCTGTTCCATGATGCAGACGAGGAAGGCGATAGCGCTCCCAATAGCTCCATGAACAGCAATACTGGCACAGCAGAGGACGCCTGGCAGGAGCCGAACGATCTCGCAGATATTACTTTGCAATGCGGCAGACGAGGCGACAGCTTGAAGGCGTTCATGGCTTGGCAGTACTACGGTACAGGTGGCTACACAGAGAAGGTCGAGAACGCTTACAACACAGCATGCTTCCTGGCGGAGCTAGTAGCTGCGTCGCCTGATCTGCTGCTCGTGTCATCGAATCCACCGCCTTGTCTGCAGGTCTGCTTCTACTACGCACCCGGCGGTAAGTCCCTCTACGGAGACCAAGCTGGTAGCGACACTAGCAAGACCTCAAGTGGTCCAAAGGCGGCCGAAATGAACGGCAAGCAGAACTCCAAGGTCACCGAAAAGATCACCCGGGCACTCGTGCAGAAGGGATTCATGATCGATTTCGCTCCTGCCCTAGAGGGCCAGGAGGCGAGCGGGAAATTCTTCAGAGCTGTCGTGAACATCTCTACGCCGCGGGAGACGGTGCTGAGGCTCGTCAAGAGTGTCGAGGAAGTTGGTAGGGAGGTCCGTCAGCAGCTGGTGGGTGAGCTGCAGAAGGCCGACGGCTTATAGAACAGATATGTATGATCGTGTATACAATAATCCATATAGACCTGAGAAGATACATTAACAATAGACGTGACTTCTTACCAGGGATGCGGCTCGGTTACGGCATTGAGCCAGTCGTGGCTGGCTGGGGTACCAAAAAGCTGAGCATTAGTAAGAACTCCTAAGCTCTCGGCCGATCTGGTGTAAGTTCTGCTCGTATGTCCTGCTTGGCGCAGGAGGGATTCGTCCATCATATCCATCTTACGGCACTTGGCTTCATTTCAATGCAGATGCTCCATGGGACAGAAGCTGTGAGCTAGCGATTTCAGTGCGCTGGCGCTGCAGTGTCGCCACTGTCGTGGGTGCAGTGCATGTCTGATCATGTCAACAGTCTTGGAACCCTAGGGGAAGCTCATTGAGTTCCACCGAAGTCTAGGCCAGCAGCACCTCAGCCATGGGCTGAAAAGATGTCGGCAGAACATGGTCGGGTAAAGTATATATATACATCAGATAGACGGCCAGAGCAGTATCTTAGACTCCAGTCCTCCTTGCACTGCTTCACAACATCACACACAAGTCATCCATAAACGAAGGATACAACGTCAACGGAACAATGTCGGGCATCACTTCCTACGCATATCCTGGTGTCGGTATCTTCGTAAGGGAGCATTTTTGGTACAGCCAGGCGAACCGCCACGGTGATTACGTTACTTGCGCCGGCCAAGGTAAGTCATTCGATCGAAGCACTCCAGATCAAGAACGACAAGTCTCACGGACCATGTCTGCTCGTTACATGCCTTCCTTCCTGATACCATTGCTTACACGATGTTCAATAGGTGGATGGAAGCCCGACACCCAAGACCCAGGCGCAGCAATCGCAGACGAAACATTGATCCCCAAGGACGTTGGCGAGGAGATCGACCAAGCCTTTGCTAATGTGCAACATGCTCTCGAGCACGCCGGTAGTAAAGGCTGGTCACAGGTATACAAGGTCCTTACTTTGAGCACGAGTATCCCGGAGCAGCACGAACACATTGTGCGGAACCTGAAAAAGTGGCAACCGGACGAGAAGAGAGCGACATGGACAGAAGTTGGCGTGGCCCATCTTGGACTTCCGACTATGCGGTTCGAGATTGAGGTTGAAGCGTATGATCCTGAGGGTGCGAAGAGAGCTTGAGACAGGAGTTATCAGGGAGGTCCGAAATAAGACACTCGCGCCTGCCAGTTGCCATAGAGTGGTTCGCTCGAGGCTGCCGGGACAGCAAGAGACGAAATCATGAATCTGCCAGTGAACTAAGACTAAGCGGTGACGTCAAAAGTCGAGGCAGTGGAAATCTTGGCACATACGCTTTAATTCTTGCAGCTGAACTATCTCTCCCGTAACGTGCCACTTGCACTGCTAGGTGAGAATTGCATATATCAATCTTATTGCCAAAGCAGAAGTACAGAGCTCTGGCCGCCCGAGACCGCTTATAACTGCCCATGTTTTGGTATCTAAGCTGTCATGCAGGCTTGGCATGGTTAGTAAGCGCAACACGACTTCGCGACAAGCAACATGGAGCAGTGTTCTCCGCTTTAGTAATTTTGATGAGTTCAGATAAAGTCGAGGGGCAAGTATCCGGATCATCCGTGTCTTTGGTATTGCCAAAACTGTCTTCGATGCTTTAGGTGACACTCTGGTAGACTACAGTGCTAAAGCTCAAACCGTGATTTGGTCGTAACACAGACACCCGAAGTGAAGTTGAACGAACGCGGGCTGTTAGTCGCTACTCCTCGCCGCTCGCAACTCCAACTTGTGAGAAGGGCACTGTTGGGCAAGCTCGACCCTTTCATCACCTACTAGGGAAGCAGCTCTAGCGGAAGAAAATAGTGCGTGGCAGGAAGAAGCGGCAGTTCACGCATCGGCTGGGCCCTGCTCATGACCTTCAGGGCTGTCTGCCCAGCACGAACGTCAACAGAAGCATCGCGGGCCCGGAACAACCATATCTAAGTCTTCATAACACCCGTGGACCCTTACAATGGCTGCAAACGTCGACTCACCACGTCGGTCCAGCCTCTTTGGCCTTTTCAAAAAGTCGAAAAAGGAGCGCTCCCAATCTGTGGCACCCACAGATGATGACACAGGCCGTAAGATGCTCGGCAATCGAAGTCCCCGGCGTAGCCTTCAGCTGCCCGGCAAAGACAACTACGTGATCGAGCACCGGTCAACGAATCTCAGCAGTCTCTCTGGGCATTCTGGTCTAAGGACAATGCAAAGTCCGGAACAATACAAGACTGATTCGCAGACGGGTGAGATGGTGTACGAGCGCGATAAGCAGACTGGAGAAATCATTGATCACACTGAGATGTTGCACGCGTTAGGGTTGACAGATTCAACAGTACTTGCGCCGCTCTTGATGCGAATGCAGACTCACGATGCACAGAGCCAGGCGAATCAATAGTGGCCAGATTCACTGAGAGAACGTGGCAACAGGTATACGCTTATCTCAGTGATGCAGATCTGGCGGCCATATCCTTTTCTTGCAAAGCCTTCCACAGCCGACTTGGTACAGAACCATTTCAGAAGCTGGCGGATCCGGACAACCTGGCACAGCGATACGACTTCCTACAGAGACTGGACAAGACATTACCAGGACACCTGCTGTGCTTCGACTGCCATAGGTACCATAAGCGCATCGCGCCTGGTGAAGAGAAGCTGGTACCGATCAACGTCCAAAGCCCAGTCTACGACTGTCCAGAGGTTGGCAATCCAAACAAGATCAACCCTCGGATACGCATAACCTTCGATCGTATCATGCCTTTGACGTTTGTCCAAATGGCAATGCGAGCCCATCGCTTCGGAGCACCTTACGGTATCACTATGGACACGATCTCAAGAAGATACAAAGACAAGGTTGATGACAGCACTTGGTCACACCAGACCAAGTTCGCAGTTGTTAAGGGTCACCTCTTGATGCGCGTCATGAGCTCATGCTATGCGCCGCCTGGACTCCCGCCAGCAGGCGAACGCCACCTTCTTTACTCACGCCAGAACTTCATTCCCTTCTTCTCCGTCTGCCCACATTGGCAGGACGGTGTGCTTATGCCAAATGTCAAGTGTGCTCTACGCCACATTCCGAAGCCGTTGGAGGGCAGTGGCCTGAATCGCGTAGCGCGAGAAACAAAGCTGCACTTCAACCCCGAAAAGCCCATAGTCTCGCTTTGCCACAACTGCAAGCCGATGCGCCGTTGTCCCGAGTGTCCTTCCGAATACCTCATCGAAATACGCATGACCGAGGACAAGGCTGATCCGACGAAGCTCTTCAAGCAGACATTGGTCGTCACACGCTGGAGCGATCTAGGAGACGGGTCTTCGCCGTTCACACCGGAATGGGAGGCACTCAATGGCAAGCCGGGCTTTGACTCGGTGGAGGCTTTGGGCAAGCGGGCGGTGGCTGGACAGTTTGAGGCGGAGTTCAATGGGGATGTAATTCCAAGTCAGAACATGCTGAGCATGAATCCCGAGAAAATGAAGTTGGGTGAGAAAGGACATGATTGGTATTGATTGTGTTTTAGGCAGTTACGCCGCGACTCCGTGCGTGATGCGTGGAGGCGATGAAGCCACATCGACTGCGAGATCGAACGTTTTGTCATCCGGTCTGACCAATGTACGCAAATATTATTACCTGGGAAGGAGCGGCTGATGTACCTAGGTTTCTGCCAGCAACTTCCTCAGCGTCGTCCAGTCAGCCGGTCTCATCAGGAAGTACCTCCTCGGCCTTCTACAAGTGGTTGAAGCATACCGAATTTCAACAGGCAGATATGTGTTACACCAGCTTGGCTGGCAAAACAGCAGCAACGTCAGATCGAAAGCTGTCTATGGACATTCTTCTCTATACCTCTAGTATATGCAGACCCAGCGTGTCTCACAAAGACCTACTCTACCCACGTTTCCTCAGATAGTCCCCCCCCTTGACCGCGCTCAACACCCCATAAATTCCCTTCAACGGCCACACCGTCTCCCACACCCACTCGTACCACCCCATCTGCGCGCCTCCACCAGCCAATCGATCCAACACCTCTGCTCGCGGCCCAACCTTCTGATACACATCCGGCAGGGTCTGCGCGTTATACTTGACCCTCAATTCATCGTACCACTTCCGATCATAGATCCGCCAGAATTCCTGCTCTGTGTAGAACGTCTGCGCGTACAGCCACTTCATGCCTTCCAGGCTCGCGAGCTTGGCTTCGATGGCACGATTAATCGTTAGCTGGTTGCTCGCTGCGGAGGGTGGGAGCGGGCCCCAGAGACCGATGTTCAGGAGGAAGTCGTCGCCGCCGGAGGATAATTTGCCGCTGGCGGCAGGCTTCTGGGAGTCGAAGTGCGGAGACATGCTGATCGTCTCGCCTGCCTTCAAGGGGCAGAGCCAGCGTGGATAGATCTCGTTGCAGCCGCCTTCGGGGGAGTCAAGCCAGTCGCTGAATACTTCCATGCGGGAGGCCGGGGTGGCCATGTCTTGGATGATGAATTGATTGGTGAGGCCTGAACGGTGAAGGGCGTGGTACATGATGCGAGTGTTCATGAAGTCGTCAAGGAGGTAGCGTGTGACCCAATTGAAGGGCGTCATGAAGTAGGTGAAGGCGTGTCGGCCGGTCCAGAAGGCACCACGGTCGTAGCGAAAGATGTAGGAGGTGAGTGGGATGGTGTCTGACTCGGGATTTGCGGCACGAGATTGTGCGTGGAGATAGAACCAGGGGTCCGAGGCGGCGTAGAAGGTCGTGACTTTCTGCTCTGATGAGGGGTCCGGGCGGAAGGTGCCTGACATGATGACTCCGGACGTGGGCGAGAACATGATGCCGTCGAGGAAGGCGATTGGGCTTGTACCGGACTTGTCGGCTTCCATAAGTTCGGAGGTGGTCTTAATCGCGGCGGAGATGGAGTCGACTGGGTGATAGTCGAGTGTCATGTAGCGTTGAGCCTCGATGAGCCTGACTTCGAGGAGTGTAACAACGCCGAGGGTGCCGAATGTGCCGGCGCTGCCGTAGAAAAGGTCGGGTCGTTCGGTAGGCGATGCGTTGACGATGGTGCCGTCTGCGAGGATCATCTCGACCCAGGTGACACAGCGATCAAAGAAGCCGTACTTGAAGCTGCTGCTTTCTCCTGCCGTTCCGGCAAAAGCTCCGCCAACAGTGATGCCTCTAAACTCGGGAACAACGGGCGGCATGAGCTTGTGCTGCATTGTGCTGAAGAGCAGTGACTCCATCGACACATTCGGCTCGCAGAGACATGTCTTGGTATTGGGGAAGACTCTGATCACATGCGACAATGTCGAGACGTCCAACGAGGTTTTCGAGGTTTTCGTTGAAACGCGAGTAGAGTTGGTGTTGCCATGATAGATCCGAAAAGGTGTTTTGGATGCGTGAAATGCCGCGACCTGTTCGGCTAGCTCGTTGACGAAATCATTGTGTGGCGCCAATGTTGATGGCTGTGGGAGGTGAACCATTGCTGCCGGGTAGAGATGCCTGTGGCCAATAGCGTCGAACTTCAGCTAAGGTGGTGATCGTTCAAGAGCGTGCCATAAAGTATCGTGAACGAGTTTCTGCACAATCTCGAGCCGGAGATCTCCTATGATCTGTGTACGCTCATACCAACGCAGCCAATTCAGCTCAACCGAACTATTCAGATCAGTGACCTGTCCTGTCTGATGCTATTAGGACAGACTCACAAGGTTAGCAGTGGTCGGAAAGATTCATAGCTCCTTGGCAGATCAGGCCGCGTATAAAATATTGGCAACTGTGTATACAGTACGTAGGCAAAATGAATGTCTCCATTCATGGGAAAGAAACACCATGGAATTTCATGCTAAGGAGGACGCCGTAGGAGTTGTGTCTAAGATCTTCAAGATAGCGAGTGCAATTGCGCAAGACCATTGTACTATAGATCGCAGCAGCTACTTTGCGTACACTGGAGGAATAGTCTGGAAAACACAGACTACACCACAGACAAGAATCATTCGAACCTAGTGCGTTCAGCCCGTGCTAGTCCGTTCCCACATATCCTTTTTGTCTCGTTGCGCCTGGCGCCTTGCTGTAATCAAACGAAAGATGGGTTCATAACATCATTTCCTCCCAGACTCTGGCTCCAGCTCCGGCTTCTAGACGCGAGCGAATCCTCGATCAAGCATGCTCAGATGCCTCTTGTCAGCGCTGAAGCCGAGCTTCTCACTTGGGATGTCCTGCGGAGGTGCTCCTGTTCCGCCGGGACTGGCACTGCCTTGGCGCTCTGCAGCAGACGGAGCCTGCGCCTTAGCATCATTGTTTGATGCGTCAGGCTCAGAAATCAGAGAAGTGATGTTGGGAACCTGGCTCGCTGTAACTGGAGTTCCAGAATTCGCGCTGGGCACTCTCTGCATCGGTGTGGTGGCGACGGGTGCCGCAGCTCCACCTTCAGCAGAGTTAGGAGTTGGCGGGCGTACGCTGGGTTCCGCTGGAGGCGGGGCCGTCAGGCGAGGATCAATCTGAAAGCTGCTGTTCCGGGGCTCTGAAGCGGACTCTGCAGCTGCGGGCTGTGGTGGCGGTGCAGTGGAGTATGAGCTCTGTGAGTAAGACTGTGTAATTGGCGGCGGAGGGATGCTCTGGTGGAAGGGTGCTGGGCTAGCACTGTGACCAGATTGTGATGTGCGGCCGAGCGCATCGCGCAGCTGCGGACGTTGGTCGTACGAGGATGGTGGTGCTGCATTCATCGGCAGGGCGTGCGATGTTGCGTAGGGAGGCGCTGGGTAGCCAATTGGATGCATTCCAGGAGCAGGAGCGTAGTGGAGAGCATAAGGTGGCGGCGTATGCATCGGACTCAGAGGATATGCCATATAAGCTGGGTGCGGAACATATCCTGGTGGAAGATATGGGTGCGGGTGAGGCCCAGCTCGACCATAAGCTGGAGGAGCAGCGACAACGTAATTGGGAGCGCCTGGCATGGGTGACCTAATGGTCTCGTTAGTATTCTCAGTGGCTTAGATCATGATCTGGTCTTACCTAGTCACGGCCGGGACAGTCGACTGATCATTGACGGTCGACTCGGGATACATCCCTTTGGCTGGCTGTATCGATGATAGCTGGGGGTCGGCGGTTGGCTGCCGGAGTTGTTGCGAGGAGGGAGATGCTCGTGAGTAATAGCTGATTAGGTGCAGATGCTGACCTTGAGAAGTGGTTATGCTGAAAGACTGCTTCATCAACCCGTCGGGCTTGTAGCGGTAGCCATCAGGCCTTCCTCAGCATCTCCAAGATCTGGCTCGGCTTGACCACTTTCGGGAGTCTTAGTCGCGCGAGCGCCAGGTGTACTGAACGAGGTGCTGCCGCGCTTGCCTTCCATCTCGCGATATGTGAGAAAACTGCCAGATACTCTGCTGGCGCTCCAACTCTTGCCATCAGTCCATCTGCGCATGCCAGCCTCTCGCTCGTCCCACACGAAGACCGATCCAGATCTGATCGACTGCCGCTCCTTCTCGGACAGTCGTCTTTGGACTCGTGGCAGAAGACCTAGGCGGCAGGCTTCGAAGAGGATGATCGCGTCCGAAGGGGTTCGAACGATTCCGTTGTATGTCTCCATCGTTACTCGATACGGACGTCCCTATAAGTGGAAGACAATGAGGGCTTTCCAGATGTTCTTTCAGGAGTAGCGTGTCACTAATGTGACAATGGCCTCAATTTGTGGCCGCGAGCACGCCCGCAATGTGACGCAAAATGGTTGTGACACTCTTTCTACACACAAAATCTGGACAGTCGGCAAGTGATGGCAAGGGCACAGCTGGTAGTCGCAGTCTAGACGGATCCGTCTGGGATACGTTCGCCAGTACAGAAGTCGCTGATGTCGATGCGACAAGTTAGAGCTAGCGATTATAGGTGTGCGCAAGCTGAGAGTTTTGGGCAAGGAGAAACCCTAGGAGGTTCGGTCGGGAGAAATGAACCCTGTTATACGATTCCGCAGACAGTAAAGTAAAAGTGCAGGTGCTAAGCCGCTATCTCATGCCTACAGTTTAAGCTTACTGTCTAGAGAGGCTCATGGGTCACCAGACGCTGAGGCTCCGAACACCGGTGCTTTCCTTTTTCACTACATCACCATCCATTATTTCGTGGCCCTCGATGATCTCTCTATTTCTGCTATCGCTATTCTTGAGCAGTCTTGTTGCAGCGAGCGAAATCGAGCGGCAGCTGACGCGAAATCAAATTGCTGTGGTGCAATGTTTGTATCAAACCAATTGGGGCCGGTAATCCGTTTGCTGCTCCGCTTCCCGCCCTCAAAAAGCCGACGCAATCGTCAGCGTTGGAAGCCCGATAACACCAGGTGGAACAGACCAAGCAATGCTCGCATGCCAAAAGTCTTGGTTTGTCTTGGTTGCTTCAGCACTGAAGATCCTGGTTCCAAAAGGGAGCAGGACGCATTAGCTTGAAGAACGGCTGATCAAGGGAAGTCACGGTATCTGTTCGCACCACCTGTCCATTCACATAACTCGTAGCTGGAACGTTCTGGCCAGGCCTTGAAAGAAAACTGCTCTCAGCGCGGCGAGTCAGAAATACGAGCTCGCAGCAGGTCTGTCGGTATTGGCGATCGTGGTTGATAAAATGCTCGCCCTCGCTTACCGGGCTGAGTCTGCCCAGGCCACTCAAGCCACTACCAAAGTCTTGGCCATCTTGTCATTGCTAGCCTGTCCAATCGTCTGGACTCCACAGACAGACGCCAGTGCAAACCAACAGTCAAAAAGCTTGGTGAGCGTCTGAGGCTTGGTTCCATGGCCACCTCCTGGTGGGCTCTGCCTAACCCGTCGCCTAGTCCAGCAGTCCGAACGAAATCAAGATAAGACGTGGCAGCTCTTGTGTACTCTGATCGCAGGGTCATTATGTTGCATCGACTCTGGGCCCCGCAGGGCGATTCGCTTGAACGAGTATGCTTGAGGCTAAACACTGCAACCTTAACCTTGGGAAGCAAGCCTTTTTTCAACGTCGATTTTGAAAAATTGATCATTGGCTAGCTGCCCGGTCCAACTTACGTCTGGCGGTCGCAGCCAAGGGACGGCCAAGCACTCCCAAGGTATTAGCGCGGTGCACCAAACGAAACGCCAAATTGGTCGCTCCCTCCTTGCGACACGGCCGATCGCCCACCTTCGTTGCTGGGCCTAGATTTGCGACCACTTTCGTGTCCCAATGCAGCTGTCCTTGCAAAGCGTGCAACGCTGCTGTTTGCTGATACTAGGTAGTGCTGCCTTTTTGCGATGAGACACGTTGTCGTCGCACCAGGAAGATAATGGTGCGAGTCATGCGGGGTCGACTGTTGCTCCCGATATACAGGTTAAGCAGAATCTTGCGTGGCATCAAGAATGCCCTGTCTGAGCGAAATGGCCACCGGACTGTTCGATGGAGGACATTACAGGCCAAGCGCGGCGGTGGAACTTCGAGTTCTCCTCGCACACTTGTTTGTTGGTTGGTCGATCAATCATGATCGCGGCAGGCGTGCGCGTACGCATAATTCAACGCATCACAAGCCTTTTCTTGACCAGTCGAATGCTTGGACACAAATTACAGACGGAGATGCTCTGCTGCAGCACTTGAACATCGCCCGCGATGCCTAAAGAGTCGAGGTGCTCGAGTCGGCCAAGAGAACCATGCTCTGGTCGCAGTGCCAATTAGGGGTCACTTGCAGCTCTTGGTGTGCCAATAATGTGCCAATGCAGCTCCGCTACCGACAAGCCCTTGGCTGTCGCAGTGGAAATTGCTCAAGGCCATTTGAGCTTGGGTGTCACGGAATGTTTCGAGACGGAGAAGTTTCAAAGACGTAAGTCAAGCGGCGAACATGTGTGCTCCAGAGCGATATGGTTCGATGACTGGTTTCTACTGCCTTCTTCTGCACCTTGTGCGGAGAATTTATGCACATTTGAAGGTCTGAGCTGGGAGCAGAAGACCTGTTACCTGACCAAGTTGTCTGATGAGAACTTCACCAGAATTTCGAAGGTTCGGGAGGCAGATCTTCGAAAATGAGATGAAGTCAGCAGTGCAGTCTCCAGACATGCTGTACAACTGTGTCCAAAGTCCTACAGCGCGCTCCCCAGCCTGGAAATTCACCATGAATCGCTCCCACTGATTGACGCTGAAGAATCGACTGAAGCTCATCTCAACGTCCAAACCTATAACAATGGACTACCACTGATACTTCAGTGCCCTCCCTAAGCTGGTCCCCAAATGTTGCCCCGGGCGCCGGATTCACGGCCGAAGATCTCCATGGCCTTACAATTCTTGCTAGGAGGTCGGCGCTTCTACCATAAGTACCGTGTCACGGAACATCCACGCATCGCTGTGAGTAAGTGATAACACTCCGGAAGCTGACAAAATCAAGCGGCGCGCTTCGTGAAGCGAAAGCAAGAGAGTGAGACGAAGAGAGCCTCGGGCATGAATGTTTCAGCCTTCCAAGCAGTTCTCACTTATTTCAACGCTTCCTGCCGACCTGAGCATGTCATCACCAGCCGTTCCGCGCAGTTCCAATCAAAGCTGAGGTAGGTGCGCACCGCCCTGACACGGACCCGGCAGATACAGCCATCGTCCCACTTGTCTCGCACCTGTCTGCAAGTGCGAGGATCTGCCCTCACACCGATATTTGGCTCTCGGTCAACAGTAAAGATCAGGCCATTGTATCGTCACGAAGCATTGACGCTTCGTCGTCCGTTACAGTGCTGTCTGCCAGGAAGCAGAGAATGATCGCTTGGATGCGTTCTTATTTTTCTCATAGGAAAATCTGGGATATTGCTGGTCGTCATGTTTTGTCTCATACACACACTCGCCCCTTGCGCCGTCTTGCGAGCTCATCAGTACACCCCTTTGCAGAGTCTTTTCTGAGGTATCTCTGGCACGACCCTTCACAAGGCGGCAGACGAGGGTCAGGGGAGCTTCGCGAATCTGTTCTCACAGTGGCTTATCGTCAAAGCCTGACACTCCTTCGCCTATCACATTCGTCTGTATGCCCGATCCTCTCGGAGCCTCGTCTCGGACTTGACACAGGCAACACCTGTCGATGCTGCGCCATCTGCCATACCTATTACTGTTCTAGGCCTAGGACAAGTTCGGGAAGTCGCTGACCTAAGATCTGATAGGTGGTCAGACCAGAGACTTGGTGCCTGCGGCGAGGAACCCTCGTACGCCGCGGCAACATCCACGCCCAGCGAGCTTCGCATGCCTTCGCAGCCGGATCACTCGGATTCCATATCATTCTACTGCTGTAACAATTGCATGCCAGGTAACCCTTCATGAGTCGAGCTGGTCAGGCCGGAGTCACGTGCCATGGGCTGCACCTTGCCCCACCTTAAGCAGCCAGCAAACCTACTGTGTACGCCACGGCCCGGGAGGTTGTTTTCTCAGAAACCCGCGTCCAGAAAATCACTTGCCACGCTTGGTCATCAAGTAAACTGCCATTTTGTACCTTCCTGTTCAACAGGCCATGCAGGACACTAAATGCTACCATTTGCTGCGGCAGAATCATTTGAGATGAACACGCCAAGCCCCGAGTACCAGGAATGGACACTCACTTACGATACATGGCCCGCAACGTGACCTGGATCAATGAGAATGTCGGCGACCCGCGGAAAAGAGCCCTGGAGCGGTCAAGAGCACTTTCACATGCAGCGAAGTTCTCACATCCCAAGAACAAGCCTGCGCGGCAGCCCGACAAGGACGGAGACGACAATGCATCTGGTTATGTCATCGACCACTCACAAACACCACTGCCGTTGGTCGCGTGGAAAGGTAACTCCGACCCATTCAGCTCCACCACTGTTGCAGTGACCCCACGAATGCACCAAGCTTTCGAGTTCCTGCGGGACGGCTTGATTCCCAGCACACACTTCAATGCCGGCTCAAAGCAGCAGCCATGGTCCAGAAGGTTTCTGGCATCGCGAACAATGCGCAAGCATATCGAGTCCATGTCCGACGAGTGGGCTGCGTTGGGAGAGATGCTCCCACTTACTGCAGCCATCTCGCGTCTGTCCGGTTCGCACGAGCTGCAGACCGAGACGGCGAAGTCGAAGATGAAGATCATCCGGCGTCTGCAGACTGACATGTCCGGTCTGAACAATTCTGCCATCAGGGACCAGTTGATTAGTCTGACGAGGACGTTATTTGCTGCAGCGACGTTCGAGAACAACTTTCCAGAAGCCAGATTGCATGGACTGGCACTTCGCCGCCTTTTGGAGCAGAAGAGCGCTATTGAGGGCATCGAGTCTATTGAGATCAGCCTCATCTGGAGCTCCCTGTACTATGATGCGCAGATCTCCCATTGTACCGTGCAACTGTCGATCTTTGATGTTGACGTGTGGGCGCCGCTGGCGTTGAGGGTCGCAGCACGGCCTGTCTTCGAGTATCTCGAGCCGCTGCGCGAGTCAGTCGCACATTCGTTGGATCCGAGCTTGAGATACTGTCCCATACTGAAGGATGTCTGCATCGAGATCTATCAGGTCGTTTGGCTGTGGGGTAGAGCGGAGCCTCTAAGTTCACAGATCGATGGGCCGATGATGAACGTGTATCTCACAATGAGCCACAACTTGTTCCAGCTTAAGCTTAGCAATCACTTTGTCCGCCTCCGCGAAGCGCTCGATGATGGCAGCGACATGGGCTCGACGCAGCTCGATAGACATCTGGAGGCCGCCATGACGTTGTCAATGATTGCTTACCTTGCCTTGTTTACCGGAAATCCACGGATCGCTGGTCAGTATATGTGGCCGCGGGTGAGGCTGTTCACCTCGCTGCTGCACCACCACTTGACGAAGGCGACCGAGCGAGTCGCCTCGTCGGAGTCGTCATCGTCGTCGAGAACTCTACCACTAGTTCAAGACCAGCCACAAAACATGCTGCTCTTCGCCCTGTGGGTTGGAGCAACGTGGGAACAAAATGACGCACTTGCAACGGCAGATGTGCCGTCGTGGTGGTTTCGAGAGCGATTCGTGAGAACCGCACAAGCTTCAGGCTTAAAGAACTGGAATATGATCCGGGCCGTCGTAGACGGATTCGTCCCAAACCGGTTTGCGAAGCCAAGAGGTGAGAGCTGGTTGATGAGGCCCTTGCGACAGCGGTGGTTTGGGAAGACTGGGGGGCTGATGTGGGGAGGTCATCATCGCTTGACCGACCATTAGAGCGACCATTTGAGTACCAAGTACATTGAATGGTGATCCCGAAGAGTAACCTGATGCTATCCAGGCCAGGTAGTATCTACTTGATGATACAAGTGATGCTGGAAGAGTCCTCGCCATTCGAATCACAGCTCGTAAACTCCAGCGCTCGGTCGCAGCCACAGCGTCGGCAACTAGCTTTGGCTGCTCGTGCCGAATTTGTGCCATCAACACATGTTGGCGCAGGTGTGAACGGGTAAAAGAAAGCTACAGGCCTTCCCGAGAGGACTTGATCGACTTCTACAAGTCTGTCCAGATGACGAGTCCCACTCACAGCAAGTGCCTGAAAGCCGAGTCTGCCCCGAGATCGACCACACGCTAGCAAAAGACCGTCAGTATGCCTGACACGATGGGCTGCGAAGGCGGGGTGGACGGCTATCTGCGTAAGGCAGGAGCGGAAGGAGAAGAGCGTTGACGAAGAGAGTACTTAATAAGCAGATTTAGTGAATGCTGCCAGTGGTGTAGATGCAACAGCGTACCGGAAACAGCAGAGAAGAGCAGCTTGTACATTGCAACGTGGCCAAGGCGCCTGCTAAGGGCTTACAGGACACACTCAGTGAGTGTCCCACAACAACACCGCTTTGACAGTCCTGCCTTCTTTAATGTCTTTGATCGCCTCGGCCACTTCCTCAACGTGGTACGTTGTGATCAGCTCATCGTACGGGAACTTCCCTTGTTGATTCATTTTCAGCAACCACGGCAGGAACCTCTTCGGATCCGAGTCGCCTTGAAGACTACCTTGATATACTAAGCCAGCTTGCACCGCTTCAAAGGTGTTGATTGACACAGCATTCGTCAGTAGACCTACGCCGACCGCCACTATTCGCCCTCTCCGTGCTGTGCCATGCACAATTTGCTCAACAACTTTCGGTAAGCCGACACAGTCTATTGTTGCGTCCACACCTGCGCCTTTAGTGATCTCCATCAGGGTGGGCATCAGGTCCTTCTGATAAGTCGTGTTGATGCCGTGCGTTGCGCCGTATTTCTTTGCAAGTTCGAGCCGTGATGACAAGATGTCAAGAGCAATGATCCGTCTTGGAGGCCGTGCCAGGGTCTTCAGAGCCATGATAGCAGAGAGGCCCACGGATCCAACTCCAAGAACGCAAACGGATTGATGTGGTTGTGGTTTGACAATGTTCAACATAGCTCCAGCCCCTGTCATGACGCCGCATGCAAGCGGGGCAAGTAGCTCATAAGCTGGTGTTGGAGCAGGAATGACAACCAATGCCGTCTCACAGACTATGATCTCCCGCGCGAAGGAACTCTGGCCGAAGAAGTGTCCCTTCAGAGGCTTTTTCGATTTTGGATCCTCAATGGTCTGCGTGCCATCGAATCTGGAAAAGCCGAGGTTGTACTTGAACCACCTGTCGCAGTATCCAGGAAAGCCAGTCTCGCAATTCCTACACTGCGCGCAAGAGGTGAATGTTACGATAACTTCATCGCCGACGGCTATATCCTCGACCCAAGACCCCACCTTAATCACCGTGCCCGCGCCTTCGTGCCCCAGCACGCAGGGAAAATTCTCTGGTTGTCCCCGATCCTTGGAGGCGAAGTTCAGGTCGGTGTGGCAGATCCCAGTGGCTTTGATTCGCACCAGGCATTCGTCAGGCTCGAGGAGGTTGTCACGAAGCGTGATCTTTTTATACTTGAACTTCCCGCCAGGCTCCGATAACACGAGCGCATCAGTTCGCATTCCATTCTGTCTGAACGAGGATATCCTAGGCTCAAGCTGTGGTCTCGTTGCGCTGGTCATTGTTATGCCGTCCAGAAGTCACGCTAGTACGGTCGTGCTTTGAATAGCGGGCACGGCTAGCAGGGGAGCTGAGAACTTGGGCAGCAGACACGAAGCACCAACGGCAAGGACCACGCCTGAATTCAATGGTATACAATCTGCCTCTGGACTGTGACTCGTAAGTTTCGTGCAACGGTAGGTATGGTTATCTAGTGCGTAGTAGCTTGTGATGGTGGAACGAGTATGATCATGGCGGCCTCAAAAGGATACTTATCTGAACAGACTTGCCTATCGCGAGCTGTCAGCGAGCTCAAAGCACGGTTTCGCGGGTTGAAATACATCATGCTGAGGGGTGGGCTCATGCAGAATGCTCGCTTGTACTGAATGATCCCATGATTTCAAGTTTACGGGCTTTCTTCAAAGAGCCGAACGCGCTTCCCAGAAGAGGACGTCCCGGGGGTGATCGCGGCGACGTCATTGCCGACGACAAAAATATCCGGGGATGTTTGCCGCAAATGGTGTTGCCTGCATAGCATTCTAACATGGCAACATCTCAAGCTGGCCGGTGTGAACCTCGATAGAAGTGTAGAGCACGCCATAGTGGTACACGACCGCAGACATGAGAGTTGCGCTCTTCGACGCGACGTGGCTTTACCCACTCAAGGCAAGTCGTCGACTACCACATCGCGTGTCTGATCTAACACAATGAACAGGGCCTCTTCTACTTCCTCCGCCGACCATACTACTGGCCGCTCATGCGAGCACGACTTATCCCGATCATCTTTCTGTCAGCCTTCGTTTTGACGATTCTGTTCCTCTTCGCTTTCCTCCCACAGGTCGCCTTCCTCGCCATCTTCCACGGTCCAGCAGCATGGCTGAACGGACTAGTCCTGACCTTAGGAGAAGGGGCCGCAATCGTTGGTTTGCTGTTCGAGGCCTTCTTCGTGGACGAGTCCCAAGTCGACGTCTTCGATACCGTCCTCATCGACCAGGGTCTTTCAGATCTGGTCGCTCAGGGTCGCCTTCTTGATCAGACAGCCGAAACATCAGTGAAGATGCTCGGGAAGCCGACCGTCACAGCAGTGTACGCGCCATTCAGCTTCAGACAGATTGTGGAGTTCGTGATCCTGCTGCCGGTGAACTTGATACCTTTCGTGGGCGTGCCCATCTTCCTGATCCTCACTGGCTACCGAGCGGGCCCTTTCCACCACTGGCGCTACTTCAAGCTGCTGGGATTGAACAAGAAGGAAAGAAACGTCTACATTAAGAGACGACAGATGAAATACACCTGGTTTGGCATCGTCTCATTGACGCTGCAACTAGTCCCTGTGCTGCAGATGTTCTTCCTTATGACGACGGCCTGCGGGGCTGCGCTATGGGCAGCGAAGATGGAGAAGGCGAGACGGTCACGAGAAGAAGCGACAACTGGTGCCGAGCACGAGCCATATCGCGATGAACCTTGAGAGATGGCTTGGTGATCTACAACTGGCCCTTGGCATACTTCTCAACCGCATCGGCGACCTCGCCGAGTCCTTTGACAACCACTGTTGGCCCGTCACCAAGTCGATCTTGCCAGCCATTGCCAGCCCGATCCACCCAAGCGACCTTCATCCCTACGGCTCGCGCGCCGACTACATCGAATGGATTGCTGCTGACTAGCCACATCGATCCCTCGGCTCCGGATTTGGAAGTACGTTGGGCGAGATATCTGTAAACTTCAGGCGCCGGCTTGAAAGTACGGATGAAGTCCACAGTGACAATGTCCTTGAAGACTTCGCTCAAAGGCTTCAGATCCTCAGAAGAGTGGACGCTGTTGGTCACCATCTTCTTCGTGCCATTGCTGAAGACGACGCAAGTGATCGCTGGATTTTGCGCCAACTTCTTCAGGCCAGACTCCACGTCGGGGAAGGTGTTGAGATTGTCATACGTTTCCATTAGAGCGTCGGCTTCGCCATCGTTGAGACTGACACTGTGCTCGGCTAGAGCATGATGTAACGACTTGAGCGTCACCACCGAGAAGTCTTCGTATTTCTCTGTAAAAGCTTAGCATCTAGGTAGTTCCACGCGTAGCAAGCTATACTTACTCATGCTGTTCAGCCGCCACGTATACTCGAGCTGATATCTTCGCCATAGCGCCGCGATCGAGTTTGCCTTTTCCTCACCAAAATGACGGGCCAGCGCCTTCGCTATCGAAGCCGTAGATAGAAGCGTGCCATAGAGGTCGAATGCGACAACAATCTGATCCATATCTTCTACTATACTGTCTCTGCACTGCGAGTTTCTAACGTGGTTCGTAGGTCACTGCAGTAGTCAAACAAAGAATGACGTTAGAATAGGCTTGGAAGGAGAAGCTGCGACAACGCTGAAGGACGTTGTATGATCGCCCTCAAAGTGTAAAACCTTCGCACTTCTTCCCTGCTGTGGTTCTTGACGATCTCCTACCGAATCGATCACTCTATCATACATATGCAACCGCGCACCGGCGATCAGTACTGGCTGCTTTGAGGCGTTCTTCGGACGTCTGAACGGCGACCGGCTCGCTGATGCTAGCGCTCTTGTCGACTTTATGAGCCAACTTGATGCACGATGGTGATGACGCAAACCAGTCCCGCCAGGACGAGAACTACCAAGCGTTCCGCGATTGTGTCTTCTCCGCCATAATCGAGAAGCTCAGCACCCCAAAAGTCACCAAGAAGAAGTCCACCGCCAAAATCAGGCGGAAGTCCGCCTCCTCATCGGCTAAAGCCACCCAAGATGACCAGCCCAACGCCACCACAGCCACCAACACCGCCAGCAGTATTCCCACAGACGATCCAGCAGACCTGGCTGACTTCGCAGAGTACCTCGCCAGCGAGATCTTCACCTCGCTTCCATCGTGTCTGCGAAACCTCGACCACACTACCGCTCTTCCGGACCACTTCGCCCTTCCGCTGACAACCCACCAAATCGAAGCCCACATCAGCCCCCATCTTCCGCCTTCCACGGCCCAGAACCTCTCCGCCTACGGCCTCGTCCAACCACCAGCCACCGACACCACAACCTTCCTGCACCCAATCCTCACTGCCTACACTTCCACGGTCACGACTCCACCCCCGCCACCCTCCCAAACCCGCCCAGAGACAAACGAATGCGAGCTCTGCGCACGTACCCACCTCCCACTAACCTACCACCACCTCATTCCACGCTCTGTCCACGCCAAAGCGCTAAAACGGGGGTGGCATGACGAGGCGGCGCTGAATAGCGTGGCGTGGCTATGTAGGGCGTGTCATAGCTGGGTGCATCGGACGATCGGGAACGAGGAGCTCGCGAAGGAATGGTTTACTGTTGAGAGGCTGCAAAGCAGGGAGGATTGTGAGAGGTGGGTGAAGTGGGTTGGGGGAGTTAGGTGGAAGAAGCGGTAGGCTGGAATGTCGACAGAGTGGGCTGAAGAGGGAAGTCGGGGCAAGCGACTGCTGCAGACGGTCATATACAAGGCCGCAGTAAGCTGTGCAATACAGGGTGAGTGTGTGAACTATGGGACTGGTGAAGAGGGGAGATGACATGGCCGGCTGTGTCCGAGACAACCTGGCGTCAAGGGACACGAGATGATGGAGTCGGACTTGCTTCATGAGCAGAGCGCTCGAATAGTGCCACGCTGGCAGCAAGCCATGCTATTCTCATAGCGATTGAGCGTTTGGTCGTAGGAAAGAGAAGGAAATTAGGACTGGGGAAGCTTCATGTGGTATGCATCCGGAACATTGGATTTTTTGGTACGGTTCTCTCCTCCGTGATAATGATCAGGAGGTCGCCGACCAGCTTACGTCTTCCGCTATCTCGTACTTCGAGACAATACCCAAGTCAAACTTACGCCGCAGTATGTGCACCCATCAGAATTCAAGAACGCCTCGAACGCCGCGCTTGAACAGGCCTTGCCCTTTAGCCAGCGCATTGCGCCCCACTAAATCGCTGCAGCGCGACCATCGTCGACCGTAACTAGTTGCTCGAGACAGCCACGCCATTGCCTTCACCAGTGTCTTGTTCTCCTTCGCCGACTTTGTCAGCTTCGCCACCACCTCCCTGAGGGCCACCAGCGGACTCAGCAACTCGATCGCCGCCGTTCGTATCAGCAGCACTACCAGCAGTCAGACTGGCCAGCCGCTTGTTCTCGCGCTTCTTGGCAGCCTTGTTCTTGATACTACTGACGATTCGCTGCTCTTGTTCGTTGGCATCAACACCTAGAACGATCTTCTTACTTGGGATATTGACGTCTTTGGGCGCAACCTTCTCTTCCGTGACCTTCTCCATCTTCTTGTCACCAGCGCTAGGGGCTGTGATATTAGGGACTGCCGGATCGACAAGCTTCGAAGGCTTGGCCGCGTTCTTGACGTTGTCGATGTCGTTCTTCGAGGCTGCGGTGTTGGCAGGAGCGGGGACAAAGGCTTCAGCGGCTGGCCGAGCATTCGACTTGTCGTTCTGGAGTCGATCACCATTGCAGTGCTCGATGGCTAGACCTTGCATATCGGCCTCGAGATTACTCTTGGACTGCGATGTCTTCTTCGTACGGAGTTTACCATACTTAATGGAGCGCTTGCGTGACGAGGGTGATGTGTTGATCATGGTCTCGGAAGACTGCGAACCAGTGGAAGCGCCCTTTGCCAGCCGATCCTCCTTTTGCTTCTGCTCACGCTTCTTGTCGGACTTGGTCTTCTTTTTCTTCTTAGGAGGAAGTTGGTGGGTACCAACGGAGAAGTTCATCTGCTGGTGGGGAGTCGTATAGCCGTATTGGTTAGCAGAGTTGTATTGGTTATTCAGGGTATCGAATCCTCCGACTTGGGCCATGTCGACGCCGTGACCGAAGTGATCGAAGATGGGTTGGTTGTTTGTGCCATCAACAATACCATGCGGCGCCGAGAAGCTTCGATTCTGGTTTGCAAAGCCCGATCCGTTTCGATAGAAGTTCTGCGAGTGGTAGTTGGTGTGGTGAGATTGTTGCTGATAGGGTGCGTTGACCAGGTCGCGGGAGCCATCTTTCCAACGATCGGTGGCGATCTTGGCGCGCATAGCAAGTCTCGGACCGTTGACGTTCTCGACATCGACAGCGAAACCCTCGTTGCATTTCAGCAGCCACTCATATGCACGGCGACGGACGTCATGGGTATTATGATCGAGCAAGGCGTTCGCAACATGCTCGACCAGATAGTCAGCCATCTCCGACCCGCGACCGACAAGGCTGTAGACGGCTTCGATGTCAGAAGTGTGTAAGGACTTGTTAGCCAAGTTCTGCATCCGGTTCTGGAACTCGGTCTCGAGAAACGTGCAACCTAGGATCTGGGTGGATTCGCGAAGAAGGTAGTACTTGGTGAAAGGCGTGTCGTGGAACTCGTATCGCGGCCAGTCGATGATACCGTTACCCATGCAGCAATCGATCATCCATTGAATGATGGAAGCATGCGCTTGCATGTTGCCACCGACAATGGTGTAGAGTCTCGCAGGAACTCCAGTGGTCTCTGTGGTTGGCTTAATGTAGGCTGTTGGAAGTAAGTTGGGAGCAAAGTGATTGAGGACTGGTTCGGCGAAGGTCTCGCAAAGTGGGATGTGCTGGCCATGAGCAGTCTGCTGCCAGACGATCTTGATGGTCTCGCCCATTTGGAGGCTGCAAATATTAATATCAGCTCAGCGAAAGGGCTTGTCGACCAACCTTTGAAGCTGCTTTCTATTTGCCCAAGGCTGCTTGATCGGTCTCGGAGAAGACATACTTGACGAAGTGACGCGCTATGGTGTGCTTTCCTGTAGGTGAAGAGGCAGGTATTGTCTGATGTGGTCGTGTGCGCAGAAAACGACTACCGGGTCGAGAAGTTGTAGAAGATGACAACAGGAGGATTTCGATGAGGACGCAGAGTATTTATCTTTGGAAGAGTTGAAATTGATCAGGGTTTGCTGAGTGTCACCGTGATCAATTGACAAGAATCGCAACGTGAATACTGATACCTGCACGTGCTGTGCAATCTTCACTTGTAAACCCAGGCTCCAGCACAAAAAGAAGTGGTGTTGACAGTAGAGAAGTAGCTGTTGAATACACACGTGAAGTTGATTCAATGTGTCACTTTGGCAGTTTAAAGTCGTGATGTTCCGGTTGCCATCTTGATGCTATTCAGTAGGCTCATGTTTGGAGCACGGTCGGGATGTGTCCTATGGTCGACATGTAGGTGTGCATACACTCGATATGGTCTGCCTAGCGACGAATACGACGACACTGTACATGTAAGATGCTGGGCTCGGAATACGTTCTACTAAGGCATTGTCGCAGTGTTTGCTATGGAGATTGTGACAAAAAGAGGCCAGGTCAGTTGAGACGGTCCAGGGCATGATATTGGACGCGACACCACGGGTAGGACAGTACCATAGTCGTGCCTGCCTCTGGTAGTCTTCCCATCGAGCAGCTTTCAGAGTTCAGTTTCGTTTCGAGAAAGACGTTCGCAGGAGTCGTCCGGTCTGACTTAAGCCCTTCTCGACCGACCTACCTACCTCGCGTGCTTGATGTCACGTACAGTCATTTCAGCATCCCATGTCAGTCCCGGTCTCGTAGCTGCAGGCCGAATACCACACAGGGCATGGTCCATGGACATCTATGCTAGACCAGTGCTAATATCTCGTTGTTGCTTACGTGCCAGCACTCTGCCGAATGTGATCCAGCCTCCTAGAGCCCGTTGACCGAAAGGATGCCCCTCGAGCGCAGCAACGACGACACAAGGATACCAAATCAAATATCTGTCTGATAGTATTCTACACTACACGACCCATTAATTGGCGGTGCGTGTCATAGCTGATGGTACGTTGCAGAGAGGATCTCGGATGGCAGCGAGCTCATGTCTTCATGTCTGCTGAAAATACCTAGGGTTAGGGTATGGACCTTTACTGCCGCTCTAAATCACCACACGGGCATATGGATCCGCGTGCATCTCAATCATCTCAACGTTTTGTACCCGTATGCCGACATGACGGCATGCTGTCTACCACGTTCTCGTTGTAGTCGCTAGCAACTGCATTGCTGAGCCTTCAGTGCGTGCCGTGAGTTTCCACAGTTGCGCCCATCATGGCGAGCGCCGGCGATGTGCGAGACATTATGGACCTGGGCCAGAGCGGCCCTCGACCACCAGCACCCAAGAAGAAGAAGCGCCTTGAACCTCAGGTGCGACTGTCAGGCGTCACGCGTGAAGTCGCGGCCTTGATGGGAGATTCGGTCCCGCCTATAGCGATCATCGAGCAGAAATCTTTCAAGTCAAAGCCGTCGATCGCGCAGAAGTTGTTCAACCGCGGCATTGGGAGGAACGCACCTTTTCGAACGGTGCTCGAACAGACAGCCTTATCCTGCGGCATTGGAAGCGGTCGATACCCGGTGCTGCTCGCCCGCAAGCGGCAACGACGCCAACCGATGTGGAAATGTCTGATGGGCAGAAGGAGTCTGAGTCGACGACAGAGCTTCGTTTCGAGGAAGAAATACCATACGAGAAGTGGAACATTGCAACTAGCAAGACCACATACAACGATGAACAGTATGACGCACATTTTAAAACGGAGGACTGGACGAGACAGGAAACAGACTACCTCATGGCACTCGTCTCGGATTTCGACAAACGATGGATCCTCATAGGGGACCGCTACGACCCTGCAGAGATACCAGGGGAGATACAGTACCCAGATCGGAGCACGGAGGCGCTCAAACAGCGGTACTATACGATCGCCGCAAAGCTGATGGAAATCGGCACTCCACCGAGCAACATGACTGCGCCAGAGTTCAAGAATTGGGAGACTATGCGCAACTTTGATGCCAAGAACGAGGTCAACCGCAAGGCGAATGCCGAAAAGCTGATGGAACGAACGAGAGAAGAAGCAGAGGAGGAGAAGTTGTTGTTGGAAGAACTACACCGAATCACTAAGAACGAGGAAGAGTTCATCGCCCTGAGGAAAGACCTCTACACACGGCTCGAGTCTGCACAGCCAATCCGGCGCACAGAACGAGGCGAAGAGGCACACACAGCAATATACCAAAGCTCTCAGGGCCTATCAATGCTTCTAAACTCGCTTCTTGCTAAAGAGAAGAGGCTTAGAAGGCCAAATCCGGCAGAGGCAGCACAAGCGTCAGCTTCCGACTCACGAAGACCGAGCCAGCCACAATACCACCGCCGAGAAACGATGGATTCGACCAATGACTCGCCTGCTCCCAACAAGAAAGGATCCGTCTCGCAACCACAAGTGCGGACTCTGACGCCTGCTGAAGAAGCAAAGTTCGGTGTCAGCCATCCCACAGATCGCTTGGTTGGCGGTGTGGCCTTCAGGCATGAGAAGATTAATCGCCTCGTCATGGCCAAGAGTCAAGTCCAGACTAGCAAGATACAGGCGGCGTTGGGTGAGCTGGGCGTGCCGTTGCGAGTCCTCATGGCGACTGAGAGAGTGACTCTGGAGTACGAACGACTCATCACGAACATCCATCTCCTCCTCGATGCACGCAAAGCCAGTGAAAAGATCGCGAACGAAATCAAGATCTTAGAAGAGGCGAAGCGACAGCGCCTCGGTCTTCCCAAGGAAGGCGAGCCAGCACAAGCAGATCAAGCCAATGCCATGGAAGTAGACACACAGCAGCCGGGTCAGCCAAATGGGGCAGGCGGCGACGCCGAGGACGATGCAGCTGGTGAAGAGGATGGTACTATGGCGGAGAAAGCCGCTGACGACAGTGCAATGCAAGTCGACGACGAAAATGGCGCTGACAGTGATGCCGAAGGTGAAGAAGACGACCAAAGCTACGCAGTCGCCAAGAACGACGACTCGGAAGCTGAAGACGATAATGATGGCGCTGAAGGTGAAGACGATGAAGTAGAGGAAGAAGACGAAAACGAAGCAGGTCAGGAAGAGGACGAAGAGGACGAAGGCTGAACACTCTAGGCAAAGATGACGAGGAAGATGAGGAGGATGCAGGAGAAGACGACGATGCAGAAGCGGACGTTGCTAGCGGCGAAGAAGACGAAGATGCAGTCGATGCGCGTGGTAGCGACGCCGCAGACGACGACGACGATGATGATGAAGTCGTGCAACCGACCCCCTCCGAAGCTGAAGAAGAGGCTGCTGAAGCTGACGACGATGCCGAAGAAGAGGAAGAGGAAGAGCCTGCTCAGGCCAGTCGACCAGCCTCCAGACACTCAGCCAGATCGCATAAACGCAGCGCTAGTGTGGTTAGCGAGGCAAGTAGAGCTGGCAGTAACCGTAGTGTGGCGGGCAGAAAGAAGCGCCGGTGATCTACTGCGCACGAGCGTTGGACTAGGGCGTCCATAGTGACTGCTTGAGAATTACGAACAGCATCTCAGCCCCATCGTTCTTGCTCTGCATAATCGACGCAATTTGGCAGCTTCATCCTATCACATCCCTATTGCCATCGGGTAGAACTTGCGAGAATTCTCATGTGCAGGAAAGAAGTACCAAACATTCGAGCCGGTTGACAAGCACGCTGATCACCATCGTGACTGCGACACTGCTCCAGTGGACGAATATCCCAAACGTCCGGACGTGTCGTACTTGCAAGGTTGAATCTCGAATGTCTCCATAGGACAGCCCCATTCCTACCTGACCTACTTCCCATCGAAACGCGATACCTGTCTGCTCTCCTATCTCCCAACGGGCCAGGACTCCACTGCCGAGCTACATCGCCATCGCAACCTCCACGCTGGAGCGTCCACCCTTCCGCCCACTCCCGCCGAACCCGAGCCTCGATTGTCGGCATCTTGCTCCACGACCATGCTCATAAGGAATGCCATCAATCCTGACAACGCTACGGCGGTCGCAGTGCTGCGTACAATGATGAAGAAACTCGAGGAAGTTAGGACTGCTTACAATCGAATGCCTACGAACTTCCGAGCGAATAGTGTAAAGTATGAGGACCTCTTGGACATGGTGAATGCACGTCAGTCCACGAGTAACGATCCCCTCTCCCAGCAGTCCTCTGGTGTCGAAGAGCCAGCTCTTGTTGACAAGACGACGCAAACAAGGAGCTTGTGGATTTCAGACCGAACGGCTTGTTTCGTGGAAAGTCCTGAAGCAGAACTATCAGGTCCGCTCCATACGCCCTTCGCCGGTTGTTCCAGGTACTCGATGTTCAAACTGGCCTGACTTACCTTCCAGCTGAAGCACTTATCCATAAGCTGCCTCAGCAAACATCTTTGTAGGGTGTTGTTCTCCTAATTATCCGCACAAAATGCCGCCTACACGCCTCCACTGGAAGCTTACCGCCTCCATTCCACTAGGACTTCTCCGCTACCTTACATGAGCAGGATGGCGAATTCCACTTCGCGCTGCATCGATATTGCAAAAAGCTACGTACACGTGTCCTAAACATATTAGCAATCGCACAACTGCGGCCCGCAATGCCTACACGAAGTCGACGTGCTCATCAGGTGGCTGCCATAAGATCGACTCCTGTTTGTGCCTCCGACTTCCAGGGAGGCAGCGTCGGGTTTGCCACGTCTAGCATGACATAAGTAGACGACAACGCCCGTCTCCAGCCCATCAGCGCAAACATGGTCTTTAAGCAAGCGGCCTCGATGAGGCCATTCAGCAAGCTCATGCGGTCGTCAAAGGCACCCAACAAAACAGATGTATTGCCCACATCCGGGTCTTCGCACCCAGCCACGCCACCCAGCAGTAACGATGACCAGCGTTCAACCGAATTCGATGAAAAGGCTCAAATTGCAAACACGACTGGACCGATCACGGATACCAACTGTCGTTCATCTGCAGAGCCCCAATCGCAACAACACTGGAACTACCCACGCATTAATGTGCCCCGCCTCATATTCGCCTTCCTCACCTTCCTGATAGCCGGCATGAACGATTCTGCAATCGGCGCCCTCATCCCATCGATTCAAGCCGACTATGGCCTCTCTTACGCCATGGTTTCCCTGATCCTCCTCGCACCGATGACTGGCTACACCGTTGCTTCGCTGCTCAATGAACCGATGCACAAGCATTATGGACAGCGCGGCATTGGCTTCGTCGCCGGTCTGTGTCATATTATCACATACGTTGTCGTCAGCCAAAATCCCCCATTCCCTGTCGTTGTGGTAATTAACTCTCTGAGCGGCTTTGGAAACGGACTGACGGACGCATGCTACAATGCTTGGGTTGGCTGCATGGCCAATGCGGATGCGGTGCAGGGCATCATGCACTCTACATACTCTGCAGGAGGCGTGATCGCGCCGCTCATCGTGACAGGCCTTGTGATCGACGCGCAGAATGGATGGTGGTACTTCTACTATCCCATGATTGCCATCGGTGTACTGGAATGGATCGGTCTTACGATGACCTTCTGGAGGCAGACTGGTGCAGTCTATCGACTAGAGTCTGCCAGGATAGAAGAGAAAGACGACGACTCAATAGGACAGCAGCGGGAAGAACGCGTGACAGACGAAGAGCGCGATACTACTGTTCTCGGATCCGACGAGACCACGATCGCAATCAAGCAGAAGAGCGCGAAGACGAAGAAGAATTCTCGCCTCCTCGAGACACTGAAGTCTCGCGTTGTGTGGCACTGCGCCATTTTCTTTTTCAGTAAGTCTACTTTTCCCTCTCACGTCGTGATTCGTGCTATCCCGTCTCATCACAAAGAATGCTTTGCTGATACAAACCGCTCCTCTTCACAGCCTACATGGGCATCGAAGTCGGTCTGGGCGGCTGGGTCAATACCTTCATGCTCCGAGTGCGCCACACCTCCGCCAAAACCGCCCAGTACTCCAATATGGGGTTCTGGCTTGGCATGACTGTCGGTCGCGCCTCGCTAGGCTTCGTCACGAACCACTTTGGCGAACAACGATGCGTTCCAGTTTACATATTCCTCGCCCTGGCCCTTCAACTAGTCTTCTGGCTCGTTCGCCAGTACATTGTCTCCGCAGTTGCGGTGGCACTCCTGGGTGTGTTCCTAGGTCCGATGTTCCCGGCTTGTGCAATGAAGGGAGCCAACTTGTTGCCGAAGCATATGCATGTGGCGGGTCTTGGGTTTGCTATGGCCTTGGGTGGTGTAGGTGGCACGGTCGCACCTTATGCGATCGGTGCGATTGCGGGTCATGCGGGTGTTGGGGTACTACCGCCGATTGTGTTCGGAATGGAGGTGGTGCTGTTGGCTTTATGGCTGACTTTTCCCAAAGCGAAGAAGGTGGCCCGTGGCCAGGAACAGCAAACGAAACGGGAGCCGTGGTGGAAGAGGTGGGTAAGATTATGATTATTCGACCAGGGACGACTGCAATGGCCCGGACTTACATATGGGCGACTTGCAAGGAAGCTACTTGCATGGAACAGGCCATACCAACACCTACACCGTTTCTACAATTTTAGCGTGCTCGTCCCCTGCTTCTGCTCAGTCGCGGACTCAGCTATACTGACGGAGCACATTTATATTCACCACAAACAAGTCACCCTTCCACATTCAAGCGCCTACTTTGTTACCTTCTGGACTCGCTTGTCCTCGCCTAGACCCCGCAGTCCTCGAGTCTTGCGCTCTCTGAATGTGCACACTGCTACAATCATGCCGGCCGACGCAGGCCAGTCAACCGGCTCCAACTACACCCACCTGTCGGACCTCACACGAGCCCATGCATCAACCGGCGATAGATGAGTCCCGCTTGTATCTGGTCCGTCCGGTCTGGCGAAACACGACTTGTCATCCGGCGTCACGAGAAGCACTTGCGTACAAGTCCAGTGGTACCCGTCAACCGGCATGGCTTCCGCGGTGTATCTCGCTGAGAAAGGCACGGGTGTCGTACTGAGGGACACGATGCTGAACAGGGCGTAGGAAGGTACGACAGTGAGAAAACCCGCTGGAAGGTAAGGCACGATTGTGAAAGTGACTCCGGAAGGCGCGACCGTGGAGTGGGAAGGCGCGACCGTGGATTGGGAAGGCGCGACCGTGGACCGGGAAGGCACGATAGGATCGACAAGGTGGGAAGGCACGACCGTGGAGTGGGAAGGTGCGATAGAATGAATGAGGTGGGAAGGCACGATGACGAGGAGAATTTGGGAAGGCATAGCGGTGACAATACTTGCCTGGAGGCACAATCGCGAGAGCCGATTGGGGAAGGCGCGACCTTGGTTTGGGAAGGTACTGCCATAGTCTAGGAAGGTGCGACCATTAGCTGGGAAGTTGCAACAGTGGGCTAGGAAGGTGCGATGTGGTGGTCTTGCAGCTGGAAGGTGCGCGGGCCTCTTCAGTCTAGGAAGGAGCGAAGGCATCGTAGAGGAAGGGGCGATGGTGCTGGAAGAGTGGCAAGGCTCGGGCGTAAAGTGGTCTCAACCGGTCTTGACAAGCTTCGACTCTGTCAACCGGTCTCGGATTGGTTTACGGCTTTGGCAGTTCGTGGCCTTTCCTGGCCAGCCAGTAGTGCGAACCTGTCTCTCCCCAATCGCGGTCTCCCGCGAGCTTGTGACTAGGCCGCAACGCCAGGATTCTTCGACCTACTTTGGTCCAAATGTCTGAAGCTCGCTACAATCTACCCTGCGGATGACCCCAATGATGCCCAGGAGAGCCATTTGGGTCACACCCACGGTGGCGTCTTGGAAACTCCATCATGTCTACGCTGCCCTTACCAGATCAGCTCATGCTTCTTTGCAGAGAAGACGAGGTATGCTTCCAGATTTGGCGTCTGTCTCGGAAGGGCCGAAGCATGGTTCTAGCAATCCGGTCTAGCGTGGCTCAACCTGCAGCGGAAATCGAGTATGCAACCTCGTTCTGGATGTGAGTCTTCGAGCTGGATCAAGTCAAGAACGCGGGGTCTGCTCATCGTCGAAACAAGACATCGTGAGCACACCGTGGCCTGAATGGAGCAAAATCTAGACCAGGATATAAACCTTCGCCAAGAGCCTCAACACTAACCTTCTCAGCCATTCTTCTTCGGTCTGCCTTCTTTACCTTTCGTCGACATCCAAAACCTACCTGCGCATGCTAAACCACCAGTCGCGCACCAATGATATGCATGTCGTCGCTTCCGAAGTCTCTGAATTCGATGGAGGCATATTGACTGGTCACTCCCACTGGGGCTACTGCAGCAGCAGTGCCCCAGTATGCCCCTACACAAACCTTCCACACCAGGTGGGCTTCGCCTCGCTCCCACGAAGCAGCTGCTGCCGGTACACAGCCTACAGACGCTGCAGGATCAGTCAGCCCAGCATGTGTCCGCCTGCCAGGCTGGCTGAAAGACGCATGTAAGGTGAGTTGATGATGCTCCAGCTAAGAGCCCAATACATGTAAGGTGAAATCTGGCCAAAGCCATCTTTCTCGTCGAGAGCCGAGATGAGGTATAAATAGGACCAAGAAGCTGCTCGCTTGCTGGTAGCAGAGAGCAAGAAGCGAACTCGGCTCCATTGTCCCTCAACAACACAGGTCACTTGCACCAGACACCTTCTCTTTGCCAGGACCAAGCGCCCTATCACCACCGCCCACAATGGCCCAAGCAGCAATCGCCGCCGGCACCGCCGCCGTCGACGTCGCCAAAGGCCTCTTCACGGAAATGAACAACCGCAAAGGTGGAGATTCAGCGCGGTCAATGCAGGTCGTAATTCGCAATACCACGGGCGAGAAGCTTGTCCGCTCCCATCACGAGAGCCACTATGGAAAATGGACGTCCGGCCTCGAGCCACTGCCAGAGATCGATGCTGAGACGGCCTCGGGCTTCATGTTGGAAAGTCATGGCTTGATGACGGGCTGTGGTGGCATGGCGAGTTATGAGATCGGGGACAGTGGGGAGAAGTTGAGGGTCAGTGTCAGTGTGCCGTATGCTGGGGCGAACAGCAATAGTGCGAATGTTGAGGGTGGGAGTAGGTATAAGGTTTCGGCCGAGGGCGGTGGTGGCAACAATGCAACATACTCGTTGAAGCTTGGTATGTTGTGCTTCCCTGGAGGATGCCGAGCTTTGGTCAGCGCTAACGATCTTGGACAGAGGACACTCAGAAAGGACAGGACGAGGGTGACGAGGACGAAGAAGGTGGCGGTAATGACGATGAACGGAACGGTAATGATGATGAGGAGGAGTAGCTTCACCTGTTTCGAGGCACCTTGTGTTGGTGTATTGAGGGAAACTTTATTGTTAGATGCTCACGGAGCCTCGCCTCGATTCGGTCGTAGGTCAATGATATTGAACGGATTCGTGGCTGCGGCCATATTCTCAATGAGCAAATTGGTGTCTTGAATGGTGTCCCGCTGGCAGAATCTTGCCCGTGACTCATCGCCTTCTCCTCGAGTCACTGTCCATGTGTGCTCGTCGTTACTGTAGGATTCGAAGAACAGGCTGTTCGTCGAACATGCGAAGATATAGCGTAGCTCATTTCATTCGAGCCTGACAGAGGAGGGTGAATCGCTCTCTTGTACCTGCAAATTGGGAGTTCAGCGCTGTTGAGCTCCCGCCATTGGAATTCCTTGTATTTCTATTCCAGCAGCCATCGTCAGTCACGCAGTACTGGCGGCCAATGCCCTGTTCTGGCCTGATGAGTGGTACGTGGGTCGCAGGTGATGTCGTGCGCAGGACGCAGCCCATACTAGATAGTTCGGGCGTGCCTTCCTGGCTTGAGAGTGTGACGGTGCAGCGAGAGTATGAGGTAAGGTGCTCCAGGTCGTGATTGCCTGATGAGGCATTCATGAAGAATCTCGTTAGCCGGTCTGACCTGATTGTCCAATTCCCTGATCCTGTTGCGAACAAATTTACATGGCGTCCTCTGCGGTTGCCGTTTCCTTTTGCCTCGTGCCTTTGACTTGTACACCTTCTGAGTCGACAAATGCCTAATTTGCGCACTGTGCGTTCCTGTCTCGACCATCTCAGAGTGCTGAAAGAACCGGATGGCAGCATTGGGCAGCTTTGACCGAGGTTAGCATGGACGGAGATGCTGTAGATCGAGAGGTCCAATTATTCAAGTGCTGTACGATTCATTCTCGGATTTCTCTTCTCATAGATCGCCTTTCAGATGATCTATGGGATATCCAACTTGGATTTCCGAAACGCCATCGCTTAAAAGGACACCCGTGCCTTCCCGTCATTAGTAGATCCAAACTCGCCCTGCCTGAGCATCACGTCCTCACACTCGGCGCACCAGGCCCAACGCCTCTCAATAACACAATCGTATGCCCACTTTGCACACCCGCCTTACCCAACTTCTCCCCAAAATCCAACACCCTTCCATCATCAACATGAAACACTCGTAATCGTGTCTCCTCCTCATCGACAGTGTTGTTCGAGTTTGCGACCTGCAACCTCTTAGCCGCATCATCCAACACCTTCCCCACACTCCATTCACTACTGAACCACAGCGCCATCTGCGGCATTTTCGCGCGTGTTGTTTCCTTCTCGGCCTCGACGTGCAGATACACCCTCTTTTCACTCGGAACCTTCTCGTCGCCCTTGGCTGCTGCCTTCATCTTGTTCAATGCGACCGTCCGCGCCGCCGCAGAGGTAGGTTTTGGCTTCGGCTTCAACTCCTGCATTCGCTTCTCCAGATCGGACTGTTGGGACTTACCCCACGAGCGGATGCGAGAGAAGCCAAATCGGATCTTTTCCTTGTTGGTGGCGAGTGTGGAAGTTGTTGTTTTGGCGCCTAAGGGAACCACATTCTTACAGTCATGCTCTTCCCTCAGACGATGTTTCAGGCAGTATTGCCTGTTGCAGGTGTCGCAACGTACGCCGACGGACTGTGGAGTGTTGACGAACGTTTTGCAGGACGTTTCGTAGCATTGTGTGCCAGTTGCTAGTGTTGGCTTTGAGGTTGTGAGAGTGGACGTGCCAGTAGTGTTGGGTGTGGAAGAGCGGTTGAGACTGTTACGCCGCCGGTTGCGTGCCCATTCGCCGGCTTTGGGACAGTTGTGGGCGGTCTCGGAGCGGTGATCGAGGCAGAATGTTGAGTGGCATGAGTCGCAGCGGAAGGGGAGGAAATCGAGTTGGTGGCAGTAGGTCATTTGGCAGTGGGCACCCACTGCCTCAACGTCGCCTACTGCGAGCATGCTGAAGGACTGGTCAGGATTGGAGGGTTGCGACTGTTGTTGGGCCCGGGGTTCGTTGGACGCCATGATGGGTGCAGGTGGCCTATATATGGTTTATAACAAACCAATGTGACTGAGGTGACTGTCTTGCCACTAGGCTGTAGTAGATTGCGCGTCGAACCAGATCAGTAAAGAATGAATTCACGTGTCAGATAGTGTAAGGCGCTGCGAGAACATTCCGGCCTCGTCGAAAAGGCAAAAGGCAGCCCCGAAGGCACATGTCAGATGACGCCAAGCGGCGGCAGGATCCAGGCTCACCGAGAGCCGAGAGCCTAAAGCGATCGCGCAAGGCAGTCCAGGCAGGCAGGGGGCAGGCTATTCGGGCATAAGCTGAGCGTTTTCAGCACTATGCGTTGAAGCTCAGTTCTAGGCCAGGGCGGACTCTTCGGGCCGAAAGTGCTTTGCAGATCGAGCCAGAAAGTGTGGGAGAAGCCTCACTTGAGCGTCAAGTCGCAGGATTCACTCTTTGATCGATTTGCTTACGCGGGAGGTCGCTGTGGGAGCTTCATGGTGTGTACCTCATTTCTTAGCCGGACAGCTTGCCAGGTACAGTACCTTTGGAGTATGCTCAGGAATTTTGGTCACGATGTCGAAAAGTCAGCCACGAGTAAACCAGCGTCGAAGACCGCAGGTGTGTTTGTATCATCTCATGATCATCATAACAGAGAGAGTGGCTTATCCTTGTAGGGCAATCGTCATCATGTCATGTCCTGATCCCACCATCCATGGATTCCGTGCCTGTCTGGCAACTTTTTATACTCTGCTCAATCAAGCAGCCAAACCCCCCGATCGCCCAGAGCCGTGCACCACCATGATTCTCCCTAGCGACCTCCTCAGGCGCTTGTAGCCATTACTTGACCATGCGCCGCCATGTCTGTCCTTCATCTCGTTGTCTCTCGTGTACGCTGCCTACTCAAGCAGCCAAACTCCTCACATCCCAGAGCCATGCACCATCTTGGTGCTCCCTCGCAGCATCTTCAGGCGTCCGCAGCCATTTCTCAACCTTGCGCCGCCATCTCTCCTCTTCAGCGCGCTGTCTCTTGACGAATTCTGGACCAACATCGAATTCCTCTGCAACAGGAGGCCCATCAAGTCCGGTCTCGTCGTCGCTGTTGCTGTTGCTCTCATTCGACACCTTGCGTCTGAGACCAGTTGGTGCGCCTTTTGAACCCGCTGTGACCATACCGACTCCATACTCTTGGGGTGTCATGCCGGCCGCAGAGCCACGATGAGACTGACTCTTCAAATCCCACTCCGATCCTTCCTCTTTAAGATCCTCAAGCCCTGCGAAGACGTCTTCCTCTTCTTCTACTTCAACGCTTGCTGCTCCGACTGAGTCTCCTCGATTGCGAGATGCTGTGTCCTCCTTCATCTTCAGCCAGCGCATTTGGCTAGGATCGAACACCATTCCGCCGACAACCTGGACACCAGCCACATTTCCGATATTAGAGATAAGTGCGACATTTGCTTTGGCGCCACCGGCCACAGGGCTGCCTTGTGCCTTTCGATCTTTGTCGATGGTGCCCAGGGCGATTGGAGAACCACTTCGTGCATGGAAGTCGGGCGGCGGAATGTCGAACGGAGCCAGTGCGTTCTCGTTGCCTTCCCACCGATATAGCTCGGGATTGTATCGCATGCCCTTCTCACTCTTCTCACGATTCATGTCAGGGCCCAACGGCTTGATGAGGTGCGGCTTTTGTTGGACATTCTTCTTCTTTCGCAAAGAGCCATATGTGCCTGTGCCGGACGTGTGCGGTCGTTGTAGACTAGTGTGAGGCAGTGCACTGAGCTGGAAGTTGGCTGAGATCGGCTTGAGCGGCTCGCCGTGAATGTTCTGAAACGTGGTACTAATCGTCCTTTGTTCTCGTGCATTTCGGGAGGCAGCTGTATCTCGCGCAAACCGCGGCACATTTGCTGTAGCCATAGATGTTGCCGTCGTCGGGAAGTCTTGTCGAGGTGGCGACAGAGGTGTCTGGGGCATGGGCGTGTCCGTGGTCCGCAAGCTGGTGATGGTTGATGTAGAGTGATTTGACTGGATACCAAGCCCAAACTTGCTGCGAAGGCTTCGGGGTGCGCCACGACCGACAGGAAGTTTGGTAAACTTGGACTCCAGGGACGCAGATGTCGGCAAGTCGTCGAAGATGTCCAGCTCGTTACCATCGCCGTAATTGCGCCGACGGCTGGGCTTTGTGACTGCTTTCTTAGCTTGTGCAGCAAGTTCGGCAGCACTCATGCCTGCAACACGATTTCGGCCAGGTGTCTCGGGACGTCCCAACGCCACAATTCGAGACAAAGAGCGCTGAGCAGCAGACATGGTGTCTCCCGTACCATCTGAATCCGCTCGTCGGATGTGACCTTTTGATGGCACATGTTTGAGGTTCGCATGCTGCGACTGGCCATGGGATGCGCCAGCAGGAAGGAAAACTGGCTGCTTCTTGTTTTCTTCCCGAGAGTCGGGTCTTTCGTGGTATATTTGGAGACGACTCCCTGCGTTTGCTCGAGATGGTGGGCGCACATATTTCTCACTCTTAGTGGGAGATGACATCCCTCTGATTACTGGCATCGAGCGTTTAGCGCGTAGTAGTTGAGCACTGGTTGTGGTAGGTCCGTCATGACGAACATCAGGCCGTGGATCCGCAGCCCGTATTGCGCGTCTGCTTGGGGTCGAGGGCGTCGGTGTGGAGGGGGCGGGAATTGCTGACACAGAAGATTGAGTAGAATGTAAACCGAGTCTGGAGTTCGGCCGTTGAAATCGAGTGGGTGGTCCATCACTTTCCGAGACAGGCTCGAGATTGGACTTTGCCCGCTCGTGAGAAGAGCCGTGACTGAATCGTGGAAGTCTGGAGGAGCCTTGATTCTTGCCAGACGTAAAGTTGAGGGTAGTTGTGGTTCGTTTCGATGGACTGATGGGTCTTTGATTTTTGGTTTTGACGTTCTTGTTCAGTTTCAGTCTGGTTGAGTTAAAGACATCGCCATCACCAAGATCCAGATCGTCGAAGAAGCTGTCGTCAGCTGGTGGCTGCGGGATACTCTTTGGTCGCTCTTTGGTCGGACTGCTTGCTGCATCTCGCTCTTGCTCGACCTGGCGTTGTTCAAGTTTCTTTTGGAATGCGATGGGTCCATCGGGCAACACCAGCCCGTCCAGGCCTTCATCCTCGCTTTCGGCAGTAAACGCACTTGACACACTTGGACTGAGAGCAGATGCTGAAGAGCTGCGAGCTGACCGACCGGGTCTGCGACCAGCGTTTCGAGTACCCAGGCTTCCTTCGCCCCACTCGAAGTCGAAGTCTTCCCCGTTCTGTGGTGTTCTTGGCTGGGGTTTTCGGGTCGATAGGCGCAGCTGACCATTGCTCGGAAGCTCCAAGTCTTCTTCGATGCTTTCAGGGATGTTCGGTGCGGGAATGGTTGCGGGTGTGATCAGTGTCGGCTTGCCAGACGATCTTTGCTTAGCAACTCGAATAGTTGGAACTTCGCCAAAATCGGCATCTTCTTCATCGTCGCGGAAAGTGTCTAGGCTGATGGGTGTAGCGGTAGTGCGCGATTTGGGTGACTTGAGTGTTTTGTCAAGATCGGCCTCAGGACTTTTGGGCGAACTGCGGAAAGCAGCGCTGAGTTGCCGCAGGCTCTCATTAAAATCTTTCTCGTCATGTTTGGCGAGCTTTAGTGGCGCTTCTGATGCGGACGGAATGTCCAGGTCTTCGGACCAATCGTCTGCAATAGCTTTCTTGATAGCTTTGCCGTTGAGCCGCCGAATTGTGCCACCTTCGAGTGCGGAACGCGGCACATTGGCAGGTAGCGGTATGCCTTTACTCCTCGCGAGTGCCAGTGCATCTTTTATCGGCGCCTGGTCGTCGACAACTACGTCCCAGTTCTCGTCGGTGCCTTGATTCGATTCTGATCGTAGCGACATTCGTGATGCGGAATCTCGCGTCGGAGGAGGCACGGTGGACACGACTGAAGTCGCAGTTGAGGCATTTCGGAAATGTATGTCGTCCAATCCATCAAAGTCGCCATCATCCCAGTTCTCGACATCTTCTTCTTCCACCGGTTGTCGTTGCTTCAGTACGAGAGGCTCCATCTTTGCGGCTGACTGTTCAATGTTTACTGAGAAGGTCGAACAAAATCGTGACGGCAAGGACTGCAGAACAAAACGCACAATTGACTGTCGCAGAAGTCGTAAGGTCGTAACACGTCGTCGTAGGAAGAGAAGCTAGTCGTCCATAATCGTCGTGTTCGATATTTGAGTCGTGTCGGAGTTGGTGCTTGTTTCTCCCCTGAAGGGAGCTGCCACCTCTGAGGCGGGCCCTGTCGTCGAAATTCCTCCGCCTTTGCCTTACAGCAGTACTCGAAAGCGCAGAAGTCGAAATATTTTGTGCGTATGAGTGGTGCGATGAGGTGGGAGGTTGGAGAGGTGGCCGGATGAGCGCCGACGCGGGAGCGATGGAGGTAGCGGCGGCAAGACCCTGGCAGAATATGGCTGCGCTTCTTCAGGCTACGCCAAGGCCCTGCCACCCGCCGCCCAGGTGCAGTAGCGTGGCACGTAAATCGCGTCTTCGATTCGCCCGCTTAACTTCTCCGACAAGCGCGTCTCCTTGTGCAGTGATCCACGTCGCTACCTAGGTATGCGTCTTACTGACCGTGGCAATATTGCAGCACCAAACCCATCACCTAGAACCACAAAGTGTCGGATGCAGGACTAGCTCTATCATGTGCAGCAACCTGCATGATGGAGAACTCCTGGGTGGTCAAAATTGATGCTGACCAAGATGAGACTATTCTCGTAAAAGTCTCACCCGTACATGGCAAAACGCCGCTGGACCTGGATTTACTCGCTACAAACGGCGACAGAGTGTTCGAGGGCAAGGGTGAGTCCAGTGCATGTTGTAACACTGAGGTGCACAACTGATCTTGTCAGTGAGAAGTCGAAGTTTGGACAAGCTGCGTGCCAACGCATATCGTGGGCCCGGCGAGGAATGGGAGTCCATCTTGGAGCACGTCCTAGTCGACGGAAAGACCGCCAGCTTAGATGCTGCAGTACGGCAAAGCTTACAGGTTCGTTGCTCGATCACAGGGAAGGCTCAACATCGTCTCTCTCGATTGCGTTTCGCACACTAGTACAGGACATTACCCAACAGCTAGGGTCTATAGATCTTGCACATACCGAGGATGATTCCGGTGTGGACTTATGGGCCTGGGCTAACCAGCTAGCCGACCAACGCGACGAGGCCCGGACCAAGGTAGCGTCACAAGGAGAACAAGCTGGGACCGAAGCCAGACATTTGAATGCACTTCAGAAACAGCTCGACGATCTCACTAAGTCCAAGGCCGAGCACGAGAAGGAATTGATGGCTAAGTTTGCCATGTTGCTCAACGAGAAGAAATTCGAGCTCCACCGCCTACAACGCGTCCTTGCGTCGGCACAAGTCGATCCAAAGCAGCTCGAAGCGCTCCAGAATCAGAAATCAGGTAGCAAGCGCGAGAAGAAGCGTGCTGCTGCGGAGACTAGTGAGGATGAGTCAGACGCATTCGAGGACCAGGCCATGGATGTCGACAAAGCCAATCAAAGTGGCAGCGAAGAAGCTGCGCAGGCCACAGACGACGGCGGCAGCACCACGGACGAGGACGTCGATCTTGATCCCCCTGCGACTTCTCAGACGGAGCCCGCCCGAAAGATCACAACTTCGGCGCACAACGGCAAGGGCAAAGAACCAGCCACGTTACCGCCAACCAGAGATCTGCCCTTCAGTCGCAGAAACCAAGCCTCTCCGAAGGAGAAAGAGCCGGCCAAACCTCCAGCACAGGTCGATAACGGCGACGAGGAAACTGAGAGCGAAGCTGATGAGTTATGATTAATGCCATTACGATCGACATTTAGCTTGGTATGCTTTTGCCGCTTCATGGGCCTCGTCGCCTTCGACTTTCACTTCTTTGCTTGTGTCGATCTCTTCATACCGCCTCAGGTCCATATCGCCATCCAGCAGTGGCTGCACGTGGTCAGCAAAGGTTGCCATCAAGGAAGAATAGAGAATTCGTAAAGGAATGAAGCCCACTCACCTTCACGTAAGGGTCGAAAGTTTTCCAGTAAGGGTTCTCAAGGTGATACTTTTGGGATCCCTCATTCTCATATCGCTCCACAATTGCTGATAGCACAGGGAGGTCAGCAATTGCGCCACAATTCTGCCAGAACTCCAAGCAGCGCAGACCAACGTTTACTGCAAATTGATGATGCACGAGCTCGGGCAGCACATCACTGTCCCCTCACCGCACAGGAGAACTCACTAAAATCCTTTTTATCATAGACACTCTGCATGATGAACCATGACACCGTCTCCTTGTCCCGACTGTACACCTGCGACGCTTCGGTGAGCTTGTCCTTGACTTTCGAGATGGCGGCTTGGTCCTTCACTCGGAAGTGCACGACCAGAGTGTACACCATCTTATACAAAAGGCCTTTTGTTAATGGGTTCAGCAATCGGTGACTAGAGCAACAGCAAGAAAATAATGGACATCACCGGATTTCAGATGGTGTATGTATATCTAAGTACCTAAAGAGCTCTCCTCAGTTGACTGAATATGCAATTCGTCATCTGCTGTTGTCGAGATATACTCTTTGGGTATATTCCCCTCTCCAAGTCGTCTAATTTTGCCTTGTAAGCCCAACGCGTCCAAGTCAGCTTCGAACATTCATCATATTTTCTTCTTTGGTACTGCTGACTTGGTACCTCGTTGCAACACAGAGGACCATCGCTGCGACTGAAGATCGGCACAGATTGAGATGTTTCGTCGCTGCATCGAACCTGCAAATGGGCCCTGGCAGCCATTGCCCCGGTATTGCCCGCCGCAAAAACTAGTCAACCGGATTGGATCAGACTTCCTAGTCATCCGGTCTCGCTTAGACCAAGTCGTCATCCGGCGTCTGTGAGCTGTGGAAGTCATCCGGTCTCGACTACTAACGTTGGAGCTCCCGAGGTCGTCAACCAGAAAACGCAAGACATTCCACCGTCCATCCCAACCAGCGGTATTCGCGCGATCTTCGATGGGCTGCGACACACTTACCTAGCCAGGCAGCCGTCGCCTCTTGCTGTGATGAAAAGGACTGTTTGCGAGAGCACGAGCGTTTCGCGAAGATACCTAGGTACTTGCAGTCGATGCTTGGCAGCACATCACGCAATCCCGACTACTTCGCTTTCTTTCTCCTGTCATGCTTTAGTAGGTCTCGTTGCTGCAGATTTACAAGTTTTCCACCAGGCGGACATCTGAACAGTAGTGCTTTATAGCCCTGCAACATCAACGAGCCGAGGCAAAGCGTTCACGCTGGACACGTTTGCCTTGATACTCTAGAAGCACTCTGGAATCGGCATTGGCCGCCACGATGATTCTACCAGTCCCCTCCAACCTACCACCAACACTAGACGCAGCAACAAACCATACACCAACCTCTGTGATCCCTGCCATCCCCCTCGCCGAGTTCTCCTCGCCCACCCACTCCACGGACCAACGCACCCAGCTCCTGGCGTCCCTGCGCGCCGCACTCTTGGACACCGGCTTCCTCTACCTCACTGACCTGGACCACCACTTACCCCCATCTCTGATATATCGCCTAGTAGCACTACTGCCAAGAATCTTCTTGGACTTGACGCTCGAGGAAAAAGCGACCGCCGCACTGATCAACACGCCGCATTTCCTGGGCTACAGCAGTTTCGGAACCGAGACGACAGCTGGCGGGAAGGACTGGCGGGAGCAGATCGAGTTGAGTGGCGATGATTTCCTTGACGCTGGTCTGCGGGTAGTGAATGGGAACGGGAATTTGAAGGCGGGCACGCACGATAGGGAAAAGCAGCCTCTGTACGCGCGTCTTCGCGGCCCAAATCAGTACCCGGATTTCGACGGGCGGGATGAGATGAAAGCTGTGGTTGGAGAGTATATTAACGCGGCGCAGAACATCGCGGCAGAGTTTTTGGCACTGGTAAACGAAGCGCTGGGACTAGAGCCAGGGGTCTTGGAGGGTTTTGCGAGGGGAGGACAGGATCGGCTGAAGTTGGTGCATTACCGCATTGGCGATGACGAGTCTGCATCAACACATGAAAACGGTTTAGCAGGAAGCAATGGTAGTGCAAATGGCACGCTTGCAAATGGCAGCTCCGTCGCCACCACTACCAACGGCGGCGCCATCACCCCCTCAGAGAAATACATCCAAGGCGTCGGCCCCCACAAAGACTCCTCCGGCTGGCTAACATTCCTCCTTCAAGCCAGCCCCTCCACCCGCGGCCTGCAAGCTTTGTCCAAATCCGGCGCTTGGTTGGACATCCCACCCCTCGAGGCAGCCTCGTTGTCAACATGGGACAGGCATTCGAGGCTGCCACGAACGGCGTGTGCAAGGCAACTACACACCGCGTTCTCTTACCCGCAAGTGGTGACGGAAAGAGCCAGGGGAGTCGATATTCGGTCCCCTTCTTCATGGGCGTGCGGCCAAGCCTGACAAAAGGGGAGTTAAAAGGGCTATGGGAGCATTTCGACGAGAAGAGGTGGGGCACGAGGGAGAGTGAGGAGGGCATGCGGGTGGACAGTCCGTTCTTGCGGGGCGAAGGGTATGGGTGTTGGGGTGAGGCGCAACTGAGGACGAAGATCAGGAGTCATCGGGATGTTGGGAAGCGGTGGTATGGGGACGTGTATGAGAAGTATGTTGAGGAGGGCTGACGCGGCGGTTTGCTGCATTAGCAATGCAGTGAAGGCCATGACCTGGACAGCGACTGAGCGGATGCATGGCGCTAACAAGCACTGTACCTACAGACGGTGCGTGGCTAACACGAGAAACGCATGAGGTCCGTGTCGGATACGTGGGCAACAGATGACCAACAGCAGCCTCGTCATCGTCATCGATTCTAATCGACCCCGCGAAAGCGACCTCGAAAGCCGGAGACAGTTTGCTTCGAACTGCTGCTGAAGCTCCGCCAAAGTGGATTGTGACCTTGGGAGGACTTCATGAGGGACACCGTGGACGCAAGAGGGTCGAGATTTCGCACAGACAAGGTAGGTCACGTCCATGCAGGGAAGCACTAGGGCACGGATCGGCAATGTCTTTCTTCAGGCATCAACGCGAGCGGCTTTAACATTCCACCACCACGCGGGCTTATCCATGATTGGGATCAGAGCTATGCACTGGAAAAGGACGAGTCGATGTAAGCAACAGACGATGCGCCAGCCTTTTCTCCGATTTCAGGCACATGGTGAAGTCGTAAATCCCATGTGCTCGGCTTGAACGGAGTGCGGATACGCGAGCCGTGGTGCCCGCCCCAGCAACTAATGCACATGTAACGGTCGAGACCTTGCAGGAAACGAGCAAGGTGATTTGGTGGCGGCCGGGCCTGGAATGCTCTCGACGCGGCGGCGAGGGTCTAAAAGCGACTCGGGACAGATAAAACTTGACTTGGGCTGCGTTGGGTATGCCACCTGCCTTGTTCGGTATTGCTTCCAAGGTCAACTTGCTATAGCGTTGAATCGCGTATTGCTAAGCATCTTCGATCAGTAGTCGTGTCGACGAAAGGCGGGACAGGTATTGGGGTGGAGGCTCAACGGTCTAGGTCGTTCTAGGTTTGTGCCTAGAACTTTTCTTGGCCCCAGGGGCGGGCATGCCAAGGCACAGATTGAGATGCATAGCAAGTTGGTGCTTGAACGCCCGTCAACGTAATTGCGACTGGTGTTGTTGCGCTAGAGTGAGCAGAATAACGCTCCGCGTTGTTGGTATGATGCTGACGCTGCCTTCGCGATCGATGATCTATCCGCTCGCGTCGTGAGCCGAATACCGAGAACCCGGGGCGAGATCTCCGGGACTCTGTCATGCCATCCAACCATGAGCTCACCACGAGGCGGAATTTATGCCTTGTACGATGCCGTAGCTGACCGCGGCCGCAACGGCTCCGATGACGAGCGTCGAAATCGCCGACATAAGTGCTTGTGTCGCCGTACCGCCAAACAGCCGGCTCTTGAGGAACCCGAACACCAGTAAGACGAATATTGCAATACCGATCGAAATGAACAGAGCCTTGTGTACGTCGCGCATGGCAAAGTAGGGCAGCATGGGCAGGAGACCGCCTATTTGAGTCAGCATTGTGCTCTATGCTTCGTGAATGGACCGTACCGAGGGCATATGCAACACCCATGACAAGGGCTGACCACACAGCATGTCGCCGCAAGGGCTTTTCTAGCTTCAGCTCGATGTCCATCATGAACTGACTTTGTTCAGCTAATGGACTCATGATCACATACTGGCAAGGAGCCGCACCTTAATCCAGGCGTCTTTATCCCGGCACAGTGCATCCACAAACGGCTTGACTGCGTCTCTTTCGGGGCCATACGAACAGAGAATGTCAAATATCTCCTCCTTTTCGCGGACCGGAACTTGCTCGACTTCCTTCTGCTCACGTCTCAGTTCGTTGTGGTAGACTTGTCGATCGGTGAGTGCAGCCAGATACGCGCCCAAGCCCATCGATATAGCACCGCTCAGTAGCTCAGCTACTCCAGCGATGATGACTATTCGTTGAGAACCAAGACCTGCGAAACCGGTGGTCAGGGCAAAAGGGACTGTAAGCCCATCCGCAAAGCCCAGCACGAAGTCATGGAGATAACGGCCATTCTTGGTGTGAGGCTCCGACATGTTGTGTGATATGCTATTCGTGGGCTTCATCTCGGACTCATAGTCGACTTATATTCAGTCGAGGACGAATCGATACAGCAAGGCTGTTCTGCGCCACATGGCCATCCGGAACACCCGTGACGGATTCTTTGACCAACCACAAATCGGCAATTAGTAGCACTGTCTCACAGAGAACATCAAATTACCAGGCGTACAGACGGACCGTGCGTGTATTGCGTACGATGGTGACGTCTGGTTGTAGGCATACCTTGGTAGAGCGAAACGCAACAGAAGCTGCTGACATTAGGCAAGACGTGATTGGTCGATCTGTTCCTCCCTCTTCACGGTACCTTCCTTTTGGGATTAAGACGCACGGCAGTCGCGATGATGTTGAGAGACGTGGCGTAAGCAGGCTTTTCAACCCCGGAGGACTCTGCATCAAAGCCCGCCAGGGTGTAATACCGCTCTACCTACCGCGTAGGCCATGATTCTGAAGCCAAGGAACGGAATCCTGGCATGGTGTACCAGCTCCAAGTGCTGCGCCAGCCTTCTCATGTCGACAGTCCGGTCGTCACTTTACAGGACGACAGGTCCTGCTACCTCATTGGCCATCACGTTTGAGGCATGTTTTGTAGCAAAGAGGCCTGGCGTGCCACTCATCGGCTGAAACGGGCAGTTGAATCCCCCCTTGAGGCCAGCAAAAGTGTAGGAAACACGACGAGTGTCGCGTCTCTATGCTCAACGAGATCTGACAGTCACGAGTCATCTGTGAAGCTCTGCGCAAGTCTCGCCAGTCCTGAAAACACTCATCATGACTGGCAGGTAGTATCTGATAGTACCTAGACAGCAGGTCTTAACATGACGTGTTTTGGGAGTTGGGGACGCCAAGGCGTGCGCTTATAATTGCATCAGCAACCCCGGAGCATTCAATGCAAGTACCTCAACCTACCTGTAGCCCAGACATGACTTGCGAAACGTAGCGCTGTAGCGGACTGCTTTGCTAAAGGCTAGGGGCAAGCTCTATGGTTACTTTACTACATCAATATACTGGCCACGTCGAATCGAGTCCGCCAGCGCATCTTACTTCAACCATGTCCAAATGAATCCCCCAACTCGCGCCGCGTTCTCCTTGCAGAACACCTTCTTTTTATTTGCACGATGAAGGCGGCCTTTACGTCGCCGGAAGTCCTTCTCTTTGGTCACCGTGGGGTTGTTGATATCCATCGTCACTCTCCTAGTCCACTTCAGAGGATTCCATCCCTGCTGATCCTTAATATGGTAGGCCGAGATCTGTTTCTCGCCGGTATTGGTTAGCCTAAGCCAGGAGCTTGGAGCATGTGAGAAATGGCAGAAGGGGAGACAGCTAGACCCAAATATCCCTGAACTACCCACTGGTAAGGCACTGGAAAGGCTGGCAAGACCAAAATTGTTGCCCAGCGAATAACAAATCGGCTGAGGGCCTGTCCAAGACAAGTGTTCTTTTGACGCAGGAGATTGTCTCCCGGTCGAGAGATAGTTTAGCTCGCGAAATTGGAGGACGTACCAGGAAAAAGAACACGAACACATTCATATATGTCGCGAAAAAATCTTGCACCGAAAAGGGTGTCAGGAACGACTTCCAGCCCGAGAAGAACAGGACGAGGACGCAGGCTATGAAGCCGTACATTGCTCGGCTCCACTGAAGATGCGATTTGTACGGATAGTCACCCGCATTCCGGTTGAGGTAGGTGCCGTTATTGGTCTGAACAATCACCGGGTCGTCTTCGCTGCCATCAACTGTACGCTTCTTGAAGCTAAGGAATGCCAGACTGACGACGGCGTAGACGATCATGAGTGTGCAGCTCGAGTAGGTAGACATTCTTCCTAGAACTTGAGCTGGACCTGGAGTCCCGCCGAGGAAGCCGAATAGACCGAACAGCCACGTCACGCAGACTGCAGGCAGTGGTACTCCGTGCCTCGTAGTCTTCTCCAGTCGGCTCTTGATAGCATAGCCAAATCCGCTCTCGGGCCAGACGTTGCGAATGTTGGCCATCGAGTGGAGCAGTCGCGATGAGATATACAAGGCATTGACCGACACCGAGAAGGCCGAAAAGATAAAGAAGGCGTTGATCAGGTGCGGCCAGCCTGTGACGCCTCGGTGAACCATTGCAATTATGAACGGGCTGTTCTGCCCGGCTTTGATTGAGGTAATGTGGGAATCCTGGAGATTGATATCTGTGGATGGCACGTTGAGACCGACTGTGAACACAAGCAGCATGTACAGCAGGATGACTCGAAGGGATATCTTCCGAGTCGCAAGCTTGATCGATTCATCCTGCTCAAGGTTCTTGTTCTCAGCCGCAGTGACGGAGACCGTGTACATTGACTGCAGCGAGAAGAACACAGTCGTCATCGAAGACCACATTCCTTTCATGCTATCAGCCGAGTTATGGCTTCTTGGAAGATACTAACTCACCAAGCAGATGACCGGTGGATCCAGTGAACGTGTGCTCTCCAACGGTCACTTGACTAGAGAAGAACCCGTTGGGGGAGTTGTAGTTAGAGAAGGCGCTGGATTGGCGTCCCTCGCTCACACTCAGCTGACCATGTGTTAGCATGATTCTTGGACAACGGGGCCATCGAGGGACTGCCGGGACGGAGAGAATTCATGTTTGGGGAGGACTTTGTGCTTACTGCGTTGATGATGAGGTTGAACATGATGAGTCCAACCATCACAACGATCTTGATGCACCCAAAGAAGTATTCGATTTCGCCGTAGACTCTGATCGGCAAGAGGTTCATGAGAAATATCACCACTAGCAAGATCGCGACCCATACGTTTGGGTTCGTGTTCAAACCGAATGTCCACTGTAGAGTTTCCTGGGGATAGTTGAAGCTTTGCAGGTACTCCTTGGAGAATCCGAAATGGAATAACTCGGCCACGACACTGAGCTCCACGCCGATGAGGAACGAGAATGCGAGCCAGGCCATCCATCCTGTGGCAAAGCCGACCGATTCGTCGATATAACGGCTAGGAAAGTCGATTATAGGCTGACGAATAGGAAAGAGCGCGGTCATCTCTCCCAGAGATGCCATGGCAGACCACACCACCGTGCCCATGATGAAGTACGCTCTGTGCTTAGTTAGCGACACGTCTGATGCGAGAGTCCTACGTACATCAAAGCACCACCTGGCCCTATCTGATTTATAATTTTGCCGGACTGCAGGAAACAACCTATTCCAACTGTTGAGGAGAATGCTATCATGTTGACGTGCCGCTCACTCAGAGCGCGTCTCAGATCTGTAGGTCCATACTTCTTCTTCGCTGGGAGTCCTTCCTCAACCTGAAGGTCTGGGGTTGACATCTCGTAGGTCTCGTAAGTTTCTGATATCATCGAGACCTTATCAATGGACTCCCGTTCATGGATGCGCTGGAAACCTGAGTTATTCATGGCTGGTCCTTCCTCTGGGGTCAGCAATGGCGAGGGCGGGCTAGGAGGTCGGTTCATCTCTGAAGTGCTATGGTCGATAAGTGGAAAGCAGAACACAATGGCCGAAGTATTTCTCTGTATCACGACGCAAATGGAGACAGCGCTTCGGAGAGGACTTTGGGGCCACGACCAGTACCATACATATCAAGGCGCCCTCGAATGCTTGTCCGGTCTAGGCTATATCTTGGGTTTACTTCACCATGTTCCGGAGGACTCGTCCAGAACCCATCCTTCAGAAGTTTGCGGAGCTTGGTCCACAAAAAGGACCAGTCAAAGCTCCAGTCCATGTATGCGCAGATCACATAGCGTCCTGCCGGAGCTTTCGTTCGATGGCATTTGTCGGGGGCCGTGGCTGAGGACTTGCCGCTGTGCAAGATTGCTAGCTGGGGACGCGGAAACCAGGGCACAATGTGTCCACGCCTGTGGGCATCTAGCGTCTGCCCGACGTGACCCACACTAGGTCGCACAGCAGATACGAACCGAAGTGTGAGTCGAAGTCCAAGCGAGTCGAAATGTCCCTGGACGCCACACAGGGCTGAGAGAGGTTATCGAATCTCGCGAGAACCCTAGTCGTTGCCTTGTCTCGGCCCACTAAAGTTCCCCACAATATTTTAGCCCCAGACGTCTGCTCTGACCACCATGCACATAGCATCCTTCTCAAAGCATATTTCAGTAATTCACCCTTTATGGAACAGTTCGCGTCGCCAGTGGCGGCCCGAGTCTAGGCTGAGAACTATGATCGACGACAGTAGTCGAGACTTTGCGTGTGATTCAACTCAACGAGCCGTCTACTCAACCATCGGACACGATCTTTGACACCATGGGCAGTCTCGTGGTTTCGAAAATCATGTGGTTGCTACCGATCTGTCCGCGGCGGACCATGTCGTGGCCGGCACTCGAGACAGCTTCCTGAGAGCCAATAGTGATCCCTTGTTGGCGGTATGTAATTGAAGTCGATCAAATCCTGCCGGAGAGTCGACCTATCCTTGCAAACCACCGCCTCCTAACTGGCCATTATCTGCGGTCGACGGGGCTTTGCTCGTACACATGTTGGCGGTCTAATTCGCGACGAAAATAACATTGTCTTAGATCAGCGAACAATTTCTTTCCAATTGTCAACCTCTCACGATTGAGGCGGCCCCCGTGGCTGCAAGCACCCCTTGTGCAACGGCGCTAGGAATGTCTGCTTTCTTCGCGGTTCGCCTGAAGCTGGTTGACCGGACCATGGTCGCTTGAGCTCCTCGCTGTGACGACTGCGACGACGATCTGAGTGAACGACACGACAACTTCGAGGACACAGGTCGATGGTGAATCCACCAGCGACGGCTGCTTCAGACTTCTCCATACGCAGGCGACAATCATGTCGCACGCTGACATAGCAGATGTGTGGGCTGTACTCGCGAGAAGAGGCGATATCGGGCACATCATGTTGGAACTGATAGGAACGCACTACATGAATACTTGTACTGCGAGACGGGACATAAGGCTGCTAAGGATTGCCTATGTCTCGCACATCAGCAGCATCAAGACCATACTCGACCTCCAGCGCACGTACCTTCAAGCGGCCCAACACGGCCCCAGCCTATGCCTCCTGCCACTCGAAACGCTGGTCTCGACAATCACACATTTGATGGACGTGGTTGTCTCTTCGACAATTGCGTGTTCAGATCTGTCAACCGAGCCAGCGTACAATGATTTGACAGCACAGACGGTGCTATCGAGTTTGCGCTTATTGCTTTTGCGCGGACAGACGCTAAGTGCGACAGAACATGATCAGCTCAGCAGCCGCTTTGAAGAGATACACGAGCGTGGGCACTGGCACTCTGGAAACTTGACTGTCTTTCTACGTGTTTGTCGTCAGACAATCTCGTACGCGGCAAACCCTGGACGTGAGCCAAGTCTTAATCATTCAACGTGTTCCGAGATATCGCTGCCTGATGTGTTAGCAAGCACAGTGCGTATCTCCCAGCGAGAACGCACCAGTTCTAACTAGCATGCAGGAAAGCCTTGAGCCATATCACCAGTCAGTGATCAACACAGCGAAAGAAATCGGCAGGATATCTATGCAATCACCCAGATGGTATCGCGATTGTTTGATCTCGTATGACATATCGTGGTACACTACCTCTGCGGTGATCTCTGCTTGCCAGAGACAACGGTCGTCAGGGACAAAGGCTGCCATTCCAGCCCGGACCTCTTCCTCAGTCAAAGAGCTGCAAGGTGTGCTGAAAACCAGATACAGTATACAGCAACATGCTGGAGTAGACCTGCGTTCGATTAGCGTTGACCGACCAGCAGAGAAGCTCCGAACGCTGGTCGTCCAAGACATGAGTTCATTGTGCGCAAATGAAACTTGTTCATGCTTCGGCGAAAACAACCTCGAAGTTGAGGAAACAGTGAGTGAAAGTCTTCGCTGAATGTCTTCGCAGCTGACCAGGACCCCTCAGCGGCGACAATCTGGTCTGCAGATGGAATCCGTCGGACATGCAGGCCACCCCAACTGCACCAATTCGTTCGACGAAGAGCTGAGTCAAGCCTTACAAAACTTAAGAACATCGATGGGTACAAGAGATGCACTTCTATCGAGCCTCTACAGCAAGAGAATCTCGCTGCCGAAGCTCGACAAGGCCGATATCCTGCCGCTATCGTTACAGCGACGAGTAACGCGAAGTGATGACAAAGAAATACTGCGGCCGCGTGGCGGATCGTACTCAGGCGACACAGACCTTACACACGCACGACCACTACCTGTGCACTCTTTGTCAAGCCCAGAAGTGACTCTGCAGAACGGCGGAGAGGGTATGGCCAGCTCTCTGACCAAGATGAAGTCTGCTTCGGAAATCCTTGTCACTGGTGCAGACTCAATTCAACGACAGCCGTCTGACCGCTCGACGGAGACGGCTAGTAGTGGTGCGGCAGTGGCTAGCACCGAAGTCTTCTCCGACAGATCTGGCCCACTATCATCCATCGGCGAGGACCTGCCCGTGACGAGCTCACACAGGCGCGAATCCGACACGGATAAGCAATCAGTCATGCCTGAAAAGCCGCTGCCTCCAGTTATAATGGAGAGCCTACCGGAAGTGTATACTCCTGGATCTTGGCGGCCTCCCGAAAACGCTTCTTTGCTGGGCAAGACCAGCTCGCAGCCGTGGGTGCCGGACCTTGACAACCACCCCGAACTTGTTTCGCCGGACGCGTTGCGCTCTGGTAGAGCATTGACGGCGCCATCCATCAGATCAGAAGACAGTCAGTCTTTCGCTCGGCCCCCAACAATCTCGGCAGCCACGATGAAGCAGAAGAAATGGCACAAAGGCATTTTCGGCACTTCCTCTACAACTGTGACGACTGCCTCTGCCCCGTCGTCCGTGTTTTCAGCCTCAGGTACATCTCTGCTCGTCTGGAACGAACTTGGCGCAGGCTACTACAGTACGAACGACGTTGACGCTATGGACTTTGCTCGTCTCAGCGCGTTTCATGTTCATATCGCGGCCGGTGGCATCAAACGTTTTGCTCTCGTCGTCAAGGACACATATCAACAGACATACCGCTTAGAGATCCTCGAGCCCTCACGTCAACAGGAATCTGTCCGTACCTTTCCCCTCCACTCACCTCCCCACGCCCTTGCCCTGTCACAGAACGACTCGCTTATCGCCGCGAAATACTCTCGATGCGTGGACATATACGCTGTCGAATCAGGGAGCCATGTCCGCCATGCACTCCCCTCAGCTCGATCTCGAGCAGCGCCCGGGAACCATCTCGTATGTTTCGCGCCGAATAGCCAGTCTTTCGCGGCAGCCACGCGATACGAGCCTGAGAAAGTCATCACCTACACGAGCCCGTGTTTTGATCCCTCGAAGGGCGCGTACATTGAGACTGCCAATCCGACAGGCTTCCCAGGCGATAACGGGCTGTCGAGTTTACTCTTCTCGTCATCACATGCTTCAGGGTCCTCCTCAGTGGCGTTCTTAAGCAGCTTCACTGAAAAAGGAGCACCATTGTTCCTATCCCTCAAGCCTCCGCCACCTGGCAGCCTAATGTCCGCAAGCCGGGCCCGTGCAATTCGCGACCCGAAAGGCCGTATCGGCACGCGTGTTCATCACGCAGCATTGTCGCCCGGTGGCAATTCGCTTGTGCTGCTGAATCAGCGCAATGACATGTTTTGGATCGACGATTGCTGGGCCGGCGGAGGAGGAGGGGGTGGAGAGCCGCGGAAGGTAGCGACTGTGAAACGTGGAGTGAGTGTGGTCAAAGACGTTGTCATGGGAATGCCAAGTAACGATGAGGTGAACATGTTCTGGACGGAGAAGGGAACGAAAGGGATACTGGTTACGGTCGGCAAAGGTGGTGGACGAGGAAAACCTGTCACGCTGGAAGTCGTCAGAGATCTGGGAGGTTGAGATGTATCATCACATGTGTACGAAGTGATTGCAGCCCAATGGTCGGCACTCCTCGAGAGGCCGTCGTTCTCACCGTACCTAAGCGATATGTCCAGACTGGTGGATCACTTCTTTGTCTTCGTCTTCTCCGGAGGAACCAAGCCTCCTAGGTTCAGGGCGTCCCGGGCAACATTATTGATGGCTCGAAATCGATCCGGGCCCAATTGCACGCCGCCGTACCATCTCGTGACGACGACGAGACCGTAGGCGTCCATGAGCTGCATCAGATGCAACATCCTGGAGCCCGCTGCAGTCTCACCGTCATCGTCGTAGTCCTGAATTAGATTGCTAGTAGGCGAAGATGCATTGTCCTTGATTCTCCAAGCCTTGATGTTATGTGTGGCTCCAGCAACCTTCTTGTTGGTCGCAAGAAAGTGACTCACAGCGTTCTCAACATCGAGCAGAGATGACACGCGAACGGCCCGACCAACGAAGATGGATTTGTTGATCGTCAATGGTTCAGTTGTGGCCCAATCCGGAGCAGGAAAATCGAGCGCTGGTTCGGTCATCAGCGTTGAGTCCTTGGCTGATTCATCATGTGCTGACCTCTCCGAAGTATCGTGGGTCGAAGGTTCAGCTTGACCATGATCATACGCTGCAGCGAGATCCTCGAGTACTGGCCCACCTTCCTCAACCAAATCAAACAGGCATACTTGCCCTGGAATATACGTGCTCCCAAAGACTTCACTCAATCTCAGTAGTGCGGCTTCGCCGGACCCTCTGGCAGTGTTTCCCGTCGACTGTGTTCCAAGAATCTGAGGCGGTGCCTCTGGGTAGTCGAGTGGAAACGCGAGACGAAATGAAAACGGGCTCTTGGGGAATCGCAGCGTTGCGCTGACGACCGACCCAGAGACGCCGTTGATCACTATGGTGTCATTGTCGAATATAGAATTAAGCGCCTCCACTTCGTCGCTCAGGGCATCATTCGCCGTCGACATTGATAATGAAGGTCGAGATCACCTTAACGTTCATTTCTGCACTGGCTGAAAGACAGGTGTGGGGCCATTTGCCAAGCTTCCAAGGTTGGAAGCTTGAGCTCCAGGCAGCCCCTGTCGAGGAGCACTCCCGGGCTGAACCGAAGAGCATGGAATTTGAATTGAACAGGCACCAGCTCCTCTTCTCCTTCCTTTCACACCACGACTTATCACTTACAGCGACAGCGCCTTGATATACATCGAGACTACATCGGTAAGCTTGATCATCGTCGTCATGGCTACTCAGGTCAGCGGTCATCCGCGTCCTTTGCACCAGCTTCTGTGCCCCGAAGAGCAGAATGCAGCAACCGCCAACAGCATCATCCGCCAATTACCCGATCATCTGGTGCAAAGAGCTCTCGGCTACTGTGACACGATAACGCTGCTCTCTAGCAGGCTATGCTGCCAACAGTGGGCATACACGAGACACATTGAGGACGCCTTTCGATCGGTCACTCTGATCCCGCACGTGTACCTGCTCCAAGACTTCGTTGCGACCTTCAACCGCTCGCTGTTGGTCAATGCCGTGCAGAGCTTGCTAATAGACGGCAGCTGGCTCAGTTGGCTGTTGCGTTTCGATCGAATCAACAGTAGCCAGTGTGCAGAAATGATGCCGGCGTCGCATGACCGATCGTCGAATGGCCAAAATGGTCTGTGGAATAAATCTTGGACCGGCAGGTTGGATGAGATCTCCGAGCTTCACATCACGCGAGGTCCTGCCTTGAGTACACTGCTCCACGACCGCATGAGTGCTATCTTGAGAATGCTCCCAAAACTGCGAGAGGTCAACGTCAATTTCGAGACCAGACCTCAACACGGAGGGTATTGGGGATGGGCCTGCTGGCCAGAAGTATCGTGCCAATACTTCTCAAATCGGTTCAAGACGCCCCCTTGTCTGCGGAGAATTCGATTGCAGGCAAGCAACCTCGAGTCATTAGGGGACTTCCCTCCGCGAAGCAGAGACCGTCGGATCGTGGAACAAGTCAATTGGGCAATGATGACGGCCCTTGTTGAGCACCATCCACTGACACTTCAGATATTGCGGCTTGGCAACTTCCAAGCGTCTCGGTTCTTCCAGGAGTCCCCTTCGATGGGTTTAAATCACCTCAAGCCTCTACTGCACCACATTCTGGAGCTAGAAGTCCATGTCAGCGGATCAGGGTCTCCACATCGACGACGAAGTCTCACAATTGCTCACAAGGCCTCTGCGGCTCTCGCTTCTCTGATACTCGCAGCACCCGATATACAGGCCTTACGACTGATCAGCGATGCCAGACTTGGATGCGTTTCAGACGCAGTCCGCGTCAGTCAGTCATCAATCCTACCGCGTTTGCAAACGACCTCCCCTGATGGCGACGCAGCCTTTGCCATGCTCCGACATCTGTGCTTCAGAATATGGTGTGCACACCTGATAGTCTGCTGCACCTCACAGTGACAGAATGCCCGCGATTACAGAGCCTGGTCATCATAAATTGTGCTCTAGGCTCCCGTGCTGGCCATTGGCTGTCCCCGGACATGCGTGCAGCAATCGAGGTGGACCATGACACGACAGCTGCAACTGAAGCGCCCCCTGGTAGAGCCCGATACTGTTGGGTGAAAACACTAAAGCAGCTACGCAACGCAGCCACAAATATAGTGGAGATTGATTTCGGCGGATTGCTTTGCAATGGGCGGCGTCAACATTGGCACATTGACCCGACACTCTCACCTCCGTCTTACGACATACACGACTTCTTTCATCATCCAAAGCTCAAACAACGAATCAGGACCTGGTTTCACTGCAAGTATATCTCGGACGGCCTCTGTCCACTAAATGTATTTGAGATTCCAGATGACATCATTGATCTAGGAGACACCAGGATTCTAGGCCGTGTCTCTGATGAGAGCTGGGAGTGGACGTGGCCTGCGTATAATTGTCCATGGCAAGAGATCATGAGTGGAAATGTTTGCATCGACGACACTGTACACGCGTCAGAGCAAACGGATGACAGCGATGACGAGACGGTATGTTGACTGGGAAGATTGGAAGCGGTATACTGATGTTTGTCGCAGATTCTCTTGGCTGTCTTGCCACCGTTGATAGTGTGTATCGTCCTAGCAAGAGCACGCCCTTGGGAGAAGCTAATGAACAGGTCAATTTGGGCGAATCAAACACATGTAAGCATTTCAATCCAAGACGGAAGCGCTGAAGTCGTTGAACGTCCCATGCTCGTAGCACGCTTAAGTCAGGCTCTGTTCTTCCAAGATCGCAGTACATTGCAAAAGTATGTGAGTCCTCCTGACCTCCGAAGCCTTGTCCTTACCTCCTTGCGACGGCTGCCCGCTTGCGAGGAGTTCTCGCTGCACCCTGAACCACAGGCGTTGCTGGCCTAGCCATGTCGAGCTGATAATTTGCCTCGGCTCTGGCGGCGTCCAAGCGATATGGAAGGTCGAGGCCAAGTACGAAGCATATCGATGGCGATAGTTCTCGGTGAGTGCTTCCACTGGTCTGGGTGCTGATGCAAGCTGTCTCGTTGCATGTGAGGCTGCAAAGAATGTAAGTCAGCAGCATTCCGAGCGAGGCAGCCATCTACTCACTCGAGAGCGAAGAAGTGGCAGGCACGGTGGTCGATGAACACGGACGGTCGCTGCTACTGCGTCTTGTCGGCTTGGCGTTTCCGTTGGGCTTGGACATCGCTGCCTGGCCCATGCCGCTTACGATGCAACGCAAGCTTGAGAGCGTCTTATCGACTGCAGGTAGTTTCCAAGTACTAGGGAGTCCTCTGACAGCACACGACGGTGCGAGAACAACTTATACTAAACCAGCCAGCACACGTGCCCTCACTTGCGAACTGTGCTAATTTCCGGCGCTGCACGCATGTCGAGTCGTTGTCAAGGTGTGAGACAGAGAGCTCCGCATTGTTTCTGGAGAGCGAAGTCATGCAAGCAGGTTTGCGAGCTTCCATCAAACCGAGAGAGGCTCAGTGTATGCATCGTGGACTATCAAGTACTGTACCGTTCCTTGAAGTTCAGTGAGGCATTTATCACTTCTGAGCTAATGCAGTCCCGATTGAGCGAAGGTTACTACATCCTTTTCCATGATTATATGGGGCCTGCTGTATAGAATCTGGGGTCACACCAATCACCACATTTCATGCTTGATGGAGTATGAGGCGGTGTATATGCAAGGCAAACGCGGCAAGACGGCGACATGTCAGTCGTTGTGACTCGGCAAGCACGTGCATTGAACATCTCTATGAGCGATTTTGTGGCCAATCTCAAATCTGCTCATTAGAAGGTAGAGGTACAGGACGTGTTGACTGTAGTTGAGAATGGTAGACTTGGAATGGTAAGGTCTGTAGGAAATGCAAACCGCACCATTTGTCGATCAGAATCGGACTTCATACAACCGCGTCTAACCGCAGTCTCCCCATGTACATGCAGCTGGCAGCCTTCCCCAACCACTCGTGCACGACTGTATCACAAGTAAAGCCCGGGCTATAGACTGCTATATCATACATGCTACAGCAATTCTAACGTCCACAGCTGCATCCCAACTCTGCTCGCTGTCACCGCTGTCGCTGCGTTACCTAACAATCTCAGTATGTCCTCTACCGATTCCCACTCAGTCCTCACAACAAGTATACGCATCCAATCCGCCTTGCCACCAGTATCCCCAGGAAGGCCACAAGTTGAAGTTAGTCAAGTCCAACGACCGACATCACAAAAGTTCACCAGCGCGAGAAGGAGAGCAGACACTTCAAATATGGAATTCGACTTCGCTGACGCCTTTGCGGAGATCTCTTGCATAGATCGCGACGTCAGACCGCGCCGGATAGCGAGTATTGTGGAGGTCTCGACCAGGAGGCACCGGTGACACCTGGGGATTCTGGGTAGAAAGATGAAGTCGTGGACGAGAACATGGACTTAGACTTGCAGATAGCCAAGCAGTTACCTGAGACCGGATGACTTTTATCGTACTTGGCTGCAATTCTGTATTCGTCCCCTGCTATTTACACGGGCAAGACCGTATGACAAGAGACCAGTTCCACGGATGCACTGCACATGAGACCGTCTGACAGCTTTTCGACAGAGTATTATACACGATCGAGGTCGCCGGGCGTTTCGGCAAGGGTTTGTACAGCAATCTGAAAACAGAGACTATTGATTGGGCTATGCATATACTTGCATTGGTCGTGCTACTGATATTTACACAGTCATTCGTCTGCCATTAAGCATCTTTGATGCACTGCCATCATTAAAAATACGCCTCTGGCATCATTTACAACAACGCAGTCTTTGCTCCCTTCGCTGTGGATAGCAGTGCCGCGATGTGGAATATGCCAACCCGAACAACCCGACACAGCCCACCAACTGTTAATAGTCCCACTCAAAACTTCGCAAACGCCATCTCGTAAGCGAAACCAAGCGTCATCTTCGCGTGCTGAAGCATGTGATCGAAGCTGAGCAGATCAATTGTGTCGCCCGTCGTATGAATTTTGTTGTCCGAATACTTGAAGTCTGACTCTATCACGAATGCCGAAGGATAGCCGTACTTTGATGCAGATGCATGATCGCTGCAAGCATAACCGCACTTAGTAAGTACGTATGGGATGTCGCAATACTCGGTCACGACCTTCTTGATAAATTCGGTGAGTCCAACGTCAACAAAGTCGGTTATGACGCCAACAGACTCGGGCTCTCCAGCTTCCAGAGTCTTGGTGACATAGCCAGTCATGTCCTGTTGAATCATGGCCTTGACGTCGCGTTTGTCCTGAGCGTAGAACTTGAAGATCTCCTGGCTGCCCAGCAGGCCTCCTTCTTCAGCGGAATACCACATGAATTCGATAGTATTGGGTGCCTTGCCCTTCACCACATCGTCGGACTGTAGGAGGACACGGAGAGCCTCCAGAATCGTTACTGTGCCACTTCCGTCATCATCTGCTCCAGGAGCGGCGAATATCGAAGGCAGGAACAGGTTTATGCTGTCTTGATGAGCACCGACGACAACAGTTTGGTTGCTCTTCCCGGGAATCCTGGCGATGATGCTGAATTGCTGCCACTCGTGGGGAAATCTGGTCACTGTAGCACCGTGTTTCGCGGCACCAGAGGCCTCCAGAATGTCGTTGATCTGACCGTACAGCCATTCCGCAGATGCTTTGCCGTGGTCGCTCTTGTAGTACCGGGTGTGGAACGACGTGAATTTCTCGAGATGCTTGCGCATGTTGGACTTGTCTAGACCCTTCTGCAGCTTCTTGACTGTTATATTGTACTCTGGCTTCGCAGGGTATGTGACGGTCGCTCGTTTGGACGATTGCGCAACAAGATCTATATCACCAGTAGCTGTGATATCCATGAAGTTCGTTCCATTCTGTTCATGTCAGCTCATTGCGTGTAAAATACAGCTGAGTCTCCTACTCTCTTTAATTCCCACTTCTGGGACTCAGCCACCCACATGGTCACTCCGGGCTCTGTCTCGATCAAACTCCGCTCCTCAGCACGGTCTCTTCTCAAGGACAGGATGTATGGGTCGCTATCCTCCATCTCTTGCCATGCTTCTTGTGATGGGCGACCTCGTTGTTCCCACAGTTTCTGCCAGTCCAGAGGTTGCCCAGAGGTCCATGAATTGACCGCATCATCGGTGAGACTAATAGGCTTCTGTGGCCTGATACTGAGTGCATCTGCTAAAGCAGCCGCGAGGACCAGTGCAGCGAGGCTCCGCATGACTGCAGCAATTAGAAGGACAGTGTTTTAGGAGTGGAGGTAAGTATCATGCAGGCAGCAGGTACTGTATATGCCAACAGCCCAAAACGAATGTGGGATGGTCCTTCGCCGCAGCTGATCTATGATATGATGAGCACGATCTATTGACATGAGGTACGTAGACTACTGCCTGGATTTAGTACTATTGACATGCGTAGCCTCGGCCCCGCGGGGTCAGCCTTGCCCTTGGCGCCATTCGTCATTTGCATCTCGTCCAGTCCTGTCTTACTTCGACCACTTGTACCACCTTTGAGCAGATATGTTTACAGAAGGCGCTTGAAAGGTACGTACATAGTGCGTCCGACGTTGAAATGAGCAGCAGCGAACTCCATGCATGCTATGTATGAACACGAGCTTCAGGTTGGTCTGTGTGATCCACCGTAGGAGTATATCCGTATTCCTGTTTTGAAATGGCCTTGGTCGTCTGAGCATGGATATCATTTCATCATACCATTCTTGCCCTAAGCTTTGGTTCGTCGAGACTTCTATCATTTCATCTGCGGTTTGTTGCTGCTGTCAGGCGTCTGTGATTCATCCCACACATCCTCTGGCGCGCCTTGTTCAAGCAGCATGTCCCTTGTGCAGCATGTTTCCGCTGTCGAGGGACCCGATCGAGTGGATTTGGCCAGTCTCTATGATCCGCCGGAAAATGCGAGTATCCAACTCGGACGACGCTTGAGCCGTACTATCAGCTACGACTTCCTTGTGCCGGCCGACATAGTTGCAGCAGAGAAGCCAGAACCTGTGGGCGCTCACAAGGTCTCGACCTTTGTTCGAACAGCTCAGGTGGCGGCCGGGGTGCTGATGTGTACTCTGGGATCGGGAATTGTCTTTGGCTTTGCAGCGCTAAAGCAGGTTCTGGTCGATCAGGAGATTTATCACGATTTGTGTACCGCTGAAGAGCAGGCTCGCGGCGATCAATTATGCTACCTCCAGGATCAGAAGCTCAACATGATTTTTATCGTTGGATCTGTCACAACGAACCTTTCAGCGTTACTCGTTGGCAGCATGCTGGATCGCTGGGGTCCATATCCTTGTGGTCTGATCAGCTGCGCGTTGATCTTCCTTGGTTCGACATGCATGGCTTTTGCAAACGTCTTGCCTCTCGATGGCTACGTTATCGGATATTTTCTTCTCTCTCTGGGTGGCACATTCATATTCGTTCCCTCCTTCCACCTTTCCAACGCGTTCCCTCAGTTCCAGGGCTTGATTCTGTCGCTCATCACGGGAGCCTTTGATGCATCGGCAGCTGTATTCCTGGTCTTTCGACTGATGTACGACGGCAGCAACAAATCCTTCGGTATACATGAATTCTTTCTGGCATATCTGATCGTTCCTGTGCTTATGCTGGTTGCCAACCTGCTGCTCATGCCACGATCCTCATACGAAACCCGAGCAGAGTTGGAAACCGAGCGGGAGCGTCAACAAGACAACACTCTCGATGTGCATGATTCAGACGACGAACTGGATACTACTGCTGAGATCCTGCGCGTGCGAACAAAGCGAGCTGCTGAGAGGGCCAAAGATACAGCCCAGATCAACGACTTGATTGGCACAGAGGCGCAGCAGGCCCAGCACGAGATCAAGGAAGATGAGAAGAAGATTGCCAGTGGTATCTGGGGAGTGCTCCACGGCTTACCAGCACATAAACAGATGGCGACGCCTTGGTTCATCCTCATTGCCATGTTCACTGTAATACAGATGACACGATTCAACTTCTTCATTTCGACCATCTGGACGCAATACGAGTACCTGCTGGACAGCCCTGAAAGAGCCACAGAGGTTACGCGATTCTTCGACCTTGTGCTTCCAATAGGAGGTGTCGCAACAGTACCTTTCATAGGCGCTCTTCTGGACAACACATCGACTGTCACAGTGCTCGGTCTGCTAGTCTTGACCAGCACGTGTATCGGAGCACTTGGTGCTGCTCCCAATCGCACCGCTGCATACTGGAACATTGTGTTGTTTTGTGTTTACAGGCCACTATACTACTCTGCCATGTCAGACTACGCCGCCAAAGTCTTCGGCTTTGCGACATTTGGGAAGGTATACGGCACTTTGATCTGCGTCAGTGGCCTTACAGTATTCTCGCAACCCGCCCTGCAGGCTTTGGTGCACGATGCCTTCTACGAGGACCCTGGCCCGATCAACCTCTACTTAGCCGGCGCCAGTCTAATTGTCGGACTGGCCCTAGTGATGTACGTCGACGCGAAGGCGAAAGCGATTAGGCAGTATCAATATCAAGTCCTGATAGCCAACGCTGGCCAGGTCGATCCAGATGATGAAAGGCGAAGCCTCCTCAGCGTGAGCATCTATGACAACATGAGCGCCCGCGTAGGCAGCCAGCGCAGACGGGTCGATCTACGAAGCCCGCATCTCCGGCCACAGGATCTGGCAAGTCACAACAGTCTGGGGGCTAGCTTGTTCTATAGCTACGGCAGCGTCGGTGCTCCAGCATTATCAGATGCTGGTGGCGATGATGAGAGTACCCCAACAGCAACGCCATATGGCAGCTTGCGCCCGCGAAGGAGCCGTCAAGCACTCGGTGCGGGACTGAGGACAGTGACAGAGCGAGAGGAGCCCCCGGATGAGGCTGACCGGAAGATCCGAGAATGGCAAGAAAGGACTTCACAGAGGCAGTCTGAGACCGATGAGAGTTCAACAACGGCTTCAGACCACGCTGCAGACGACGACGAAGGCGGTGGCGGTCATCTGAGTCAAGTCCTGAGCCTGGATGAACGCGGACCAGTCAACCAAAGGTGACACCAGTGAGCTTTTAAATTTTTAATTTCAACGGCCCCCGAGTCTTCTCCCCTAAAATTCCGATTCGCCCGAACCCCTGGGCAGAGTGCTAGAGTTAAATTGCCTGAAGCTGCATGTCCAATCGGAAGCTCCAACACGAACTTCAAGCTATTCCGTTGCTGGACGTGTGTATCTCGACCTCACTTTCGGCGTGAGAAATGAGGATGACGCGCTCATCACCTCCCTAGAGAGGCAGACATGCTGTAGAGTGGCACAGAACATGCAGAAGCTCGGTCGCAGTACAGAGCCTGTATCGCATCGGCTGGACGAAGCTGCGGACTTGATTTGAATCACTTGCCGTTGAAAATGCCGTCGCCTTGTGCCAAGACGCGACTTCAAGCCTGTTGTCCTAGTAAAGCGGCATTCCTAGGCCCTGTTCTACCGCGATCTGAAACGCATGGACTGACAAGGAAGGATCCGCCCCCGGAAGCCTTGGAATTGCCGACCGGAACCTCGCTATGTGAGCGCATCAAATTAGCGTTACACCTGGCTCACGACTGGGTGGATTTCGCCCAAATGATAGGCGCCGGAAAGTGGCTTTGTACAAGAGTCCCGTCCTGCGCTGATGCCCTCTCCTTTCAGTCTTCCACTGGTTTGCTAGCAGGTCTGCTCACAGGTTTCTTGATCGAAACCGCGCCATTCTTTTCCAGCAGCAACTCACGCTCATTAGCACACGTTCTTTACCAGCTCTGTCGAGCCAGACTTCGACTCAGGTATGTTGCTCTGCCCACTTTTTACCGCGCTCAACGCGAAGTAAACAAGCGCTGCGTGAGAATCATGCAGCAGCTCAAACGAGCCTCGAATCCGCACGTGTGTACACGCGAATACTGACCGGTGAACAGATCAATACAGCGTGTTGATCACCCGAACTCCGTCGTCTCAATCTGTATATATCTGCTCGATTCACAACATATCGCAAAAACAAACACAATGAAGACCACACTTCTCAGCCTTCTGGCGCTTGGCGCCTCGACCGTCTCGGCCTTCCCATCCACCATGATCGGTCACAAGCACCAACACCTGCACGCTCCTGCGAAGCGCGCCGCCTCGTCTTGGTCTGATGGCAACTCGCGCTCATATGGTATCGCCTACGACCTGATGGGCGACAGTGGATGCCGCCCAGCTTCTCAAGTGCAATCAGAAGTTGGCGAGCTTGTCGGTCAGGGATACACCCAGATCCGGACCTACGATATCGGCTGCGATGTTGGTGTTCTTGCAAACGCAATCTCTCAGCACCCTGGTGTCAAGCTCTTCGCCGGTCTGAACACCATCGCCAACCTCCAAGGCGATCTACAGAAGCTTATCGGTTTCCTGCAGCCATACTTCTGGCTCGTCGAGACCATCAACATCGGTAACGAGCTCGTCAACGCTGGGATCAGTGATGCTGGCTCTGTCGCCGCTGCTGTTGGTACCGCCCGCGGCATCCTCCAGGCCGCTGGCTACACCGGCAATGTCGTCACAGTCGACACCTTTGTCGCACATCTCGCCAACCCTGGTCTTTGCGCTGCATCCGACTACTGCGCCGCAAACATCTACGCCTTCTTCGATGGCAACGTCGGCTCTGGCGACGCTGGTGGTTTCGTTCAGCGCATGAAGTCAGCCGTCGCTGGAATCGCTGGTGGCAAGGAGGTTCGTGTCACCGAATCTGGTTGGTCATCATGTGGCGGCAATATTGGTGCTGCTATCGCCGATCCCACGAACAAGGCTGCTGCCATCGCAAGCATTAAGGGCGCGTTTGCCCAGGACCAGAGCGACGTGTTCATTTTCCAGGCATTCGATGCGACCTACAAGGCGGCTATTTCCGGTGCAAGGGAGGCTTGTTTCGGTGTCAACGGGTCGTGAGCAATCATCATACACATATGCTAGCATACTCATGCAAATTCTACCACCACATACTTTGTCCAGGTTCGAGTTTCTCAGGCCGTGGACCACTGTACAGTACACGTACTCAAGCTTTGCCATACTGAACAGATAATGATGAATGCTTGTCTTTGCGAAGTTGAGTTCACCAATCTGTGACTATTAATACCTCGGTGATGAAGTGCTCCTGAGGAACACTGAGGTGCTCTCCTTCAGACGGGCTGTTGCCAAGATCTTTGGCTGCTATGACCTTGGCCTGCCATGCTCGGTGGCTCCTTCTCGATGTGCGTTACTTCCTGCACTGAGTCTCTGCTCTGCTGCTTCCTTGACGATCCATCGCCAGCACTCCTGCTTCGACGCGTTCCTACCTTGGTCAGACAGCCTCTTCACCGAGTCCCAGTCAGATTTAGCAAGCTCAAATATTTTCGCTTGTCGGTCGATTCTCCAATCAACTCTTCCGAGTTTCCACAGTTCGAGAGTCTTCTGGCTGACATGATTGTGTCTTGCATTTGCCTGCTGAAACGATTACGGGGATCAATTACCAGCGAGCTGCCCTACCGCCAATTGTATATTCATTGTCTAACTACACGTCAATGACCTAAGGGCGTGCAAGGCGATGTCCTAAGCCATTGCGTATATGTCATCGTCGAACTTCAGAGCGTCCACCTTATCTCGACCTTCCGCCTCCTTGCCAACCCACACACTCACGCTTGTTCCGCTACACTTGAACACCCCGAATCCATCGTCCTCAATCTTGACCTCATCCGTCTGCCAACCCAGCAGGTCTGTCCAGTTCTCGCCCTTGTGCTCTTCTCCAACGAACATCTTCTTCTGGCCTGGATCTGCGTTGGACATGACGACCGCACATCCAGCCTTTCGATCTTCGGTGCCTCGACGAACGAAGCCAATGCAGTTCGCGTTTTCGTCAAAATAGTCGTTCTGCTCGCCATATGCAAACAGCTTGCGGGCGAGGATTAGATGTGCCAGTTTTCCACCGCATGAGGGCTCCTCTGGGTTATCGCCCTTCATTCCAAAGAGGTCGCCGTAGAACACGCACGGATACCCCGATTGCCGCAAGAGAATGAGTGCGTATGCCAGGGGCTTGAAGAAGCCCTCGATCTTGGTCGCAACCGTCTGACCAGGCTGCGTATCATGGTTCATAACGCACGTCACAGCGCTCTCCGGTCGCGCCTGCACAAGACTCCCATCGAACACTTTGCGCAAGTCGCCTCGCTCACTCGTACTTATCCTCGAAAAATTATACACCAACGGCGAATCATACAACGTGAAATGGTGGTGCATATCCTCCAACCACTTCAACATCTCCTGGACATTTCCACTCCAAAACTCGCCCACAAGGAAAATCTTATCCTTGCCGAAATGTTTCTCCAGATTCGCAACCCACTCATTCGTGAACCGCTCACTGAAATGCTGAACAGCGTCAAGCCGGAAGCCCTTCAACTTTAGCGTCTTGACAACCCACTCTCCCCAGTGAGTAACATCGGAGATGACTTCAGGGTGCGCGTAGTCGACGTCGGCGCTGCAAATCTGATTAGCCTTGTGTCAGGAAAAGGGCATATGCTCGAGGATAGGATTGCAAGGCTAACTAAAGCAGCTTCTTTGTTACTCCGAGACCTAAGCTCGGGCAGTCTTCAACGCAACGTTCGTTTCCGGTTACAAGGTTGACGTTGGGAGAGCGACTTACAACATCAAGAAATCAGCATTGCCAGACTCATCAGCCACGGAATTCGACCAGTGCTTGTTGTCGCCGACGATGCGGAAGATAGCGGTGCGGTCGTTGCCGGCGTCGTAGTCGGTCCCGCTGAAGTGCTCCCAGTGGTACTTCTGCTTGCTGTATTTGTCGCCGCGGCCAGGGAAATCGAAGCCGAGCCATGCTTCGATTTCGTAGGGCTCGCCTTTGTCTTGGTTGCGGTCTTGGAAGAGGTGAGCTTAGTCCGTCATGGTGGTCGCGCTGGTGATAGGCAACTCACTGTCATTATCCACTTCAACGACCCTGCACTTCTCCTTGTTGTCGGCTCCGGCTTATGATTCAAAACGGCGTCGAAGTACAAGCCTACGCCGGTCTCCTCGGTTCTGGCAACAAGGGCGTCCAGATCCTCCTTTGATCCCCACTTTGTAGATCTCGAGCCTTTCTGTTCGAACTCGCCTAGGTCATATAGATCGTAGATGTCGTAGCCGTTGGCGTTCGAGCCGCCTGCTCCTTTGCAAGCCGGAGGGAGCCAGACGGCATCAAGGCCTATTTCCTTGAGCGCTGGGAGGATCGCGGTCAGGCGCTTCCAGTGCTTCTGGTCTGCGGGCACGTTCCATTCGAAGCCCTGGAGTAATGTAGCGTTTTCAGGAGTCGGCGCCATTGCGGGTGTAGATTTGTGTCAACGAGTATGCATACGAGACGGCTTGCTTACCTTGCGCAAAGACTCATCTGGAATTTAAACATTTCATATACACCGGAACTCAGATTTTGCACGTGCGAACTAGCTACTTGCCTAGCTGCAGAGGTATCACCGGGTACAGACCTTGGAATTCTGGGTTGCTATGCATTCCACGCGAGAGGGCTGCGACGTCATCGAAATTTAAACAGGCATTACTCGGTGGCGTTGGTAGTAGTGAGTCCTCTGCCGAGAGGCGACGCGTTGTATAGTATCTGATAGGAGGATAGTGTTGAGTTGTTGAGGTGGAACGGGAGGTTTTTCCTGAACCCCACCTCGGCGCGTGGGAGAGGTGGAACTCGAGGTGCCAGCTTTTGTCGAGCTTCCAACTGTGTCTAGATCTATTGCCTCCAGAAGGAACGGTACATCGAACCATTAGCTGATTGGTCCTGACAGCCAACAGCGATGTGGTCGCGGCCTGGTCCGCAACGCCTTCGTGGAAGTAATCGGCTTGGGAAGCGATAGGCCATCACAGCATTGCCAAGACCCTTTTACTGTCAACGAGATACGCGACGGCTGCGTCGAGCTATTTTCGAGTCAACGTCTACGGTCGAGGCTGCATTCTAGAGTCATACCAGACCGTATCAAGCAGAAGGTAGGCACCGAGCAATACAGAACGAGCATTCACTTCAGGATATGACTTCCTGCCTGAAGTGGAGGGGCAGGCGCCCACCTTCTGGGGTGACGGACCAGACATCGTCGAAGTGTAACACGCGCGCCGATGTGAAAAGACAGCGGAATCCTTGGCCTGGCGGATTCCGAGCCCGCCTCAGGCACCCAGGTGTACAGGTAAGCGGGCTCCATGACAGTCACTAACTGCACCTGATGTGGTCGCTGCCGCCACTGGGTGTCGCGGTAGGTACCGAAACTCGGAGAAAATCTAGCTACAGCACGACCAGCTTCTCTGCAAGAACCGATGGATAGCCATATTGTTGCCAAGCCTGGCACTTGCGGGTGATGTGTCCGGGTCGGCGCTGAGGAGGAAGTGAGTTGGGTCCACGTGAATTTGAGGTCAGCTTGATGAAGTTTCGTGGGTTGTGATGACTTCTTCCGCTCTTGCGCGAAGTCTGTCACCAGGCTGCACTGTTCACAAGGTACGTAGACGTTCTTCAAAAGCCTTATACTTTCTCGAGTACTTGCGGACCGGCCTTATCCAACGTTATCCAGCCTCGATTATCTTGCAGTGCAGCTTCGACCTCTTAATATTTCGTCTTCAGTCGTCCGGCTGTCCAATCTCGACCATCGCGCAGATTCATCTCGATTATATGGCAGTCCAGTCTTGATCACCAGATAGCCCGGACTTAACCATCTTGCAGTCCATCCTCAAGTCATCGCACAGCGGCCCTATCGATCAACGGCATAATGAAGATGTCAATTCTAACGTGGGCCACGGCAAGGCTCAACTCGGCCCAACGGGCCTGGAAAAGACAAAGCAGGGTTGCCGCCGATTCCATTGTAGTGCAGTCCGTCGAGAGCGATCCCATCGAGCAACCCTTCGCTGTTCTCCCTTCGGAACCCACCGACACAGAAACAGCAACACAAGCCTTCAGCGAAATCGCGCCTGGAACAACCGTTAGGGAAGCCTCCATCGAGGAGACACTCGCAACAGCAAAACGCACGCTCGACACACTTCCAGAGGACATCATCCTGTGCTTATCCGACCACTTATCCTATGTGGAGGCCGCTCTGTATTCTCTAACATGTCGACGAATATATGAGACCATAAAGAAGAGAAAATCTATCGTACTCACAAGGATCAGAAACCGCGTCACCCCGGACGAGCGTCTCGCATTTCTCGGCTTTCTTGAAAAGGATAATCCAGACCTCATCACGTGTCCAGTGGACAGGAAGCTTCACGAGCGCGACTGGCGTAGTGAGCGAAGGCCTTACATTGGCTCCATCTACGAGTGCAAGGTGACCTGTACAAAACGTCAAGGAGGTGTAGACCTAGGTCCAGCTCCTGAAGACGGAGAAAAATTCGCGCTGGTCGTTACTCGACCAGTACTGGATCTAGTACTGCGACACGCGTCGCTTGGTCCGACTTTCGGGATTGCGACTACTGATCTCAAATGGGGGAGAATCTATAAAGTTAAGAGCGACACAGTCGCTACAGTGACTTTTGAGATCGAGGCACGAGTGTTGGTCACTTGTCGCTGAGCGATCACCTACTCGTCCGAACTTGTTATGTCATGGTGAGTATCAGTACAGAGTTCTCCTACAACGCGCCTCCGTGGCTACAATTCGTCCCTACTTTTGTTCATATTCCGGGCCCATACTGACCACGATGCTCCGAGCCAGGACTTCGACCTCGGGGAGCGCCTTAACACGCAACTTCAGTACGGCGGTCTCCGAACCTGCGAACACCATGGGGGAATCAGGTTTGGCCTCCTCAAGTCACAGCTGAAGTTGATGAAGTCGAAGAAGTTGGTGTCGACAGAGAGCGGGATCCATCGATGCGTGGAATGCGCCACGGATCTGCAAGTACAGATACAGCGAAAGGATCTCGACAATCCCATCCCCCTGCTACTGTGACCTTGACTTCTTGGAGAGATTTGGGCCCCCGTGGACCTCATACGAACTCGATATGGCAGTCGCAGCTCAAGTGGAGCCAAGAAGAATTCTTCAGAGATCAGTATGATCGCGAGTTCAGAAATGTCGACGGCCCACATGTGAGCCTCCAGGACTTCTGGGAGGGTGCTGCGGTGCATACCAACGCCAGTGGAGCTCAGTTGCACAGCACTCAGGGATCCGCAGCATCAACACATCACGCCACCTTGACCTCGTTGGACTGAAAGATGATTAGCAGGGTCCCGCATCCCTCTCTCGGGGAATTGCTTTCCTAAAACCATGTATCATGGTGCAAATCCACGCTCAGCACCCTCCGAACCCACTGTCACATTCCAGCGGTGGCTGCAGACGACCATTCGAAGTTCAAATGAGCCTTAGCTCACGAACCCGGAGTTTTCATGTGAAGAATCAGAACCATGCAAAGGGCTGCCGAGCAGGGTTCGCAGGCAAGTCTCCCACGTCAGCCGAAAGACAGACCGAGCTCTCAAGGTGATTTAGGTAGCAGTCAAAGCACAAATCAGAGTACCACTCGACGTGGACTGAGTAGTAGATATGCGAACGACACAGCATGAGGTGAATGTGTACATGCAGAGGTGGCTGATTAATCTAGATGAGAATTCCAAATCCAAAATGACCAAACACAGAAACACCAGATCATGAACATCGCTATGCTCTTTCCTACCACCGCCCACGCCAACCCTTCTCGCGCATGACTTCCTCATCCCTCATCCTCTCCCGCTCCCTCTCCCACTCGCGCTCCATCCTCTCCATCAACCCCTCCCCGCTTTCCTCCACAGCCGGACTCTCACACCCTCTTAAGCCAATGAATCTCCCCCACCGCCGCCTCTTCGTCTCCAGCGTCACGCCTTCGCAGCCCCTTGCACACTCCTGCCCAACGTTGTTCACGCCCGCGGCAGCCGCAGCCGCATGCGCAGTGAAAGGCGGGATCCACGCGGGATACATCCAGCTCTCTTCAGTAGGCGGGCAGGTCTGGTGGTACCAGCGGGCGAGAGAGTCAAGTTGGGCGTGGGTGAGGAGGTGGTATTGGAGGAGGGAGCGAGGGAAGGAGGGATGTGGAAGGCCGGTGGTGACGGAGATGAGAGGGACGAGCGGGGTGGAGAGGTGTGAGACGGCGGAGGAGTAGGCTGCGCGTTGGTGGGGACTTGGGGTGAATGTGTTGGGTTTGCGGACCGTGAGGTGGTATGTGGGTGGGGGGTCGCGGGAGCGCTTGTTGTTGATGCTGAACGCCGTGTTGCGATGGGCGTGGTGTCAGGATCGCAGGCGGTACCTCGACGTGGTGGTGGCGGTGCGGAGATCTGGATCACGGGCGTCATAGGATGAGGGGTGTATGCTGAGTCGGGCGAGCTGAGGCTCATGGCATCGTCAGAGAGACCGCCGCTTGACGTCGAAGCCAGCGAGTTGGGTGGATTTGGGAAGCGAGGCTCTGATGGCGGTGTGGAGGCACTTGTGTTGCCGACTCGCAGAGGCAATGATAGAATTCGCTCGACGATCGGACTGCGCATGGCCATCCTGCTCTGTCTCCCATCCTCTCTTATCGGGCTGCCAGGACTGAATAACGAAGAGAAGGGTACTTGGTGGCCTGGTGTTTTTGGTGTTGGTGGTATATGCTGAAAGATGGCTTCTGCTGGCGAAGGAAATGTAAGTGTGCTGATGCTAGACTCGCCGCGCCTGTGTGCCTTCAGGACAGCCGACATAGGTGCATGTCCGAGAGTCGGCGAGGATCTCAATGCCATTGGCTGGAAAGGGAATGCTGTAAGCACTTGCAGGCGTGGACTGGGAGCTGGAGAAGAGAAGGCTGAATCAAGTGGGTGGTTGAAAGACGGACTGAGTGGCGTGGCCGGGTGCGAGGACTCGAATGAGGGACTTGTTGGCGTTTGTAGCGGCGTCATTCTGTATATTATGCAATGAGCTGCTGCTGGCTGGGTGCTGTAAGTTAATGAGTGGACGTCGCTCGATGACAGCGACTATGTATCAAAGATTAGCAGTACCGACAGCTGCAATATCGAATTGAATGCAGAACAGAGATGGGAAATGAGTGTATCGACGAAGGTGATGAGTATGAATCAATCAGTTCCTTTGACTGCATTATTCGCTGCCGTCCGACTCGGCCTCATTGCGCGAGCCTAGAATAGCGGTCGCTTCGAACGATTTCTTTGAGCCCGACAAATCCAGATATGCTTTTCTTTGACCTCGGACATGCTCTGCATCTTTGTCGAGGTCGGAGCGTGGTCAGTGCTGTGATCCTCTGAGTGGTCCGTGCCTACATCCAGAACAATGGACAACGTGGCGGAGTTGATCGACTATTGCCATCTGACTCATCGCATTTGTGAATGGCAGCCATCTGTGCTGTGATCGTAACGCCAGGGGCCAGGTAGGGAAGGCTCATATGGAAGTACCTAGGTAGTGACAGCAACGAAGGTGAGCATCAAAATTTGGAACTCCCAAAACTTCTAAATTACACACCGCTTTCCTTTTCGTCCAGTATGTCCCGGGTCCTAACCGGCAGGTCCCATTCGTGACGATAGTCATCAATAATGTGAGCGGCAGTGAACGGCCTGTCTCTTGTATATCTCTCATCTGTGCACTTGACCAGAGTACCTTATAGCTGGTCCTCGATGAATGCCGCGTGAAGCTCTGATGATACTTCGCAGTTCGGCGGCAGTGCGAAGTGCGAACCGGAAATTCTCTGCCATTCCATCCGGCTCTCAGCATCCCTGATAACTTCGATCCATCATCGATCGAACCACGACCAGTCCTTGACTCCAGCATGACTCATGACCATGAATCATTACTCCGAGGGTGCAGTGGTAGCCGCAGCCGCCGCAGTATCATTGCCTTCTGCTGGTGTTGCGTCCTGTGCCACGTCCGCGGACGCAGCGGGAGCTTCAGACTTTGGCTCTTCAGTGACTGCGGGAGCCTCAGTCTTCGCCTCAGACTCGTCCTTCGGTGGTTCAGTAGCCGTAATCTCTGGAGCTGATGGAGCAGCCGGCTCATCTTTGTTCTCCTCCTGCTTCTCATCAGCCGAGCCGTCGTGCACACCGTTGGTAGCAGGCGTGGATTTGGCAGTCTCCTTCTCCTCAGCGGCGGCATCACCGTCCGCCGGGTCAGCACCTAAAGCTTTGTTCCACTTAGCCAGGAGATCGACCGATCGCTTCTTGAAGGAATACTCTTCATCACGAGGAATGGAGTTGAGCTTGACGAGGGCTTTTAGGACCTTGTTGATCTTGGTGGTGCGGATGATGGACACCTCAAGATCTTCGTAGTCTTCCAGCTTCTTGATATATTGCGCCATCTGAGGCATATCTTCTTCTTGAGGCGCTTGATCTCGAGAGAGGAAGCCTTTCTGGAGCTTGTGCCGGAGGAACAGAACTGCTAGGCTGTCAGATCTGCTACAGATGAGTGATGTATACGCTTCTTACCTTCTTTCTCTCGCGCCTTCTTCTCAGCGACAGGGTCGACTGGCTTGGGTGGTTCTTTCTCGGGGGCATCGTGCATCTCTTCGTCATCATCGACAGGTGCAGCCTTGGACTTGCGCTTTTCGCCCTTGCTCTTTGCCGGCTTCTCGCTCTTCTCTTTAGTCTTCTTATCGGTCGTTGGAGTCTTGCCGGTCGTGAACTTGAGCTTCTGAGTCTTGGGAGTCTTCGTAGGCTAGGTCAGCAAGGTCAGTCGAAGACTTATGTGCCAGAGAAAGAGACAGGCATACCTTTTCAGGCTCGTCATCGTCGCTCTCAGCCGCCTTCTTGCGCTTCTTGGACGACTTTCTAGTCTCCGCTGTGTCGTCAACGTCTTCCATCTCGACGTCCTCGTCGTCATCATCAGTAGCCTTGACTTTGGCCTCGCTCTTTCGCTTCTTCTTCTCTTTATTCTTATTCGCTTTCGCCTCAGCCTTAGCTGCTGCAGCTTCTGCTTGCAGAGCCTCGTCTTCAGCCATAGCGTTCGCATGGTCTGTAAGCATGTTCTTGAAAAATTCGAGATCATGATGTTCGGCCGCAATCTCATAAGCTGAGAGCAATGACTTCGATTTGCCCTTCTCAGGCACATTCTTGCAGTATTCTGGGTCGAGGTCACCAAGGTCGGTGTTCGGGATCCATGCGCTGCGTCCTGTTAGTGGCGAGCTGGGGGCTGGGCAGGTTCACTCACAATTCATTGGTGTAGAGGAACATGATGGGGTACGTCCGCTCGTTGACCTTCTTCCCGCCGTCCGCATAGGCTTCGTTGTAGGTGCCATCGAGCTTCATAGCCGTTACAGGACGTGTGTTGATCAAGCTGCTGGGCAGCATATCCTGGTCGCAGATGATGGATGGCCATGGCGGGTAGCTTCTGAGTCGAGCAAAGAAGTGATCGCCAGGCTTAGCATCGAGATGTGTGATTTTAGGCATCGATTTCTTCTTGTTGAGCTTCTTGCCTTTGTGCTCTGGGATGCCTGCGCCGGATTTTCTCTTGCTGGATTGCTTGGAATCAGGATCGCCATTCGTCTCCGCGGGAGCCTCATCGGCCTTGACCTCAGAAGCTGGCTCGTCTTTCTTCTCTTCGGCAACTTCCTCGACCTTTGTATCAGCCGCAGCTAGTGTTTCTTCAGTGCTCGTCTTGGGAGGCTCTGAAGCTGTTTCCGTGGGAGCTGTCGCGTCGCCTGTAGCAGGCGCCGGTTCAGACTCGGTCGCGCCGTTGACACCCGACTCTGGAGCTGATCACCATCAGTATAGGTGGACATGGACAGGACGCATTGGATCTCACCTTCGACGGTAGGCTTGTCCTCGGCCGAGGTTGCACCAAGAGCCCCCGACATCTCGGCGACAGGCCCGCTCGCTGGCTCAGCAAGGGTCGGAGGTGCGCTCACGTCCGGCACATCGACCTTCACGGGCAGCTCACTGTCTGGCAAAGGAGTCTCGGAGGCCATGTCGAGCCCTCAGATCCGACAACAATAGTAGCCGATGGTGGTAGGTACTCGTCTGGCGCGACGGTAACTGCTGAGAAGTTAGTAAATACTCGTGCAGATATCATGATAGATCTTTTTGCAGATCAGTCTCCGGCCCTGATCACTCGTTGCAAGCTTCATGCTGCGCAGTCGCGTCGGACACCAGCAAAAGCTAGTACACATATGCGACAAAGATGCGCAGAGATGACCTTCACAGATTAAGACTTACCTCTGATGATTCTATGGATGGCCCTGAAAAGGAAGGGACCAAAACTGTCAAAGTGGTGAACAGAGTGAAACGCAGAGAGGTGTGGCGGAGATGGTGAGAGGGAAGATGAATCGCGGACGAGCATGCTTCTCTAAGAATATCTTGGCGTATCTACTTCTCCAACAGAGAGGAGGAGGCCTTTTTTCTCAAGTGAGGGCGCTGACCCAGCTTTCCCAGCCACTCTTCTTACTGCCTCCTGCGCCGATGTCATTTGGCAGCCTTGACACCATATTATGTCCAGTCGTCCTCAGGCGTCGTAGGCTCTCAGTGGGCTTTTCCGACCTCACATTCAATCCTCTGCCTCAAGTCCGCCGTGTCTCGAAGACATTCGAAGGCGCACGCTGGCTTCTCGGTGACTGGTGCCAACTGCCGCCGCGACTTGTGTCGGTTGTGGTATCGCCCAGCTCGGTCCAGCCAGACTTGCAAGCCACGCTGCGATTGCGAATAGTAATAGTAATTAGCATTAGTGTCGGGAGGTCGCCATATCGGCTACCAACGGTTTCGACTCCATGGAGTGCAACTTCCCTCGTTCGTTATTCGTCTGAATGATGCTCGCGCCTATTCGAACTCGGAGTCATCGTGCTGCTCGACCGCCTCGCTGCGCTGGTGACTCGGCTTATGCATCCGCAGACACCACAGAAAATAGTCCTCGAGTGGAAGTAGGTTCAGTAGAATCTCATTACTGCGCCAGCCCAGCAAGCACACAAGTGCACCAGCAACAGCATCGAGGATGAAGTGGTTGGCAGTAGAGACCTGCAAGTATTAGCAGTCGTCCGATTCCTTGCGTAAGGATGGACTCACAATCGCCACAAGGATAGAGAAAGGGTACAAGAAGCCAATGAACAAGCACAGCATTCGCTTGGCCGAGGGAAGGACGACCCTCGGTGCTAGCTCCGGATGGCTCTGATTGAATAACGGCAAATGTATCGAGCGCGAGCGACGGTGACTGGGCGCTAGTGGTATGGTCATGATGGTGAGGCCAACAAGTAGCGAGTAGCCGAAATGCAGACTCGGCATTGCAGCATACTGGTTGCAAAACTTGTTCTGTGTCCATACACTGCTCGCACCGTCCGCACCGTGCACCGTGTCAACAAAGCCGTAGCTCTTCGCAATTTCGGCATCGGGTCCGTTGTACTCAGGGTCGCTGAGCAATCGAGGTGGCATACATGGCCAGATCGTAAATACAACAAATGCCAGCAGATTGCAGACTGCCATTGTCCTTCGACGAGCCTCAAACAAAGCTGGGCCGGGAGTTGTGCGACTGCTCTGATCTGATCTCTGCTGCGGCTGCTGATTGCTGGTGATGCTGAAGTAGAACAACCAAACTAGAAACGCGATCGTGCCTGGAATATGGATGAAGGAGTAGAGCCAGTTGATAAGCATCAGCAGTGTTGGATAGCCCATGAAGAATCGCTGGATCGGCAATTCCCAGAAAACGTGCCATCGTTTTTCCATCTCAATGAGTTGAAGCGCATGCTTGCGAGCGACATGTACGGTGCCTTCTACAATGGTCAAAGCTGTAAAAGCTCGACCCAGTTGATACACCCAGTATATCAAGGCCCAGTACCAAGCCTCGACCAGAAATGGGAACTTTCGCAGTACTCTGCTCAGAAATCTGTTTCGAAAGACTGCGGTATTGGGCGTATTGATGGTCCTCGTGCGGCCGAGCAGACGAAGCTCACGCGGTCGCCATGTGTGTTCCTGAGCTGGTAGAAGCGAAGGAGACAAAGAGCGTTTGGATCGGGTCAATCGTGCTTCGTCGATATCGAAAGGTTTCTCAGTCTTCGAGAAAGGGTCATATTGATCATGCCACTGTGAAGCATCGCTTCGTACAGGTGTGTCTCGAGCTCTGTTGATCCACGCTCCTCCAAACAATAGAACCACGACCGTGAGCGGCTCCAGATACTGTCTTGGATCAGTGTCTATTTCTATACATATGATGCTTGACATACCGTGCCAGCCCCCATGGTGGAAGCAATTAATTGTGTATGCTGCTTCTGAGAAACGTATAATGCTCAAAGCCTGACAGGATGCTGATTCGGTGAGTCTACTAGAAATAACAGCAGCACCAAGAAGGATCTTGGGTGCTGAATAGGAACCTGGTCGGTCAGCAGTACCGGGCACGGAAAGGCTGGAGATAAGGCGTGTCCTGCATGACATATAAGGCAATCACGATGCAATCCTTGATAATCGGGCAGGCACAACCAGCTTCACCGGAACTTGGGCAGGTAAGTGGACTTGATGCATAGCTGCTGACAGAGCGTCTGTCATACGTCAAAGCGCTCGATCGACGCCGAGTCAATGAGATGACGGCACTTTCTGGAGGTCGCGTGAGGCCGGAGAGAATAACATAAGCAATAAGGCGATACGTGATGTTGTGCGACCAAAATTGTGGACTGCAGACGAGAGCATGCTCGCGAGAGGCTGCCGAGCTCCGGCTGGTGGCGTGCTCACTTTCGAGGCACCCGAGTAGGACATCGATGAGCCTGATTTGTCCTGTTACCACTGCTGCTCTTGGTCGTCTACAGGAAAGGGAAGGTTGGGTCAGATTCGAGTCGACTCACGACGTCGGTCGTGCTCCACTTTTCCGGGTCTTCCGCACAGGGCTGAATTACAGCCTTACTATGCTTAGCCGTCATGGATGCATCTCGCGCCTTGAGGAGTATTCATTTCTATGCATCTCTACAGGTGTATGGCGCTTTGCTTCCTTTAATGATACTGGAGGCTTCCACGACACCCGCTCATAATCAATTGCTGTTTGAGCTTGTTCAAGTTCTTCAAATTGCCCACAACTGCCTGATTGGGGGCATACTTGCATCTCGTCCGAGGACGCCCTCGGATGCGGGCGGATCGCTCGGAATTCTTGCCATAGGCACGGGTAAGCGTTCGAGGTCACGCCTCATCGGCGACGCACCTCTGGTGATCAGAAGACTCCTAGACGCCGGAGATGCTCTGGACCATCTTGTTGGCACAGCCTCGTCATGGTCGGAAAGTTGCCGACGCCACAACCCTCGCACGGTTATGTCGCGGTTTGATGGTCGTGTCTCGAACTTGTCGCGCTTGGTAAATTGTCGAATAATGGCCCGACCATTTCTCAGATCAACTTCCATCGATCTGTATGCTAAGTCCTCTCATCTAGATCATTTGGGGTATCTCTCTATCCGTATGCTTCAATCATGCCGTCCCATTTGCCTGGGCATCGTTCTGACCGTAGTACTCGTCATGTTGCTCCTTAATAGTCCGCGCTCCCTCAGGCTCTCGAGGCGCCTTGTTCTTGCTGTCCCACAGGTCCTTTCTCTCTTTCAGTATCTCTTTCGCATACTCTTGCATCTCTGGTAGCACGACCTTTGTCGCGACCCACGAAAATTCCGACAGGTCCAGCGTACACGAGTATGCCCGCTCGTATTCGACCATCTGCAGCAACAATTCGATCTTATCCACATCGTGCACGAATTTGCTTTCCAAAGTTTCGCTGTCTTCGTACTCCTGCCATACTGCTCTGATCTCTTGCCCCTGTGAACCTCCGAAGACCCGCCCTAGCAGGCTGTTGTTGATCCAGTCCATCGTCTCGGCCTCGCGTCGGTTCTTCTCTACCTTTGGCACACCATCGACCGGCGTGAGATCGCCCACCAATCCTTCAGCCATGTCGTGAACGAGTGCCATCTTTGTGCATCTCGGTATGTCCAATTTGGAGGCCAGCGCTGGTGGGGCGAACATGGTGATGAAGGCCATGCGGTACATATGGTCAGCAATCGACTCGCCCCGCAGTATGCCGAAGCGCCTCCATCCCTCTCGCTTCTCAACCTTCAGGCGCTCTAGGTAGTGGAAGAATGCGACCGGCGACGGAGATTCCTCTTGCGGAGGGTTGGGAAGCCCAGACAATACGGCACGGACGGACCAAGGGTCAGGCTTTGGCAGTGATGAAGTATGAGGCGTCGCTCGGACTTGATCCATCACTATGAATTATTGTCAGTATCGAAAGCGCTCACAACAAGAACTCCTTGTGCTGGAACATACCGTCTGCTGCGTCCTTTCCTGATAATGGAGGAGTGCTTGGATCTGTGGGGATAGGCATTTTGGGTATCAAGCCTCCTAGTCGCAATGCAGTACTTCTCATCAACAGGCAAACATGACTCCAAGATGCAGATATATACGAGAAACAGCAAACAAGAAAGCAGCAGTGTAGCAAACAAAGCAGAAGCAAAGCCATTTGTTTACCTTGCCGCCACGATTTTCCTGGCCGCAATCAGTGACGTCTGGGTATGATAAGCCGCGGGCCTAGGCCACTTCTTGCCTAGTCGCAGGCACCGCTCGAAGGTGCCCGGAAGCATTTGGTACATTGACCGCGTCGAAGTACCTGCGGACTTCAGACTTCGCATCTTCTTCATGGCCTCGTCGGCCGTTAGTATGTGGCAGAACTTGACTTTCATGGCCAGAATCGTACTGTCATTCGCAGAATGACCATCCACAGCGTGTCTAACGTTATGTAGCTCGAGTCATACCTGGCAACGCACTCGGTGGGTGGCAACTGGTGCAACCGATTGTACCCTGAAACCCAAGTTGCAGCAGCTTATTTGTGCGACTTTGGCCCCAATGCCTCAGGTTTGCTAGACCACACTTTCATGAGTTTGCCCTCATGAAAAGCCTGTTGTCGGAAAGAGCTTTCTCGTCATGCAGACGGCTGTTTCAGTGACAGGCCCGCGACATAAGGCAGGCAAGAGGCTCTGTGTACAGGAGATTTGAGCCATGAGCGCTGCAACGATGCTAATCTATCACCATCACTGATCACGCCTCGATCCTACTTGCGAAAGCTCACAGCGTACGCAGGCAATCGACCGACAGCAACAGCTCCATTCGAGCCCACAGTTCATTCAAGCCCTGCAGCACTTCATGCCCCAGGTTTCCCTTAGCCATGTCTAGTCAACTACCAAGTCTGTACAGCTCGCTATCCAAGTCAGACCATGAAGTCCGCGTCCTCACTCTGCACGCAGGCCAGGCCAGCGAACCTCTGAAAGCTTCCCTGGAGGTGACCTCTCTGAACCTCAAGCCAACCTTCAGCGCGCTGTCCTACGAATGGGGTCCTCCCAGTCCGGAAGACTTGCTGCCCATTACCATCGACGGCCATTCATTCCTGATCACACCCAGTCTACATGCTTTTCTAAGTCGAGTCCGCCGCCCGGACATCCACCTCACTCTGTGGGCGGACGCTATCTGCATCAACCAGGCAGACATTAACGAGCGTAATCACCAAGTATCTTTGATGGGGGAGATCTACAAGACTGCGACAGAAGTCTTCTCCTGGCTCGGGCACGCTGCTGCCGGCAGTGATGAGGTCTTCGATCTGATAAATTCAAGGAAGTGGTCTCCGGACGCGCCGCTTGATAGCGATCAGGGCAAAAACGAATTCTTTCTGGCACTGTGTGAGAGAAATTTGTCGGCCTCGTTCAGGCTATTGGTAGAAAGGCCGTACTGGACGAGGGTATGGATCTTACAAGAAGTGGTGCTCGCGAGAACGGTCGTGCTGTGTTGTGGGGGTAAGTCGGCGTCGTTAGAAGTCTTCAGAAAGTATGGCGTCGAGACACCCTTGTGGATGGTAGATGGGACGCCGCTCTCGGGATCGGGCAGGCTGGACAATCCGCTACACCTTGTCATTGAGCAAGGGCCTCTGATGCAACTGAGGATTGTCTTTTCGGGTACTACTCAAAACGGAGATGATGTTCCTTACCGGGAGGACTTCGAGCGACCATGGCCGGTGTTCAGCGCTCAGGGTTCTCAGCATATCCGTTTCACGTTTTCGCGCCCCCCTGGGGATCAGTTCTGGCACATCGAAGCGCTAGATCCGAAGCCAAGTCTGCGTCAGAGTTCCAATTCTGACCGTGTACCCATACCGTCGTATGGGCACTGTTCCTTCGAGCGAGGTGAATCATTGCTACTGCATATCAGTACGAGCAACGTGGTCAACATTGCTCGCGAGATCATGGCTTTCTATTTCGGCTCGTATCGACCACGAGCAGGCCCGATCGTTCGAAGAAAATACAGCGGCAGCGACCGTTCATTCAATTCGCTGTGCCTTACAAGTATGCGTTTGTCATGTACCAATATTCGCGACCACATCTTCGGCCTTCTTGGAATTGTCACTGATCCTACAGCTGCCGCGGGTGGATTTTCGTCACAAGTGAGTCTTTTCAAGCCGGATTATAAGTGGACACCAGCCGAAGTCCTCCTCAACAGTCTGAACTACTTCCAGCCGCATCGTGCTATGGACACTGCTGTCCTAGCGGCACGATTCCTGGGCCTCTATGATCCGAAGGGTATAGACGACTTTATTCATCGTCAGAAGACCGCTTCACTTTCCGAGCGCTATGCATGCAGTGTCATGCTGTCCGCGTCGCCAGTTCCGAACTCCAGCAGAACGGCCCTCTTCGGCTTGCAGCATTTCGCCACTAGCCCTTCAGCAGAACGGCGAACATTCAAGCTAGATCACAGCACATACCTGACAGCTGAGCTCGATGATGCCGCAAGACCAGGAATGTTTCGATGCATAAGTATGTCATACCGTGGACCTTTCATCAAACCCCTCACTGGCGCGCATGCGAGTCTTCTGAATAGACTGGCAGAGTACTTCCCGGCGATCACAATCAATGCCAATGACTCGCCACAGCATTGGCCTTCGAAAAATGATGTCGTCGTTCAAATGCCATTCATGTGCTTCTACACCCTCCTAACTGACGAGATTTGTCGTGAGAATGCTTTCAAGCACAACTTAGCAATCGATCATCGAGCAGATCTGAGCACAAATGGTGCGCCGATGTGGTTATAGGACCCCGCAACACGATGCTGAAGCTTCCGATCTAAGTGACATCTTGATGATACCGGTTGACCGCAAACGTGTCGCATCTTTCGGCGGGCCGGTTGACTAGTTTTATATTTGCCTTGCTTCACGTCCTTTGCAGCAGGCGCAACGGCATGATGACCGTCGCACCTGCCTCTTTGAACTCTGTCCGGGGTAGGACCGACCAGGTCTGCGCATCTGCCTCCTAGAATACGCTCTACAGCAAGCGCGACCGCATGACGGCATTCGCACCTGCCTCTGCAGGTATTCTTCGTGGCAGGAGCAACCAGCTGGCAGCGATCGCACCTGTCCCCATAAGGACAACTTGCAGCAGGGGCCACCGGCCAACAGCATTCCCACCTGCCGCATCAGACACGCCATCTGCAGAAGAAGTCGCCAGATCAGGGCAGTCGCACCTGCGTCGGTCGTCACCTTCATGCGGCAGGGGCGATCTATGGGACGGACTTTCCTGCAGCGCACAGATATGATCGTAGGCCAGGAGCGCTGGATCAAAGGCACAACCTGGGGACGGCCTTCTGGTCCACCCTGGTTGTGCGCAGTCGATGATAATCTCCTGCTGAAGCTCAAGAAGGCGACGGACTCATACAATCCTCAGGCGGCTTGACATCGGCCCCGAGTATGGATGACCCTCCTGCGCCAGTTTTGAGTCCAGATCTGCCGTCACATTGAGACTTAAGCAAGACCAGTATCTGCCTACAAATCATTCTCGTGACGATATGAGCAGGTTTCGCGCGAACCCACCAGTTGGTCTTTCATGGGCTAATGCGCGGTGGCAGTCAGAGTCGAGTAGTCCAGAAGGGACCTCGATATGGAAGCCTGAGTGAGAGGGTGGTGACCCAGATACATTCTCTGTAGGAGCTGTTTCGTCCGCTGTACGGTTACTTCACTATCAGATTGAAACCTCAAGTAGTGACAGGCTAGACGAGGGGTCAATCATCTCTGTAGTCACGCTTCATCGAAGATGCGGAAGTCCTGCTGCCGCAGTGACATGATCTTCAAGCAAGCCGCAGCAAGACTTGAAGGACACTCGAAAACATGTATGCAAGTGGGAGTCTGCGCATGCAATATATTCAGCTGCCTGCTATAGACCCTTTAATGGGGTCATGATCTGCCCCAGAAGGAGCGCTTACGCGTTGAGCCCTGGAGAAATCTCGACCAAAGGCCCAAAGTTGCTATTCTTGGCATAGTCCTAAAGTGACTTTTTGCATTCCTTCAGCACTCTATATGGCGTCGTCAGCCCCTTCGTCTCCTGCTTGAACCTCAGATTTGTTACTGCCTATGTAGCGTCCTCGAATCTGGCTTTCTCTGCATTTTGGCAGCCATGCCTGGAAGACTGACCGTTTCGTATTTCTTGGATTGGGTGGTAATAATGTGAGTCTTCGTCATGTTTCTCACTCCCTCACCCAATAGCACTGACGTATACAGTGCTGTTGCAGTTGCAGGAGGTGTCCTAGGTCGTGTGAAAGGCTTCCATCGGCCTTTCTCGGTCAACGATGTTTCCATTGCGTTCCCGAGCAAGAGGAACATCATCTCAGTTCCCGTGCTCATCATTGTTGCTCTCGTGGTCCCCATGGCGTCCATTATGATCTTGTCGTTGGTACAGGCACCCAGGGACCCTCTGACGAAGTCTAGATGGCGGGCTGCTTTGTGGAGAGTTCATGCTGGGTGGCTTGGCCTATGTGCTGCTCTTGCTGCAACGGTGTTCGTCACCAACGGCCTCAAAGATCTCACAGGCAAGCCTCGACCAGATCTACTGGATCGATGCGACCCAGATTTCTCGGCAATTGCAAAATATGCCGTTGGCGGACTTGACCTTTCGAAAGCCACACCATTAGTAACGTCCGGAATCTGCACGCAAACAAACAAGCGCTTCCTCGACGACGGGTTTGCTTCCTTTCCGTCTGGACACTCATCCTTCGCCTGCGCAGGACTCTTGTACCTTAGTTTGTGGCTCTGCGCAAGGCTGTCAGTCGCGATTCCTTGGCCAAAATTCGATCATCCTTCCGTGCTGCGGAGCCGCCGTCCATCAGCTCCACCACTCTGGGAGGTAGTTGTGGTGCTGCTCCCGTACGCGACAGCACTATTCGTAAGTGCAACTCGATACACCGACTTCCATCACGCAGGCTTCGATATTATTGCAGGGATCGCGCTCGGAAGTCTGATAGGATGGGGCAGCTTTCGCTTGTACCATATGCCAGTCAGACGCAGCCAGCAAGGGACGCCGACCTGGGATCCGAGATCATACCAGCATGCTCTTATCGCCGAGGTGCAGCGCGATGGAGGCGAGCAGTCTTCTCAGAATCGCGAGGGGGGGACAACTTTCACTCTGAGGGAAATGAGGTTGGCAGAGGAATTGACGGCGCAGCGTGGAAGAAGCAATGCTTCCGAAAGGCCTATCCTGGATCGCAGTACTTCCGACATGCCGATTCTACCGCACACTGCGTCCGAGCATGTGTGAATCTTGTGCAGCAGGATGTCTTCTATGGCGACGAAGTTTTGACCAAAAGTCTGCTGAAAAGTCGCTATTCATCGGACCAGTAGGGAGCAACACGACTGACGACACATCAGCTCAATGCTCTGAACCGCGTTCGTTAGTCATGTCCTGAACCATCCTCTAGCTCAAGGTCTTGTCCATCCGACGGAAATACGCTTCGATCCGGAGACAGCATAGGCGAGGTGGCTATCTTCGGGCGACTCTTGAACACTGATCTCATGTCGACATCATCACTGAATAAGGACTCTCGTGGAGTGGATCCGTTCGACTGAGGAGTCCCCTCGAAAGCAGAGACTTGTCGACGAGGAGTCTCGAAAGGGTTGACAGGGTACAGTTGAGATGCTCTGGATGCCTTCGGCTCTCGCACAACGTCGGGAACAGTTGGCTTGACGGTTGCTAGCGCCATAGACTTACGCGTGCGCTCGACCAGATTCGACGTTGGCTCAGAAGCAGGGGCGCTCATATTAGGCGGCTTTTCAACGGGTGGCCTCCGATCCGGCGATGTTGAATGGCCGTTCTGTTGCGGTCTCTTTGCGCTTGGGGCACTGCTTGCCACATCAGCCATGGACATGCGGGTCCGCTCTGCCAGGGTCAGAGCTGGGAGGGCTTCCTCAAATGACGAGCACGGCAAAGTCGATGGGCCGTCGGTCGAAACGGGCGAATGGGCTTGACGGTTCTCCGCTAGAGCATCTGCATTTGGAGGCTCCTTCAAGTCAGGTGCCCTCCGAGGAACTGCCGGCGTCGAAGGACCCTTCAGCCATGAGCGTTCTGATGAGTCGCTTGTTTGGTCGACGATTGTCTTCGGCTCGATATGACTCGCCAGAGAGTTTGATACGTTGTCCATGTGCTCAGTACTTGACTGGGCTGAACAATGTTGCGAGAACCCCTCTGTTAGGCTTAGGTCGTCAAGTAAATCATGCTTGAGCCTCGACAGCATTTCATCGGCCCGAACGCTGATCGAGGTCTTGTCACACATTTTCTCGTCCACGAAATGCTGCCCCGTGAGTTGTTTATGCTCATCGAATCGAAGCAGAGGAATTACTGGCTTATTCGGTGGTTGTGAAGTCTGCCCACCTGATGCTGCCGATGTCGGTAGGGAATCTTTGAAATGTCTGAGACGTTTGAGATATGTCTGCTGTTGTGTGACGCGATGCTGCATCTCCGAAAGGGAATTTGACGGGGCTATACGTGAATTGTCTAGCGATCTTCCAGAAGCCAGCTGCATCGGGCTTGCCTGCAACAGTGCTGTGATCCATTTCTGATCTCCTGACCATGCGGTCCGTAGCAGAGACTCAACTTCATCTCGTCTGTCATGCCCGGGCGGCGGATGTGCTTGAAGCCATGTTCGTCGTTCGTCGATGTCCTCCCTAGCTGTCAGAATACTTTGTTGCCGCTCTTGCGCATTTTTGATTACCACATGGCGCTCATGTAGCACCTTGCTCAGTACGGCCTTGTGAGCGATGATCAGGGGGACGAGGTGATCAGCATCGACGTTGAGGTCTGTGGCCTGGTAGCCTAGTGACCGAGAAGCTACCTTTCGTAGGGTGGCTTGAGCAACAGTGAACAGAAGCTCCTCGAACTTCTCGCCTTTGCACTCATCGAAAGTTGTCTTCCTCAGAACAGTATCCTTTGGCAGCATGCCGTTGGATTTGAACTCCGTGAGCACACGAAGTAGAGCCGCTCTCAAATTTTGTGACTGCAGGACACTTTGTGGTGGGAAAAATGGTTGTAGTTTCTGTGTCAATTAGCTATTGTAACACGGCAGATTTGTTTGTGTCTCTCACATCTCGTGCGATCCGGTCATCCCAGAGCTCTATGAGGCGATACAGACTCCACTCGACCGCACGAATGCGTAGCTGCAGATTCTGGAGAGCCGACTTCGTTGAAAACGTTTGGACATTAATGTGTGGCCAGTCGTCGCGAAGATCTAGGTCGAGGAGATGAAGACATCGAATGAACGATGCAACATTGCCGTGGCTCGGCCATGATTGCTGCTGACCGTCATAAAGCGGTTTGCGTGCTGGAGGTCGCGTGGTAGTGGACGATATCATCACCCACCGTGCATCAACCAGCTCTATCAAGCCTTATCCTACCTGAACCCCCGCGGACTTTCTCAAGTTCGAGGCTCTAGTATGACCAGATAGTCGGCCCACTGACTAGGCACTGCCATAAGAACACGATGTCAGTCGTGAAGTGGAGCCGTTCTTGAACCAGGAGACGTCCACCTCTTTCACCTTTTTCACAGTTGGTGGGAGGTTTGGCCTTGCCTGCCTGTTCCTTTAAGCTTAATCTGCCGTTGCCGTGGCTGTCATATGTTCTTGCGACTGACGTTCATCGATAGAGTAGTCAAAGCAGGTGCAGACTTACGAGACACCGAGTCGCTTCCAACTTCCACATGCCTTTCCGTGACTATCTCCGCAATCTCCTCTCATCGCAATCCCTGCAGGTGCGTGCATCTCGCGGAAAATATCACCGGGCGAAATTTTGCGGGGGCCCTTGCTTTCTTTCCCCAAGCTCTTGACGCCAGTATCTCCCATCTTGTGTGAAAACCCTTGAGGAGATAACATGTGCAAGCATGGAGCACGTCAATGGATCGCATCGACCTGCGCTCAATGGATACACCGCTATGCCACATTCGAACCGCACGCACAATCATGAAGCAGTTCTTCAGACTCGTAGACGTGCTAAAGTCTATTTGACCGAGATTGAGGCCGAGTGCGCCTCAAATGCTAATGAACGCAGGTACCGAGCACGATGAAGGTGGGGAAGTATGAGCTACATATACAGCAGCTCCTCGCTGTGCGGTGGCGGCCTGTGCTTCGCTGCTCATTAGTATAGTCATGATCCTCGTTATCAGCTAGCACACCCAACCCAGACAGTGGCTAAACGGCACCAGGTAAAGGAAGATGAGCAACAGCCTCTCGATCGACCAGCAGTCGCGGGCTGCAAAAGCCTACGTGCTGCAGGAGCTGCGCAGCACTGAGCAAGGACGAAAGCTTCTAAGCGATGGCGAGTTCTACGGCAGGCTCGACATGAACTTCATCACTATCTTCGCCATTTTCGCCGAGCTATACGGGTATCGGCATGACTGCTTAGATCAGTTGGTTGATCTGATCACGATGTGTGGTACGTCGTGGCAAGACAGAGATCCTGAGCTCCGAAGGCTTGATAAGGAGCGAGAACTCAATCCGGATTGGTACATGAGTAACGAGATGCTCGGAGGCGTCTGTTACGTCAAGCAGTATGGAAAAAATCTGGAGGGTATCAAGGCTCGCATACCATACTTTCAAGAGTTGGGTTTGACATACTTACATTTGATGCCGCTGTTCCTTGCCCCGAAACCGCTCTCCGACGGGGGCTATGCAGTGTCGAGCTATCGAGATGTTGATCCAGATCTCGGCGACATGCAGCAGCTTAAGGAACTAGCGACGGAACTGAGAAAGGCTGGAATCAGCTTGGTACTGGACTTGGTGTTCAACCATACTTCCAACGAACATCGTTGGGCCAAGAAAGCTGCAGAAGGCGACGCAGAACATAGTGCCATGTATTGGATCTTCCCAGACCGCAATGTGCCCTCAGCATTCGAGCGAAGTACGAGAGAGATCTTCCCAGATGACCATCCAGGCTCCTTCGTACAGCTACCAGATGGGCGGTACATATGGTCGACATTTTACCACTTTCAGTGGGACCTCAATTACTCGAATCCGGCGGTGTTTCGATCAATGGCGGCAGAAATGTTGTACCTCGCTAACATCGGGGTCGATTTCTTCCGCATGGACGCCGTGGCCTTCATGTGGAAACAGATGAACACCGACTGTGAGAACTTGCCGGAAGTGCATAAATTGCTGAGAGCGTTCAATGCACTCTGTCGAATCGCTGCGCCTTCCATTCTGTTCAAGTCAGAGGCAATAGTCCATCCTGACTTTGTGGTGCAATACATCGACCGGTATGAGTGCCAGCTGTCATACAATCCGCTGCAGATGGCCCTGACTTGGGAAGCCCTCGCAACTCGAGACGCTTCCATGCTCTCGCAGGCCATTGAGCGAAGACACAACATAGCCCAGGGTTGTGCCTGGGTGAACTATGTCCGATCTCATGATGACATCGGATGGACTTTTTCGGACGAGGACGCCCTCGAACTCGGGAAGGAAGGCAACAGCCATCGCAAATTCTTGAATGCGTTCTTCGTCAACCGCCATCCTGGCAGCTTTTCACGAGGCGTGCCATTTCAGGACAATCCGAGGACTGGCGACTGCCGTATATCTGGCACGACGGCATCCTTGGCAGGGCTGGAATCAATGCAGGATCACGCGATAGAGCGCATTTTGATGGCTTACTCGATAGCCATGAGTACGGGTGGGATTCCGCTCATCTACTTGGGAGACGAAGTTGGTCAACTCAATGACTATAGCTATCTAAACGATCCAGCCAAAATGGACGACAGTCGGTGGGTCAACAGACCTTCATACCCCGAGCAGAGATACGCCGAACGAAATGATCCAAATTCGATACCTGGGAAGATCTTCGCTGGCATGAAACACCTGATCAAGTTGCGAAAGTCCACTGAAGAGTTGGCTGGCGGGAGGGCAGTGGGCTTCTTTACGGGAAATCCAGCCATCCTTGGATATCAGCGGCCTGGGCCGACTACGACAGTGCTATGCCTGTGCAACTTTTCGGATTATGCGCAGTGGGTAGGTCGAGACCGGTTCATGGGATTGCCTGCTGAGGTGCATGACCTGGTATCGGGCTACGACATCAAGTTGAGAGAAGGTATAGAGTTGAGGCCGCACCAGTTCCTGTGGCTGCGGTATTAGTTGACTGGTGAGCTGGTTGGGCAGTCGCATGTTTAGCGTTGTAGCATAGCGTGTCAAGTGATTTCTGTGTCGTCTTCAACATTCTACACGTTCGTAAAGTTGCATGTTGTTGGACCTTCTCTCGTTAGTGCAGTGTCGCGTCGAACAAGCCTGGAATTCAGATCTTTGCCTTATGTAAGCAAAGATCGGATGGTCAGTCACCCAGGCAACCATTGCAGCACCCCCGCTCGAGCGCCACAATGGACGGGTGGACTCGACGAAGACAGGTCCGGATTAGTCGCACGAACGCAAGTGCAGCTTGCACATGATCACGTCGCAGGCATCGACCACTGAAGCGAGGGTGTTACGGCAGTCGCCTCTCATCCTGAACATGCAGCAGACAGTGCCAGCCTCAATTAGACAACCCATAAACACCACGAGTCGCTGATCCCATGGCAGCCTCCACCACAATGCCAGGGTCATTCGCTCCCGATCACGACTCTCGAACCGACTTCCCCACCGCACGGCCGTCATTTTTCATGCCGCCCAGTCCATCAGCCTCTTCCGCATTATCACAATCGGCCCGCTGGCAGTCAAGAGACGCGCGGAAACGACAGCGAGGCGACAGTCGGTGCAGCGCCAGCACGCCTAGAAGCGCTCGGCCGAGTCTTGTCACTACAGAATCATATGGGTTTGATGCGCCTAGTCCAGCGCCGCTCGTCAGCACAGACTATGTCTTTGCCGGTGGCACACCGTCAGCGTCACGACTCGGCGAAAATGAGCCGACATACAGCTACGAACAAGACTTCAGACCGACTCGATTATCGCAGAACAGGGCGCATATTGGGCGGGGCCTCGAACCACGCACACCGGTGTCAGAGAACAGCAGCAAGAGACGCAGATTGTCTACACAGCAAGATGGATGGGGTCGGGCGGTCTGGAACTTGACGGGAGGCATCGCCGGGAAAGCGATCAACTTTTGCTGGACAACGGTTTTCCATGGCTTTCATGCGGGGAGTGGTCCGGGCTACGACATGGCATTCAACACACCAGTGGTAGTTGCGGACGACCCGGCAGATATTTCGCGGAGTCGAGACGTATTCGATGCGGACTACCAAGAGATGAACAGAACACCTGTTCCTGGGCAGTTTCCAACGAGCAGACCGTCAACTGGGAGAATAAGGCAACAGTCCTGGGAGGAGATACCAACACCTACCGCTACAACAGCATTGAAATCGAATTGGGTTGTGGTGGAAGCCCCCGCCGTGAATGAAAGCGACACGAGTCCGGTGCGCAAAAGATCGAAGCCAAGCACAGCCAGCCTCTACGCGAAGCCCTCCGCAAGGCCACAATATGGTCGTCCGAAACTGCCAGCCCGCCATAGCGCCTCCTTTGCTGCGACTCGGGCTTCGACGGGCGCTCGACCATCGTTGAACTCGACTGCTTCGCAGCTCATAGCCGGCCCAGCTCATCAGGCTCAGATCATCAGCGGCAGAACAAGCGAAGTAGATCTTCGATGGCATCACCGCGGATCAGCGACGGTCCACATACGCCAAAATCACCAGATTTGGTCAAGTTCGAGAAAAAAATGCAAAGACAGAGTCAGAAACGTGAAGAGTCGATAGATTGGATGGGTCAGCAATTGCAAGATATGATCAGAGAAGGACAGCAGGCTCTGGGCTCCAAAGTCGAGGTGTTTGATGGCAACGAAGATGATGAGGGCTACCTATCAAGATAATAGGATAGTCATGATAAAGGTCACTTGCCAGCTAATGAATCGCCCTATGAGCAAAATATTTGTGCAGATCTTCGGTCCATCGGACCAGTATTCCGACAAGCATAATCGTACGTGGCGGGCTCTACGAAGCCTGCACACAATAGGCACGATCTTCGCTATTCCACGTGCATGTCTGCCATGCGGAATCCAGGGGCTGCGCGGTGTTCCAGCTTCCTAGTGTGTAGATCGGTCATAAGAGGCTCTTGACGACTCGACTGGTACCGATAAAGGAAGGTAGTCTTCAAGAAGATACACCTTCTGAAGGTAGGATCTCCACCAGCATCCGGAAGTGTCATCACTGCCACACGATTTGTGGACGCCATATGCCCTAAGAAGCCCAACCGAGTCTCGTACCCTTCACACCTGACGTGAGTTATCTGCGCACTATTCACCGCTACGTAGCTTGAGCATGTCCGCTGAATCTCCGAATTGCTGCGATAGTGTCAAGGAGCACAACTCCGCTCCAGCATAGTACGCAAGTTCCTGAACCTGATACTCGGAGTTACAGGAAGCCACCTAACCCTCGTGTTGCTTCTTGCAGTGCCCCTGCATTTCATAAGGCTGCTGCTGATCTCCACGTTGATCACGGCACTCGTCTCTGATCATCCGGAGCCTCACCCATTCACTTCATGCCGGAGCGCAACACAAACTTCTACAAACTGCGTCAACATACAAGCGTTCGGCGTCGCCGACTTCTAAGCGACGACTCTGCCCGCGGAATGAATGCGCTCTCGCCAGCACCAGATGTTGTTATTACTACTCGATTTTCGACTGTGAAGCATCTCCCACTCTTACTCGCTGGACGCCATTCACGCCACAGCTAGCCCCCATGCTGGAGGAACTTTACCTGGACGACGACGACATCTCTTCTCTTCCTAACGGCCACCAAAAGTCTCATACTGCGTCCGCACCGAGAGCGGCAGATACTACTATCGCTTTAGTGAAGCCCAAGCTCGAAAATGGGCTCTTCCGCGATTCCCTTGGCTGGCATCAGCAAGCCCATGTGAGCCATGCGGAGCGTCGCAATGGTCCCCTGACGTTCAGAGTATGTCCTTTGTTGTCGCTTCTCAGCTCTGACCTTTCCACTAACGACGACACCATTACCAGTTCTCCCGTGCACTTGCTCCTCCGCGGCGTAAGAGGAAACCGCGACGCATTGAACAGGATGACGACCCACGGGATCGCATTGCCACCACTACCATTACCACCCGGCTCATGGGTGGCATCCGCGGCGATCCTTTCAATGCTTTTCCAATCGAGCCAAAGGATTGTGTTCCGCAAGCAGTGGATGATTGTAGGATTTTGTCTTCGTACGGCCTGCCATAACTAATCATTGACAGTTGTGCAATCATTTATTCCAGAACGGATATTACGACCATTTCAGGCGGTGCCAGGCATCGAGCGCCTGGCGCACAATTATTTTCAACTTGTGATTAGTGATGTGTGCATGTTTGAAGCAACAGTTGCGCATGTCGAGGCGATGAATATCGTTGCGAAGGGCATTCTCAAGCCTACGAGAGAAGTCCTACACCACCAAGGCCAGGCCCTCGACCATTTACAGAAACGCTTGGCAGATCCCGTCAAGCGTTTGGAGGATGTGACTTTCCACATCATCATAAACATTATGGGCACGCACGTACGTTCGTCGGTCCTCCGTCCCTAGATGTCTGCTGACGCGCCAGTTCTTTTTCGGCGAGCTTGAGCAGCATCACGCCCACCTCGCTGGCTTATGGTCACTGATAGAGATGCGAGGAGGCATCGATGAACTAGGGTGGGACGGCAGTCTGAAGCAAGCCATAGAGACGTATAGACCATTCTCCCGGCAGATTTCTAAAATGCTGACCATCCATGACAGGGTGACATCGTTTGTGCAGTATCAAACAAAAGTGGAAACACCAACCTCGTCGCCGAACCCGACCGCAACGGCGACAAAAGTACCAGTCCTGGAATACCCGTCACATCCATTCTCACCAGAGATATCCGTGACCATCGCCAAACTCCCGAGAGGATTCAGCAACGTTGCGCTGCAACGTACTTTGAGTCTCCAGACAATAGACCTGCTTCTCGACACCCACGAACAAGACCTTGCCCACCGAAATCGCCCACCGGAAGATGCCCCACGGATAGCTGGCCGCCAAAGGCTCTACACCGCCGACAAGGCGCTCGAGCTCCTCAAAGCTCAGGATATGCCAACAACTGAACGGATGATCATCGGTGGACTGCTCGCTTACACTGTCCAAGCGCACCACGTATACCATCCTGACCGGACGACCAGTCCTATATACATCGAACCCCTCCGCAACTTCATCGCCGAAATTGCGCAGTACGTCTTCGTCAACTACGAACATCCTGTGCTGCTGTGGGTTGTGCTCTGCTTCGCCGCCATACAATCACACATCACCGAGGGCGGGATGCGCGTCGACTTCTTCCACCATACCATTCTCCGCTTCAAGCAGTCCCCGAAATGGAGCCAGGTCGACAAAGCTGTAAGAGAATTTTGCTGGACGGAAGAGAGGATACTCGAATGGAAATGGGCATGGGAAGACGCTGTAGGAAGCCACAAGCCGCAAGGGTATGCACAATCAATGACCAGCGGCACGAGCAGTAGAGGTCCTAGCATGACGCCGGAAGTCGAAGGAACGACAATCGCGGGCAGCGTCCGAACACCATATCTTGGAGAAGAGGAGGCTCGGCATGCGAAGCTGTATGCCCTGCAGGAGGACGAGATGGGTCTGGGGGTCAAGATGGAAGGCTGAGAGGGCAAGTGGACTGTGCTGCGCTGATGTGGTGTACACAAGCTGCATGCGAGCACATCATCTGAAATTCTTCAGCAGGGGCGCCTCATGCCGGCGATCTGACAGCCGGAAGAACCTGCTGTCTCGGCTGACCTTCAAGCCACTGATCTCCTGCCCGAGTCCGGTCGGAGACGACTTTTCGAGCCCCGATGCACCAAGCGCAAATGGCCTTGGAACGGCGATCTCCCCAGAATACTCCTGGACAGTAACCTTTGCCAGCCGTGCCTTCTCTGACTCACTGCAGCGAAGATTTTCGGCAAGAAGAGAGAAAAGGAAGACAAGGGCAGAACGATCAAGCTGGCACGATAAGCAGGCACGACTCTGGACTTTCCTGCCGTGCGCAATTTTCTGATGCGGCGGGAACGCCCTACATGGCACGAGAGGCAAGCACGACTCTGGCGACGCTGCCTCAGCATGCTCCTTCCGTACCAGTGTCTCTTGGAGAAGGAGGCAGGCGCGGACCTGCTCAGCCGTTGTTTCCTGCCTGCGACGCATCAAGCCATGTCTCAAGAAGACACGGGGTGCTATTCGAACAGAAATCGGAAGCTGTGATGGCGCTGGGAGGACGGGGCCAGACATGCGCATCTCGGCCTCTTGAAGGTCACGATTCCCAAAAGCAGTTACCAGGACGAAGCCCATCTTGGCATTCCCTCCACCACCAAAAGTTCGAATCCGCATAGCCGCCTGCCCCAGCCCCGAAACCTCAGGTGAAAGACGGGGTCATCAACAACGAGTACGTCCGCCACAGCGAGGCGGCTATCCCGTGCGGATCTCGATTGTGCGGGCACTGTCCCCTAAGTCGCGAAATTGGTTCTTTCGACGAGCTAAAATCGCCTCTACCAATTCTGGCCTAGGGACTGGAGACCATGCTCTGAGTGAGACACACAGCGATAATAGCCCTTTAGCTCAGGGGCAGCACGAACAGACACCTGTGTCATGTACTATGTATGACCTGGTGATTCTACTGACCATGTCTTGGCATGGGACGAAAACGAGGCAACAAGGAACCGATCCACGCACCACACTAGACTGTCGTGTGCTGGAGGCACGGACTGTATGTCATTATGCTCGAGCCGTGATCGGACACCAGCCAAGCTATTCGGGCATAAACTCGGCGTGTTTCAGCCTATGTCCACTGGAATCTGGGAATCCAGGTCAGGGCGGGCTCTGAAGAACAGAATGGTTTTGCAGATCAAGTCAGCAAGTTTGAGATGAGCCTCACTTGAGGATCAAGTTGCTGGAACGATTCAGCATCCAGTTGTCTTGCCAGGGAGGGTGCTGTATGAGTTCGTGGCATCTCCATTAGCCTGAAGAAAACGCTCATGTCTTGACCGAACAGCTTGCCAGCATGGGATGCGTTGTAAGCGCCGATGCACTCAGTGACCGGATTCGAGGCGGGTATTGGGCTACAGCGCACGAGAAAAGACAGTAATGATGTGAAGGATTAATTATGTGCACCAGGCTGTAATAATGTACATGTTAGTATCGCGCGTGCAAAGTCCGCAAACACGAGCATGTGCACGTCCTCGTCCGTCATTCTCACTCGTCAGCCATGATAAGTCAGCTATGAGCAGAACCGCCGTCCGCGCATCTTTCACACACAGCACAACATATCACCAAGTCAACCGCCCATCCATTCCCGCCACCCTCCTCTCACCCACCAACTCCGTACCCCTCCTCTAGAAAGCGTCCTCGATTGGACAATCCACGCTCTCATGCCCATCCCGCTCACACAGCGCACACCACTTGTCCGGATCGATCAAGCCGGACGACTTCCCTGCCCACATGCCCGCCTGCGCGCCGGTGCCTTCGACGGGCAATTTGAGCTGCCTTTCGGCGCTCACGGAGCGCTCTTGGGACTGTTGCTTTTCGGGCTCAAGACTGTTGGACGGGGAAGATTTTGGAGGCGTGAGCATGGGTGTTTGCGTTGCGGTGACGAGGTCGTCGCTGTCGTTGTCATCGTCGTCGAAGCTGGACGGTCGCTGTGTGGCTGTTGTGGAGGCGACGGGTGGAGGTGGGAGGGCTGCATCGGGCGGCTTGCTGGGCGCGCTGTCCTGATTGCTGTCGCGGGTGGATTTGCGGGACATGCTGAGAGGCTTTGGCATTGATTCTGACGGCTTGTTGCGCGAGTGCTGAGGAGAAGACGGAGTGTCTTGCGTTGCGGGCTCATCCTCCATTGCGTCAGACGAAGCGAGCATGTTCTTGCAGCTGAGAATGTCGTGGCCGCCCTCCTCGCATATCTCGCACCATAGCGCGGCGGAAGAGGAGGTTTCGGAGGCGGCTTCGTTGTTGCTGTCGGCTGATTGCTGGCGCTGGTGGTTGGGTAGCTTCCGATCGGGGACTACATCATCAACATCATCGTCGTCTGCACGTTGCCACGTATTTGCCTTCTCTGCTGCAGGGCTGAGGACTACTGTTCGCTGACTGCCCTGTGTTCCAGTACTCGTGTGCTTGTCGTTGTTATCGGCAAGATCAGTCCTCCGCGTCCTGCTGGGCGACAGAGGCGGCATCATATCGCGACTTGTCGGCCTGGACGAATTTCCTGTACGCAGGCCAAAAGCACTAGATCCGCCGGTCATGGGAAACTTGCCGATATGGACCGAGCTGCGAAGCTGTGAGTTCTCCTTTTCGAGCTCCTGCTCATGCTGCGTTTTCTGCTGCAGAAGATCCTCCAGTTCGCGGATATGCTGTTGCATGCTGTTTCGGTTCGCATTCGAGTCGTCGTTGATCCCGTTGCCATTGCAATTGCCGTTAGCCAGAATTTTGCTCTTTGCGGCGTTCGATATGCCATTTGGCTTGTTGCGAGTAGTGCCGACAGTGTCCTCGGCCGTCTGCAGATTTCGAATAATGGTCTTCAGACCACGAATTTCGTCTTCTTTGCTATCGAGCTGCGACTGCAACTCGTCGAGCTTCTCCTGCTCGTGGCCGCCGCTGTCACTACCATACCCGTTCAATTGCTCCTCAGTCCGTTTTCGCTCCCTTTCTCTTCTGAGCTCACTCCGCGACCTCTCGACTTCGCCTCGCAAGAACTCAACTTCACCCCGGGCTTCGGCCTCTCCCCTCCTAGCGTCCTCGAGGCCTTCTTCTAGCTCCTGTACCAGCTCCTCCAGCTGCTTCAGTTGCTGCGCTACACTTTCGACGTCTTCGCTGCGGTCTTGCAGATTCCGGACTTCCTCCAACAGCTCATCGACACGCTTCTCGTAAACGCGCTCGGTCTCTGTGCTAGCCATCTCGAGCGTATCGATGGTCGAACGGAAGTCTGCCCGATTGGCGTCGAATTCGGCGGTCAGTAGCTTAATCTTCTCGTTCTTCTCGCGTAAAGCCGCTCTGAGTGCGGCTACATCGCGGGGCAAGTCCTCGTCCTCGATGTCTTGCCGTAGTCGTGAGCGGGAGCGGGACCGCGGTGGTTCGGCGGACAATTCTGGTACAAGCTTGCTAAGCTCGTTCAAATTGCGTTCCATCTTGGCGATACTGGAGTTCTGGTCGCTCAGAGCGCGGTCTTTCTCGTCGAGCAGTGATCGAAGTCGGGCGACCTCTTCGAGTTGCTTGACTTCTGATTGTTTCCTGCCAGCAACGTGCGGTGTAGGCGTGGGCGTACTTTCGCCGTCTTCCTCGGGCACCTCATCAAAGCTAGACTCAGGGCCGAGCGACGATTCTGCCTCGGATCGAGCGGTGATGTTAGACGTGGTGGAAGTGGCGCGGAGGCTCTGACTGAATTTGTTACCGCCCAAAGACGGCTTTGGTCCTGCACTCCGGTAGCCTGTCGGTCCGCCAATCTGGCTCTTAGCTAGCCCACTCGCCGGCGCGGCTCTGGACTTAGGTGTGACCAGAGCCTTTCCAGGCGTTGCGGTCTTCCGTAGAGGGCTCTGCGGTCGCGGCAGCGACTCTCGACGCATAGGAGGCTTCAACGCAGGGCTCGCTCGACCTGCAGCGCTGACCGACTGGCTGAAGTTGGGCTTGCCCGTCGCAGGCGTACGACCGCCGACATTGAAACTAGTCAATCTCGTTGGAGTGCCAGGCGCGGCAGCACTCGGTCGCATACCAGCAGCAGTGCTATTGACAGCGGGCGGTCGCTTCACTGCTTTGTCGACTGGCAGGAATATTCCTGCGCCGGGTATTGTGGTCTTGAAGTAGTATTTCCCTTCAACATCGCCTGAGTTCTTGCCGCGCGGAGCAAATTCATTCGCGAGTTGCACACCGGCGAAGACGCCGTTCTTGTTCGCAACGGATCCAACAAACTTGACCGTGCCGTACATGTCACCGGGCACGGTGACCGTGTCGCCCACTCGGACGGCGTAGCCTGCCATCTTGCTCGACGGCGGCGACGGACGCGCGTAGGACGCAGTAAAAGGTCTGGTTGGTAACGATAGTCGCAATTCGATGGTGTATCAGACCTCGAGGGAGGGGCCAAGACGCGACTATTCTAAGTTGGACGCGATACGTGTGGCTGTGAAGAGTGCCCAAACTATTGATATGTTGATGAGAGGATTAGGAGTAAACAAGATGACCCGCGCATCATGATTTGCGATGCTTCCCGTCACCCGCGTCGGTGTCAGCTGGTCGACAGATGGATATAAAATAGGTGATTGGACCCTGAAAAGGCACTGACTGACAAACAATTTGACCCCTGCACGAACGCCCAAGGATCCCGAGAACCGGGAGCTACTAGAACAAAATGGCTTTGTCCAAGACAAAGCCACCTGAGCCCTACACAACACTGTCTGCTTAGGTACATGTACCTACCTCCTTGACGTACCAGGAATTCCCGCTCAGCATTGCTTCCGACCATCAACGCAAGCCAGTCAAACAGCGCACAAAAGGCAGGCAACCACGAACGGCGCCAGTCCATACAACCACGGAGTAGTCAACCGATCCGCTGAAAGTGCCCTGCTCTGCGAAGTTACAACTTACAATTCTTCAATCTTGGTACATCATCGCTATCTGCTTCTACAGGGTATCTAAATTTTCGTAAGTCATAGTTACATAAAGCGTTCTCTGGCCACAATCCGAGAGCGCCATGTCCCATCTGTTGCCGTACTGTCATAGATGCTGCTGCTTGGGGTCCTTCATGCTTGACGAACGGGGCAGATATGCATTCATTGCCGATGCCAGTGCCCATCACTTACCAACAGTGCGAGGCCGAGGACTGCTCCGGTTCTGTAACAGATCGCCGCCACCTCTCTTGAGCTCGTTCAACTCACGCTCGATATCCTCTGCTTTGACATCCACAGCCTTCTGCCTCTTCTTGACTTCTAGCTCAAACTCGAGCGCCTTCTTGCGACGCTCCAGACGCTTCTGCATGAGCTCCTTGAGACTGTCACCAAAAGTCTTCATGAACCACTGCCCAGTCTGCTCGTTCTCAGCATCTGTCAGCGAACGGAAGAATGATTTCTGGTCATCAAGGTTCATTTGTGAAAGCTTCTCGAGTTTCTGCTCCAGTGTGATGGCTGCACCGTGCTCGTCAACCGCTGGCTTGGACGGAGGATGTCTGGGATCTTCCAGAAACGCGGTCTTGTCCAGTTGAGCATAGCTCATAGTTCGCAGTTGTGCTTCGTCGTAGTCGATCTGATCAAAAGCGCGCTTACTGCTGTCGCGAGCTGCCAGGGTAGGAAATGGGGACCGCTCGTCTTCGGATACTTCGACAGATGCACCCACTTTGGTGGTATTGCGCACGACCTGCTGTTCAGCCTCTTGACGCTTAGTCTCCTCCTCCTCCTTCCGGCGTTCTTCAATTCCCTTCTTAGCGTACCCTCTCATGACATTAAGGTCAGGAATAGCAACGAAGCCTTGATCATCTTGACCGGAGTCAACAGCAAAGCCTTGGTCGTCTCGATCGTCCATAGGCGAGCTTGCACGGTCATCTCGACCAGGTTGGGGGGCCACAACTTTGCGCTGTCGTTGAGTCGTACTGACAGCACGTCTACCAGTATAGCTTGGGGGAGCCTGCTTGGAAGGTGTGCTTTCGGGAATTCCGCCCACATCCCACTGCTTTGCGTCGAGGTCCTTCTCATCGAACAGCGCAGTTGTAGAGTCGTCATCCGGTCTAACCTCATAGTCGATTTCGCGATCACGTCGAACAATGGGCTTATCAACGTACAACCTCTGTTGTGCACCTGGCTGAACCATGGACGGACCCTGTCCAAATAGCCCTTGTTTTGTACCAGAGTTCGCCCTGGCGACGAGCTTGTTCACGGCAGCTGATCCTCCATATTAGTACATGTGGATACGCTATTCGTTGGGTTTGCTTACGCTTGATGAACCCCTCCCCACGCCATACAGCCGTCTTCTCATCCACTCCGTCATTGTATTGGTCCTCGCCATAGTCACCAGCGCGTGCGGCGTCGAACATGGTCGAGTCGTGGCTGGCGATCGAATCGGCCGACTGCTGGCGGCTCTGCTCCATATCAGTTGTGTCGGGAAGCGAAACCGCAGATTGACTTACATGGTTCTGGCCGAACCGGTCATTTCGTGTGCCAAGGGTGCTCTTGATCCGGGTGTCTTTGCCAGATGCCATCTCAGCACCATGGGCATTGCCATTCGTACTCTGCGAGGTCTGATGCTTCAACCCTGGGCTTGCACCTCTGCTCAGAGGCAGCGTGTTCTTCACCGGAATCTTCAACTCTCTCGCTGAGTCGAAGGGTGCGTGAAGTGTGTGCAACCGCGGCTGAGATGGACCAAGAGGTACACGTGCGTCAAATTCACGAGGAGGAATGACTTGTTGCTTGACTACCGTCTCAGAGCCGTCAGCTTGCTCGGACAGTGGTCTCTCATTTTGCAGCCTGGAAGCAGGTCGAGCTGGAGTATGTACACCTGGACCGTCTCGGGCAGATTGAAGAGCAACGTGACGTTGCTGACTCGTGATTTGCGGGTTCGAGGCAAGACCATTGTTCGAGCCGTTCGTAGACATTGGCTGCGTCTTCACGTTGGGGGGAAATTGCATGGTCTCATCACGACCATTGAGAGGCATCGTTGCAGCTCTGCAGAACGCTTCATCAGTCAAGCAGCTGCGTGCAATGTATGATCTTCCTCTCCTGGAAGCAAAGAAAGTAGTGGTCGTTGGATGGATGCAAAACTCGCGTCTCATGGCGCGTCGAAAGTCGAAAGTGAAGTGGGGCAATCGCCTGATCACGTGATTGCTATCTTGCCAGCGAGCATGCCACCATGTCAAGGTATCCTGGCAGGTAATGAGCACGGGCAACGGGAGAAACATGATCTTCGAATACTGAGAAGAATTTTTTCCGTATTTCAAACAGTCGCTCAGGACACAGCATATATGTCACCATGTATCGCCCAAGCCACCATAAATAGACCAGGGTATATTATCTCGTTCAGACATGTCAGGACCAGCCATAGATGCATTTCGATGGCTCAAGCGGCGATCGACCGATCTCAATTTCCAATACTCGATTTTGAGATCTTCTTCTTCCGGCGGCTGTCATCCTCACCGTCCGCGTCATTGCCCGTATCCTCCCCGAATGCATCATCGTGAGCCCTACGTTTGGGCCGGCGCCAGGGCGTCATAGTCAGAGCTCGCTGCATTTTGTGTCAGTGTAGGCCTGGAAGCACGGAGTCTGCGAGCACTAGCTTACCTTGTAGACTACTTCATCGTCACTGCTCGTGGTCGAGTCTGCCTTTTCCTTACCTCTGGGTTGTGGCTCGCCCATGCTGGAGATAGGACGATGTCTGCTTCCAGAAAAGCCGTTCACCTCCTCGTGTAGCTCCGATGTAGCATTGGGATCCCATATCGCTAAGCCTCCTGGTGGTGTGGCATCGCCAATCGGCTCGCCTTTGGCATACTCGGCCAGCGAACCGTTGATCCCCGTGAGCGACCACGCAAATACAGCCACATCCCGGATAGCAGCCATAAGGCCAGCTTCCGCTGGATCGGGCATGCTTGGAAAGCCAACATTTGGCATGGCTGAGGCTTGTTGAATGGATGTCGGAAGTACAGGTGACGACGCCCAAGGAGTCGCAAATATGCCGTTATCGAAATCAGGCGTAGCAACGTCCGACATGGCAGGCGGAACGAGTGCACGAGCCTTTCTTAGCACAACGACCAGCCCGTCTGACGTGCACGAGATGACAGCCTCGAGCTCCAGAACTTGCTCATCTGGTGTTGTGTTGGTCGTGCTTGTTGAATTGTTGCCCGGCTCCCTATCAAAGAGAGCATCTCGAGCAGCTTGCGCCTGGTCCATGCTTTGGTCGGAACTGGATCGGTGAGGATCATTTGCGTGATGACCATTGACACCGTTCGTGGTCGCCGTTTCAAGATTGTGGGTTGTCCCATTTAGCTGAGGGACGGAATCGGACGAATGTACTCCACGATCAAGCACAGCGGCCACGTCGGGTTGCGGCGTCATTGAAGTTCGCATACTGCCGCTGGACCGAGATTGAGGAATGGCCACGCCACCATCCTCCTCGTCACTTTCTTCCATATCAGACATGGTGACCGAGTGTGCCCTGGATGGCTGCTGGAGTGGGTTCCTGTACTTGAAGCGAAGGTAGGCGATGGAGTCGTTCGACTTTGCTGTTTCGAGGCATGTGACCGAGTCTTGTAAACACCCTTCGTCGATCATGTAGTAGAAGCTCTGGCCGGTGATTTGGTCCGGTTCGAGTCCCAGAATCTCCCTGACCCCAGTCGTTGCATACATGATGGATGAAGTGCGAGTGAATCGATTCAGGAATAGGGCAGCTCTGGGCTCTCTTTCGTGGACCTTTGGCTCCTGGTAGAACTTGCTCGACAAATACGACAACATGTGGTAGCGCGGATCCCTAGGCGCCGACGAGAACACCTTGCGAACATGGTGCGAGTCGATCGCTCTCTCTGTTGATGTTTAGCACAGCCGTTGACATTGAGAGGTTCCGGACACCTACGTTGGGCCTTCGGTGAAGCGGAGTAAACCGCTGTGCATCCGATGATCACATCGTGAACGACGGTAAAGACGCATTCGCAGCCAACCCAGTCACCGCTCTTGTTCTTGATGCGACAGTAGTTCAGTGATGCTGCCTTGTCGAGAGCAATACCTCGGGAATGGATGTCCTTGGCAAAGGGAATCTCCTCGGGATGGAAGTACTCCCAGCATGATTTGCCACGGACTTCGGCAGGACTGTAGCCAAGAATGTATTCGATACTCTCGGAACAGAACTTGATGCGGGCGTCCAGGGACAGATCTGAGTTGCCGCATTAGCAAGTCTCGCTGGGCGATGGGATATGACATACCATGAATAGTGATGAAGACGGTTTCCATGTTGAACGGAGTACGTTTTCTTCAGAGGCCTAAAAGCGCTCTAAGCTCCGAGCAGTCCTAAAAGACGCTGGAGTGTTCGGAGCAGCATTGGGGCACCGCCAGATACTTGAATAGTTACTCAGGACATGTACTGAAACGTTTGCAGAGCTTTGCGACCTGTACTCTCATCAAGCGAAAGCCAGGTTTCGATGATGTGTGACACAACTTGTACGTCGCGAAGGGTGCTTTCGTGAGTCGGTAAGGAACCTCCTATCGGTCGCCAAAGCGTATTATTCGTCGGGGAACAGGGAACCAGACGCTTTAGTCCAGGCCCTAGCTGTCGAGAAGAGAATAATGTTGACTATTCGTGGACAAGACCAGAAGACAGAGGTTGCGGCGAAGCAGTAGTGGCTGTGGACGCCTCGCTTCCTAACACGAGCACCTGTTTGACAGCCCCACGAGCAGGTACGGAGGGTCTGTGCGTTTTCAGTCCTCTGCAGGCAATCGACGATGCGATTCAAAGGTCACCAGGAACCGTTAGGCGCTATGTTCCGGTCGTCGCCAGAAGAGAAGATGTCAAGCGGAAATGTATTCTGAAAATTCTGGGCCGCTGTCTTGGGCCGAAGTCGTGCACGCTATAGGCTCTTTTGCTGGGAGCGTCTCCGGAGACATGGCGTGAAAGCCTTTTGGTTCTTTTCCTGGCAACCACAGCCGTGAGCCACGCCTCTTTTCTCCCTCGGGTTCAAGTTCAATGCTGTGGAGTGGCGGTACGAAATTACGTCAACAAAGCGTGCCCAAGCCCGGAAGCTTTCTGCGGAGCGCTCAAGCGAGACGCAACGGCGCTCTACACAGCCAATGAAGCCTCTGATTTCACAGGCGGCTTGTAGATCATACATTAAAATCCTAGGCGGACCACGAGGTACTCGGCGTTTTGGGCTATTTTCGCATTTGCAGGACGCTGCCAGAGAGTCACTGCCCAGCGTCAAATTCATTGGTATGAACGTACAATTGAGCCTGAATCGCTGTTGCAGTGTGACATGACCTGTCAGGTAAGCGATGCCTGTTCTCAAAAGCGTGGGATTCTATCTCCACCGACTATTGCCAACATGAACATACCCGAAAGAGCTCGTAACCGTTACTGCCACCCTTGTCTGCTGCATCCCGAGACCATACACTGTGCAGAGCAGATGATATTGTCCGGCGGCAGCCCAGACCGATACTGTGAGTGAAGTACCCCCAGGGAGCCAGGAAACATTTTTGAATCAGCGACACGCCGCGCCTACACGCTGGAATGCCAAGCGCGGCACCTAATGCGATGAAAATCGGGCTACCCCGTCTGGGCACCGGTCAAGACACTATTGCGTGTACAGGTGCGCATATGTCATGAATCCGAGATTCAGACAAGGACCCTCGAGCACAGGCATTATGCTCCGGCGTCTGGTGGACCACGCCATGCTGCTCGCCCAGTTGGGAACAGAATCGAGGCTTTAACAGAAAGATTGCGGTAGGTTGGCAGACCCTCGAACGCTTCAAACTGGCAAGAGGTCAAAGCGTTGCAGCGACAGGGCATGTCCCTGTCGAACGCCACGTTTGAGACGTTTACTGCAGGTGTTTCTTTTCGTGCAGCCAAATCGCCGATGCTTGGTGGAAGCCATGACATCGGGTTTGCGGGAGAAGCTGTGTGCACACAACCTCCTGTCATTAGGCACGAAGTCCATTTTGACATCTGCCAACAACACCAGTGGACGGTATAGCAGTTGTCAATCCGCACTAACAGCACACAACAGCCGTCCAGAACATGCCAGCGCATCCTCAGACGGACAGAGGCCTTCAACTGACGCAAAGGTCTCGTCACATCCACCACCAGCAGTGCGACACCGATACATGAGACTGGCAGACCTGAAGCGCAGCGGTGCAGAACATCGCCATTCAACGACAGTACGGGCGTTATTGCCAACTATTATGATTCAGACTGAACTGTCTGCCTAAGGAAGCAGTCAGCGATATGGATTCTCCAGGTGGGAAGTGTATCTGCTGTCGAAGACTTACACGAGCCAATCCATGCCCTCGCTGATGCCCTTGCCGTCGATGACAGAACAAGCAACAATACTCCAATTTCGATCTCGCAGCTCACCAAGGCTTAATGCTTCTGATATTTCTCCAGCACCTTGAGCGCCAGGCTATTGCGGCTCATGTCAGTCATGTTGTGTGATGGTTATCTCGAATCTGCACGGCACACATACCTGATCCTGCTTGTTCGCAAATACCAACAGAGCAGCATCTTTAAGCTCCTCCTCGTTCAACATATTTTTCAACTCGTCTGCAGCAATTTCTAACCGCTCGATGTCGGTCGAGTCAACCACGAAAATGACAGCAGCTGTGTTGGCATAGTATGACCGCCAGTACGGTCTAATGGAAGTCTGACCGCCCAAATCCCAAACGTCAAAGTTCAACTTGCCGTACTGAACGGATCTATAGGAGATCAGCGAAAGCCGGGGCAAATATCAGTCTTGGCATACTCGACGTTGAATCCAATTGTAGGTATTGTCGTGACCACTTCGCCAATCTGTTCGTGCCAAATCAGAGGACTGCTCCCATGTGTACCCAGACAGTGCACGACTTGCCTTCAATCTGTAGAGTAATGTTGTCTTTCCTGCATTATCCTACCAGTACGTTAGCCCTAATGCTCTGTCACCGCATTTTGCCCAACTTCGGTTCTTACCAAACCCAATATCAAAATTCGAATATCCTTCTTGCCGAAGAACAACCCGGAGAAGAGTTTAGATATCTGGCCGCCCATCACGATGGATTGTGTCGTTTCGGGCAGGCCGGGTTGCGCCTTGGCAGGCGGAAATTCAGCTGCGAGTCCTCAAGCGGAGAGTCTTTGGTCGCGGCACTGGTGTTTTGTATAGCCTTATGCTGATCTTCAATTGTTCGTCGATTGCACAATTGATGTTGACAGACGGGGACGCTTATAGATGGAACACGTGGATTCCAACGATGTTGGTTGAAGGAGTGAGGATGACACGAGCCGGTCCTGGTTGCCTTCCGCGAAGCCACAGGCATCCCAAATTTACTTTCTTGGCAGTGGTGGCACTCTCTGATTATCACCCCTGCCTTTCTCGTTCTTCATTCCCTGTACATATCCTCAGGAATCTGAAAATCAAAGCGGCTATTACGCATCAGCAGATTATATCTCGACTCTGAACGCGACGTGTGATCGCTGCGTCAGGGCAAGACAGGCAGCATGGGCCTAGCGTTCCATCGATTCTAAGAGCGAGTCGTGGTCCTAGTGCACCTACATGGGAGCCCACATCCAATGCCATCGCACATTGTTTCTACTCAGGTGACGGACGGTCTCTATATCTCTTGCAGCTCCGAGCATGCGTTGACGGAGAAGTCTCCATCTGCGTCCAGGGGAACGTCCAGAGCAGGGTGCTTGCACCCTTTCTCTTGAGATTTTATTCTGGACGTTACTCGAGCCGCAGATAGAGACTTTTCCGTGAACGCGCCTACCATCACATGGATGGTCAGAACGTTCATGACAGGAAGACATGTGACGCCCGTCCCAAGGCAGGTGCGTCATGAGGTCGCGGCTAGGACTTATTCAATACCGGCTGACAAGTCACACGCAAGCAGGTACGATCACATCGATTGCCCTCACTTGCCTGACTACCTGGGTAAGCTCGGTACTGGTTTCCGGCCATCACAACTTCGCCTTCACCTGCTGCCCCTTCTGTTCCAGCTCCTTCTGCTCCCTCACCCTCTCCAACGCGGCGTTCAAACTCCTCTTCGTGTTCTCAAAATAAATATGGCTGAAGTCACTGCTCGCCTGACCACTGATCGTCCTCGCCTGGATCCCATGCGATATTGTCCCGCCCCTGACAAAATGGAACACCTTCGCTATTTCCCAGTCACGTCCACCGTTGTCTTTCCGCGGATCAAAGCCTACGATTTCACTATATCGATCCATCAACTCGTCAGGATCGGGCATCCCTGACTCCGCTCGGTTTTGTGGTGCATAAGGCGAGTCAGCACTCTGCCCTCCCGGATGACCTGTGCTGGTCTGTGTGTTCCAGAAAGGTCCGACAACGTATACGTCGTCCATGAGCGGGTGGCCAATTGTGGACAACTCCCAATCGAGGATTGCTATCACGCGGGGCTCTGTTGGGTGAAGTACCTGTTGGACTGTGTCAGACCACTTGCAGGGTTTGGCTCGAACACGGATTCACTCACCACGTTATCGAACTTGTAGTCGCCATGCACAATCGAATACCGGTCACCAGGCAAATGTGCCCTCACATACTCAATGATCTCGTCATACCGCTCATGAGCTCTCCCCAGCTCCTTGCCAGTCTTCACGTCCTTGACCTTGGCTTGCTGAGCCTCGATCCTCGCAAACGTGTTGCAATGTCGTTTGTAAAAGTCCGTTTTCTTGCCGAAGCCCTCCAGACCAATCGAGTCCGGGTCGATGCTGTGCATCCACGCCAGTGTCTCAATCATCGAGAACCACGCTTTCCTTCTATCGCTTGGCGACAGTTCACCGAGCATGGGGTCTGTGATGATGCGGCCTTTCACGAACTCCATAACGTAAAAAGCAGTTCCGATAACAGCAGGATCCATACAAAGCACAAACACCTTCGGCACTGGAAACCCCTTTACCTTGCCCAGAGCCTCCAACACCCGAAATTCTCGATCAACTTGATGTGCAACAGGCTGATGATCGTGCCGCTCGGCTTTTTGCGAAGGATGAACCTCTTTCCTGCGGCATCATCCACAAAGTAGGTAGGATTGCTCTGTCCATAGCCAATCTTCGTGGACTTGACTGGCAACTTTAGACCCTGAATCGAGCTGTTGGCCTGCAGGTACTTTCCCAGGGCCGCATCGTCGAGATCGTGCCGCGCTGAGGGCGCGACTTTCTTCAGCTCTTCCTGTGACATGGCGTGACCTTGCCGTCCCTCTGCACGGCGGGTTGTAAATTCAAATGGTCACTCGGCCCGGGTCTGTTGAACAAGTCGACTGCTTTCTTCTGGCAGCCACCCCGAAGAGATGGTCCCTTCCCAGTGTCCGCCTCAGGTTACGGCAGTGAGAAGTGTACAGATAATTTCGCCGGATCTGGCGTCCCTGGATGCAGTATTGCCCGATTGAGTCGAGGATTACCGCTAGGGAGTCTGCTAGTCCGATGCCGTGTTCGTCACAGTATCAGATACAAGACGGTTTCAAGACAGATTGACCTCTCAGAATGCAAAGGCACATATCAATGTTGTTGACATGCGAGCGTGTATGCTACATAGTGAAAGAAGCACAGCAGTGGAGATCCGACTTGTCAGTGGTGACACGCCCGAGGAGTGCCGAGGTAAGCGGACGTGCCGACTTGCGAGGCATCCATCTACTTATGCATTCGAATTTCAAACGTTCGAGGCAGCCATCGCAACGTTTGGCAACGATGAGGCGCCGCTGCCGAGGCTCTGATTCAGTAGGCTATGGACATCTTCGGATAGGACATAGGACACCACCATGGTCTTGTCTCATCTCACGCATTTGCTCCAACCAAGTCATTGGCAGGAAATGTTTTCCGGTCAACATCACCTCCTTGCACCTGCTCGTGGTACCTGTTTTGGACGGCCACTTGTGGGTGAGCGCTCATGCAGTCTGCCAGGCCGCACGAACTTTCAGCGAAAGACATCGCTGTCCCTCGTCTGCGGTGCCTGTTTGCCAGCAAGCTCATTACCGACAGCCTTTCCAACGCCATCGACCCATCCCCCAACTCCGCCTGCACCTGCGCTCTTCTCCTCCCGGACGCGTCTGAGTTCAAGGACCCGCGCTCTCTCCACTTCGCTATCAAACTGCCCGACCGTTCCGCCCCAGTTGTTCATCTCTCTCAACTGCCGCTGCTTGGCCTCCACCAGTTCGATTTCCCTACTTCTTCTCCATTTGCCGAGCCAGCTGCTGTCCTCGCTTTCTTCAGATATGAGTGCCGAGTCTCGCTGCTTCTCTTGCTTTGAAACCTCCTCTGCTGCGGACGCCTTCGACGGACTGATTGGGTAGCTTGCGCCTGAAACACTTCGTTTGCGAACGTCCCGATTGCGGCGACGGGTGAGTCTAAGACGTGCCCAGATCGCGGCGATGCCGCGGTAGAGGTCGTCGAGCGGGCAGAAGCGGTTGAACTTTGCGGATAGGTTGGGCGACGCGCCACGAAGGATGCACGGGAGAAGCAGTAAGACAATGATTACGCCGGCTAGAGCGCAGGGACCGGCGATTGCTGCGACGGATGGAGGTGCCGCAGGTCCTGCCGAATGTGTAGCACTCGCAGAACCGATTGACGACGATGGAGGTGTCGCTGTCGTGCGTGTAGAAGAGGTAGAAGGCTGCAAGCCACCAATGCAGATATTGTTGTGGCACAGACAGGTATCTCCTTTCGAGTCTCGACAGGTTGTGGCGATCTGTGTAATCAAGCTGTCGCTCGCGGTCGAGTGGCTCATGTGGCTCATACTCATGCTGCCTGGCGTTGCAGTCGTAGTCACAGTCGTAGCTGGAGTAAAGGGTTCGGCACCAATGGAAATCGAACCGATTATGCTGCTCCAGGGGATGCTCGAGATTGACGCTGAGCTCGTCACTGGAAGCGAGTTGCTGGCAGTAGATGACATGATGGACAGCGTGGACGACATCTGCATGGACATTGAGCTAGAGACAGGCGTGCGGATGAGCGACGAAGAAATAGTAACAGTGGTCGTGCTCGGGCTATTGACTGTCTTTGTATTGGAAGCGGTCGCTTCGATCGTCGAAGGCGGCGAGAGCGTTGTTGGCGGTTCTGCAGTCACAGGGTCAACAAGCCAGATGGTGCTGTTACTTTCGTTGGAAGTTGTGGGCTGTGCTACGCTTCGAGGCGGCGTCCACCTTCCCGAACCGGCAGACTGCGCTGAGCATAATGAGAGTGAAAAGTTGGTGTGATTTGGCAACCTGGGGCCAAGACCGCGTTTGATGGCAGGCGCGGGAGTGGTACAAACGGTCGAATCGTTGCTGCCAATTAATATTAGCCCTAAAGTGCAGCTTTTGCGCAGAGTGCTTACCTTGTGCCATGTCCCATGCTCACATTCAGGTGCGCCATTGTCGTCGGCATGAGGCCGTCCTCGCCATCGTCCGTCTCGAGAGCCTGTAAGCGATTTGTGAGTTTCGAGAAGCTGCAGAAAAATGCAGCGATTAGATGGGGCTTGGCACTTTTGATGAACACTGTATGTAGAATGTTGAAACAGGTCACTTGCCGCCAGCAGGCATCAGACATCCGATCAAGAAAAGGCCAAGCGACTAGTCTTCATGTTTGATAGGTAAGTCGCCGTCGTCGGAGTGATCAACAGGAAGTGCGTCCAGGACACGGTAGCAACGGAGCCCAGCGAAACAACGCAGTAGCATTCACGACAGACAAAAGTGGTAGACTTGACAAGAGTGGCGTCCGTGTGAAGGTGGTGCATCGCGGCCCGACTTGCGGTGTCAACTGTTCATTAGTCTGCTAGTTTGCAGTCCCAACCAACACTTCCAGGCCTGTAAGCTGTGGATTTGCAATTGCGAAGACCAGTCTAATGTATCCAACCCATGATCTGCGCCAGGAACGCCGCAGACGCTCAAATGCGCGGGACCTCTCGACCTGGACGTCGTCTATTGGCTGTTGGCGGTAGTTGCTGGCATTTGCGTCCAATTCCATCCCTATCTCCACATCACAGAATAGCGTATATCCCAGAACGGCGTATCGAAGAACATGATTGAAGGAGTCTAGCAGCAGCCGCCAGCGGATCCAGATTGTACGCCCTGGCCCTGGCCGACCTGCACCGTCGGCTTGTTGTTCACAGTCGTCGTACCCATCCGCTCCTTGATCTGTCTTGCCATCGTCAAGAAAGCCTGCTCGACGTTGGAAGCATTCTTCGCAGAGGTCTCGAGGAAGGGGATGCCAATGCTGTCGGCGAATTCCTGGTCCAGTCAGCTGGGTGTGAGCTCCTCGGTAGAAGTCGACTCACCTTCGCCACTGTGTACTCGACTGCTCGCTTATCAGTCATATCGCTCTTGTTGCCAACCAGAAGCTTGTTGACTCCCTCAGTAGCATAACGGTCAATCTCCTGGAGCCATTGCTTGACGTTGTTGAACGAGTCCATATCCGTCACATCGTAAACAACGCAGATGCCGTGGGCGCCTCGGTAGTATGAGGATGTGATTGTTCGGAATCGTTCCTGGCCGGCAGTGTCCCACTGTACAGTATTAGCACTCTAGACACCCATGTAAATGCCTTGTGACTGACGATTTGTAGTTTGACGGTCTTGCCATCGAGCTCGATCGTGCGGATCTTCTGTAGGATTGTTAGCTTCGTCAAACACTGGTGTAGGCCGCAGCCTTAGTGGCCTAAGAGATGCCTGGAACGTACGAAATCCACTCCGATGGTAGAGATGTATGATTCAGTGTAGGTGTCGTCGGCAAACCGAAGGAGTAAACAGGACTTTCCGACGCCTGAGTCTCCGATGAGGAGGAGTTTGAAGAGGTAGTCGTATCTGCCGAGATCAGTATCATGTTCACAGGGGCTCATTCCCATGGCGCAAGGGCCGCGAGGGCGATGTGACGGTTGTTGAACGCTGTTACAGACGTTAGCATGCCTTGCTGTGATACCGACGCAGATCACGCTGATCGATAGCACCAACGAGGCAACGTACTACTCTGGATTCATGATGATGGTGGTCTCTGACAATGGGAAGAGCAAATGCGATCTGCTTAAGTGGTGGAAAGGTTCCTGGCGGACAAGCGATAATAGTAATGCGCGTGTCAAAGGAGTCCTCGGTTAGATCGTGCAAGTAACAAGTCGAACGAAGCAGAGGAATTGATGAGTGAAGATGTTGAACAACCAAGTCGCCGCGCAGTCGCAGGTGAATGAAGTGGCCTAGTATGCGATTGGCCCGGGCTCTCCGCTTTTGCCAAGGCTGTAATCAAGACCTCAGGCTCACGGGCTTGTGTTTCCGGGCCAGGTGATCTACAGAGTCAACTGGTCTTCATCATACGGCGGTGTGAAAGTGGTGCCTGCGATAGACATATCACTAGTGTATGGCTACGAATTTTACCTAGAGGTGGCCTCTTTACTGTTCCGCTCGGATATCGGGTGACCTCCGCGAGCAAGGAGGCACTCTTGATTGTGTCACCCATTCGACGCCATTCAGTTGGCAGAATGTCGCTGCTCGTCGCCTGAGCTGGCAATCAAGCCGACACGACGATTGAATTCAGCCGTCTGCAAGCGACGGTGCCAATGGCATACATGCTTTCGATGCGAGCCTCAGTCCACCAGGCCATGACAAGGCTACCATCAACAGAGCTTCAGGCATAGCCGTTGGCCTTCAGCCACTCCAGAAGGACTGCTTCGTCGCGATTCTTGTAGGCGGCATTGGCAGCAATCGAGTCGGAAATGATCACCAGACTGCGCGCGAAAGCAGTCGTGTCTTTGTCCTTGAAGAAGTTCGCAATGTCCTCAGCCACTGCTTCGTCAGCAAAACTGGTGAAGCCCATCTTGATCCATCTGTCGAGGACGATGTTCGAGACGCCCAATTTCTTGCTCACACGATCCCACTGATCTCGTGTGAACTCCCAGCCAACCAGACGATTTTCGTTGTTGGCAGCAACTGCAACAATAGCCGAATGCGCGTCCTGGGGTGGAACTTTGTCGGTCATCGCGAATTCGAGTAGTTCGCCCACCAGTTGCTTGTCTTTGGAACGACCAAGAGCGACGAGGCAGATCTCCTTCCCGTCGACTGACTTGGTCTTCAAGTATTCGTCTTTGACAGTGTTCCACTCGTACTTGCCGCCGTTGGCGACTGCCATGTTGAATACAACATTTCGCAGATTTTGATGGATGGCCTTTTCGTCGCCCCCTTTCCACGCCTCAAACCTCTTCTTGCCCTCAGCAATCGTTGCCTCGTGTCCAGAGTTGGCAGCGAGCCCAATGAGGAGCTTGCGCAATTGGCCTGTGAGCCACTCTTCGTCTTGCTTGAACTCCCAGCCAGAGGCCTCCACGGCTGGAGACACAAGTTTGAGCGAGAACTTCTTCAGCCCAGCTGAAACCTCTTTGTTCTCGGAGAATACTGACTTCACCTTTGAAAGCGAGCTGGCGACCTGTGCCCAGACGAGGTAGCTCTTCTCATCCTGGAAGCCCTCCAGGAGGGACAATAACGCTGGTGTAGTCCCGTTGCCGGCGACAGCTAGAGCACCGGCGTCTCCGACTAACCCGATTCTGTCTTCTTCACTAAGCCTATCCTTAGATTGACCGAGCTTCTGCAATCGCGGTGGCGGGTAGTTAGTCCGGTAGAAACCGGTTTGATCGGCATTGATTTTGTAGAATTCGTCATCCACTTCACGAATGGTGTCTTCTTTGGTCGTCAGCGCACTGTGTACCACCTTTTCGGGGCTTCCTGTCCGAAGGCCGACCGGGATCCACCATATTGTTTCGTCCTCCTCAGCCTTAATATCGCCGGTCGTCAAGAATCTGCTTTGCTTAATGCTGATCTGGCCAGGCTCTTCGGCGACTGTGACAACAGGAAACCCAATCTTCTTGATCCACGGGTCCATGAAGGCCTTTACATCTTGTCCAGACGCTTTGCTTAGAGCATCCCATAGCTGCAAGTCTGGTCAGCCCTGAGGCAAAAAGAAAAAAGGCCGGGTCCTGGGACAAAATCTGGCCAGGGAGGGCGCTGCATGTCCTTCGATCAGGCTGCACAGATCACCCAGATCGAAGCTCAGGCTTCAGTACAGGCTTAGCGGGGACTTACATCGTCTGTTCGTGCGTTGCCGTAGGCATGAATCTTGAGGTAATCGCTGACGCCCTTCAGGAAGATCTCCTGACCAAGGTGGTTGCTCAACATGCGAATGGTGGAAGAGCCTTTCAGATAGGAGATGTGGTCGAAAATCTGGTCCACTTCCAAGGCGTTGCGAACTGGTACTTCGATCGGGTGAGACGCTCGCAGCGAGTCCAGCTGCAGGGCTGATTGATATCCTTCAGTCTACGCGCAAGTCAATATCAGAGTAGCACAATACCTCTGGGCATTTTACGAACCACGAACTGGGACCACACTTTCCTATAGAAATTTCGTTAGCTTAATTTCGGGAGGCGCTACATGCTTGTAGGCAGCATTCAAAGGGAATACTGCACGCTAGACTTACCATTCTGGATGCAGATAATCTGTCGCAAGCCAGCCGACCCAAGTAGCGAAACCCTCGTTGAGCCACAATTCATTCCACCAGTCCATCGTGACGAGATTGCCGAACCATTGGTGGGCCAGCTCGTGAGCAACAACATAAGCAACGCGGTTCTTGAAACGCGCGTCTGACTTCTCTTCATCGAACAGGACAGCTGTAGTGCGGTACGTGACTAGACCCCAGTTCTCCATAGCTCCCATAGCAAATTCGTGGACAGCCAGAAGATCGGACTTCGGTAAAGGATACTCGATGTCGAAGATGTCAGAGAAGTAGTCTAGGATCTTGTGTGCGTGATCGAGAGCGAAGCGACCTTGCTCTTTGAGGCCTCGAGTTGTATAGACGCGAACCGGAATGTTCTTGCCATTGTACTGACGTTCCGTGTGGGCTTCAACATACTCGAAATCACCAATCGCCCAGGCCGCAAGATAGGTACTCATCGGAGGCGTCTTCTCGAAAGACACGACCTTAAGGCCGTCTTTGCTCCCCTTTCGTGTTCCTTTCTCGGGCATGTTGGAGAGAGCGACCAGATCTTCCGGAATCTCGACTTCGAACTCAAAGGAGGCCTTCAGATTCGGCTCATCGAAACAAGGAAATGCTGTTCGTGCATCACATGCCTCAAACTGAGTGCTGAACATGTAGTGATGCTCGCCATCACTGGGTGTCCCTGATGCAGGGGTCTCCGTCGGCTTGTACTTTGCTCGGTAGAAACCACGCATGGCATTGTTCATAGTGCCTCTGAACTTGAGCGAGATGGTTGTATCTCCGGGACTGAGTGACTCGGTGAGCTTGACGGTGACCCGCTCATTCGACTTGTCGTAGGTGGCATCCTTGAGAGTAGCGTCCTTTCCTAGGACTTCAGCAGCAGTGATCTCAATTTCCTTCACATTGAGCACAACTTCGTCGGTGGAAGATTTTACCGACGAGTCGATCTTCACCGTTCCTTCATAGCCCCAACTTCCGCCGAACTCAAGGTTGTAAAGGGACACATTGTAGTTGGTAGGCTTGATGCTGCGTACACAAGTCAATGATCCGCGTGCATATTTTCAGCGTGAGAAATCGGTGGAGAGACGAGCTTACGTATCTGGGAGGACGTCCCGATCAGACGGTCGTGACATGCTTGCTCTGACTTCCGCAGAGCAAAAGCGACGCTGCGAATGCCTGAATGAAGACAATTGCTGGGCAACTTTAGCAGCCTGAGGGGCGAGCAGTAATGGCGGGGCACTCCTAAACTGTCTAAGTGGAGATATCGAGATCGTTCGGGCACAACTTGAAACCGTGACCGAAGATGAGAAAGTGGTAGAAGTAGGGACGCTTCGACATTGCGACAGAAGCGTCTGGAGGATCTTCATCTACTCTTGCACCTGCCAGTGCCCTCACTCATCGGCCAGACCTGCCGCTGTAGCCGTATACCCTTTGCAAATAGGCGCCCTACTGGCATATAACACGTCAAAATCATAATTTCGCCATGCGTACAGCTGCAGGCGTCAACGCGTCTCCAACCAGCGGTGATCATATCCGCACGCGACGCCAAAAAAGTCCCCCCACACCGCGGATACAAGAGTGTTAGCTCTTGTTCCTGAGTATGGCAGCGACGTCAGGCCGTCGGCCCGCCGGTGGCTCCGACGATGACGGAGATGCCATCAGGTCATCTGCGCGAAGGAGGGACCGCGACAACGATGCCGAGAACGCGAGAGACTTCGAGGTGACGAGGACGTGGGACTTGCTGCAAGAGGGCGAAGATGGGACACTCACAGGCGCGGTCTTCGACTTGCTGGAGTCCGACAAGCGTAGACGGCTACAGAAAGACACAACGCCGCTACAGCGAGGGATCATCCGCCATGTAGTGCTTGTTCTGGACATGTCCATGGCCATGGCGGAGAAAGACCTACGGCCTACGAGATATCTACTGACACTGACGTACCTCACACAATTCATCAACGAGTTCTTCGAGCAGAATCCAATTTCACAACTGGGCATAGTTGGCATGCACGATGGAATCGCGGTCAGAATATCTAAGATGTCCGGTAATCCAACTGAGCACCTTACGATCGTGGCGAAGATGCGCTCGACGTACGAGCCAAAGGGAAATCCTTCGTTGGAGAACGCTCTCGAGATGGCTCGGGCGTCTCTGTTTCATGCTCCTCAGCATGGTACAAGAGAGATTCTGTTGGTGTTTGGAGCGCTACATACCTCAGATCCAGGCGACATACATGTCACGATTGGCAAACTAACAGCGGCACATATCAGAGCCTCAGTGATAGGACTGGCGGCACAGGTGGCCATCTGCGCCGAGCTGGTAAGCAAGACGAACAACAAGTCGACCGCGAACTACCATGTCGTGCTTGACGAGCGGCATTACCGAGACCTTCTTCTCAACTACACCACACCGCCGGTCACATACACGACGCCAGCTTCCATCAAAGCCACACAAGGATCCTCGAGTGCATCACTACTTATGATGGGGTTTCCTTCTCGAACAGTCTCCGACAAGCCTACACTGTGCGCATGCCACACGAAACCTTCATATTCAGGCTACCTCTGCTCGAGATGCGGCACCAAAGTGTGCTCCTTGCCAGCTGAATGCACAGTTTGTGGTCTGACTCTGATCCTGTCAACACATCTGGCGCGATCATACCACCACTTGTTTCCGCTACACAATTGGCAAGAGGTTCCATGGTCAGATGCGTGGCGAAGCGAGTCATGTTTCGGTTGCCAGAAACCATTTCCAGAGAAAGAGCCCAACAATCAGCAAGCTGGGCAGCGACGCATAGATCCCTCGACTGGTCGATATGCATGCCCGACATGTGGACGTCAGTTCTGCATTGATTGCGATCTCTTTGCCCACGAAGTGGTTCATAATTGTCCTGGATGCCAGAGCATGCGCATGGAAACAAGTCTTGTGGGCGAGACAGAGCTTGCAGGAGTCGATGGCGTCGATCAAACGAATGGGAGCTCGGCCATGGAAGGCGTTGAAAGTGCCACGTGAGCCACATACTGTATGCGTATGATTTCGAAGCAAGGCAGTGACTACCTAGGTATCTGCCCTGCGAATCGTCAAGACTATGTGCGCGCTGCTATGGGTCACCATTTGATGAGTTGGCTGAGGATGGCAATGATCCTCTATCACGGCTCGAGCGTTGATTGTGCCACGTGGGCCGGCCTCGACACTCCCAGCGTTCGCCTACCCGCCGTCAGCCAGAATGTTTCCTGCGCTAAGCTTCCACAGCGGCAGAAAGAGCGTCTGTGGGTGATGCTTGCCAGGCGCTGACAAAAGAGCGAGGCAAGTCGTTCGCTGCTGGGATGATCTTCGGTCCCCCAATCTTGTCCAGGGTAGCTGGCCACTAATCCCGACGGAAATGAGCATCTAGTAGGTTCGAAGAACGATTCCCGACGGATCGGACGTAGGAGGACACATGAGTGAGTGCACAGTCGCAAGAAAGCACGCTGCTGCACAGGAATGTGGTCACTCGGCCTGAATAGAACGCTGCAGGAAACGAAACATTGCAGAATTATGTAAAAGCAATGCCCCTGCAATCGAAAGAGACCAGATGCATACTAATCAGGTAGAGAAACAATCGTGGCTTAGACACACAGTCGTTCCTCTCAACAATGTAAGAAAACCATACGGTCCAGCAGGCCGGATGACTTGATAGTTGAATTTTGTGTTAGGGTTAGGCTTCTGGTCTATGATCGCAGGTCCTCTTAGCGGAGTCAGAATGAGGATTATATATCAATAATTCAAAATTTTGCCTCAACAATCAAGCACAACTTGACGCTCCTTTGGCTAAGTGGTATAGCGCCGTAAGTCCTTGAACCGTCCAGAATCGCCTAGACATGTCGTTAACAGTATATCGCAGTCACTAGTATCAAATCTGCTATGAGGAGATCACTGGTTCGATTCCAGTAAGGAGCATGAGCATCCTTTCATTCTCGCTGTTTGGCTGGTATAAATCCCAGCAAGCACCACAACTTTTTGCTTTTTGCCGCATGGCCGAAAGATTGGCAAACGCAGCAGCTTCGCGGAGAGCGCGCGAAATTTCATAAATACAAGGCCCACAGGATGATGTCAAGGCACCTGGCAGTCTCGATGCTTTCCACTCCCGACACTTCGTTTCTTGTAGAAGAAGACTTGATCTTCAACCCCTTCATCATCGAACAGCCATCTCCTTCGTCCACTTCCCGCGATCCAAGTGGTCATGTGCATTGGAAACATGCTACACTTCTTAGGGATTCGCTCAAGCCTTAGGCTACTTGCCACTGACGCAAGCAAAAGGGTTTCCCGCTCTCCTCCGAAGAGTGAGGGGGGTGGGATCCCTCCTCCCACACCAGATCGCAGATTGCTCACATAATGGCTCGCTAATGACTCGATAGCCTGGCAATTTGCCCGTGTGTAGGTAAGTGTTGGGAGGTCTCATCAGCGATCGTCAGGTTCCCGATCATGCCCACAGCACCGGCTCGTTGGCCGCCCAAATTTTTCACATGTGGGTGCTCGCATCGAGAATTTTACCATTCTTCATAGCTGCTACACCTTCCTACAAAGCCTCTTAGGGTCGGTACTACCTTGAGGTGAGCCGTTTGGATGACTTCCGCGGTTCAGCTCGACGGGCTGTGTGCTGGGACCTTGGGCAGTAATCCATGTTGACGACACCATGCCCAACCTCTCTTTCCTTGTCACTTATCGAAGGCCACGTGCGACTTTCAACCGCGTTCTCAATGAGCGCAGAAGGTCTGTCTCTGCGCATAGGCCGGATGTCGAACACTTCCAACTGCTCACTTGGGACAAGCTGCCCGAATGGTGCCGCGACAATCATTTCGTTAAGTCTGGCTACCGGAACGAGTTTCGATCTGCACGAGCATGCTTGAAATCCATCTTCAGCATTCACAACGAAACAGTCAACATATGGACACATCTTGTGCCGGCTGCAGGCTTCTTAATCGGCCAAATCTTGCTACAAGGCCTCATCAACCACTACTACCCAGACGCCGCCTGGCTGGATAGGTTCGTCTTCGCTTGTAATGTCGGTGCTGCCGTTGTTACGATGACGCTGTCTTCCCTATACCACACCCTGATGTGTCATTCAGAACCTGTCTCGAGTCTCTGGCTTAGGATCGACTATGTGGGTATCCTCACACTGATATTGGGAAGCTTCTTTTCTGGCATCTATGTTGGCTTCTACTGCGATCCCATACCCAGGGGTGTCTACTGGTCGATGATCACGATTCTCTCTGTCATCACCTCGACTCTCGTGCTACACCCGAGACTACAAGGACTGAGGTATCGTTCGCTCAGGACCTGGGCTTTCATTCTGACGGCACTGAGCGGTTTCGCGCCAATACTGCACGGCTTGTATCTGCATGGATGGGCTCAGATGTGGATTCGATCTGGAATGCCATATTACTTCCTCGAGGGATTGATCTACGGTTTGGGTGCTTTCTTCTTTGTCACGCGAATTCCAGAGTCGTTGTGGCCGGGCAAGTTTGATATCTTCTTCGGCTCGCACCAGATTTTCCATGTCCTAGTCGTGATAGCCAGCCTCGCCCATCTGTATGGTGTGTGGAATGCTTTCGGATGGAATTACGAGAATCAGAGAACGTGTCCGGCTCGAAACTGACCGCCTTGAAGTCAACGAGGCTGGTTGGTGATCCTTCTTTATGTACATAGTATAGATTTCAGGAAGATCTGGTCACAACATAGAATCACGTCACCCATGTCACACAACAAACAGCATAAGCATGGTCGCCATCCATGAAGACTGGTCATAAATCGCTGTATCGTCGGTAGTCCGTACGCTCCATAGTACAGGTCCGGTCGCACTTGCAAGAAAGATAATGCGAGCGCAGGGCTAGCTCGACCGGATGACAAGCGTCACACACCAAACTTGTCATTTGAAAGCCGCGAACTCCTTTCCACCCTCAGTTCTAAACAATGTTTCTATCTTAGCACGCTCGTGACGCTATTTAGTTCATCATGACGCACTTCACAAATCGAGACACGCGTATGGACACCAACGACCCTTACTTGTGTCATGGGTGTGCCGGGTCTTACACGAGGCCTTGCACCCTACACGGAAACAGCGGTCCTGGGAAAGGGCGACCACGTGCCCCAGAATATGAGGCAGATATCGCGTCTCACCATTGATGGCCCATCGTTGGCATACCACGTCTACAACAAACTACTTGCACACCACTATAGCAAGTATAACAAAGCATTACGCTGGCCGAACTACCAAGATATTGGTCAGGCAACACTTCAGCTGCTTTCTGATCTGGTCGAGACTGGGACAGATGTTGAAGCCCTTTACTTCGATGGCTTCTTGCCAGCATCAAAATTTGCGACCAGGCTGGCACGGCTAGAGCGGTCGCGCAAGCAGATCGAGAAATTTTGCGAAGGCAACCACATTAACCCCAAGGCAACCGTTGGCGCAATTGAGATCGACTATAACGATGCTCGCTGGACTCATTTAGTCGGTCCCGGATCGGCATGCTCATTACCTGCGCCACCGTTCCTTGTGCCCGCCGTTGTTGACGCCCTAAGACTTTCATCGTGGGAAAGCAAGCTTCATGTCGTTGCCGAGGAAGCTGACACGTCGTGTGCACGTCTTGCGAAGGCAACCGGCGCATCAATTCTGTCCAACGATTCGGATCTCCTCCTCTACGACATTGGTGATGAGGCGTGCGTTGTGCAGTTGCAGAGTCTCGATCGACACGAAAATATTGGTGCCGAACTGCGCAACGAGATTACGGCCACCTACATCCATCCACCCACGATAGCCAGAAAGCTCAAAGTCCCGTCTCTTATAAGTCCTGCTTACGAAATACACAAAGATGGCAGTGCTACGTTCGGTACTGCAGTCAAGAAAGCTAGGACCTCGAAAGAAGGACAAGATCTCTGCGATCTAGAAGCGTTCGCTGCAGAGTACAGGATTGGAGACGACCGTCCTACAGCTCATCCGCTGTCGAAGCTGGACCCTCGTACAGCAGAGCTATGTTGCCAGGTCTTTCAGCCCTCCGCGACTGAACCGAAGCTGTTCCTCCCGGTGTTGTATGAAGATCCACACGGCAAGTCTGCCTGGCGTTGTGGCTCGGCATACCGTCAGCTAGCCTACTCGATTCTGGCCAGCATTGTCTCATGGTCCAGGGGTGAAGTCTGTGAATATTACAAGAAAGGCGAAGCTATCCGGCCAAATGCTGTATGCACACTCGGGAAGATGAAACAGGCACACACGGTGGACGCCGTGCTCCAGCTGGCAGAGTCTGCATCCGTGATACCCGTCTCCTCCATTGGTTGGTACATGACGGCACTCCACGTGGTGGTGCAAGAACGGGCAGGCAAGGGTTGGCTAGTCGATCTGAACAGGTTTCGCGCGCTGATGGGCTGCTCCAATGGCTCTAGAGAGGCTGAAAGGGGACTCATACATCTGGAAGCTCAGGTCCAAGCTGTCTTGTATTCTCTGAGGATACTCAAGCAAATGGTCGACTTTGTGCTGACTCTCGACGGTACCAATCTGCCGGACCAGCAGCCACTGCAAAGTCTTGCTCACTGTCTCAGCACGATGCCATCGATCCCCGAGCTCTTTACCAACCCATCTCAACGTCAGAAGTCGGTGGAGACGAATTCTTTGGACGTGGACACCCTGCTTGCCCCTATCATGTCGTTGCTCCCGACCATGCGTGGTAAAGCAACGAAGAAGACAGCTCCACTAAGGCGTGAAGATTCGTCAACATTACAAGGACAGAAGGGAGCAAAACAGTCCAAAGACCGAGCAGGAGGTCATGGCTATGCCGCTGCTAGGCACAACGTCTTTGATGTTCTACATAACATCGGCTGAGGTCATAATCGATGCCGGTACTCTCTTCGTCCTGGTCACGCCGCTGTCCGGACTCCATTCGCAGAACCGCCTTCAGACGACAGCTCAGCTGGGCGTTCCCATGGTGTTGTGGCGCTGCGTGGCTGCCACAGCGGCTTGTAGCAGTCCTGCAAAGACATATCAAGTCGATATGGCTGAAGTATGGGACACGAGCCGAAGGTGTCGAGGCTTGAGCTGAAGCTTGATCCCGAGCCGATCCGCACATAACACGAACACGAACAGCCCACGCTGATGACCAAATTCGTCTACAACAGCATGGATTCTGCGTTTTGCTTAGCCGGTTGATTCCCAGCAGACTGTTATTCGAATATGCGAAACGCCGGATTTAGGGACCGGATAGGCGCGGGGTACATGCCGAGGGCATTATTCGGCATTTATCTTACAAATCCGGTATACAAAGTGCCGGCCTAGGACATATCAAAACTGGCGTTGTGCATGTTCAGATCCTTACAACTTTAAGGACAAGTGCAATTCAAATCTCATCTATAGAATGGCACCACCACCGCATCTTCTATGGGTCACGTCCCGGCCAACAAAGCTGTCACCCGAGGACTGGATCGAATGGTACAACCAAGACCACCTGGGAGCTTTGATCGACACCAAAAGCGTAACGAATGGTGCACTATTCCAGGAAGTGCCACTAGACCCGAATGCAAAACACGACAAGCCGTTCTTGGCCCTTTACCAGACGGAATTTGCGGATGCAACGCGGTCGGATGAGTTCTTGAACACCAAGCAGCCGGACAGTAAGGTGCTCGAGAGACTCGACTTGTCGCAGAATGCTCTTGAACATGGGGAGTTTGATGCAAGGAACTATGAGCTGATTCAGGATTATGATCCGAATGGTGTTGGGAACAGTACGTTGAGCCGCGGACCAAGGCAGATGCCGTCGCACGCAGTCATGCATATCTCTCTGACCTAAGACACCACCAACTGACACGCCTCCTCTGAACAGTCCTGGTCCCTGTCGTCCTCACAGTCGAGATGTCCACTACCGACCCCGCCGGCTTTGACGACTGGTACCGTAAAGAACACCTGCCTATGCTCTCCAAGGCGCCCACCTGGAAGCGCACCTTGCGCTACAAAGCCGGCCCCAAAGCCGAGCTCGCCTCCTCCGAGCAACCCCCCTATCTGGCAATGTACTTTTTCGAGGATCTGGCAAAGGCTTCCGCGAGTCCCGAGGCAGCGGCGGCGAATGAAACGGAGTTGACGAAGAAGTATTTGGCAGAGTGTAAGCCACCGGCTGTGGCGAGGGCGTGGAGATTGATTGGAAAGGAACGATGGTAGGGGCTGAAGTTGTAGAGCGTGGTGGCAGCGACTGCCTTAGCGCGTGCGTAGAAAATGGCTATTGGTGGTGGTGGTCATGCGATAGGGGCCACGGCAGACTATTCGTGTTCTTAGTAAAAGACATGCCAACCCTCAAACTCTTTGCTATGTTATTTCCACATTTGTAGTGCGCTAGAGACCCAGGCGGTGCCCTGTTACATACATATCCACAAGACCGGATGACAAGTACACCCCATGGCACCTCCGACCATCCCTCCCGTCCCATAAACAAACGACAACGTCAGAGATGAAAGGACACCGCTTCTCCTTGGCTTGCGCGTTTTGTGACGGTCACAAAGATCGACGAGAGCGTAATTTGCATAAGTTACCGTCACTGCCTTGTCATCCGGGCTGGCCGGTGGATTAAGCAAGACCGGTTGACCCCTACTCTCCAAGACCGGATGACGCGACTCTTTCCCATACGCGACTTCCGCTTTTGTCTTGCAAGCAGACAATGGCGGCAAGAGTACACTAGGCATCGCTCATTCTCATCAACGTCCCCTGACGTTTGAACGACGGCAGGTGCTTCACTCGGGCGGCACCGTCCACGACTGCTTGCTTTGTCAACCGGCGCAGCGTGAAGTTACGTGAGACCGGATGACGACGTCTTCCTCACGCCTGCGTTCTCTTTCCCATATCGTTGAAGCAGGCGATGACTGAAGGCGTCCGTAGAAGCCCTCCCTCCAGGACCACGGACGGCAGGATCTCTGCCTGCTTCCCCAGGAAGAGCCAGAGGGTCTTGTCATCCGGTCTGAAAGAGAGACCTGAGACTGATTGACCGGATCACCAGAAACCGGATGGCGAGTATGGCCTGCTTGTCCATCAGCATTTGTTCTTGCCTGATCCTGCCATCCTCGAGAGGACGGGCGTACGCCTCACAGCCTTCAGGCAGGAGCGCACGAGCACAATGCGCAATTGAGAGAGGTCCTGAGCACTGTGATCAGACCTTTATAAGCTGTGTGTCAAGAGAACGACGTGCTTGAGTCCTGGCCAGGAGAGGACCGACGCCGCTGATACGTTGCCCACGAGCTGAGAAGGGTTCTGCTCAGTCTGTTTCTTCATGGCAGTAATGTGCTTGTCAGACGAAGAGGCAGTCGCAGATTGCTGAGCATCGTGTATATGATTTGTTATTCTCGAAATCTCGGGCCAGTATACCTCGATTATCAGACCCTCACTTTCAACAGCATAGTACAGTTAGGTTCAGTACATCGATTCAGTTCTGTCGTGACTTTGTCCCAGATATGCAGGTCGTATCTCTGATCGGGATCTGCTGCACTTGACCTCGAAGATTCTGGTTCAAATCCAGGTGCTGTTCGATATATTTCTTGCTGACTCTCTGGATCGATGCCAGGGTCAGCAGCGATCGCTGAAATGTAGCTGGCAATGAAGGGCTATAGTGTCGTGGGCACAGATGTTCGGGCCTCCTTCCACACGAGATCTCCGCCGTGCCTCCTTCAATGTTAGAGTACATGTCTGGTCGAGTACATCGAGTTGGTCAATTTGTCTTTGTAGTACGGCGCATATGACGTGGCAGCCTCGGCAAGCTATCAGCCGATACGACGGACAGTTCTCCTTGAGAGATGCTGGTCCGAGTGCCACTGCTGTTGTTTTCGATGCAATAAAAGCACCTTTGATTGAATGTACTCTCGTATGCTAGGTACTGTAGCTCTGATATCCTCCGGGCGAGGGTCTATCTCAGGTTAGGGAAAACTGGTTCGAAACAGAAAAGAAATTCGTTGATGTATGGACATGTCTTGATTCACACCTGCCCAAAAGTTCTTGATTGCTTCACCAAGAACTCCAGAGTCTCCTTTCGTCCATCGCCAAACGTCCATTTTCCTTCATGGTCTATGGGAAGTGCTCGCTATCTGTGTAAGTCTGCTGGTTGAAAGATGACAAATCGTAGCATGGTCTAGCATCGAGATGCTCCCAAGTCTGCTGCTGCTCTGCTCCGCCGCCATAGTCGCTGCGAGGAGTGCGATCAGCGGATAAGTTGAAGTGAGATCGTTATGTTGAGTGGGCCTTTTGGGCGACTGAAGAGTGTCCAAAGATGTACTACCGCTTCTTCGTCTCAGTTGCCCAGCCTTCGATGCCTTCACCCTTTGCTCCCACGGTCACATCAACCTTCACTTTCTCCATCGCCTTGACATCCTTCACAAATTCGTGATTGCTCATTCCGCCAGCATTGGCGCGCCCCTCTGGCGGCAGATCGAGCATGGGTATCAAGAAGTTGGCGATTCTATGAGCATCATCGACTGTAAAGTGGTACTTCTCTCGCAGAACGTCTGGTAAGGCCCAATGTCGTAGCCTGTGTATATTCCGCAATTCGCCTTTTCGGTTGAATATTTCTTGCGACCATTTTCCGGACAAGCAGAGCGATTTTGGAAAGGGCCCGAGAAGTTCGATGATCTGCGCGACATGGTCGTCATCTTTTCCATACTTGGTGCCCGACTGCGGATCAAATAGGTAGTCTCCGGTAATAAGTTCGAAGACCTGGTCAAGAGTCAGTCATGGTATCAGGTCTGCTCGTGGGAGTTCGAACATACCATGCAGGCCATGCTCCATACATCTGTACTCGCTCCCCACTTAGATCCCAATATCACCTCTGGAGAACGGTACTGGCGCGTCTGAATATCATTAGTAAAGTGATGGCCAACCCAACAAGCATTCCCAAGGTCAGCAATCTTGACTGAAATGACCTCGCTCATGGGCGTGGGATCCTCGTTGGCGGCCTCCTTCAACACTTTTTCAGCTTGACTGTTGCTTTCTTGCTGTCCAGCGAGACGCCTGCCAGATCCTTCTCTATGGGATCTGTTGTCTTTTCTCGTGTCTTCTGGTCCGCATCGTTTGACTTGCCGCTCTCTTGATTCTTGAGCTTCAGCTGTTCCAGCATTGACAGACCCTCGGAGGACTTGTTCACTGGCGAGTCATTGACGATCTGGTTTAAACTGCTGTGTCCGTGCGGCGACATCCCAATCTTGTCGATATTGCTGAAACTTGCATTGAGAGGACTGGGAAGCGGTTGACTGCCGGTGATGAGCGTCCTACGCCGCCTCCGGCCATTTGGATTCGTGTCTTTTGAATTCTTGTCCTCCTCCTTGACAAAAGCCTGCACGATCTGCTCTACGTCTCCGATCTCAATCAGAACGTTTTCTGGTTTCAAGTCGGTGTGAATGATGCCACATTCTCGGTGTAAATAATCCAATCCAAGCAGTACCTGCTTCGTTATCTGCTTGACCAGGGGCATGGGTATGCCGCGGTGGTTCCATCTCTTGATCAAACCCAGCAGGTTCTCGCCCAGCACCTCAAACACCATGCAAACATGTACGCCATGAGGACCTTTGTGTTCAAAACTGTCAAGTAAACTGACGACATATCTTCGTCCAGGATGATTAGGATTGGCTTGCACTACTTTGTTGAGGAGCTTTATCTCGTCGATGGCTGTTTCGGTGTAATGCGCCGCAGATCGAACGACCTTCAGCGCGACGTGCTTGCCTGATTGCGAATCCTTCGAAAGCCATACCGTCGAAAAGTGACCCCAGCCCAGCTTGCGGACTACCGTATATCTTCCATTGTTATAGGTCTCGCCGACAAAGACGGGGTGATATCCGCCTTTGCAGTAGTCCTCACTGTCTTCTTCATCGGCGGTGGCTTCGGCGGGATCTTCTTCGGAGGTGGTAGATAAGGGTGACCTAGGGAGTTGTGAGTGGTGCGACTTGTGCTTTTTGGGTTGCGGGAGAGGCATTGCGATTTGGGTACATGGCGATGAGGATGAAATGGAAAGGAGAGAGCAGATATCGGGCGCTTAGTGGATATTATTGGATTGAGGCAGACACGTCACTTACTCGGCTTCGGCTTGGGTGGGGCTGTCGTGAAGACTTGAGCCAGCGTTGTCAGTGCCGGTTATGATGGGTTTCAGGTCGCCTTTTCTTCGCTTCTTCTGGCCGTTGCTGTTGTTGTTGGCAGCCATGGCTGCGGTCGTCGCGACTTTCTTGGCCGAGTTGGTTACTGCTTCCTTGATACTTGCGCCATTCATCATAGCCAGTACAGCGGCGTTGGCAGCAAGCAGTGTATTGGAGGGGTATGGGAGCCCCGAGGAGGACAACTGAGTCTGAGGAGGAATTTTGGAAGAGTCTCAGTGATAGCACTGCAGCTGACGTGCAGTGCCTGACGATTTGATCGGGACTATCGGCGGGTGATTTGGGGTTGCAAACGCGGGCGGGCACTGGCAGGGCAGCGTGCTGACCAGCAGTGGGGTGGGACGCGGGCGATGATCGTATCGTATATCCAATGCTTGGAACTGATCTTTCTTGACCAACAATGTTATTCTTGATCGATGATAGATCGTGCCGTGTTTGTCTATCAATGCTCTGAGAGTTGCGCGAACAACTCTCGATTGGCGATGTTGGGCGCTGAGGTAACGCGACGAGTGCTCTGAAACTGGCCAGGGCAACGAATCAGACTATGAAAGTCCTCTATACCAACGTTCTCTGGTGCTGCGTACTTTGCGCAAGTCAATGATGTGATCTGGAATGTTGGGACCGGCAGCAGCAAGGCTATGCTATGCTATGCTATGCCCCGGAGAAAGAGGCAGGAATGCCAACAGAGCAGACCGGCGCAGTGTTGCGACACAGAGGTCGAGACTCGTGCCCGATGTGAAGTGCAGCCCACGACAGGGGCGACCGGACTGCAGTTGGTGCAGTACACGCTCGAGCTGGCAGCTGCTGTAATACTGCTTGCTCCTGCTCCAATTGCAGGGTGGGCGTCGGGCTCGTGGATACAACGATAGAGGGGCTTAGCTGCGCGGCGCTTAGGTGGATTGCTGCTTAGTGGTGGTGGGCGACGAGGTACATGTAGTGCTCTAGAATTACTATCTGGTCCTTGACTTGAATTACTCGAGGATGGCAGCTGAATTCTGCAAGTGTAGCACAATTTGGCAGCTGCGCTGGACTTGGAAGAGACTTCCGTCACCGACCAACTCACTGATCCTTTGAACCACCACCACGGCGAGACTGACACTGGCCTGGTATGTCATCGAGAGTTACTAACTCTCCAGCTTTGCCGGGTGCGCCGCCGGGCAAGCCCTAAATTCCACTTTCGGTATCACCCCAAAGGTTTCAGCGACCAAGCCACATGTCTATGCTCTTGATATCGTCAATATGTTATAGCTGCTTCCCAGTAATAGTTGGTACTTATTCACCACGTCAAGGCAGAGAAAGGCGTCAAATATCCGAAGCCTAATCTAGTGATCTCCGTCAAGGATTCGTGGCCCCCAAGGTGGGTTTCGTTCCAGGAACTATTGGCTTCTTGAACTACACATCTCATCCTCTCTCAAACACCGCGAAGATGCAGCAAGCAAGGACCTATAATTGCTGATACTCGGTCGGCGCCCACCGTGCGACCCTCATCATCGAAGAGTCTTGAACATGCCACTCTTGACTCCGCCTAAGTCGCAATTTGCGCCCACGAGCTTCGTCTACGAACTGATCCACCACCCGATCACAGTCCTCATCACCTTTCTACACTATCTCCTTCTCAATCTTCGCGGACCATCATACAAACCCACAGCATCGGGCAGGTCCCGCATCCGCGTGGTCTGCATCAGTGATACTCACACCAAGATCCCGCCGCAGGCACTGCCAAAGGGCGACATTCTGATACATGCTGGCGATCTGACCAACTCCGGCTCTCGTGCACAGATTCAACAAACCCTCGACTGGCTCAAGAGTCTGCTGAAACCGTGGCCCGGGTCTCAAGATGGATTCGCATACATTGTGGTAATTTGCGGCAATCACGATTCATACCTCGATGAGCGGTCAAGGTCGGCCCATGACAATGCCCACAAGAACCAGGCGCTGAGCTGGGGCAAGCTCACATATCTCCAGCACAATTCTGTGACGCTGCCCTTCATAGACGATCGGAAGCTCAAGATCTACGGCGCGCCTCAGATACCCAGGTGCGGCGGAAAGGAGTTTGCTTTCCAGTATGAACGTGGGCAAGACGCATGGAGCAATACCGTGCCGGACGACGTGGATATCTTGGTGACGCACAACCCACCAAAGTGGCATCTCGACCTACCGACCTCCGGCGGGCTCGGAGACGAGTTCGAACTGCAAGAAATATGGCGTACGAAGCCGACGCTGCAAGTCTGCGGCCACGTCCACTCAGGCTACGGCAAAGAATACCTGTGGTGGGATCGGTCGCAGAAGCTGTTCGAGGAGTTGCGTGAGCACGCTTACGGCAATGGCAAGGCACAGTTCTCCCAACCGCCGTTGACAGAGCTCTTTGATGTTGCGCTATACTTAAAGGGCATGCAATTGGTGTGGGAAGATCTCAAGGCGCTCGCTTGGTCCCGGCTGTGGGGAGGTGCACGGCAAGGCGGTATACTCGTCAATGCCGCCTTGACGGTGCGAACATCGAGTCAACTGGGCAACAAGCCACATGTCGTTGACCTGTAGTTGTAGAGCAAATCCATATATTGCGACATGGTCGACAATGTCTCCGTGCCATAAAAGTCCAGGCGATCTTCATAGGCTTGCTCGTGGTCTCCAAATTTAGCAATTGCAGCGAACTCTCCGGTTCGTCTAGCCGAATCTGGGGTTAGGGTTGAGCTGAGCGGCCTGCATGAGCGTGTCGCAAGCTGATTTCCAGTTGGTATTACTTCGACGACCAGACTTGCTCATCTCATCTTCCTCTCCGAGACATTGTTGCCCCGTCATATCCATCGGTCTCGGAAGCCAAGGCCTTCCTCCCACCGCGCCGATCCACTTCGCGATACAAGATCGCTCCAACACCACGAAAAAACATGCGATCCGCTACACCGGTGACGTCGCAGCCTTGACTTCTTCATTCCTTGGAAAAGCCTACATACAATATTTTCCTCAACATCAGCACGCCTGAAGCGCATCATCGCCCAATATGCGCGGCTGGGGTACGTCTCATTCACTAAGACTTGCACAACTCCAGGAATACTATACTAACAACGTTCTCGCCAGGTCTATTCTTCTTCCTCCTCTTCCTAGTCGTGATCATCATCTACGCCGCCTGGATCTTATGGACACAATACAAAGCCCGCCAGGCCGGCTCCCGCCCCCAATTTGGAAACACTACGTCCCATTCGTCAAGTCAGACCAATCCACCACCAACTACCCAACCCCACGCTCCAGCGGACCCATCGAATGGATCAAAGACCAGATCTCCAAGCTGCGCAACCCGCGCTCGGCGCGCGGAGCATATGAGGAGACTGGATCTGGTGCGGATGGTGGGTACACGCCGGCGAGTGCGCGGGGACGGGGCAGGGGGTTTGAGGATGATGCGTGGGACACACGAGTCGGCGGAGCACATGATGATGATCCGTATGATGGTCGACAGCAGCATGGTGGTGGCGGGTACGCGGCAAACTACGAAGAGCAGGAGTTAGGGCTTGCACCGACGAGCGGGTTGCATGCTGAGCCGTATGGTGGCGCGAGTGGAGACTACAACACGTCGAGGGGCAGATCTGGTGGAGACAATCCCTTTGGTGACGAGAACGCGGCGCCTAGTCTGAGGAGTGTCAGTCCAAGACCGGAAGTTGATGGTGGGAGGTCGTCGCATCGGCCACAACTGAGCGCGGACTCGGCTGGGAGCTATGATGGTGGTGCGCACGGTGGTGGTGGGAGTCCGACTGGGACGAGGAAGAGTGCGTTTCGCGAGGACATGTAAGTGAGACAATCAACGATGTGGGACACAACAGTTACGTGTTCGGCAATGGGATCTGGGTCCTACTGGGGGCACCTTGAAAAGGGCTTGTTGAAGCAGCCAACAAGAAGACAGGTTCACGCAATGTTTTCGGTCCCTGTCATTGGGTGCAATGTGTTGGAACACCGAGTGCTGGGCTTTGACAGTATGGCGTTCGGGTCCACGAAGTACAACAGTATGATTCATGGGAGGAAAAATGGAAAGTACACCACAATTCAATTTTCAATGTTCAATGTCATGCATCTGCTGCAAAAAGAAGAAGTTATGTGGATGCGAGTGCACATGATGCATGAGCAATGTTTCTACATTTGACCGCTTTACAGAGGCGATTTTCTGGCTCTTGACAGACCTGCCCACCAGAGAATGTGTCCTTTTCACGCCAGTTCGTGTTTTTGTCGTCAGCTCGGCTGGACTACTCAAGTAACGTCGCTACCTGCAGCACTGTGTGCAGCCAAACAGAGATTTTTGACTCCAGAGAGCTCAGCGGTCGCTGTGTCATTGCTAGTGCCATGCCCTCAAGTCTTCACTCAATGATGGCGTGTCCACCGAAGTGAATGACACCAGGCAGCAACTGAGCCTGAATCGTGTAACGACCAATGATTGACTCTTGTTCGAGCCCGTGAAGTGATCGTGGCGGTTTGTGCCGGAAGTTCGGTTTGTCGAAGAGGTATAAGTATCTGGCTCCTCAGCTCGCTTCCCTCCCTTACTACCCACCACCGACAAGATGATCGAAGCCGGATTGTCATGCTGGGGTGGCACACACTGCTACTCAGCAGGGCGAGTCGATCTCGGCTCGATTGCGGACTCCAGCTGGCGGTCGCTTTTCCATCCACTTGATAGTCGTTTATTCAGGCATGACCCACGCGTTGCAATACGATCCTCGCGCAACATCATTCCTTCTTCTTCCCCGCCTCCCTCTCCCTTTTCTCCTTCCTCAACACCCTCCTCAAAATATCCTCATGCATCCTCTTGTTGATGCCAACCGTCAGGTCACTTGCCGCACCCGATACGCCCGTAACAACTCCCGCAATCAACGCATGGCTCCAATACGGCGTGCCCGTCCCCCTACCGAACCCCCAGCTCCCACCTCTGTTCCCAATCTTCGCCAAGCTGGACTTCACAAATGCTTTCTCGGTTGGAATGAGCCAGGTTGGGCGGCGGACCTTGGACATAGCGGAAGTGATAAGGTAGGCTTGCGCGAGGGTGCAGACGATTCCTTGAGGCGCGAGCTCGGCGGCGAGAGCGGTGTTCCAGGCTTGCAGGAAGGCTTTGCTGCCGGAGTAGGTGGCGAGGAGCGGCGTGGGGGTCAGGCCCGCGAAGGAGCCCATTGTGAGGATTAGGCCGCGGCGTTGGGGGAGCATGACTTTGAGGTGAACGTATCAGCAAGCAGCCTCTCTAGAGGGTAGATGCTCTCCTTCAGGCGAAGCATCTGGGTCAGTGTAGGGAACTCACATGGCAGCACAGTCTTCGTGACCCTCAACGTCGCCAGACAGTTTATCTTGATGATGCTCTCCATCTCCTCCAGCGACGTTTCACTGAACACCACGGGTCGGTCGTGACTGAGTCCCACGTTGTTGATTAGAACTCCAACCACCTTCCCCTTTAATGCCCGCTCGATCTGCCCATACTGCTCATCACCCGCAGTACTGAAATCCACGGCCAGCACCTCCGCCTGCGCACCGCCATCATAGCTCTTCTTCGCTTTGTTCGAGATCTCCTCCGCCAGCGCATCCAACTTCGCCTTAGTCCGACTGATCAATAGCACATTGAAGCCCTTGTCGGCGAGTTGCAGGGCGTACTGGCGACCGAGGCCGTCTGAGGCGCCGGTGATGACGGCCCAGGTGCCGTCGGCGCTTTTCTTGTCTTTGAACTTCTCGAGCGAGTGGCCCGAGACGATGAAAGTGCTGAGCAGGAAACTGACGATCTGGTAGAAAATGGTGGCAAGGGTTAGGGCGCCAATGGTGCTGAGGGTAAGTGAGAGAGCGGTGTGTTGTTGGACGTGGAGGATGGGTGCCATGGTGGGCGATGAGGTGGACTGGATGTCGCTATGGGTGGTAGGTAGAGGATCGCGGGGTCGAAGATGAGGAGGATTTTGGGGCACCTGCTAGGCGAGGACGTGTCAACGGCAATGTGTCAGCCTGGGATATAGAGAGTATGGCTGTAGTATATCTGCATGTGATGGCAGTAACAAGTGTATCTCGTGTAACACTTTTTCCACTGGTTCCCTCAACGTCAGCTTGAAGGTTCAATTCGGTGACGGTGACGGGCTTTGTGGGGATCCGAATCAGTTTCCAAAGGCTCTGACAAGGCGGCTCAAGTGCGGGAGCACGGGCATCCCGCCCACTAGAGCCAGGCACGGGACAGGGATGTCTTCGTAGGTGCAGCATGGGCTTGCAGCATCGTGAATTTCGCGAGTGGCATGATTTTGAGATTCGGACAATTGTGAAGCTCTGTTCGTCCGTCTGTTCTTCTTGCTTCTTCTTGAAGCAATTACTCTCGTAAGTGGTAGCTGTCTACGAGTCGAGAACGAGCAGCTACTTCAGTCTAAGTCAGGCCATACTGCTGCCGTTTTCTTCTCCAGTCAATCAGCCGGCCATCTCGACATTTCCACAAGGAGCGTACTACACACCGCAGCCGTCAGGATTCCTGCTGCTTGATACAGTACCTGAGCCTGTCACAGCTTGGCCGAGGCTAGTCAGATCCTACGAATCCTCCACAGCGTGCTGAGAACGTTGACAAAAGGGGAGCAAGAGTCAGCTACAGCCGCAGCAAGACATCACCCAAAAGGGTAGAAATGGATGTCCTTCCGTCATGGAGCGAAGGCTTCCTTCCGCTGTATATTCTCTTCGTCGGAGTAAGTGATGTGCTATTTGTCCTCCACCTTCGAGCCATTGCGTGCTTTCAGTCATCCGGTCGGCGAGAAGACAATCTGATCGTGCTGCTAACACCACCCAGGTAACGGCCTGCACCAACGCAATATCATGCTACTTCTCCGACTCCTACGTCCGCCGACTGTACAACCCTCCCAACGACCACCTCCCGCCTGTACCGGGCATTCGAAAGACCACCTCCCAAACCACCACTATCGAAGAAGACTTCTTCTCGACACCTCAGCCTGACAGACGCCCCTCTGTCGCTTCCATCGCCGTTCACGAGGACCGCTCGCCTGTCACTGACCTCTCCTCGCGAACCTTCGCTACCTGGAACATGGCGGTTGGACTGCTGAGGATGCATGCCGCCTACCACGTTCATGAGAGGGATTGGTATCATATGCAGATGTTGACCAATGTTGTTGGACTGGTCCATTTCGGAGCGGAGGCGTTTTATTGGCGGACAGCGAGGCCATCAGGTCCGTGGTTGGCGCCGACTGTGGTGGCGATGATCGGTTTGAGCTGGAGTCTGTTGCAGTATGGGCATTATGTGAAGTGATAGACACGATCGGAACGAACGTATCGGATGATGATGTCAAGATGAGCCTCCGTTGAGTGCCACTTCGTGGGAATGCTCCGTCGTGGAGTTGCTGGCGAGGGGTGACGCTGTGCACGCTGAGCGCTATACATACAATTTTGGAAGCTTGTCGACGAGCTCACTGCGCATGGTCACCAGCTGGAGGAATGTCGACCTTGTCTCCAGTCTCAGCTTGCAGCTTCTTGCGGTACAGCTCACCACCACAATCGAGCAATCGCTTGGTCGCCTGCTCGGGCGTAATATCACGCTGCGGCTCCGCCATAAGCTCATATCCGACCAAGAACTTCCTCACCGTCGCCGACCGCAACAGTGGCGGGTAGAAGTGCAGATGCAGACTCGAGCACTCAACCTCCTCTTCCGTACCCTGCAACGGCGCCTGGTGGATGCCCATGCTATACGGGAAGCTCGTCTCAAATAGATTGTCATACCGCCTCGTGACCTCGGCAATCGCCTGCGCCAGCTGGCTTTGCTCCTGCTCTGACAGATCGACCAGCGAGCGAATATGCTTGAGCGGAAGGATCATGGTCTCAAATGGCCAGACCGCCCACCAGGGGCAAATCACAAGAAAAGTCTCGTTCTGCCATACTACTCGCTCGTTCTTCTCCTTTTCCAACCTTGCGTAGTCCACGAGCATGTGCTGTCCCCCCTGCTGCCGATGGTAGTTCCGCAGCTGTGTCAACTCAGCGGCGGGCTCTTCGGGAAGGCTGGTCGTCGTCCAGATCTGTCCGTGTGGATGCGGGTTCGAGCAGCCCATGGCCGCGCCTTTGTTCTCGAAGATCTGCATGTACCGGTACTGCTCGCGTGGTGTGCCGACGTCGCTGTGTGCGCTGCGTGGTGGAATATGCGTGGGACCAGCCAGCTGTGCCAACGGCGACTTGGGATCGAGATGGGCGGTATAGATTTCGGTCCAGGTCTTGATGATAGGCACGATCTCAGTGGGCGTCATGTCTGCCAGGGTAACGTTGTGTTTCGCACTGAACGTAAGGACGTAGCATTTGCCCTTGACTGGCTCGGCCTGCAAGAGGAGACTCGAGAGGCTACCGGGCTCGTCTGGGGAGGTGTAGTCATCTTGTGTCTCCTTGACAGCGCTATAGTCGTTGACGAAGACAAATGTGTTGTCGTAGTGTGGGTTCTTGTCGCCTGAGGCGCGTGAGTTGCCTGGACAGAGATAGCATTTGGGGTCAAAGTCTGGGAGCTCGATCAGCGAGGGCGATTCTTGTGCGCCTTGCCACGGGCGTTTAGTGCGATGGGGGGAGACGAGGACGTAGGTCCCGCGGAGCGGGTTCCAGCGGCGGTGCGAGATGTCGTCTAGGATCTTGTCGGGCATGATGCTGTTCGAATCGGAAGTGGAGGCAGTCGTTGCGGTCGCAGGTTTGTGTCCGGGACGAGCGAGCTATATGAGTTTCTCTCTGCCCTCAGCTGCCACTGAGATATATTTTTGGGATAAGCGCAACAGGAGCGGAAAATCGAGAAGCGATGGCGGGAAACTAGTGGGGCAGCGTAGCAGTCATCGATCAATGGCTCTCGAGTCTCGATCAGCACTTACACCCGACGCGAGGGCATCAAAAATGCATCAATACGTGCCTGAACGTCGTGGCTTACCTTGATCCTAGAAGAGTAGTGATACCTTTCTCGAAGTACTCACGCAGGCAAAATGAAATGACATACTTCGTAGCATCTCACGGCCCCGACACCCCGCGATGACTTGCAGATCACGCGTCATCCAATGAGACCATCTCCTCGGCAAATGTCGATATCAGGACCGCTGACATGACTTTCTAGTATCTGGGTGTAATCGCGGATGTTCAATGATTTCCGTGGATAGGTGATCACTCGGTCGAAAGACGGGCCCTCTTTGTTCGAGGAGCAGCGCAAGATGTCGCTATTGATACTGTCTATCGCTCCAACTTGAACACTCTTCATATTCAGCATACGTGCTTCCCGACTTTCTCCCACTAGCAACCCCCGTTGGACCGACCTGCGAAGATGGCGACCACGATAAAGCCGTTGAGCCTTGACGAGCTCCCCAACGAGGTCCAAACGCCGTCGCTCGCGCAAGCGACCATAGACTGACATGTGTAGATCCTGGTGCACCTACTCTCCGCCTTTGACACCGTCTCCCTGCTCAAATACTGCACCGTCTCGCGACGCTTCCACCACATCATCCTGCGCATCATCCACTTCCGCCTCCTCCTGGCCGCCGCCGCACCAGAATACAAATTGATCCTCGAAGCATACCATCCCACAAAGCGCTACACCGACCCCTACCTCTTCTGCGCCTATCTTGGAACCGACGGCCTGAGTTCCAAGCACGAAGGCGAAGGCAGTCTTTATCACGACTGCCAGACCGAGTCCGGCCGCTTCGCGAAATTGGGATCATTATACAGCCGCTTCCGGCCTGAGCGGCCAGGCGTGGAAGGCACGATCCCCGTGCGGAGAGTCGCCGGCTTGACGCCCAACAGCGCCGGAGCAGGCAATCCCACACAGCCGATATACGCTAATGCTGGGGATGGCGGAAAGAGCAAAATCACGCATACCATCAATCTCGATGCGGACGAGCTGTTTGGGCAGTTCTGCTCTTATGCCAGCCTAGTCCGTCTGGGACCCAGAAGGGGCGTGTTCTTGAGCACCGTCCCTCTGGTAGAGCCGAAACAGGGATGGATGAGGGTCTGGCGGTATTGGCTGGTTGCCAGAGCCAGGGAGTTAGCTGCACACGGCGACGTAGAACATCCGTCTGGGCTGTCCAGAACGTTCACCGACCTGAGACCCGACATCGGCAGCGACAGAGGTGTTCTTTGGACGGACGAGAAACATAATGTTGGACTGAGGTTCGCCGTGAGATGTACAGAGCCGCGGTTTTATGAGGGCGAGGACGACTTGGATGATATCCCACTGGCGTTTGAGGTCGAAGTCAGAGGTCAGTTCGCTTTCAAGAACGTGCTTCAAGCGTCCGTGACACTAAGATATATTCCAGAACTCGTAGTCCGCACCACGCATCTCATGCTAGCGGTCGAAGCATCAATGCAGGGAAAGGGCAGCCCATCAGGTAGGACACTCATCTTTGGTAACTTTGCCGTGGCTGGTCAGGCCCAGAACGCGGCTGCCGCTGAGGCAGTCCAATAATCACGAGAACCCGATGTTGAGGTGCGTTGGAGCAGCAAGTGGAAGAAGACCAGACGTGCTTTGTACTGTATTTGTTATGTATAGAAAGGCTGATCCAGTTCGCGCGCAGGTCAATGGTGGTTCTCGTGGACCATATCAAGGTCGGACGACAGTGTCACTATCAACGAGGAGGAAGGCGCGGAGACGACTGATGTGCAGGCAATTCAGAGCGTTCATGCCTGATTGGCAGTCGCTTGTCAACCGTTCGGACAAGAGTCTAAGGCCCGGTGCCTGAAGAGAGGCAAGCAAGCCTGCCTGTGATCACCTTCCCAGTGTTTGGTCCGAACGATATCCGGAATCACGAGGCAGCGATCTGCTGGCCGTCGACTCTAAGATTGTGCCTCTTGCGTAGGTTGAGTATACGAAATACCGCGCGAAGGAGCATCCATCTTAGCGGCGCCTTGCGGCGTAGTCTCAAGCGTGGTGTTGATGGAGTTCACACTCTCCCTTGGACAACGACTGCCATATTCAGACCTTTGCTGCGCCGATAGGCGCCTCTTGCAACATCCCGAACACCAGGAGGGAAGGAGTCTGCCATTCTAACCTCAAACCACCGGCACATTACGCGCTGAGGTCCCTTCAATGGGTCATAGCATACGAGGTGGTGCGCGTGAACTCGACCCCCATCACCAGTAATCTCTGCCAGGCTCGGAACCGGAAGATCCAATCGGAAACTTACCTTACTTGAGACTGGGATGACAACGAAAGTCCGGTCCTACAATCTCACCTCGATCCAGAGTCCCGGGTCGACAGGGTCCATCACATGGCTAGACTGACCAGGATATAGCATCTTCCGGAACTTGCCAGTGGTGTGGAAGCTGAGGTGAGAAATCTTGGCAGGTTTTGTACATAATATTGCTCGAAGCAATGTTCTTGTTGCAAGTGCTGTTGCTGAATGGTCAATGCTGCGGTCCGCGGACCAATTTCTCGCATCAGATTGCGGTGGCTCGGATGCGTTGTGTTCAAAGGCTTTAGCCGCGGTTCCTGATGACCGATGAGCTTAGGCATCCGGTGGCGTAAAATCCGAATTCCAACTTTCAGAGGATTACTTCGAGTTCCCACACGATAGCCCTCTCGTTTTAGTTGGCGACATCAGCATGTTTCTCAAACCAACCAAGTTATTGCGCGGAAAATAATACAGCGAAGACCGCCTGAAATCTGAAGCCTCATTGCACAGACGATGATCGGGCTACCAATTGAATGACGATCAAGATTGATCAAGCTTTGCTGTCGAGTCAGTATCGTCTACGACTTGCTGCGCTATAGCGATGGCGATGTCTGGAACGGCGAGTAGTACTCGAGTTAGTCGTAGTCATCCTGAGTGGTCACTGGTGTAGGAAAGATAGACTCCAGCCAGGACATGGGTAGTACTAGCGTGGGGAGCGACTGAGCAAATATGAGCTTTGACGATGTCATCACCCGGTGCTGCCAGTCATTGTTAGACCGTGTGAGAGGTCATACCATGCATTCACGAGGGCATGTCCCGCAAGGCTCACCTCACCGCCAATCTTTGTGTCACCGTGCAGGGTCCCCGCATCCACTTAGATTTTCCTTGGCGTTACCGGGCACTCGGTTTTGATCAACCTCAAAATCTCTTTGACTTTTCTAGGAGGTTGATATGCGTTGTCGTAGTGGAGCACCTACATGTGGTCGCTGATGCCTTCGCTCCAGGCTTGTATTGATGCAAGAGACATGCAGTGTTGGTACTCCGAGTCTTGACGGCCGATACTGCGCTGGCCTTCTTATGCAAGAAAGTCGCTCCTCGCTAGGACAAGATTTCTGACATCAAACGATGCGGTTCGTACCGTGGTCTTACCGTGTGTCAATCCCAGACTGTCGGGTCCGGCATGTGGTCTCATGGGTCCACATCACGAAATCCAGGAAGCCCTGGAGCCTGCTCTTACTTTCACTATTCGCAGCCGAAACGGTCCCTGCGCATATGCTGCAACGTGCTAAGCTGGACATGTCCGTTCTTGGGCTCGGTCAGCAGCCCCAGATGTTGTGGTCTGTCTGGACTGGTGCTGCATCAGACCCAGCACTTAGCCTGTCGTGTAAAAGCCTACTGAATGATCCGCTGCCACGTCACAAACCCCGGAACAGTGTTGTAATTTAAGCTGCGCTGTGCCGGATCATGGTCCAGCACGCGTTATCGTGCCTCTGAAGGTACCTTTCAACCCTTCTGCCACGAATCGAGGCACACTTCGTAAGATGTTGTTGGCGCTGCGTTCTCAACGCAGACTTGCCAACACCGAGGTCGAGGTGCGGTGGATAGTGTATACGATCGGTACTGAGTAATCGCGCTTGTGGCAAGTTTTGCCTCTTACTTGTCGAGCTTCACAAACACAATCAGCCCGAATTGCAATGCTCCGAGACAAGCGTCTGAGCCCGGCGGACAATGGCTCCACGGCCCCGGCAGTTTGGGTAAAGTCGTGATCCATCCCTGTCTTGAGCTAGACTCATTCTCACATCGACGTGGGGACTGTAGTATGGATCAGGCATTTGTATGCTGCCACGTATTCCGCAAACTCTGTACGGATATACAATATCAATCAGAGCCCAGGTATGTCACCTCCCAGTGGCGTCATTGATCTTCCCTGCGCATTGCTGGCAAAATTCCATTACACTAGCCGTTGAAATCCGCAGGATACAGGATAAAACGGCGAGCCCGTATTGAGCATTGCTGATGCAAGGTGTACTTCTCTGGCCTCAGTGCTCTCTGCCGGAAACTGGAACTGGCGCACGCAATGGTCTACGAATACCATCGACGCGAACATAGCAGGCTGATGAGTCGTCCGATCGCACCAAGCCGTGTGAACGGTGTAACGACCAAGGATACATGACGGAGAGCTACATCGTCGCACAGATTCCTGTCAGCGATAGGCTTAGCCTTCGTAAGAATTCAAAACAGGCCTAAGCATACCAGAAACCTGGGACACGGTAGTGCAGTGGCTTATGGGTGGGATACAGGTCGTGAAGATCATTGGTGGTTGTCTTTCTCATCAGACCCATCTGTTGGTTCCAGAAGCCCACCGTCGGATCTGTCGCTTGGCTCTTGATCATGTTGATGCCAGTCCTGCTGAGCTGATTGCCACCAAGCAGTACCGATACACGTTGTCGGCCGCCCTTCTAAGCGACGACGCATCTTCGACGTAGTACGTTCCCTTTTGCCCATCATTTAGATCGAGCAAGAGTACAGTAGTGCTCATGGTCCATTTGAGCGAAGATTGACCTGTACTCCACGCTGGGTGCCTCCTTAGTCCCACTTAGGGATGCAGGATGGCCGGATCCTCTCAGCAGGGCGAGCTTGTTGATGTCGAGGACAAACTTGTTGAGGTAGTGGAATGGGAGGGTCGGGAATATCAGAAATACAGCCTTGCCAGAGAGATTAACCTCAGCCCTTGCGACCAGGTACGTATGGCTCGTATGTGACACAGACCTCGGGCTCACTGTTTGCAGGACGAGGCAGATCGATTGGAAAAGTATGGCATCTCTTGCGGTAGTGTCATGGCACTGATAGTAGCAGACAGCACTTTTTCCTGAAGGACCTGCTGACAGGAGAAGAATGGCCGCGAAATCATCGTCTGTTTCCAGCCGCCGCAACCCATGCGCATGACTTTCTCGACTTAGGGTTTGGTACAGGGCTATGGTGTGCCGAAGTTGGCTCGTATGACACGCGATTCAGAGTAGTATGCTTCCCTTATGAGTGCTGCGCGATGGTCTGACAACACACAGGTCGGCATCGATATAACGAGCCACATGGCGATCGACGATAACCCTCCAAATGTCGAGCTCGAGCTTCAGAATTTGAACGAAGAATTGATGTTGTCAGACCTTAATAGCTTCGACTTCGTTCGGCTCAGTTTTGTCTCTGGTGGCATAAGCAGACAGCGATGGCCAGGATTATTATCCGATATCTTCAATAAAGCTCTGAGACCAGGCGGCATCGTTCAGTCGATGGAGTGGGACCTGCACTTCAGATCGGACTCCGATGCAGAAGCCTCGCTGAGCAACCTTCGGGAATGGACTCGACTGTACACCACAGCTCTGAGTTCCTCTGAGCGTCACGAAGGCCGTAAAATCCACAGGGTCGAGGATATCGAGGACTTCATGAGGGCAGCCAGGTTCGAGGTGTCGTCCAAAGTAATTGACGTACCCATCGGCGGCTGGCCAAATGACAGGCGCTCCAAGGCAATCGGCACGAAGAACTTCGAGAACATGTCTTCGCTTCTCGAGACGATTGCAACATATGTTGTTGTCAGTCGCCGCATCTGCAGCCTGGAGGACTTCAAGGACCTCATTGAGAACGCCAAGACAGAGCTGGGGAATGATGAGGCTGAGCTATACATGCGACTGCACATAGTATGGGGCAAGAAGGCAGCGTGAGCACTCCGTCGAGGCTCGAAGTCGAGGCTCGGCGCCCTTCAAGCAAGCTGCACATTGATGTTGTCAGAAGGTACCAAAGCGCTGAGCTCCCTCCGTGGGCAAGATATGCGCAAGCCACGAGCTCGCTGCGATCGCCTTCTGTCATCGTCTCAGGAGAACTCGTGGCCCAGGTATCACAGAGGACCAGATCCGAGCACAGAGGCTCAAGCACGGTGCTGCAAATGCCATAGCCCAGGAAGACATGCGTCGGTACGGTGGAGCATGTCCTGGAGTCCGTCGTCTTGAGTATAAGACGGACTCCTCATTGAATGGTACTCTATCGAGCTGGACGCGAGACAGCACTCGGGATCCGAACGCATACCAGACTTGGAAAATTGCACAGTCGTATATGTGTCACCATTTCTCTTGTCACGTAGTTGATGCTGCCCTTTTGGCTCTCAAAGGTGCAATTGTGCGTACGTGCGTCGTCCTATGCGTGGGATCGCCGCATCGGCGGAGACGTGAATGTACACGAGCACCTTGGCACAGATTGCAAGTGCTATCGACGAAAACGAGGCAATGCGACGGCGGGGGCAAGCTGGGAACAGGAGTTTCAAGGCAACTTCGAGGTGATAGGTTGATGGTATGGAGCTACGGCCCGCGCCGTCACTTCGGCTAAACCGTCCAGTACTCAACTTTTGCAGCAGCGCATTTTCGATTTCTCCAACCTCAACTTCGACGATCAACAGATTGAATGACTCTTTCATATCAGCTCAACTACGCACCGGCGCAATGCCCTCGACGTTCAACAAGGAAGGAAAGGATTGGGACACCCCAGACATCGACAAATGGGCTATCGACGAGTTCAAGGCCGATGACAACGCAGGAGGAACTTTTGCGGAAGAATCATCCTTCGTTGTTCTCTTCCCCAAATACCGAGAGATATATCTTCGCCAAAATTGGTCGATAGTCACGCGAGCGCTCGAGAAGACAGGCATCGCCTGTACGCTGGATCTCATAGAGGGGCGCATGGAAGTTAAGACTACTCGAAAAACATTTGACCCTGCAGCCATCCTCAATGCGCGAGACCTCATCAAGCTGTTGGCTCGGAGCGTGCCCGTCGCACCCGCTCTCAGAATATTGGAAGACTTGACCGCATGTGATATCATCAAGATCAGAAGCCTTGTCAGAAACAAAGAGAAGTTCGTCAAACGGCGGCAACGACTACTAGGTCCGAATGGAAGCACTCTCAAGGCACTGACACTTCTGACGGACTGTTCGTATATTCTCGTCCAGGGCTCGACGGTCGCAGCCATCGGACCCTACAAAGGCCTCAAGACCGTGCGACGGATCGTCGAGGATACAATGAACAATGTCCACCCAATCTACGCTATCAAAGAGCTGATGGTGCGTCGCGAACTCGCAAAGGATCCTACGCTGGTGAATGAGAGCTGGGATCGATTTCTGCCCAACTTCAAGAGCAAGTCTTTGAACAAGAGATATGTCCCGCACAAGATCAGTGAGAAGAAGAAGAACTACACGCCGTTTCCACCTCCACAAGAGAAATCCAAGATCGATCTTCAGATCGAGAGTGGTGAGTATTTCCTGGCAAAGCAAGCCAAAGAGAGAGCGAAAGAGCAGGAGCGCAAAGAGAAGCAGAAGGAAAGGAAGGCAGAGAAGGATCTGGAGCGCGCACAGGCATTCGTGGCGCCGAAGGAAGACCGAAAACGGAAACGAACAGATGGCGAGGAGCCCGTCAAGCCCAAGAAGCACAAAAAGAAGCCGGTTGCTGAAGTGGACTAGAGGTCTGCCACAAGGCCGCCAGATTTCGTCGTACTTGAGGAACATGCACATTGGGAAAGTTGAAAGACTGTGAATCACCACGCGTACTGCAATTACTCGTACTCAACAAACGTCAACGCAAGCCCGGCATCAGCTGAGATGTGGAGCGAACGGATGCAAGACCTCGATAACGATGACTGTTGGCCTACGAGCTAATGAGAGCGCTGCCGTGCGAGACTTCCAGTCACAGCATTGTCTCATCGGTCATGGTGGCTCATGTTCCCCTATACTGCGGAAACAAGAGGACATGACAGAGCATATGCAAGCGATCCGCTACTGCAAGGCAAAGCAAGGTTGCTCGCGCTTTCACGCGGAAGTGCAGCACGCAATCTTGCACGACACCTGTTATGGAAGGACCACCCGCATGAGAGACGTTCTTGACCGACAAGGCGTGGTAATCTGACATATTCGATTGTACGGCAGAAACGGCTTTTGCGCCGGGTCCCCAGCTGCCTCATGCGCTAAGGCGATCACACCAGGCCCGAAACAGCCAAGTGCTAATCCGCAAACGCAGGATTTCACCGAGCGGCTCTATTTCTACCAATGCGGCAGGCTTCTGGAAGAAATTTAGAAGCGGGTTCTTTGCTAGGTGATTATGCAAGTGTGACCACTGCGAAAGCTTCGGACAGGGAAGACCGGTAGGGAGACGCTCGATGAATAGTTTCTCCGAGTCCGAAAGACAATCAGCCAATCGCCAAAAGTTCCCGCTGTCCAATAAACTCCAGTGGACGATGAAGATCACAAGGTCAGACGACCAGCAGAGTCACTCGTGTCACTACCAGGATGCCAGAGCCGTGAATGGCCATTGGATGTTGCGGACGCAGGGGTATTGCCTTTCATACCTGCCCTTATGCAGCATGTCTCCTCAAGCTGCTGTGGGGAACAGCTCGCTGTCGACCAGCTCGCCCAAACTCTTTCGCCGCTAACTTTCGTATTTCTGGGTGGCAGCCAATAGCCTCTTTGAGGCATATGGAAATACTGACCCTGCTATGGTCCAGATGGTGCACCTAGTAGATGCTCATGTATTCGAGGCAATTTCGGACGACCACTTCAACAATGTAAATAACTATATAGTCTGCGTGATCAGCCTGCTGCATACTAGAGGACTTCATCATCACAAAGCTTCTACAGCTTCGAGCCGCGCCATCAACATCACGATCCTCAATCATCAGATATTGTACAAGCATTTCCCCGCCCTGAACACGAGCTGCACAAGCATAAGTAGCTTCTGCCACCCGCCCTGAGCTCAGAGCTGCTTCCAACAGAAGAACATACCATTGTCGGTACCTTGCACATTATGTCGGACCGCTCAGACGATATCAGCGAGGTGCGCAGACCATCAGCAGCAGATGTTGATGGTCGCCGCCGCAGCGTTGCCAACAAGGGCCTCACAGGAGCCTCAGCATTGACTGTCAGACAATCGATTTGGCCTATCACATTGGTCACTGTCCTCTTCTTCCTATGGGGCTTCGCGTACGGCCTCCTCGATGTTCTCAACGCCAAGTTCCAAACATCTCTCAACATCACTGCCGCCAAAGCCGGTGGTCTACAGGGTTCTTACTTCGGCGCATACTTCATTGGACCTCTTACCTACTCAGGATGGGTTGTCCGCAGATTTGGCTACCGCTGGACTTTCATCATGGGCTTGTGCATCTACGGGGTGGGAGCTCTGATGTTCTGGCCCTCAGCCAAGTTCAAGTCCTTCCCTGGCTTCTGCGGCAGTTTGTTCATTGTTGGCTCAGGTCTATCCACCCTTGAGACCGCTGCCAACCCATACATTGCCACCTGCGGTCCTCCCAGATTGTCCGAGTTCCGTCTTGAGCTCTCCCAATCTTTCCAGGCCATCGGTTCAGTCGTTGCACCTCTTCTGGCTGCTCGTGTCTTCTTCAAAGAGACCAACACCAACGATCTCTCGCATGTCCAGTGGACCTACGTCGGCATTGCTGCGTTCGTCTTCCTGCTCTCAGTGGTCTTCTTCTTCTCTCCTCTCCCAGAAGTCACGGACGCGACATGGCTCTGCAGGCCGAGCAGTGTGCCGATCTCACTGGCTATCAGGAGAAGCCATTCAGGAAGCAATACAAGCTCTTCTTCGGTGTGGCCGCTCAGTTCTGCTATGTTGGCGCACAAGTCGCAGTCGCATCTCAATTCATCCGCTACTCCGAGGAATCGGCCGGCCTCACGGAAGCTCAGGCATCGGACAGATATGCCATCGGTCAGTCGCTCTTTGCAATTGGTCGTTTCGCAGCCGCCGGTCTCTTCATGTTCGTCAAGCCTCGCCTAGTCCTGCTGGTCTTCATGACCATGATCATGGTCTTCCAGGCCTGCGCTATGGGCATCTACGGCGAAGGAGGTATCGCAGTCCTCTCCCTGGTCCTCTTCTTCGAGTCCTGCATCTTCCCAACGATCTTCACCCTCTCCATCCGTGGTCTCGGCCGCCACACCAAGCGCGGATCTTCCTTCATCGTCGCGTCGGTCTGCGGTGGTGCACTGTTCCCATCACTGACCGGTTTGGCTGCCGACAGCTCGACATACCACAAGGCCATGGGTGTGCCTCTGGCTGGTTTTTTCGTGTCTTTCATCTTCCCCATCTATCTCAATACTCTTTGCGCGAAAGAGCTTGACGGTTTCCGCGAGACGAAGATTGGCTATCACGATGAGCGCCGCGGAACAGTCATTGGTGATGTCAATGACGTTGAGACTCAGGTTGCCGTGGCCAAGCGCGCATCTGAGGTTCATACTGAGAAGGTGTGATCGTTTTCAAGCATTGTCTGGAGCAATGGGGAGTTGGTCGGCGATGATCACCAAACGGAGGTGTCCTTGAGACACGACCAACATCGATACCCAATTTACTACATAGATCAATGATAGCAATGACTACACGTTACATATTATTCATACTCACGGATTTGTGCTCTCGGCCTTTGGGATTCAATCGTAGAGTATGATGCGCTGAACTACAAGCCTTACTACGCGACACTTTGGCATGACAAGACAGCGCCTCTGCTCGACCGCAACGGCCCTGCCCTCTGAATATTTGCTTCGGTCGCACTTGCCCATCACTGTTTGACTTCCACAAATCCACGAGCACCCCCTGCTCACGATCCTTCCCCGCAGCTCACAGAGCCTCACTAAAAGTATAAAAGGTCCAGATCGCAGATCCGGAGACAGCCCGTGCACAAAACTCTGAATGCGAGCTTTTGCAGTCAAACAAGCAGAGTGCATGCAGGATCCGGTAAGCTTGAGGCTGAGCGCCCGGCAAAAATGTCCCTGGTATCTAGTGACTTTCAGTGATCGCGCCTTGGCTTCGTGCCGCTTAGAACGATCGAGCTCGAACGATGCTCTGGAGTAGATTTGGCTGCTTGAGCCAGCTCATGGGCTTGGTGGTAGCTCATTCGCTGACTGTGATCTGGTCGATCGGTCCAGACTCCATCAGAGAGAGGGCAGCTCTGATCTCAAGAGTGGCCGAGATTCACTCGTCTATTTCCTCGCTCAGCCAGCATGTTGTAGGCCACATACGTTGACTAGGTGCGTCAACTTCGACTGTCGTCACAAGAAGGACAGATGGTTTGGATGTAGCCTCAAGGCCATCACCCAGAGCCACTCATACCTGCTCGTCGACTCGACCTACCTCTCCCTCGGTAACTTGCGGCGCAGTCGCGGCGAGCAAAGACCAGGGGTCGAATCAATTCAGGCCAGACTCTCGCGGTTCGTTGCATCTGAGTAGAATATAAGAAAGTCCTATGCTGTGACATTCGGACAGTGCGACGTTGACACCAAGCATTGATGGCAATGGCGGAGCCCAGCCCGCCGTCTTCTTGGCTTCCCAAGCTTCTACCGGCACATCATCGTACCTAGGTACATGTATGAAGACGTTACCTACCAAAGACGTTGTGTCAAACATCTAGACTCGCATGAACGATGCGTCATGATCAGGTATCACCAGCAGTGGCCCATCACCTGCAGTCCAGCAGAATGCTAATCTTGGCGCCAAGGCGGTCACTCGATGTCCGAGGCAGTCGTCACACTCTCCTTTGAGGTCAATCGGTGAAGGACGTTGTCTACAGTTAGCAGTGTACCTATGTACGTTACCACATCATTGAGGGAACGCATCCGTATCGCACAAATCACCACGGAACAAAAACTTCGGCAGCGGCTTTCGGCAAGCAAGCCCCTGCAACTTCTGCCCAGGTCGTCCAATCGGTGCAGCCTCATCTTACCCTTAGCCAAACCCGGGGACATCGCTTCTCCACGCTTTTCAAACCTGGAGAAGCCGCCACTAAAAGGCCTGGTAAAACATATGCCCATAGAGTGCTGTTGAGGCGCTTTGCCCGCGGCTTCGACGCGGAAAGCACCCTCACTTGAAGCATCACCACAGCGGGAAAGAGCGCGCAGTCACGATTTCCGAAACCTGGCTCGTGCCACTAGCTTCAAGTTACGAAGGTCTGTACTCACGTCTGCTGTTCGACACACGGCGCGACGATCCCTGCCGTCTCGTTTGTCAAGCGATTATTTTCTTTATAAGAGTGCGAGGCCCCCTCAATCTCCAAGTTGGTTTTTCGTTTCCCCGTCTGGTTGCAAAGTCGAGTCCGTGGTCTTTCAATCTGGCCCACGATTGTTGCACGTCCCTAGTCCGGCTGTCGTTCACTCCGGTCGCCTCCCTGCAGCGGCACTGTGCAACACTGGCAATGTGTTTGGCCCACTCGTCTGTTCGAGTGCCAGATTTTGCTCAGCAAACCAGTCCTCCGTTCAAAACCAAGTACTCTAGGGTTCTTCCTGCACCAACACAGAATTGCTGTTGTCGACTGCAGCAAGAATGTCGGTTGATAAGACAGCCACAGAGGTTGAGCGAGCATACGACGACAAGCACGACGTGATCAACGACAAATATGCTCACGAAGAAACGCTCAATCAGATGAAGCAAGAAGCCACCCATGCCAACGTTGACGAGAAGAAGCTGCTCCTGAAGACTGATCTTCATGTCGTTCCTATTCTGTTCCTACTTTTCCTTTGCGCTTTCATTGATCGGTGAGCAGCTCTCACATTTCTCCCGTTTGCACCACTAAGCAGCAACAGAATCAATATTGGCAATGCCCGTATCCAAGGACTCGAGAAGGATCTTAAGATGAAGGGTGTGGATTACAACATTGCTCTTTTCACCTTCTTCATTCTCTACATTCTCCTAGAAGTGCCATCGAATATCATCCTCAAGAAGATGCGGCCCAGCATCTTTCTCTCCTCGATCATGCTTTGTTGGGGAATTGTCACGATCGGTCAGGGCTGTACGCAGTCATTCGGCGGACTCGTTGGCTGTCGCGTTATCATTGGTGCGCTCGAAGCAGGTACGTCTTCCCTTCCTGTGAGCCTAGGCCATGTCAGACAGGAGGGATGCTGACCGAAACCGCCAAAATAGGATTCTTCCCAGGCTCGGTCTATCTAATCAGTATGTTCTACAAAAGACATGAGCTCCAGTGGCGCATCAACTTGTTCTTCTCGGCGTCCATCATCGCTGGTGCCTTTTCAGGCTTGCTTGCGTACGCTATCGCGCACATGGACGGTAAGCCAGCCTTCCTTCCTACTTTAGGCTAGCTCTCGTGCTGACAGCTGCTCAGGTGTCGCGGGCTACGGTGGCTGGAGGTGGATATTCATTATCGAAGGACTCGCTACTGTCGTGATCGCTGCCGCATCCTACTTCTTGGTCCCTGACTGGCCTGAAACCGCCAAATTCTACACAGAAGAAGAACGAGCTTTCTGGATCCGCAGACTGGCGCTGGACAATGAGGACACCAGCATGTCGCACTGGGACAAGAAGACTGCTCGCCGCGTGTTCGGCGATATCAAGATCTACCTCGGGTAAGAATACTCTGGCTTATATGCTTTGCAGTCTCACCTGAATCTTGCAGCTGACGGTACTTCACGCAGAACTGCCATGTATATGGGCATCGTGACCACTGGCTACTCTGGAAGTTTCTTCACACCAACAATCTGTGAGTCGTTCCCTCATTCCCTCCCTCAAGAGGTATGACTAATGACATTCACAGTAAAACAACTTGGCTGGACTTCAATCCGCGCCCAAGTCATGTCGATCCCGATCTTCATCGTTGCCACCGTCCTCGCCCTTTCCGCTGCCCTACTGTCCGATCGCATCAAGCACCGGTTCGGCTTCATCATATTCGGCTGTTGTGTGGCCACCACCGGCTACGCCATTTTGCTGAACATGCACCACGTTGCGGTTGGCGTCCGCTACTTCGCCGTTTTCCTCATCGTAGGAGGCGGGTACATTGCGCAGCCCATCACTCTGGTCTGGTTGAACAACAATCTTGGCGGGCACTACAAGCGTGGTGTGGGTGCGGCGATGCAGGTTGGGATCGGCAACATTGGTGGAATCATTGCAAGCAATATCTTCTTACAATCAGAGGCACCCACGTATCCTACAGGCTTCGGGACGGCACTGGGAATGATCTGGCTGTGCGTGATCAGTGCGTGTCTGTTCTTGGTATACCTGATGTACGAGAACAAGGCCCGCGATCAGGGAAAGCGCGACTGGAGATACGAAGAGCCTGAGCATGAGAGGAAGAATATGGGAGATGACTATCCGAGCTTCAGGTTCACATACTAAATGAATTTGGCCGGGACGGGCATGGAGCAGAGTGGCAAGGGTGGGCAGAGCGCGGATCGTCTTCGAATCTTCGATGACGGTGTGCAATGACATGCTTGCTGAAGAAGGTGATGGTGCAAATGCTGCGCTGAGCATCCGGCGCAGATCTCAGACTCATGGCAGGGGTTCTTGTCCGCGTCTGAATAAAGGACATCGAGTCTTATGTGAGGCAAATATCAAGGACAGCCATTCGGGGCGCTCAATGTGTCCGTAGCAAAACACTGGCAAGTCAGTGCCCAGGTGATCACGCGGCCCGACTCAAAACGGCCCTTCGAGCAAGTCATCTGGTCTGAGTGATGCTTGGTTCAAGCCGGATGACTGACTCAGCATGCAGACCGGTTGACATGAATCGTGCTTGCCTATGCCTCAGCAAACCGTTCCTTCCTGCTCACGATCGCCTTCAAGTTTTGAGACAGTATGCAGGCAGGAGCTCTGAAATCGGGACTAGAGCAGTAGCGACGGACCAAAGGCATCAATCCGGGGCGGACCACAGGCTAGCTCTGCTCTGCTCGGTATATAGATGATGCTGTTTACTAGTCGTCGACCTGAGACAACAAAATTGTGCCACATGATCGCTTCCTCGCCCAAGACTAAAACGGACAACGACAGCAGGAGCACACAGCATTCGCTCCTGCCCACTGATGTTACTTGACAACGCCACATGCGGCAGGTGCATCAGCCAGCACCTTCCACGGTTGCTCGTCTTGTCAACCGGCTCAGCAAATTCCTACGTGAGACCGGTTGACGCAACGCTCACGCATCCTCGAGGTCGGCAGCGACAGCAATAGGAAATAGATGTGACCGTCAGCGAGACTGCCTGACAGTATCACGGACAGGAGGCATCTCGAGCATCCACATTACAGATGTTTTTGTCATCCGGCTTGGGTCAGACTTATGTGAGACCGGATAACCACTGTCCAGGGAATTTTCCCCACTACCTCGTAGCAGCCTCTGCTCGGCCGATCAGACGACGATAGATTGCACGCAGATGGGTGTAGACCATGACTGGACCGCAAGACAGTGTTGTATCTATACATTTACACTACTTCGACGTCGACTTATGGTCCCATGGACCGAAGCCTTCCCAGATGTTCTTAAGCAACAGCCCCGCAGACGAGCTCGTACGTTGAAATAGCTGAAGTCCATAGATAGCATGGTAAGTACGCCACCCCTAGCTCCTCACATTTCCGCAACATCATTACAGCTCCTTCACCGAGCCATTCTCCTTCGTCTTCAAAGCCTCCAAGGCAATCTTATCATCCAGGTCATTGACGAATTGCATCGCTCCAGCAGCAGCCAATCCTGCGGAAGAGAGCGCAAGGGTGAGAGTTGTATGCATGGCCCCAGCATCGCCTGCAACGAAGATGCCGGGTACCTTGGTCGCGTTGAAAGGTGGAGTGAAGGCAACGTACGTTCCAAAAGGAGAGCTTGCTGTCTCGAGGCCAAGCTGGGAGAGCAGTTCCGGGGAGTTGGGGGTGGTGCGAGGCTTGTGAAGGAGGAAGTTCTGGAAGACGCGAGTAGGCAGTTCTGAGTTGCTTCCATCTGGCTCGAGGTGGACGTAAAGGCCAGGTTTCTTGGAAGGGTCTTCGGAGGCCTCTAGCCGGACGACCTTGCGTTGGTCGACAGTGATGCGATAGGCCTTGCAGATATCGAGGATCTCGGTGACTGCCGCGTTGCTGGTGTCAAGTGGTCCATTGGTGAAGAGCGTGAGGTTGGATTTGCGAGTTAGGGAGTCCTCGACAGAAGTCCCGACTGGTTGTGACAGGAAGTGAAGCGTTGTAGTCATATGCCTGGAAACAAGTGAGTTGAACTCGATGTTCAGGATGCCAACTGGTCCATCGTAGCGCTCGTGACCGTCACAGACAGGACACTGATAGATTGATTCTGGCCAGTTTTCTTTGTATCCGGGCAGATCTGGCAGCTCATCGCGAATTCCTGTTGCCAGGATGACAGCACGACCTCGCCATTCCTGTTGGCTGTCATTCTTGGCCACAAAGTAAGCGCGAGAATCCGACCCCTGGCGGACAATGCTTGTGATGGGGCTGTTCTCGAAGAATTCGATAGTCTTGTAGCGCTCAAGATCATTTCGGCCTTGGGCTCTCAGCTCTGCGGGCGGTACGTGGTCACGCGAGAGCAGACCGTGTGAGTGCGCCGCGCCATCATTGCGGTAAGTTGGTGCAGTGAAAATTGCTGTGGTTCGATGAAGTCGAGCAAGCACAAGGGCGGAGGTGAGTCCTGCTGGACCACCACCGAGAATAAGCACATCGTACAGCTTGGATTTGGACATGGTAGCAGATCAGTCTGTCGATTCGATTGAGCTGTAAAAGTGAGTGTTGTGACCCGGCTATAGCATGCCGTTTGCTCTTTATATGCATATTCTCGATGGTTACGGAGCGTTTTTTTCGGCCGACGCCCAATGTCTCCGTGTTGCGAAGCGCGGAGCGTTGACCCTCGACTCTTTGTGACAAGAGCATCGGACCCGAGACTAACAGCCGGCGCTCGACTGATCGAGCACTTACCAAATAAGGATTCCCGGGAAAGCTCACGTCAGTGCATATGAAGGACCAACAGTCGTCGAACACAGGTACAGCGCCTGGTGGCTAACGGTGCGGGAAAAGTAGGCATAGGCGCCTCGCCTGGATAGCAAATCCACCATGTTCCTGTCTGGTTGTTTGGGCTGTCTGGCAGCCATGTCAGGTTGTGCGTTGTTCAGTGACGATCATTGTTAGCATCGTCGACATGACAAGAAGGAGCGTTTGCCTTGGCGTGGTCGTGCTCGGGAATATTTCGATATTTAGCCGACCGGCAACGTGACCCGGCTTAGCGTACGGAATACTGAGTAACCCTGAATCCTCCGGTCCTTCTTTGTCGCATCACTGCAACCCCTCTTGCGCCGACGACACACATGCTCCTTGCGCGACTTCACGCCAACAACATCGCCTCTCATGTCGCACAAGGTCAACATTGCTCTTCTCGCGTATAGCTTACCGGCCAATGGCAGTGCCTGAGCCGAACACTGATCCTCCTCACTGGTTCTGGAGGGGTGTACAATCAGCTATCTTCTACTACGTCTCGTGCGCGCCCTGCCTAGACGCCAGACAGAAGCACCAGCGGCGACAAGAAGCAAAGCTAGCCAAGAAGGAGGTCGTTACGCAGCAGCCTGGACGTATACTGCAACCGCGCGCATTCGAGACCAATACGCAATGGCAGGAGGACATATTGTTAGGGCCTGGCCCTCCGAAGGGCTGGGAACCACATAAATTTTTGAGAGACGCGCGGAAGAAGTTGAAGGGCTCTAGCGAAGGCGACAAGGCGAAAAAGGAAAAGGATGTAGAAAAGGCTGAGCACGACCAGCCAGGGAGACCATCATACGAGAGACGTATCTCGAGTGCTATAGACAACGTTAAAGACACACTTCGAAGTTCACTACACCCGGAGAAATGGAACTGGAAACGATATCAGCGCGAAGACGAGTGGCTGGGAGGCTTTCAAACGACCATGAAAGGCATGTGGGACAAGATGGCTGCCAGTATAAGTCCTGGAGACGATCCGAATTCGCTTATTGATCTGAAGCGAGAACGAACGACGGGGAGTGAAAGGGTTGACTACAGCCGTGGCCATATACCAGCAGTCAACGATCTCCACCCGCCGGTTGTCTCGCGACTACCGGTTACTCGAGAAGAAGTCGCGTGGATGATACTGCCACCACCGTCAGCAGCAGTCATGGCAGGCCAGAAGCCGCCGGCCGAAGAGATCGGACCCAGGAGACCCTTATGTGTTATCGGCCGCCGTCGACCGGACTATGCATCTGACCATTCGGCTCCGAGACATGATGATAGGCCCAACGATGCTGACAGCAGCGACATTGAGGTGTGGGATGCTGATTCGTCGTCAGAGTCTGCGCCGTCTACACCGCCATCAGCGCGCATCGAGATCAAGAAGAGAGATATGTTCGAAGCGCTGAGCGACACGGACATGTTCAAAATTCCTTCACGGCCACCTGTACAGCCACGGCCCCGCAGCTGGCAATTTCACTATGTGATACCTTCGCCTACCGAGACATTTCCGATTCATTGAGTTCCGAATCAGCACCAACATCGCAGCAATGGTATCAGGAGTCTGAGCCCGCCTCACACAAACTTGTGTAAACAAGCGGTAGCCACCAACAGGCGTGGTTCGCATACATTGCCGCTGTTTTCCTCGACATACATGAACCAGTCATCATTCAATGAGCGTGCCTTGGATCTTTGATTAGCGTTGGCGTTTGGGCGGAAGCAAATGCGTTGCATAAAGACTTTGATTATTGGCACTGCAAAATTCTGAGGAAAGGAAGAGAAGACGGAGCTGGTTGGCAAGGTAGACAGTCTCCCTTTCTGTTCTTCCTGCATATACTTGCTTGGCGGGATGGATGTGCCATTAGTAGATATGGGACATCCAAATCCCACCGACGGCTGTTACTATCTATATTATGTTGTACATCTATCATGCTGGTCTTCTGTGATATGCCAGTGCTGGCCATCAGGAACTCAGGGGGTTCAAATTCAGATCCGGTTCCCTGCAACTTGGCTAACCCTAGAAGCCAGCTCTACGGTGGCACGTGAGAACCATTTACGCCTAAACACGTCTCTCCGCTCCCCACTGCCCCAGAGCGCTTTCAAGATGCACTACTTGTTGTCTCACATTCACTGGATGGTCGATCACCATCTTTCTCACCAGAGCCTTCTCAGTCTACTCATTTACCATCGTTAGGAGAAGCGACTCATCTCCGAGTCCTAGCACGTCCGCAACCGAGCATTCAGCGGTACGACGGTACGAAGCTCATCTACGGCTGTTCCGCATGAACACCCTGTCCTTTCCAACTGAGCCAGTCTGAAGCAGACCTATTCGAAATCGAGTGCCCTTGCTGCCAGTCAGAGGCCTCCGTGTCGCTGCTTTCCACGTTACAGATTGATTTCACGGAGTGTTCATCCGGTCGAGCTTGCAGCAGCCCCTTGCTTGCTTGGCCTACTTGAGCATAGGGCTTCTCCCGATTTCATCTGTGTAAAAGGCGACCAGCACCACACCTAGTCGTCATCCATTCAATCAGTCGACCGCCATGGGTGCCACAATAAGTCAGTACGCATTCCTGGGACTTGTCATAGGTTTCGGCGCCTACTACTACGATGTGGGAGGGTTCCACAAGTTCGTAGATGGTCAACTTCAGGGCCGACCGCAGGAATCCTCATCCATCATCCCTCAGATCACGAAGAAAGCCAGACAGAAGAGAGCGAAGCAGGTCCTCGGTGACGGAAAGGACACCTCACCCCCTCTCAGCTCCACGGAGTCCCATGCCGCGAAGAAGCGAAAGATCTCTGGACCAACCAGCCGGGAGGTCAAGGCGCAGACTGCCGAGGGTGTCACTGCCACATTGCCGCGCGTGGACAACGAGGATCAGAACGATGATGCTGCCTTTGCAGAGAGCCTGAAGAAGGCGCAGACTGGCACAAAATTCCAGCAACCTACATCACAACAGACCTCGACCAAGAAGAGCCGCCGTCCCGTGCAAGACCAGTCCAACCTCACAGCGAAGGAGTTTGACTCGGCAGAGACATCTTCCACTGGCGGTCGAGACGCTGATGATGACTTAACTCCGGCTGAGACACCACCCACATCGACTTCACGTGCCGGCGACGTCGCAGACATGCTCGAGCCCAGTGAGCCCAAGATCAGCTCACTCAGATTGACCAACACCGAGTCCAAGCCTAAGAAGGCCGCGCCTAAGCAATTCGAAGCCGCACAGACGAAGAAGCAGAGACAACGTCAGAAGCAGAATGAAGAGAACAAGAAGGCGCGGGAAGAGGCTGACAAGCTCCAGGAGAGCCTGAAGCAGAAGCAGATGCAAGGCGCGCGTATGGCAGAGGGTACGTCGAAGCAGACGAAAGCCAACACTTTCACACAGAATGCTTGGCAGAGTAAGCCTTCACAAGAGCAACAAAAACCTGTCCAGGCACCTCAGCAACCCCTGCTGGACACTTTCGATCAGGACGAGAACAAGCCGGCGGTCTCTGCTCAGCCACGTGAGGCGCTGACGGATGGGCCAGAGGCTACTGCTAGTGCCATCAAAGAGTCCAAGGGCGAGAATAAGGCACAGGCTCTGGCCGCTTCAGCTCGAGAAGGCGGCGATACCGCTCCTGTGGAGAGATGGACTTCCAAGGAGAGCTGGGCTGACCAGATCAACGACAATGAGCAAGAACAGTGGCAGCAGAAGCTCGTCGAAGAAGAACAGTGGGAGGAGGTCACTACCAAGAAAGGAAAGAAGAAGAACAAGAAGGACTTCGAGAGCAGCAGCGAGGCTAGCCAGCCGCTGTCTACAGTGCCAAACGGCCAAGCTCCGACGAATGGGACGAAGTCAACGGCGGAGACCAACAAGACTGCTCGACCACAGACCTTGAATCGATTCGAGTCGGTTGCTGGTGACAACTGGGAAGCATGATCAATATGCGACAGTCGGCCAGTCTGTCGGGCTCCTAGGAGAGTGTGCATTCGAATTGAGACTTCACTTCATGAACTTGGGTTTACAAAAGGATATTTCATAGCAAGCCTGGAGATTGGCTGGGCATACTTCTACTCGGAACCTGAAAAGAAGTACAGGAGGTAGCTCGATGGAGAGCTCTGCCGGTCTGCGACATTAGCAGTAGCACACAAAATGAACCATAACATTGCATCAATCCCATCAGCTTCCTAGATATTGATTTCAGGTAGCCGCAGCCCACGAGCTGTGGCTGGGGTGTGGTAGTCTGGTGAGGAGCTGACATGACAGGTGTTAATAATAAGTTAAGCCACCGACGGCGGGCCCTGTGCTTTCTCTCCCCACTAAACACTACACACTGCATGCCGCTCATTCTTCTCTCATACACATCAATCCGTCACAATTTCAAAGGCCTTTGTCCTTTCCCTCGCGTCCCGTCCTCTACTCTCAAGGTCGACATTCTTTGATTTCCACATACATCAGCCAGCACAAAGCAACTATCCCGATACCCCTCTTAGCGATCCATCTGAACTTTCCTACTTTCCTACCCCTGCGCACAATCATGGCGCAAATACGAGGCACCGCAGGATACAACTTGGGATTGAACAATCAGTTCGGCAACCAGTCCAGTGCCGTAACGAATGATCCGTCCCCTCTGGATCAGATCAGGGAGCAGACAGGCAAGATTGAAGACAAGCTCAATGCCCTCGGCGAGCCACTCAAGCCGTAAGCCCGACCAACAACTTCGTCCGAAGAGGCGCTGACACTCTGTGAAGATATCTGCCTGCGATCGGACGGTTCCTCATTGTCGTCACCTTTATTGAGGATGCCATTCGGATCATAACGCAGTGGAACGACCAGTTGCTGTACCTGAAGGACTTTCGAAAGAGTGCGCAACCCCCCCTTCCGACCCATCATCTGGGTCAGACTAACACTACGGCAGTACCATGGGGTATAACCCACTCCTTCCTCATCTTCAACGTCATCACCATGTCCACCTGCTCGACTCTCGTCATCATGCGCCGCTACAGCGAGTATGCTGTGGCCGGTCTTCTGGCTGTCGTGGTAGTTCAGGCTCTCGGCTACGGTCTCATCTTCGACCTCAACTTCTTCCTACGAAACCTGTCAGTGATGGGCGGACTGCTCATGGTTCTGGGCGACAGCTTCGTCAAAAAGACACGCGTATTTGCTGGGCTTCCCACTATTGATGAGAAGGACAAGAAGATGTACATTCAGCTAGGTGGTCGAGTGTTGCTGATCTTCTTGTTCGTCGGATTTGTCTTCGCTGGCGAGTGGAGTTTCGGTCGTGTGCTGGTCAGTCTGATCGGCTTTGTTGCCTGCATCATGGTCGTGGTCGGACTCAAAGCCAAGCTGAGTGCAATCATCCTTGTGGTTCTGCTGTCAGGTTTCAACCTGATCGTCAACAACTTTTGGACGGCAAGTTTGATCTACATCTCGTTTTGTGAACCAGATACTGACTGGTCACTAGCTGCATCCACATCACCCGCACAAGGACTTCGCAAAATACGACTTCTTCCAGATTTTGTCCATTATGGGTGGGCTTCTGTTGCTGGTCAACATGGGACCTGGCTCTATCAGCATCGACGAGAAGAAGAAGGTCTATTAGGGCTTGTCAAAGACCGCACAAGGTCTGCTGGGCAGGACAATATTCGTGCCAAGAGCATGCAGGCAAACAGGATCGAGATCTCGAGCACGAACGAGTCGAGCGAAGTCAGGCAGCCCTCGCCACAGACGGAGGACATGCAAGCTGGTGGAGCCATGCAGATATGAGTCCGTCACGGTGAAGACTATCATAGCAAATTCGGCAGGCTCCGATGGCGTTCAAGACACGGTACGATCAAGCAGCGACGATGCAACGACGGAGTAATGCCGCAGGTCCAGGAAAACGCGCCCAACAGGTCAGCACAGGCGCTGGTCATGAAATGGTCGGTTGAGGCCATCTGAATAGTGACGCAGCGATTGAGTAAGCACATCAATCCACGCTTCCATTCCTGGAAGTTGAGCATCCCACTTGATAAGTGGGAGCGTTGGCTTGGCATTTGAAGATCTACAAATCGTACAAAACATTCCCAATTCTCTAGATACTCGCTCTAAAGTGCCTTCCATGACTATCAGTACTTCTGGCAAGTGATCCAACCTGCCCAGCATTCAGCCTTGTCATGAGCGCGACTTCTGCCTCAACTTGACGTTCCCAGGACAGCCGTACGACTGATCTTGACCATATCACTTCCACGGTCCCGTTTATCTCTTGGCCCTGAATACACCTCCTTCAGGCAATCAGGCTCACTCAAGTGCGACAAGTGATTTACGGAACCACGCCCTTACTGTGACCAGATCGTTTGTGAGCTACTCCGCCACTGAGCATTTCGCCTTCCACCTCCACTTGACTCTCAAATCCTTGCCGAAACCACGTACCTCCAACGATCAGGCCTTTACCACCTAACCCCCAAACCCCCAACTCCCCAACCCATAACGAACCCAACACCCACCATGCCACCCAAACCCGCGTCATAATCGACACCGACCCCGGCATAGACGACCTCGTCGCCCTCCTCCTCGCCCTCTCCACCCCCGCCGACCTCCTGGAAGTCCTCGCCATCACCCTCGTCCGCGGCAATGTCGACGTCCACCTGTCGCTCCGCAATATCGTCACCTTGTTCCACACCTTGGAACAAGAGCTCGCTTTTCGGAGGAAACACTCCCTCCCGGAAAACTTTGATGGGGTGACCAAGTTCAAGCCGTTAGTGGCGATCGGCAGCGATGAGCCATTGCTGGACCCGATGGAGAGTGACTTCTTTCATGGAAGGGATGGAATGTTGGGCGTGCACGGGAGTCATCCGCACTTGAGTCCGCAGGGGGAGTGGGCGGATCTATTCAAGGAGGAAGCAGCGGGGTTGACGGATGAGGCAGTCGCAGCGGCTGCGAGGGGCGCTAGTCGAGGTAGTATCTCTAGCCATGCGTCCAGCTTTGTTCCCAGTACTAGGCCTGCTCATGAGGAGATTTTGAGGTTGTTGAGGGAGAACGAGGCTGGGACTATTACGTTGATCAGTATTGGGCCGCTTACAAATTTCGCCATTGCGGCGGCGGAGGATCCGGAGACGTTTTTGCGAGCGAAGGAGGTAATTGTCATGGGTGGGACGGTTGAGCATTATGGCAATGTGAGCCCGGTTGCGGAATTCAATATCTGGGCTGATCCGCTCGCCGCGGCGAGGGTTTTTGCGTTGAGCGGACCGAGCCCGGCGAGCACTATTCCGGTGGAGTTGGATGAGAGGTGTGGGCTGAAGGCTTACCCTGAGGGTATTACAGCATCGAAGCAACTGCGGGTGATAATGATGGGTCTCGACATTACAGAAAGCCACGTCCTCACCAAAGAACTTTGGGAAGAGAAGTGCAAACCCTGGCTCCACCGCGGCTCGCCGCTTGCGATCTGGTCGGACACATTCATCAAACAAATGCTCGACAAGATGGAGCGCATGGGCGAAGGGGCTGTACTCACGCTGCATGATCCTATGTGCGTCTACTATGCTCTCACTTCGGCAGAACAGGGGTGGATGTTTTCTGCTGCAGGAAGGAACGACGATGCGGGCCAGGGCGGCTGGGAGGATATCAGGGTCGAGTGCGGCGCGCAGTGGACACGGGGAATGACGGTGGGAGATACGCGGCCGAGAAAGAGGAGGGGAAGTGATGGGTTTAGGACGTATGATCAGGGGAACTGGTTGGGGGCAAAGAGTGGGAATCGGATATGGAGGGTGGTGGATAGTCCGGGGTCGGAAGGGCCGGGGAGAAGGATTGTGGAGCAGTTATTTGGTTGATTGACTGAGGACTGATGATGGGGACTTCCACGATTAGTTAAAACAAACACGACCGTCCTTGCCAATCTCGAGAGAAAGTTCGCCCCATCGAGTAGCAGCAGATGAGACCTCGATGTGGCGATTGGGCTAGCGGTCTGACCTCATCGATGGAGGAAGGAAGAAGAGATATTGACGAGGGCAAGAAGGCTGCTTATACCTCTCCACAGAGTCAACAGAGTGAATATCGAGGTTAAACGCGGAAAGCTCTACCTACGTGGTCAGGAGGCATTCACTGCTCGTTGCGTGATTAGCGGTTGAATTGAATAGACATGTCGACAATGGGGACTGAAGGTAATTTGAGATCCCTCTCAGATCAATAAGGGAAGAAGTATGTGGTGGGGCTTGCGCGCAGATGATGGCGCTGTCGTTTGACATTGTCAGTGCACCTCTGTCGCTGGCATTCATAAAGTATGCCTGAATTACCACGCCTCGACTTTCAAAAGACTCGAGTTCTGTCCAGACGGTCGGACTCGTGGGAAAGGTCAATGCACTCATTGTCTTGCTAATCTCTATGCACAGCACAGAAAGTATTGCGTTCTTAAGCTGTACCCATTTTCCTGTGGTCAACCCACTCACGTCAACTTCTGCTTGATGAAGAACGACCTGAGATGCGACAACTGCCATGCGCAAGTGATACCCAGCACGGCCAGCTGAATTAACGTCCACCGCACGATCTTTGCGTTGGTCGATTCGCTCTGGTCTCGGAACTCTGCTTCTCGTTCCTGTTGTAGCCATGTCAGCTCAGCATTCTGTGAGGCTATTCTGAGGCATCGAGCAGAGTATCATGCGAGCTGCATTCCTGCTCGTCCACCTTCGGGCAGTGCGAAGAAAGAATTACTCACTCTCTGGAAGATCTGCTCCCTCCTGATATCCGCCAACCGTCCGTTCAGCTCCTTCACCTTGGCCACAATACTATCCACCTTTCCCTGATCCGCACTCTGGATCTTACTCGTCTCCCCAATCGCCATATCCAAACTCAACCTCACGCCCCCACTAGTCACACCCGCATTCCCACCCAGCCATCCCCCGACACTTATCGCCGCAGGGCCCGAAGCGGTGAAGCAGATTCTGTGGTCGCCGGCCTCGGCGGACGAGAAGGTGAATTTAGAGCGGGTTTCAGAGGAGGTGGTCCGTTGGTTGACGACGCGATGGTCGTTGTCGAATGTCTCGTCGACGGTCACGGCGATGGAGAGTTCGTTAGTGGGCGCGAAGGAGCCGGTGGAGGGGTTGTATGCTTCGGCTTTGTAGGAGCCGACGACGAGGGTATCTTTAGGGAGTTCTTCGTAGAAACATTTTGGGGTCGTGCCGTCGAGGTAGAAGTAGAGGGCTTGGGTGGAGGTGGTGAGTGTGCAGAGGGCCGTGAGCCCTGCGAGGAGGGATCGCATTGCTAAATGCTGGTGACCGCGAAGGAGGGTGTGGGCTGGTCACCGCGAAAGGGATGGTTGTCTGGTTGAGAGGAGGCCGCTCCTCACAAATTCACCTCCGCCGCAACTTAGGCACTGCAAGTTTCCAGGGGCTAGATTCTCCGCATCTCGACGCCAAGATTTCACTTGAGGGCGGTGGTCTGTCGGACTCACCGTAATTGTCTAACGGCAAGCAATGGTGTCTCTGCTCGGTACTCTTGCTTAGCACTGCATCATGTGTTCGGTAGCATTATTTCAGATGCCAGGATATTGCTTCAGCCGAGCTAGCGAGTAACGTGCGCTCAAGACTTCCTCGTGACTTTCCGAAATGTCCAAGCCCAGCTTGGCAAGGGTGATCAGAGTGATGTCAGTGCTGGTGTTGTTCTTCTGATGATGGCCTGCGATCCTCCGGAGACTCTCGCCCCATCAGGCAGCAGCGGTTGCTACCAGACATGGCAATTCGTCATTGAGTTGGAGCGCGGTGAGGGCAGAGAGAGGGAGTGTGTCGAGGGCAAGGCAGACATTTATAGGTCTGCAAGGAATGGAAGTGCCGACCCAGTCACTGCACGGACACCCCAAGGGATTACCTAGATGTTCAATACTCGTCGGCTGAGTCATCCATAGATGCTGGCTTTTTCGTTTGAGGGTGTGGGCCAAGTTCCGCTCCCTTTCCATGAACCTCACGCGATTCTGGGACTACACGATCTTCTCTCCTTTCGCTAAGCGTCTGTCTTGCTCGCCACGGGCCATGGGCATGTGTCGGCAATGGCGGCATTAGAATGCTCGCAGACCCAAAGTCGCCGCCTGGATTTCCAGGTATGTTTTGATTGTCGAGCATACCGAGTTAGGAATTGTGGTCAGCCACGTGGGTATGCCCTTGGCAGAGACTTCGTGTAAATATCCTCCTTCATACGACACCACTATGTCCAGCCGGGCTGCTTTGTAATCGCACGGTAGCGATAGTCAGTCCAGACAGAAAGGGGAGGAATGTTATCGGCGCGACGTCTCCGCTGCTGTTGCCTTCCACCTGCATCGCGCCACGCCCAGGTATACTACCTCGGACGTGTTCGTCTTTGACAAGTGTCGCTAATGAAGAAGGCTGGGCGCTGGAGCGTCTTGTGAGAGCAGAGATCGGGCAGGAACAGAACCTCGAAGCGGTATCGATAGGACTGTTGCCATGCATGCTGTCGCTAAAGGTGCTGCAAGATTGGCGAAGAGAGCTGGCCCGCGATGGGCAAATGTCACTGCCACTGCCATTGCTGGCAGCGAAGCCCCTCATGAGCAGTTCAGAAGGACAGCTTCGGGCCCTCTGGCATGTCCTCGGTATGGGTGACGATATGAGTGATGATACAAGGCCCTCCCGATGGCCAACTTCCTGAGCCCTGAGAAGCATACATCCCTTCAAGTGAGTCTCACCAGATTCTGATTGCCCCGCACTTCTATTCACTCACCTGCTTTCACGTTGCTAGGCAGAAGCTCCCTGCCACTGCTCCAGCACACGCTTACACGTTTAGAGGTCTCCAAAGTGCTTATGACATCCTTTTCATGGCGCGTTTGGTGCCCTTAGCGCCTTGGCAGGCTATTGTCTTCACCATGTGCCGCACAACACGTTCTTTCGACTCGCTTCAAGTGGTTCAGACCAAACAGAACGCTTCAGACTCAAAAAAGACTTCGAACACCAAAATCAAGCAACCAAGAGCCCGCTATTCACTTTTCGACCCCTCAAAATCAACTAAAATGGCTCGCGTCACCTCTTCCCGCTCCGCCGCCGCCCGCGCTCCCCTCCCCACCAGAGCCGCGAAAGGCAAACCAGGATACTCGCTGTCGGGCACACACTTCTCCCGCCACTTCCGCGACGACGGACGCTGGCACCGCTGCCCCATCAACAACTGCAAGTTCGTCGCCAAGGACGAACTCGAGCTCACTGGCCGCGGCCACTACCGTGATTTTCACGGTTTCAAGATCGTCTCGCGTGGCCTGGGTGCCTACGCCAACCGCCCCCCGCGCCAACAAAATGGGCCGAGAGTTCCTCATGCAGCACGTTGTTTTGGTTTCGCCTGCGGAGGCGGAGAGACTCCGCAAGGAGTGGAATAGGAAGAAGAAGCGGCTTCTGGCGCGTTTTGGTGGTGCTCCGTTTTTCGAGCTTGGTGGAAGAGGAAGTGGGTGGTTTGTTGCGCGTGTTCCGGTTGCTGGTGCTGCTGCTGAGGAGGACGAGGACGAGGATGAGGACGAAGAGGAAGACGAGGACGACGAGGAAGAGGACGAAGACGAGGAGATGGAGGAGTGATTCGGTTTTCTGGTTCTTTCTTCGCGCTTCTGTTTTTCCTTTTGGAAAAACCAGAACAGAGGCCTCCTGAATGAAATTTTTATGGCCGAGGTTCTCTTCGAGGTGTTTCTCATGTGAGCCGTCTTCAAGTCCGTCTCGAGCTATCTCTGTGTCTCAAGTGCGAAGTACGTAAGCTATATTTGTAGTGAAAGTGAGCCGCTATTGCGAATGATCCGAGCCCCT